AACACTGATCACTGAGACAAAAGAAATTCATTAGCACGTGCGCCAGATTTACTGGCGAAGAAAGAACGCTTTTGATGGGATGTTCTGCTTATCTGCTAATTAGGTTCAGGCAGAACCCTAATGAGGTGTGATATGGTCTGCCTCTTTCGAGCGATTTCAGAGGGTTGCAGCAGTTTCTATAACATGGACGTCTACGGGAAATGTGCGATGTCCAAGCAAATTTTGGCCTGTGTACGCTTTGTATTGCGCTGTAAAGCAAAAATACAGAGAAAAAAGTTGTGCAGCTTTAAATTCTCTATCAAACTAATACCACAAAAAATTTCAGGTATGACAGATGCACAAAAAATGGCCAGGTCAGTGACTCACACATGTCCAATCTGCATACTGTCTTCGACTCTGAAAAGCACAACGTGGCTGTTGTGGCCCACGATCTGTAGTTAAACGCTTATATATGCACCACCATACAGCAGCACTCATTTCCGGGCGGATATTTTCAGACACACAGGCACTGCAATGATGAAGCACGTATTGTGCTTGTAAACTGTTTGCTAGCGATAAGTTCTGAATACGGTGCCCGTTTGTCTTTGTGGCACGGCAGACAACAGAATTTTGTTGATGCTCTGTCGCAAATTAAATAAACAACAATAACATCATGAAAATTACTAACTGCAACCTGTTCATAAGTGTGTTTTGGCATATAACATGTACAGTAGATAATTAATGCATATATAACCATTATAGTTCTTTATAGCGCATGGCTTACATTCAGGATATTAAAATTTAATATGGTTCGAGGTAATGTTGTATACAGTGTACTCTATAAAGTATATTTTAACTAACATCACTACTCTAGTATTTTCACTGGTAGATACAAAAGTAAAATCCGCAGTTTTGAATGCATACAGCGTCAAAGATGAATCCGAAGATTGCGCATGTTTGGACAAATAATTTTAACCGTACAAGCGATTTGACGCCTAGAAAATGTACTCTCCAAAAACGCGAAATAATTTCAATATTTGATAACACGATTTGATAACACGATAACACGATATTGCAGCGTTAACACTCGAATTTAAACTTGCGGTAATTTATTTGATAACTTACTTGTTTCCGCATAAATCACAGTCTAGCATAAATCACATTATTGACAATAAAATTATGCACAAAACAGGTAAATTAGGATCAAGCAAAACTTATTATCTGTTCAAATTTGACCCTGTAAAGAACGATAAGAATTCAGATTTCTGTTGTTCTTTTTGTAGTATGCTATCACAGTTTAGATACACGATGCAAATCAAAACGATAATAACATGAAGTTCCGAAAATTTAAGTTTTTTTATGGGCAACACTACATATCAAACTGCAAGCCATGGTTTTAGCTAGCCTGTGGCTAGCAGACTTGGGCCGCCAACGACATCTCCGCTTTCCGCCCGCCCCGCTCTGGCTAAAATTTTCCGCCCCGCTCCGCCCCGCCGTAACAAAAAAATTTCCCACTTCCGCCCGCCATATTTTAATTTCCCGCCACCCGCCCGCCAAAATTGTGAAAAAAATTTTCAGTGCTTTTCATTTTTTAATTTTTTTCCGTGTGTTCTTTTTCAGAAATGTCTGTTCAAAGACCACCATTGGTTAGTTGCTAACTTGCAAGAGCCAGCAAGCAATTCGCCGCAAAAACCGTTAGAAATTCTATAAAAATAGTGAAAATATTTCAGTAAATGATGTTAACTTTTATTTTATGCTTGATCTCCGCCCGCCTTTGAAATAATCCCGCTTCCGCCCGCTCACACTTTTTTCCTCCCCGCCCCGTCCCTCCAAACTCAACTTCCACCTGCCCCGCCCTCCAAAAAGGGAGGGGCGCGGAACGGCTGGAGACTTTTCCCGCTCCTGCAAAAGGCGGCCCAAGTCTGGTGGCTATGCACTTGAATTTGCGGCTACCCTCTGAAACGCCGTGGCGCTGCTGTCGCTTTTCACGTGACCACACTAGCCACGCCTTTCGCCTGGACTTAATTGATCGCAGGCTCGCATCCATTGTCTTTGCTTAGTCCAAGCTGACCCGGATTCAACCGTAGTGCATATGAAGCCGCGTATTACGCGTGTAAAGTCTCCTTCATATGCACTACGATTCAACCTTGAATCAGAGTGCCTTTTATTGCCCTAGCGGTATGCGCGCGCCTGATTGTTAGCTGCTCCGGTTGTTTTCCATGTACAAGCTTGTCCGGTAATTTCTGCCGGTTCAAAACAGCGAAATACTCAAATTTGCGTGTTACGCCAAACGTAGTGTAGTGGCAATCGCTATAGCGCAAACTTCGCGCTAAATATGCGCAATCTGTACCTTTACGACAGAAATTACCGGACAAGTTTGTATGCCTTTCAGTCGAACAGCGGCATCATTGGGCAGTCTTCCCAAACTTCCCAATGCGCCTCATTTTTTTGTAAGCGATCGGAGCCTCAAATGTCGCTCAAAATCGACCAGTTGGTTACTAATAGTATCCAGTACATGGCCTGATTTTTTCGATATCATACATTCACGCAGTTGAACGGTGTGACCATTTGAACGTGCATATCCCAAAAAGATGGTGACTTCCACCATCTCTATCCTGGACTTCCGGCTGCATTGACTGTGCCGAAAACAGCAGCAAACGAAACTAGACATTTTTTCACTCACACAGCCCAAAAATTGCTGTAAAAATATTTTTTTGAAGTTAGTTACTGAATTAATAAGGCCAGCTCTGGTGTGAGTAACCACGCTAGTCAACGAATTTCATTATCAATAAATGATATGCTGACATGCTGACAAATTGTCAGCATATGCACACGTACTAATTGATAACTGGTGCATATATAGCCATATATAGTGTGACCTACCTACGGTATACATGTGAAATGTGGATATTTTAAAATTTAATCTGACAATTTGTGAGTGAAACATTTCTACACTAAATGGTCCGATTCCATGCAGTTGTTTTATGACTGCAGCAGCTGTAGCCGGTACAGTTTGCAACTTTACAACCTGTTCTGCATAGTTGTTAGAATTATGTTGAAAGCACATCTGTTTTCATAAATAATTTTTTTCCAGACTGTTGCGTATTGCACTTCCCATCGTCCTCCTATAGAAAAAGAAGAGAACAAAGAAAAGAGAACAAGAAAGAACAAGAAACTAAAGTGCAGTCTGAAACGCAATGAAAAGAGAACAAGAAACTAAAATGCAGTCTGGCTTATCGTTTTTTTTGTGGAACGAACTCAACATGTTCCAGAATTCACGCGGTACATAGTACCAGTACACTGTACTATAGTACCAGTACACTGTACTATAGTACTATACTATGTACACTGTACATAGTACCAGTACACTGTACTACACTGTACACACTGTACACTGTACACTGTACCAGTACACTATAGTACTATACTATGTACACTGTACATAGTACCAGTACACTGTCCTATGTACACTGTACATAGTACCAGTACTATGTACACTGGTACTATGTACACTGTACATAGTACCAGTACACTGTACTATAGTACTATAGTACTATAGTACACTGTACATAGTACCAGTACACTGTACACAGTGCACGTTTATGAATTTGCTGTGCATCGTATTGCATCATGATGTGGAATTTGGCATGTTGGGTATCTACATAGTCCTACATATCTTTGGATGCAGTTACGTGGAATTCTCTGGTATCTAGAATTCGGTAATAGTATCAGACAATTATGACTTTGCTAATTTAACACTTCGTTGACTAGCAGTTTTGAGCAACGAGGCTGACTTTCTTGGTGGAAGTCACCAGAAGCATCCCATTGGTCAGTAAGATCTTCTGACCAGTCGTTCTTTTTGTTTTAATGAGATTTGGCCAATAACACTGACCACTGAGACAAAAGAAATATATTTGCACGTGCGCCAGATTTACTGACGAGAAAGAATGCTTTTGATGGGCTGCTCTGCTTATCTGCTAATTGATCGCAGGCTCGCATCCATTGTCTTTGCTTAGTCTAAGCTGACCCGGATTCAACCTTTAATCAAAGTGCCCTAGCGGTATGCGCGCGCCTGTTTGTTAGCTGCTCTGGTCGTTTTCCATGTATGAGACGGGAACCTGAGAAGGTTCACGTCGTAGAATCGGAATTGACGTAATTCCGTCTACCAAACAGATCTGGCAATGCTAATCGTCTAACGCTATGGAAAAGCGAAAAAAAGACGTGACTGCGAGAACTTTTTATCCAAGACTGAATTTCGATAGAAATTCCCCAAGGGCAACTCTGCACTGCTGGCTACAGCAAGCGCACGTAGCTGCCACACCGTGCGGTGGCGCTGAGAACACTACGGTTTCGCCACGCGTAGGCGGGCGCGCAACAACAAAACGCGACAGACTGCCAAGCGAGGGTGTACGCTGAGTACGCCTGCGCGCATACATGTATACCTTTCAGTCGAACAGCGGCATCATTGGGCAGTCTTCCCAAACGTCCCAATGCGCCTCATTTTTTTGTAAGCGATCGGAGCCTCATATGATGCTCAAAATCGGCCAGTAAGTTACTAATAGTATCCAGTACATGGCCTGATTTTTTCGATATCATACATTCACGCATTTGAACGGTGTGACCATTTGAACGTACATGTCCCGAAGGGATGGTGACTTCCACCATCTCTATCCTGGACTTCCGGCTGCACTGGTTGTGTCAAAAACAGCACCAGCGAAAACTAGACGCTTTTTCACTCACACAGCCCAAAAACTGCTGTAAAAATATTTTTTTGAAATTAGTTACTGAATTAATAAGGCCAACTCTGGTGAGAGTACTTAACCACGCTAGTCAACGAAGTGTTAATCATTCCGAGAAACACGGAAAGATAACCGTCATGCGGCATGCCACAATCTGCACCCAATTAATTAAAGGTAAGCGCTAAACCCGGGTCCGTTACGTACGATGCATTTGCAGATCTATGTAGAGCGCATACTATTGCAGCTGGATTAGGCATCTTATCATTACACAGGCGCTTTATTTGATCGCAGTTTGTAACAATTTCTCTGATTGATTGGTTAGCGCGTTTAAGGGAAATGGCCCGGTACATAGCGTCCAAAATGGTCCAAGACGGTACATTTCTTCTTCCACGCTTTGCCGGTTTGGTTCCTCCTGACGGTAAGAAATTTATTTCGCTAGATTTCTTTACAAAGTTAGCCAACCAGTTTGACGAACTAGTTTCCATTGTTTTTTTGTTTCTTACTAGTGTTACCAATTCACAATGGCCCAAAAGGAGCAAAAACATTTTCTCCTAGTCTCTGTCCCGGGCTACGGGCACACTATCCCCATGGTATAAGGATTGGCGAGTAAGCTGGCATCTCGCCAACACAAAGTCACCTTCGTCATCTGCAAATCCGCCGTGGAACATATTCGCAAGAAGCAAGAGATTACTACGGAAGATGAGAAAACCATCCATGTTGTCGGACTGGAGGACGGCATCCCGGAGAATGAATCAGAGGATATCGTCAGCTACACATCTTTCTAAGGATTCAAAGACAATGGTGTGCCGGCAATGCAAAAGCTGATTAAAGGTCTCCCTGTCGCTAGACAGCCGCCAGCAGATGGTGAAGAACGCTACGGTATAAAAGTGCCGGTTAATGCGTTGGTGGCGAATATTTTCATTGCAGCCAGTTTAGTCGGATGTGTTGAACGAAAACTGCCCTACTATTTTCTGAACTGCTCGGCTATCGGACCGTTCCGCAGTATGCTGTATGTCACCGAGCGCACACCGGTAACCGAGAAGAACGACTTGGAAAGTTTTGAGACTGTCCGCCCTGAGTCGGAAGGTCCGCAACCGGCCATCGGTCAAATGATGAAGGGGATGCGTTTAGCCATTAATCAATTCTTGTCTACCGGCAACGGAATCCTTATCAATTCTTTCCGGGAAATTGAGCAGCGTTTCATCGATGAGATCAAACAGGATTCGCGTATGAGAAACATGGAGTATTACTGCGTTGGACCGTTTATGCCGGAAGAGAAGGATGATAAAAATCCCAGCCATGCCGAACTGGGACAAAAGGTCACGCGTTGGCTGGACCGTCAACCTGACAATTCAGTGGTGTATGTGTCGTTTGGCTCTGTGGTCGTTCCCAACGAGAGCCGTATCGTGGAGATAGCTAAGGCTCTGCAGGCATTGAAGAAGCCGTTTATTTTCTCCATCCGCCAACATCAGCAATCCATTCTGCCAGGTGACGTACACGTCGGCATCGATACCCACTTGGACAACCCGGAAGCACCAGGACTATTTCTGCACTGGGCACCACAAAAGCTAATTTTGGCCCATCGAGCCACGGCGGTTTTTGTTAGCCATTGCGGATGGAACAGCACTATCGAGAGTCTGTTCAACGGCAAGCCAATTGTTGGTTGGCCGATTTTTGGGGATCAGATAGAGAATTCATTGTGGATTGAAGAGATGTTTTTGGGGGAGTCATTGCTTCGCCGCGAGCACGCTGATAATGATGAGGAGAAAAAGAACATCACGAGCGATAAAATTGTCGCAGCTGTTCGGCGCGTTGGATATGAGAGTGATGCGGCACGGAAGTCAGCGCTGCAATGGATCGAAGGATAAGATTCGAAAGGCCGTTGCACCGGGTGGAAGCTCTAACAGTGAATTGCAAGACTTTACTGATGCCGTAGTGTAATGCCGTTTGCCAACTCCAATTAAATTACTATACTTTCTACGGATATTTTTTTGCGTTGCTTCCCTGTTACATAATTATTCTCGATGTTATCGAGCTGTCAGTACTCACTACATAACTGGAGATAAACGCACGCTGCGCGAGCTTCGATTATTTTAAAAAAAACTTCTCTATTTCATATTAGAGTATCATTAATATTAACTATTAACAGACAAAAAATTGCATATTATCATTGTCGTATACGCGTGCCTGAAATTTAACGTTGATGTAATTCGCACACTTTTATAAACTTTACGGTACCGCTAATAAAATGTCGCTGCTATAAACAATTCGGAAGCAACGCAGAAACAGAACAGAACACCTTAAGCAGAGTACGTACTATATCCGAAGAAGTCGACATGGAGAGCTTTGATGTCGTTCCACCGGAATCGGAAGGCCCGCAACCGGCGATCAGCCATATCATGAAAGGTCTCTGTTTGTCCATCAACCAGTTTATCGCTACTGCTAACGGAATGCGGGTCAAAGTTGAGTTTATTATATATATTTCACCAGTATTGCAAAATTTTACAATTTTCGCAATGGATAACTATTTTAACTGCAGCTTCTGGCTTCATGTCAGCAATCAACAGTTTATTCTTACACTTTTTCCGATCTGTCTGCATTATAAATAATAATGCATTTTAATTCGTATAAAAATAATCCGTAATAAAATTTAGGCGGCTGCCAGATAACTACAAAGTATTATTGTATTATTATTGTATTATTGTATTATTTTTGTATTATTGTATTATTGTATGTATAGTATGTATAGTATTACTGTATTATTGTATATAAAAATAACTGTAGTATACTCCTAAATATCATTCTTCTATTATGTCCATTATCCGTACGCTACAATGCAAGATAATAATACTGGTTTTTATGATACGCCATATTTTATTGTTAATCTCAGCGAAATATGTCTCCTTGCTAATTCTGACGACTCATGGTCAGTCTGATAAGTACCATGCTGTTTTGTGACTCTACAGGTACTTCTATCGGTACAGTAGTGGTTTAAAACCTGTTCTGTAGAATAGCTGACAGCATTTTTTTTCAAACTGCTGGGTATTGCAAATTTCCATAGTTCTCCTATATAAAGCAAACAAGCAGCCTGGTTTATCCGCTTTTGTGAAACGAATTCAAAACTTGCTCCAGTATTCGCGCGGTACAAAGTATAAGTACACCCTAGGGTAGTCACAGCTCGTGCATTTGCAGTGGATCGTATTACCTTATGACATTGTGTAAGTTTTGCATGTTGGATATCCACATACTATATATATAGTATAATTTATTTTACATATCCATCTTCGGACATAGTTACGAATTGGGTACCATGTCTTATCATTACACAGGCACCTTTATCGTGCGGGTTGACTGGTGATCACTTTGAAGTTTTCTTTCGATCGTACAGAATATTTATTTTATCCACGCTTTGCCGGTATAATTCCTGCTGGCGGTCAGAAATTTATTACGCTAAAGAATTCTCAACGAAGCCAGAACAACAACTTGGTTTTAGTACAAATTTGTAGTACTACCAATTAACCATGGCCCAAAAGGAGCAAAAACATTTTCTCCTAGTCTCTGTCCCGGGCTACGGGCACACCATCCCCATGGTAGGATTGGCGAGTAAGCTGGCATCTCGTCAACACAAAGTCACCTTCGTCATCTGCAAAGCCGCCGTGGAACATATTCGCAAGAAGCAAGAGATTACACCGGAAGATGAGAAATCTATCCACGTTGTCGGACTGGAGGACGGCATCGCGGAAAATGAATCAGAGGATATCGTCTGCTACATGTCTTTTGTAGGGTTCAAAGACCACGGCATCCCGGCAATGCAGAAACTGATTAAAGGTCTCCCTGTCGCTGGACAGCCGCCCGCAGACGGTGAAGAACGCTACGGTATAAAAGTGCCGGTTAATGCGTTGGTGGCGGATATTTTTATTGCTGCCGGTGTAGTCGGGTGTGTGGATCGTAAACTGCCCTACTATTTTCTAAACTGTTCATCCATTGGACCGTTCCGCACTATTCTGTATATTACCGAGCGCACACCGGTAATCGAGAAGAACGACATGGAAAGTTTCGATTTTATCCGTCCCGAGTCGCAAGGCCCACAACCGGCCATCGGTCAAATTACAGTATGAAGGAGATGTGCTTAGGCATTAACCCGTTCTTGTCAACCGGTAACGGGATCCTTACCAATTCGTTCCGGGAAATTGAACAGCATTTTATCGACGAGATAAAACAGGATTCGCGTATGAGCAACATGGAGTATTACTGCGTTGGACCGTTTATGCCGGAAGAGAAGGACGATAAAAATCCTAGCCATGCCGAACTGGGACAAAAGGTCACGCGTTGGCTGGACCGTCAAGCAGACAATTCTGTGGTGTACGTGTCGTTTGGCTCTGTGGTCGTACCCAACGAGAGTCGTATTGTGGAGATTGCTAAGGCTCTGCAGGAGCTGAAAAAGCCATTCATCTTCTCGATCCGCCAGCATCAGCAATCCATTCTGCCCGGTGAAGTACGCGTCGGCATCGATACGCACTTTGACAATCCGGAAGCACCAGGGCTGTTTCTGCACTGGGCGCCGCAAAAGCTGATTTTGGCCCATCGAGCGATAGCGGTTTTCGTCAGCCACTGCGGATGGAACGGCGTTATTGAGAGTATGTTCAACGGCAAGCCGATTGTCGGTTGGCCGATTTTTGGGGATCAACTGGAGAATTCGTTGTGGATTGAAGAGATAGGTTTGGGAGAGTCTTTGCTTCGCCGCGAGCACGCTGATAATGATGAAGAAAAAAAGAACATCACCTGCGATAAAATTGCCGGAGCTGTTCGGCGCGTTGGATATGAGAGTGATGCGGCACGGAAGTCAGCGCTGCAACGGAAGGATAAGATTCGAAAGGCCGTTGCACCGGGTGGAAGCTCTAACAGTGAACTGCAAGACTTCATTGATGCCGTAGTGTAATAAGTTCATGTTAACTCCAACCATATAATTTCATGCAGCAATAATATTGTTGCGATGTGGCTTAGGTACATTCTCTAGTGGCTAGTTATATCGACAAGTGCATTTACAATGTTAATTCCTCCTAATTTCTATTTTTTGATTTTTTGCGTAGCTTCGCTGTTACTTTGTTCTCGATGTTATGGAGCTGTTAGTTCGTAATTAATACAAACGTGCAAACATGACAAACAATTATCCGTGATGCGGCCATCCATTTTATTGGCATGTAGTGTCCATCGGGATCCCTAAAAACGAAAACGCCAAAAAATGCGACTGATACTGTGCGTGCTACAATAGCGGTGTACAAAACGAAAGTGGGTAAACTGACCTTTTGATCAAACAGACAACAGTGTCCAGAAAAAAGGAAGTGGTAAAAACATCTTGAGTACCGACATGACTTTTTTCATCGCTAACAAAAGCAGCCTGAAACGCGAATAAAGATGCCTCGAAACGTGGGTGCACAAAACATTAACAATAAGCAAAATCGGTAAATTTTATGTTCGTATATATATTTATCGGATGCGCTCCGCGTGGCTATTTTTGCGGAATTTATTAGCAAGGGCATGCTGCAAATCAAACATAAAATATAATGTATGTACACAACAATGATTAGAAGTAGTGCGTGCAGGAGCTGGGAGCATTTTATTGTAAAAATAAGTACAGACTTAATCGTTGATGATCAAAAACAAAAACAGGTTAACAATTCACAAAAGAAACATCACATAATGGTGTTAACAAACAGCAGAATAATGTTTCCGAATGCATTCAGCACATCATGCACGTAATAATGCATCGGAAATTCGGAATGCACCGTGTGCATTGCACACTGGCAAGATAAGCGCGCTCCATATATAAAAACAGTACTCGTATTCAATGGCCGCCATAATTTTTTTCGGCCAGCCCTATGTTTGGACGAAAACACAATCTGCTCCCCTACTAGGCGTTGTGCAAGTTGGTCTAGCCGTTGAATTTCAGTTTTTGTCCACAAAGCACTCTGGAAATGGCATAAAATTAAGCTTAATTTCAAGCGCTTAAAATCATTTTTGATTTTCTGGTTGAATGAATTATTTTTCAAACATTGTCACGACTCGCTCCATCGATGCCTTCCCTTCCGAAGGTGCTTCCTGCGGCATCGCAACGGCAAAGTCTATTGAATTCTTGTTCAGAAAATGGGAAAAAAACCGGCGACCTCGCGAAGGAGGGCGTCCTGCAGTTTAGGCACGCCGACAGTTATACCGCTGGCGGTCCGCTGCCCTTACCCAGAAGTGCAGTCCAAAGGGTATAAGGATACCGCTAGATGCCTAAGGCAACAGATTTGTTTATATTTTGTTACCCTTGGAGTGCGGCAAAACTGAAAATTTAGAACGAATTTTGCTTGAGAGAAAGGCAACCACGGTAGTTAAACTGCAGCGCGTTTTGAGAAGATCGCCTCTAGTTCTGAAATTCCTGTGATTCGTGACACTCAAATCTTCGACACCCAAATGCAAAAGGTGGTGGATAGATTGAATGATCCATGAAAGTTAAATATAAGCTCAATTTTCCGACCAGTGGTTTATGGGAATTTTTTAGTGATGTGCTACTACAGCTTTCTGCTACCTTACTTACTATTTACTAATCTAAAACTCAGTTGCTGATCCAAAAATCATTTTGATGGTAGACATAAAGATATACTCCAGACATAAATATATACCCAAACGTATTGTTAGTAAAGCGTAATTGATTTTCGAATTTCGAAGCAGCCACTGTTTTGGCTTTCGTTATGCGAAACTGAAAACTGCAAATTTTGATACATCTTCGAAACACAACTATAAATTTCTGTAAGTAAGAGTTTCAGTAAGATGTTTCTGTAAGTAAGAGACTTAGAGAACTTGATAAATTTGCATATAAAATTTTATATATGGCTGAACATGGCGCTTATGTTACGGGACAGATTTAACACTTTTGATACAGGTGCTGCCGCATGGCGCGTAACGTCATACTCCAGCTGGGTGACGACAGCAAGTACATGGACTGTCATCGGGTCTTATAAGTTGCTTGTCTTCCTCTATGTATACTTTGGGAATGCTTGTGTGTGAGCGAGCTGTGTCCCTGCATTAACAGTTAATCATCGTTGATTGGGTAATATTAGAGCGCATAGTATATTATTCGCTGTACCCGCCACGCCATGCACTCAGAAACCGGGGGTTTTTCGGTTCTTGATTTTCGATTTCTCGATTTTTAGTATTTTAATAAATTGCAAGTAATAATTAAACGAAGTTGGCTTTCGCGTTGTGAAAGTACTGGTATTCCATTTGTTTAATTTTTTACGACAAAGTACTAGGTCAAATTATTGTTAAATCAACGGATTAACCATCGTTCGGCTCAACTGAAGACCATCGTCGCAAAGCCAGCTCCAAAATTCCCAGGTTTGACATAAGTCAGATGAATTCTTAAAAAAACATAATGATTGATTATTTGTTAAAAATAATTTTCAGCGGTGCACCGCAGCACCAGTTCGAATTTCGGGTTTCGAGCGTTCGTTGTTTTAGTGTAACACAACGCCGTAGTGAAAAGATATTTGAGTCAGCTATGGTTTATTATTTGCGTTTTGCAGTTCAGGACAATATCAAGTACTGTAACGTTCGTTTGGACGGGAATGCAAAAGCCTACTATGTAAACTCTTCGGTCCGACAAATTTTCCGCCGTTTTTGCTTTCTGCTAATTTTTTTGGCCTAGCCGTTCTGACCACTATATAAGCAGAACGCATTTAAACCGCGTAGTAATATTTGTATGTAAATAATAATAAACGCATACGGCATCGTAGAGCGATGGCATGCAGAGCGATGGAATTACTGTGCGCGCAGACGCACTTGTATAACGTCATAAGAAAAGATGATATATATAATTAATCCGAATATCCGAAGTGTTTTTTTTAATCCGGCATATCCGAAGTGTTTTTGTTGTAACCTAGAATATTATTTGCTGGTTAAGGGTGTTGTAGCAGCTGCTGTTGTAACTTCACTAATAATTCTATCGATTGTTAATTGTTATTGATAAGGGTAAGTTGTTTCGTATACTTGTCAAACCATCTATTTATTTTTAATATAACAATATGCAAAATGTTACTAAACGTATGTAAGTGTACGGTATAATTAATAATAATTAATAATAATCTGAGTGGTGCGTAAGCTGCTTTATTACCAGTGTAATGTGTTGATCGCATATCCGCGTCAACAATTACTGGATTCTGCGTAATACCGTAGTGCTTATGAAGGAGACTATATAGAGGATCTTAACGTGTGTCGTTTTGATTCCGGAAAATTTTTTGTAGTAATCAAATTTATCCACTGACCAGCATTTCGATCCAGTTTTTTTTAAAAGCATCATCCGTGTCGGAAGCGAACTGTCTATTAGTGTTTAAAACTACCATCATGTCCCGTGTGTTTTCTTTCGATTGTACGCGCGTTAACTGTCGGAGGAACTGATTGCCGTTTACAGATTAATTTAATGGTAGCTTGTTTAATTTAATTTAATGGTAGAACTTCCGGCACGGGATGCATGCATGTAACGGGGCCCGAAGAGCGCAGTCGCTAGGCAAAATGAGTTTTTTTTATCAAGTGTACTCAGCCGGGGCGTTTGTGAGGCGCAGCCGTTTGGTGGAATGGATGGCATCGTTAAACTTACACCTCTCTTATGTATATCATTGCAGCTGGCCAATTTGGGCATCGGTCGCGATAAGACCCAGGCCCTGTTCGATTCAGCCAACTACACATTCGAGCAGAAGGACGGCGATTCCCTGATGAACAACGTGGAGACCAGCTTAAAGGATTATCTCCGCCGGAAAGAGGTGGCAGCCAAGGTGCGCATATATGTGCCGGCGTATTAATACTAGAGGAAATGAGAAAATGTGCCCTTTTCGATCTGACGACACATTGGCATATATATACACATACACACTCATCTGATCGCTGAGATGAAATGGCGTTTTTCATTTCCGTAGCGGATTGCCAGCCACGCCATTAAGCTGCACGATGACTATCTGCGCTCCAAGTTCGAGAACACCACCATCCGCTACAAACGCTTACGGGATATGCCGTTGAATTTATATCGTGACTCCGACATACCGCATACCGTATTACCCAAAAAGATCAGTCCGTAAGTAGTCGTCGGGAAACGGTTGTTATGTGTCGATAATAACGGTCATCATGGGTACGATCGATGCCGTGTACACCGGGGCGATTACGACCGCGCCGGCAGACAAAATGTTATGTAGGAAACGGGAGAAATTGCCGGTTGTTACCACCATATCGGTTCCGATGTAAATGTTTTGTATTGGTCATGACGATATATAGACAAGGGAGAGCCGTTGCTCCCTCTCTCTTCTGTTCGATTGTCCGCGCTGAGAATCTCTCGATTAGCTTAATTAACTAATTCACTTGTTGTTTGTAGTTATTTCAAACAGGAAGTCAATCACGATTACCGCACTGTTAAGATCCCCGACCAAGTCCCTCGAGATAGCGAGGAAATCATCGATGCCGTCTATTACAGTGTTGAGCTGGATGGGGTGTTCCGGCAGAATCGCAAATCAGATCAGTTTATACGGTAACAAAATCACACTCGCTGTGGAAATTCCAATCCTTTTTAGTAATCAAAGAAATATCTGCAGAATAAACCGGGCAAAGCTGGAATGAAATGAGTTAGTTTGGGAAAATATACTTAGTACACTTTATTATAACTTTTTCTTAGCCAGTGCAATAGTTACGGGTTAAATGCAACTTGCAAGAGAAATGTAGTGCAGTGTAGCTGTAAAAATTTATCAAGGGAAGTTATAAGCTCGGCACTTGTGCAGTAGTGCGCATACGTGCATGTTTTAGGGTTATTGTTGCCTGTTGGTATTGATCTTGATATTTTTTTCGCGAATGGATGCGCATTCTTGTCAGTCGTACTCGGTACAGTGCTTTATTTTTATTATGCTAAGTGTCTGCAGTCTTGAGGTTTGTTTTGCAGCAGCTATGCAATGACTGCAATCTAATAAGTTTTCGGTTGCATAGATGTTGTCGGCCGAAAATTTGCAATAATTTTGTATTATTTACACCATTGATAGATATAATTATACTTACTTGTACGGTTGTACCCAATACACTGAGTTTACTGGCAGTACAACATTTTGTATTGTTTGATTCCTGGGAATGACCCTGTTATGTGCAATCTTGCAGATGGCAGTATTTCGGTACGAACGTGGGCTTGATCCGATTATATCCCGGTCGCGAATGGGATATGAATTTTGCAGGATTTTATAACGATTATGATCCAAGAATTCGTCCATGGTAAGTTGGGCAATGGTCGCCTCCCGGTAATATGCGCCATAATAATTTAAGAAGTACGCCAAGCAGAGCGTGAGTGTTTAGTCAATAAACTGGCGTCGACAATTCCATTTGCTTAATATACTACGCCGATATATCTGCATCGGCCTGGTTCGAGCGCCTGAAAAGGAGGCAAATTAGAAGCAGCCGGTAATATTATCAGCACTTTACACGACACCGACTGTCGGCATCCATAGTTATCCCGCTGCAAACTTCCCAACGCTACGCGTCGCGTATTTTCATCAAACTCCGCTCCGGTCTAATGGTATCGTTTTTCCTTGGTGCGCAGCAGCAGCCCATTTTTTTTCGCTGACACAAGTGATTAAGTTGAAAGCTGGAAAAAATGTCTGTTGGGAATTTGAGGTGAACAGTGCGTGTGCTGATGAGAGCACTCCCGGGTGGATTGGGGGCATTACAGCGACGTTACAGGAGAGGGGAAATGGAGGAAATGTTGACCTTTGGGGTATAGACGTGCGGATAAATTTACCCGAGGTAGAAAATGTTTGTAGGCCGCTGGCGGTTATATGTGAACGGCAATATGATCCAATAAAACCGATTACGCTCCATGTTATAATCGGCCTGCCGCTCGGGATGCCTGCTGAATATATAATGTGACAGAGCCGGTTAAAGTCAATTTGTATCTGTTTATACACTGTCAAAGCCATTTGGATGGCGTATAAACGGACTCACAACATGCAGGCTTTTCATTCAGGAGCATTTCTTTATTACGCAAACGAGGCGTAAAGATTTGAACTGAAATATATGTTGATCTTAACTCTACGGAAATCTTGAAGTGTATAGGGTTCCCATGCAACCAAAAGAAAGTTTTTGTTAGTTACTGATGATCATTTAATTGCCATTGGCGCTTCTTCGGTGATTTTTTGATTGTTTTAAAATTGGTGTTTGGAATCGGCTTAAGTTAAAACTGGATGAACATATACTAAAAATGAGTGGATATCTTCTTAAAATTGTGCTTTTAGGAAAGGATGGAGTGATCTACAATACTGAATATTTTACTCGTTGTTTTCTCTTGAAATAAACGTTTTCGCGTGGTTGCTTAATAACAATGCCGGTTTGGTGATATCTCGCAGCTTTTGTTTACTTTGTTTACGTACTTCTGGAAAACTGCAGTCTTTATGGATTATTGACGTTTAACCCGGACGGCATGGAATAAAATGCAAATTATGTTGTGTTGATCAAACAAGGCAACGTTTTTGATAGACAGGAATAAAATGGGATAGGTGCCCTTTTGCATGAGCAGTTCGGTTAGTGGCATATCGTGAGAGCTTATCAACTGGAGTTGCCTAACGTTTTTGAGGCGACGCTTTTTTATTGCTTCACTGGTCTGCAGCGAAATTAATGACGCATTTCCTTCATTCCAAGCACACAATTTTTGATGACAGCCTACAATTCTATTCCCGATAATGACCCATACAAATCATCATAATATATTGATTTGGGATAATTGCTTGGAATTTGAAGTGTTGGCGGATGCTGTATGCAGTCCAAATCTATTATTCAGCTTAATTCGTGATTGCTTATACTAATATTAAATTAATGAACCACTGGAATTAAAAATAAGGATTTATTTTAATATCAACAGTTTCGGCACTTTTATTGAGACACCCAATTATTAAGATTCGGATGATACGGTTATGGTGCCACTCTACTACGTCCAGATCTGGCTTTTTCTAAAATGAATGACGACTATATAGTTTACACCATTAATCCAATAATTTTGTGCATTTAATTGTGTGCTTTTGCATTATTTAAGAAGTGGTTATGTAACTTAGAATTTAGGAGACATTTTCCTAATTTTGTGTAATAACCAAAATCGGCGTCCCAGTGCGTGATGATTTAGTTTAAAATTTTTGCATGCACATAGTTATGTTTTCATAAGTCGGTTTTATAGATATTAAGTGCACTTTGGTTAAGATTTGGAGAAAAATACCTGGATGTAAATTTGACACTATTATTATTAAAGTGGAGGTTGAACTGGAATTTAGCTGACCCGTGTATTGTGCACCAATAACTGTCCATAAACTTTGTCATGAAGATACGTTATGCTGGTTTCTCAACAGGTATACTGCTGCCACAAGCGGACCGAAAGACGTTTTGATAGTTCTGGACTGCAGGTAAAAAGCACGGCTGTCAGTTTCCCCATTTCACCGGTTTTCTAATCAGGTAGAAAGTGTATTATTTCACTGACATAAAAATCAATACCGCTGGCCAAGTTTACCACATCCGGCGTTGAGACGATGTGTTAGAGAATGCCGCTGGACGTTGGCGATTTTCCTTTTAAAGCATTGCAGCGCGGCTTGATGCTGCCGGCAGTGGCTCCAGTGGGGTGACCTTTTTATTTCCATTTTACAGTGCCTCAATGATCGGACAAAAATTCGATATTGCCAAATCAGTGGCGGTGACTGTGATTAACATTTAGGAAACCGTTATAGGCACCCATTTTGAATTGATATTGCATATAGTATTACATATTATGTAAACGTAATAAAATATTATTCATATATTCTAGTATTCGCGTCACTCGAAAATGTCGACGACCTGAAGCATCATCGACATTTTCGTGTGATAGGAGAAGGAGAAGCTCTGGAGCCTTCCCCGGAGTAAGTACAAAAAGTTTTTTTACGAATGTGTGCACCATTGAGAATACGAAAAAGGGATGCCCCGCTGTCGCCGCATGTCCAGCTCCAGCTGTACATGCTGTACTGTAGCGAACAGAGGCCGGTCACGGCAGTATTTCCAGTTGTCCAGCTTCAGTTGGCGGGGTCAAATCAGTGCGGCCCTATGGTGTGTTCCTAGTACTTCCTGTATTGTTGAACTGATTTCTGGAGCCTTGCCCGCGAGGCGCGAACACAGTACTCCCAAAGCCGCGGCTCGATAGGCTTGTTTGACAGAAGTCTTAAAAGCTGATAAAATCTAACGGTACCCTAAACGGCCAGGAAGAGGGCAATGAATGACCTGACTAACACGAAAGCTGACCTTATGGTCACAGCAGAAGACGCGGTACTAATTCGCTCTACGTTGGCTGATTTGACAAATCGTTTTATTATCGGCTGGAAGCCTGATGTATTATTATTTTTATTATCGGAATGAAAATGTGTTATTATTTATTATCTGAGAACAGTGAATGAGTCAATGATGGAATCTGTTGTATATAGTATTAATTAAAAAAGGGTGCCTATAATAAACACGGTGCGAAAAGGGGTGCCTATAATTTACGGGGGTTTTAGGAGGTGCCTATAAGGGTACCCTAACATTTAACACATTAACCAAGCAAGGTATGTGTGTGATGGAAAAGTGCTGCACAGTGTTTGTTATTCGAGTACTTACCATTTACCGGCAAACAAACCGGCCGTTTTCTGCAGGTGCTGTTAAGAATGTTTGCGCAAGGGAAAGCTATTGGGATTCAGTGGGAACGTGAGTAATCGTTTAATTCGTCTCGAAATGACCAAACCGAAATTCGAACACACTCAACAGTTGTTTGGCTTTCGTTTCGTGTACACGAAATTTGTCCTGTAAGCTCAATGTTAATAATGCAACCAACCATGAGCTATAAACGCATTTTGGTGGACTTGGTGATATCGGGATGCTATCGGTTTTGCGTGCACATATAGTAGAGTAATGGCAAATGCAGTTGAGCTGTAGATCAGTAGATGTCATAAATCTATGTTAAATGGTACGGAAGTACATGGTAAAAATTACAACGAATTTTTTCATTTTTTTTACTGGAAGTTGCCCGCACTGTTAAAAAAACGGTGCGTCATACCACCAGCAAATTACAAATATTTTACGTATCTACGGTGATTAGCCAACTAATAAATTCCCTTAATAATAATAATATTGTTTTCAGAATTGGTTTTCGAACGGCTTTGGAACTTCTCAAGTCGCCTGGACGGGCGCATTGCCAAAGTATTATTTTTGTTTTTGTAACCGATGGAAAAGGTGCGATCTGGTACACCAGACGTGAGCGTAATATTGGCAATATTATAAAAGCCTTTCATATTTTTTAGACATTGATAACGAAGAAGTACGATGCCCGCCGGGATACTATACACGTTCAGGCTGTACGAAATTTATTTAGAACGTATAAAGCTACCGAAATATTTACATTGGGATAACGTGCAGATGTTCCGGGCCCGGTGTGCCGTTATAATTGGACCAAAGTGTGGGATCTTGCCAAAGAACAAAACCAGCTGATCACACCAAGGGTATGTGCGACAATAAAATACTGATGCCTACGTACACTGTGAGAACATGAGTTATTTGTACACAAGGATGAAGCAATAAAATATCGTAAACAGTTTGAAAGAAATAATATATACACGAAGACAGTGAACAATCTGAACCTGAATTTTTCCGCCTTTTTAATACTGCATATGGAATTACCCTGTTAAAACTGGAACACAGTTTACAATGTTTTGCAGGCACGGATTTTCAGTTTTTTGACTGTTGATGAGGGCGAAGTCTTTCCCGGAAATCTGTCGTGCTCCAATAATGGTGTGATGATGCGCCTGACCGATGGGGAAGATCTGATCAACAACATGAAACCGTACTTCACGGATCTGGCTGAGCGTACCATGGACTGGCCGGGATTGTGGACCGCTCCGTATGTGGACGCTTTGGGGATTGGGGGTGGCCATAACGTATGCGGTGTCGGCTGTCAGCAAAATAACGGGAAAGTAAGAAAAGATCGTAGTGCGATGTGTCAAACTTATAAGCACCACTGCCGATTAGAAGAGAGCACAAATCAACAACCATTTTACGCAATAAAGAAATGCAAAAAATTTACATTTTTTTCGTGATCAATTTGTAATCAATTAATTAACAATTTTGTAATCAGTTTCTGATCAGTTAATTTAACAATTTTATAAATGTTTCAGATTTACTTGGCTTTTCAGTAAACTTCTTATGAAGCAAGTATCAGTGGACACGTATGTATTGTACGATAAAGGCTGCTGCTGTCGATTTCTGAGTTTGTGTAAGATATATACGATTTATACGAGTATGGCATACAAAGATAATACGATTTTATAATAATCTGCGTTATTTCGTATAGAACTATCGGTGTTGCCGGTGTGGATGCTACATTAGAAGAAATCGAACATTTTCTCATACGTTACTAGTGGGGCTCCGTCTACACGCTCATTACTAACGGGAAGGAGAAACAATTCTACATCCCAAACTGAAGCAAAGCAGTATATTAAGTTTACAAAAATTTCACTTTTTATAATACTACTAATTAATTTCACTTTTTATAACACAAAAAGAGAGAGAGATAGACGGGCACAGTGTCAAATTGTTATCGTTTTTTTAACCGATGGAAAAGGTAGGATACTCTAGACGTGGAAGAAAGCTTGGATATGCTGCAAAAACTGTACTCTGTATATCTATATTTGCAGACATGGATAACGAAGAAGCACGATGCGCTCCGGGATATTATACACGTTTAGGCTGTAAGAAATTTATTTAGAAATTTGGAATGTTGCTGGAATATTCAACCCGGGAACATGTGCAGCTGTTCCTGGCCGGTGTGCCGGTATAATTGGACCAAAGTGTGGGATCTTGCCAAAGAACAATACCAGTTGATCACACCAAGGGTACACGGAGCAGAATACGGACTACATGAGATGATTGATCTTTAGGTCAGGTTTTTTGTTGTAAATATTAGGGGTTATTTTTTTGTAATTATGGTTATTTTTTGACATAAGTTACTAGTATTTTTGAACATTTTGTTTAATTTCTCGCTGAATAAAACTCGTGGGGAGAATTTGTTGCTGGCGATGTTTTGCACTGCAGGATGTAATGCCGGAAGGATACTGGGATGCCACCTGTTGCAGGCACTGACTTTTCAGCAACAGTGGCGGCGCTACCGTCCATGCACGGGGCCACTGCCTTCCATTAACCAATACTTCTGGTCCCCCATCAAACCGGAAAGTTTCATCAAAGCGATACGAAAATCTGTCTTTTTTTTAATTTAAGCTTAAATTATTCGAAGGTATCAATCTGTCGTTTTTTTAATTTAGGTGTAAAAATATTTAGTCGTTCAAAATGATCAGGGATCATATCGTTGAGCCGCGTCAGTCATATGTACTGTTACGGATGGAGGTTGGTAAGTTAGCGGCGTTCGACAGCTTGCTGAAAAAGCTGCTTTAAAAACTCATGGCTGCGAATCTCGCTGATTTGTCTATTTTGAAATTAAACCTTGAATAAAGGTAATTATCATATATTGCTGTACATTGAATTTAATAAACATTCAATACTAAACTTACATTAATTACTTCCTTTCTGCACTGGTCGATGGACATTTTCAAACCAACGTAAATGAAAAAAACCTACATTTATTTCCTGATGTTGTAGAAGCGCGACTTCTTCCACCGCAGACAGAATGGCGAAATTGGACCCCAGCCCAGTGGTTCGAACAAAAACTGGGCATGCCGGCGCCAGTGCCACGATTACTGGCACGATTTTATCGGAGGGAATTTGGAGCTCTCCTGAACCGGCAGCACGGCCTAACGTACAACATGTACTTCATGACGCTTTCGCCATCTGATTTGCCAGATGGAGACTTCCATCAACATCTCCAGGATATTCGGGATGACACAAAACTGATACTGCGCCATTCCCAAAACATGTACGTTATTCTGCGCAAAAACTGCAGCTTTTTACAGTGTAAAACAGTAAGCAAAAACATTTAAAAATAAGCTTGACTAGAAAAGTTAAAAAATATCACTGTTTGCAAATTCTAAAAAATCGCCTATTTTTTTGGAACTGCAACAAAATTTCTTCATTATGCAAATTAAATTACGGCATAAAGCGTTTTTCCTTACTATTATTTTATATTTTACTCTCTCAGCTACCTCTTCATGAAAGGCTAGTCAAGGCTATCTCAAGCATTAAACGAGCTAACCAAACGGGAATTACTGTCTGCTTCCTCTTTTCATGCCTAACAATCTACCCGCAAAATTATTGCTGCAGTGGAATGTTGCTTAATTTCTTGTTGCTCATTATTTTTTTGTAGGGAATGGGTTGATGCAGGATTGGTGATCTGGGATGCCGACATCGTTTGGAAATTGTAACTAAACAATGCTGACTTTCCGTGAGCTGATGTCATTGAAAAAAATAAAGTAAAAAAGATGCCGCTCTTCTACCTGCTTTTAGTGTTTCCTCGCGCAATTCTTTCTCAAGCACTTAGTCTTTACTCTTTAGGGTAGGCCAGTAAGCCTTTTATACGTCACATACTAGTACAGAGTAACTATAAGAATGAATACTGGCTGTACTGCATTAAGCACATTATTTATTACTTACTTCGTTTTTTGTAATCCCATTCTAGCTTGCAAAACGTTACGGTGACGATCGTCATAATCCTGCCTCAACGTGACAGATCGCGCAAATGAATATGTGCAAATGTAAAACAGTGCGGTAAAGAAATGCTTACGCGAGTACCACATCCAACTTTCTGAGAGCCGTTTGATTAAAGATCCATCCAACTTTCTGAGAGCCGTTTGATTAAAGATGATCAACAGAATAATTTCATAAATTACTTAAAAAGACAAAGACAGAACTCAAAACAGCAACAAAATTTTCTGCAAAAGAAGAACTATTTGCTCAACTTGGCTTGACGCAGACCAGCCGCCACAGCGAAGTATTTACCTGACTACTGTGTTAGGAGCGTGGCTCTGTTCGTTAGGTTGCCGGCTGTACGGAGAATATCTTACGATATTCTGCTGTACGCCGATAGCCTAGTGGTGCCTCTCTCGGCCTTAGAGTATAGAGGTTGTGGGTTCGATTCCCTCAATCGGCAGATTTTTTTGCGAGTTCTGTAGTCAGCAGCGGCCAGTCTGGCAACTGGTTCGCGCACGTAGGAGACAGGAGTTTGCACTTTGCAGTCGCGTAGAAAAACACAAGTCTAAAGTTCCGAGTCTATCGAAGCCGCGATGCACTTGCTTGCATAACCATCGTCGACAAGCTAGGAACCGACCTTATCAATCAGCTGATTTCTATCGGTGTATTTTAGAGACAATAATTACTGTATATTTTCCATACTTGTCGGAGAATTATGGATACAACACCCATTACGACGTTGAAGCTTCTCATAATCGGGGAATCTGGAGTTGGGAAATCCAGGTACTTAAGTACTCATAAGTCATAACTCATTACTGCAATCAGAAAGATCGAAGAATTAAATTAAATTTAACAGTTTATATTTTGTGCTTAAGTTATTTACTTCATTATCCTCATACCAATAATGAATAACCGAAGATTTAGTTTGCCCGTGGTGTGTTATTGTTTTGGAATGTACATGCATGATGTGATATTCTTTGTGTACGGTACTAATCTACGTATTCTAGTTTATTGCTTCGATTTGCGGATGATACCTTCGATCCTGAATTGGCTGCTACGATTGGTGTGGATTTCAAAGTCAAAAATCTCAATTTTAACGGCAACGTAGTCAAATTGGCTATCTGGGTAAGACGTTGTCGGTAATTAGCGGGAACTTGTCTGAAACTCTTACTGATCTGGCACGACTAACGAGTAGTGTTTTCTGTTTGCAGGATACAGCTGGGCAGGAAAGATTTCGGACCTTAACGCCGAGCTATTATCGAGGTGCCCAAGGGGTTATTCTGGGTGTGTATTCCATCAGATTTTTTTATTGTGCAAACTTGCACAGAAATCATTACGATTGATGCCACGTATTACGAAACTGTAGGGTTCTGTTGAATTACATTGCTCAATCCATAATGCCTGTTTCGTTCGTAATTATTGGATGATTTTTTTTCATTTTAGTGTATGATGTCACATCCAAAAGCTCCTTTCAGAAACTGGAAATGTGGTTAGGCGAGGTGGACTCGTATGCGAATAAGCCTGGGATGGTACGGCATAGAAAAATTGTATTTATTTTTCTTTTTATTTTTTTAATATATCGATGCATAGGTCTATTTGCAAGTGGAATGCAAAATGAAAGAGCAATTTTCTCTAACATACACTGTAAGCTGTACTGCTGCAGAGGTTGTTTCTGTTTTCGGGATCTAAAGGTTTCAGACTTTCAGTAACGAAAATAACGGAACATTGTTCGCTTTGATTTACCGTATTTGTGTTACACAAATTAAATAATTATCGCATGGTGTGTTTCGAGTATTGTGCGTTTATATTTGTTGAAATTTACTTAACTTTATAACTCATGGATTTAGGTGAAATGTTGGTTGCCAACAAGATTGACCAAAGGACGGAGCGAGTTATCACACGAGAAGACGGGCTGAAATTTGCACGCAAACATTCGATGCTCTTCATAGAATGCAGTGCTCGTACGGCAGATGGAGTGGTCGCCGCCTTCGAAGAGCTGGTCGAGAAAGTAAGCAAGCCGAACTGTAATGAGTATTTTCTGATTGATAATTTAGCTTGAAATAGAATTATATACCGTTTGTACTTTTCTTGTGCATACTTCTTGCTGGGCGAATACACTCAGATCTTTTATCGATGCTGATGTCTATCAGTGCTGCGGTTGTCTGCAAATGCAGTGTTTGAATTTGTGCTTCTGTTGCTCTCCATTTGTGTTGCCTGCCTTCATTTGTTTGCGTTTGTATAGCTTCAGTGAGTTGCAACACCATAATTTATTTACCGTACCTGTTGATTTGATGAAGTAAGTTTATTTCAGATTCTCCAGACTCCGGGATTATGGGAACAGAATATTGCTAAGGGAATAAATCTCAGTGAGAAAGCCGAAACGGATGCATCTGCTGGCAATTGCGGTGGATATTGCGAATTAGTATGAAACTGTTTTCGCTCATCTCATTGGAACCTTAATCCTGTGGATCTTCGCCTTTGGGAGAAAACCCCTTGTATGCTGTGGCGCATTGTGTGCAATGCCTAAAAACACCTACCACGTTTAGTGATTTTGTTTTTTTTAAATACTTCCGGATTTATTGTTTGCTAGACTTCCCGTCGTTACTGGTTGTACAGTATGGATTTGTTTTGTGAATTAATAAAATGTTCAAGGATCTTGTTTGCGCGTTTCAGTATGGTTTTTGACACTCTTTACGTTCAAGATTCCAGCCCCTTTTCGACGCTTGTCACGTAGGCCGTGCTATAATTAATTTTATATCTATGTGTGATGTACGTAAGATGTATTCATTTGTTCATGCTGCTTATTGCGTTTGTTTTGTGTACTTCTACAGTACTTTGTTAACCCTAAAACAATTGTTAGTTACACAGTTATAGATATCGACTCGAGCGCTGGAGATGTGGCATTACACTTAAATGTAATTTATTTTTTGAGTATTTTTTTAGCAATAGTAGTACATTAAATTTTAAAAGAGATTTAAAGAAATTACAGCTTTAATTTATTGCCTTAACTTACAAGTTAGTTGACACGGTGCCGTGCAGTGGCGTGCACACTGCACTACAAAAAAACTTATATAAACCGCACGTGTTACTGTCACTCAGCTTCGGCACTGCACGCCACGGCTCGGCTCTGTGATCCACTGATGCAGCGCGCCAGTCTGTGATCCACTGATGCAGCGCGCCAGCGCCTCGCAATGTTGTTGCAAAAAGCTGCACTGCATTACGTTGGCGGGTAGATGTTGTGTAATCAGCGACATTAATGAGCCAAACGCTTTTCACACATGTTTCTCTAGCGTTTGTACAAATGGGCCGTGAGGCTAGCAGCATCTGATTTCATCGTCGATGTTTATGCAAGGTTAACCAACAAACCAAAGCCAATGTGCAATTCAATGGCGTAATAGATACTCAGTTGTGCTCCATGACGGCCATTTTTATATGCTGCAGTCTGCAGACACCGTAGAGCCTGCTGACTGTCCCGAATCACGTATCACCGATCGCATTGCCGTCCATTGTCTGATGGCTAATCCAGTCTCAAGTCTGCTTTACAATTAGTTCTGTCCAGTTGTTTTTTTGCTTCGACAATCTGCCATCTGGAAAGCCGTGACAACCCACATTCGTCGAGTTGCAGTGTTGTGCTGAAGAGCGCAGCTGCTAGTTGGGACGAATTGTGGTTGCTCCTGTTTTGTTCCCCCTGGCTGCCATCATGCCTGACGTTCCCATGATCAAGGATTTCGATCTTTTTGATCCGAAGACGGATGCTGATCTGATACAAATGGCGCTGCAGAGCCGTATGCATGGTAAGGTTTGCATGGCGTGATGATGCGGTAACCAGTGTAGTTATGTAAAGTTGCATAACGGCGTGCTGCAATGTGTGTGTGTGTTTGGGCAACTGTCAAGGTTCCTGGGAGATCCTCGTTATTGACATTCTTACCCATCGTTCCAACCGACAACGCCAGCAGATAGTCCTAGCGTATGCCGAAACCTATGGCCAGGTAAATGACTCTGAATAACCCCTGGGTCGAGATATGCTGCAACCGCAAGATTGAGATTATTATGGATACAAATTTTTCGATAGCGAATAAGTTTCACTATGCAGCGTAGTCCACAGGATGACAGCCGTAGCACCTTGAAGCTACTAAAATATTGGTTGGAAACATCATCACATCATTTGTACCACGTTTTTTGTGAACGTCTTCGTTTTTGACAGTTCTAATCGGGCAACATTTTTTTCTTTGAATTGATATTAACATTTTTAGCTTAACTGGCCATTTAACGTTTTTCCGTTAATGATAAATACGATTCCAACATTTAAATTTTTTATGTACATTCGAGAGCGTTAAAAAGTAGGTGAACAATACTCATGCTTGTAACTGCAGTGTGCTAAAGTGTTTACCGGGTAGTTTTTTTTGTAGTGTATATTTTGATTGATACAAGTTTTGATTTGATATAAAAACCGTCTTGTGGCATATTTTGTATTTGTGCTGTTGGTTTGCTTCGATTTAGTTTCTGACTATGTGATTTTCGTTGGGGTATTAGGATCTGGTGGAAGTGTTAAAGAATGAATTAGGCAGCCAGATGGAAGATGTCGTAACAGCAATGTTTCTCACACCGGATGTTTATGACGCTGTAGCATTGCATGAAGCACTAGAGGTGGGTTCTCATCGTAAACATGACTTGTTTGACTACGTATTACCATTACTGCATGTTTTTGGAAGTACTAGTCTTTATTCTTAGGCGAAAATACTTACTGTCTTAACATAAATCATTTACATGTGACTAATTGAAAGATCGTGTTTACGACCATTTCTTCCCGGCGCCGCGATCTTACTGTAGATCACGCTAATTGTGAGAGTCTTGATTACTTTTTTAGGAAATGTGCTCGACGAAGAAGCCCTGATTGAAATCATTTTTACCCGGACCAATCCCGAGCTGTTAGCACTGCGGGATGCTTATGCTACCCGTATGTTGCATCTGTTAACCGGTGTACACATAAATTTTACTGCCAGGATAGTTAGTGTTCATGTTGAGGTATCGGCAAATTTATTATTTCAGTCTATGATCGGGATTTGGTGGAAGATTTTACCTGTAAAAGCAGTGGTGATTTTCAACGATTGCTGCTGGCCATCGCACTAGTAAGCAATAGCAATTATTGTAAGCAGTTTACAATATACATAACATCTAGGTATATAAATATAGTATGTCTTTTTGTGGCTTTCAGATATTGCTTACATTAGTTTACTCTGTACATGTGAAAATTGAAGTGGGCAGTTCAGATTTATCTTCAGTAAACGCTCAAATTATTCTGGGTTATGTCACGATATACTTACATTTTTACATCTGGTTATACTTGATTGTTATTTTGCAGGGAATTCGGGATGAGGTGGACGAGGCAGCTGATCCCATTCAGATTCTGGATCAAGCAAAATTGGAAGCCCAGCTGCTGTACGAGCCAATCGCAGAGAAGTTACCTACCAGTCAATTTGCCAGTACCTTTATCATTATTCTCGCCAATCCTTCCTTTCCGCAACTACGTATTACGCTAAGTGAATTTGAGAAGCTAGTAAAGATGGACACGGAGCGTATCATTAATCGATCTCTTAATGGAAATCTCGCCTTGGCATTATTAGCGCTTGGTATGAAAAGCACTGCGTATCATGATGTTTCCCTTGATAACTTACGCAGTTTACTTTTTATTAGTTCGTATAACCAAAAACAAAGAAGGATTCTTCGCTGAACAATTATATCGCGCCCTGCAAGGCTTCGGTCGTGATGACAAGCGTTTAATTCGTCTGGTCGTGTCGCGCAGTGAGAAAGATTTAGCCAGTATAAAAACGGAATTCGAAAAACAGTATAAAATTGGATTGGACACGGTTATCACCGTAAGTCACTTGTTTTCAACTAACAGTTGCATTGTCGTTTAATTAAATTTGGCGTTTGAGCTCGTGAAAATTGTAGACGTTTCCTTGTTCATTATTATGCAATGTGTGTCTTTTTTAGTGTTTAATAGCAAACCATACGTTACCTTTTTGGGTATTTTTTTGCAGGGTGATAATTCATACGGTTACCGATCGGTGTTGGCATCAATCGTTCGCGGATAAATTGGGATCCCTTTTTTGTCGCTTCTCTGTCACTGTTTTTCGATTTAAGATTTTCTCCTGAGGAAGCAAAAGCACTGAACGTTGGGTGATTGCTTGTTTCCGGTGTTAAGTACCGTAGAATTTTATGTTCTGGCGGCACTGCCTGTTGTCAGATCGCTTTGTTAACTCGAAGTAGTATTTTTAATTTTTTTAGAATTCAGTGTTTTCACTTTTCATCCTTTGCTTATTTTTCAACTTTGATGGGTTTGTTCGCGTTCGATTGCAATAAAAACTACAATGGTCGCACTGATCAGTGATAACTGATAACTGACAAGTGAGCAGATCGCTCATTTAATGCAGACTAAAAATCGTATACGGCACTTATAAAATCTAAATAAAAAGATTTAAAAGTTAATGATTGCTGTCACTTGACTCCTTCATATAAATCTCTGTAGAAGTATTAATGTGCAAAGTGCAAACCGGTAGCAATAACCGAAATTCACGATACCCGCAATATGTGATATCTTGATAAAAACGTTGGTATGGTTTGTCTATCAGCAACAATCGATACACTATCATAGTGCAGTTGAAGTGATTAAAATTTCGTACTACTTCAGCGAAGGAGCGCTGGCGCAACGGTAGCGCGTTCGACTCCAGATCGAAAGGTTAAGGGTTCAAATCCCTTGCGTTCCCCTTTTTTGCCATTTTTTTCTCTCGCCTAGAGTTTCTGAGTATTCCAACAATTATGAACTTTGCCATTTACTAGCTTTGTCGTTACGTGCTCTTTTGAAAATTTTTTTATAAAGCCGTTACGGTAGTATTAAAAGCTACAAAATAGTTGCAAGTCGCAAGCTTTGACATCACACTTCCGGTGCACTGAAGCGATATAACCCTTAAACGTGGCGCAGGTTGTCGGTTCCTCGTAAGCAGACTTCCGGGTGACTCATTTAACAACACGTGATGAATCCAAAACCAGTCGTTCAACTTGCATGCGTTTTCGACGAGCAAGTTGCGAGTGCCAGTAAAAATTCATTTGTTGTTAAATTTTTGTTGTCACTGTTTTGTCTTCAGTGCTTCATTCCATAATCTTTCCAACAGGCCTGTACAAACAAACGTACCCCATTGTGATTACCCTAATTTTAATGTTATCTCAGGAGTAAATTGCACTCTCAGACATATAGCATTGCTCTTTGGCAGTCTTTGCTGTAACGAGCGAATCTGTGTTCCAGTGGTTTACTTTGTTTTACAGCTTTGCGAAGCTGTCATTTTGATCTATCATGGAGGAGCATCCGTCTTCCAAAGGGAAAAAACAGCCTGACAATCCCAACCCGTGAGTTGTGGTAACCACAACGGGCAGAATTGTTTTTTGACTGCAACTGTTCCAGGGAATTAATGGACACCGAAGCAGCAGCCCCATCGCCACAGGCTACGGATACAGCCTCTGCGAGCAGCAGCAGCAACAACTGGTCGTGGGGCTCATTCCTGCAGAAAGCCACCACGGATATCATTGGCAAGGTATAGCTGTGGTTGCGTAACCCAGCGTGTTTTGTTGCAGTATAATATAGTGGAAAACATGTTCTTTGGTGTGGTTGACAGTCGACAGCCATGGTGGAATTTATGAAACGTGACCTGACGGAGTTCTCTGAGGTAATGCAGAAGGATACGGCCATTATCATGAACGATGCCACGCAGAGTCTGAAAGGAAAGATGACGGTAAGTTATCTGATTTTGGATTAGACCAGTGCATAAGTATACATACTCTGCATAACTATAATTGTTGCATTTTTTGGATTTTAAAAATAATGTGATGCAGTTAAAATTAAACGAATTATTATGACGCAGTTAAAATTGAATGAATGTGAAATCAGTAGAAAGGTTCATAAGTATAAACTGTTATAATTAAATTTGAATTTATAAGAGGTAGTGGCTTTGCATTTCAGTTCACGACAAATCCGCGGTTGTTAGTTTCGATCGTAGCAAAAGAAACTGTAGATTTACCGTTCTTGCTAGCAATAAAAAAATTTTGCACTACATGTATAAGTATTCATTCAGACGCGTCGTGACAAGGTTTGAATTTAAATAGAGCACGATGCTAACCCTAAAACAGTACCGTGCCCCTACAATACATCTGTTAATCGAACCCTACCCTAGGTGTTTTTTCAGGAAAAAAAGCGTTCTGGAAAAATTTGCATGAAAATTTCGATTTTAACGGCATATTCTGAGAATTTTTATAAAATCCAGCGAGTTTCGAAATCTTGAAGATCTATCAAATTTGGCAAAGCTTTTTTAGCAATCACTGAAGCTTTTGTTTCAGTTTTGTGCTTAGGTAAAAATTATACCGCGAAAGATATCGTGATGCACTTTACTGCGATGTGCTTGGCTCTGATGTTTCTACAAGCCTTTGAAATTTACTATCATAAAAGAACTGCGAGTTTTGAATACTTTGAGATCTGTGATTTAATTCATATTTTCGCGTATTCTGATTTTATTGGCGGCTTTTTGTAGATGGAAGAAGCTAGTAAGGCTGCCGGCCTGGTCAAGTCCGGCATCACTTCGTTCTTCGGTTCGATTAACTCCTCTCTGGCCATGTTCGAAGAGAAACCAGCTTCGGATTCTGCACATGAGCAACAGACTCGCTTCCAGACACGTTTGTCAACTATCCAACATGATCCTAATACGTACCAGAAGGAGCCATCGGGCCGGCCCGAGGATTTCGAAGCGTGGTTGCTCATGTTCGATATTAACAAAAGCGGGCGGATATGGAAAATATCCTGGATACTGCGGATTGTGTGCAGAATGCATACAATCAGTTTGTCCCGCTTGTTGTTACCCATAATGAATTTTGGCAAAGGTATTTTTATCGGGTAAGTCAGTTTGGAAAAATCTTTCATGGCGTAAAAAAATAGAAAGTTGCTTTGCTCTTTTGTTACTAGTATTTAGAATGTCTCGTAGTGTTGTGGCATGCTTGCATTCGTCAGCTCATCTAGATACTCATTCATGCCTGTTAACTACTTACTGTATATCTTAACTTGAAGAGTCTTCGTTAAATATGTTCGGCTGATTTGAGGAGTTTTGGAAGGATATTATGTTTTTTAAAAGTCGCCCACCCATATTTTTCACTCATGATCCGAGCGCTTCACGATTGATTTCAGCAAATTTCCCCATGAACGCTAAACTGATGTTGTCTTTACTTTTGTAAAATATGATGAGCAGTGGAATTTCGGTAAGTACATGTTCAAAATAAAACGGTTTTTCAGGTTTATCAGTTAGAAAAGGATGAGAAACGGATACAGTCTCTTATGGCCCGATCTGGTGATGAGCGCACACCGGACGACATGGATTGGGGAGATGAAGGTACAGTATCTTAGATAGAACTAGAAAGAAGTAAATATGGATTAGCTTATTTCACAAGTGTGCAATTACTGGTGGTAGCGTGTCGGTTTTTGTATGTCTTGGGATAAACGCCTCCGACGCCTGAATAGACTGGTGGTAGCGTCAAATCATTTTTATTATTGCATCCATGAATTGTAAATTTGTTTGTGTATTGTAGATCCAGGAGCGGCCTCTCCATCGACCTACCTCGACCCGTCGGAAGTGTGCAGTGTGGTATCTAACGAGAGTTTCCAAATGGTTTCCCATGATCCCGTCGTGGAGCACGATGTGGGCGATGCCATTCTTGTCGATTCCGCCTCTCATCCCGATTCCCCGGTCAAGTCGACCTCTGGCCATAAAAAGCAAGGTTTGTCGTGGTACGTGTGACATTATTTTGAATGTCGGTGCGTCCTGGGTTTGGCGGCTGATGCGGGTTTGGCTTCTCACTTTTTTGTTGCAGTTTGCGATGATTGTTGTTACCTTTATTTCGGTTGACCACAAGTTTTTACTTCTGCATTGCGTAGTCGTTAAGAAGAACTCGTTGACCGATAAGGCTGGTCCTTTTTCACAGAATCTTCCGGCAGTTCAAGTGATTGGGACCACATTGTCGAAAGCGCAGTGGAAAGGCGGCATTCAGGTGACAGCAACACTCCGACGCCTGAATAGATTCACTTACCATAGCCCATGGTTACCGCGGATAATCTCACGTCGCTTCCGGTGGACACAACTGGCCAGTTGAAGGATTTTAAAATTTTATACGACTCTTTTGACGCATTATTCGCCCTAATTGACGTAGTTTGGTACTGCTTTCATCCGACATACTGGACATTATTCAGGACTTTTGGTTGGTTACTTAGTGGGTATACATTTTTTAATGTACGTGCTGGGATTTGCTGTGAATACTTTTATACGTCTTCGGCTCTTGTCTTGTGCTAGTATCGAGGGTACTTTGACAAAAAATGTTTGGTGCGCTTTTTTGTGTTGCCGAATCAAAAGGATCATGCCGTTCACAAACGTTAAAACAATATTTTTAATCGATGCTTATCCGTTCTCCGAATACTGCAATGCGGTTCCACCGGTAGTCACTAGGCACTTGCAAATCTGTTGAAATGTTGACAGGCGCTTTTTCCCTGATACCGCAGAAATTCAGAATTTGAGATAAATTTGCAGAAAGATGGCGCAGAGCGCCCCGCGATAATTTTTATTGAGAAGGAAAAGCAATAACGGATTGACCAGCGAATGCGACCACAACACAAACGGGATCGCAAAACGCAGACTCCCATAGGAAATGTTGGCGTTAGATGTGATGACATGCCGGCCTGATGCAACAATGCTCTGCAGCTCGCGCATACTTTCTTCGGCCCAGATCAGTAGTGCGAAATGATTAGCAATACTCGGCATGACACAGATAAATAGAGCTAATAAGATTACCAAAAACAGCCGGATCGAACGGAATTCCGCACTTTGAAGCAGTCTGTGAATATAAGGGGCTTTGGCTAGGTTATCCGTGACCGGCGTGACGTCGGAACAAGGAGCGCTGCCCGTTGAGCTCTGAGATTCCAGATGGCGACGTATTCGTCCAGCCAATCGGATCCGCTGATGCGCAACATAGATAATGTGTCCATAGATCCCGAACACCACAAACAACGGAATGATACTTTGTCCGGTGACATCGATTAAATTGATGGCATCCGTGTAACATAACAGACAGTTGCAGGCGTATTCGTTGTGTAGCTGGCGACAAATGTCGGTGTCGGTGTGACCGTCGCCGCTGTCGTGCTTGTCGTACGGGTACCCGCCCAGAACAGACGGTAAAAAAGTTGTCACATACGTGAACAGCGCTGGATACAGCCAGACGATGACAATGCCTAGTATTGGGAACCAGATCCGTTCGCGCCATTTTTTGTGCACATGGGGACGAAAAAGGCGTACGTGTCGTTCAATGGCAACCGCCGCCGCATGGGCCAGACTCACCGCACTGAAATATTCCGTGGAGGATAGGTACAGCTTGCACGCTAGATGCCCAAAGGACCAACAGTCATCCTGTACGTACAACACTATGCGGAGCGGCATCATAACGCCGCCCAGCACAAAATCCGACACGGCATCCGACACCAGAAACAAGTTGGGTATCGTGCGTAAGTTCTTGGTACCAAGTACGGCGATACAAAAGGCCACATTGGTCATGACGGCAGCGATGGGAAACGTCAGGAGCGCATACATGGAGACTAAATGTGCATCTTGCGAACATGGACCATCGCTGTGATTGTGAGTGTGGCTGGTTGGGTTGGTGCTGGATTCATTTGGCGACATGATCACGTTTGGTCTCGTGACCAAAACAAAATTCGGTCTGCAAGTTTTAAGAACCGAACTTCATTAATTTTACTACGTTATTATAATTAAAAAACTTTCAAAATCGAAAGTCAGTTGCCACTGCCAACGTCCTGATCATGAAATGCGTGCGTAATAACTCTGTACTATGTAAATAAAACGATGGTCTTAAAGTAACCGACGATTGATTAAGTAACCGGCGCGAATGCAATAAGGTCGTACTGGTTTTGTTGGTTTATTGCGGTGATACCTTATCAGTACGTCTGACAGAAAGCGCCAGCCGCATACTATTCTGTAGTGGTCTTAGGCGAGGTGGATTTAATTAATTATTATGATCGCGAACCTAATTTGAATCAGGCTAGTTAGTACCCGACTACCCGTTCTGATCGCTACTCGTAATAAGTGGTATTACTAGACCGTCTGGGCGCATTTCATAGGATGGATCAACTGTACGAGAAAGAATAAATACATTTTTACTTGAATCAGTTGAATGTAGCAAGTCAATTCAAGTAAAACATGTAGCTAATGGTAAGTCTGTGGCATTGCGTGCCTAAGGTAAATTACTTTGTTCAGTTTGTTAGATGACTAACTAAGTATTAAGCCATAGCATCTATCGCCACGCTGTCGCATCACTTAATAAAAAAATAATTTTTTTATGTATTTTTACTGCTACAGCGCGACAATTTACCTTTACGATCATTTGTACATACAATAACTTATACCGGTGTTCTGCATGGACAGTTATCGCACAAGTCTTTGTGGTACTACAAGGCACTCGTATATACGTCCTAGCATGAAGGTCAAGGCAACAAGCAATATCGGTTTTTCTAGGTAAAGTTCTAAACTTGTTTGCGCAAAACTTGCAGCATTAGCAGAAAACTTCCTTATAATTTTGCGGCGAACTATGCCCCAACAATTATTTATTGTATTTATTCAGAAAGTTTTCTCGACCGATCCGCTCTGAACAGCAAGTTTATGTTTCAGTGTTTCACTGGATTTGCAACTGCACTGGGTAAAAGCGCTAATACGTTTTGCGTAAACTGCAAAACCACATCAAAGGGTCAAACACCATCTGAAGCGAGTACAACAGCGAAATAACAATACGCATATGATCACTAACGGCATCGACTTTAAGCGGTGCTCCGGAGAGGTGATAGACAGCCGGTAGCCAGCACACCAATACGCTAATGGACGTTAGGGTGAGGATCACAAAAGGCTTGACCTTTTTTGGACCACTTGCAACAGGCCGCTGCGTGCTAACGTTTTGCGAATGGGTGTGGCCGCGGGAGGCATCCAATTCGAACTCGCCGGTAACGAATACATGTGGGCGTGCCGCCGCTGTTTGTCGTTGTCGTCATTTTGCCTAACGTCTGATGATTATGAAAATGTATATTACTTTGTATTACAACGGCTACAAGCGGAAGTTGCCTGTCCAAGGTGTTTTCTACACGGCCCCAACCCGATACATACTGGCATCCTTTCCGTTGGTCATATTTGTAATGATACAGCATATCCATTAAAAACGGCGGCAGATTAAGCATACGGACATACGCGACAGCCGAAACGCATAATAATAACGCCGTTTTTATGCTGTGTCGGGTTCTGTACGAAACCGGAAACTGCACAGCCCACAATCAGTTACAAGAAATCAGTAGATGAAACATAACCGGCACGATGCTAATGACTCTTTCGATATAATTGTAAAATACACGCAAGGAGTGGCCACCGGGAAATACATGGGACACAGAGTAGACCGTTCCTATTGGTCTCGCTATGACAAGATAGATAGAGTTCACAATAAATAGTGCTAGAAGATATATTGTGAATGCGGAAATGTATGCAGGTTTTATGCAGTGGAAAAGAAGTGCGGATAAATTAAGGGCAAACGACAACAGCGCCACTGACGTCCGCAGCTGCATGACAAGCGTCTATTCTGATACGGGGTGACCTTGACCAGCGGTGGCATTGTCTTTACCAATCGAAAAGTTAGAAGTTGCATAAAATATGGTAGAGAAGTTTTCCTGTACCGTTAAATTCATCATCTGGAAAGAAAATGTAATAGGTTTAGTATACTCTGGCAAATTCAAGCTAAGTTCATATAGCGCCGGTGAATCGGCGCGACAGTAATATTGAATTTACTTCGTTTGATAATTGCGCATTCCGAAACGTCAGGAAGAGAAGGTTATAAAGAACACTCCCGCGGCCAACAATAATTTACGGGATTCGTGACGTAGTTCGTTCAATAATGTTTGCGATAGACTTACCAGAAATTGTCCTTCGTGAAAACGAACAACCAGGTCTCATACGATGCTCAAATACAAAGAATATAATGTCTTAAAATTTGAAGAAAATTGTAGCAACACTAACAAGGGAGCCCGAAAACCTAACCCAAAACCTTCTATACGAATAATAATTAGCGTTACTTCGTGCGTGCGTCGGTTAACGTTGGCTACTTTTGTGATAGCGACACAAACATATTAAACTGCAATACAACTATCGCGAGCTCAGAATTATTAACACTTACGAGTACAATAGTAAAAGTGGTAATCAATCGGGTTACGGGTTACATATATTTTTGCCCATGCAGTGGCAAGCAAAGGACAAACAAAAATCCAAATAAACAAGTACCGTTAATTAAATAACCGTAAGACTATTTTCAGAAACATTATATATGTAGATACTTATCTTTTACATGCACATGTAATCTATCATTCTAGATTCCGAATCAATTTAATGAGTACAAGTCGCAATGAGCTTTGCAAGGGTATTATTATTGCCGATTTAGTGAGGAACAATTTCTAAAACATAGACTGAATTGATTGGTAACGTGGTAGTGTGGCTCTCTTATTGTAATTGTAATATAAAAGCTCGATCTGTTTTGTGGTCCTACACACTTACCAGTTGTTGAAGGCATTCCCTTACTCATTTATCACGAAACTGTGCGGAAATCCAGTTGACCCTTTTAGCCGTTGCCGGCTTATTGCACTGTGCATGTTACGGCATTTGGTTATGACCGACAGCATGATGTCTCCGTTTGCAACAATTTAAGTATATGTAAATCGTAATTACGGTAACAAGCAAGTGACCATATGGTCCATAATTCCATATTCTAATAGTTTGTTATAAATTCTCATACGGGTTCTGAGCTTGTAATTGCTACACGAGTTTCCGTCTGCTTGTTAAAACCAGTGTCATTCGTATCGTCGTCTGAGCTACAGAATCAGCGGTTGCTAAAATTTAAAGCAGATTACACAGTCACTGCACAACATCATGATGCACATCGTTTAATCGGCAGATGGGAATCGAATCAATAAATTAACTTAAATTAACTGTACAACATCAGCAAACGGTTAATTAATTTTAATAAGCAGTATTTTGTGACCTCTGTTAACTTCGTTTGCATATTATGTAAGAAGAACAGTCAAATGAAGTTCCGTTCCAATGAAGCACGCCTACTACCTTTTATTTTTACATTAAGGTCATACGGGTTTAATTAATTATGCATACATGTATTGCTTCTTGATGATGTCTGATACACCAAGCGTTACAAACCAAGGCTATTGCATTGTTTCTATTCGACATGCTGCACGGAGGGGCAACGTTACAACGATCCCACCTAATACAAAAGACGCTTAACTATCGAATCCCAGCGGGGCTTTCGTCAAGCGGAAATATTATCCAAATGGAGAGCCGATAAAGTTTTATTTATTTTACTGCACTTTACAGCAGTGTAGCTGCCGCTACATCAGGTCGTATCGGGTATCACCGGCATACAGTACCAGGAATGTGCCGTATTACCATGGGATTCTCTCATCCCGAATACCGTATGGCTCGAACCGAAAAAAACCTTAATTACAGGTTACGCACGCAATACAAATTTGGAGGTGAAGCATCGCGACTGCAGCTTCGTCGATTTACGTCGTGCATTGTACAGGGTTAAATATTCAAAAGCTCGTTTTTGTTATCGATTATTGAGAGACTTTTATCCGAATATGCAGACAAGTGAGACGAAAAACTTGCAGAAAACCTTGCAACCGTTGCTACTGGCATGGAAAATTTTTGGACTAATCCCGTTAACCGATCATCCCGCAAAGTTACCGGCGGCAAAACAGAAGGCCTTAGAAGCAGCTCGAATTGCCCTTCTGCTGCTTTTTCTCACATCCGTTTCCGTGCTCCTTAATGACGATATCGCCACTATGATCAGTCATGTATCCGCTACGAAGGGTTTGTCCAGTGTTGCCGTTGTCCAAGTCATCTATCATCTCCGCTGGTTAGTCGAACGAATCGCAGTATGTTCGCTTATTTATTTAACTTATCGTAACGGCCCGCGGCTAATACAGATCATTAAGAATTTCACCACACAGATCGATAGCAATAAGCGGGAGGAATTAGCAAAAGCGCAATTGACCTTTCGGCTGCAGCGTTACTGTTACGTAAGCATGGTGCTTTTCATTTTGTTTCCCGAATTTTGGATTCGCGTTCGAGCTTGTATTCGAGATAACGAGGATATTGCTCGACAGGCCAATCTTACGATCGACACATTTTCAACGCCGCAATGGGTGATGCCGGTAAGGACTGGGTCACCGTTTGTGTACCACTTTATCATCGGATTTCCTTCTTACACATCCGGAAAATTTTTGCAAGATGTGTTGATGGCTGTTATTGCCACTGTGGTGTACGCGCTCACTTCGGCTGTGCAGTGTTTCGTTGAACGTGGTCAACTGTTGATTGCCGAAATGGAAAAGAAACCCATGGCACAATTGGATCGCGCAGAGAAGATTCGGCAGTTTCGCGAGCAATGCACCTGGATGTGCGGCATATACAGCGAATACAACAAATACTGTTCCAATTTTGTTTTGGCATGCCTTGTATGCGACCTTTTGGTGTATTTGGCTGATATTACATGGTTAATGGATCCATCGCTCTTAAGTTCGGATGATTTTATTCGTACTTGCATGTATGAAGTTCACGGGTTTACTTGGGACATTATACTGATTGGTGTCCACTTACGATCGACAAAAACGGTATTTTTTAATACATCTATAATGATATATTGCACATAATCTTCCAGAAATCCTGATAACATTCCTCGTCTACTTACCATTAGTTGACACTTAAATGTGCCAATGGTACTGCATTTACGATAATTTACGTAGTGCTACTAATGTACTGTAGGTTTATCGTACCGCTGCTACTTTCTCCAGTGTTTAAAAGTAGATTTAATATTGCGAATTTACGTTTTTGTTTCAGGCTGACAACTTATACCGATGCATGAAGGAATTACTCTTGGCCTACTGCAACGCTTTAGACAGTCATTGTGTAAGTAAGTGCAGGAAATGACCTTACTGATGGCCTGGTCAACAGAAGGCATGCAGATAAGCACATCGAATCAGATACACTACTCAAAAAATATTTTTTAGCAGAAAGTTGAACGCTATTGTTGACTTAATCCGGTCTAAGAGCATATATAATTGGTGTGAGACATTCATTTGCAGAGTCGAAGCAACACGCTACTAAAGCCGGCGACGAATTCTCAACGGTCAGCAATACGCAAACAGTCGAATATTAGTGACAGCAGTTTCCTCGTGTCGGCTAACACCAATTTTTGTGTGCAAAACTGGTTGGATACGGGTTCATTGGAGGCCCCAGCTGCTTACGTCGGAAAGCTTGGGGAGATGAGAGTGGCCCACTTGATTTCGGTATGTGCCGTTGTACAGAGCATGCAGTCTCCGGAAATTGTAGACAACTCTAGATTTCAGGCATATTGACCTGCATGACAGGAGGTCATAGTTACCGCGAGCCTTTAACTTAAGGTAAATCCAATGAGCCCTAAACGGTAGGATTGGGGCCATTTGCATGGGAGGAACGCATTTGCAGGGGAGTACGAATGTGGGAGAAACATGAGGAATTTTGTTCCAAACTGGCCCCACGCAAAAAAAGCCAATACGCCACTGGTAGATCTGCCGCATGTACAGCAAAAGTACTTTGTTTTTTTAGTAAAGAGATGCGGTAGCAAGTAATAGAATATATAGGGTTATTTAATGGCTAATGAGTATCTGAGTATCTTAAGATCGCTTGAATTGTAATATTGTTACAGATTCTGCTAAGTTGCACCGGATTTGTTGTTTTCCTGTACGAACTAGAAAGGAATTAACCGTTGGCTGACCCACTTCACAACGTTCCAGATTGGAGATGATAAGGCATGCAACATTAACGATAGATTTCTGAATATGTAATGACGTCAAAATGCACCCGTTTCCGATATCCAGAAAGACCAGAATAAAAGAAGTTGGAAAATTCATCACCTGCGGATATGAACTCTTCAAGAGTTCATATCCGCAGAGTAACAGTTGCAAGAGTAACTGTTACTCTTGTACGATCGGAGGCATTAACGATGTGCCGGCACGTGATTACCTACGGCTTCGGTGCACGATTCTTTTGATTCGTGTGCAGAACGAGGCGAAATCTGTACATAAGAAATAACAGCTAATAAAAGAGTTCACCTTTCCATTCTTCTAATAATCAGAACATGAGAATTGTCTTTTGTAGGGGGGTTTTATCGGGTTGGTTGCGAAAGGGAGACGCGAATACAACTAGTGTATTCGTATACGTACCATCCCACGCGAATTCTTATCGCTTTGTCCCGGACTCATAATAGCACTACAACAACCCTGAAAGATGGTATTTCTTGAAGAGTGCACGTGACACAACTGAGATTCAATCTTACAAAGGCACCTTCCTAGGTATTAGATATCCGCATAAGCGAAACAGAGCATTGTCGAGGTCTTGCACACAGTTCGCTTTATTACGCAAATTACGATTTCCGATATTTGTTGTAATCGCCAGTTTCCTTTTCTGTTGGCATTTGTGCAGCTCGACCTTCTTAGTGGAGACGATATAATTTTATCAAAGCTAAATTGCACTTGCCAATATTGCGTGCTGCTAATTATTAAGCAGTAGCAAAAATCAACTGACGAGCTGGCGTGCATAAATTTAGCGACATCTCTCGGATTTTGATTTCCACCGGATTTTCCAGTTTTGTTCTTGCCGTGAAAAAAGAATAATATTACGCTATCATGCTAGCTGCTTTCCTCGCTGCAAACAACTTTAGCCGGAATATAAAAGATGACCTTTCGGTCCCGCTAACCCGATTTATCAATGCATCCTTTTGGAATTTTACTGTTCAGAACGAAACGCTCTTATCGGCGAATGCTGGTAACGACTCCTTTAGAAATTATATTCACTGGAATTTTATTACCATTGCATCCATTGCAATCTCTGCCATCGCTGCAGTGCTGAACGCTTGCGTTGTAGCTGTAATAGTTTACCGAAAGTCATTGCAGACGCCTTTCAGCATCTACGTTATTAATCTCCTGAGCGCCAATTTCATACGGACATCCATAATCAACACTGTCGATGTCATAAATCAAGTGCACGCTGATTGGCCCTTTGGACACACAGGCTGCACTGTTCACCTGTACGCCACGAATATCATCAGTGCGGTCATGGTCAGCCTGCATCTGACCATCTCATTTAATCGAATGTGGGCTATTTTATGGCCCTTTTCTTATAAACGTTACCACTCCAAAAAACTGGCCAGTGTTTTATGCGCTGCGCTATGGTTACTCGCGCACTGTCTGCTTCTTCCACAAATAATCAACGACCACTTGTACTACCGACCGCAGAGCCAGCTGGGCAAATGCGCTTTGAATTCGCAATTCCAACACAAATTAACCTTGGCGACCCATATTTTCGTTTTCATTATTCCGTGGATTTTTGTCATTTTATCGTATCCCGTGGTGTTTATTCTGCATGCGAAACGTCAAACCGATCGAAGTCGCGTTGATATGGAACCGGTGCGGTTAGAATTGCGAAGTATCGGGAATGCTACGGCAGTTACGTCAGGTCACGCGGATGCCGCAGCAAGCAAGCACAGCAAATCGGATGCAACGACGCGCCCTCCCGGCAAAAAAGCATCCGCGGCGTTTTTGCTCTTGACCTTTCTAACGATGAGCGTGGCGATCTGCTGGACACCGATCATTGCGTATGTGACAATTGCGTATATTATTGACTTTTATTTCGATATATTGTATTTACAAATCGCTCTAACCTTATTTGCTCTGGAACCGCTTGTGGACCCGATCTACTTTTCTTTTGCATTACATGATTTAAGAGAAGTGATTCGTCATTTGTTCTGCAGATTACGGTAGCCATCAAACTATTGCTGAGAGATTGACCTTTCGGGTACTGATGTGCTAATCGATTTTACTTGGCAGAAACAGCCAACTGCCTAGGTCTGAAAACCGGTTGGTATTAGCTCGCACTGGCTTCGATAAACTGGCAGAATTTAAGTAAACTCTAAGTACGAGTACGTGAACACGCAGTAGCAACTGCATTGTACTTTGTAGTTAAAAATCATGTCAGTTTAAGTGGATAATCGGCACCACGACCGCGCAGAAGATGCAGCTGTTTTCGCGCAACACTCGTACGCAAAGTAATCTGACAGTTAACACGCAATTAAATCTAACGCCGTGTAACTACAAAAAAAACAAATGTCGGAGGTTGTTTTTATCAAGCACTATATGTGGTCTGATTTCCGGAGAACTTCGAGCGCCATCAGCATCTCAAACTCCTCTTCTGAACTTCCGCCCATCGTCACAGCGGCCCGTGTCTTCTCCTTCCACACTTCCGCTGCCCGTTTAAACCCCGTATCCAATACGCGCTCACGACCTTTAAACGCAAAGCCCCCCACATTGGCCAGTTTCTCTGCTATCTCTTCCGCTGGAACAATCTTCACGTGTTCGTCCGCATTAATCAGCACCACCCCCATACCGGCTTCCTCCAGCAACTGCCCGTTATACAGTTGATCCCCGAAGATGGGCCATGACAGTACTGGCGTCCCGGTGTACATAGCCTCAACAGTGCTGTTCCATCCGCAATGGCTCAGAAATACACCCGTGGCCGGATGGAGAAGGATGTTGCGTTGCGGTGCCCATGGAAGGACCAGACCCAATGCGGAACCGGCAAACTGATCGGCCATTCCGCGACGGATTTCCTCGGGCAGGAGATCGTGCTGTTCCTGGCGCAGGGAGAAGATAAAGGGTTGGTTCAGCAGGAGAAGTGCCTTGCCGATTTCCGTGATGCGCTCTTTGGCGGGTATGCGAACAGATCCGAAGGCGATGTATATGACCGAGTTGGGAGGTTTCGTATCCAACCATTGCTGCACCTGTTGCTGAATCTGCAACAAGAAGTTAGACTGATCTTGCTGAGATGATTTTAGCAATTTTAAACATGCTACTATTAGAAAATAAATTTTTTACAGCAAAACTTTAACGATTCTGTGAGCATATTTTCAAGCAATTAACGCTCTGGTATAACAAATAATTAAACATTATAACACATACAGCATGGGTACACTAACCACTTTTTTTGGCTACTGTAGTTCAGTGCGTAGGTCTATAAATTTATCTTTTATCCTTGAACTGTTTTAAAGTACCTTAAAGTTTTGTGAGTTCAGTTTGTCTTCCTCGGGTAGCAGTGGTCCAGTGCACTTCACATCATGACCTTTCGCCCGTTCATCCTTCAAATATTCCGCAATCGCCTCTTCCTCGATCTCCCGGAACGAATTAATCACTATACCCACGGCCGGTTTCAGCCCGCTGCAAATCGACAGACTATGCTTCTTATGCCGGTCTAGAAACGGTGCATTCTTCTGCTCGGGATCCATCGCACGTTTACCCATAACATGGCGCAGAGGCGATACTTCACCCTCGGCCACGACCGGTGTATGCTCTGTTACATTTAACCGCGACAGCTGCGCTCCCAGGCGCGCTGTACAGAATAAATAACACGGAATCCCCCGCTGCTGACATATCACCGCGGAGCAGGCCAAAAACAGTTCACAGAAGACGACATCGACCGGTCGCGTAATGCTGTAGGGTGATTGGCTGCTGGGTTTGTTGGGGGTGGGCACCGTACGGAGGAACGCCTCGATGGACGGAATAATGCCGTCCCACAACATCCCCCACACACTGGGATTGGTGTCTTCCCCGGCGCCATCCGGGATACCGTCTTCCAGCCCAATCAGTGCTATGGTCTTCTCATCTTCGGCGGTGAATAATTCCCGGGTGCGCAGATCGTTGAGCTTGCACTTGGAAATCACGAACGTCACATGATGGTGTTCGGCTGCTTTGCGCGCAAAGGATAACAGAGGGATCAAATGGCCGTATCCGGGGAATGCTATAACCACGATGTGTTTTTTAGATTCCATATTTTGCACTGCCAAAGTGTTCATTCTTTCAGATGCAGTGGTAGGTTTTCGTCATGCGGTGCGATCCTGTAAAACCGAGAAGACGCGCACGCCGCATGTTGTACAAAATAAAGTGCGAAGTATGCAAGCTTTCTGCCGACTGGTTTATCATCCGTTTGCTTGGAAAGTTACGCGGAATGCGGTGTGATTAACCAGTTCAAAAGTCGGCAGCATGCCGGTAAATCTATTCAGTTGCACCGTTCAGCCTCGTCGTATATGCTGCATCATTCTGGTTAACCGTTAAACTTTAGTCCGGTAACCTGACTTGCGCCAATCAGCTGCTAACCGACATGGATAAACGACGCAATCATGGCAATTGTATTGCCTATCGAAAGATAATGCAGTAAATGTGTCCGTAAAAAAAACGATGTGTGTGAACTGTCGGTATGCCTTCGTATTATTCAGATGTTAAATCCATATTAAATACAAAGGACGCTCCAAAAGTAAGTTTCCCTATTTTGTATCTCCCAGCACAAATGCCTTTAGCTCTCATTATCCATACAGATATAAATGCCATTTACTAAGGAACTTAGGAAAAATATAACTTAGTTTAAGTACAATCAAATGGAAAAGTATTACCAAAAAAACTTACGACCACTTTTTGCACTTGTGCCACGGATTTTACCAGGACCGTTTTTGCAATTTTTCTCAAATATCCTCTAAACTTTTTATAACGCACTAAGCGTCCACAAGTTAAGTATTCTTCTCTCTTTTAATCTCAGTTAATAAACAAAAGAAATTACATATACTGTTTTTCTGGGAAAACAGAAACTATCGATGACTAGGAGCAAAACCCATAAAGCCGCCCTACTTCCAGACGATGAAAAACTCTAAATTTCATGAAAAAAAATTATTGTCCTCGCTGTAAGTTTAAGTTCATTAGTATTTTAGATGCGCATAACTGCGCATAAAATGTTCTTTTTATTGATGAAAAGAATCTTGAATTCATAGGAGCGAGAAGGCTGAATAAGACAAAATTTGGTGTCTCGAGTATAAAAATTTTTACTCAAACTCCTGAAGTCTCCAAGATGATTTGCGATCAGGGAAATATTAAGCATACTATTTGCTATTAACACTTTTAATTCACCGTCGAAAACTTGAATGGGGCGGAAGGGATAAAAAAATGAATCCGGTTTTAAAAGGTCCGTGGACAAACTGAAAAAGCGGTACGAGCCATTTTATTTCTCCTTTCTCGTGTTTTTCATCAAACCATTTCATTCTTATTTTCCTGGTTAGTTTACATAATTGCTTATCTACCAAAAAATATATCTGTTGTATATTACTTCAGATGGCGGGGAGACAAAATAGCGAAACTTACTTTTGGAGCGTCCTTTGTACAACAAAATCTGCGCGAGCGTAAATTCAATCTAAACGGAACCATTTTAAACAACATTTATTTTCATCAGTTGGCATTTTACAGATTACCCGTTTCCATCCGAAGAGACTCATATTATAAATTCTTACCAAAAACGTACTATCAAAGTATCATTATGAAAACGGAAAACGCACTCACAAACTGAAAACGCATTCAGCTCAAAAAATATGCATTCAATTCATATTATCAGCCAGAGAACTTTAAATTTATCAGAAACAAATCATATCAATTAATAGTCACGCCGGCCATCTGACAGTAAGCGCCGACGAAAGTTTGCACATCCGGAATGCTGTCCTGAAGTTTTGCGCGCACCTAACAAATTCACCACGTATGACGTAAACAACAAACTGTATCCTATTAAACTCTGAATTCAGCATATAACGGCTATTACAAGATGATAAATATGTCGATTAACAAAAAGGAATTATACAGTACATAGTTCATTAACTTAAATCAGTAATTACTCACCATTCCCGGTCGGGTAGCCGACAAGGCCGCCAACTTCGTGGCCAGAAACACTTTAACATCAGAGACATCGCTAACGTGATCCTTTTCCGCCTTCTTGGCAAACACCAGTTGATTCTGCGAAGTGGCCTGTGTCGGCAGGGGACCACTGGTCGGATCGTCATTCGTCAGATCTGCAGAAAGGAAAAACACATGTTTCAGGGGTGAAATACTCCCTACTCAACAGAACCAGTAAGGATTTTGGATAATCCTAAAATGCATTTAATCTCGCGCTGGATTTATGATTTAACCGAATATATCGGCCGAACCTCAAACAACCGCGCTCATAAGTGAGACTAATAAGTCAGTACTGTACAATTAAAAATTTAACACGAGTGTAGACGGTCCACTTACCAAATGAATGCAGATCTTCTATAGTCTCTTTTTCCGGTGGCAATTCAATCAGCTTCACGCAAGTTTCCAGAATGTTCTTCCTAGAAAGTTGGTTCATCATCACCAAACTAAGTTTTCGAAAACAACGACACAACGAAAAAAGTCTAAAAGTGTTTGTGAGACGATTACGAGGAAACAAATCACTCTAATTTTTTTAACTAATTCGTGTTTCAGGTGTGAAATAATCCCTGCTAAAAAAACCAGTAAGGATTTTGGATTATCCTGAAATGCAGGTAATCTAGCGCCAGATTTATGATCTAACCGAATGTATCGGCAGGATCTCAAACAACCGCGCTCGTGTTGACTGTAAAATCTGATATTGTATTTAGATGCAGGCAGACTCGGGTTGAAACAAAAACGTCTAGCGCGATAAAGTATTAAGTGCAAATCCAGGAAGATCTAAGGAGCTTCACTCTCGTCGAAATTAAGACAGACTTCCATACAAACCAAAAATACATTGTTCTGAAATAACCTACCAAATGCCATCGTAAGGGCCGCCTAACACTTTCGCAGTATCGGTCAGCAACGCAACACATCCGACAACGCACAGCTTCCGCGTCAGCCTCCGTTGGACCTTCAGTACTTCCGGCAGCATGATGCGATCCAACAGCATGGCAAAAATGTTTTTCTGCACCTGGAATCAAAACCATTGTCAAAAACATTACTAACTCATGTTGATCCTCACTGACAACATAAAACAATGTAGAAAGAATTCGGCAAAATTTGATATTGTTTTCTTATTCTGAAAACGAAGTGCTAATGGTAAAACAGCAATTTTTGTTTTTCTTAACCAGAAATTTTTGTTTTTCGCATTCGAACTAACAATTGTAAGAGTAATTGAACCACATTACACAAATAACTCCACATTACTCACCTCATCAGCACTCTGAATGAATGTTGCTGCTCCCAACCGTACAACCATCAGATACAGTGTGGGTACAAGATCTACAAATAAAATAAGAACAACATGAACCAAGTTCAGCCTAACATCAAAATAACAAAATGCAAAACCCACTTTTGACGAACTTATCCGTTTTACTCCTCATCAAGCGCTCAAAGAATTGGTTAAAAATCCCTGTCAGATAACCCTTCAAACTGTCTCTGAAAACATAATTTGAACATTATAAACAAAAAAACAGGCAAAACGAAATGGCGTCCTACAGCGGCGTTTTGTCTATAATTGGTCGCAACAGGTTGAATCCTTCGTGGTCGTATTTCTTGCTAGAAACCAGGATCTTGAACAAGCCCAACGCATTTTCCTGAATCACAAAAATCACATCAGCGCACGAATCACGTGTTTTAATTTTCTGTAATCTGATTTTGAAGTTCGAGAAAGCCTTACCAATCGTCCAACAACCTGACTGGCATTAGCCTCGAAGTACGCGCCTAACAGTCTGACGACCGATGGCACTTGCGTTTCATTGTCGCGAAGCAGTTGCGGATTCAACAGCGGATCCAATAGCATCATGTATTCACTGGGAATCAGACTACTGCCGGCTCGATTCTCCAGTAACTGGGCAAAAAGTTGAAAGACGTACGGGAAGAATGCTATAAACGAATATCTTGACAACTAATTATATACGAAAGAAACGATTCAAATGATCTACTACTGTTTTTTGACTTTACCGTCAACTGAGTTCTGCAGAACAACAGTGGCAGCGGGTATTAATTCCTTTTCGAACACCTCCACAGCACGCGCATCTGCTCGACAAGCAATCCCGATGCACAGTGCCAAAGATTCGAACAGATAATGATCGTAGCGCGCATTTCCCGGATTCTGAAATATGAGAATCATATTTCATTCAAGCAAGCATTCAAAAATAAGTCAACTGAAGACCAACAAATTCAAAATACGCGACCTGCAGTAGGAAAAAATGCTGGACATCACAAACCAGTGATAAAATGAAATGTTTCATAAAAAACGTACAGAAATCCTACCACTTCCTACACGCATTTGATAAATATATGCTCACTTTGATGGCATATGCAATCCGTTTCATCAGCTGGGGCACAATATATTGGAAATGTGGCAATATTTCGCTCAGTTGGAAGAACGATAATGCTCGCATAATACCTAAGAAAAAAACAAATGACCGACTCCAATTCGTTGCTTTGGTGAAGGTTAATGGACTCTTAAATGTTCATTATTCATACACTTCATGGTGTATTCGTTCTCATCCAGTCGTCCATCGGGATTCTCGTTATCAGGTGGACTAATCAGACGGAACGCCAGGAGATGTGAGAAGAGTGTGTTCGGTGCCGCGGGATTAAATGGAGTATTATCCAGAGATCCCAAATACGGCCGTAGCTGATCCGGTGTAATTCGAAACAAACCCGTGGTTGTGTCCTTCATGGAGAAGATTCTCTCTAGGCAGTGCGCGGCATAGGTATGCACCACCATATACGGCGAATCCAGTTGAAGAACAACGGCGGGAAAGCAGGAGATCAAAGATTCCACCGGAAGCTGCCAGCAAAACACAAAATGCGTTATATGACAATCGCAGGCAAAAACAAATCGCCATTTTGGTACTCACTTGTGCTCTGAAGGTAACCAAAAATTTAAGGCAATCGGCCTGAAGGACAGGTTGGTCTCCTAATAAATCCGATAAATCAAAGGAATGTCGAACAAAATTCAAAACATTCAAAATTACCGGGTCCGCTCTGAATGTGCGGTGCAACATGGCGCTGGCAAAACGACACCACGTCAACGAGCGGATTAATCGCCGTGGCTCCGAACTACATCCCAGACATAAAACACTAACTTGTTACGAATACCATTAAAAGTGCAATGACCGCTTCCGTCGTACCCGTGCCACTTGACCCTTTGCGGCCAACGCCGCCGTGAGGAAAATGGCGCTGTCTTTCAGCTTCCAATAAAGTCTGGAATCTTTCTGATATTCCTACGTAAAACAGAAAAATGTCAAACTGCGTTTAATCTACTGATATGGTACAATGGCTAACAATTATTAAATTCTCGATGTACGTCAGCAAACATTTCGTTACGCGTTCCTCATGGAATTTGTTGGCAGCACGCACGAGATCCGCAGCGGCTCTTCGACGTGTATGGATATCTGCAACACCAACCCTTGCATCGCGTCAATAATTACCATGATTTCACTACTCACTGTCAGCAGTATTAACATTCTGCAGAAACAGATTGCTGCATGCGCTGGGCATACAGTTCAGTGTACGAGTACAAACAGTTTTATCTACTTCAAGAAAACTTTAAAAATTTGAAAATTCTTCGAGATACACAGAGAAGACGCCTCGTCTCGTGGTCATTCACTTACCGGAACCTTCAATATCCCGACGGATAAATTCTTCTGGATTGGAATCGAAGTCATCCGCATCCGACTCTGTACGGTAATTATTGCAAGTTATCCATCAACGTAGACAGCAAATCAACATCAACCACATATTGCCTACTCACGTCGAAATTGGATATTCGGGATTACTATCTTCTCGCAAACGGCTTCCAGGAACCCTTCTCCACTAAACACATCACGGCACTTGTTTTGCGCCAGTACTCGGCTCAGAAATTCCATGGAACTGAATGCTAACTGAAATAAAATACAAACACGGTCAGCTCAATGAAGAGTTTCAAATATGATAATATCATCTGAGTCGAAGGCGAAGAAAAATAAAATACTAACTGCCAAGACAAAATTTGCAAACCACCAGATAGATGCTTAAACAATCTTATATTTCTGAACATATATTATATTCTAATATTTCTTACACTGCTTATATATTTACACTGCTTATTTCTTACATAGTCTTATATTTCGGAACAGCTTAATACACAAAATTTCTTGTGAGCAAATTATTGTACTGGTAGTGAAAAAGTGATTTTTTAACATACTACGAAAACAATCACTTTTTTCCCGGTGTCCCAGAAAACGTACCAGATCGTCCTGCATTAACTGTGTAGTCTTCATCAGCAGCGTAATAACGGCCCGCACAAACTGCGCCGCATAAGGATCAAAATCATCATCATACTTAAATGCCAGGAGGGTGAGAATATCACAGATTTCTGATTTGATATTGTTCAGAACGCCCGGTTCGTCATCATTCTATCGCAAAAAAGACAGAAAATTCATTTTTGCATAAAACCCTACGTATTAAAGGCAGACATGTCAGACTTACATCACTGCGCAGATCGTTATTTTCATAATCCAAGAGTTCGCTAAATTTTTGAAGCCAACCGCGCAGTTCCTGGACAAACACCTCCGGCAATTCTTGGAAGATCAAGCTGTGAAAAATTTTACAACATAACAGGATAATATGGAAGGCATTCTTCAGTGTGGCAGTGGCAGCCGTCTGATCGCCACCCTCACGGGATAATCGTTCCAAATTTGGGATCTGGGCTAAAATTGTCTAAAAATATGAAGCGATTACTAACGCTTAAAATGCCCTAAATAATTAAAATAAAAAAAATACAAATAATTTGGACATACCAAGAACAATTTTGTGAACTTGGGAGCGAACTCATCCAAAACATGAAGAATCTCCTTCCATAAGGCTTTAGATTCGTAAGCGACACGATAACTGCCATTAAAAAACGTTATGATGTCATGATTGTCATCAACACTATAACAGAGAATTTACAGAGTTCCTCAACGAATTTTATACGTACTGTTTAAAAAGGCCGTGAGCTGTGCGTAACGACGCCAGGATGGGATCGATTTCCCCTGCGTCGAAGCTGGCTGTGAGATCAGGCAGCAAGCGCTGCCAATTCGCCGGGAAATCAATCCACGCAATACTGTTGATGGTCTCGCTGATCTGTAAACCGAATTTAGGTTAAAACTGAATTCAAAAATCAGAAACACCGCACAGAAAATTTCGTCACTTTTTATTTGTGAAAAACGTTCATCACGAAAAATGCTTATTTTGTCAAAAAAAGTCATTACGCCGAAAAATAAGCGGTAAAACAGAAGTAGGTATTAATGTCGAATAGAAATTCCGCATCAAAAATATACAAAAACGCATTCTAAAGCAATTAAAACATAGTAAATTATGTCTGCGCTTCACAGGCCCACCAGAAAGGGGGGCGCACCGGCGGGCGCCCCCCTTTTTCAGATTTTTGACCGCCGGGGGGGCGCATTTAAAGTACTGAAAGGGGCGGGGCGAGGCGAGGCTGGCCGACGAGTCACGTGTTACTTTTCGCCATAGTTTGAGTCCGGCAGCCCGCCCCCCGGCGCACTTGCGCCCCCCCCCCTCCTTTCCAAAAACCTTGTGGCGGGCCTGGCGCTTCAAAATATCGATCGCTACCGCTTGCTGTGACCGAAATGAAAAACTTACGTTCTTCTGAATACTGTGTGGGACTCTGTACATGAGAGGGACCAATTCCTGCTTCAGGTACGCGCAGGTTGCAGGGGGAACCAGCAAGTCCTCCGCTTTATCGGGTTCCTGCAAATACGGCAATTTTCACTTTTCTCTCCTATTTTTCGATAAAATGCTGTCAAAATCCTTACGGGCCAATATTTTCGAACGTAGTTTTTCAGTGTTACAGTGGCGGCCATCCTAATGGGTAATTCGCAGGATCCATCATCGATGATCGACACCAGGAGCTGTCCAAAATCTGCATTCTGCTCGAACTGTTTCAGAGACTTCTCGCCTACGGCAGAGAAATGGTTTTGTAGCACAGATTCTTGTCTCTTCGGTGGGGAATTACTAGCTCACCTTCCTGGCGTCGGGTTTTGTCGGGGACCAACGTAAACTCCAAACACTGCCGCAAAAAATCCCGATTATTCGCCATTTTCTGAGTATGTGACACTTTTCAGACACGGAAACACCAAGCCGCAGCGTTCAAGGAGGGTTACGACTGTTAAGATATGAAACTCTCAGAATCGGGTATGTAGGGAAATCGGAAATGATCTCACAGTCTCACATTATTCATAATTTCAAATAAGTAAATCATCATCCCAAAAAATGGTCATTTATTTACTATACAGCAGACTTTGCCCATTTTCGCTTTTTCCACTTTCATCTCACCTCCATCTCCACCGTCTAATTCCCACCCCAGCCCACTCCCGGCTACACAAATTTTCAGCCCATCTCACCTTTGCGATCTCATCTCCACCCCCATTTTTTAGAGGCTGAACAAAGCTAATTTTGCAGGGTTTCCGCATACGACAGAGCTACCAGCGAAAAAAAATTTGGTTTTGTAGGAAAATATGCTCACTTATTGATAAAATCCGCGCGGAGCGCGGAAAATTTTCTGTTTTTGGAGCTCGTATGGTGAATTTTTACGTGCTCCAAGCCTGAAAAACCGGTTAAAATATCAACTTTTCCTGTTTTTATTTGTTTCTTGGTCCCATCCCATCTTTCAACAATCCCAGCCCATCTCACCTCATCTGCGGCTCTTTCCCATCTCATCCTCATTTTCACCTAAAAGATGAGATGGGATGGGAAAAATGGGGAAAATTTCACCTCACCCAAAAGATGGGCAAAGTCTGCTATACAGTATACAGTACTCCTGCGCGGTGCTCAGTAGTAGTAGAGTAGTGCATGTTGTGCAGAGTGGAAGCAGTCGGCCTGGCGTGTGCTGTGAGTGCAGTGCACTCGTGATACCGGCTGCTGCAGAAACATCAGAAGTTTGTTCAATGAATGAATTTCTCGAATAAATATGACTCAGATAAAAAGTCATTAATTTTTGTTATCTCCGTACGCTTTTAGTTCCTTTGCATATATAATGTGTTAGTTTGAACTTTTCTTATTATTGTTAAATATTGTAAGATGGAAATATCAAATATGAATACAAGGTTTTATCGCGCATGAGTACGGTGCTGTAAGGCGGTACAAGCGTGCAACAACAAGGATGATTTTTACCATCGATGATTTTCACCGCGTTATATCGCATTTCTGGCACTGTGGCACGGCGCGTTCACATATCGATCCAGATTCCAGAGTGATCCAGGACACCTGGATGCGATCTGTTATTTAATACCTGGTGGCATCATTATAAAGCAGCATTAGGGATATTATTTTACAGCATCGTTCCACTTCCGCACTAGCTACGAAATCTGTTTTCATGATTTGGCCGAACCGTGTCCAAATATATACTGTGCGTTCTTGTCCAATTATTTATAAAGGTGACGGTTGATTTTTCACGATAGCTAGCATTTCCGAGTCCGTGCGCATCTGCCATCGGAGAAGAAACCTTTAATTTATGCCCTCATCGTATAAAGAATCCTCGGCAGCACGATGATCATCACGCCTGTAGCAGCTTCCCAAGAATTAACAAAGTAAGAGATTATCGATGCGGAAAAGTATAAGGTGCGCCTTATTACGCCGCTTACGGATATATGTGTTCAGGCTATCCGTTACAAGATAAGCTCAGCAAAATTTGTCAGTTTCTCGGTGCACTGCCGTTTTTCATGTCGTCTTAAATGTTAACGCTTTTTAATTGGTTTGTTCATGTGTATTGCTGTTGTCAGAATGAAGTTGTTGTTTAAAAGGGACGCGAGGAACAAACAAGAGCAAGTGGCGATCATGCGGCTACGCCGTTTGTGGGAGGAGCGCTTTCATCCGACAGAAAAAGGCTGGGGCGTCTTCGACATCGCGCTGAACATGGACAAAAACATTCTACTCATTGCGGCATTTGAGAAGGGTTTCTACCGATTCCGGCTGGATCAGACCACCGGCGCCATAACGGAGAAGGTGCAGATTAAAGAGAAATCTGGCCACCGCGGCTTCGTCATCAAAGTGTCCTGGCAGAATTCCGGAAAACGATTTGCCACATGTCAGTGACGGAAAATCACCTTTGAGAAATTTAATAATCGCTGCATAAGTATTTTAATTATTTAACTTTTTTAAAATGTTTTTTCTTGCAGTGTATGGTCATTTGTAACGCCTTGATGTGCTTTATAGGTGGCACTGATCAGCTTCTCATCATTTGGAAGGATGATTATACCGTGGAAAAACAGATCCGTATAGCCGAAGTGCCGCAGTGCATCGCGTGGAATCCCAAACCGCAACATGCACATTTACTGTGCGCCGCCGCATCGGAATTGATTAGTGTGAATTTACCGAGGGATCCGCTGTTCTATCGCATGCAGAGCACCATCTGGAGTATTGCATGGAATAACGCGGGAGAGATTTATGCTCTGGGATTAGATAACGGCGCTGTAAGTGTATCGCACTGTTTTTTATCCGATTCATGTAACGTGTACTTGATATTTGTTTTTGCAAAAAAACAGGATCATATTTGGACAAAATTATCTGTAATTATGCAGCATAAATTTGATTTACCATCCAGACTCTAATGCTGAACGGTAGCGTTAAACAGCATTGGCTGTAACGAGCTGCCTAATTTTGACTTCTTAAATTTATTTAAGGATTTTATTTATACTTTGCGGCTATGCATCATCTTTTTCGGCAGGTGAGTTTGCGGGATCGTCGAGATGCTGAAATCTGCATCATCCACCGATCGGCTCATCCCGTTTGGTATCTGTGCTGGGCACCCACTGATTCACCGCGGAGTGGATTGTTGACTGTGGCCGACTGGAATCGTACGATATCCTTTTACGAAGCGACCGGCAAACAACGCGGACAGGACTACAACATTGGATTTCTGCCGTTGTACTTAACGTATTCCGCTGATGGGCAGATCATGTACGTCTGCGGAGGAGATAAAAAAGTATGAATTTTTGAATTGCAAATACAGCGCTACAAAGATAGCGAGTTCTTCTGTCTAACTGCGCGATGATTATCTGCAAAGGTACATGCGCTTAGCACCGAATGTGCCTACATCGGCAAGGTGGCGGATTTACGCAGCTGGCCTCTGAAGTGCATTCAACGCCGACAGGAAGCCAGTAAAGCGGATTTTCTGGTGGTCTGTGGAGACGGGATGCTTAACCTGGTGGAGACCGTGTATCAGAAATGCTCTCACATCCATTACGCGACATACGCATCGCGAGAAGCTTTAGTCAATGTTCTCATCCGTGGATTGGAGAGAAATCGCGAAGTATGTGGTACAGTCTCTATTAATTTCGTGCGGAAAGGAAATTAGTGTCTGTAATGTTAACTGTGCTGCAGGTCACGATTCCGGTGCAAGATTCTATTAGGAAAATTGCGGTGTATCGTAATATGCTGGCCGTAGCGGTCTCCGATGCGGTGCTGGTATTCCGGCAAAATCCCCACGAAATGATGCTAAAATATGAAAGTCTTGCTCGCATCGAGCAAACTATCGACTGCAACCAAATGCTGCTGGCCGCCCAGCACCTGGTTCTGGTTAATGCGACATCCTTTCAAACCCTGACCTTTACCGGCCACATCGAACAGACGTGGATGACCGGGGAGGAAATTCGCTATATTAAAGTGATCGGTGGCAGACCGGGTGGCGAAATGGTCTTGCTAACTCTGCAGAACGGCAACATTGCCAAGAGTATGCTAAATGTGCCCTTCCTGCACGTCATCGTCAAAGTGCCCACGGTGCCGGTGTGCGCTGATCTTAATCAGAATTTGTCCAAGCTGGCTGTGGTGGGGGAGAACTCCGTGTTGTATGTGTACGATATGGAGAGTAAGCGGTTATTGTACCAAGAACCGAGTGCGGATAGTTGTGCGTGGAATTTGAATCATCCAGATATGATTGCGTACTCGATGCACTCGTTGTTGAAGATCAAACTGGGTGAACATAAAGCCCATACGCGAAGGATGGAGGCGCCCTTGAATGGGATGGTGGTGGGATATGCCGGCAGTAAAGTGTTTTATGAAACCGATGGGAAGATTGTAGTTGTGGATGTTCCACACGCTATGTTGATTCATCAAAGTATGGAGGCGAAGAATTTTAAGGATGCGTACGATATTGCATGTTTTGGCGTTTCGGAAAGCGACTGGAAGGTATGTTTTAATTGCTACTTTCGCTTAAGCGTATCACAATACAGTTTTGATAAGAAGAACCTGAAAACAGCTCTTCCGATAATCGCACAACTTACTCGTATTATATACTGAACGTCTGAGTGGATGATATGGTGTGTTTATTTTTTTTTAAATTTTGTAGATGCTAGGAGCTCGGGCACTGGAAAATCTCGAGTTCGCCGTGGCAAAAAACTGCGTGAGAAGGGAAAGGAACTATCCTCTGCTAATGCTGATCGACGAAATTGAGCAACGCAGTAAAGTGGGAGACGGGAATGCCGATTTGTACCGGGGAGAGATATTCGCTTTCCAAGGCCGGTTTGACGACGCAGCACGATGTTTTAGTGCTGGTGGACGATCGGAATTGGCGGTGAAACTGTTCACTGATCTGCGCCAATTTGCCCAAGCCGAGCAGTGGGCGACGACGGAAGAGCAGCGTAAAGCGCTCCTGGAAATGCGTGCTGATTGGGCAGTCAAAGCCGACAATAAACGTGACGCGGTGGAACTGTTTCTACAGTTGGGTGATGTGGGCAGGGCACTGGAAACCATGAAGGATCTAGGGTGGGGAAAGAGGATTTGGGATACAGCCAGAACGCTGGATTCGATTAGTCAAAGGGATCTTATCGCAACGGCCGCCAAGTGAGTTATACAATTAAATGCTAGAGTACGGACCAAAGTTACCAGTATTCTCACTGCCGGTTAGTGCCAGATATCTGATGTAAATTGGCATCTTTAGCCGCTTTAATTATGCTCAGCTTTGCGTAATTAAAATATTTGCAGAATTTCGACTCGCGTTATAGAATAGCTTATGAAAGTGGAAAATATCTTGAAAAGTTGTTCCACTTTACGGGTTTCGCTACAATCTTTAAACATCGTAGTTTTATTTTATGCACTTTTTAATTATGGATTTTTGACTTGCCTTGCCTTACTGCAAAATACATCTGTAATTAAGTCAGTGATAATTTTAAAAAATTTCACATAGCTAGTTATTTACCGCCTATGCCTACGACAGTGTCAGCATCCTTTCGTTTACGATAAAATTAATATCTTGATGCAAATATCAGTCGCAGTTAATGATCCACACTCTGTCGCTGCAGTTACCTTCGGGATATGAACGATGTAATGTCAGCGGTAGAACTGTACGAGCGCATCAAGGAAATTTCAGTAATTGTTGAGATCATGCTGAAACAAGGCGACTGGACCTATTTGCTGTCACTGGCCGATCGGCAGCCCTTTTACCGGGAGATGATCCTCATGCCATACGGCCAGCACCTCATTGAACATGACCGTTTTACCGAAGCGCAGTCGGTGTTTGCGCGAGCCGGGCACCCGGAAGTGGCCACCGCCATCCTGTCTGAACTAGTTACTATTGCCATCGACATCCGTCGCTACAGTGATGCCGCGTTCTACAACTGGCTTTGCGGGCGAAATGCGGAAACAGCTGCGGAGAATGACGACAAGAAATCCAAGGAAGCTGAAAAATTCTGTGATCTGGCAGATATTTATTATGCATACGCCATTGTGGATGCTGCTGTGGAAGATCCTTTTAGTACACACCCAGTGGAGACAATTTTTAATTGTAGCCGGATATTGGCAGCGCGGTTATGGAATGCTGAAGTGATGCCAAAAGGAATACTGCTGGCTAATGTTCTATACGTACTGTCAGTGTGGGCGACCAAAATGGATGCCAATAAAACCGCGCGAATTTCACTGGAGCGGTTAAGGGACTTACGGCTTCCCAAAACTCTTTATGGAAAATTTACGGTAGGAAACCCATAAAAAGAGTTTTGAACTAATTCATAACAGCAGCTTGTTTTGAACTTATGTGTTAAAACACGTAACGGCCATCTTACCGTGAGGAATGCGTACCGTAAAGGTCAAACTTTCAAAGGGTTAATGTACGGAATTGCCTTTTTTTGCTATGTTTTGACTTTATGGCACTTTAGCAAAGCAAATAACCTGTAAACAAAAATCCTGTACATCGATTAGGACAGATCAGTAAATATCGCATGTGTATACAGGTACCTGCAGTCAGTTTTACGGTGCTCATTATTATTAAGTGCAACAACGAAAACGAACATCCAGGACGTAAACCTCGTTTAAAGAACGTTATATGAATTATACGTTATAAGTTTTGTTCACAAAACTTTAAAAAAGATTAGGTCATGCGTGCCTTTTTCCCTAATTTGTAGTAGGGGTTTTTTGCCGCATAACAGCATACGGAACTCAATAAAGGTTGAGATATATAGAAATTAAACGCAGAAATGAGTGAATCTGGGACTAAGTAAGAAATCTGCATGTAAGAGAATTATTTTATGCCAAACGTGCCTGTTATTTGAAAGGATGTTAGTATTGTTAAATTTATTAAGTGCAGTAATAAAACGTGTTTATTGTAATGCTCACATATATAACCGAGAAATCGGAAGATCAAAATGAAGAATTCGGATCTATTTTTGCGATACTAAATCTCCATGCATTTTACAGGAGACATTTGTGCACAACCGTGTCCAACCATTTCAAGATCCGGAAAATCTTTCGGATTACTGCCATTCCTGTTCCTCTTTCAGCCCGCTCCTGAACACCCGTAACGGCTACCATTGCCAGAGTTGCGGCAACGCGCTAACATATTGCCAAGTGTCATTTGAATATCTGCCTTTAGTGGAATTCGTTCTGGCCCCGGGTATATCCCAGACCGAAGCTATCACGTTGATTGCCGCTGATCCATCTTCCGTCCAAGTATCCAGCCCGTCCCTCCGCAGGCAGCAGGACAATATGACCAATTTCCAAGTGGAGCGTAAAACAAGCGATGGTCAAGAGGAATTTTTTGCGGAATGGAAACGAACCGGTCCGATTGTGGCCAGCCGAAAAGTGTTACAGCAGCTGAAGGAAGAAGATGTGGTTGTGTTAAAGTATTCTTCTCCGCGAATGTGGCGCTTTTTCCGGAATATGTTGTCCGATGTGGCGCGCGTAGTGACTTGTGAATCCTGTTGGAAATTGTTTAGTTATGATGACTATTTCAGTGCGGTACTAGATTTGGGGTGTTGCCCATTTTGTAGAGATGTAAAGCATGTGAATAATGCAGAAAAAGGTTATAACTGATTCATTTCCGGAGTTGTTTTTTCGGTTTACCTACGGGTAGTAAGAGAGAAAAAAGAGCCGCATTGTTTTAACATGAAACACCACATTAATTATGCAGTTCCAAAGTCGTTATTGATTTCGACTGTGTCAGAAAGAGGCGGAATTACAGTCATGAAGTACTGCAGAGCTATGAAAACATAACTGACCGCGCACCAAACCTGTAACAAAACTTGTAATTTAATAGTTACACATGTTGGCTGAATTAACAGCGAGTTACGTTTTCGAATTTGTAAAGATGGGTTTTTAATGAAGTGCATAAACGCCGTTTTTAATGAAGTGCATAAACGCCGAAAAAGAACGCGTCGAGACAAAACTCTCAAGCTTGATGATTTCCTGTTGCACTGCACGCATTCGCAGTATGCACTAGAAGTACGCGTTCCTTCACGGGTAGATGGACACGTCACGGTTGTTTGAAAAAATTCATGCTTTTCAGCTTTTGCTAAAGTTCGGCATTCCCTAGATTTTCTGATACATTTTACATTACTCTGAATTCTTTTATTCAAACATTTTGAGTAGAACCTCTTTTGGTCGTTTTGTTACTTTCTAAACAATATCATTCTGCGCAGTTTGTTGCTGTTTACCTGGGTTGCTGATCTGCCATCTGCTTCAAAGTTCTCAGCTGACACTGCACAGTGTACTTATAACTTACAATTAATTCGTTAACTTTGTGAAGCCACCTGGAGCAGCCTGGAGCTTGCTGGCAGTTTTCAACTCCTCCGTCAAGATGTCTAGCACGAAGCAGCCTCGCGAGAAGATCAGCAAAATGTCCGGGGAAGTCGTCGACAGCAACCCGTATTCGCGACTGATGGCGCTGAAACGCATGGGCATCGTGGAGGACTACGAAGCCATCCGTCAAAAGACCGTGGCCATCGTCGGCGTCGGAGGGGTGGGCAGTGTGGCCGCCGAGATGCTGACACGCTGCGGGGTGGGGAAGTTGATCCTCTTCGACTACGACAAGGTGGAGCTGGCCAATATGAACCGTCTGTTCTTCCAGCCGGATCAGGCCGGCCAGAGTAAAGTGGAGGCCGCCGCGACGACACTCTCCTTCATTAATCCCGATGTCACCATCGAGGTGCACAATATGAACATCACTTTGATGGACAAATTTGATCTGTTTATGGAGCGGATTCGACGGGGCCATCCGGGGGTACAGGGCCCGGTGGATCTGGTGCTGAGTTGTGTGGATAATTTCGAAGCGCGGATGGCGATTAACAAGGCCTGCAACGAGCTCAATCAAGTGTGGATGGAGTCGGGTGTCAGTGAGAACGCTGTTAGCGGACACATCCAGACCATCATTCCAGGTATTTATGTTATTGCTTGCTGGGTTCTTGTGTGAAAATTTGAAGATTGAATTGGTAAAAGAAATAATTTTTGTCTTGTTTCTTGAAAAACCATAATTTTGTTAAAAAATCCGGTGGTTAAAAATGCGTCGTGTTTGTTTTTTTTTTGCTAGGTATAGTTGAGCTTTAAATTTTCGTTTAGAAGTTCTTTGCCAGAATATCTTTTGCGTTCTTATTTTTCGCCGTACTGCGACGATAAATTTCTTTTGCGCTACCGAAATTCGAATTAGTGAAAAAATATCAAAACTTACAGTGTTAATAAATTATTGCACCTGGTAGAAAATGAGACTTATTGTAGAATTCTATATTTTTTTCTGCGAAAAGGCGACTTAATTTGCTAAAAACCCTGATAGTGTGGATAAGTGGTTATCCCAAAATAGAAGAACAATTTGAATTTAAATTAATTACATCGAATCGACTTGTAAATTAGATACTCTACTTTGTAATTAAATTGTGTTAATTATCGCTTTTTTTGCAGGAGAAACTGCTTGTTTCGCCTGTGCACCGCCATTAGTCGTGGCTTCTCAAATCGATGAACGCACACTGAAACGTGAAGGCGTCTGTGCCGCCAGTCTGCCCACCACCATGGGCATTGTTGCCGGATTATTGGTTCAGAACAGTCTGAAGTATCTATTGAAATTCGGCAAGGTATCCATGTATGTCGGCTATTCGGCGCTGGAGGATTTCTTCCCCACTTGGGAACTCAAGCCCAATCCGCAGTGTGATGATCGGCAGTGCGTCCATCGTCAGGCTGATTTCCACAAGAATCCCGTCAGCCGGAAGATGGATTTCATGCTGAAAGCGGAGGAGACAGCCGCACCCGTGCATGAAGAGGACTTTGGTATTGTCGTAGTGGATGAGACAGCCGCGAAGGATTTGCAGGATGATACTAAAGTCACGGAAGGATTACGGAGTGAATACACCAAGGACGATCAAGGAACGAGTGCGGGGCAAGGCGATGCTGTAGCGGATACGAATGAAAGTATCGAGGATCTTATGAAACGGCTCGGATCTTTATGAAGCGTTCATTCCGTGTAGTTTTTCCAGAATTTTTATGATTACTTACCGATACCGGTGTTTGTACGTTTTTTTTTCTAATTTTGTATGCGTTATCAGGTTGTTAACTTAGGGCAAAGTTTTGCGCAAAACGTTTTTAATGACAAGTTTTGAAAGGGGAGAGACAAATTGTGCCGCTGAATTGAACGAATCATGCATCATCGCAATGTAGCACACTTGCAAATGTGTGCTGTAATCTTCTATACGAGTATAATCCTTATAAGAGTGCACGTAACAGCGCAATACATTAACGTATGATAAACTTGTATTTATTATCTTCCGTTTTGTGAAAACAATATTTTCCCTTTCAACAGCAGCATTTTAACAAGCAAAATTGTTCAGGATGCGATAGAAAAACTTTCTACAGCAAATCGTTGCCAGTTTTATATGATTTTTGAGAAAACAAACTCATCAATTGGTGATTGTTATAATTGTTTTCCTGCGTTGCGAACGGTACATCAGAATTTCGACTGAAGAATCTGCGCCACGGCGTCGATGTCTTCCGTATCAGTGCGTTCCACTGCGGCTTTGCTAATTTCCGGAGGTTGATCATTTTGTGCATTTCCGTCCGCGGGCACACATGCCACGGGTACCGAAGGTTCCGGCGGTGGAACAGATTCAATGGGGATTAGTGTCCGGCACAGCGTCAGTACGCCAAAAGGAGTTTGTACAGTTTTATCTTCCAAGCCCAGCACTCCAACCGGGACTAGACGACTACAATGCACTTGATGCTGTGCAAGATGCGATTGCTGACATTCTTCGCTGCAGTATAAGGTCACGCCGCAACATAGATACTGTGCACGTCTCTGACATAAACAACACTGCAAAACATTAGATGTTTCAGGGCAATCAAAAACTCATACACTTACGCATAATGCAAAAGCCCGGATAATCCTCGTGGGTGAGCCCCTTTCTACACTAATTCAAGAAAATCCACATACCCAAAATTCTCGTTTAGTCGCGGTGATACACTCATTCTTATCCTGAAGACCTTCTTTCCGACCCGACTCGAAAACAGCAGCATCTGCGCAAAATAAAACGATCTTCAGCGGAAAATATTCGGATTAGGACAAAACATCCTTACGAAGAAATGCCTCATTGGTGGCCCGATACGTGGAGAACAAACTTTGGAATCGATTGAAAACATTCTCGAGCAACTGCAACATCCCAAAAATCGTACCATTTACTATTTAGTACATAGTTTCTCTAATTTACGGTCAATCGTGTGCTAAATAATTTGTTATCGTACAATAAAATTATACAATCACTTGTTGAACATTAGTTCCACTTTAGTAACAAATATTCAATATACGTTGTACAATTGCATACTTTATACACAGTGCCAGAATGTACAATACGCTGGTCGTTGTAAAATTTTAGCGTTTACATAGTCTTACGCACCCGTTGATTGTCGATAATCTGCTGAAGATAGATTTGTTCAAAATTCTCTCGAGTCTCCATGAACCGTCGGAAACAATCAATGTATGTGCTTTGAAAATTGGTCAGATTCTGTTCGGCTTCGATGCGGCGTAACTCTTTTAAGCGATTGAAATCGTCAAAAAACGACTGCATTTGCTGCAACAATATGACCTTTATCGTTAAATCTGCACTGCAAGGCATCTTACACAAACAATTGCGGCGTACTTGTTCGATATCACCACTGCTATCGCTAATACTGTCATTTTCCATCCCAAGAACCATGGGTCGCGAAAACGGCATCCCGGTCGTATAGACCGAGGGAAAGGGCATCGGCTCCATATGCGGAAACGAGGGAAAACCGGTACCGGGCATATCCATCCGTGGGATGACCCGCATCGGCATACTCACCGGCTGGGCATTGTTATTCATCGCCGGATAATTCGCCGTCAAGGAATACAGCAGATTCGTACAGTCCACCTCCACCGCTTCATCATCCCCGCTAAAGTGCACCAACAGACTGGGTCGTCGTTGGTTGCGCGTGTCATTGGCCGGTATTGTCGGCTGATCCATGGGGATTAATTGCACATTCGTATTTGGCGCCGGCTCGGAAAATATACTGACTGGGGCCAGCGGATTAGAATACAACTGCGGCATCTCCATTTCCATCAGCAATGAGGTACGCCGGCTGGAAAGGTCATGACGAGCGTTAGTCGCATTTATTGTCAAGGTGTTCCGCTCATCAATCGATTCATCCGTCTCCGAATCAAACAACAGGAGTGGCTCTTCCGGCACCGTGTAATCCGGGTACGAAACGCTAGGAGCCGGGAGTTTTCTGCGTTTGCTGGGATTTTCGTACATGTCGTAGTCTGTTTCGTTGGCGGATTCCGCCGATGGATCGCCGGTGGCGGCTTCGTTACTTCTGGCGCGGGAGAGTTTGGAGTTTCCCCGTTTACCAGATTTTGCCGGTTTTTCCGATGAACTGTAGCTGGATGTTTCGTCGTCATTGCTGTCGGCTGCGGATGGCCGGTTTCGCATCGGTTTGGCGCGGATCTTCTTCACCCCGTCGGCGCCGTAGGTTGTACTGCTTAAACGTGTGCGTCCATTGAAGGGTGTGTTCTGTGGGAAGAACTCCACACAGATATCGGACAACTTTAACAATTTGGAAATCAAATTCCTGGTAAAATAAAAAAAATGATTTTGCCATATAATCGAGAACTCTGCTACAAAATACGTTTGTTGTTACAGATGACTTACCGGCACTGCTGCAGCGCCTTAACGTACATCTCGTGCTGCTCTCTTTTTGGTTCGTTTGGTCCCTCCAACTCGAAATCTTCGTTTAACATCAGCACCGCGTCCTTTTTGACACGACCACTAATTATAAATCGTAAATTTATTTGTGTCCTTTATCGGTGCCAGATGCGTGTTCGTGTCATAAATATATCTTGGCAAAAAAATTAAACTCACAATTCCAGTGTGCCGAAAAATCGCACGAAAACACATTGTCCATCAAATTTATATATGATGGCCGGCCACACGCGATGAGGAAGAATGACGGAAACAATCATGTGGCGATGAATCTGCAATCATGAAAAGAAACATGCGGCAGCTGTAACAAAATAATCAAAAAGTACTTTGATTTATAAATTAGAGTGCTTTTTATGACAAAATGCGATGGACAATTTATGTTTTTCTTACACATGGGTCACTCATAGCTCGAATGACTGCTTCCTCCAAAGATTCCGCTCCTGATGTCGGCAGGCAGCGTTCGAAGCACAGCTCACACCAATCCATGCTGTTGCATAGTTGCTTGCAAGTTTCCATGATGAAGACGGCAATACGCGTATAACCACTGTCCACTACAAAAACAACCGCATTATTATCGTCCTTCACTGTTTCCATATTGCAAACGCAGTAACGTTATAGCAATTAATAATAATTAAGCGGTAAGCACCACTAACGGTACAAGCAACGTTTGTAGCAAATCGGAGCTAATCGGGGCACAATATAATGCCGCATAAATGCTTTTACACACCATACAGCACGCACCTCCATGAACGACAAGACTACGATGCAGCAATCCGCGGAGATCCCCCAGGAACTGAGCATACGTGGAATAGCGCCCCTCAACAATTTGCTGTGTAATAAAATACTTAAATTTCTGGGAAATTAAGAAAGACATCTCAGTTAAACTGACACAAGTAATCAGCAACAGACAACTCGTCGGGTTAGTTCAGGATTGTATCTGTACGAGTAGTGAAATTAAGGCGCAGCGGTTACGCAGAACATGCCGTGCTCGAAGTTATTTATTTATACTTGTAATGCTCACTACGCAAACGAGACAGATCAATCCCATTGTTACCAATAAAGAAAAGATTAAAACGTGCCAAAATTATAAAGGTAGTACATATAAATGTTCCGCTAAAACCATCAACTTTCTACGACCTTGTCAAATTTTTCGGAATTAGGTACGCGTACATATATATAAGTCAAAAAGGGTGTCATTTGCTAACCTGTCGGAGGCTCTGTAAAACTGCCGGGGAAACAACCTGCTCCTGTCCTTCTTCCGGTCTGTAGGCTGCTGAGGGATTTTTGGCGAAAGGACCTTCCTGATCCTACAGGTAATTAATTTTAATCACTGTCTTCGTCTCGGCTAACCTTCTTCCAAATGCAGCGACATTACCCTAGCTAGTTTTTCTTCCACAAACCGAAGCATATACAAGTAAAACTGTTGGAGCTTTTTCTCGCCGACACGCTGCATCACATTCAGCGGATTACGCTTCTCCAGTCTAATTGCCTGTAAAATGCATATATCTGTTAAGTCGAAGCAATGTTTTACAACATCGAAGAAAATACGACTTAAGTGCTGACAGCGAGAATAATATTTCTGAATGTTACTAATTATTTTCGTATCATTTTCTATTAACCTGTGTACAATTTCATAAAACGTTAGCATATCATTTTACAGAGATTTACCTGGCACTCAACGCAGACCGGTTCTGGGACACGTTCCTGTGTCTTTCCAACGGTGATCCAACATTGCGAGTGGAAAGTTCGAGAACATTCTGTGCAGTTGTAAACCGTTACATTGCCAGAATTTTCCACACCGCTACCGTGATTTCCGGTGTCCTCATGGTTAGTGTCGTGGTCCACTGCCACTGGATTGATGCTAACAGAGGCTGGTGTATGACAAATCCAACAAAAGCGATCTAATGCCTGCATACAAGCTTTATTAGATAAAATGTTTCCATAATAAAAATGCGAGCAACTATGTATCTAAACCGACTACGAGTACACTCGGTAGAGCTTTAAATTATGTAATCTAAAGTAATTACTCGTCAGTGTTCACTCTTGACATTCGAGTTAACTTTTCGTTCATCCGCATACATACCACCAAATGTGGTATTAAATTATATCACCAACATACCTGTTTAGGTTTGCTGACCTTATTCAGTAAATCATTGCTATCCGGATCGGCATAACCATCAGAGCCTACAATGGTAACACAGAAATATCGATGTGCATAAACTGGTTATTTCTATTCTACTGTATACATGCAGATTGCTACTCACTCAAATGAACAGTAAATAATTCTATGTTTTAGATACTTTCGAAGTATGGTCCTGCAGTATGGACCTGCAGTATAGATGTTATAAAAAAGGTTTGTCTACCTGTTGCAGTAAAATCCGGAGGTGATGCGGATCCGGTACTCCGTATGGCATCGTTTAGAAGGTCATCCGGGGACTGTGCCTGGCTCGTTTGGGCTATCTCCATTGGCCCCATGAGTAATGATTAAACGTGATCCACTAACTGCACGCGTTGTATATTAATCACAACCTGGATGAATTCCGATGGCGCCACTTCGCAATAAAATGTAAACAAGGAATGATTCCGGTAAATCAAAGGGAATTCCAAGATGCATAATCAATCGCTAATAATCCACGAGCTTGACACAGCTGCTCAGTTATTTCACAAAATCACGATACATATATAAAATCCTGGCTAATATCGCCGAATTTTATTTAACCCCTAAACAAGTGGAGAAACTTTTCACAGCGCTGCCTAATGTTACGCTTACGGAGTTCCAGAACAGCACTCACCGGTCAGCTCTGCAAAACTATGGACTCCTTCTGACGGACCGTAGCAAAATGGCGGAGTGTGACAGACAATAATGAACTGCAGGATGTAACGCTGCGTGTTGGGGAAAAATCGATTAAGGAAACTGGTGATTTGTAACATCATGCCAAGTATGACTGTCTTCCATGTAGTAAGTGCAGCGGATACGCATTTTTCACTGCTATATCTTCCGGCTAATTGAGGCTGGAATGACGAATTACATATTCCAAGTAAATCACAGTTAATTGTCAGGCTTGACTTTCACCGCTAAATAAAAGATCGCTCCAGGTACTTCCTCTAATAATTATTGTATAGAAGCAGCAGAAAAAGAATGACATAGAATGCACAACAAGCCTTCATCGCACCAGATTATACAAGTCAACAACGTTTTTTTTTCATTTTTGTGCATTATTATCTGCTTGCACTTAGACATTTCGTAATCCCAACACAACGCTGTCGGCTGTTTGTGTAGCCTGATGTATCCACTATACTCAGTGTCGGATTTAGTGCATTTACCAAATCGTTGAATAATTTTTGTTCTATGCACTTTCACTGTAAAACCGCATGTTTCAATTAATTTTCACAGTCGACTTCAGCCGAGTTCAGCGCTTAGTAATGCGAGTACATATATAATATGATAGTCACAACCTTAAAAAACAACGCTTTTACTAAACTTTCATCATATGCACAACGCTGTAGCCATTACCTGTCTGCCGTGCTTTTATGTGTCATTTTATGCTTATGCACGATAGTTCGCTTAGTAGTCCTAGGTCTAAAACTTTCTTTAAATATACCGTGTACAAAACGTCTACATGACAAAACAAAACTGCGCTAGGTAGAGTATATCCTTCACCGGAAAAACATTTCACCGGCTGAGTGCACATTTTTGAGAAAGCACAAGACAACAATACTCTGATGCAAATAACGCGAGATTTTTCAAAACAGTTAAGATTCACATCCATTCATCAACCACGGATTAGAAGTACCTCTACAAAAATTACCCTTTCACCTGAAACCAGTGGTTCATTTGTATCGCGGTGGTTGATTGGCAAGATCTAAAAAGGGAAAATGTGAAATCCTTTGAGAAATTTTAATTTGTCCACTGTCGTCCAGATGATTCGGTTATAAAATGCAACCATACCTTTCGGAATTCGCAATACTGCACAGCTTAATCCGCAACGAAAACGAGATACGTATACGTTATCCAGTAAAATCCATCTATCCGTAACGTCATCATACTGTTCCACACTACTCTGACAGTTTCCGGTGGTGTCTCCACCCATAGCGTATATCTTTCCATCAACATACGCCCCTCGCGCTAATCGGCGTGTTCTGATCAAATCACCTGTGACAAAAACATCGGCACTGAAGATTTGTTTAAATACACAAAAAAGTTCAAACTTTTGTTCAAACACAAAGTGAAGACTATGCAGTTTCGTTTCGCTGACCAGTTTCGAATTACTATCAGAGCATTAGCCGTTATCAAGTACCAACTACGTATAAAGCATACATTTTTCCGTCCACTGATTCATTTTCACATCGTATGCTTCCACAGATGACAGATGTTTCACACCACCATATCCACCTACATCCAGCCCAAAGGTTTAAAATAACTGCGGATTTATTGCGCAGTCCTGTTCAAAACTCACCAAAAACAACAATCACTCCGCTTGGTAAGGCACACGCAGAACAATCCACCCGACTCGTCGCCATACTTGGTAAAGCGCTCCATCCATTCGCTTTCGGATCGTAACAGAATCCCGAACGAACAGCAGCACCCTGCATGCATCCACCGAAAACATACAGGCGTCCTTCACAAGCAGCGATCCCAAAATGTGACAGTGGCACCGGCAGATCGGCCACGGAACGCCATTCTCCTATCAATGGATCATAGCATTCCACTGTCGATACTTGTCGCCACGCGCTGTTACAACCACCCACAACATAAACACAGTTGTTCAGCGCCGCCACACCGGCATCACCGCGCGCTGTCTGCATTTCCGGCATATCTTTCCATTCATCCACACACGGATTGTAGCGCACGACGCGTCGCAGCGCATGCAAACCACGCGACTCGCTGTATCCACCACAAACAAACAGGCTATGATCTTCCGTTGTGGCCATACCGACACCAGTAGCTCGGTAAGGTACCAATTTCAGTGGCGACCAATAATGGGTGACGGGGTCGAAACACTCCACACAATCCAACATACTCTTGTCTTCTCCCCCGACACAGACAATAACCGGGACAGTACCTGTGCAAGCGAGCTGTTAAAAATAAAACAAAATTGCCGGTGCACTGCAAAGCCTATTTACCGTATGATATACGTGGTTGCACGGACACTGCATCTTGTCCCGATCCGTCAAGCATCTCTTCACCAGCGGCATTCAAGCATGGTGGGATCTGATCCGCCTCCTTCTTTTTAATAGCCGCGCTATCATTACCAGATATTTCCCGCATTTTATCGTCAACAGAACCATTCTGAAGGCAGGTCGACGAGTTGTCCTTTCTTTCGGCAGCTGAATATTCTGGCGGTTGGTCTATCGGTCCCATCAACTGTAAGTATTCCCCTAGAGAGCTAGGACTCAAAAGGACTGCCGCACATGTTGTATTATTTCGGGGAATTGGGGTTGTCGAGAGCCGCGATCATAATGCAACCAACGAAGTACAGCATAGAACACTTCATCTTCCGCTTGTACATTCAGGTTATCGGATCTAACTAAATCAACCAACTGCAAAAACAAAGATCAAAAATTATCATCTGTTTTTAACTGCATTGCCTGAAGGCGATGCTACAGATACAAATCCTACAGTCTAAATTAAGCAGTACTTCAGCAACGTTTTCGCAAAGATTCATACATTATTGCAACCTTCTTCTTCCTCTTACGTGTTCATTATCCATCTGCAGAAAATCGGAGCCATGAGAAACGGTTGAAAAATGCCGAAGCGCTAAGCTTTTGGCTTTTTCCGCTAGGTGTGGCCGGTAAATTTTACAATCGCGCAGGCTGTTTATCATGAGGCAATTTGCTACACCGATATGCTGTTCAGCGAATTCCCAGCAGATTTCAGCGATTGTGGGGATATCCAAATTCAGAGCGCCATGTAGAAGCGGTGCAAGATTACCATCATCCAAATGCAGTTCCGCGGAATACATACAGTCGATCAATCTGAAAGTGCGTAATGTGAATTACAATTTCCACAAAGAATAATAATATTTGAGCAGACGGATGTCACAAATAATAAATTTTCAATTTCTTAGATCAAAGGCTGAGCTCACGTGTTCAGAATGTCGGTAGGAACGTTTTCCACCCGCACTTCATCCTGCGAAGACACTGAATCAAAGAGTGTCCGAAAATATCGACTGTAAGCGCTGAGAAGTAGACGATGACAGGAGATTCTTCTGACAGATTCCTCAGATCCTTTTATGATCACATCGCATAATGATCCGTGTGCTCGCAGGTTCTGCAGTTCGCGAAAAATACTACACGTTGAGATATGCGCTAACGCTGCGTTCCTGCCGGATAAGATTCCCAGCGTCCCATCCTCCACTGGCGGCGCGGAAGCTTTTTCTGTCATCAATTTCGAACTAACTTTCGGTTTTGGTCCATTAGAGGATTCATTCTCCAACAGTCAACAGTACTTATAAGTTATAGAAGGGACCAAGAAAGTAAACAAATCAGAGACTTCAAAAACCCATAATTACACGAATGCGGAAAAACTACAACGGTAAAAGTAAAACTACTGTATGCAGTCATCACTGTGTCATTCTTTGCTCATGAACCGTAAAACTGAGAGTCTAAGAGTCCTGAACTTCAAAGCCAACAATAATAACAGAATGAAACATTCTAAACATAAAAATAAATTTAATATTCGCAAAATTTATGGTGAAGTCACCGAAGTGACCGAGTCCGAATCTGTCCGATAAATGATCATAAATCATAAAAAACACTTTCAGCGCTTTGCTACCTGCAGACTGAAGTACATTCGAGCCACCCTGAAGCAGCGGTCACCATGAAACTGAACCGATCACAAGCCTATGTCACGGAACTGACGGAAGTCACAAGAAACATTTGAAAGCGAAAGTTTTTAACTTTGATGTTTTGGTTTTCAAGCAAGTTTCAAGACAAATAATAAATTTTCAAATATTTATAGTCCTAAGTTCATGTGCTAGCCTTTTTTGTCGCTAGACGTCCTCTGGTCCTGCCTTTTTAATCCCCTCCGCATCTTCACCTATCTTCTGTGTCAACCAAAGATATCTTCCTTATCCTACTAAGGGAAGCGATTGGTGGTGATCCTGGTGTTGTTTGTAGTCTTAAGAGCGCAATGAAATGAGCAACTTATTGGATCGTGGACAGTCTGGTGCAGGGGAGGGTGATCTAGCCTTGGGTCCCGCTCTGCGAAATCCATCTGCCATAATCCCACCAACAGAAGGGACCAGACCCAAGGACGATCTACCCACCACAGGATCTTTTCAAACAGGCAGCATGAGCACTGCCCCTGTGCCCAGCAGTCACGATCCCCCATTCACCCCGGAATCCGCTGCTGTCAATATTTCTCCGGAAAATGACGGCAAACTCACCAAGCCCCAGGAAGAAGACAGCGCGGGGGTTCAGCCTCCCGCTTCCAGTGCAGCCAGTGCGATTCCCGCTGCCACTCCGCGTCCCGCGCAGCCACAGCTCGTAGCGGGGAAATTCGAAGTCACCCGTGTTACGGCGGCTGTGACCAACAACGCAGCCACAACTACCGTGGCCAAAGCGGGTGAAACAGCGAAGAAGGCGCATCCTGTGGCAGCGGAAGGAATCAGTGTGGCGATTGCAGCGTCTGCAAATCCAGGGATGGTCAACGTGTACACGACGGTGGCGACGGCTACTGTGCAGATTACGAAAGAATCGCAGGCGGCGGAAAATGATAGTAAGGGGGGTGAGGAGGATTCTGAGGATGAGGGGAAGGACGGGAAGGAGAAGGTGGTGGAGACCAGTCCCTGTGGGCGCTATCATAAGCGTCGTGAACGGGTATGATGCGATTTCGACAAGAAAAACAGAGCTGCAGAATAAAATGGCAGTTTGTTTTGGATGCAGGTTCTGCAACGTGAGGTTCCTGGTATCGATGCAGCCTTTCTGGCCATGGATACGGATGAGGGAAAAGAAGTTGTGTGGAATGAAGTGCAGTTCTCGGAGAAAAAGAATTTCAAGGATAAGGAGGTTCGTGATGAACTGCTAAAAATTATATATTATCTACGAGTAATTTATAGATGCTGTTCTACCTGAACGTATTAAATTGTGCATATAAATTTTGCTTTGCTCCATGTTTTTGGATTTCTCAACGCAAATACCGATGGCAGCTTCATCATGGGTAAACATTTTGTTTTAGGAACAAATTCATCAGATCTTCGATAATCTGATCAACCTGCACCATCCTAGCATTCTCCGATTCCATCGTTGGTGGACGGATATCGATGTGAATTCTGATAAACCAAGAGTAAGTAACGTATTCGTAGCTAGCCAGCGGATATGGCTGAAATACTGCGATCACATGGATATTTAAAACTAAAGCGGTACGTAAACGCTGATTAAAATTAAAATGGATTGAGGTAAAAAGTACGTACTTATTTATTCACTTGGAATATGTACAAAGACGAGAATCGCGCGCTGTTGAGTACGAGTATATTATAGGCGCAAAAATGGTTTAGGTTATCTTCATTACGGAGCACATCTCCAGTGGCTCGCTGAACCACTTTATCAAGACCAGCAAGCATAGTACAGCCACTGCTTTCTCCTCGGTGTCCGCTACGACATTATCAGGAAGTGCTTCTACAGCGACATCCCACAATTCCTCGCATATGCCGGAAAAGTCGTGGAAGCGCTGGTGTCGCCAGATCCTAACTGCGCTTAAGTAACGATATAACGGATTGGCGTTCTGTTAAGTGTTAACGGTTGTTACGATGTCTGACTTTGGGTGACTGCTATCATTATTAGCTACCTCCACACGGCAAAGCCTCCCATTGTTCACGGCAATTTGAATCTCGATACGGTGTTCCTTCAGCATAACGGACTGATTAAGATTGGATGCGGTAAGAATTTCTGGGATTGTCGTATACTTCTGCCATTTCTGAATCCATACTTTCTTTGATGCAGTGGCTCCGGATGCGATACACCAGCACGTTCGCACCTGTCGCGAGCACATCAATATCCGTAACCTTCATTTTGTTGCTCCGGAATATGCGTGTACGAATTTGCTTCCTTTTGCTTACGGGTTATTTAAAATCGAGTGGGGTTATTTAAAATCGTCAACTAATTTGCAGTCGAAACACTGTTGACTCCTGCTGCGGATATTTATTCATTCGGAGTATTGGCTTTGGAGGTAATTGGGAAGAGACCGCAGAGCGATTAGAATATGAAACATTTTTAACCATATATTAATTGTTAAGATGTGGATTTATGGAATTCATCCGCTACTCGTTCGAGAAAAGGAGAAAGAGCGCGAGAAAGAGAAGGAATTGGCTCTCGCGCAACAAGCATCTGCAAATCCCGGGGAAACAACTGCAGTCTCTCCTCCCGTTCAGCCCAGCACGGGGCCACCGGTTGCTTCCTTGTACCCCATCACCCCCGAAATGCTCAGTTTTACTCTGGAGACGTTGGAAGATGGCCCGGTTAAAAATATGATTCGCGATTGTCTCCAGTCCATACCGGAAATGCGAACATCGGCGCGGAATCTGCTCTTCCATCCGGCTTTCTTTGAAGTGCCTCCACTGAAGCAAATTGCGGCGTTTTCCTTTGTGGATTACTTTTGTATGCGCTCGTGAAATATATGCCTTTTTTATCAAGATGTTTTATTTTTGGTTTGCATTTAGCCGATCATTTGGATAACTGGAACGATCTGGCGGTTAGTTTGGGGAAGGATACAACGGGCGACTCAGTGATCGCGGAAATACCACGAAGTAAACAGGTCTTTCGGGTGAATCAACTGCAAAATGGGGATTTAGACAAATACCTTGAGGATATTCGGCAGGGAGTTTACCCACTAACCGCAACTGGGATACGCGTAAGTAGTATCATAATTTCTGTTCCTTTGTTTTGTTTCAAAACATTGTTTTATAAGTACGGATACGCGTTTTAGTCATTATTGTTATTGTTACCTTAACCATGCGAATGCTCTGCTGGGCTGTCCATTTCACTATTGCTACAGTGTTTTGTTATACAAAAATTATACCGGCGTTATTATTACAACAGCGCTGGTGGTTCGGTATGGAATCACCCACAACATCTCTCCTTACCACGCCAGCCCAGTCGACGCACGATGAGGGTGAATCCTACGGAGTCGGAGATGAATTTGACGATGACTTGGCTAATGAAGTGGAGACACGCCTGATAATGTCGTGCATGTGCACGGTGCGAGCCAAATACGATTCACCACTGGCATCGGTATGGTTAGCGTGGGATGTTGCACCATCCGTTTCGTTTTGCAGTACATACAGTGATGAAGTTTCTGCTGTAGCTCGAACTCATACTGCGTATGGAAGATAAGATGAATCGGCATCTGGTCTGCGATTTTGATGAAGAGATCGAATCAGCGGATATCTTGGCGGAAGAGCTAATGGAATATGGACTGATTAATGAAGTAAGAAGACTAAGATCATTGGAATCCAATCTTTTTCATCCGTTCTGAAAATTAATGGAAAATGTGTTTTGCAGCAAGATCTGAACAAGATGAGCGGTCTAATCGAAAGTACTCTGCGGACTAATCGCAGTCGCAAGAACGAGCATATCATGGGCGGATACATCAACGGCGACAAAACCGTTCCGGTGATGAACGGGGATGAACTGGGGGAATTTGGCAGTATCAGCGGATATTCCCGTCCCGTTGGTTCACAGCTGACCAGTGGAGAGAACGCGTGGGACGTGGTAGTGCGATCCCCGGTGACGACATTCAACGCCCTGCCCTCCGCAACAGCGCCCCAGACGGCGGTGACCAATGTGACGGTGTCGGTGAACGCTAATGGACCGAGTCCGTCGGCATTGACAGTGAACGTTGGTGTTGCCGCGCTGGTCGATCACGGAGGGGCGTTGTTGCCGAACGGACACAGTGTGTAGTTGCTGGTCCATTGCGTTACTGTGCTGACTGGCTGTCCCCGATGTTGTGGTTGATCTGAGCTGTTTCCCTTTTGGCTTTCGTTTATGTTAGTTCCTGCGCTCCCTTTTTATCTGTGAAACGGCAGCTTGTGGGTCCATGGATTGGCCGGGTTTGTTGTGAGAATATAAGTCGGGTTGGGCGTTATTTTTGGCTTTAGTGGTTGACTAAATGCGCTGAAGTGGTCGCTTGAGTGAACTGACTGTACTGCCTAGTTGCGGCCGATGACCTTGAACAGTTTAGTAAAGTGAACCAATTCAGTTGTGAAATTTCAGTTGAAGCTCTGCAAAAGTTGTTACATGGACTATAGTGAGACTGTGAGATACAGCGTTGGAAATTATTGGACTAAATTAAAAAGGAAAGGTGGATTTTATTAATTTTTATGTCGATTTGCCTGGTTCCACTTTTACGTCTCTGATCAATTACAATGACTAGGCTCATAACCACTCATTATACTCGTGTGTCACGAACAAGGAAATCTGTAAATGGGAAGAGTTCGATTGTTATTACTTGTAGGAGGTATTGCGCTAGCAATTTTGCTCTTTGCATTTTATACCAGATTGCACGTTATGCTTTTCCCATATCCTTACTACCGGCATCGGCGCTTGCTGCACAGCGCGGGATTGCTCTCACCACCAGCACAAGGTGATCCGCGTTTTTCGGATGTCCTACGGAAAAATTTCGATTATGTATTTGAAAATCCAGAGGTATTTCACTGATTTAATGGATTGCAGAGTAATAATTCCCCTGCTTTGTGTTGTCAGTTGGCAATAATGTGTCGAACTTTTCCACCAAAAAAATTATGAGGTCTTTTGAAATTTGATTCATCTTCATACTTCACGCAAATTAAGCTATTTTACTCGTAGCACCGATATCGCTGCTGACTTGTCAGCGACTGCATATGTACCTGATACCTATAAGCGATAAAAAGACGCTTGTGTGCTCAAAGTTTTTCATTGCATACTTGCAAACGAGTTCATTAACTTGTAAGTAATTCAGGTATTTTCTGACCTTATAATTTTTACTAAGAACCTGCGTTACACTAGTAGTGGATATTGATTTTTTCGCTCACCATTTGATGCACTCTTATGTTATATTTTTCTTCAGCTGGATAGTTTTAGGAAACTATATGCCTCGTCTTCCAGTTCGTGCGACAGCACGAACAGCCCTCCAAAAATCAGCACAGTGTTATTGGGCAGCAAATCTTTCGGTGGTTTCGGATCAGCTTTTAACAACGCTGTAAACATTTTTCTTTTCGCGATCACACCCGGAATCCAGCGCACCTTTCATATCGTTAACTACAACTGGTCTTACACCGATCTGGGAAAATTGTTCATCGATTTCACAGTCAACACAACATGCGCTATTTACACGCAGTTCGCGACAGGGCAAAACGAACTCTTAGAAAAGAACAAATTTTCGCTAGCGCTGACAACGAACCGCGCCTTCCCCATTCGGCTGATCGGCCCTGATGACCTTTACATCATATACCACGGACCTCACCATTATCAGCAACTGGACCAGGTCAAACGTGGCATTCGGCATTTGGTCACTATTCGCGGATTTGATGAAGTCTTTCGTCAGAAATCTCTTATAATGCGCGCATTATGGAATCCTGTACCGGCATTCAAAACCCTGATATTTGGTTTATACGAAGCGGTTCAACGGTTCGGATGTTATTATGCCGTGCACTTACGGCGCGGGGATAAGTTATCCACTCACGAAATGCGGCATATTTCAGCGGGAATGTATTATCAATCGGTTATGAATACTTGCCGGCAACAAAGCGCCATGTGTTGCACAAACCTGTTTGTTGTGTACGATGACCGGAAGCTGTACAATGAATTTCACCAAATGTCCGCTAAAAAATTTCGCGTTTTCGACTTGGGTAAGCTACTAGCAATGGAAAAAAAGTCCCGTTATGATTATACGATAGAACTGAATGGTATGAATGTGTATGATGTGTTAAAGGACAATCAATCACAGTGGTTCATACATACGCGAGAAGTTATCGTGTCCATTACCTTGTTGTCACTTGCTGATCATGTTTTTTGTACATTCTCCTCAAATTTTTGCCGTGTTGTTGCTTTGCTCAGAGGAAACCGTTGTGGTTTTGATACTTTACATTCTCTTGACACGTCCTGGCATAAAAGTTTGGAATAGCTTTATACTGCAGCTGACATTGCGATTAAAGGTTGAATTAAATGTTCTTTCCTTTTTTCTTCCGTACGTTCAGAGGTTTTTAGAAAAAACCTGGGAGTAGTAACAAATTAGCTATGCATATAATGAATGGCCACCAGATATAATTTTACAGATTTCTACTCATGATCATAACTTATAGGATTCAGCGTCAATAAAAAAACAGTCAACAGCTTGAAATCTACGTAGAATATAATCGATACAATACTATTATATTCTCTGCGTGTAACCGGTTTATGTAAATAAAGTATTTGCGTGCGTAATGCGTATTAAACATTTCGCACAAACAAAAACGTTCAATATATATGTCTACATTTATAACTGTAAGAAGGATCCGGAAGCACAACTTGTCAACAACTCCAGGTTGCCGGTGCCACTTTATTCCACCAGTTTTCAATTTATACGGGTAAAAACCGTTACTGCAATATTATGCGTACGTATAATTATATAGATTTTCATTCTTCGTGCTATTACATGATTTAACGGATGGGTGTGTCTCCATAAATCAGATTTCGAGAGATATAGAACTACTATAGCAGATTGCGCAGATTTAGCATCGTTTTACTAGTTTGTTTATTGAATTTTTATGTATATTTACATACGTATCCATGTTGAGGAAAGGTCCGCCGTGGTGCACTGTTGTAAACGGACTATGCAAAATATATGTTAATTGATGTTGGGAATTCGCGCCAGTTGGCCGGTTGGCTAGTTGTGCAATCAGCCTCAACATGGAGCATCGGTAGACGTAAATACCGGATAATTGGCACAACAGACTCACAATCTGGCTGTAAAAAAGGGCGGTGTAGCATTGACTTTTATCGTTTAACACTGTCTACACTCGGACAATGGATTTTCCGCTTTCGCTACGGATTATTGGAAGTTTACCTTTGACTACAAAAAAGACGCTGACAAATTTACTTCGTGTACGAACAGCTGTTGCTAACTCAGCAAAATAGGTAGTATCTGTGACGAATTTTGCTGTCAAACATACATTTATAATGCAAAATTGCACTATTAAATCAATAATAGTGCTCCACAAAGCAATAAAATCAAGAAATAAGAAAATATCGGCACATTCCGCGACTAGCCAATGTCCAATGGAGAGTAACAGTGCGCTTCCCGTTAGTCTCGGTACGCGATAACTGATTGGGTGCGCCAATGCCCAATGGCTTTTGCATTTGCGCATCGCCGGACGCCGCATTCCGCTATCGCAGTGCCATACCGATTGCGGAAGAACAAATAATAGAGCCCGCCCACGTGCGTATTAAGCCGCAGCGAGCCTTGTGGCTACAAGCACATGAGCAAACGTAAAAACTTGTTTTTTTCTTTCAATGATGGTTTGTCTGCTGGACAGATAGCTACGTTTCTTTATAAATTATTGAATACCATCATGCAGCTGCTGTGTACATAGCTTAAGCAATTCGCATCGTAATCATCTTTCTCGCCGTCCATTATTTGTAACGTTATTTAGTTTATGCTTTCAAACGTTCATCGCAGATCCGTCTTCGCATATTTTCAAGGACAGTCATGCGCGAAAAACGCCGTTTCCTGGTGAACACGTAGTCAAAAGTGAAAGTATAGCTCCAGGTTTTTCCCGCGATTATCTCCGTTAATTTGCTCGAAGAATTTCTGTACCAGAATGGGCAAATGAGGAATATCGCTTTGAACCTTTGGTGCGGATAACGTGCTAGAATTCTCACTCCATTCGCTGCGGCTGCTCATTCATAGAAAGATCGAAGCGTCGCGAGGGATCTCAAAAATGAAGCATATTGCATTATACTTGTACATTATTTTGTCCTATTGCTCTGTGATAATATTTGGCCAAGGACCGGTGACGAATTTCCAAGTGCAGGATTGTGGCGTTTCGTGGGATTGCGTTGGATTCCCTAATGCAGACTGTGTCGGGAGAGGGCTCTGTACAAACTTACTAAAGTATTCATATGCAGCATCCGATCCGAACCATGTTAAAGTGGAACTGCATGGCATTCCGCCCATGGCTGGAGCGAATGATTTCTGGATTGCGGTGGGATTTAATCACGAGCCGAATTCAATGGTAATTTTATTGATTTTCATAGTAGATAAAATAAATCCTTTTATTTATTTATCTCCGTTTTTTAAAAAATAATTTGTCATTTATTTATTACTGAACAGAAAATCGCGATCATTGATTAGTGCGATCATTTGGTTTTTTCCTAATTTGATTTAAGGCTGCTTTATTGTTGCGCAGAAAATTAATTATTTAATTAGTGTGGTCATTAGAGATTTTTTCTGGATTTTTTTCTTATTTTAATGCTAGTGTTGTATTTTGTGGTGCATGTTTAGGCTGGAACACTGGTTAGTGAATGTGTTTATAACGCCGGACAAGTCGACGTTTTTGCCTCGTATAATGGAGAGGGATACGTTAATCAGCGGCTGCAACAGGTGGGTTTGTCGGCTCCGCTTGATCGCTCAATCTCGAACAATCGGGTTGTTTTCTGAGGAAATGAAACCGATTTCCATTTTGACAACGATATACAAGTATCAGCAATATTTTCGGTTAAAAGTGCTTTAAACAATAACATGCAACTCTTGTGTAGTCAAAATGTTCCAACACATACTATGACTATGCGGATGTAAATAACTTCCGGCCGTGGCTGTCCAGGATGATTAATTTTGCATTTAATTATCCTGCAATGTAAATGCAGACAACTTTTGAAATATATTTAATAGACTTGAAGGTGAAGTTTGAAATTACTGAACTCGCGTGATTGGTTACTGGAAGTAAGTTACTAATACATTGTTAAAATATCCCGCTATGCTGAAAATGCGGAAGCCCTGTGCTCCGAAAGGTTGGCATAGAATTTCAGCATTTTACTGGCAGTATTATTAGAAAATAAATAATAAGCGTAACTTTTGCAAGCTAAAAATTGGTTTATGGATTTCTAAACACTGCTTTGATGGAATGTGTCGGTTTTTTATTTTTATCGGCTGTTTGATGTTATAATTAGTATTTTCGGATTGTGAAAGAACTGTTGCATGCTCATTTGCAAGTTTTGCAAGCAAGGCGCATTTTTGATGGCTTTGAAATTACTTCGGCTAGCCGTGATTTTCTTTTGTATCCATGGAATATAATTGCGGTACGTGTACGGTACTGTTAGTAGTAATTGCCTCCAGTAGTACTTATTGTTAGTAAATTTTAGGGTAGGTGTTGTGAAATCTGAAAAACTTTAGTATTGCTAATGTAATTGGTGATTGACGAACAATGTTAGAAATATTTTTTTTGCCTTCCAGCCAAAAGACGGGATAACTGGCATTTCCGGTTCCCTCAAGAACCAGATCCTCACATGTTCTTTCACACTAAATCGCTTACGACGCGCGAATGACATGGATTTTGATTTGGCAACACCGTTATACGTCGTGATGGGCCAAGGGCCGGCGGAAGCATGTAAGTCATTGATCGTTATGTTTTTCGCTCACGCGCTGCTGTGCAAGCAAGCCGCTCTCGTCAGCGCTGCTATCATAACCACCGCAAAAGAAATTAAAAGTGCCATTAACTTATGCCATTATACAATGTTTGTACGATGAGGCAATCTGTTGACAGAATCATACATGCATTTGTTTATGTATGCATTTCGCAGTCAGGTAGTCTTTAACGAGCCGGAAATCCTTCTGGTATTGTGTAAAGTTAGCACGGTTGAGGGCAAGTTGCGGCATCGCTGTTATAGTTCTAAGCAATAATTTGATTGTTAACTTTTACAGCAACAGCTTTTAGTTTGAGCGGCTCATCAGTGATTAGCTTTCACCTTTTGCCACTGCATATATAGACTAATATAGTGTCCAACAATTAAGCAAAAGCTTTGTTTATCTCTTGCTGACCCGTGTAAATGGAGTGTTGAATCTATGAACAAATAAATCAGGGAACGTTCTTGATTTGCACTTTGCAACCTTATATCGCTTCTACAGTGAAAGGCGCAAAAATTTTCAACATCACAGTTTTTATTAGTACTACGGACAGGTGAAGGAAGGCGAGTAATAACCTCTTTTTTAGCTTAACAGAAGTTAAACCATTAGGTGGCTATACCCTGTAGTGTTTTGCATTTTCAGTTGTATTCGTGCTATATGTATAATGCTGATATGTTTCGCTTTGCAAATTCTTTATCTAATTTTGCAGTTTGTGTCAGTCTGGTTCTTATGATTATTTATGCCGGTGTAACGTGTAAGTGCTGTATAAATAAATTATGTTAAGAGCGTGCTATTCAGATTTAGAATAGTTCATTAGATCATGCGAAAGAAACCGTACTTCACAGGTTTTGAATAACTACTACAAAGTCCAGAAGCGACCAGACTTGTAGCAAAAACGGAAAGCAACGTTGTCCTGCTTAGTGCTGTTTGTTTTGTCTTGCACTTAAATGGTGTCTTTTGGACCGTAGCCAGTTCTCATTGCTTAATCAGCAGTTACAAGCTTTGATGATTTGAATGTAAAAAATCCTGTTTCTATTTGTTCGATATTTTGAGAACGGCGATAGTACCAGTGTGTGCCTCTTTAGAATTTACACATGCCACTTTGACATAATGTGAGTAAATCTGGATTGCTTATAATGAAGCAGCTTGTCATTTATGTAGTACTCGTATGCGAGTAATGGTATGGCTTCCGGGGAAGTAAGGATTACGGAACATGCGTGGGGCCGTGAGCCAACGTGGCGCGGTGCAGGTTTTAGGAGCCAGTTTATATTCTGACCGAGAAATCTTTAAAATGACCGCTTTAAAATCTTGAAACCATCTGAAGGTACTCATTTTAATACGACGCGTAATACACGGTAAAATTGCCAAAACTGTTTGAAATGTCAATCTACAGTCAGCCATTAAAGAGCAATAACGCTTGTATATGCGAAGCATTCTTATTAGTCCAAATCCATATTATACAGTACTGACGCGAAAGTATGTATCCGATGTCAAATTATTCTTTCTACGATACGATTAGAGCACTGCAACGGTGCAGCACGAAATGAAAACTGCTACATTTTGACAATAGTGCAGTAACGTTGATCGCTGTACAATATATCGCTACATACTCTGTACATGTACAGTTAATAATATATGCCAAATCCCAGTGCCTTAAGTCTTGATATCGTTATATGCCCTAAGTCTCACGTACTCTAATAGTTTACACATTTGCATTACAATTTTGCCGGTTAACAAATTTTTTTGACGTAACCTTTAGTGTGAAATCAACTGAAGTTGCAAAAAAGAATTGGTGACGCACTGCTCAAAAGAAGTTTAAATTCTGAAGTGAGACACTGGTAATTGTTTACCAACATTTGGTTTTTACGATACAAAAATTAATAAGAGCTTACTGGCTTGTAAACGGGCCGTACATAGACGCTGTGCGAACTTTACATGTGGGATTTCAAATACCTACCCTTTGAATTTCTTAGGGGAACTCAAGCCTCATCATGTCTCTCCTTACGTTACTCCTGACAAGTTAACCATCGCCTCCAATCAGCCACGAAAGCCGTTTCCCAATCTCCAGCCGCTTCTGACAGTTTCTCCCGTGCCGGCTGCCACACCGGCGAGCAACCATGACGTTATGGACGCCTCAGCGCCAGTGGCCCGGCAGATTACACCAGGAAATTCCGTGGAAGGCTGTTTCGAGACAAAAGGCTGCCTGACCTATCCACCGAATTGTTTCAGCTCGAAGACGTGCGTTGCCATTCTGTCGTACACTGCCGACCCTGATAACAAGGGTCAGGTTCGCATGGAATTATGGCGGCAGGTGACTCAACCCGGAGATCATTATGTCGCTGTTGGATTGGCCGCGGTTTCACCGGAAATGGTTGGTTTTTTAACACTTCTCTGACTTTGTCTTCTTGAAAATTTTGCAAGCCAGGTTTTTACCAAAATATTTTGTCGATGCCTTTGTTTGTTAGAATTACCGTTACTGATAGATATACATCATATACATCCAGTTTCGGTATGCATTGTAGTTGTGCACTGTGACCTTTCAGGCTAATTCCGGTGTTTTGGCTTGTGTGTCTTATGGAGATAATGTGGACGTGATTGCCTCATACAATCCTGGACGGTATAATGTGGAAGTCAACAACGTTAGTTTGGTTGTTCAGATTTTGGCCCTTGAACGCTGTTGTCTAACACGATGGCTTAAATTGTTTAGCAACGAGAGAATATTACCGTGACGAAAAAAGGCATGGATGGCAAATCGCTGTACTGCCAGTTCACGATGCCGTCACGTCGCTCGTTCGCCGGATCTTTTGCCAGTTCGCCGGTAGTAATTGACGTCAGCAATCAGTCATTTCTCATGCTGGCTCATGGTCCGGCTTATCCAACAGGTGGGCGCAAATGATTCCCGTACTATATAAATTAGGAAGGGTTTTAGCACTGAAATGCCGGCAGGGACGCTGGATAATTAATTTCGATCTCTTTTTGGTTTTGTGCTTCTTATTGGCGGTAAACCAACACTGTTAACGTGACGGCGCTTCTTATTGTTAGTACATATTTATTTTTGCTCATTTAAACGTTTGTTTTTTACTGTGATTTGCGATATACTTATTCCGGCACTTGTTCTCGGAACGTTTTTGTACTGATAACGGTTAAGATGGTTTCTCATTACAGGAAAGATACGAAAGCACAGCATTATGCCGATAAGCACGGCGAATGCGGTCAGAATGGACAGCGTAGCAGCCGTCAGGAGCTCGGATCTGCCTTTAAATTTGTACAAATCGCATGGTATTTGGTTTTTTTGTAATCCTTTGTGATTTTACTATTTTTACTGATTGCGAGTTCGCGAGTGGGATAATAATGATCTAATTCGCAAAGAATTCGCAGTTAGGATGGCTGAGAATTTTATGAAATCGAATTGTAGCATTTTATTGATTTGTGTGCTTTTTGTAGCTGGTCTGATGGTGGGTGCGTGGATGTTCCTAGCCAGCGTTGGCATTTTGACGGCACGTTACTATAAAACGATGTGGACTGATTATTCGCCTTTCGGAATAAAAATCTGGTTCCATGTAAGAACGTTTGATGTCTCGAACTTCGAGATCTTGAAATCCGTAAAATTATTCTTTCTAATTGCTAATAAAGTTTTCGTTTACTGTAGATCCATCGGCCGTTTATGTTTTTGGCTGTTCTGGCATCCATCGCCGCCTTTGTTATCATTTACATCCGTACCGGCGGATTATGGACTGCCACGCCGCCATCAGAAAACGCTCACCCGATTATCGGGTTCATTGCTTTTGTACTTGGCCTAATGCAGGTATGACGCTTATTAGTTATAATTCACTTCTTATGTCTAACAACAGTTTCGTTAACAACAAAGTTTAATTATAGGGAAGTTATTGAATATTTTAATACCTTGTATTTGTTTTGAATTCGGTGCGGTTTGCCGGGTTCGGGGACTATACTGACCAGTGGCTACGTATGCGCCACATGCTTGTATTACCAGATTGTTTACATACCTAAATTTGTGGTATATACTGGCTGCTACTTTTTAACTACAGTAGCACAGTAGCAGTCAGTGAAGTTAGATAATTATTTTCTTGGAGCCTTTCTCATTCCGTCAGACTCATTTCTCTGTATAATATAAAATTCAGTAAGTGTTGCGTTTGCTGCAGCCGATCGTGGCACTCTTCCGACCAAATCCCGGCGCAAAAAATCGGCCTTTATTCAACTGGTTTCACTGGGGAGTGGGATTCGCCTGTCATATCCTAGCCAGTATGCTCGGTGTTATTTCTAACAATATGTTCATTTCAAAACGAGTAAATGTAAATAGGGAAATGCATCAGCAACAAAGCCTAACATTTCTTTTGCAGTTGCGGCTATTTATCTTGGACTGATGATGCCCCAAATGTCCATTTATACCGATTATGGTTATACTCCCATTTGGATTATGGTTGCGTTTTCCGCCTTCCATGCCTTGTGGTTGATTTTGTTGCAAATAATCGAATGGATAATTCCATCGTTAAAAAGTTGGTGTTAAAAGTTGTGCTCTAAAACGTGAAAACAGTTACAATTTCATTGTGCAAGGATAACTACGTAGTCACGGAATATATATGTATGTCCAGACGAACTATGTAGGTATGACCTTTGAATGGTTTGACTGCAGAGAGACAACAGACGATGCAGATGAAGACGATTAATGGCAACGGCCAGGTTTACCAGGAAACAACCATCTCACGATCAAAACCGGTAAAGCCTTATTCTTTCATTGTTGTGGTGGGCTGGTAGCTATGGTCATTGTGGTAGCTATACTATGTTCCGTAATTTTTAGGGAAGTGTTCTGAAAACCCTGATGTGGATCTTCCATTTTGTGGTTGTCGCCGGTTTCACCATCGCTATTCTGGTGTTAATTGGGATCTCGCACTAAACAGTCTGGAAGGCTGTTGTATGCTGCTAAATTTGGTTTTTGATTAAAGTTTTACCGGTGCCATAAGGAACCGAATGTGTTTCTGTTAAGTTTTCTGGAGTTTATTTCCGTGCTTTGTCTTCTAACCCCGATTTGAATATCGGTACTGCAGAATGTTGAACAGTGTTTTACGTTTAGGAGTATTAAAATGCCATGATTGTTGAAAGCTTCCGGATTCACAGTCGTATGCCTACGTAAGGCAAATATTTTCTTTAGTCGACTTATTGAACGAACTACTCGTAACACGAGATGTTGCGCACAAAACAAAATACAGGCAGTGGACTACCTCTTTAAATTGGCTAAATTCTGCATCTGCAAAACGACGGAATTTAGCAGTTTTAATACCGACAATCGCAAGTCGTACTGATTTGAAGGCTGAACGACATGTGAAGTTGCGTCAGCCTCTATTACTCTACATGTCCAAACTACAGAAGTACCATAAATAACAAACAAAAAAATCGAAACATCCATTTCGCACGAAAAGCGCCAATGAAATGCGAAAACAAGAGCTACAGCAGACATCGCAAATCCACGTAAACCAACGGAGAAGTACTCGACAGGGCTCATAGCAAACAAATGCGTGCAAACCGCGGGGGATATCAGATTCCACGTCGCCGAGAATTGCCCCGATTATCCACGAGCATTTCGTGAACGAAGCCGGCTGTAATATATCCAACTACGGCTCCACATCCAATGCCAATGCTGCTGGCGTTGATTATTCCGAAAGGTCCTGGGATCATATGGCGTGCGGCAATCTTCGCGGCAGCCGCACCTGCTACTCCCCCACAAAGTCCACCAAAGGCTATTCCATCTCCCTGGGCTACAATCTTAGGTCTGTTGGAGAACCTCGCATCATAAATACCGACGCCGATTCCACACAGGCATCCGACAGCAGCAGCAGCCATACCTCCGATTCGAACCACAGATGGGTTCGCCAACATGTTCATGTCTGTTTTTAATCAAGCTGAACAACTGAAAGAAATACTACAGTGATACGCACAGCTGGAATGATCTCGATAGTCAAATACAGAAAGCATAAAACAGTCAATTTTAAAACTGCGAAAAAGTAGAAATCCGATGTTATAGCCAACAGTGCGTCAACCAAATCACCAATGCTCAGCATCTACAGAAGCGAATTGTGGCAAACCGAGCATAAAGCAACCTGCATCAAGAAACCCCAAAAAATAACACGAAATGGATTGCTGTATAATGTTGTTGGTTGTATCATCCATAAAATGGACAGGATTTCGCTGTTTTTAAACTGAGACTACTGATTAAAAAGCCTGCACGAAAAGGCTATGTTGCGCCAGCCGATTCAAGTGATACCATAACGAACCGAAAATCGGAATATCAAGCTAAAGCACCGAACAAATGATGTAAGATTCAACAGGGTTCAGGTTCACGACAAACCAGCTAAAACCAGTCAACGGCATTTCAACGCTTGCGTTATCCCGTTCCAGGTCGTCCAGAATTCGTCGATTTAATGCTGCGCTGGTCGACGAGCATTTCGTACACGAAACCGGCCACAACATACCCGAAAACAGCTCCACATGATGTGGAGCCTTACATAAAGCACAACAGGAACGGTACGTACTTGCACTTATAGAAAAAGCGCGTTTTATTGTAGTCCGAATCCCATGCTAGTGCTATTGGAATTCCATCGTTAAAAAGTGATTGGAACAGGCCGAACAGCCATTTCGACACTAATAAGGGAAATGAATTTTCCGACCACGCTGTGCACAAGATCTGTCCGTCAAACATCGAACTTTTTCTTTACATATTATTTCGCTTTGCGTGATTTCCTGGCAAAACGCTGTTGCTTTGCCGTTTTTACTCCAGTTACGATTGCATCCTTTGCGTTTCTGCCATCAAATAGTGTCAGACTGATTGATCGTTAATGTATGTAAAAGTGTTCGATTATTTGTAATACAAATTCAAGTATTAAATTTATTGATAATAAATGAAACTATACATGCCGCGCCGCGCAGTTTTATTATCACAATTCGCAGATACAAAACATGGCCAGTTTACAACGACAGCAATGCCACAGTATCTCACATTGCACAGTGATCAATCCATCTGGGAAACGGGATGGCATCTTTGATGCTGGCAATGCCCAGAATATACTGCACAAATCTCTCGAAACCCATACCGAAACCGCCCGTCGGCGGGCCACCAAATTTTCGCAAATCCAAATACCATTCCAGTTTACCAAACTGATTAGCCGCTTTACATTTATCCACCAAGACATCGTAGCGATGCTCACGCAGACTACCTCCACACAATTCTCCCACATCCGGCACAATCAAATCAGCCGCCAGCGCCTACAAAATAAAAGCGTCCCTATAAAGAAATGAAAATTACCAATATCCGCTGAGCATGAAGCAAGCGGCTGCAATAAAAACCTATACGATGCGCTGTTGCTCCCCTTGTACAAGTAGCAGCGTTAGTACAGCATTCCGTATGTCAGTCCATCAATTTTTAATGGCAAAAGCCGCAAACGACGGTAAAGGTGTAGAATAAAACTACTGTCTACACAAAACTTATTCGGCGCTGCGAGCTGATGACCGACCAGCTGAACTTACATATTTACCGTCCTCCTCGCACTGTCTTGCATAAAACGGTTTAACGCAGGCTGGGAAATGAGTGACAAATACCGGCACATCACCAAAATACTTCACAAGGAATAACTCATGGTCCTTATGCAAATTCTGACCATCCTGAAAAATCAAAATCTTGCAATATTCAGTTATTTTTAAACTGATTCACTCAGACCCACCTGAGGCATAGTATTAAACGAAGCAGCACGTTCCAAGAGAATTTTTAAGGCTTCCACGTATGGTACGTGTATAAACGGTTTACTCAGCATCTTATCCAGTTTCGCCTGGGTTTGCAGATAACTTTTGATAATAAGATTAGCATGTATGGCAACGCATCCTATTCATTTTTTAGTTTCGCATGTGTACCCTGTGCGCCGAAGGAGCAATGTTCTGCATGTGAAATTCCACATCATCGGCACAGCGATCGAGGACCTGGGCGCTGACTTTCTTAACCATGTCCTCCATCAGCTGTAACATGATCACGACAAAACTTACATTAATTGTAAGCAAACGAACCCACATTAATTTTAATTTTACGAATTACGAACATCTAGTAAAGGCTGGAGCTTATCCACAAATGCCACCTCCGCTTCAACCATCCAAAACTCCGACAAATGCCGGCGACTTTGCTGGCGTTCTGCTCGGAAGGCCGGGTTAAAGTTATAAACACGGTGAAGTCCACTGAAAACACAAGCATATTAATTTCCTTTTAACACAAACATAATTCATACAACTGCTTTTCTTATTGTGCGCTGGTAGGATACAATGTACAGACAGAAACTTCTCAATTAACAAAATAGTTAGACAGCACAATCACAAGCACACCAACAGCAAAAAATAGAAATGCCTTCTCATTATTTTTTAATCGCTTTTGAACGGTACCTCACAGCTGCTTCTAAATGAAGCTGCCCAGAAACAGTTAAAACTGTGGGATCCTTGAAGAATTCAATGTTCTGCTTGGCTTCTTGTTCACTCTATCAAACATCAGTTCAAAACTGTTCAATGCTTTAACTTTAAAAGGTCGAATTCCATTCAGCAATGCAATTGGAAATCTTAAAAGCCCCAAAACGAACGAAAATCGTGCAGCAAGTGGAGCATGCTTAAGGTACTATACAAACTCACCGTAACAGTAAACGTTTCACCACCACCTTCGCAATCGTTGGATGTCAAGATCGGTGTATGAATCATAACAAAATCGTTTTCCTACAAATATAAACGGTAAATCGTAATAACTCACTGGTCAGTCTAAACTGATCAGCGTCGCAGCACGAAGTAGAGTGCAGCAGATGCAGACCATGATGGATACACCGAGTTGCAGGTAACGATACACCGACTTACAACTGCAGATCAATAAACGAAGTGCCTGTTATATCTTTAGCCACAGTCCAGAAGACATAAAAAAATGATGGTATTTATTTAATATGACAGATATTTTACATGTGCATAAGAAGAATTCAAAACTATTAATTTCAAACTTTGAAATTCAAAGTTACATCTAGTAAAGGTAGTAACACCAACATCTAACGTTTGGTAGCATTAGACAATACCAAAGTACCACCAAGAAAGTTCTTGGTCAAACCAACTATGCGGTATGTTCAATGCTGCAACTTAGTAGAAATACTGCATGTAAGTGTCGGAGAGCTGTTTAAAGTTTAAACCAAAGTACGGTAAAGCGTTCCACCCAATGCGCGGACTCATTCAAAAAAGCGTGTGGCTCAACCCGTCACGCACTTCCTCCCTCAAAAACTCCCTCAAAACACACATTCTTTGGTTAATTTTCGATCCTCCATAAATTTCTTTCCTTAATTATTTGGAGACCACAAGAACATCTGACCGGAAGATGACTCATGTATCATAACATCCCACCTGAAAATATTGATGGATTGCCAAAGTAGCTGCGCTCCGGAACCGAAGCAATGATGCAAAACGTTGCACTCGTGGTCGGAAATGGAGATACTGGCGATAATAATCGACGTGATGTCGTTCTTTGGCTTTGAAGGGGAATTCCTACATATGCATTCTTTTAATTCTCGGAACAGTTAATATGATAATAATCAGAAACACCTGAACAACGATCTTATAAATCTGAATTAAAGGAACAAAGAACTACAGGTTTAATCAAACGCAAAGCGGAAATTAGTAACTAATAAAATTAGTTTCACAGATTGTTGTTCCTTTCCTCCGTAATGCGTACCAAGGGATCACTTTTTCTAATAATGTCCACGCGATGCGCCACGATTTCCACTGTCTGCTTCCGTCCCGGAGAGGGCACCAGAACGCCTTCCACACTGACAGCCGACCCGAACGTCAACGGTCTGTACTATTGCAACACCATAAATGTGCCACTCCGTCGATTTTTTCGCCCTACAGAACAAGATTCGAACCGGCAGCACAACTCACAGATTTCGTAGCGCCTCTTCCATGAGTGCCACTTGGATGACGTTAATGGATGATCCATCATCCAAACCGAGAAAAGTGATGTTCTTGAACTGGCGCAACGATTTAATCCAGCCCTACAAAAACAACACAAAAAGTCTCCGAGTTGAGAAAATGCCACAAAAACAAACGCTAACAGGCTGTAAAAAATATCGAAATAGTTGCTGTCGAATATCAGTTGTAAGATCGTGGTTTCTGCGCAATCAAGCTAGCCAACAAGCGTATGTTTAGACTTTATAAGGTTTACAGGTTAGACTTTACAAGTTATAATTTTTCTGTTATTGTGTCAGATACATCCATCATCAATGCACGCAATCAGAAAACTTGTCTGCTGCATCTGCCACGGGCAAAAATCTACTCAGATTAGGTATATTTACAGAAAGTTTACCGTAGTTGTAACAGTGCGCTTTTCGCCTTCTTCCATGGGACGTTCTTTAAGCAGATTGCGAACAACACTCTTTGAAGACTCCGAAGCAATAGCGCGTTGTCCTTGGGAGATCCTGCATACATAAAGACAAAATAACAAAATCATAAATCATCATAACATAAAGGCAAAGTGCAAGCAACCGGCTATGAATCCATAACCGTAAAACATGATCGCTACATCCTTTACTGGCTTTACACTGCAAATATAGATATAGTGTACACTACTACACCTGCACAATCAAGGCTTTTCTAAAAATCATTTGATACTCATCTACGCTTATCCTTACTGCCGTAAGATCGATGTCTTAAGCATTCCACAGCAGCAGCGGGTACCAAGGGTGGAAGCGGAGGAAAGCATTATGCCTGGCTTCTTGGCTCAGTCGCACGTCTGCGTTTGTGGTGTTCCGTATACGACAACTGCGCGATCAGAAGAGCTGCTCGAACCTTCAAGTACTGTACAGCCTATGGGTAGGTTCCAGTGCAGATGTCCGATGCTGCGCCCAAAGGGGGGAAAACGAAACGGTAAATTATTTTGTGTGAGACGGATGCAAAACTGTTCAAAACAAACGATCAAACAGTAACACTACAAATGTGCAAAACAAATTCGTAAAAATTAGTGCGGAAGAAATGACCAGATACATACTCGTACATCACAACATCACAAAATTTTGGAGATCACTTGACTAGGCAATGCGCTCCCTATGGCGGTAGCCGTGGTAACCAAGCTGCAGGCATACAGCTGACAGACCAGCGACGCGCAAAGTGACAGCACACTCATCAATCATCATAGAACAGTGTGTAGTGCTTATTTTTTTTGATTTTATGATTTTTATAAAAAACTTATCTGCATTTGCATTTTTGAGTTTTTTTGTTCACGTCAATCAAGTGTACAAACGGTAATGGAGATACTATCTTTCCCGACGCGCTTTCCACGCAGCCGGCCATTGTTTCCATCCAAAGATTTCCTGGATTACGGCGGACCGAGTGATCTTGTTGATCGGCTGAAAGAGCGAGAAGAACGACTGGAAGCTAAACGGAAAGCACTCTGTCATGGAGGCCGAGGCGAAGACGAGTCACACGATCTGGGTATCTTCATAGTTCATACCTGAACTAGAACGTTAAACGGCTGTCGCAATCATGTTTTACGCGTTGCGTTCGTGTTTACAAAAAATGGTGAAGTCGTAATGTTTTTAGGAGATACGAGCAGAGCGGACTTCGCTTCCGTGGAGGACGAAGAGGAGGAAGACGACATGGATGTTGCTAGCAGTAAGCATGATACATACCAGGTTATTTCGGTACTAAACTAAAACCAGTACGCTAGAGCCTAGAACCGTAGAAGTACGTTACGTATGTACTGCTAAAATTGTATCTGTAGTAATACTGTTACAATTGCACTTATTGTTAGCATTAGTTATCATACGCATATCGAAACTGAAAAAGCAATGCTGCAAATCAAACAGAAGTACACAACAATGGATTTTGGAATATTCATTCCAGGATGGGTGGGTGACTCTCCTCTCAAAAAAATCGAAACAAAAATGTATAAAATTCTCGAAGTTACTGTAAATCTGTAGCTAAAAAATTTTCCAGGAGCCAGTTGCGATATGTCCGTTCACCGAGTTTTGCTACCGTAGTTGAAAAATAATAATCTCGTTAATAATCTGTTAATCGTTCTGTACAATTTTTTTTGACATCAGTGCGTTTAACGTATTGATGGAATGGTATGCAAATGCATCTGAACGTTTGGCACTGCATAACTGGGAGCTTTTTGCGGTGTGTTGGAATGGTCATTACTTATTATTTTCCACTTTTCCCCGATTTAATACTGTTGACCTGACTTATAATTCCGTGTGCATTGTAGAAATAGTTAAGTACTGCACTGAAGTGAGGCACTTCTTTACAAAAATTACGAAAATTAGGAGGATTATTCAGTACTCGTACCGATCGTATCGTGTTTAGTTGGTGAAGGTATTTTTTTCGTCAGATCACGAAAAAGCTGCAGAATGAGTTGAGCAATGTCCGCTTCTGGACGAATAACGTGTGAATGTAAAGTTTGACTCATTGCTGTTTAAACATCTTGTCTTTTTGTTGAGCAGTTACGGTATAATTCTAAGAATTTACGGAAAATTTTTGCAGCATCGTCTAATTCCATAATTGAGCCCAGTGACGGACAGGAGGATGAAGTGGAAGACGAAATTCCTCTGGATGATTCCGAAACGGAGGAGATCATTCAGATAATCCAAGAGCCGCAGGAAGTGGCGGTGGAAGTTGATTTGGAGGAGGAGCATGTTATTGAGAGTGTGGACGATAGCGCATTGCAGGACAATAATATGTCCATCGATGATTCCGACAACAATCTTGTCAGTAACGACGTGTAAATTTGTGCAAAGATAAAGAATAGCGCGCGATGGATTACCTCTACCATTTCGGTGGGGTGCTGCCCATTCCTGAAATTGTTTTTGCTTCTTTGGATCTGAGACCACAGAATCCAGATAGTTACCACCGGGATCTGGGACTTCCGTCATAAAATGAGCAAGATCCTGTGAAATCTTTTGCATAATTCCAGCTGATGGATGTTTGGTAAAGCTCTTGTTTTGAAATTTTCTTGCTGGTAAACTGTAGCGGAGGTGCGCTTGTACGAGTACACTATTTTCAGTTATTTACAGTTTTGCGGCAGGTCTTAGAGGACGCTCTCTGTACAGTCGACGGCGAAATTTGGGGAAGCAAAAATAAATGAACTCTTAAACACGAAGGAGACTATTGTTTACGTTATGAATTCAGTAGCTAATTGATAGTCTGGCAACTGGTATATAATACTCTATATACGATAGAAGGAGAATTATAGAAAGGTAAAAAAGTTGTGGGTCAATGATGGAATTACGCATTTAATGTATTAATATTCTGCATATTAACAAGTAAAATAACCGTATTATTAAAAATCGCGGGTGATACGAGGATTCAACGGTGTTAAATGTGTATCAGCAGCAAAAGTGGTGTACGAAGTCAAAAGAGTAGGAAAAGCCAAAGGACTGTTATGGTGTATTCTTGCGAAAATCAGGAGACGATTTTTACTTCGGAGTACAGTATATAAAACTTTTATTCTGATTGGATGATTCTAAATTGTTAAAGTGTGAGCCATCAGGATGCAAATAGCTGATTTTGTATGGGGCTCATGCGTCAGGATTATCCCGGTACTGAGCGCTGCGTGGTATATTGTTGTCGTGGTGTGCATTGGAATGCTGTAACTTCTCGTGCTGGAAAGATTTGCCATTTCTGAAAGCGTCTCCGGTGTATGAATTAATCGTTATGCAATCGAACTCATGATGATATGAATGTTCATATATTATTACGATTTACTTAATTATTTGTGGCATAAAAAGTTGTTGAACATAATTCCCATGCGATATATGTATTGAAACGCGCGTGATTTTTATTATGAAATCGTGTTTGTACAGATACAGCAGACAAAAGCATAGCATCAACCACTGCGAATCACACTCCCAATAAATTAGCATTCGTGCGCACAAATGAACAAACGCACTAGTGACCTTCTAGTAAAAATGAGATCGCGATATATGGAAAACAGGATATGAGGAGGATATGCAAAAAGTAAAAAATATATATAGAAAAGTAAAAGGTTACGGGCATTCGCCGGGTACACACATACGAATACAAGCACCTTTCGTTTAAAGATTACTAACTAACCGAGCATTTTTTGGTTTTACCGATGCTACAACCCAAAAAAAACAAACCACAGAAAAAGTTAAATAACAAAAAAATAAATATGTACATGGAACTGGGAAACGCCTTGTTAACCGGATTATTTGGCGAAAAGGAAAATGCCGAGAAAATATGACCTGTTTGGACAGGTTGTGAAATCCGATGCTCTTACGCGCGCACGCATATTCGCACTTCCGACTGACGAAAACGACGATCGGTGCATAACACATTCTCTCCAGAAACCACCTCATTAGTAGATCAATTTGATGCCGGTAAAGGATTCATCGTTAACCGCGGTCTGCGCAGCGGAAATCGTATCGCAAATGCTTTCTTGATCAACATACGCCTCATAATCATGGTGATATGCGCCACCCATGGGCGGCAGTCCACAACTCTCATCCGTCTTGAGATACTGCTCCAGCTCATCTTTTTCCACGTCATTCAAATTCTCATCCTTAAACATCACCGTCGGGATAATATTGCAGTCCATCATGGGAGGCCCCGCGGGCTGAGCCCCGCCCATGGGGCCATGATACGGCGCCCAACCACTGCGCAGCGTCGGGTAGTTCCAGTACAATGGACTATCCTGCCGGTAATAATCATCCGCGGGCTGATGCTGATGCGGGTTAACGGCATAGTTACTGGTGATGACAGATTCGCGCAGTGGTGGAATGTAGGTAGGAGTGGACCGCGGAGGCGAGCCTTCGGCCAGCTGTTCATAGTAGGCGCGGGAGAGAAACGGTGTCATGGGAGAAGCCGGCAGATAGCGACTGTTGGCCGCCGTGTACCGGCTATTGATGGGAAAGCCGTTCTCGTCGCGCTGCACCATGGTCGAAGGATAGTTGGGTTCGGCGCGCTTGCGGCCCTTCTTGCGGCGTGGACGGTATTTGTAGTCGGGATAGTTCTGCATGTGCTGGACGCGCAGACGCTCAGCTTCCTCCACAAATGGTTGACGTTCACTGGGGGTCAACGCCTTCCACTGTCGGCCTGTTTAAAAAGGTTAACGTTAGCGCCGATGTTAGCATTTTTTTTCAAGATTTCTTGCAGGTAGCAGCGGTATTACCAATCCGTATTAATTCAAATCACGTATGATAATTAATAAGTTAATACTTGTAGACTGTAGGTTTATTTAATTTGGCATGCACAAATATCTGTATACATTTCCCATCTACTAGTAAATTTACAACAATTGTTTACTACAGTCTTTAAAAATTTTTTAATGAAATACAATTTTTCAGTATTGAACCTGTTGACCTTCGGCATATAATATGTAGTTATGACCTTACTTTAAGGAAGGCCAAAAAAGAGAAAAATTGTTGCCGCATTATCAGATAAATGCTGCATTACTTCAACATTAATAACAATTTGGATTTGTATGCGCACATTAAATATACGAAGTATATTTCACAACTCATTGTAATGATCTTGATAAATCAGAATAACTAACTAAGTACGGTGATAATCTTGTGAGGGTACAAACTTGACCACTAAACGGTACTAAAGTTATTTCTAGCTTTTATTCAGGGAGTGACATGTTCTCATGAAAAGGTATCACATTCTAATGAAGGTAGAAAAAATTGTTTGCGTGCGCGGAAAAAAGGGTCAAGTCCTGGATGGGCTAATGATGTACGAGCGGATAAACTACGACATATCCGGGCGGTAGCTACGGTACGCACTACGCACCTACAGGCACCACGAATAGCACTCGTGGTGCCCGCACCATGGAAGAAGAAAAAAATGAGGGTCAATGGTCTTGATAAAGCCACATTTTGGCTTGCTTCCAACCAAAACGAACTAGCTGTAAGCTTTTTTATGTTTCCAAAATCTCGCCTAACCCATCTTTCAACGAATTATCTGGAAACCATGCACGCAGATATTTCCGATACCTATATAATTATTGCGTCAAGAGTTTACAGAAAAATTAATAAATTTACGAAATATTTCAAAGCTTAACTAAATCTTTTTTACTTAAAAGATCGGATATCCAAATCATACGAATGCGTACTGCGGGCAACGTTTATATTTACCAAAACATAATAGGTTTTTACTACTACTGTAATTATAATGAAGTCGTATGCATGGTATAAGCCGTTTAATTTGACGATAAGATTGGCAATATAAGTAGCCCTTACAAGGCGCGGCTGTACACGACGATAATATAAAATATCGCTATACAAAAGGCAATGTAAATCAGAGCAGAAAGTCGCATGTTTAGCAAACTGCTATGAATATTAAAATTTTATTATCCTCCGAGATTGTTACATGAGCGCGTCTACGCATGGACCGCGGTGATATCGGAAAGGACGCTCGAGCTAGTGCTGCACCCATCCACAACACACGAAACCCAGCAATATGCACATGACATGTTACCTCGCATTGGATACATTTATGCATTTGCATAGTAATATTCAAAGTGGCCTCATGTTTTTTGCATACATTTTGCGCTATGCTTTCGCGGTACGCCCCGCGCGCGGCGCTGTATACAGCATCATCACATGATTAATCCAATGGAAAAAAGTGCCGCGCGCGTGCATAACAAATTATTCAAATCCGCTAGCGCAGATGAACTAGAAAGCGGTGTTTCGAAAGCCATTAGAAATTTGTTACAAATTTTTTTGACAAGGTAGCATTAACAAAGGTCATGTGATGCACCATTACACCCGAGGTTACCAAAATAGGGCAAACGGTTTTTGCTGGAAGAAATTTGATGAAAAATGTGGAAAAAGATAAAGTTTTACCCGGTGCCTGGTGTCTTATACTGGATGTAATTACTGTCCAATTGCGGTCGGATCTGATTTCATTTGCATGCCTTGCGAGCTATATACCCTCAAAACGACCGCTATGGCAAAGGTCACTAATCTCATTACTGGTCAACGCAATCAAATAGGGTGTTCACAGCCACTTGTTGCCAGTTAGCCAATCGATGCATTCGTCATTTGTGATATTTTTGAGCCAGCGACATTATCTTTTCATGATGGACATCGGTTTTTGAAGTTGCCAGTTGAACTTTATCGATCTTATGTTTAAAAAAGCTTTGACTTTTGTATGCAAAAGTCAAAATCGATTTCACACAGACTTGAATAACATACAATATTGTGTTATTAGTATGAATAATTGTGTAACCCAATGTTGTAGCAAGTACAATGAAGAAAACGAGAAAACTAAAGCAAGATGCTGAAGTAACATTACCTTATTTGAAAAAAGGCGCAACTTTTTGCAGGACTATCCTAAACTATTTTACTAGTCTTCTGCATAAAAGCATTTGTTTCAAAAAAACACATTTTTATGAATAAGAGAACACCACTCGTAAAAGAAATAATTAATAAAATATTTAATTATCAGATGGAAAACATATATCAAAGTTAATGATGATGTAAGCAGTATTTGCTGAGGCAACGTGCTAGTATTTATGTTCCAAAAATGTGCGTAAACACAACCCTCGATATTTAATTTGCATGAATAAAAATTATTGTACAAATTTATAATTATAATCTGTTAGCCAGGTGTAACAATCTTATCAACTGTCTGTAATTTTCAAGGTTTGGAATATTCCTTACAAGTGCACAGTGCGATTAGCTAGTAAGTGCTTAATGCTATCGTCCAAACTGGATAATACTCTTATCAAATTTACAACTCTTGGAGAAATTTGCACGCATCTTTTCGACGATTTTTCGCTCTGAACAAATTAGACAAACTGGCATAGCAAACCTATGTACAGCTGCCAATTGGCAAAACTGCAATAACGCGATAGCAAATTTGAATTATCGGGACAATATTAAAACTTTATATTCTTGCAGTGTATAAGACAATTCGAGGTTTGATTCAGAAAATATTTTGGTAGCATAGGAAAATATACTAAGTGCTTATCATTTTATTTACCTATACAAACTTTTGTCGATTTGGATGGAGGATAGCGCGTATGTTTTACGTGTTGTTTCTCCGTTTTTCTTACCTAGAAGCCGACTCAGTTCAGCATTGTGGAGATCGGGATTTTGATCAGCCATCCGACGCCGTTCACCTTTTGCCCATACCATAAACGCCTAAAAAATCAATACTTGTATCCAACATAAATTATGTTACTATTTTGATAATCTCGTTAATTTTACTGTACGTTCGGTATTATTGGATAATACAGAAACTTAATTACTTTGATTGTGTACGCATTATATGTATTAGTGTGTGCGAAGATTTTGCACATCGCTACACACCCACACGTGTAATTAAAATTATATTTACACAGCAAGAAGAATTTGAGTACCGTATCTGAATAGTTAAAAATAAGCTAGTTAAATTCTTTTTGATTTTTTAAAATGAAATTATATGTGATTTTTTGTAGTCAACCTTTGCGGCATACAGCAAATTAGCAGCTACAACGATGCATCTAAGCGATACGTGATAACTGGGAATGATAACCAAATTGCTACATGTTGCTACACATTGCCCTGTAAACTCTTACAGCATATCTGGCAAATTCACCCTTAACGATTGCGCTTAATAAGTGTGCCGATTCATATCAAATTACCAAGCTTCCTCATTATACCGAATGATTAAATATGCTGGATACAGTATACACTATACAGGCACTGGATCAAGGGTTCAAAGAATACGTTTTTAAGTAAATTTCCATTGCATACGGTATACATATACGCAGGCCCATGCAGTGCGTTAAAACCGTTGCACTTTGACCAGCTCCAATAAAATTTCTCTTGTGGTAGGTAAGTAATTAACTAAAGCATTGCCAGTTAGTTATTTATTCATAAATTAACGCAGTATATCGTGTCTACCCCCGAAATTTTCAAGTAATACTTAGATAGATTTCCATAACACGAATAAGATATAGCTCAAGCTGACGCACACTTTTCTACTAATACCTGATTGTGAGTGATGTAATTCATAATAAATGAAATAGGTTCGCCAAATCTTTAGCCTATTTTGCAGATGCAAATGAATGGCAAAGTTTGCAAACAATTTTTTCCAACGTTCTTGCAAAATTATGAGAATGCATAATATTATGTGACAATGTAACGCAATATCCATTATTAGTACATTGATAACTTGACAGTTATCTTTTTCAATATATCCCGTCTCCTTATAATACTATTATGATACCAATGGTTCGGAAGAAAACAAGATTGTTCTTTTATAAAATTAATACCTTGGTTCAGCAGTTCTATGTTCGTTGCTGGACAGGTTTCCTAGCCTTTTTAAGCATTTTTTTTAATCATTTTTACCTACGAAGTTGCAAGATACTCCAGAGATAAAGTTTAAAATACAATGTTTGGCTTATTCGTATTGTGGTATTTAAAGCAATGCAAAATTATATATAAACTGATTCTTAGTTGTTGATCGAATGTTTAGTTAACTTTAAAGTATTACCCAAATACATGTATCTATTGCATGTATAGGTATATTTTACATACGTTCATCGGTCGGCGAATTCGTTGGGCTTTGAGGAGTTTAGCGGAGGGATTACCGTGGTGACCCGGTACGGCGTTCTGCCAGGGCACTGTGGTGTTCGTATTAGGCTGAGGGCGCGTGAGACTCTGGATTAATACGCTGGGATGGTGCGGCGAGACGGTGGGCACCGTGGCGGCTGGCATATCGACACCGGTCACCCCGCTGCCTATGTGCATGTTGTCCTCCGGATATGTAAAACAATTTCCGTGAGTGTAATCACGAGCGGCTGGACTGTCGGCTATCGTGCTGGCGGCACTGCTGTAGCCGCTGCAACTGTAAGATTCCGGAGAGTAGGTGGCCTCGTAGGAACTGGACCCGGAGTTCATGATCACATATTCAACCATTATTCCTTAAATCATTTACAGACAAAGAACAGCAACGTCAACGTGAGAAAAAATAGTACAATAAGATACAGAGTAATTTTTTCCAACACTTGAAAATTGTGTGGAATGCTGATCGGTGAAGTCAAGGGATTTTTAAGGTAAAGATCGCAAAAACATTGTCGTCAGTCGTAGGGAGGAGTTTGAGCTGGCAAGGCCAATTGCAGGTGCCCGACGTCATGGACAAAGGTTACCGTGTATATCAGCGCTGCAGCTGCAGACAGCAGTACAGAATTCTATATGAATGCTAATGTAATGCATGTATCGCACGCGCGGTGTATTGCATGTACGTTTATGTAATATTCATTTACCTTGGCACATTTAAAAAATTGGCTGCAGCCACTAAGGTATAAGCTTCTTTATCGAGTATTGTCGCATGCACTGATAAATTAATGATTAATTTTCTGCAAAGATTACCGCTAACATTGGCAAATGCCAGTGCTACCTTACATGCGACACAGATGTGATGTACGCGCATGGTAAAACTTCTTACAGTGATAACGTATCATATCTTTAATTTACTTATATGTTGACTCTAAGCAAACTCTTAGATCAACTCACCGACTTCTTTAAGACTGCGTTGCTAAATTTTAAAGTTTGTACCGGTGACGCGCATGAGTTATGCTCAGCAATGATCAGCAAAAACTTATCATCAGTGGTAACATTTACGCACGTGAACGAATTAATATAGCACATTGTACAAAAGCAACAATCATCATCTTGTGCCAAATTAATATAAAATACTGTCTTAAACTTAAAACAAGCGGTTGTTGGAAAAATGTCGATTTTGCGTAGCACCAAAACGCATTTGGTATATTATGCATGTAATTTCATTTACATTTTACTGTTTTAGGTAGATAATTTGTTACGTTTTAGGCAGACAATCTTTACTCTGGGGGCATTAATTTTGCACCGAAACATGCTGTTTATTTACAAAATTAAATTATAAACTACACGTCAAATGTGTAATCAATATTTTTTGTAGCATTTTAAGGAACCGCACCGTATATCTGTAATTAATACAAGCAACAGAGATATCACGCAGGACGTACCGGACCGACAATTCAAAGGTTCAGTATCAGGTTCGTAGCATATACTTATTTACTATGCAGTTAGAAATTATTCCGCTGGACTATGACTGCTTCCGTTAGTTAAAGATACTGCTTCTACCTCGTGCGAAAAGTTTTTTGATAATATGCCAAGAAAAGTTTTGTACTTGCTACATTTGTTAGTCAAGTGCGGCAGAAACTACTAATTAAACAGCCTGTAAAGCCGAACGTCTGCTTGCGATCGTCTATACTGTGTACTGTATAATTCCAGGCTGCTACATTAAATGTGCTCACTTATACAGCCGTAGTCCTTAACCTTGTGCTTGTCTACTGTAAAGTAACCTTTATCGCGATAACAACTGTCTGCGATTTATCTTTAGCTGTAATCTGTCTTTAACCGGTTAAATAATGTTTTTTGTGTAAAGAAATAAGTAGCATAAGTTTTGACGGAGGTTTAGTTTCCTGGAAATAAAATCTCTCTAACAATTCCGCGTTAATTTTCGTGAACCTGTTCGCTGCAATAACATCTTCGTTCTACGCGGTAACACGAGCATAAAGCATGGTATCTCTGTTAAAACGTGACGATACTTTTCATGAATCTTGATGAATTTTACGCAACTTTTTTTACATTGGCATAATAAATGCAATTTTATTACTCAAGCGCTACGCAGTTTCTGCTCCATTGGTTGGAAGATTTTTTCGGCATTTACTCGTACAATCTCGCTCAACGCATTATCCACAGAAGTACTGCTCACAACATTTATCAAATTCAAATGAATAAGTGTATCGTTTCGGTTTTGCATACGTACAGAGTAGTTGTATGTAAGAAAGGCAGATTTCGGTGAACTTTTGCGGCAAACGCTACACAGTGGCAAAGGCCGAGACCCGATTAACTCAGATGGATGCAGATTTTTGCCTTAATCAGCATAGGAAAAAAACAGCACGAAGGCCGATAAGCCCACGGCCAGTGCAATGCTTTCCCGATTCCACATAGATAAATGCGATGAGTACCACGAACTTAGTTTTTTCTGGTGGAGAACGATTTCGCTTTATATCTCGTATAGTGACCGCGACAGAGCGTCTTCGGTATTTCGTAAACAGTAGTGGGACACAGCAAATTGTTAGTTCAACATAATTTAAGCTAAAAAACGCTACCGCCTCCGTGAATTAATCATAAATCACTTCGTGCACACAGGTACTTAAGAATGCAGCATATTTTTGCATTACCGAAGTTTTTTCACCAGTATACGTATAAACACAACAAACTCCGAATCCATATTTTGTATTATATTTTATCCTGACCGATGTGTTCAGTTCCACACAGCTATGCAACGTGTTTTAGATCACGACTCACGAGCACCGATACAGCTGCATGCGGAACTGGGAGATTCGGCACCGTAATGAAACGTATTTTAAAACGTCAGCGTCACAGGTCACACATATTTATGACTTTCCCGAGATCATTTCGATTTTTGATTTGTCCGCTGATATTTCTCTGCCCGCAGCTAAATTAGGATCCTGCAGGTATTTTTCATATTCATTCTTGCTGGGCGCAAATCTGTCCACCTTTTCCAGCAATTGTTCCGCATATCCCGGCGAAAAATACCTACGAGTATATCATAAATTCAGTTTTTTGTATTTACAGTGTCACACAGAATATGTGTAATATCATCATAAAATCAATTCTGGCCAGTCGTCCAAAGTCTCTATGTGCTAAGCAATTTCTTTGTGGCATAATAATAATTCATATAAGGACAGTACAAATATACAAATACTTTTCCATCCGACATTAACTCACTTGACAATGTCCGGTGGGTAGCACGCATTAACCGCCTCAATCGCTTCGTACAAAGCCGAGCCCTTGGTGACATCCAGTTGCTGTATGTACTTCAGGCCTCCACTGACGACAAATGCCCTCCTCGCTTTAGCGTCATGCGGTAAAATCTATAAACTCGTACCAATTGTATGTTGTATATTCACTTGAATTATATTCAACGATAATGTTTGTATTGACAACAGAACACTACGCTTTTCTACCTAAATAGTGCATTGCTTGGTAAATTTATATACACACTATTACACAGTGATGTATCAGCTTAATTATGTGGTGATTTATTTTCTCTCTTCATTGACATAATTCTAATCGTTCTTTCCTTTCCTCATAACCACCAATCTGACCTTTGAGTATTGCGTTATAACGGCATCTTTGAGCACGGCCGGGCCATGCTGTAGCAGCATGTCCAAGCTGGGCAGGTAGATACATTTGTCGATGAGATTCCGCAGTGTCTTGCGTGACTATAAATATTATGTGCACCATGTATTACCAAGGGCAAATTTATATAGTGAATAAGAAAACTGATAAGCGCTCTTATCAGCCTCGACGCTGCATGTGGATAAACAGCTACTGACTTTATTACGTAAGTCTTCGGAAGCGGCAAGGTCATCGCTGGCGAATGCCATTATCTGCGGCAGCATATCGCCGGTGCAGATAGTGTTGGCGTGCTCCGAGCTGTGACCTGCCAGTTGTCCGATAGTCCAGACAGCGGCGGCCTTAACGTAGTCTTCTTCGTCGGGCTCCTTGATAGTGGCTTGTAAACATGGCAGCGCCTGGGGAAAGAGCAATAAAAGTGTGTATTTAAGTCTTACTGATTAGCGATACTGCCTTGCTGTATTATCATAATCATTGAGTTTAAATATCGTACGATTTGCTGTCGCAAAATTTCAATGCCTTAAAAAATTTCGCCATACTATGTAGTATGTACATAGTAACATAGGTACAACGCCATATTTTTTACCGCCGGTAATAACATATTCAGTACAAGTACAAGCCTATACTTTTTTAAGTCCTGGAATTAATTAAACAAAAAACTGTAGGCTGCTAAATTTACGATACACCTAACGCTGTAGTCGTAGTGCGTTTTCAACGAACCTTGGCCACGATGATAGCAGCGGCAATCGTCTCCGAGTGTGCAGCCAGGTAACCGAGAGTCATAAGACCCGGCACACGGGATGGACCACGATGTGTGTTTAGGTATTCCACGGTGGCGCCGATTCCGCCGCTGTTTACTACCATCTGAGCTATCTGCAGAGATATGATGCTTTAAAGTCAATTAATAAAGTGGTAATTAACACGGTATCTGGATTTCCTGTATGCGCAGAATATACGCAGACAAGCAGCAGTTATACGCAGAAATGTTTTTACGTGTTGCAATAATTGTGAAAACTTGTAAGGAAGCAACATGTCACACAAATATCGTGTGTATACGATTTACAACTGTCTGGGATTTTCAAGTTCAGGGCACATGATCTGAGCTCAAAGTTTTTGTTTTCAAACAAATCAATCCATAAGCAGGATATGAAACAAAACTCTAAGGAACAATTCCGTAAAATGAAGGGTAAAATCGCTAGTAAACGTCGTCCACATTTAAAAAATTCAGGAATTGTTAAACCTGTTAACGATTATAAATGTTTTTATACGTTAGTACAATTTCTCGGCATTCCAAATCGAAAAACGGCAACGATTTTGCAAATTTTTAATAACCGCAATTTACATTTTTGTATTTTTGATTCGATACTGTATTATAACCAGAAAATAGTTCATACAAACTATAAAAATGCATCTTATGACCTCTTCACTATATTTGCAGAATTCTCGCAATAGTCCAGCGCAATTTTTTGCCACTGTCTCATCCCGATCATGCATGGACACAAGCATTGTCGGCAGAACATCCGCATCCAGCACAACTTCCGCCAATAATAAAGTGTGTTTACTGATGTGGCTTAAAGTGGCAAAAACGCATCGCTGCAATAAAATGTTTACTAAATATGTCTTATACGGTACAGCAGAATCGCGCGCTATTGTTTCAAGCAATTATAAAAATGCATAATTTTTCCATATTGTACGAAAACGTTTTACTAACATGTAGCGTATTGTACAATCACATACTCTGAGTCGAACATCATCTGCGCCGATCATTTTTGCCAGATACGGTACCGCTCCCGTGTCGACAATCGTCTGTGCTAAATCCGCCGAATGCTTGCAAATGTCGCCGAGAGTGACCACAGCTGCCCGCTTCAGCGATGTTTCTGGTTCACGCAGACAGAAGACGAGAAACGGGCCCGCCCCCGCGTCCACAACACTCTGCGCCAGATCGCTGGTGTGCTTGGCAATGCAGCCCAGCGCCTCGGTGGCCTGTTCACGTAGCGCCGCTTCCGGTGCATCCAAACATGTGACCTACAATCTGATTTTGATTGACTTTTTTGACGAACAGCGATAAACAGGAAATGCAATTTAATACCAATCCGGCTGCCCCGCCACCCTCGACAACGGCTTGTGCCAGTTCTGCGCTGTGCTTTGCGATAGATTTCATGATGAAGCAGGCGGCTCTTTTGTAGATCACCTTAAATTTAAACGGCAAAAGGTGAAATTTTCGTAAATAAAACTGATACACGGTTTTGTATCCTGCGGATAGTTAACTAAAATACTAATTATAAGGTCTACTCCATATAATTTAAAAAAGCAAGGGTTCACTTCGCAAACCCTCAGAATTTTTTAAAGAAAATAAAGATTAAGATCGTTTAAGTAGGACATGCAGGCTAAGATGAGCGTCAAAAGGGCGCAATTCGAAGAAATACGAGTAGTATGCCTACAAGTAGTACGAAGTACTGTTAATGCTACGCGCTTGATTATTTAATCCATTAATTAAGTAATAAATCAAATAGTATTTTATCTAAAAAATAAACCAAGCAAATTCTGATGTAACATACACCATTTTTACCAAGTCCATAAATAACTTGGGGTAATATGTCGCCCGTAATGATACCGGTCGCTAAATCTGGACTGTTATCAGCTAAGCGACCAAGAGCCATCGCAGCCATGTACTGAATATTCGGTCGCATGTCCAACAGCAAAGGTCTCAGCAGGGCCATAACACCTACAAATTCAGCGAACATACGAATTCTGTGAATATGTTCGTAATGCACCAGATTGATCGAAATCAATCGAATCGTTTACCCTATGTTTCTAGCAGCTTTTTTACATTATGTTTCTAGCAGAGGCCGCTAACGATTACAAATTTTACCACTATTTTATGGAATTTTCTGCACAAGGATTTTCTAGCAAAAGTTTACAGTATTAAAGTTAAAGTTTAGTTACTTATAAAATATAAATGTTATGTATACCCCGTTTCTCACGTTACCTTCTTGTTGTAAATACTCAATATTTTTTGTCCGCGATGCTAATTCCGATATTGTTTGCACAAATGTGGTTTGTGCACGGTGGTAATCCTCAAAAACTGTAAGTTATAACGAGAATCAATAAGTTAAGGATCCGAACACGGCGCAGCCATATGCAATACACGAGCCATGTATCCACAAAAATTTCGCAATTTTCACCTTGAGCAATCTGACGCTGATTAAGCACTCTTCCATTCATGGTAATAAATAAAGCTTCGCTTAATCAGGAAGAAGGTGCAAATTAATTTAGCGCTGAGCTAAAGCAAAGCAGGGTTCCATAAACACGGGACAGTTTTTTCCGGACTTGCTCGTACAAATCCATCACTTAACTTTTAGGAATTCCGATTTTTTAGCCCCGACAAATTGATATATGATAGTACGCCCTAAACAAGTAATTCACGCCATTGAAATCGCTTGTAACAAAATAAATATCATTTATTTTGAATGCATCCTGGTACAGGTACAGCAAGAAAAGGTCAAACAAGGCTTAACTTAAACGTATCAACTATCTTCATTGTAAAGTTGCTTCTGCCTAGCAACACACAGACTGGTCGGTTTATATGCCCAGTCGGCCCAAATCAGGTTTCTTGTTTAAGTAATAAGAAAGTAAAAACTTTTGCATATGCTTGTAGTATTTCGTACTTAATGTTACCGACTCATGGAAACAAAACAATAAACTCAAAAAACGCGGGATGGAATCAGGGCAGGTAAGGTATCACTTTTGTCAGCATCAGACTATCATGGTCAAGGCATGCAGTGCCGTTAAGACCAAAAGTAACGCTTGCACGTGCGCATGCTGCAGCTGTGCAGCTCGACACAACTGCAACACATTTTTCGAAAAATTTTGTGTTTTACCTGCATTTAAACCTGCACTGCTTGTTTTTTGAGTTTTGTGACTTGTGTCTTATTCTTTATTATTAATTTTTTGAATCCTTTATTGTTTGCGTTGTCTTGTGTTAAATTTTCTAAGCGCTTGTGTGCCCGAATTCTTCAATAATCAAGAAGCAGTACAAAGAAACCGTGTTGAATTTTGTTGTTTGTCGTGTTTGGTTTCTGTTTGAATTTATTGACTGTTGGATTTTGGAGTAGCTTCTTGAAAATATTCGTTTTTCGAGTTCTGCTGCTCTGCTGGTTTCTTGATCACACTAATTATTGCATCGATATTAGTCCTTATCTGGAAAATATCTGCGGACCGTGGATTGATAGTGTACCGTCATGAACGCCAGTATTTCGTCGCTGTTTCGAGGTCTGCAGCTGTGCAGACCACATCTGGTAAGTAAAAAATATTGAGTAATTTAGTCACCAGCTTTTTTGCTTGCGTTTTCCACCGTTGCCTTGTCCCGGTTGCAGTACGCTGCAAATAATCGCGAAAATTTTTTATTAGTAACAAAAAAATGTTCTCCAGGTCCCTAGTCGGACGTCCGTGCGCTATTACGAATATCTGGAATTTGAGAAAGTCACTAGCAACAATATTCCTAAGGAAGCCGTCATGCAGTCCAAAGGGGCCTATCAGACGGAGAAAGGACGCATTTATGATAAGAAACCCTTTAAATGCTGCCTGGAACCCGGAAAAAAGTATTCATGGTGCTCCTGCGGCTACAGTCACAAACAGGTAGGTCGGCGGACCCGCGGGGATGTCTCATGGGTTCTTCACTACGTTCCTCGGTTTTCATGCCGTTTCTGAGCCACTTAATTATATCTGCACGTGATTTCTGCTGTTGTAGCCCTTTTGTGATGGTGCGCACAAAAAACCCTACATTAACTCCAGTTTACGTCCCGTGAAATTCGTCGCCACGGAAGCCAAAGAAGTATGGTTTTGCAATTGCAAACAGACCAACACGAAACCCTTTTGCGATAAGTCCTGTGATTTACCACTGGTGCAGGAAGCCAGGACGAACTGAATTATTTTTATCGGTGTGGCTCAGGTTGGATATTATGTGTAAAGGCTACAATTTTTTTGATCCGTTTTATTGTTGCATTTATTGGAATTTTTGAATACGTACTTGAATAAAAATGCATTTGTTTCGGTGGTGCTTGCGAGAAAACACAATATATCTCGATTCTCATGGTGAAAAATCACAATAAAATGTAAATCGGAAGCGAATTTTGAATTTGTTCAAACTCATGCATTTAATCGTTTAAACAACAACAAATGAGCACGAAATTTCGGTGTTCTGTTTATGTACTGCAGAAATAATTGAAATTGTAATTATTTCATAGTAATTTTCATCAGATTAATTGATTTCTCTAAACGATTATGTTATAAGTATTTTTTTCTCAGATTCGCGTGCATGAAGACAAGTCAGGGCTTTCAGAACCGTAATAAATTTATTGTGTCATAAGCACTCCAGTTTGCATTCTCAGGATCTGGGTAAAAAAGCACCCATGGTGCGGCTAAAACGATCATTAAAAGCTAATTCATAAGTAAAAATCATAACTTGCATGGATGTACGAACAGCCACAATAACCGTGTCGGCGCTCGTAGCACAAGAAACAAAAAACCAGAGATGCTCCCACTTCGAGTATACAACTCACAACGGAATTAACAGGCATACCGCACTGGAAGTAAAATTCGTCACAAGAGAGAGAGCATAATCTGTATACAACCACATTCTATCAACACAAAAAAACCAATTACAGAGAAAAACCACTTTTTATGTCAATGTGAAAACAATAACTCAGACGTCAACCAACCAACGTCACTTTGTGTCCCTTTTGCACAGTGTTCCTTTATACAATAATATTCTCCATGAAATCCAAAAATCGCTTCGCATACTGATCCGGAGGAATTGTGGAAATCTGAGCATGGGATCCGTGCTTCACTGTCTTGGCGGCTTGTGCAGTGCGTTTCTATATAGACAAAACAAAAAAAGCATTTCTATACAGATAAAATAATATTAAAATTAATATCAATGCAACAGAAATCAATCACAACTATAAAAGCTAATAGGAACTATGCAAACAAAAATCCAAAGCGAAATGTTATCGTTCCACTCAGTGAAAAATTTACTGCACGAACACGAGAAGCTAAGGAACCGCAACTTTTTACCCAAATCACTACACTGCTACCAATACCCATACCTTCATTCCGTAGTGCGTCAATATGTCGATTATGGCCACGAAATATATTGATTTCTTTGGTGCATCTGCAAAGAGATAAATTTAGCGGCAGTCGCACAATAGACCACACCAACCACTACAACAGCCTCAAAGAATAGGCGTAATTGTGCTAAGCCGGAAAAAGAACGCAAGGTCGATATTGCGTATAATCCGGGATCAGTTGCCATCAGCTGATGACAAAGCATCAAATTACGCTGTTCGTGACTAAAGAAAAACCTAAACAATTTCTCCATCCTAAGGAGGGAATACATAATGCCTTTGGCTCTGCAAACCGCATGACGACAATCTGCCTCGTGGAGCACGAAATCAAAAATTACTTCAAAAAGCACATTTGCAGTACCTAGCCTAAAGGCGGAAAATGTTCACCACTTGAATATGTCGCAGCATATTTCAAGCGACCATTAGAAACAATTAAAAATTATGTCAAAAGCATAACGAGATTGCGTCCAACCGGAATGACAACAATCCAGAGAATATCGTACAAATGAGATTAAAGTACCAAAAATAAAGAACCACATGACATTAAACGACAAACTGCATGACATTTTCACATCATATTTACTGGAATTGACGGTAGTGCTTTCAGAAATAACTTTCTTTCTGTTCCGGTTCGCTTATTTCACAATCCTAAACTTTACTACCTTTCAAAAACGATAACTAAACTTTAAAATACCGAACTCCATCAAATCATACAAGAACTGCTTGCAGATCTTTACACTAAGCAAGAATCATTCCACTTTTTCCGCTACCGAAACCAGTATGTCTCTTATGTTGACCGATCATGTTTAAACGGGAAACGTACTGTCAGACGAAGGTATGGAGATGATTTCCACCGGATGTGCAAACAGTGAAGGCGCATTGGGATCCTTATTCTCGGAATTAACAATCCCCGGGCTCTCCGGCGGACTATTATCACTGTTAACGGAGTCAGTCTCGCCGCCGGTCTCCTCGGATTCATCATCCACCCCGGAGGCATTACCACCTTGATCGGCATCATGAACACCCAAGAGAAGTCGGTAGTCCATCAGATTGTTCTTTGATAGGAACTAGAGTTGTCAAACGACACAGAAAACAATTATCAATAGCATGTCGGGTGAACTAGTTAACAAATTGACAGATTTACGACACACAGCATATAGCAGACACCACAGATTGATTATTAACCCACTTCCACGTCACGCCGTATGATCTCCAATAATTCCGCCTTGTTCTCATTGCCAATGTACATTTTGTGACCTTCCGAGACGAAATCGTTGTCCTTGAAGGTGGGAAGTTCTTTGGATTTCTCCTTTTCACTGGCTTCACGCTGGACGGTTGAACCCTAACATCCAAAACATCAACACTAATTAAATATTTTACACAACTACTGATCTTTCAAAAATAAAGTTCTGTGTGATTATCATATGCGCGGAAATATCCCGTTTTTCAGATTGGGCGATGACGGATAGGAAATGGCATTCCATAAAAAACCCCCATCGCTCCTAGTCATTACCCACTGAAGCCAGTTTTTCTACTCGCCGCAAATTACATCTCATCGCTAAGAGAATCGATATTTCGAGACTACTTGATCCGTCGACGTTGTTTCGTAGCAGTAAGTCATCGACGGCTTCACTTTTATTAACGTCGTGTATATAGCGGTTATCGATCACACATGCAGCTCCTGCACTTCCCACATTTCACATAACATCCAGCCCCCGGAGAGAGGAAGAAAAACACTTTCAATACCACAACCAGCACTATACCGATTGCAGATCCTGCTCTACCCATCAAAACCGATCACTGTAACCACTTGGCAATTTGATCGCCTTAACAATTTCCGTTATACGTTGACAGATTAGATCCTCCCTTATTATGCTCTGCTGGTTAAAAACCCCTCGCAACAGACGATTTTAATTACTGCCTTTCAAGATTAAGCGTAAAAAGAGGAAAGGAAACGAAAGATACAGGAAAATAACACCAATCGAATAAAAACCGAAAACGAACGCAACATTTCATTTTACACTGCAAAATGAAAACTTATTATCTCTTTGTAAAGACATACAGATGGTTCTAGTTTTATGCAGACATTTTGCACCAGTTTCCACTACCATCCTAGTTGATAAAAAAACTGTTACAACAACACATAAGTCAAAATTTCAAAAAAGTATAATACAGAACAGCAGTAATATTTCTTTAACAGAACTAGCAATCGACCGATTTACAGCGGAACAAACAAAAGGCTACCACATCCAGCAAACAGCCTTGCATCACCCCACCCACCCATTAATGACCAACCTAGCCGTGTAAGTAACAATCCCCGAAAATATCCTCCCAGAGTCAGCACGTATCCAATTATCTCTTCCAACCGGCTGTGCATTTTGACAGAAAAATCACACGACTGCCCATTTCCCGTTGTGCACACTTTATAGACCCGTTAATGGTCGCTATATACCCGTCATTTCTCCCCCCAACCAACCCAATAAGCAGCCGCTACTAACCTTCAGATCATATTTCCGATGTACACGCAACGGATGACTGAAAACATTGCGCATCACCACCACATAGCTCTCCTGTTTCTCCACGGTCAATCGATAGGCGCCAAAGTACTGCGGAAGCAGGGTTTTGCTGTGATATTCCACCACATACTGCCGGAAGCACCATGCAAAAAGGGCACAATGTAGATTATATTCCATGCGGAGACATATCAGCTTACCGAAAATCGACAACATATCAATGCGGGGTTGCGATGTAATAAGGGATAATAAAATGTACTGTATGTTATCAATCGTCTATTACGCAATCATAAACAGAGACATCCAAATGTCATCAAGGGGGAAATTTTTAAACAAAATGGTCAACAGGAGGCTTTACAAATGTGCGTGTGCAACTGGAAAATTTCCAAGCCAAGTTTTAGCATAACAAAAATAAAATCGTTAAAAATATTGGAACATTTCGCATGAGGAAAATGCCCTGTATTTAATGCTCCTCTATATGTGTCGTATTACACGCAACATGCACCAAAAGGCAGCACGTATACTCGTACTAAAAATAAATAGTTCATAAAAATGCCTGCGTTATTTTATCGGAACAGTTTGGATATTAGCATTTCGCGTTATTATTATGAGAACAGCTGAGATATTCTTCGGTTTAAAGAACCATTTCTAAACACCTGAGATATTCTGAGCACCAGAACAGCTGAGATATTCTTCATTTAAAAAACCATTTCTAAAAGTTGATTTAACATCCATATTTTTTCTTCACCAGTTACAAAGTGGTTAAAGTAAACCAGGTTAGCAGTAAAAAATATTCAAAAGAGCAAAATTTTGATATAATTTTCGTACCTCATGGTAATGTTTGAGAATATGATGCATCTCTTCCACTTCCTCCCGCGTTAGGGTTTTAATAATGAAACGCTTATCGCCCGTGAGATAGTACGTTGATCCACTATCCTCCTTCATAACCGGCTCAGATCCGGTAAGGGATAGCTGCATACACAAAACGGCAACGGTTACTCGCACAGGAAATCCCATTGACATCCAGGGACGCAGCATACTTTACCATGTATTGGCTGTCCGTGACGCGGAAACGCTCCCGCAAATTACGAAATACCAACGGACAGTATTCCTTAACTTTGAAGTGACTAGGCATGTTATCCCTAAAATCAGATGAGTAAACAATGAAAAACCAAACGCAAAACGCATAACGCAGCACGCATACCACACTACGCAATCACGAATGTATGCATTTTACCACAACATCAAAATTAGCAGAACAAAAGGAACGATTTTCTTCGCAAATTCTCGAATTTAGGCAAGTTTAAAATTAAAATACATTAAAACTTGACCAAAATTCCGGTTATAGTTATACAACCCTAACACTGTTGTAAATACCGACAATAAGTCAGATATCAAAATCTCTCTTAACGGAATGCATTTCTTTCTATTCACGTTGACAATTCAAGATTATCCGCAAAGCGGAAATTTCCAATTATCTGGCCAACATGTACCAGCAGCGCAGGAGGGAATTAAAAGATTTTCTAATTCTAATTTCCATAACGTTAACGGCCACAGCACCATGTGAAACATGGCATAAATGAGAAGGAATGACTTTTGTCAGCCGCAATCTCCCCGGGGACAGTTGACGGACAAGGCAACTTGGTTAAGAAGTAAGTACTTGCCGACTGTACTCTCTACATCCGCATAATCCCCTCTTCGTTGGGGTTCCGACGACAAAATTTATGACTATGCGTGATGGGATTTCGGGCTTCAGACGGGAAACATTACATCCCAACTTACTTGTTAAAGTACTGTCGATCAATCTTGATTTTGTTGTAGGCTTTGAAATCATCCGGCATCAGCATCGGCGGAATATTCACATGGGTCAATTCATTAATCTGCCGCCATTCGACAAACATATACGAAACTGTGTAATAACAACGTCTCGCAGCACCAAATTATGCAAACAGGAACGTAAAAATTTTGCTCGTTAAATTTTAAAGCGAAAAAACATGTTTGCAACTCGTAACAGGCAATCGTAAAAAATGAGAAAATACTGCCTACTCAAAATTCCAGCAAAATAAACAAATGCGTGCAAACATGTGTAGAACATGCGCATAAAATTTCGTCATTAAAATGCAGTTTTAATACGAATAATTTTACTATGCAGCGTGCATCCATACTTATTTAAAGCCAGAAAAACACCGCTTTATAACAGGATATGCTCTTGGATTGAAAAGTTGTCAGACATACCGTGCTATTAATGCCCCACATAAACACGCTGATCAGCGGCTCTTTTGCCCTGAAAAGCTTGACTTTCTGGGATACCGCTTTGATGCGTTTGGATTTGGTTTTGTTTTTCGGCATGATGATGGATTATCCGAGTTTCAGACTGACGATATTCCCACTAATGTTTCGATGTCCGAGAAAGTTAACTGCAATCCAAACAGAAATGCTCAGCTGTAATCAAAATGACATGCATGGGCGATAAGCGTCCATGCTAAAATTTCAACTATGATGATTATGACAGTTAAAATAATCGTTCACGGAGCTCCAGAGATCATCGTTACAGGGGTAAAGTCTTCACTCGGACTTCAGACTAGACGGAAACACGTCGCACAAATCTGACGTAGCGAAGAAAGAAAAGAGCTGTCTGCTCATTTAACTGTACACAGTATGCAATGGTCTGCCGATGAAAATATGTACAAGTGACTGGAAAGTAAACAAAATAATTAACACCCGTTATAGTCATCACTCAACAAAATACAATGTAGAATACGAGTACACATCCATTTGCGTTACTCTAAAAATCAGAGAATAACTACTGCATAAAATACAAGCGCGAAAACTGCAAAAATTCCGAAAATTTTACAATACTTACTACATATAAAAATTTTATCGCAGAAGAAACGACACTTAAGATTAGAAATAATCAATCATCGTCCACAAAAGGGAACCATCGAAAGTTTTTCGGAACCGTTTTGGAATTTTACTTGTTTACCGCAATCATATTAAAAACAGCACTCATACCGCCCGTAAAAATTACTCCGCAGTTGACGAAGTAAATTGAAAACAAGCGCAAATTTCGAGTAGCATTTCCGGTGGTTATATCAATCTAGCAAATAATCAAATATTACAAGGAATTTCATGCTACTCAATAAGAGCCATGAACTTGAATGGAAAACGCTGACATGATCACGATGAGGTGACACAAATACATCACTGAATATGCCTCATAAAAATAAGTACATTTATTACATCGAGAGCAGATGCTGCTCGTAACGAGTACGCTTCCATTAATCAAATAAATTTGCCTCGATCACAAACCGGTCGCACGTCGATTCACTTCACAATATCCAGCACATATTACACAAGTTGTATCGAAATGTCACCCTCGAATTTATCGGACGGTGATAGCATAAATAGAACAGCTCAACCAGACACACAATATATCAGCGCAAAAACCGGTTAAAAGTAATATTTATTAACAGGTTTTGTAACAATTGTTAAGATGTTCGCCCTGGACGACGAGCATTTCATCGAATGCGCCTCATGTTGTTAGCACATCGTTATCAAATTTCAAAATTCTGACAGATGGATGATACTGTTAAAGAAAACTGCGAACACAAAAGTCCGCAATAACCAAAACCGCGATCAAAAATATTTATATGCCGACGTTGCACAATTATGGGTCTATTTTATCATTTGTTCCACTTCCAGAAATTGTACATTTAAACACAGATTTTATTCTATAAGATCATAGAGCATTTCTTATGCAATTGCTCAGTCAACCACCATGGTGCAATGCTGTGCACTTCAGAGCACTGAAATTCTACATATTGGTTGAAATACAGATATGTACCGTTCATACCGTACTACTTACTGTAAATGTAATAATTATGCTAACTCAAAAAGCAAATACCCAGCACTACTTCGACAGGCACTGAAATTCCATTTTCCTTACTCGCAACAAACGTGTTTAATTAATGCCAGAACAAATTACCATATTAATTACTGAAAGGAAGTCTTTTAAAAAAGAATGGGCAAGTCCGCAAGTGCAGACAGATGGGAGATCCGGTAAATCACATCCGCTCAAGACCGCATGATTAGCCCAGTAACGAATACAACTGGTAAGCAAAAACCCACCCAAACATTTGATAACAATCACGAATGATCTCGATTTCAGCTCCCCAAATTCGGAAAAAAAACAGCGATTAACAACACTCCTTAAATTCACAAAAAATGCAATGACTTATTCGAGAACAGAAAATTCTATTTCCTTTCAATTAATTTTATGATGCAGAATTTGTACAGTACATGCGTATTTCAGAATTCAAAGAATTAAGTCCATTATCAGGATCCTCTGCGTAAATGAGTAACACTAACGAAGACCAAAAAACCAAATTCTGTAGACCACAGAATTTAATATACATACGTTAAGCTTTCCTTTTGAAAATAAAACATATTCATATAAGTCAAAGTATAAATAATTTTGATCTACTATTCAGCCAATGCGCGATTGAACAGAATGGACCATTGTGACATTGCTGATTGCACCTAATCATTTATCAAATTTTTAAAACAACAAAAATTAATTACGTACCTGTTCCCGCAGTCCGCTGTAGACAATCCCAGTAGACAAGCAAGTAAACAACGTTAATTACTGCCCAAACATTTCACAGAAATTGGCTATGCCGATGAGTCAATCTTCAAGTTAATCGTAGAAGATACTCTGTAATTCGAGAAACGAAAAGCAGAGCTGCAGAAGCACTGAGAAGCTTCAGCAAGATAATTTTTCCATGTCACCCAGCTTCCAGCACTGGCTCGGTCGACGGAACTACTCAGCGCTGCTGGAAAGTATGTGCAATTTGCCAAGGGAAAACACGCTTCAATACAGCGAAAGAATCCACTGGGAGGAAAGTATACAACGGATCGATAAAAATTGATAGGGAAGCCAGTTTGTCATCTCGTGAAAACTTCGTCTTGCAGGCTGCCACTTGCTGTAGAGCTGCTACAGTCCGAATAATAATATTCTACGTACTACAATCCGAATAATATTCTACGTACGTATTTTGTAAGTACGTGTACGAGTACGAGGCGTGCCAGGTGCTTATGGCGGGCACCCGCCTTGGCGGGTGCAATGAGGCGGGTTTCAGTATCAGTGGCGGGCACCGCGGAATTGCACACTGCACTGAAGCATCAAGTGCGCTGCACTTGCCCAATAGGTAGTGCACTTCTAATTTGCCACGGGCCTTTTCAATTTGAAAAGCTTTTGTGTATTTGCCTTTTTGTTTTCCGTGACTGAACTCGTTATTCTAAAACTGTAAGTCAAAAAAACGAACGTTTTGTAGTCTTTTTGTTTGTTTTAACTGTCCTGCATGTAGGCAGCAGGTTCAATCACCTGACCACCTGAAAACAGAGATGAATGTAAACCTATATGACGTGGATCGCTTTGACACCTTCAGAATTTCGAATGTTTTTTTGTAAAATTGAATACAAAAACCAACGTATCCTGACACCATTCCATATTTTTTCAAGCAGCCGTTATATATGGTTATCTACTTTAAAGCACCAAACAAACCAAAATGATCTTTATATACAAATTAACAGCAAAAATTAAGAATAGTAAGTTACGTAGATAAGAAAAAGTGACCAATTTTAACATAACAATAAGCTTTGCAAATTGGTTTCAAAACGTACAGAACGATATTGTCAGTGTTAGCTATTTAGCAGGCATAATGTATTATTTAGCAGACATATTCAAATGCTTAATAAACCGTTCACCGTATTCTCACAGAGTCCCGTGCATTCCCTGATGCCGGAAAATTGAGCAAATATCATTCTGATAATTATGAATTTTTATCGCTGTTGAAAAAATTTAACATTCGATAAGTCTTCTAGCTGTATCGTGAAAATTTCCAAACATTCGCAACCAGTCAGAGACCAGCAAACAGAAAACGCAATTCGGTCTACTAACTGCTTGCATATATGTAAACCGTTTTTCTTTAGTCATCATACAACCAAGTTTGACACCATAATGGTTTTCAAAAACCAATTTAAAAAGGTTTCAACCTGTATCACATAAAAAGGTTGAGCAAAACGCGATTTACTCAATTCTTTTATTTTTACTGCTGCAGTTTTCCAAATCTTTTTCATTATTTAAGGCTACAGCCTAAGTGTTTTTTACCTTCATTTACTTTATCACAGGACATTCTTTTACCTGTTTCGATCTCTTAATTCGAGCGAAATTGGAAAGGCCTATTTAGTATGCATTTTTTGTTATAATAAACTGCGGTTACCAGATTTAGGCTGTGGCCTAAATTGGTAGCCTGAATCAAAAACGTTTCTCGAAACAATCTTTTGAATTTGGGTTGCAGCCTATTTCGTTGCAGTATACTACAGGCTTTCCGTCTAATGTCAAGAAATGCTGTTACTTTTTAGCTACCGCAAGTAAACATTGCAATTATTGTGAGACCATTTCAAAGTGAAGCAAAATTGGTCTTCCTTTTCAAAAATGCCTTTTTTTGGTTTTACTTCGGTCAAAACTTGTTGCAAAACAGCTGCTTTAATCGCTTCGTTTTTTAGATATCAATAAAATTATCTTGTTGTTCTTAAGCGATGCAAGCTCATAAACACGTGCTTGTAAAATGATATCATTTATTATTTTTTCCTTTTGCGTCTCGTCGCAACTTATAAAAGAAAGCCATATAGTTGGCTCTGTAATGCGCTAACGTTAAACAATCAAAAAACTAAACTGAATACATATATGCATAATTCGGTTTGCTGTAAAGTATTAATAATTTTTTTAGTGCATAAGTGCTACAAAATGGCATCGCTGTTAACTGTGGACAGTCACAATTAAAATTCAAGTTAACCGAGCGCTGCTCCAAACCATAGGCGTAAGTATTGGCGCGTGTCAGGTGAAGTTGCCTTCTCTTTTTTGAATGCGGAATGTTCGTTTATTTATTAATATCGAACCACTTGTCCTAATTTTATGACTGTCATCGGCTCCACGCAAGCTTCTTGAAAACAAAAGATATATTTAAATATTTTGCGTCTGTGCCCTTTACCTTTGTATTTTTTTATAAAATGACTAATTCTTTTTGGTGATTTAAAAAACACCTGCCAAGGTAAGTGAGTCCTGGAAGCCAGTAGAATAAGCCCGCAGTCAAAATAACGGGTCACTGGGACATTTATCCTGCATTACGCATTTTTTAATTATGACTAAGCAGCTTAGCAAATCAATTTAGAAAGATTTGGGTAAGTATTTTTTGTAAACAATGTTGTAAGGATTGGTTTTAAAGGTATCGGTAATCATAAAGCGTGGAGTAGCGTTAGCAAGTATAGTGTATGACTCGCACTGGCAGCTTGGATGCGCAGTGCACTGTGCAAATGCATTTCTGCATTGCCCGCTGCCGACGCACGCCTTATGGTTTACACCCGCCTTATCGCACCCGCCTTGGCGGGTGCCCACCATAAGCACCAGGCCTCGGGTACGAACGAAGCACTACGGAGTCATTTCCCCCTTGGACCATACGTATTGGATTTGTGTGTTTTTCATATCTTATTAATTTTAACTATGTAATCAACGAAAATTTCTATCTGATAGGGCTTACCCTCCAAAAATCGCTTTAATTATAAATGAATAATAATATTGCTTAACACTTTATTAAACTTAACTAAATAAGCAGTTAACTCTGGAGAAAGTTAGAAACACACGTCTTCTCGTTTGAGTTCTCTACGTACCGTCCGATTGAAGAAATCGCCGCCTCTGAGCGATACATCAGAGCTGTCAAGTTGTCAACTTTCATTTTTACGTTTGTTACTACTGTCGTTGTAAGTTTACTTTTGAAGATTTTCTTTTGATTGTCGGTTTTCGCTTCTGGGTTATTTATTTTCCACATTCCTTGGCTTTGAAATAATAAGTCGAATCTGATTGTATTTTACGGACAACAGTAACCTTTTCTGGATTATCTTTACCATGGCTTTGGATCGGAAATCATGGAATGAGTTTGCTGCTGCCTACAAGACTTTCATTCGGAATTGCGATCTTGCGGAGCGGAATCGCTTTCCCGTTTTTGAGCTGGAGATCTCCTGGGAGAAAGTGGATGTTAAAATGCCCTGGCGCGAAAAGAAACCTGCTCATCTGTCCTTCGTGCCGTCACTTTCCTCGGGACCGCCGGATCATCGTGAACTAACTGGGGATCCTGATAGTGGGCAGATGATCCGATATTTCAAAGCTCCCTGGCTGGATGTTCAATGGTATCTGGATCTGGAACTTTTGCGTAAGTTTTGCTGACGCCCTGTTCTGGGCACGGCCATGTTACTCACCGATGGTGTTGTTCGAAAATTTCTCGTATTTTGGTCGCCCGATGCATCAGTCAGCTGTTGCCTGATGACGTCAGTTCGATCGCAAGTCATTTATAGGGATTGTACTTTTGACAATCACACAATTTTGTGAAAACAAAGAATTAAATCATTAACGTGACAGCCTGACAATTATTACGTTGAACGTCTATTTTTGCTGCTTCGTATTTGGTTGTGTTTTTGTATAGCCTGTTCATTATTATTATGGTGATTATAAATAGTACTGTCATTGTAGGTTGGGTGACTTTTATCTCGTAGCTTAATAAAAAAAATTCTGAATTAGCCAAACAGTTTTTCAGTAGCGAGGTAAAAGATCTTCATTTGAAGAAGTTGGCTACTCCAGTCGGATAATAGGAATAATAAATCCGCGTAGCACAATTGCCGAAAGAAAATTTCGAAATATTTAGCACATTTATGTACACAGATTATGTCAACAACGCTATCAATGTTTACAGCCGTTATTGACGATGGTACGATGTCGTATCAGTTCCGTATCCCATTCAGCCAAGCGCAAAGCACGGCCGCCGTATCCACGGCGCCATCGGCAGACGAAGCCGGCCCTTCCCAACCGGCCGGTGGGAAAATGGAGCGCTTGAAAGATTTCAAAGAAGGCATTGCTCGGCGTCTGCGCGGTGAACGCTCTTCAGAGAACCGGCGCAGCTTGTTGAATACTCTACAACGGGATACGAAGGATCCCGACTGTGTTCTTCTCGCCGCCTGTCGCTGGGAAGGACGAGCCATGGACGCTTTCACCATCCTCGGCGCAAAGGTCAGCGTGGGATCGTTGGATGTCGTCGGGCGAGAACCGTTCCAGATGCACGAAACCGGGCCGGCGTCTTTTGTGCTGGATTCCGCGCATGCCGCACACTGGCAGCATCCACACGAACATGGCAGTCGTCACGGGAGCCTTTATGGGTTGAAAAAACGCAATGACTGGCTGAACAGCTATCAGGTTTTCTCGAGGAACATGAACGCTGCCGCTGACGACATTACGACCACTGTTACGTTGACGCTGACCATTCAGATGAATGAGCTCAGTATTCCGAAAATGGGCTTTCCATTTGATCGACTGGGGATGGCTGATAACGAGTTATTCGAAGCGACGCTGGAGAGTCTGCGGAAACCTTTGGAAGGCTCGGTGCATGTTCGAGGATGGCATGACGATGATTACTATGTTCCACAGGAGATTTTGTCGTCTTCCAGTGAATATTTTCGAACGTTTCTCACCGACAACTGGATGCATGATACCCCGGGGAAGGAAACAATAATTTTTCCGCAGGTTCCTCCGTTCACTGAGAATCCGCACATTGTGCCAGAAATTCTGTTTTTCCTCGTGCAGAAATCGGTTGTTCCAAACCTAACGGAAGACTATGCGGATTTAATGGTGGCGGCGGATGTTCTCGATATGCCGGAGTTAATGGAAGTGGCGTCGATTAGTATGTTGTCAATGATTAATCTGGAAAATGTGACAGAGACGATACGTTTTTCGTGGGATCGCAGGGCTGATTTGCTGTTCCGGGCCGCGCTGTTATATTTGAAATCTAATTATGATCGAGTCTGGTTAAATGATCGGGATGATCTGGCTGATCTGGGGCAGACATTGTCTCACCCAAATTTTTTGGAAGCTTTCACAATGGTGCGCTACAAATAGATTTATTGTTCGGAAACGTAAGTACGTGTTTCTAGTTTCTGCCCTATCTGCTGTTATCGTTGGTGAATGTGCCTGTTTTCCTCTTGATCCTATAATTTTTCTCTGGCTGTAAACTTTGTGTCAGCACTGTATATTGATTCTGTTTTTTATTCGGCATAGCGATGGATCTGACTTGTTTTAGAGAATTGGTACATAATGATCAGTGTGCAGCAGCAAGCTAAATAAATGATTATTTTGCAGCGGTTTGGTGATGCTAATCCATGTACTTTCTTTTTGTGCATAAATCTTTACATCGTACGATTTCTAAGTAATAATTCGTGTGACTAATAATAAATGTTTCAGTCTCATGGGCAATAGTACACCTTTTGGCTTTTGCTAGCTTATTTAAAAAGTGTTTATAAAAAACCCGTATACATAAACTAATCCCGTTCAATGCATCTCTGTACATCTAGAAATGAAATACGTAAAACGCGCTAGTGTTGTCAGGTTTTCAGTGAATATGACTACCTAGATACTAGAGCGTGGTGATGGTTGGCAGCAATCCTTTAGCAGTGTATTCGCAGTATTTATAACTTAACCAAATTCATTCTGGTTTGACTCCTTCAAGTTCAAATGCACTACCGTGCATTTCCCGGCTTCGTCGATGTCGGCCTTAATATTCGAACTCGGTTGTTCCATATTGAAAGCTTCGGTGAATTTCGGATGCGATAGCAGCTTCCCCAAATCTTCCAGATCGTTCTTGTTATTCACCCAGATCTGATCATAATTCGATTTCAAAAACAATAGTGCCGCGCGAAATAACACATCCATTCGATGTTCCCACGCCAACCGTATCACATCCGTCACATTGTCCACATCGATCAAGGCAATCAGAGCAAACGCTGCTAGTTCCATAAGTTCCGGCATAATTAAGATATCCGCGGCAGTAATCAGTTCCATTAAATCTTCCACGGAATTCGCCGGCATCTGGCGTTTCGCGGTCTGCACCATGAAAAACAGCAACCGTGTTATAATCTGCGGCGACGTGGTGAAGGGCGGCATTTGTGGGAATATGATGGTAGAATTATCGTACGGCAGCCAGTTGTCGATCAGGAAACGGAAATACTCACTATTGGCTGTCAGGATTTCTTCCTGCACATAATAATCGTCATTATAACATCCCCTAATGTGCATACAACGAGCAACCGGTTTCTTCTTCGAAGATTCCACGGAAATGTGGACGATTTCTTTATTGTATAGAATCCACCGTTCGAACGGGAACCCAAACTTTGTGATAGCGTGTTCGTTTAACTGGATGGTCAGTGTTACTTTCACATCGGTGGCCCACTCCCGGTAAGTGCCCTGCGCACGCGGAAACACAGAGTTACTATCCAGCCATTCACTGCGCGTTTTCACACCGGGAAAGTTGGTCAAATGATGCGTGTCGTCCATCATCATGGGATCATTTGTGTGTGTCCCGTACGTGGAATTCAGCACGAATCCGTGACCTTTGTTATAAACTGCCTGGTGCATGACCAGCGGCTCGCATACGCGCATCTCATACCATCCAACGGTCACACGCGCTCCGATGACGGTGAGGCGTCGGCTGCCCGGCCGCTCCAACGGCACGCCGCCACCAGGACACAGTCGGGATTGTCGGGTTGGCACTGCAGGCGCGGCTGTATGCCCGGGGCGGAAGCCAACGTGCCAGACAGATAACCAGCAATGGTGTTCCTTAGGTCACGGACACGGTGTGATATTCCACGCCACCATGGGGTAGAGGTGGATGCCATTGTGACAGATTTGTCAGCTGCGAGTTGCGATCGTGGCTGATCTGCCGGATCGTGAGGTGCGCTGAAGGTCGGTACAACTTGGGATCGTTCGAAGGGAATCCGGAATTGGGGCGTTGATTTGGTATCGTTATGGTCCTCAACAACAGCTATTAATTCACAAGATTTTTGTAAATACGGCCGATACAACAGCGCATGTTTTTTTAATGGATGCAGTAAAGCACAGGCAACTGTTGTATGTATAATATCTGTATATCTAATTTTGCAAAAAGGTCAAGATTTATCGGCCGGAGTATACAGCCACTACAATGCATTAGCTGACGCGTACATACGCACCACATATGTACGCGTCAGCTGCTGCGTCACCAAATATTATAATATGTTTTGTATAGTCCACTTACGCAGAAGTTCCAGATCCAGAAACCACTCAACATCCAGCCACGGAGCTCGGGGCGGCTTTTCGTTGGTGGTCTCTTTGGTGTGGCTAGCAGATGCCACGTCATCGTCAAGGAAGCCCATTTTCAGTTTCGGTGAACAAAACAACTGTGCGGGTTTCTTCTGGGTCCACGGCGCTCGGACGCGAACAGCCGCTTCAGCTAATTCAATTTCGTACACAGGAAATCGGCTACGTCCTGCGATACCGCAGCTGCGAAGGAAAGTTTTGTAGTTTTCGACACACTGTTTCCACAGCTCTCCATTAGTGCTAAGTGCCATAATAAAGGTGATGCTCGTGCACGCTTAAGTCTTGAAAATTAGATTAGTGCAAAACGTAATAATTAATGTCGGATGAGAGGCAAACGCCGGATGAGAGACACTGTTGAAATTCCCGAGAAACGTGGCACACTGGATCGATAAAACTGCAGGAATTTGACCATAGGGCCCAGTGGCCCATAACATGCTGGGTTACACTGTCAACAGATAAAAACATGTCGCGATATGCGGCACGTCCGCATCAGCTCACAATTTTTCAGACTGGACATCGATTTATCCCAGTCTCACCAGTTTATGCCATATCTGGAATGTACGAGTATTTACGTGTGTTACTGTGCAGTACTCGATGAAGTGAGGTGCTCCAGCTTTTGTTGAAATCATTCTATCGAAGGAAGACTTGACTGTAATAAAAGTGAAACAAGTTTGAATATTCTAGACATTTATTACGTACGTACTTACGTCCCCTGACCTTACTGTTAACTTTAAATAATTGTACAATTAACAACATGATTGTAGTAAAATTAACAATATTCAGTACCAACAGTGCGGCTGGGGATTTAGCAAACAGGAAATATACAATTATATTTTATACACTAGTGAAATAAGGAAAAAGCGCCAACGAAAGTATAAACACAGTTGCCCACTGCGAATATTGTATATTACGAGTTGTATGACCAAGAATATTCCATGCCACGAGGTGCATGTATTCTTAAGTACTAGGTGCATTTGCGGAAAAAGGGACAAAGTTAACGTTAGTGCTTAACGGGAGCGCGAAAAATGAAAGCGCACCGGCTTTAGTACCTTTATAATCAATGTTCGAAAATAAGTAAAGCAGTATTACCAAGTTACCAAGCGTCCAATATGCCGATCGCCAGTGGCGCGTTCGGAAGCTTTTACTGCTGAATCTTTAGAGTTCCCAGAGCAGATGTAACATTGTACTATTGCAGTTCCTCATCTCATTCAAACACGTGTCATGAGTTATAATTATTACTTCTCAGAAAATATCAGAATACAAAATCAGAACATAAAAATGCCCATATATGAGTTGACGGAAATCAAAGGTCTGGTCTTCTGGTTCCATAATATTGGTCGTCTAATTCTCACAAATTCAACATTGACAAGACCATTGCTAAAACCGAAACGGCATCTATTTCATCTTTTCACTACAAAAAAACTTTTGGTAAGATATCTTGTTTTGCATGAGCTGGTTTATTCCAAAATTAAATCCCGCAGTCGGGGACAGTTGCACGTGGCGGAGCAACCACTGCGAAACCGAACATAGCGCTCTTCCCGACAAATATTCAGCGCCAAATTCAGCTCATCGCAGTTGGAATAAGCGTCATAGAGGTGGCATGGGTTTGCTAGAGTAAGACGAGAAACTTCCTGGTATGAAATTATTCTAAAATTAACCCGGACGAAGTGCGAAACTAAACTTACAGCATAGTTGACCTTTGCATTGACCGGGACACAATTCACACGTTTCGCCGGCTTTATAAGGGAATGCTTCGTGACCAAGCATGTTGCCACTGCGAACATTAAAATTATGCTTGTAACTGAAAGAATATATATGAGCACACAAAATTTTTTATTTACGCTGGACAATATTGACAAACGTAGATGTGGGTGGAGTTGCAGTTTTGGTATCCACAACCAACCTGATACGAGTCGGCCCACACTAACTGTAAAACATTGCTCGAATAGGTATGGGAATTTGCGAAATGATGCAGTATAAAGGCTTAATTATAAAGGCTCCATACTTGAGAATAATGTAATGATTCATTATTCCAATCGCCATAAGTGAAATTATCCAATTCATCGTACCACTCTTTGATCACAAACGGCCATGGCATCGCTCGTGAATCATTTACACTAGCAATGTTGAAACCGCACACCATTCCTACAAAAACAAACCAAGGTAAAACAAATTATTTAGGTTCTGATGATTAAAGTACGTTACTCCGTATACGTACTACTGTAGAATATCAATTGAAACGTGACTTATGACACAAAAACTGCGGGACGCTGCTGACGCTGTAATAACAGTTGTGCATTGACGGCGATTTATTAATAAAAGCATATTTAAACTGAGTATTTTAGTTAGAAATATGTAGTTTAGGGAACTATGCTAATGTACTTCGCTGACCTGAAGCTTTGGTAATCGTTGTGATCGTATGCGGCTCACAGGTTGCCGCCCATTGCCGTGCCGATAGAGCAGCATCCAAGCTCCACTGCATTCGGAGCATATTGGCCGCCGCCGGTCGTACAGACCGTCGAAGTTCGTTATGCGCTCGAACAATCAGTCGAACGGTGTTCTGCAAAGTGGTATCAAGGTCCCGGTAATTGTTGGACACATTGAAATTGTCCGTAAATTCTTGCATGTACGCCACAGTGGTGTTGTGATAAAGCTTTGGCAGACCAATGGTTAATAATGCCGGGCGCGATATATTATTGTTAGCTGAAGCATTCCAAATAGCTGATGAAAAGTCAAGGGTTTGGTTGCCTGCACGAATAGCCAGAATTATCCGGAGATACGTAAAGAACACCACAATATTGTGACAAAAAACGCTGTACATTTTGATATCCCAGCTCTAGCAGCGAAACACAACAGCCGAAGTCGTAAACACTCAGTCGCTTTTAACGATCTCATGCAACATGTGTTAATATCTAAATGGCGCTTCTTTGGCGTTTACTTATTATGCAGGAAGACGAAGATGCAGCGTATGCTCAGTTATTGTAATGTGATGACATGTTAAAGTTTCTTGTTACTGCACACGCCGTACACAAATTTATTCAATCCATCGCAACGTACTATCAAATTTCCAACACCTTACTCAACTTTGTAACAGCTCAAACATAAAAATAAAACTGCCGAACATGTAATCACCATACAGCACATGCAACATACCCTATCCGCTTACCAACGAACGCCAACCGCAGCCGGGTCAGTTGTCACGCGTATCACATACAAATAATGCAGATCGACAGTGGACAAAGAGGTACCGAATGTTGGTCAAGTAGGAAAACATTAAAAATTAATTTAAATAAATTAACTGTACAAAATCCGACTGACCGGGGCTATTTCTTTCCTTTGAGACCCTCGGGATCCTCCACAAACTGTAGTAGACGTTGGCGGGTTTTCTTGCTGAGACTAGGTGAGTGGTTGATCAGTCCAACCACGTGCTTTAAAGTGTATTCCTGTAAGCAGTAAACGATCACCAAATATTCCAATTCAAAAAAAGATTACTTCATCATCACGTGCAGCCTTGGAAAGATTCAGACTGGAATTTAATAAGTATTACGCTAGTAACGGACTTTTTGCTTTCTGACCATCGACAGCGAAACAAATGCGAAAAATATTTAAGCAGACAAGAATCCGTAAACAAAAAGAGATAAGATATTAATGAATTCTATATGCATTTCACTTAATTTATGAATTCTCGATACATCCCTTCTACAGTAGTGTAATGGCGCATAAGGCACAAACGCTTGCATGAATCGTCCTAACCTAACGCATAGTTCATTACAGCATAATTACCGAATTTTGATTTAAAAGCAAAAGCAATAACTTTCGGTAACGATTTATTCTAAAATTAATATCAAATGGGCAGAAAAAGCAATCAAATGGGAAAGCAATAATAGCAGTACTTACGAGTTACGGCTATTAACACAATTACAGTAATTTTGTTACCCGGTGGTCTTTAACCCATTTGTCCAGCGCATCTTCCGGTAGGTAGAATGCCTTTATGTAGTTATCCACATAATCCCTATCCGGCAAAGGCCTGTGCAACAGAAGGCGTCTCATCACCATGGTTTCAAAAACGACGTTCGCAAACACCAGCAGAGCTGGCAATCTCCGGTAAGCACAATTCGCATTTTAAGCTTGTTAGTCCATTTAGAAATGGAAACCATACCGCCCCAATATCACAATATCCCCCACACTCAACCACCCCTGGTAAAACAAAATCCCGGACCTTCGAATCAGCCCACTGTTCAACCTGACATCCCAACTATCAACCTCAACAACATTATCGCTAACATCGTTTCGGCTCTGAAACCTTCTGCCCCATCCGACGAGGTCATCGTGACAGAATTCGAACTTTCCGTGCTCTGCGAGCTGGCCGGAAAAGTCTTCCTTCGCCAACCGTCGCTTTTGGAGCTTAATCCTGCCGATTCTGGATTAACTGTTGTCGGGGATCTACACGGACATCTCAATGATCTGGTGGCTGTTTTTCGTAAGGAAGGCGGTCCCGATGTTCATAATTATTTGTTTTTGGGCAACTATGTCGGTACTGGACGGCATCAGGTGGAACTGATTTGTTTGCTCTTAGCGTACAAATTAAAATATCCCGAAAATTTTTTCCTACTGCGAGGCTGTCATGAAAATCGGGACGTAAATAACGCAGACGGATTTTGGCATCGCTGTCGGGAGCTGTATGGAACGGATGCGGCCTGGGCCAAATTTAATCTATGTTTCGATACCATGCCCTTAGCAGCTGTACTGGGTGATCGGATTTTCTGTGTACACTCGGGGATCAGCCCGCATCTGGAGGCGATGGTGCAGTTACGAAACATCCAGCGCCCAATGTCTGTTCCTCCTAATGGACTTGTGTTTGACCTGCTCACCGCTATGCCCACGGTTGCCACACCGGGCTGGAATACAAATCAGCAGAGTACTGCTATGGCGTTCGGCAACGGTGTCTGGAAGAAGTTCTTCAGATCAAATGACATCGAGTTTATGATTCGCAGTCATGGTGTAAGTAAAAGCTTACATTCCGTAAAAAGGACTAAAATACTCCAAAAATCAAGCATACGTATTTAGCATTCACAGCAATGCAAAATGTCTCTGAAACCCTCTCCTCAATTTATATGTGCACGATAAAAAGTAAGCTCAAAACTTACAGCTGAAAACGCGGCGAAGGTGAATTAAATTATTGTTAGCAAGCCGTAAATGTTGTAACTTGCACTTTTGAAGTTCTCGCTGGCCAAGTAATAAACAGCGGTTACAACGTGTCAGGCTATCGGTACCGGGCTACTACGAGTACTACCAACAACTACAGCAAAAAGCAGTGTGCATAAAATTTCGGTTTCTAAGACGATCCAGAGTCTATAGTCTGCGCTTTAAAATTATTAAAGTGGTGTCCAAGAAAACTTGACTATGATACAAAGAGAAATTTTATATTTTTAGACGCTTGGCACGGGATTCGCGCTGACGGAAGACAAACGAATTCTAAGTATATTCAGTGCGACAGACTACGAAGCCCGTGACAATAACGGATCTTTTGTTCATATCAGCCCCACGCTTACAGTCCAACCCTACACATTTAACTCGCACGCCATTTTCAAGCAGGAAAGAATTGAAACGAAAGAATAAAGCGTATCCAAGAAATGCGTACTGGGTACAATAGCTTTCGGCGGCTCAAATGCTTACCTGAGGGATGTAAGTTTTTCCGCCTTCATTAGAAACTGTTGATAATCCAACTGCATCAGGGCTCTGCCTTCATTTGTGCATTTCTTGGCATTAGCGTAGCCTTCCACAAAGGTGCGATTCGCTAATAATATGGCTAGCGACCATAAAGTCTCCATGGTTTCTTTTGGAATTGCTGTTGATCGGCCAATGCCGCGAATAACGTTATTAAACGTATCCAATTCCTATAAAAAAATAAACACGTCTGGTTGATTGTTAAAAGACTTATTGAGCACGAGGACGAACAGCTAGCGTTCGTATAACTTAATAGTATACGAACGCTATAAAAAAGGCGAGATTATTACTCTGAACTACAACTCAACCATAAAGAGCGGATAATGTAGCAAACGTAGTGTTAAAATTAAGCTTCAGTAATCACTGCACGCGGTTCTGAAGTAAGTAATCAATCAAAATTCAAAACAAACACTGATATAGCATAAAATCGTAGCACGTTACACTGCTCGTACTGTAAGAATATTACTTACACTCAACAGGTGGTCAACGTATTCACTATGCTGTGATGCAAGATCTTTAATATCCCATGCCACATCTGCCATCATCGTCAAAGCTTTATCGTAATTTATTGTCCGAAAGGCGACAAACCAATACACCGGCGCGCGTAGATCATTCACTAATGCCACTGACTAGAATAAAACCCCATCTACGCCACTTTTAAAGATTCCTGTAATGCAATTAGATTTCTACCTGTGCATAAAACTGCTGTAAAAACACACGGCGCTGTGGAGGCAGCGCTTTTTCGAGATGCGGCTGAATCAGTTCCATCTGCGAACTCAAAAAGGCTAACGATTCCATTGCCGCTATCCTCTCCGGAAGTGCGAACAGGGCTTTAGTATCGTGTACATCAATTGTCGGTGATAAGTGCGGAGTCGGTATTCTAAGCTATAAAAAACAATAATGCATTTGCACATCTATGAACTACCCGAACATTAGAAACATACAAAATACATAAAACCAGGCAATATTAAACCAGGCAATATTAAACATACAAAATGCATAAAACCAGGCAATATTATTATTAGTACCTTTCCATCAGGTCCCACTTCCACATGATCGTTGGCCGTGATCAGATTTTCTCTTATGCGTCGCATAGCCGTTTGAAGCCTTTTAGTTATCACCAATGGCTCAAAATATTCATGGATGTCCGTTGAAAATATAGTGAATACCTACCAAAATGTAAATTACAGCTTTCGTAAATCGTGCAATCAGTGCTTTACAATCCAATCAAGTGGCATCTGACGTTTTACCGTGTACATGTAGTAATCGAACAGGTGAGACAAAGCATTGACAACTTCCGGTGCGATAGAATCCAGCATAGTTACAAAAAATATATACCTTCCTGCAAAAATTAAGGTCTTTTAATGAGAAAAAATTTTTGCTATCGGTGTAACGTAGAAGAATTCGAAAACACTAGGGGTAATGCAGGAAAAACCCGCAACTGAGTACAAGAGTGCGCATTAAAAATAATCAACACACCCAACAGTTACATACATAAAACTAATTTTTTACCTCAACAAGGTAAGTACTCGACTACTCAATGCATTATGCGTGCTATGCAGAACGCCATTATAGAGAAGGCACGAAAAGCAATGTCTCACCGAATAATCTCAAAACCGTGAGTGTTGAATTAGTAACCACAGGTCCACCCAGGGAAATGCTCCTGTACGCCGAACTCCGACGACTGAAACACATGCAACTTGTGTTAAAATCTGTCAAGTAATCCGTACCGTCAACACTTGATCACATTTTCGGCGACGGTCTGCGTCTTTCACCGGTTTCATCAATGGCATCTTGCTTCAGTTCATCAATAACGTCTTCATCGCTGTCAGACAGCGATTTCTCGCTAACCTAACAAAAAATAACGTTCAGTTTAAATAGGCAGAAAACTGAAAAACATTACCCCATAACAGTTAACAAAGCATTACCCCAGAATCGATCAAGACATCCTCCGAGTGTTCTTCGCTCTGCATCAGGTTATCGAAGGGTGTAATACCATCGCGACAATCGAAAAACGACTTGGGCTCATCCACCGCACGATCGTTTGATGAGCCGATATTTTTTGGACGTAGAAATTCAAACTCCTGTGGAAAATACTCACAATTCTGCATCGCTTACCACTCTGGTAATCAGTCAGCACACTCTTACCCATAAATCATAACAAGTGAAATGGCTTTTCATAGGACATACTTCCCAACATTCGTTGTCGATAAAAAAGTGAAGCTCTTCCAATTTTGTTCTAAAAAGACGATATATCAGGTAATTACATCGACAGGAAATGAATGCACCGGCGAAAAGAAAAACATTGCAAATCATACATACTTGTGGTAAACAGAAAAGAATCGCGAAGCCTGCTGTTTCACAGCGTCCATTAGAGAATCGGAATTCACACCACCGAATTCTTTTCCAACAGCACAAAACCTAAAACACAGCTCTATAAGCACACACCCGCCTTTGGTGGGCAGAACAACATAAAGTCAATCAATCCCATCATTTTCACCTTTTTAAAACGGCTAACAGGTGACCAAACGTATCATATTTCAGCTGTGTCGCTGCATCATTATGTGTCAGCAAAGCACGAACTTTCTGCTCCATATCCGACCACAATCTCGGTGGTCCACTTTCCAGTTTGTGAAGAACATAAACTTCTACTAAATCCCTATCAGCACTGGGTTCGGTAGGCGTTGTGGAGCCTATAAATGTTGTCAACGTTTTAATTTCTAACAAGAGAAGACAGAAATCTTCTCACCAGCAACAGCATCTCCTTTAGATAGTTTTCGCTGATGGGATAGATCAAGATGCCATCGAACCACAGTGCGGTATATTTTCATAATTTCCCATAATCCTTTGCACAATTCGTATAATGCCAAGACGAAAAATTCAGCGGGTACAGCCTGGCATAACTCTTGGTACGGCTTCTTGATAAAATTATCGCTGCGGCCGGTTTTCTGGTTGGCTAACTCAACGAACCCCAGAAGAATGCCGAATGACCGATTGTGAATGGTTGTAATGAAATGCATATGTAGTTGATCAACGGCGGTCTGAAAAATTCCAAAAATCAAATAGCAGTGCAAAAGTTTTGAAATAGGCATAAGCAGCTGTCAAAAAAACCGAAAATGGACTTTCGAGCAAGCAGTTTTTTACCTGGTTCTTATCCAAAAGTTGGTAAGCATTATAAACCCGTGCATATTGTTTGGCATCGAAATTCAAGCAGATCTGTCCCAAAGAGGTGTCCAGCCGCTGTTCAATTACCATCAAAGTGTCCTGCAGTTTCTCATGTAGCTGGCTACAGAAAAGCAAATTTGACGTGAAACTAAAATACCAACATCTTATCAAAGAAAAATAGTGCAAAAAGCGCAACAGTATGTATTACCGCAGTGCACACAAGATAAAAAAAAATTAAAAAAGAATTTGCCTGATACAACCTGGCGGTGATTAAAAAAGAATTTACCTGATACAACCGTACTGGCGATGTTGTTTGGCAGCGTGTCGGCATGTCAATGTTAGCTGGATAGCTTCAGTAAAATTACCCTCTTCAATGAGATCAGAAATATTAGCCATGGTTTTCCTCAGGGTTTTGATCACAGTTAAGGCTCGCAGCACAACAATATGATGTTGACCGCGCTTATGTAGCTGCAGTAATTTCAATTCTTTGGCGGCAAAACTGTCATGGGACTGCCGAGTTGCCCTGGTGAACACATTCAAACATTTTAAAGCAAACGCAACTGGGTAAATATGTCGACAGAAGAAGACCGAACTTACTCTCGCGCTGCTTTACTAATAAGCACAGCGTTTCCCAGATCATTTTCAATTTCGGTAACCCGTTTAAGCTCCTCCGTATAGGCAGCCTGATTTTTCAGAATTATTTCGGACAATGTTTTTGTAACCTGAAAAATAAATCGTTTTAGTATACTATAACAAGAACATTAGTATGTCGGGCATGAAAATTACGATAAAATCGAACACATACCACTTCCAACTGACTTTTCAAACCTTTCCGTAGTTGATCAATTTTGCCTAGCTCGTATTCTCCATTCAATTTCTGCAAAGGAAAAAAAACGTAACCAATAAAACGAAATCCACAAAAACCTTGAATATAATTCGTAAAGAAAGACTCCCGCATTCTCATCAGGTACCGAGATAAAAAAATATTATAAGATTTTATAATAAAAGCCTCAGAGGCTAATGCATCTACACGTGTGGTTTTAATAACAACCTCCACCAACAAATTTTAAAAAGTGAAAATCAAAATTATGAGAAACATAACACATCATAATTTTCCGCAGATGCATTAGATCAAGTTGCCTGCTGAAACACATACCGTAATTTACCTGTAATTCATAATCGCTAGCATCGAAGCTGTTACTGGAGTAATAAATTTCTTCGATAGACTTGAGGATTTCATTTTCCGCGTGTGGATCTGCTGGACTGAAGGCGCGCGTACGACCAATCGGCTGAATCGTCACCGTGGGTTCAAAAGTGAAACTGTTGAGATTTTCTTCATTACTTGGAGACAAATCAATTGTTTTCGGATCCTTCAACCGCAAAAAACAGCAGTGAAAATAAACAGGCCATCTACACAGCAGAGGAACAGCAGCAGCAACCACCTGCTGGCAAATCCAAAAATGCCAGCTGTATAATTCATACCTGTCTAGTGCGAACCAGCGAACGCAATTTGTTTTTCAAATCCATTTCCGAAGTGGCTGATAACACAGCTTTTGGCAGTACATAAAGGTATATTATATTCCGCGCTAAACCATCTTTCCTAATGACAACGGAGTTTACAAAACACTGCAGACTTCAGTCGGGATCCCTGAAAGTTAACTCCGTCGAGGAGAATAAAATAATTTAATATGTTGCGATCATACAAAATACTGCCTACGATTAGCCATTTTTTCCAAAAAATACATCACAGCTTTTTTGAAATACAGAGTAACTTGATTTGAGTTTATCGCCAAAGACCAAATTTTGTTAACATTTTCCTCACAAGAAATAAACAACTTACAGCGGTAAATAAACAATAAATATAAAACGGTAAATCTGAAAAGATGTGAAAGTTAAAAGTACTGTACTTACGAAAAATTTTTGCTCTGTGCAGTAGTGTTTATTTTTCAGCTACGAAATGGTTATGGGCCATACTGTAGATGATTAATATATGGTTCCTCGCTTAAACATGATGCTTGTGGGCTGGTTGTTAAATATTTTTACTGATGTACGAGTGCCCGATGGGCTGGGTCCTTCACTCGCTTTGATGATAAGTTTTAATCACTCGACCGAGATTTTTAGAATTTCTTTGAAAACGTTTTAATTTGAGTTACGGGTTACCAACAATTTTGTTGATTTGTCATTGTGTAATATTTTTTTAAACAAAATTATCGCGCAGTGATTCTCGCGAGGTCAGTTTTAAGGGAATCTAAGTTGTTGATCGCCTAGTCGGGAAGATTGAAATTTCCTTCTAGTTTCCTCAAAACCATCGTTTCTAGAGCGTTTCCTCGTTGTTGGCTTGCTTGTCAAGGTCAGTACTCTTCTGTTCTTTGTTGTATACGTTTCTTTTGGAGTCGTAATCGGCAGTTCGAAAATCTCTAAAGGTTTCACGTTGAGAAAGTTGGTTATTTTTTACGGTTACGAGACATTGTCTCATATTTCTAGCTTACGCTGAGGAATCCTTCACCAAATCACACCTCCGCGTTCCTGTTTCTGTTTGGAGTCTTTTGCTTTTGTACTGTACCATCGCATTAAGATGACTCGAGGAAATCAGCGTGATTTGGCCCGCAACAAAGGTCAGCAGAAGCAGCAGGAGGCTAGCAAGAAAATGCCTGCGGGAGAGCGCGAAGCTAATAAGGGACTGTCACTGGAAGAACGTAAACGGCGCGACGCGGAGGCGCTGAAGAAGAAACAGGAGGCCAAGGCTGCTGGTGCTGACGGAGCTGCTACCTCGAAAAAATAATTGTTTTCCTACAAATCTCTGGTCGTCCAAATTACTCGAAAGGATGGAAATAGCAAGGATTATTTGATATGGTTCGTGGTTGTAGACTGACGTTTTGATGCTGATTTTTACCATGTACGACGACGACGTATTGCCAGCATTTTTACTTAACACGTAATTTAAATTTTTATTATTTTTTAAGCGAACCTTTTTATAGCTGTTCATTTATGGCAGCACGCTTTCGAGTTTCGATTACGCTTAATAAAACTATGTGGTGAACCGATTGTTAAACTAAGTACGATGAAAACTCAAAACCATGAAATTGGTATTGGTACTTAATTTATTTTGTTTATTCCGTTAACACAACACAGTCAACACTCATTAACAGTGGTAACATAACCTGGTCATTTTGCATATGACAGGTTTAAGATGTAACAAAACCTACTGAAACATAAAAATCAATACAAAGGATAAACAGAGACTCGAAATCCAGAGATCACCGAAAGAGAAAGTAATGTAGCGCGCTGTCTTGTAATTTCTGGATTTTGATTTGTTACTGTAGTATGTCACCAGGCAAAGCACGATTTCTCGCGTAAAATCTTCACACCGAATCGGGACCATTCCTGCAAACACGTAGCATCAAGTCAGCAGAGTGTTTATATCCGGCATTTATCGAAGCAAATGACGACAGCTTTTACAGAATCAGCAAATTTACAAATGCGATATCGCCACTTGAACAAATGCAATTTGTTCAAGTGGCGATATCGAGCATTATGAAATTTTTGTGGTCAAAATGTTAAGACTCATTTTCTTTTGTAAAGACCGTTGTACTGTACAGTACTTACTTCTTTCGTGATCCACAAAAACTGAGCAGTTTCCAAAGCAGCCATTATAGAAGCACCTTTTGGAGCATGAATATCGGGTGGCACCTCTCTGGAATTTGTCGTTAACACGATTTCTTGTGTTGGCGGAACCACTTCCTCCAATTTCTGCCGCAGTAAATTCAGCACGCCAGGAAAGAAGCCCAATCCACCTCCGACAACGAGGATGTTTCTCAGCATTTTCTTCTGCTGGTCATCGGAAGCGCACCGCGTAATACTCCAGTAAATGGCTTTATGAAGCTCAATAAACTGCCCGGATGCCGGTTCACTTGCTGAATTCCCATTCCCCGTTTGAGCAGCTTCAGTGTCATTCTGTAAACAGTACGAGATCATGTGAATGCATTTACTAACTATAGATATTGTCAATCTATTTCAGTTATCGCCACGGACATCGGTTGACTTACCTGCATGGAAACATTTTGGTCGTCTTCCGGTTTCTGAACTTTCTTCGGAGATTTTTTAGGCATTTTACCAGTTCCTCCGTATATGTCTTCACAAGAACCTTCGTAGCCCTGATGGTATCTCACCAAATTATTCAGCCGTTCAGGAGCTATCAATCCGGGGAAAAACAATGCCATGCATGGCACTCGTGCAAATTCATGCGGCATTCGCATATGCACCGTCTCTTCTCTATCCGGCGAGGGCAATTTAATCACCTGATCGACAATTCCTTGTAGAGCAAAATCAGAGTGACACAGTGCTTCTTTAATTGCGTCCATCCTGATCCAGTTGGCATACGTATTCAATCGCAGGGTGAAAGCACGGAATTTCTGCTGAAAATACCAGTTGGCTAAGCGGGTAATGTCTTCTCCACCATAGTGTAGCAAAATCCTGGTGTCCGGAATAGAAATACCATCATCAACGCAGGAAATTAGCGTACACTCGGCACCTACATCGACCACGCATGCCGACGATAAGCACGCTCCAAATGCAGACGCGACACTTTCAAGCACAACAAAGCAGGCAAAAAAGTCGAGCGAGTTCATAATAATTTCCACCATATCGTGCACGTCATTGCGGTCGTAAATATCAGGAACAATCAGCACAGCGCGGTGCTCTGTGCGCGCAGATTGAGGAATTTTGAGTTCTTCCGTTAAAATACGATCCCATATGTCTTCCAAGTCTGCCGCGACAGCTGAACGAGAGCCATTCGGGCCTAGTGCAAAACCACAAGTCAGATCAATTCGTGCACGTGTAGCCAGTACAAGTACAGTAGGTACAGAAACTACAGAGTACACACACCTACTCTATGGAGCGACTAACTTATTTAACAATCAATACATTTAGCCAGACAAAAACACAAAAAAAATTAACAAGGATCTGGATTATAACCAGCAAAATTTAATCGTTAGACATCAACATACCTACAAAACCTCGGAACAAAAAGTGTAAAAAACACATGAATTTAAGTAACAAACACATAACACATAAAAAGTATAACAAACACATAAAAATTAATTACAACAATTTATCAGCCTCGAATATATTTTATACTGTACACCAAAAATGCTGTATTAAAGCAGTAAAGTGAGTAAACCGAAGAAAGTGTAAAATCGTTACATTTGTGAACTTCTCCTCACAGCCAAAAATTATCAAGTTCTGTCAACCCATCAGCTCGTTTAAAACTTGTAAAAAATGTATCATATCATACCTTCATGTGTATTGAAACGTTTCAGTCGTAAGGGCCAATTCAAAATGTAGTTTGGATTCAACGCAATAATATCCAGAGCTTCATTACCAACAGCAAATTCCTTCGTTGCAGGGACATTCTCTTCGCTCTCTTTCGCCTCAAATGAGCAATATGTTCTCCCGGGCGCCTTTTCTTCGTTGGTGTTTTCTTTAAGCCAGGTTTCAGCAGCTGCCAGTGCTGACTTAAATTCCTTCGTGGCTCCAAATTCATCCAAATCGAAAAAGGGTTCGGGTAGCGGCGGCGTCGTTGGTACGGTTTTGGCTGGCTCCTCGGAAGATGGTTCGTCCGATGACACGGAGGTCTTTCGCTTACGGAGTCTCCGTGCAATGCAGTGAGGGAGAACTACGGCTTCTCTGTCATTTGGTCGACTCATGCGAATGTACCGCGAACCCGGATTGATAATAACAGTACGCTGCAGCTGCTCTTCGATATCATCCGCAGTCAGCGGCTGTAGTTTCGTGACATATTTCTTCGCACGAGGCATTTCGGCCTTCCAAAGAAACCTCCGACCAGCGAAGTGAGCGAACAGTTCCTAAATTTCAGAGTTTAAGGTTTTCCGAGAAGGCACTGCAATCTCGAAAAGCATTCACCATAAAAAATAAAATGCAAAGAAAACTACTGAAGTAAAAAATACTGGAAAATTTAAAACATAAAATTAAACTGTTAAACTGCTTAAACAGCAAAACTGCAAAACCGCAAAAGTCAAACCAGCAAAAGCTAAAAGACGCGAGAAACGGCAAAGTCTATGTGACCTGCTTAAGGGGCGGCTGCACCTTAGACAGAGCTCCGATATTGCAGTCGCCACAATGCGCTTTGGTCTTTTGGCTGGTGCAATATTTCTGTAACGCAAGGATTAGTTGAGAACTGAAAAATCTCTCATAAATTTGAAGTTAGCTGTCAGCTTGAGTTCCTCATAATTATTGACTCAGAACCTGTGCGAACAACGTTGATTTTGTAATTTCTTACCGAATCACATCTTTGACGTATTAAAACCGCTCGCAATGGCTGATCATGGAGGCGGCGGTGATCAGTTGATTCTTGAATACGAAGAAGAATTTGAGGAGGAAACCCTGGTGGAGCGTCTGCAGGGCTTAACGGAGATGTTCCCGGAGCCGGTTCGTGAAACTACTTCCAAGGTTTGGGATGCATCCAAGTATACAGCATCCACTTTGTATCACTATGCTCGAGAGATCATGTGGGTGATCGCCTCATCCGCTGTTATTTTGGCTCTTCCCGTGGCGTTAGAAGTAGAGTCGCTGCAGATTCAAGAGGCACAAATCCAGCAGCAGCGCCAGATTCTTTTGGGACCAAAAGCGGGAGGTCCGCCAGCGAAAATGGCAGGCGGTGGAGGCATGCCGATGATGCCACCACCCCCACCGCCCAAGTAGATGAGGATTGCTGTCACCGGTTGTGCGATGGGCTTGTGTCTTGTTGATCATGTAAACATTGCTGGAGTACCAAAGGTGGTTTGTTACCTGTCTAGCTTCACGCCGTTCACGGCGAACTAATGTTGTTTGGCTGTATCTTTATTGTCAAAGAGTTGATTTGTGTGAATGATTCGACGGGTTGGGTTTGATGAACTAAACTACTAAAGTTGAAAAACCTTCTTGCGTCCATATAAGACTAACTTTAAAACAATACGTACTTACTGTAAAACAAACATTATGTAGTTAATTGATACAGAATTTTTGTGCTTAAAGTTCTGAAACGATAAAACGTTTCTTACTGAAGTGCTTTGTGAATGGCACTGAATGCGTTGGAACCTGTTGTTTCAGAAAAATGATCGCAGCCAGAGCCCGGTTGATATCTGGATTTCATTTTAATTCCTTTCAAACGCGACAAAGGATCTTTTTACACATAAAACTAATAAACTATCGAGACCAGTTTTCCTTAAAATTCTTATAAACAACAATAGTAGGAGCAGCAAGATTACGTCTGTCTACCGACAAAAGGTCGAAAAAAAAACAAAAGTGCCGACACTGTTGGGCGAAAGACAAATAACTGGGAAATAAAAAATACGCGAACAAGACGTCATATTATTGACAAAAATGAAACGACAAGGTTAGGATTTTCGTTTCACTGTACAGAGGCACTTCATAATACTGGAGAGCTGCAAACAAATAAAACTCAAAATTATAAACGTAAAAATTATTATCTGTACAGAATACTGTTGGAGTATTCATAATGTATCACGTAATACGAGGTAAAAGAGACGGAGTACGTTACTTATGTACGATTTACGTAACTGTATCACCCAGGTTATCTTTAAATGCGATCGCTTGCTGGATGGCTAATTCTTGATCCAGATCCTCCAACTGAGGGCTACCACATAAATTTTCGAAGGCACGTTCGATGTCCCATTCCGCAAACGCCAACGCATCCCGTGCCGACGTCTCATCGCAGCATCCCGTCTCGATCAGCTGAGCGACTTTGCTGTCCATTTCCGTGTATGCTGTGCTGGTAGCATTAGCGTACACATGCAGCCAGTACCGGGCCGTCAGATCAAACTGGTCCCGGTTACTGACAAACTGGTATGCTAAGATGGCATTGGCAGAATCCCCGAGAAGCTAAAACGTTAACGAAATGTGTGTCCTTATAACGCAACAATGCAATTAGGTCATTATAAAATGCGTGCGCTTTAATGCACTAAATGTGTACGTACCGGAGAACTGAGCAAACCGCGAGCACTTCCCAAAAGTGTCTTTATCGTCATACATTCGCACCATGTGCTGTAGAAGCCGGGATACAACCGTCCCGTGACTGGACAAATGTTTGGATGCCAGATTTTTGTTAGGAAGCGCAGATTCGGCGGACGCTGCGGATAATTTTCCGGAAGCTTGACATCCAGCAGGAAATCAGCGTCTTTGTAGACACTTCCGGCCGGTCCAGCGATGGTCACCGTTAGAGTTTCTACACGATTTTCTATCATATCCCAAAATACGACGCGGACGTTCTCGTCTGGTTCCTTGGTCATATTGGTCAGTTCCACTAGCAAACGGCTAATCGCGGTATCCGACAGTGCCATCTCCAACAGCCAAATTAAGAAAGCCAACAAGACAGCACTACCATTACGTACTCAGTAATCTACCTCGATTATACCATACAATAATTTTCAATTTCAACACAAACCAAAACGATAACGAAAACTCAAAACTGAAAGGCGGCCGAAACGTTTTTTCGCTTTCAATAATCTTAAAAAATTGAAACAGGACGACGTCATGATCACGTTCAACCAACAGACGGCTAAAAGGCTGCATGCAGTGCACGTTGTAGTCGCATGACATCATTAGAGACGAAGCATGCGGCCGACCTCACGCTGGCTATCTGGAGGTTTTGTACTCGTATACAGTAACTCTCGTATAACTCCCACGCGGTTTCATAGAAATCGCAAAGAAGTGCAGTAGCTCAATCTTCATTCGACCAATGCACAATGACGTAGTACGCGCCCGTCAATAATAACAAGTACTGTATTAAACACTACCCTTCACCTTGTCCAGTTGGTTCAAACTTTCAAAAATCCCATATTCGAAGAAGGCCTCACCTTCTTTTACCGAGAACAGCTTTTTTATCTTTTCCGGATCAGCCAGTACGCAGTACACTAGTGACGTTGCGCAAACGCGCTTCTGGTGGCAGTTGCTGGTCGCTCGTCGCTTTTATCCAGTCTGTGCTCTGTCTATCAGAGATAGAGCGCAGACTGGATAAAAGCGACGAGCGACAAGCAACTGCCACCAGAAGCACGCTGCGCAACGTCACTACTGACAGGCTACGATGGGATCTTTCGCCGCGGAATTCGTGAGAATCTGGCAATATGAACAAATCAGCCGACCAGTTTCTGAGTTGCAACGAAGTCAATGGAGTAATAAATTTAACAGACACATTATCATACACAGACACACTGCATTCCAATGCTTTCAGCAAACATTTTGCTCACCGGTGAACGTAGCAAGTTTCGAAGAGATGACAACATTGTTTCCACCGTCATGCTTTCACACCACGGATCGAAGAATTTTCGACAGATCTCCCCTGTTTTCGAGCAAATGTTGGGATGCCAGACTTTTGTGATGAATCGCATCTTTGGTGGCTGTTCAGGATAATCATAAGGGATCCTGATGTTTATCAGGAAAGTGCCACCTGCGTAGTCAGTACCCACTGGTCCCTTTATACACCTAGCAGTATGTCCAGGCGATTCTCTACCGTCTCCAAGCTAAACACACCATTGCGCTTATCCACATTCCCAGGGACGCTATTCCGACTTAATTCAAAATACAAGCGATTTTTTGCAGTGTCGGACAGTGCTCCTTCTGACATTTTGTCTTGTATACATACAACTGTTAGTTTGTTAGGATAAAGCAAATTTACTGTAAATAAATTTACACACAGAACTCAGATACACACAAGTCACAAGTGACACAAACAACTTTTAATCTTCGGAACGTGAAGACGGTAGAGTAAGCTGTAAGAGCTCCAAAGTTGTTAAGTAATAAAAAATCAATATAATAACCACTGGATGTTCCATGTAATGTCCAATCTGGACAGTGGACACTGGACACCTGCATGATGAATGCATCCAATGCATGAATTCAGTGACGTCTTGTTGACAATCGCCTGCCCAAGGCGGATGCGGTATGCAACGGATACCGTCTGGAACGAGCTTCCGGTTGAAGATAATGCCCCTTACTATGTTGAAGCTTTGGATGCTCTAAAAAGCAGTTTTGACTTTTGAGTCTTTCGCTCGACTCATCCTGTCATCCAGTGCCAAAAAAAGTTTTTCAACGAAGTTTTTGAATTTATAAGCGCAGTAATATGTTTCCTTTCACTTATTAATTTAACAGCAGATGCTGCAGGAAATGAGTTAAGCAAATCTCAGTGTGTTACCTGATTCCATACCGATCGCCGAAGTGCTTGTGCAGCTTGTCGTTCTGATTCAACAGATTGATTACGGTTTGGCTTGGCGTGTACTAATCACCACAAAAACTGCAAAATGCCTGAAAAACCAGAAATCTCTGGAGTTGTGTCGGATTTAACCACCTCACTGCGCAATCTGACAGCAAGCGGACCTGTGATCGCGCCAGCAGCGTACGAGGTACTATGAGATTTGCAAATTGCATGTCGAAATCTGGGGAAATTGTCGAGTTGTCGACCTAATAAGGTATTCCGATTGACAGCCGGTCCAGGCTCTAACCCGTCCTCACATCGACTCCTTTAACTTTGCTATTGGCGATGGATTGCGCTACGCTATCGAGGTACTCATTCTTGAACATACTGCCGACGTGAAACGCGATGTAAATTTCCTGCCATTTGGTGGCTTTCGGCTTGCGATAACCGTGCGCTTTGTAGGATATTCCCTGGCAGCGCGTAAAGCTAAAAGATGGAAGGATTGTGGGGCTGAAAATCAGGGAAGCCAGCGTAAATAAACCGGATAATACCAACGCCAGAACTGTCAATTCGCAACTGAGACCAACCGAGGTGAAGAATTAGAATTTAAGCATAACGAACATTGCAATTGAAGGTAGGGCTTCTTTGATTTTTAGTGTCGGCAAAGAAAAATTACATACGCTGGTGCCTTGAAGTTGAAGCTACGGTGGTCGTTAAATGGAGAAGAAATGGGTGATTTTGAGCGACCAGGTGGCGAGATTCCAATTATGGTTAAGGTTTGTCCGCATACTTCGGTGCCATGCAAATGATCGCGAAACAGCTGTTTTGTTTTCTGTAGTCAAGTAAATGCCATCTTCACGGTTTGACGCCGAAACAGCTGATCAAATGTGGAGAAGAGGAAAACGTGAGAAAATATTGTTATTGAGATATTTCGCATATTGATTGAAGTTTTGTTATGCTGTAATTTGCAGGAGTTTGGAGGATATTTCATTATTAATGGGAATGAAAAGTTGTTACGACTGCTGATAGCACAGAGGGCGAATTATGTAAGACTAGCCATTTTTGGTTTTGTTAGGAATATTGTAATCAGTTAAAATTCTGTGTATACTTAGATTTATGATATTTTTTTCGTTTCGTTAATCGTAAACTTTTGAGCTCGTTTCATGCGCGGCTTTGATTCGTTAGGCGATGGCTATCAAGCGTAGCAGTTGGGCAAAAAAAGAAAAGGATTTCACGGAGTTCGGTGTTACTGTTCGCTGCGTGAAACGAGATGGGACTGCCAACGTGAGTGGCTTGAAGCGACGTGATGTGAAATTACTATTTTCAGTTATTTCGATTTTTTATGTAGACGAACGTGCTCCATTACCTCAGCACCGGAACTTGCACTCTGTCATTTGTCCTGGATCGAGAGCCGTTTTATGTGCCAGTGATGCTTGTAATTCGAGCTCTCACGAATTGGTCCGACAAGGAAATCTTTGAAGAAATTGCCAAAGGCCAGGAAGACAATGTTTTTCTGAAAGGGTAAAATTAACACAATCTTCTTGTTTGTTGTCGCGCTCACGTAAAGCATCCGTTTTGATTTAAGTAACTCTATGTTTGCAGATGTGTAATGTCCATGATGAGGCAGCTGTTAGCAGAAAAGAAAGACAAGCTATACAGTCAAAAGGGAGCGCAGAAATTCTTAGGGCAGGAATTCCGAAGTAAATTCCGGGATGCCGACTTCTATACTGACGAGGAAATTTGCGAAATATTGTTGAAGCGATGCGTAGCCATTCATCTGGAAACGAACGAAGAACGCGTGCGATTTTTATGGTACGTTTCCTTTTTCTTCATAATTGTGCAGGTTTCACGTGCAAGGGTTTTGTAAGATTGTGGTTGCAAGTGGAAGTTACTTGCTTTTTTCCGAATAGCTTCATGGTGAGAAAGTTATACGTATTTGTTCGTGGAGGATGTGCAGTGGAGAATCCTGATAGTCCTATGAATCAGGATATTCTGACTTCTGGAAACACGTATCTTGTTGTTCTTAAAGTAAGAATGCAGGTTTGCTTTTTATTAACCCTAGGCTAGGGATTCGATTTGTTTGCATTAAACCCTGTTATGAGCGGTCAATGGAACGTTTGCAGTGTGCTGAATTTGTTCGTTAAAGTGCTGCTCGTTTCTTTAACTGTAATAATATATCGCTTGGTGCTTGCTGTACATTACAAAATATCGTATCGTTTTTCTCTGTTAAAATTACTGGCACATGCAGTAGTAAATGATTTCTTGTTCTGTACGATTTATTCTTGTTAACCTTTATCATTTGTCGCTTCAGGAAAGATTGGAAATTCTCGTCAGAAACGCGCTGTTTGCCATTCAAAAAGCAATGGATAGGCCGGGGACAAAAACCAAAGCCTTGACCACGCAGTACGTGTCCGAAGAGTTCAGCAGAGGAGGACTAGTTACTCGTCCCATGCAGTATTTCTTGGCTACCGGAAATCTCAACCCTAAAACATTGGTTAATCTCCAACAGACTTCCGGTTTTGCGGTGGTCGCTGATAAAATCAACTACATGCGTTATATAGCACATTTTCGATCCGTACATCGCGGTGCATTCTTCCAAGAAATGCGGACCACAGCCTGCCGGAAACTCCTACCGGAAGCATGGGGATTTATGTGTCCTGTTCATACTCCTGATGGAGCACCGTGTGGATTGTTGAACCACCTAGCTGCTGCATGTCGGGTAGCGAGGGGATGTCCAGTTCCCCCAAAATTTCTGGACTTACTGCGAAGTCTCGGAATGATTGATCCGGATGCCGTTCCAATGGGATTGTTCATGGAGTATCATGTTGTAATGGTGGATGGAAAAATGGTGGGATGGTTACCGGATCACAGTGCTGCTGAAGTCGTCGATTATTTGCGAGTATTAAAGACGTCGGGGAGTATACCAGAGGACACAGAACTAGCGTTTGTGCCGAAGAGCGATTATGCTGGACAGTTTCCGGGATTGTATGTCTTCCTGTCCAGTATGGGACGGTTCAGCAGACCGGTGATCAACCTCCGTACCAATACTGTCGAATGGATTGGATCTTTCGAGCAGGTGTATCTCAACATCTGCATAAAGAAGGAAGAGGCTTATCCAGATCTGACGACCCATATGGAACTGACAGAGCAAGTGTTTTTGTCGGAGGTAGCTGCCATGATCCCGTTTTCGGATCACAACCAAAGTCCCAGGAACTTGTACCAGTGTCAGGTCAGAAATTTGTCACTGCATCAAACTGAGAAAACTATATCAAAACTCACAAGTGCTGAGATCGGTGTGTTAAATAAATTAATTTTTGATAGATGGGAAAACAGTCTATGGCTACACCGGTATTAAACTGGCCGGCACGCGCCGACAACAAATTATACCGTATTCAGACACCGCAGTCGCCTTTAGTTAGGCCAAAGGCCCATGAATATTTCAAAATGGATGATCATCCGATGGGAACGAATGCCATCGTTGCGGTCATATCCTTCACGGTAAGGAGAAGTATTTTTAGAGTTTTGGTCCATCGAAGTAACCATCAGGCAAAGATTATTTTCCCTATTGTTGCCGCTGTCATATGTTGCTTATTTCAGGGATACGATATGGAGGATGCCATGATTATTAACAAAGGCTCTTTTGAACGTGGCTTTGGTTATGGAAGCATCTATAAATCTGAATTCATTGATTTGAGAGAGAAGTCCAAAAGTTCAAAAGCCACGTATGTTTTCGGAGTTGTCAGTTCGGATGCCAAGCTTCGAAATCTTGGGCCCGACGGACTGCCGTACGTGGGCACACGCATTGAACCAGGCGACGTGTTGTGCTGGTAAGATGGTTGTCCAACTTGATATTAAACTGCTTCGGTTTGCTGTGTGACAAATATGGACCTTGGACGCAGTTTTTTCAAATGCATCTTGTTGATGTAGTTATTATGATAAAATATCCCAGAGACAAAAAATTGAGACATGGGATGAACTGGAGATGGGTATTGTGGATAGTGTCCGTTGTCTGGGTTCGGAAAGCGGAAGCGAGGTGTACAATCATGTGTGCATCACTATGCGTATACCTGTAAGTTTACTAAAAATAAGTTTTCTGTTATCCTCCGAAGTGGCGCGTACAAAACAATTATATGTTTATAATTTTTGTTTTTATGCTCGAATTGTGTAGAATTGTTTCAGTTTTAGTTTTCTTGATTTTATTTACTTATTTTAATTTTTTGTTATTTTCATTAGCCAGTTCATATAACTCTGCTATGCAGTCAACTGCATAATGGATATTGTGAACTTCGTTACTTTTGCAGAGACCGCCGACAGTGGGCGATAAATTTGCCAGCAGACACGGACAAAAAGGTGTGTGTAGCAAATTGTACCCTGTGGAAGATATGCCGTTCACTGAATCCGGCATGATTCCTGATATTATCTTCAACCCTCACGGCTACCCTTCCCGTATGACGATTGGGATGATGATTGAAACAATGGCCGGGAAAGTGGCAGCTCTGGATGGAGTGAGTTTCGATGCTACACCCTTCGTCTACGGCGAGGATAACACAGCGATTGAACGTTTTGGGCAAATGCTACAAACGGCAGGTAATGAATTTTGGACTAAGTCGATTTAAGTACTTATTGGTTTGTCACTTGCGACAGTGCACGCTTTCTTGCATTCATCGATTAGTGTAATCTTGAACGATTTCTCATTTGCTGATAGGGTTCAACTTTTATGGAAATGAGAGAATGTACAGTGGAGTGGACGGACGAGAACTGGAAGTGGCTATCTTTTTCGGTGTGGTGTATTATCAGCGTTTACGGCACATGGTGTCGGATAAGTATCAGGTGCGAACCACCGGCGCTGTGGATGAACTGACTGGTCAGCCAATTAAGGGTCGAAAGCGGGGCGGTGGAACGCGCTTCGGTGAGATGGAACGGGATGCTCTCATTGCACACGGCGCTTCATATCTGTTGCATGATCGTCTGTTCAACAATTCAGACGGAACAACTGTAAGGTTATTTCCCATCAGCAGCTAGTAGTCCTGGGTTAATCGTTAGTTTGTTTTGCAGAGTCAAGTTTGCAAAATGTGTGGGAGTATATTGTCACCGATTGTGATACCGCGGGAAGATCCAGCCGACGCATCACTGCCCATACAGTGGATGTGTAAAGTGTGCCCGAACGGTGGAAAGGTGGTGACCGTGAGAATACCGCAAGTGTTTCGGTATTTGGTGGCAGAGTTAGCGTCGTGTAATATGAAAATTATGCTAAAAATTGAGAAGTCAGCATGAAAACTTGCTCTAGTAAAGTTTTATTTGTTCTGTCGTTTGGTTTTCGTTGTCTGTGATAATGCCATGCTAAAATAAAAGTGCCGAGCTGGTGATTTGCCATTTTCCCAGGAAACAGTTGCCTTACGTTCCTTACTTATGGACTTCATAATCTTCATTCAGAATGTATTAACAACAATGATCACTGTCGACAGTCTACACGAAAGACTGTCTCAGCGAGTGCAGTTTTTCCCAGTTCACGTTAGAAGGGACAGACTATTCATAATTCCACTAATTTAATCGGCAGGAAATGCGCAAACGGAAATACAATGTCTGGCCATACTTCGCCATCGAGACTTTCGCCCACTGGCGTTCGCTGCTACCGCAGTCACCGCACTGCTGGCGGAGCTCATGCACAGCTGCGCGGTTCTGTTTCCGGTTTTCAGTTGATTGACTTGACTTTTGATGGTGATCAATATCATCTTGTCTACGTACTTAATCGAGTTTTCTATTGGCGAAGGAAACATCTGAGAAAATCGTTTTTCGCAGCTCCATATGATGCATATTTTTTTAGTTTTACTCGTATTTATCATTAGTTGCCATAATCTATATGGTCGTTCAAGTCCTTAATTGAAAACAAACCCTTTTTTGTAATTGTTTTGGTCACTTCGCTAAGTTTTCTGATTATGGAGGAGCGCGTTCAACATCGTCTTTTGCAGCTCATTGAAGAGGAAGTTAACTCCGGACACAATCGTACTTCCGATAAATCGCTAAAAGAACTGAAATCCATCTGTCGACAATCAGACGAATACGTGAAGGAAGCCTTTCGCCTGTTATGGGAGCATTTGTCCCAAGAACATGCAGAAATGCGCTGGAGCGCTTTCTTGTTGATCAGGGAGTTGTTTGATCGTTCCCATTGTTTCCGCGAACTTCTCATCGAGAACTTGAATGACTACATGGTAAGCATTGCAAAGTGTACCTGTGAAAATAGCTTTTACAGTGTATATTGATCCACTTCGAACATTTTGCATTTTTTTGTAGGTTCTTGTTGCCGAGACTGATCGACGTAAACCGCTGCCAAAACCAAAAATCGTTGCTGATCGTCTGAAACAAGCATCCGTAGCGCTGTTTAAATCATGGACAGACAAATTTGGCTCAACCTATAAGAAACTCGATTTGGCGTACCGCTTTCTGGATGATACGAAGAAAATTGTTCATCCAGCCAGCTCAGCATCGTCGTTTTCCGATCTTTTCACACCGCGCACGGAATCACGAAATTCAACGATTCAGCAAAAGAAAATCGATGCAATTAAATCGCAAATATTGGAAAGTGAGGAGGAATTGGATAATCTAATGAACGAAACGGAAAATCTTTTCCGTATCGTTGTGCCTGATATTCTTCAGGATGCGTCGCCCAGTGTCGAGCAGACGAATTTGCGGGCGCATGGATTGCCGTCGACCGCGTCGTTCAGTATTCAGGTGGATTTAATCCCGCGCACCCTTCGCATGGAGCGGACTAGCGAGACTGAAGCGCTTATTGAGAAGATGGAGGAAAATGCGGTGCTGCTTAATGGGAAATGTCTCCCCTTGACGGTGCATTGGTTGAGTGTTTTGTCGAAGTCTGGCGCACAGCAGGAGGATGTGAAAATGTGTATCGATCTGAAACAGCGGATTGAAATCTTGCTGAGAAAAGCCGCTACGCTTGGGATTAATTTTTTGAATCGGAGTAAACGAAAAAAGGGTGATAGTGATAGTGAAGAGGAAGATTTTGTCGACGTTCCGGAAGGGAGTTTTCAGGAAACCGAAATGGTCAATCTGGATGACGAATTGGTAATCATGTGTTGTTGCACTGTTTCGTGTTTAAAGAATTTTAGATATGTTCTTATGTGATCACTGGTTTTTGTGAACTATTGTTTTTGCACTTGATCTAGTTTTTAGTAAAGATTTTTTACTGCGCCATAGTAAATTGTTTTATCGTTTATCAATTAACATGCAAGTATTTCTGTTATATTGTGAGTTTGTGTTGTTTATGTTATGTAATATGTACTGATGTTTGCATTTTCACCTTCGACTTTTATCCGTTTGTAGAAACCCTCCACCTCTGGTGTGAACCCTGTATATCAAACAAGTTCGTCGGCAACTCTAGAGACGGTGCCTAAGATGAAGTCCGTATCGACGCGCGACGCACATTTGTCCGTGGCTCCTGTTGTTCCGTTCGGCCCAGATTTGGAAAGGTGGGGTGAGCCTTCCGACAAACTGCCGGAGTTACCCGCCAACCCTAAAGTGGACGCTGTCCATCGTTTCTGGGCCGCCCCCGATACGGAAAAGGACTCGCCCAATTTACAGGTGGCAGAGTCTTTGTTGAGTCGCACGATGCCGTTTGCTGGTAAATTTGAACCGGTTAAATGGTTCTGTCGCGCTCCTTTGCCGAACGGACAACTGTGTCCACGTCAGGACCGTGTAAAGTGCCCGTTCCATGGAAAAATTATCGCCCGCGACGGGACAGGCACGCCCTCAGATGAAGAAGAGCGCCGGAAGGAGAGACTGGCGAAGGAGAGAGCCGAGGCGGAAAAAGTTCCTGACTGGCAGGAACCGGAATTCCTAAAAGATCTCGAAGCAGCAACGGGAAAGAATTTGAAAGTAGAGAAGCGGAAACCGCGAAAGCAGGACAATTTGACTGATCTGGCGGCGGAGGACAACACTCCGAAAAATCGTTTGGCCAAGAAGATTTTTGATAGAGCAGCGGTCAAACGGGTAGCTGCAACGATGGATGCGGTGCAGAGAAAAAATGCCGCTGAGAAATTTCAGCATAATTGGAATTATGCCAGTATCTCTCATACATAAAACTGTGATTGTGCTGGTGAGTGGTGTGATTTTGCTGCGATTTTGTCTCATCTTAGGAGACGGTTTGTAATACCGGTGTAACATTTTTTTCAATGGAGACTTCCTTAATAATTTTAGTGAATTTTTTAGCACTTTCTGGGCTCTGTATCTTTACCACGGGTAATTGTAATGTACTGTTATTAACTGAAATCAGCTGCGACAACTTAATTACAGTTACAGAATGTTTCAAGTGCATGAATTAAATTGCATTTCGCAGCCCATAGTAGTTGGGATGTACTTGTACTTCTTTGACCCGGTCTTTGGAGATGAGTAACTTGATTTGAAGGTATAGCTGTCCGTAAGGTCACATGCCGCCATCAGATTTTGTTTCGTTTTGATTCTCGATTGTTGCGCTCATTGCAAAATCACCGCATATTCCTGTATCATCTACTAAGGGACATTTTTGTATTTAAACAAATGCGTCATCTGTCTCGTTTGCAAGTTTTGATTTCACTCTTGAGTGTTTCGTATGTGGAACGCACTGAGTCGCTCATCTCGTTCCTGCAGAGAGCCGGCGCTGGCCAGTTGGCGCGTCTTCGGACGGCGCTTGGATGCCAAAAATAGCTCCTCCTAGCTAACTAACCACAAATTGTGGGTGGATGTGAAAGTAATGACTGCGAAAAAAAACTGCGGATGGCATCCTGTACAGTTCGGTGTTTGATCATTTGGAGTGTGCGCACGGGGTGAAGCGGCAATTTGGCGATGCCATCGCCGTTTTTTGACTCTCACCCGCAAAAGGATTACATGCCGGTCCGGCGCCCAGTTACGGACTTCAGGATGTGTTTTGGACTGGATCTTGATTTTATCTCATGGGAACTTCTCTAATTCACCGGTGGAAGTAAATGGAGATCATTCGCTGTTTTATCTGATAGAATAAATCATGGGTGATAATCCAGAGGCCGTTTCATCCGAACAGGATGATGTTTCATTCTTACGCACTGTAAGTTATGTACCATATAGATGGACCAGCTTAGCTACTGGCCGTCGGTCCTGAAAACGTTTTGCCTTAAAGAGTACATTACTAGCTTAGGCTTCACTATGCAAATGATTTAATATTGTCAAATGCAACGATTACAGGATCAGCGGTTTTCGTTTTCATACATTTGATTTTATCGAACACATTTTCCTCATGAAATATTTTGTAATAAATTAGCAATTCGCGATATTGGTAACAGAAGTGGTTTAATCGGCATATATATACATTGCAAAAATTTGTATGCTTTATAATTTGTGAGAAAAGTTTTACAGAACACTGAGAATAACTGCGGTATTGACATTTGAATAGTAGATAAAGTTCGGGAGGTGGTGGGGATTAATTATTCCGGCATCCGTAATATTTTAGCCAGAGATAAAACAAGATTTAAGACTAATGTAATGAAGTCTCTTACGGTTAGTAAGTAACTCATTGCCAGTACTATTATTGAGTAGCTATATAGTATCATAAATTATTATTAGTAGTAAATTATTGCGCTTATGGTTTTCGAATTGTTAAAATAAATTAAAGGATTTTTAGTTATACAAGTGCATATTGTTACATCTTTTAGTAAAATATGCTTGCAATCTGGAAAGTTTGCTTTGTTAGGACGACATCATTTGCCTGAGCTGTACCGTCCAAACGGGCCGCGATGCTGGAACCGGAAGCGGTGAACGTGTATGTTTGGCCGCCGAAGGCTTCGGAAACCGGTACTGTTTTCTGGAAACCGTTTCCGATAAGGTACACTGTCCTGCGAAATCTTTTGTTATGCCTTAACAGCATTCATTGTCAGTCAGCGATAAAAAGATTCTGGGCGATAATGATTGACTTTTTGTACTGATTTACGCTTTCTTTTTTTATATGTACAGGGTACGAGATTTGTAACTAGGTATTCATGAGTGAATGCTATAATATAGCATTCACTCATCATATAATATACTATGTATATTATACATAGTACGCTTAGGTGCGTTAACTGCAACTGAATCATGTGGAATTTTTAGTGGCCGTTATGAGATCAAAGCGTTGCGGAAGCGCTTTTGGGAATGCGCTTTAATGGGGTTGCGCTAGAGAGGGAGACATATTCTCGCTTATGTCTGCGATCTAGTAGTAATCATCGGCAAATCCCAAAATAGTTGCTTGTTTTAGTCCGTGTTTAGCACTTGTTGTCATTACAAATAGTGATCATGATGCTGAGTGTACGTAGTGCAACAAAAAAACTATATACCGCTTTCCCGTCTCGTTAACTTACTACTACCAATACTATATAAATTAGCTATACTGTATTAACCATTATTAATATACGATTATTCACTATGTTACTCGTACTTGCACAAAGTCTGTACATAAATCTGGCTTTTAGTTCGAAAATAAAGAAAATTTTCGAAAAATTGTCGCTATTTTATCGTAACGTAGCTATTAAATATGCCACATTTATACAGGGTACCCTCTACTTCTATAGCGACAACGTAGCCACCATACTGCGCACATTTTCGACAGTATATTTTTACTTGTTAATATGTACTCTGTATTTCATTCAAGTTGTCTCAAAATAGCTGACCAGTAAGTTAATAAACGTAGTTAAATGATGCAATCAAGATTCATAATACAGGGTACTGAGGGTACCAGTCAAGGTTTTTATTTATGCTTTTATTACTGGTACATTAGTTTTTCATAGTAGTTAATAGAGTTCCGTAGTTGTTCCATACGGTGGACGTGAGGTGAAAAACTTTTAATGTTTTTTTTGTGTAGGATCGTCCCCCCGATTTGGCATCATGCATGCTCGTTATCGAGCAAGCACTTTCCGTGCGTGCCCTACAGGAAATGGTCAACGCCACTTCTGAATCGGTATATCGACTTGGCGGACTACGTTTTTCCGTGCTGGCAAAGTTCAAAATTTTTTCTATCCACACGATAGGGAACGCAATCTGGACACCGGACATTGTTATACGGTCATGCGGTGCTGCTCCGTCATTTCAACAGTGACATGGTAATCAAATTATGACATGAATTTTTCGTTGAATTTTTTTACGCCAAAAATTACTGTAAGCTGGCATTACTAAGTACTGCGAGAAATAGGACTACCATGTTTACGTCCTGTTAAAATGAGAATTTGGTTATGACGATGTGTCTCGTAAGCATTTATTTTTCTTTAGTATCTCACATGTCTCAGCACCAGCTCATCCAGTGACAAATTAGCCTTTGACGTGGGATTACGCGAGACCGCACAAGGCGAAGCCTGCTGGTGGACCATCCATCCCGCTTCGAAGCAGCGCTCGGAAGGCGAAAAGGTCCGGGTGGGCGATGACCTTATCTTGGTCAGCGTGGCAACCGAACGTTATCTGGTTAGTACATTCTTTGTGTTGTTGATGTGCAAACTGAGCTTCATCGTTTTGAAATTTCGGAACATTTTAATTTCCATTACGAATGCTGAATTATACCAAGAAAATTAATGTCGGTTAAATAATTTCAGCACACTCTGAAAACGGATGAATGCTCCGTAATTGCATCGTTCCACCAGACATTATGGACCGTGCTACCCATCGCTTCCGGCAATGTTAAGAATAAATTTATCAGTTTCGTCTTTGGTCAGGAAGTGGTGCGTTTTTTCCACGGACATGACGAATGTATGACCATACCGGAGAATTGGTCCGATCATCCACAGCACAATTTAAAGTAATATTGCATATAAATTGAAATTATCGTGTGCGACTCAATATTCTGCCTGTTTTTTCAGTGTGATCGTCTATGAAGGCGGTGAAGCCCTGAACCGGGCTCGATCGCTGTGGAGGATCGAGCTAATCCGAAACCGGTAAGCTGTTTTTTTTGCTGTTTTCTATGCATCTCGTATTATAACGAGATGCATAGCGCAGCAATAAAGGATTGATTTATTTTTTAGTTGGAATGGTGGTTTTATCAACTGGAAGCAAGCCTTTCGCATTCAGCACATTACCACCGGACGGTTTATGAGCGTAACCGAGAATCCCACACCGGAATCCGGGAAAAGTCGATGGCGGGTGTCATTGGTGCCGCGCAACCAGTCCAAACTTGAAGACACTGCATTCTTCCTGAAGGCCAACAAAGTCCGTCCATACTGCGTACAAACCGGTAGTTTATGTGGTTTACGATGACACCTTTTTCCAGGACGATAAAGAGCATGGATTAGATGAGAAAGAGAAAGAAGAAGAAGGCATGGGTGCCAGTACGATTAAATACGGCGACACCATGTTCGTCATACAGCACTGCATTACTGGACTCTGGCTTTCATATGACGTAAGCGACAATTACATTTACTTATTTACACGTGTGCATTTTACGTTTTGGTTTAAAATGTTGTAATACTTCAGTGCTAATTTAATACAAAATGAGCATAATATGTACGTTTCAATAGACTGTGGAAGAAACTCGACGGGGTGTGGGAAAAGTGGAAGTCAAATATCTGTCCATGTCCGAAGAAGGTCACATGGATGATACGTTGTCGTTTACGCGGTCCCAACATGAGGAGTCGCGATCGGCGCGGGTTATCCGCAAATGTGTTTATTTATTCAACAAATTTAACCGGTAGAGCTTATTATTAAATTTCAAATGTTAGTAGCGCAGACAGTTGACCTTTCATTTAGGGCCTTGGATGCACTGCAAAATCAGCCAACAGATTCACGAGGACGTACCGATTCCGTGGGACATGCACCGACACCACGGTTTAACCTACGTGAAACCATTGATCTTCTCAAGGATCTGATTGGATATTTTGCCCAACCGGAAGACGGAACGGGTAAAATGTTGTTATTTTAAAAACGAGACAAACTCCTGAAAAATTTATCCGGCAAAGGGCTTCTTGTTGCGCTCACTCATTTTATTTTAGATTTTTATTTGCAGAACATGAAGCAAAACAAGTTCATCTTCGCGCTTTGCGCAATCGACAGGATCTCTTCCAGCAAGAAGGCGTACTGAGCCTGGTTTTGGATACCATTGATAAAATCAGCGCTCTGACCAACCATGGTATTTTGACCACGTACCAGGGTGACGAAGGAGGTTGGGATGAGATCTCCACGAACCTGTACTTACTGATTGGTAAATACCTTAATATTAAATAATATAACGCCTGCTTTAAATATTGTATTAATTAATTATACAATGTTTTTTGTTACAGCGGCAATGATCAAGGGCAATCACGGCAACTGCGCACAATTTGCTCAGTCGGCGCGCTTGAATTGGCTGTTCAGCCAATTGTCGCAGCAAGGCTCGGAAGGTGTGCTAGGAGTGTTGCACTGCGTACTGGTCGACAGTCCGGAAGCGCTTAACATGATCAGAGAAGATCATATTCGAGCGATTATTTCGCTTTTGGATCGAAGCGGACGCGATCATAAGGTGAGTGATTTTTTCCGATATACAAAATTCGTACGGGACTTGTTTAGCGGAAACGCGACGTAGGTGTTGGATGTCTTGGGATCGTTGTGCGTGGGAAACGGTTTAGCTGTGCGTTCCAGCCAAAATCACATCTGTCAGCATCTGCTGCCAGGAAAGGACCTGTTGCTGCAGACGAAATTGGTGGATCATGTGGCATCCATGCATCCTAACATCTATGTCGGCTATGTGGAAGGCTCGGCAATTTTCAAGAAATGGTATTTTGAGGCTATTGTGGATCATCTTGAACCGGTGTCCAATCATATGCCTCATGTGCGCAGTAAGTTATCGTAAGGTAAAAAATTACTGGAATTGTTACGTACTACTCTCACCTTATGTACATGTAGTGTAACAAAATCAAGTGCAACTTACAATTAGTGCAGTACACGTTCTCACTACCTAGTAACATACCCTAACCGGTAAGTAGTCACCACGGGCCTTAACTGAGCCGCCACACTACGACACTTCATATATTGATAGTGGATAACTGAAGATGTTATAGTACTGTAATACTGTATAAAGATAATAAATGCTAAAGTGTTAAAGAGATGCTCGAGTCCGGGACTCGAGCCCTTCTTTAACACTTTAGCATTTATTGTTCGAATACTGGAATCGTACCGATTGTGAAGATATCACTTGAAAATCTTCACAATCAAAGCAAAGTATTGAACTGATACTGATAATCATCAAGTACTCGACAATTGACATGATTTGTGTATGATTTTGTTGAATAGTCGGATGGGCCAATACGGACGGGTATGTTCCCTATCCTGGAGGCGGTGAACGGTGGGGCACAAACGGTGTCGGCGATGACATGTTCTCATTTGGGTTCGATGGAATCAACATTTGGATCGGTAAGCGTATTATTGGATAGGTTTGTATTTTAATGTGCTTGCCTAAAGATTTTACGTTTTCGTAGGGGGTTATTCTCGAGCGGTTCGCATGTACGATCCGTCGATTACATCCGGCTTTCACAAAGGAGACATCGTTGGCTGCAACCTGGATCTGACGATTCCGGAAATTTCCTTCAGTCTCAATGGGATTCGCTTACGAGCTACAATCAGAAATTTCAATACAACCGGCATGTTCTTTCCGGTTGTCAGCATGTCGGCTAGATCCAGGTGAGTACAGTATCCTTTACATACGTACTGATACAAATACCCAATTTTCTACACCTAAAATATTTTTGGGGCTTAATTTATGTAATACGCAGTGTAATTCTGTTAACTAAAAATGGTAATGTGCGGTGTAATTCTTTTTACTAAAAATGCAAACATAACTATAGTTAATTTTATGCTCAAAATTATTGTTTGAACTTAACAAGTTTTAACAAGGACTACACTTGAATCGAAGGTTTGAATTTGCCAGTGCACTACGTTTTTTTGCCAAGTGTTAACCGTTTGATTACAACATTCTTCTTCTTTAGCGTCCGGTTCATGTTGGGAGGAGATCACGGTCGCTTGAAACACGGTCCACCATCCGGTTACTCGGCGGTTATTGAATCACTCTTACCGAAAGAAACTTTGCGCATCGAACCGCGCTTTTTCTTTGGCGACATTAACCGGTCGCTGTTGGCCGGACCGAGTCTGGTCCAGGAGAATGTGGGATTCGTCCCAGCTCCCATTGACACCAGCAGCGTTATTTTGCCCAATTACATTATGCAAGTGCGTGATCGTTTGGCGGAAAATATTCACGAACTATGGGGAATGAGTAAAATTGAAGCGGGATGGACGTACGGAGAAGTGCGAAACGACCCGCTCAAGCATCATCCAAATCTGACCGCCTTCAAGAATTTACCTATTAGCGAACGGAACTATGATATTACATTGTCCGTGGAATTATTAAAGTAAGTTATCATTTCTCAGTCCTGCAATGTATACTTGAATAACCGTTGAGTTCATACCATTGCAAAATCACAAGTAAAATGCCATGATGGATGATTTTCTACTTCGGGTCAAACCGTAATATATGTGACTGATCGTGAATAGAATATACCCACAATATGTATAAAGGATACCCACAATATGTACAATATCGTAGAACAACGGTTTTATCGAGTCCCATTGAGATACATTCGCAAACGGGTATCCGGAAACATTTGCATATAGCGAAACGAATCAATTTTTTATTAAATCTGTTTCGTTCTTTTGCAGGTGCTTATTAGCACTGGGATATCATGTCAGCATGATCCCGACCGATGCTCGCATCCGCCAAATGAAGCTCTCCTCCACGTACACTCAACCCAACGGATACAAACCCGCCCCGCTGGATCTCTGCAGTATCCAATTATCATCCAAAATGGAGGAACTTGTAGAAATCCTATCGGAAAACATCCATAACCTTTGGGCTAAAACGCGCATCGATCAAGGCTGGACATACGGATTGACCAAGCAGCCGGTGACCAAACGCAGTCCGCATTTGGTGCATTATGTCGATGTGGACGATACGATAAAGAAAATCAATCGGTTGCCAAATTCATTATAAACATGATTGGGACTTTGAGTTGTAGTGTTTTTGTTTAAAATGTAGTGACACCGCGTGTGAAGCCGTTCGGACACTCCTGGCATTCGGCTACACCATTGAGCCACCAGCCGGGGATTCCGCTCATAAGCCGGGCGGTGCAGCCATGCGTGTGCCGGAAAAGAAGCAGATTACGCGGAGTTATCGGGCGGAGAAGACGTACGCGGTGACGGAAGGGAAATGGTACTATGAATTCGAAGTGATGACCCATGGATACGCCAAGATCGGTTGGGCGCTGGTCGGATGTTCGGCCGGAATCGAAATGGGAGCCGATGAAAATTCATACGTCTTCGACGGATTATCGGTAAAAATATGTATTTTTCAGCAAAAAAATACAAGGGGACCTTGTTTTCAGCTAGCCATTGTTTACTATTATACAGTGTATACTCACACAGTACGTTCCCTAATTCCGAATTTTTATTTGCCAGTTCACTGCAATATTTCTCCATTCTGCAACGCTATGTACAGATACGTTAGCATAAAATAAGTTTACATATCGACACATATGGCTTATCATCGTTTCTTTGGTCGCTTAACAGATGTGTCTTTGATATCATCGCTTCGTGAATAGGGCCGGAAATGGCATCAAGGACCGGAACCTTTCGGTCGCCCGTGGCAAGTGGGCGATGTCTTAGGCTGCCTTCTGGACCTCCACGATAAAACCATCAGCTTCACATTGAACGGTGAACTGTTGGTGGATCCATCGGGCAACGAAGCCGCGTTCGAAAACGTCACAGCAGAATTAGGCGGATTCGTCCCGGCTTGTACACTGGGAGCCGGTGAACGGGGGCGATTTAATTTTGGACAGGATATCCATTCGCTTAAGTTTTTCACTGCCTGTGGTCTGCAAGAAGGATATGAGCCATTCTGCGTGTAAATAAAATCCTTTATTTTGGAGTCATATGTACTGACTGCGCCAGTACGGTAACCTGTTTCTGCATTTGTGTAGTAACATGACGAAACCGGTACCGTTTTGGTATGATCGGGAACAAGCGATGTTTGTGCCGGTGACCGATGAGAACAGCATGCTGGAGGTCAGCCGCATTCCCCCCACGGCTGGTGCTCCACCGGCGATTAAATTATCACGCCGCTCACAAGGAGTGTCCGACAGATTGCAAATGGAATTTCTGCGGCTTTCATTGCCGATTACGTGCCGTGAGCAATACATAAAGTATGTTTAAATCAGACGCAGTAATACAATTACTAACAATTTTGTAGTAGGCTGGCAGTGTCCAAGAATGAAATAAACCATCCTTCTGTAACCGATGTTGGTTCTTGCTGGCATGTTTCTGCAACGGTTAACACTATATTGTGTTTCGATAACTCTGAATAATTTTTGAAACAGATAGGCGTTACGGTACGCTATCGCTTTTTGCAAAAACCGTTTAATGAATTGTTCAATAATTATTACCTCATTGCTGCTAGCGACGAAGAGAAGCAACGCATGGTCCATGACCTGGAAATTGCTAAACGAGCCACCCGGCGTAATCCTTCCGTCTCCCAACTGCAACGTCTTCCTGGTGCTATGGGCGGGAAGATTGAAGAGCACATGATTAGCGGCGGTTTCTCCGAGAACGATATTCAAGGTCTGACATCGCAAGGACGCTTCATCACGGAAGAATCGGTCGATATGATGGAGACGGGGGATATGGAACCCCCCGAACCGGTACGCAACGTCCCGTTGCCCCGCGGATCGATGGGTCCGGAAAAATTTCAACGACAGCGCGGTATCATGAAGAAAACGCAATCGCTGGATGTTAATGAGGATATGCAGATTAGTGTGCCGATTAATGCCAATCCCTATGCGACTGTACAGACCTCCAGCAAACGGATGCACCGGAGTAGCAGTGAAAATCGACTTCAGCCGGAAACGTAAGCGAATGTTGGGAAATCTTTGTCGCATGCACGCAACGGTGGCTAATCGCACGCAGTTGAATGCTGTTTACGAGCAATACGAAGCTTGCTGCACTAACACACATCTTTAGTTGGATTTTATTTTTTGTCTTGAAAATTTTAATTTTTTGACTGGAAGGGTTCAGACATAAAAACACCGTTTAATGTATTTTTAAGGGACACCGATTCATTTCTTAGTGAGACCAGATACGAAAAAATCGTTCCAAGGCAACATTCATTGGATAGAAGCAGGACGCATCAAAGGTGACACCTAGTTTTGCAGCACCGGTTTATGTTAAAATTTAATTTTGGCAAGCCGTATTCGAATTCGAAACGGCTCAAAGATATTAGGTTCAGATATGGTAGTCAGTTTGCATTCGATTGACTGAATAATAAAAACTCATTCCAGTAACAAGTGTTTTTATCGTTAGCAGTCTAATAGCAAAAACTGAATTAAGCGAGAGACGAAAATCCGTTTGTCTGCAAAATTTAAATTTGCGAAGGTAATTAGGCACATTTGGCTACAGCGAAATACAATCCCGGTGAAAAGTATTTGCAAAACAAATTCCAGCGGAAAAACATTGCGAATCAGTTAAAGAAAACTGTTTATAAGGATGCCAGGGCACGATTATGGAACGTGTTCATTTTTATTTTTCAAGGAAGTTAATGATTTCGTAAGAGTTAGAAAAACTGCCGGCAACTTCGCGACAACAATAAACGATCACAGAGGTCAAGCAGTAATTGCGTTTAACGCTGTCCAGTTGTTGCTTACTACCGGCTATCTTTCTCTTACCTGAAAACGATTGCCAAATACAGAGTGCTAGAGTGATTTTTGGTACCGGTGTGTTTTTTAGTGCCAGCCGTAGCCATGAACCCAGCCTGAGTAAAACTACAACATGTTGTGTGTTTATTCATGACAGCACGCCGGCAGCACCCGATGGTAAAGCCAAGAAGCGTTCACAGAGTCCGTTCTCTTATCTCACCAAGAAAATCAAAGAATCCGCCAGCAAACGGTCGGCATCGAAAGAACGCCCGGAAAATACGTACATCGTTGAGCGGAAACCCATGAACCAGACGATGACCCAGGTGACCAGTGATGGTATGTTGCGCACCCCGGATATTACTTTAGCCGCCGGAACCGCCGGTGGCCCCGCCCTGACCCTCCGTATGCCCACTCCCCTACCGTCTTTCACCAACGCTCAGGATCTGATGACCCCGACCCCGGATATCGAGATGATGACCCCGCGAGTGGCCTTCGGTGTGGACGATCAGAATCGTCCACTGTCCGGTTTGAGCGGGATGTCGGACGTCACTACCGCCAGTTCCACCGTTTTCGACCTGGTCACCGAGTTCCACTATGCGGTCCGCATTTTCCCCGGTCAGGATCCCAAGTGTGTGTACATTGGCTGGGTGACATCGGATTTCCATCATGCCCAGAGTCCGTTCGCGTTGGATTATGTGCGGCGGGCGGAGGCCAAGATTCTGGATGTGGGCGGCCAGCTGAAGAGCCACTGTTTCTTCCAGAATTCCTATCTGGTGTGTGCCGGGGATCTGCAGGAACAGGCGGCTAATCAGGGTGGACAGGATAAAGGACGCGCCTCGCCGGGATTGCTGATCGGCACCACGATCGATGTGGCGACGGGCATGTTGACCTTTAATTTCAATGGGCGGGAAATTGAAGAACGCTACCAGATTGAACCAGCCACCAAACTGTACCCGGCAGTGTTTGTGGAGCCGACTAGTAAAGAGGTTTTGCAGTTTGAATTTACTGGGAATAAATCGGCATTGCCGCTGTCCAGTGCGTTATTCCTTCGTGTAAGTGAGCAGTATTGGTATTAAACTGCTTCATAACGGTGAATTGGTCACATTTTCACATGCTGAAACTACTGTACACATTTTTAGTCGTAATTTGTTGTGCGATTACAGGATCGGTCATTAACTCCGCAATGTCCACCGCGTTTGCGCGTGCTGACTCTTCGTCCCAACCAGTGGTCACGTGTGCCGAGCCAGTTTCTCCGGGTGCACGAACTGAAAATGTCGGATGTTCGAGGTTGGAGTATGCTGTGCGATGACCCCGTGTCCATTCTTGCGTTGTATATTCCTGAAGAAGCACGGTGTATTGATATTCTGGAACTAATTGAAAACGAGGATCTGCTATTGTATGTATACCTAATCTTTTACAGCTTTTGTATAGGACGTGACCTTTTGCTTCTCTCATAATTGTATTGTGTTTATTAGGTTCCACGCTCATACGCTGATGCTATATTGCGCCATCTGCTCTCATGGAAATTATCGAGTAGCCCACGCGTTGGTTAAACATGTCGACCAGAAACAGCTACTGTTTGCCATCCAGAATCCATGTAAGTGATTGTGTTACATAAAGCGATGTGTGACCTAATGGTTTCATTTTGTGCAGATATGTCCGGTGCATTACGCAGAGCATTCTATGATCTGTTGATTGCTCTGCATTTGGATACATATGCAAAAGCAATGTACAACACCCGTGACGAATATGTCATCCCGGTGGCGAAACGCGAAAGTGGAAAGCGCCGGCCAGCACGTAGCACACCCGATCTGATGCGACAACAATCGGTCAGGGATATGTCGACGAAGAATTCCATCCGACCGGCGCTCAATATGAAAGACAAGATTTCCAGCGAAGGGTAGCAAACCGAATACTTTAAACCGCTTCTAATTATCGACCGTGATTAATCGGCGGTTTTTTTTATCAGGGAGGATCAAATTCCCATCAAACAAATGACATGCCCGTCGTTTCCTCTGACCGTTCTTAAGGAATACGTGATGGACGCACTGGTTGATGGGGTTCGAAAGGGCACAGCACACTGCCGGGATCCCATTGGTGGCAACTATGAAAACCTTTTCGTGTTAGTTATTTTTCGATTTCAGTCGGTGTTTCGTTTGCGATTTAGCAAGTCTGCCTTTTTTCTTCAGGCCGCTGCTGAAAATCGTCGACCAGTTGCTTCTTGTTGGATTCATCGAGCAAAACGATATGGATCGACTGCTGATGTTGGTTGATCCGCCAGCTTTTGGAGGCGTATTAGATCACCGTTAGTCGAGGAAATTCTGGGTTGAATGTAATCTTCTAATTTCGGTGTCTTTCTAATTTGTTATCGGGTCTTTAGAGCAAATGGATCGCGGACTGCTGCACATCCGTTTGGATGAAGGCGTTAAATTGCAGTTGTGTTACGTACTGCAGGATCTGTGCGACGAACGAGTTCGCAAACGCATTGAAGAAATTGTCTACTTTTCGGAAGAATTTGTAGGAAAAGCCCAAACTGTAAGCGAACGTACAAAACGCCAGCAAACAATCTTACAACGAGATTTCTAATTATTATTATTGTTTCCCTTACTTCATAATCAGAATTCTTATTTTCGTAACAGGATCAATTAAACCGTTATATCGATATTAAAGCATCTGACCTTCCATCGTCCGTCGCGGCGAAGAAGACGAAAGAGTTCCGCTGTCCACCGAAAGAACAAGTACAATATAATTCTTGTTTGTATTGAACAAGCTTGCACGATTTGATATTATCCAGATGAAGATGCTCCTGTCGTTTAAACATCCCGAGGAAGAAGAATCCGCATCGTGTCCGTCACCTGAGGATCTCCGCGAGCATTTGGCGTATTATCACTCTTCCTTGGTTGACCGGCTTGGTCCAAAACCACAGGAACGAGGTACACTTTGCTTGAGGCGATGACTTGGCTTGCTTATGTATTGTTTTACTAAATAACGGTTTTTGTTGATTTTGTTGTTGGTGTTGTTTATTTGGTTTCTTCTATCTACAGTCACTCGTTATACTCGTGATCTGGGCTACTCGAACGGTAATTCCTTATTTCAACTTATTAACTTTATTTTAATATGATGCTTGCTTACTGTGCATTTGAAGCGTATTTATTTCCTAATGCGCACGCAAAATGTATTTTCCGTTACAAATCAATACTTTCTGCTTTGTCCGCTTGTTTGAATTTTTCCCCCGCTTATTTTCGTTTTGGCTTGTTTTAAGTTGCCAGTGTACAGCCGGTTTATGGTGGGTACGGCCGGTTTTTAACGAAGCAGTATGTTAATCTACAGAGGTTTTGACTGAGGTCATCAAGAAGAGTGTTATCAGCTGGGCAGCGGAATCCCATATTGATTCTCAAGAACTCATTAAAGAGATGTTCTCCCTTTTGCACCGCCAGTACGACGGTGTGGGTGAAGTTCTGAAAGCCTTGGAAAAAGCGTATGTGATCAGCAATTCCAGTCATGCGGATGTCACGGCTCTGCTGGCGTCCCTCGGACGTGTGCGTACACTGCTATCCGTGCAAATGGAGAAGGATGAAGAGGCAGTTCTGCGCGTATCTTTATGGTACAAAACTGCTTAGAATGCGCTTTTCACCCTAAACTTTGTGAGCGGTAGTCTGTGACAGTTTGCCTTTAGGGAGCTGATGAATAATCGCGTCTTTTTCCAACATCCCGATCTGATTGGCATGTTGTGCATCCACGAGAACGTTATGACGGTGATGATGAACACTATTGGAAAATCGCAGAACGTGGAATCAGATCGACAAGCAGGACAGAGTGATGGACAGAAAGTAATTGCTTAAACTTTATTTAATTGGTGTTTTGGAAAAGTATGACTTGCGTTTCTGTTTTCAGGACTCTGCTGACATGGTCGTCGCTTGCTGTAAATTTCTGTGCTACTTTTGCCGTACTAGCCGGCATAACCAGAAAGCCATGTTTGAGCACTTGGGCTACCTTCTGGACAACAGCAGCATGCTACTTTGTACGCATTAATTAATTTTAGAGTACTACTTATAATGAGCACAGTTTATCTCAACAAAGCGCAGAAAATTGCAGCACATGCTCCATTGCAGCAGCGCAGAAAATTGCAGCTAAAACCCCTCCCTTACCCCCCTTTCTTTTATTTATTGATGGCCCGGTGAGGACCTCCTACATTTTTTGGCATTTACATTTCTCAGTTTCACTCCTACATAGGATCGTCCTAAGCAGGAAGCAGCCAATTTGGCTACCAGAGCAGTCCACTGACTGCTGACCGATTCTCCTGGAAAGGAGTATGCCGATTTCGGCTCTACCAGAACTCTTCGTGGAGTTTTGACCGAACGTTTCCATCACAGCCACTTCGGCTTCGCACTCAGCCACCTTGGCTTCACTCGTATTCGCTGCGCCTATCGTAGGCCCGGTTGCCGGTTTGGCGGTTGGCTCTGCTTGCGTGCACGCTAACAGGCACCGTACAAAACTTGCGAATGAAGGGTACCATACAGTAGAAAACCTTCACGGAAGCCGCTTCCGGCACGTTTTCAAGCAACATTTTCGGCATAATGTGAATGCTTAGAACAGTGTCCACTTCTGAAATAAAAAACTTTAAATATTTCTAGAATTATCAAATATTGTTTGCTAATTCTTTACGGTATCGTTTCGCGCAGATCGACCGTCACTACGTGGTTCGGCTCCGCTGGACGTAGCATATTGTTCCCTAATGGACAACAGCGAACTGGCCTTATCACTGCGCGAACACCATCTTGAGAAGATCGCCGTATATTTATCCCGATGCGGCTTGCAGAGCAGTTCGGGACTGGTGGCTAAAGGTTACGCGGATATCGGATGGGATCCCGTGGAAGGTGAGCGATATTTGGATTTTCTGCGCTTCTGCGTATGGGTCAACGGTGAAAGTATGGAAGAGAACGCCAATCTTGTGGTGCGTTTACTGATTCGCCGGCCGGAATGTCTGGGTCCGGCGCTGCGCGGTGGTGGTCAAGGATTACTCAACGCGATGAAAGATGCTATTACGCTGTCGGAATCAACAGCCGTAACGATTGATCCGACATTGAAGGAAGATGAGGATTATATTGATATGGGCGAAGCGGTGCTGAATTTCTACTCGGTGTTGGTGGATCTGTTAGGACGGTGTTCACCGGACACCACCCAGCTGGCCCATGCACGCAGTGATTCCGTACGTGCACGGGCGATTCTTCAGAGTCTGATCCCGTTGCCGGATTTGGAAGGTGTACTGTCGATGCAGTTCTTTATACCGAATTTCTCTGCTATCGAAGGTATGTATTAAAGTGCGAGTAACTGAGTCCTTTAATAATATATTTACAGTTTATGGTTGTTGACTTACTGTGTGATTCGATAGCGGGAAGTAACGAGTTGCCGGAAATGCCACCCACTATTTTGCCTAATCATAAGCAAGCCGTACTGGTGTTTTTGGAACGTGTGTACGGTGTGGAAGATCCGGAGATCTTTTTCCGGTTGCTGGAAGAGAGCTTTTTACCGGATATGCGGTGTGGAACAATGATGGATGGGGTAAAACTTAATTATTCTTTGAAAAGCTAAGACTTTTTAAATTAACTATTAATGGTAGAAACTAAAATATTGTTGTATTAATATTTTAGAGTTTGGCATCAGAAAGCGATGTCAGTCTGGCGTTGAATCGATATCTGTGCAATTCGGTTTTGCCACTACTGACGCGACAGTCTAGCTTTTTTGCAACTGCCACACAGTACAGCAGCCTGCTGGACGCTACGTTGCACACGGCTTATTCCATGTCAAAAGTGCGAAACTTGACCAAGAATCAGCGAGAAGTGATATCGACATTTTTACTGGCCTTGATCCGGTAAATTTGAGTGTTGGCCCCAGAGGGGAACTATGAATGACCTTTTGTGTTTGATAGGGAAATTGATCCTGCAATGATGGAACGTCTGCTTCGGAAATTGATTGTCGACGTTTCCGCTTTATCTGAACATACAACGGTGGCATTAAAGGTTGCAAGCAATATTTACAATAAGCGTGGAGCATCTTGTACGGTATTCCCTGTTGCAGCTTTTGACATCCCATTACGAGCGCTGCGCCAAGTATTACGGTAGTCCAAGTGGATTTGGCAGCTACGGTAAAATAAATTGCTCTCGTTGCAACGTTTTATTCGCTGGCTGTAATTATCAAAATTTAATTTTCTGTTAGGCACGGCGTCCGAAGCGGAAAAACGCTTGACGATGATGCTGTTCAGCCGGATCTTCGATTCGTTGGCCGGGCGCAGTTATGATCCAGAATTGTTCAACTATGCACTGCCGTGTTTATCGGCCATCGGCAGTGCTCTGCCACCGGATTACGCGCTGGTCAAGACAGCCAACGATGAGCAGGAGATGACACCCCGCCGTACAGATGGTAGAATCGGATATCAGCCGAGTCCCGTGGAAACATCCACGTAAGCCTAAATTCGAGCAGGATTTCTAATTATCCTTCTATTCTGTAAATCGATGTCCATCAAATTGTCTTCTCGTATAAACCATTGATGATTTGATCCGTCGGCTTCGTTATTTCGCAAAATTACAGTGGCTTAATTTTTTTTTGGTTCGTGACTAATAGTTTTTATTGAATGTCAATGAAAGTAAATCTTTTTGGTATAGATTGTTTCTGAGTCCAGACCTACAGAACATGGCGGTAAAATTTGCCGAACATTACCACGATGCCTGGGCGCTGAAACAGTACGAAGCCGGTTGGGGCTACCACCCGACGCGCAGTGACGCAGACAAAGTCCATCCCTTTATGCAGCCTTACAACTACCTCCCAGCCGAAGCTAAAGAAGACTATCGTCTACCCGCTGAACAAGCCGTTAAAGCCATTCTAGCGTGGGGTTGGACGTTGGAACGCGGGGAAGAAGATTCCCGTGGCACCCGCAGTCAACTGATGAAACGCCGTCCCTCCCGTGGCCTCCAGGAACTACCCTACGGATATATGCCACGCCCCGTGGAACTAAACAATCTGACGTTAAACCGGGAGATGTTGGCGTTGGCTGAACGCTTAGCCGAGAATGCGCATGACATCTGGTCCCAAGGTGTCCAGTCGGAGCTGAATGCCGCCCCGGAACGCGGGGTGGTACCGCATTTTGTCCCCTTTGACCTGCTGACGGATCGGGAAAAGAAGGTGGATCGGGAACGCTCCCAGGAGCTTCTGAAGTTTCTGATTTACTCGGGGTATCGGTTTAAGAAGGAGCGTCCGTCGAGGAATACGGGAGAGCGTGGGTCGATCAGTCCGCCATCGGAGATTGAATCGCGGTTTGCGTATAGTTTATTGGAGAAATTGCTACATTACTGTGATGTGACTCTGGCTAAGATGCGGAACACGATGCCGAGTTCGACGTTGACGAGGAGGCAAAGTTATAAAGAAGCGCCGGGTGATGTTAAATTTTTTAGCAAGGTAAAGCTGTTAGTTGTTTTATTCGTCACATAAGTAAACTTTGTAATTATCTTCTAAACGATTTCTTGTCATTGATGATTTATGAACTTAGTCTCGGCACCAAATTATTGCGGTGTTATGGAATTGTTTTTGACATGCACCTCTACTGTACTTGCTAACTTTACTAACAATTATTGCTATGCTAACGCTTGTGGTTGATACTTGTAAGTTGTACGGCGTGATGCAACGGTAGTGAGGTGACTCAGTTCTAGCTGTTATATTTTCTGCTGGCCAGCAATTCATGCATATGGATGTTAAAAGTTGATTATAGCAATCTAAAATGCGGGCTACATTTTTTGTAGTATTTTTTAATTTGCGTTGTTTTTCTGAACAGGTGGTATTGCCGTTAGTGGAGCAGTACTTCCGTTCGCAAAAGAATTACTTTCTGCAATCTCCTGCCGCCGTAGACGTCGGTCGCATTGCTTCCCCCAAAGAAAAAGAAATGGTGGCAAGGTATCCAGATTACCACTAACTATCTGTTCTTCATCGCTGAATTAAGTTTATTTTATTTCTCTCCGCAGTTTATTCTGCCGATTAGCCATGCTTCTACGAACAAAAGTGCAATCCTTTGGACACGATACCCAGATTGCCGTTCAGTGTTTGCAGGTTTTGGTACAGACCATTGACGCTAAGTAAGCATTAAAGCATGCATTTAATTTAGCCGCAAAATTGTCAGTACTTAATTTTGTAACCGCTTTTCTTAGTTCTCTGATAAAGAACAGTCTGGATTTCGTTCGAACAAGTTTCCTGACATTCTTCAATCAAGCGGCCGCCGATCTGACCAACACCGTGACCTACTTGAAGACCCACTATTTCCCAGCCCCGCGCGGTACCACACCGAAACAATCCGTCAGTTTGGGTTACGTTGAAGGCGTACTGCTGCGGGTGCTGACATCCTTATTTGACCACATCGGCGCCAATAATTTCGGCAAAGATATCTTGATCAATGACATCCAGATTGCTTGCTATTCCATCCTGGATTCTTTGTACACATTGGGAACGAATTTGACGTTACCGGCCAGTGTCAAGCTCTTCGAAGAAATCAGTCTAGGAAATCGACCGCTGATTGGTGCATGTTTAGCAGCATTTGCCAGTACCTTCCCGGTGGCGTTTCTGGAGCCAGAGTTCAACGCCAATAATCCGTTTTGTATATTGGGAAGAGCGCAGGAACAGTCTCTACAAGCTCAGGATATTATGAATCGCTTATCAGCCAGTCTGCCGACCATGGAGAATCTGGTCAAGGAAGTGGAAACCTTTACACAAGCTGGCGATTATGCCGTATCGCCGCATATCATTGATGTGATATTGCCGATGCTGTGCAGTTACTTATCCACTTGGTACTACCGCGGTCCGGATAATGCGCATCCTGACGAGTAAGTTCTGTATCGCTTATTGGGCAGACTGTAGGATTGGATTTTCCTTTTTGTTTGATTTTAATTATTTAAATTTGCCAATTATATGTATATCGTACTGTGTTGTCCATTGCTTTTGAAAAATCAGCACTTGGCAAGTTGCGATCGAAGTTTGTTGATTTATGTAAGATTCTTTACTTAGTACCACTGTTACGAAAGTAACAACCGACCACTTGAATCAAACTCTTACGCAAGTTTTGACCCTCATTCGCAACAACATCGGCGATCCGAAAGCTACGTGGATGGTGCGAATAGCAGCAGTAAGTATAATAAAATTATTAGCGGTTCAGCGGCTGCATGTTATGATATTCTTAAATGTTCGGTTTGTGCGTAGGTGGTTGGACAGATCGTGCTCAATTCCAGTGCGAGTTTACTAAACGATCGTATCCTTCCCATTGCCATAAAACTCAGAGAAAACACGAAATCCGCCCACGCTAACGAGGAAGTCTTACGGCATGGGCAGCGTTTGGGTGATGATCTTTCATCCGTCGAAGCATCCGTCGGCGAAGAATATGCCGTGCTTATCCGTGACCTTTACGCATTCTACCCCATAGTCATCCGCTATGCCGAAATCCACAAAGCGCAGTGGATTCGCGACAACCACGGGCAAGCCGAACAGCTGTACGCTGAAGTGTCGGAGGTCTTTAACCACTGGATGAAATCCCAGCATTTCAAACGGGAAGAATTAAACTTTCTGTCCGGCAACGATGTGGACGTCAATGCCCTGATCTCCGCAGGACCACGCGGAATTTGTCGCATTATGACCCAGTCGGGTGCCTCATCGGGCAGCAGTAAGAAGAAGCGCAAACGCGATAAAAAGGATGTCAAGAAAGATCAAGCGGCGCAGCAGAGTTTGATTGTTGTGTGCTTGAAACGTTTATTGCCAGTTGGACTGAATTTATTTACGGGGCGCGAACAGGAGTTAGTGCAGAAGGCCAAGGAAAGGATGCTGCGACACGAGCCAACCGAAGTTCTTGAAGAGTTTGTCAAAGCGGAACTTATGCTACCGGACCAACCGGATCCGGCTGACAGAAAGGCGTGGCAGCGGAAACTGTACATTAAGATCGGTAAGAAACAAGTGGCGAAACTGGATGATCTGGTAGAAGAGGAATCTTCGACGGTGGTTGTGGAAAGGATTCTGGCCATGTCCAAAGTTTTACAAGGATTACATCTAGTAAGTCGCAAAAAACATTCGTATCTGAATTTGTTTAAACAAAATAACATTTTTCCTTGATACTTTATGGAGCCCAGTACATTCACAATAAGTCTGTTATACTATGGAGTATGGACAAGACGCATTTTGATCAATGTAGAAAGTTAATGCGCTTTGATATTCACAATTTTCTTTAATGTGCCTAAGCGCGCCTAATTTTCTTGTGTGCCTAATTTTCTTTAATGTGCCGTTTAGAGCGCTTTTTGCTGCAAGGCCGAAGATTACGGATATTTTTAAGAATCTATCAACTGATATCTGTAAATTCACATGCAAAGACTCTGTTCATTTCGCTTGCGTTAGGTGGATCATCCGCCAGCGATTACCGGCGATACATGGCGCAAACTGGTCTCCACACAACGCAAACGCGCCATCATTGCCTGTTTCCGCATGGTCGCGCTGTACAGTCTGCCGCGACATCGCGCCATCAACTTATTCTTACCGGCATACCGTGATCTGTGGCTATCCGATGAAAATCAAGGCCAGGAGGTGATGATTGCCAATCTAACCGAACCATTGGGCGGTGACCCCTCGAAAACAGTCCATCTGGCCACAATGCATCCGGATGCGGAGGAGCCGGTACATACCGACCAACTGGAGCAGATTGTCACGGCATTCTCGCGCGCAGCAACCACGGAGAACCGCAATGATAATTTTGTATCGTTGTATCTGCACTATGCGGATATTATGAGTATGAGCTGTGGTGGGGCTGACGAAGAAGAGGACGAAGAGGGAGGCGATGAGGAGGCTGGGCCGTCCATGCAGGAACAGGAGTTGGAGCGGCAGAAGCTGCTGTGGGAACAGGGACGGTTGGCCGATCGCGGTGTAGCGGAGATGGTGCTGATGTACATCAGTGCATCCAATGGTGAACCCAATGACACTGTGTGGTCGACACTAACGTTGGGAATTTCTATTTTGCGAGGTGGTAACACTACAGTACAGAAGGTGAGAATAGCGATACGCGCCAATCTAAAGCTTAACGCGACGAAGTTGCTAGCGATTTTTCCCAATAATTCCCAAAAATTGCCATGTCGTTCTTTCTAGTACATGGCGCAATAATTGCAATGCACATACCGTTTATCGTTAACAAGAAAAAATTAAAGTTATACTGTTCGTACAGGTGAACAAGTTCACGTAAGGTGAACAACAAAATAAAGTACTTGAGAATATTGTGAGTGATACCATATGCCTTCACTCGCCGCCGACATCAGCGGTTAACACTGAAGGAATCGCAATCAGGCGCGATCAGAATCTGCCACTGCTCCATCCAGCTTTATCGAGCTTGTTGACAAAAATTGCAACAAAAGACGGATATTTTCCGCCTTAAGTAGCGAAGTTATAGTGATGCAATAAGTCTTCTACTTGAGTTTTTAATCGGTTTGTCACTCTGCCGAATTTGGTTTTTTTCCCTAAAAAATATATATTATGCGTCGTTCACAAACGTTAGAGACAGGAATTCGATTATGTCGCCAAATGCTGTTGCAAAACTGCTGATACAAGTTGTTGACCGTTTATGGAATTCATCTTGCAGAGAATGGCGGAGTATTTAAAAGAAAAACGCGATGTTGGTTTCTTCAACTCCATGGCAGGACTGATGAATGCAGCCGGTGTACTGAATCTGGACGCTTTCGAACGAATTATGAAAGCAGAAGGTCTCGGCGTATCGAGCGCCGAATCAAACCCTACCGAAGCCAACAATGCCGAGGCTGAGAACACCTGTAAAATCTTCCGATTTTTACAACTACTGTGCGAAGGTCACAATTTAGGTCGGTGAATCGTATAAACATTAAGCATATCTTAAAGGCAAATAATCCTATGTTCGCATTACGTGTAAACAATAAAATTCGTTGTATAGAATTCCAGAATTACCTCCGCACGCAGCAAGGTAACACGGCTACCGTTAATTTGGTCATTTGCACTGTGGACTATTTGCTACGACTACAAGAATCCGTCATGGATTTCTATTGGCATTACTCTAGCAAGGAATTTGTTGATGCCGCGGTAACTATTGCAGATCTGCACAGTTAATAGCGAATTCTGTTTTTGCGATTTTATGATGTAATTTCGTCCAGGGAATTGTGGAGTTTAACCGCGCCATGAAGATTGCCGGGCAGGTGTTCAACTCTTTAACGGAATTTATCCAAGGTCCGTGTCCCGGTAACCAACTGACACTGGCGCATTCGAGATTGTGGGATGCTGTTGGCGGGTTTTTCTTCTTGTTCGCTCACATGACTGGTAAATTGTTTTGCAAATTTCACGCGGTGTTTTCTTTATGAACAGTATTGTTAACTTTGTTTTGTTTTGCAGATAAACTGGCCAAGGCCAAGGTAGTTTGAATTTACGCACACTGTAGGAAAAAATGTCAAGATCAGTTAGTGTTTTGTCTGTAGGAGACATCGCAGCTCGATATGCTGTCGGGATTTCTTGATTTGCAAAATGAGATGGTTACCATGTTGATTTCGATGTTGGAAGGTAATACACTGAATGGACCGATTGGCAGACAGATGGTGGACTCACTGGCCGAATCATCTCAAAATCTTGACGTAAGAAGCGCGTAATTTTCGCAGTTTTGTTGCTTGTTACCACCAAAATTTTGCTCGCAATAGATGATTATCAAGTTCTTTGATATCTTCTTGAAACTGGAAGAATTAGTCAACTCCGCCAGCTTCCAGGAGTTCGATCCGGGTCATACGGGATGGATTACGACACAGGATCTGAAAAAGGCCATGGAATCGCAGAAGATCTATGATGCCGAACAAGTACGTTGCTGCAAGTAGTACAGCGTAGTACTCTTGCGATTGTAGGAACTTTGGCGTTCTCCTTACGGTATAACACAACTGAATATCGGACATACTTTATCGGTATGCAGTCATTTCGACATACAGACTGTTCGACATTTGAAATGGAAATACAGTCTGACTACGCCAAGTTCGGGCAGTTAAAAAATTCTTGGTCTCTAGCAAATTTCTGTGTCATGTTTCTATACCGGAAGCTAAAGTCCAAAGCGAGCCATAGTTATTTTACTTTAATTTTTTCGCGAAAAGCGCACAAAATACAAAATAATCTTGTTTAATCAACAGAATTAAAAAAGGTTCGAGCGGCTGGTTCGACCTTTTCTTACTTTCGTTTAAACACTGAAATCATGCCAAAATATATTAGTGCTCTAGCCAACCGCGTTTTTGTTAGGTATGATCTAACTTACAAGTCTACACACTCTTGTTTCAACCTCACCACGAGCTCGGATCGCGCAAGGTTCTGATGCTGACCGTCAGGGGATAACTTTTTGGTCACTGGATAGTTTTTAAAAAATTTCACACAAAAATATTTGTCGTCTAATTTCTTAGAGGGCCCGTTATAAACGTCATGAAAATGACCGATATTATCTCTCGTTAAGCACCCCTTGGTTCCTAACTGACATATTTGAAAGGTTCATTCTAAATACAGTTTAGTATAACTGAATCAGCAATAAAAAGAGGCATTTTTCGAAGTGCTAAATGGTAGACAAAACGTCGTACAGAAATATTATCTAATTTGTTTACGCAACTGTCCGAACTTGGCGTAGCCACCCTGTATATTACGGTGTAAAAATTAAGTTGTCAAACGAAATGTAAATTTGTGACACCATAGTGACATTTCAGTAGTAAACGTAAACAACATTAATGGGCATGCCGCAACGCTGCACAAAATAGCTTTCACTTCACCTAACAGCATTCGTTTAGTCATTTAGCGATTTTTAGATGTTCGCATCGATTTAGTAAAACAAAATTACTTTCGAAGGTCGCCTATTTGCTGGCGTGCGTCTCGAGCCAAGACGGTAAAGTGGATTATATCGAGTTCACGGAACGATTCAGTGGACAAGCACAAGATATCGGTTTCAATTCCGCCTTACTGCTGACCAATTTGTCCGAGCACATTACCAACGACGCGCGTTTACAGCGCATTCTGGACGTAGCCGACAGTATGTTGAAGTCGTTTGAGAATAAACTCGGTCGCATTGAGATCATCGGCGGCGCACGCCGCATCGAACGTGTCTACTTCGAAATCAGCGAACAGAACCTGCAGCAGTGGGAGAAACCGCAAATTAAAGAGTCAAAACGCGCTTTTCTCCACAACGTCGTCAATGAATCTGGCGACAAAGGGAAACTGGAGATTTTTGTGGATTTCTGCGAGGATGCTATCTTTGAGATGCAGCACGCCGCGAGCATTTCCGTCAAAGAGCCGCCGCCCATGAAACAGGCGCTGCCACCCAGTCTGGATTTAATTGAAGTTGAGTCGACGTGGGAGTCGACCAAGAAGCTGCTCGGGAAGGTGATCGGCGGTGTGAAGAGTATCGTGCACACTCTGACACCAGGGAATGTCCGGCGGAAGGTGGCGAGATGGAAAAGGATGACCTATCCGCAACTGGCTTGGGCCAGCTTTAAGGGATTTCTGTGGATGGTCTATTACATTATTTATTTCCAGATATTCGTTATGAAGTATGATCAACAGTACAAAATTTTGTGTTTGAATGGTTTACGTCAAATTAATTGAAAACACTCAAAATACCATCAGAGCTGCTATTAACAGAATACTACTCAGTACTCATCTATCTGTATAGGTACCTAATATCTATACTCGTATGTAAATACATATGCGATCAAGATTTACATTGCCGTAAAACAACATTAGGCGCGATTCAAGTATTACGTAACGCAATTTTTCGTGATTTTGGACCACCCCCACCCCTTGTAACACCGCATAACAAAATTTTCGACCCCCTAACTGCATACGTAACAGAGAGCCCGACCACCCCCATATTCAATTTCAATTAAAATATATTAATTTTTTTCGTTTTTTTATGGGGTGTCGGCCCGCACGTAACAAAAATTTTTGGACCCCTTACCCCATGTAACACGGCGTAACAAAAACCCATGACCACCCCCCACCCCTTAGCGTTAAGTAATACTTGAATCGCCCCTTATTGCAGATTGTGCACTATTCTTCTTACAGACTTTTTTTGGATCAGTGCAAATAATTTTTTGTTGAAATATGAGAATTTTTTTTAGTTTAGTGTTGAATGGTATTTAACCAGCACTGTAGTTTGTGTAACTGCATAATTAACTTCTGCCGGGTTTTGCAGAACGACCGGCCGATTTTTACTGTACATGATGACCGGTTATTCCTTCGACTCCGCAAAAGACACCGCCACCGAATCGTCTACGACTGCCCCTGCGAAAGCCCCCGATTTAAACCCCCGCAATATCTACGGCATGTCGAAGGCTTTCAAAATGGAGGACGCCGGAGCCGGACCGGTCTCCGCCTTCGGGATTAGTCTGAACGCCAATGCGGCCCCGGTGGACGACGTAGAACATGTGCCGCATTACGATGTCATCCACGAGACCATCCACTCCAACGGATCCATCCCGGATTTCGAAGAGCAGAAAATCGTGCCGGGACGGAAGCCGGATGCCCTGTTGGCGATCCGGGAGGGCACGGGTGAACTGGAAACCGCCGAGGTGGAACTGGCCAGCCTGTCGCCGCGGCTGCATCATGCGGTGGCGGGCGAAGATGAAAATACCGGCGCAGCGACGGCGCTGATCCAGGAAAGGAAGGAAGCCGCGGAGGAAGAAGCCACGGGCGAATCCAAATCCAGTTTTGGCACCTCGTTTAATTCCATGCTGAACTTCTTTGCACGGAATTTCTACAACTTCCAGACCGCGGGCTTGGGCGTGGCCTTTTTGATCAACGCCATCCTGTTGTGTTATCGGGTAAGTATCTATTATTTTTCTAACTTAAATTTCCTAGCGCCACTACATTGGATTTTTTGTCAGGTGACCGACGCCAGTGGCGGCTTGTCGTTCGATCGAAGTGATGAGGATGACTCCGAAAGAGTGGCAACGATTGCCACGGATTTGGAGAATGCCGGTGATAATGCAGGACGGGATGAGATTATTATGATTGATCAGACGAACCCGTATCAATATTACCTCGGAATTACTATCCGGCTGATGGCAATGGTGCATACTCTCGTGGCGCTGGTTAAATTGGCTGCTTATTATCATCTGAAGGTTAGAATTGTACGAAATTCTTCAGTATTCTTACGTTTTCTCAGGTTTCATAGACTTGCATTAGAGATACTTTTAGTTTTGCTTTGCGTGTAGGTTCCGCTGGCTATTTTCAAGCGAGAAAAGGAAGTTGCACGAAAGTTAGAGTTCGAAGGAATGTGGATTGCCAAACAACCAGAAGGATATTATCCAGATATGGATAACATCCGCTCCAGATGGGACGCGTTGGTGATAAGCTCCGAGTAAGCAAACTAATTGCAATTTTTGTTTGAAGACGGCTAACTGCAGAAAATTCACAGGGCTTTCCCGGAGAATTATTGGGATAAATTCGTCAAAAAGAAAGTCCTAGCCAAGTATAAAGAAACGCACGACATCGGAATGATCATGAGGACGCTGGGATTAAAAGTCACGGCTAATGAATTCGGCAATGACAGTAAAGATGCGGAAAGTAGCCAAAAGGCCGGACTACGGTCAATTGATTGGAAATATAGAATTTGGAAACTGGGTGTCATCTGCACGGATAAGGTACCGAAACGGCTACAAACAAAATTAATGGTACAGTATCAAAATAAATTTATTTTTTGTTTGCAGGCGTTTTTATATAACATTGCTTATTTGGTGTTCTCCATTTTGGGCAATTTTAACTACTTTTTCTTTGCCGCTCATTTGGTGGATGTGGCCAACATTTCTAAACCCTTGAGCACGATCCTGCAGTCCGTTACCCACAACGGACGGCAACTGCTTTTGACTGTCATGCTGATGAGCATTGTGGTATACTTGTACACTGTTCTTGCGTTTAACTTTTTCCGGAAATTCTACGTGCAAGAGGGAGAGGAAGAAGGGGAACCACCGGATGCAAAATGCCATAACATGCTCACCGTAAGAAAAACTACGATACGAAATTTAAAAAATTATAAATACATTACATTAAATTACGATACGAAATCTTTTCGTATCTTTCTTGAGAATCTTTTACAAATGATGGCGTTTTTGGTTAGTGCTTTATCTTCCATATATACAACGGTGTAAGAAACGGCGGAGGTGTTGGTGATGCAATCCAAGAACCGGATGGCGACCCTCTGGAGCTGCAGCGTATTGTCTTTGATATGACATTTTTCTTCTTCATTGTGGTCATCCTCTTGGCTATCGTGCAGGGTATGATCACATATTGTTGATGAGTGATATGGCGAATGTGAGTATACAAGGGTTGACAATGTTGTTCTAGGCTTGATTATTGATGCATTCGGTGATCTACGCGATCAGCTGCAGCAGGTCAGCGACGATATGGAGTCCAACTGTTTCATCTGTGAAATGGGCAAAGATTACTTCGATAAAGTGCCACATGGATTCGAACAACACACCCAACAGGAACACAATTTGGCTAATTATCTGTACGCACAAGCAGTAAAAAAACGATTGCAAATAAATTATTGTCGCCTGGCTAAAAAATGGATGTTCGCTCATTTTGTAATTAATGGTTCTCAGGACAGCATGAGCATAATTTATTTAAATTTTGTTTGGTGGTTATTAGGATTTTTCCATTTTATATGAAGTCTATACATATTTTCTTATGTGTACACTTTGTATATGTAGTATTCTGCATAAAATATAGATGTTATCTGCAGACTCGAATGTTCTCTGGCAGGTTTTTCTTAATGCACTTGATCAACAAAGACCAAACGGAATATACCGGTCAGGAGACGTACGTGTGGCAGCTGTATCAGCAGCGCTGCTGGGATTTCTTCCCCGTCGGCGACTGCTTCCGGAAGCAGTACGAGCAGGAGCTGGGAGCATAATAATGCGTGGGAAAGGATTAAGCGTCGCTTTATTGTCAAACCATGGAACCGTTTGAGTGTATAGTCCTAGTGATCTTTTTCCTCCTCCCTGTAATAAAACTGCAAAATCGGTTGAATTTTTTATTGGTGTGTCATATGTGCGCTCGGTGTGCAGTGTGTCAGGTTATGTAAATCCCAGGTGTTGTCTAACAGAGTGATATTGTAAGTTGTAAGTTTGTAACTTGTAACCATTTACAGAAGGAATAAAAAGTGCACTGTTTCGGTGGGCTGGATGTACGTGGTTACCAAATTAATCGCAATTAATTTTTAAATAATCGATGCAGCCATGCAGGCGAGCGTTTATGCAAAATCGCAATTATTGTATTATTTCTTCAACAAATAAAACTTACAACGAAAGCATACTTTTATTATTTATGTATAGAACTAATAGAAGTATCGAGGAAATGAGAAGGGAAAATGAAATGAGGAAATGAAAGTTCCAATCTGAAGCCTAAGTTCGCCTATTCCTTAATTTCCGTGCGGTTACCTTATCGCCTGCTTACCAGAGTCAAAGCAAAACAGCAGCCTGTGTACATACGAGTAACTTGGAAGTTGGCACTTTATAATAGTCTCACTCAATAATCTTCAACTTCCTGCACGGGCTGGCAACCCCGAGGAGAGGGGGAGTGTTTCAAGCAGCGAATAAGAATACGTCTCCCAGTTCAAGTTAACAACGAAGATTGAGGGTGATTTCCAGTGTTTTGCGCGTCCGGAGTTGTCCCTTTTACGGGGTAGTTAACGGAGAATCAAAAAAACTTTATTGTACTGACAAAATATTATTATATATATTCTAAAACTTTACTACTTACATAGTATGCTTATGTGCGCGATAGTATGAAAGAATCAAAAATTTACTTTTGGAAAGTTAAAATTTCTTGAATAGTTATGATGTGCTTCTGTTTACGGAAATGCATGAAAATAAATTTTTGCCTGTCTATGGCATCAAAGTTGAAAATTGACTTCAAACTTTAGGTTAGTTTGGTCGGGCCTGTCGGGGTACGTCCACGGCGAAGCTTTACCAGCTATTTAGCTGGTCTACGCCGTAGACCGTAGTTGCAATTCCGAAGAGCACAGCGACCAATAACGGCGCAAGGCGGGGCCAATCAGCTCCACGGAGTTGCATCTCCCTGCAGGGAGTTGAAGATTGAGTGTAACTAATATACGAGTACAGTATATATATACCCTAATACAGCCTTACAGAAGGTACTGTACAAGTTGCAGTTTTAACTTTTGAATTTACAAATTAGTTCTTTACTCATTTGTTTTGACTTTTCAATTTTTTGCTGTTTTCCGGATGTATGGGACTAACGGAGTGTCTCAGATTTTGTGCTAGATCATGATTGCTAATAGGATCATCTCTCAAACTGCATCGCTCATTTCCCGATGTTGCGCCATACCGTCACTCATCACACACTTGGACGGAGTGTGCACCGCGTACGCGTGGGTTCGGAGAGTCCACGCACGTGCCCGAAGGAATCTCCTGGTTGTGGAGCCTATCATTCAGAACGAACAGTCTGGAGGGAGTGACGAGAAAGACAGTGCTGCTGACTGCACCCATATCAGCTGGGATAATGCAGCCGAACCGGAGAAAGGTCGGAGCACGCGGCCACATGAACCTGTGATGTGCAAAGAAGTCCTGGAAGTCTTCTGGAGACTGGATAATCTTTCAGGTATAAAAAAGCAACTACGATTGTTTCAGTCTGAATTTATTCAACAGTCAGAATTTATTCAATTTATTTATTTCAGTCTGTTAACAGCTTGTATTTTATATAGATATTTTTCGTTTGAAAGGATTTTTTTAAGAAAAAATGAATTTGTTCCAGGGGAATTTTGAATCTGCAGTGTCAGTGTAAAGCATTTGTTTTCCCTGCGTACAGATCCCGATTTAACGATGATATTTTTTCTATATACTTAATCTGTATAAATAGGAATTTTGTATAAATATTTTAATTTTTAAAAATTTTTTTGTTATTGTTAAATCGCGAAATATGAGCCAACTGCTGCTGGGTGCCAGGCCAGCAAACCGAATAATATTAACTGTAGAATGAATTTTTTCCAAGATAATTATGCAGATTTTCAATTCCTTTTTTCCTTCATACCAGATCCCGATCTAACCATTTTGGACATGACATTCGGTGCCGGCGGGCATTCCCGTGCCCTGCTGGAGAATTTCCCCGGGTGTCGAATCCTGGCCCTGGATCGTGATCCGTCCTGTCGGGGGTACATGGACGATCTGGCCGCCGACTATCCCGAGCAAGTGATCCCCTTAATGGGGCGCTTTAGTGATCTGCCGGATCTGCTGAAGGGGATCGGTCTGAAGAAGCCCCTTGATGGTATCCTGTTGGACGCCGGTTGCTCCTCCATGCAGATGGACCAGGGGGCGCGGGGCTTCGCGTTCAGCCGCCCCGAGGGGCCGCTGGATATGCGCATGGATGCGGGACGGGATCCTGCGCAGCCCACCGCCGCGGATGTTGTTAATCGGATGAATGAGGAGGATCTGGTGACGATCTTCAAAAAATTCGGAGAAGAACCACAAGCGGCGAAAAGTGAGTGGGAGATTTATGAGCTTGCGTTGAATTTGTTTTAACTCATTGTTATCGGATCCATTTTTCAGTCTGGACTGAGTATTTTTGTTGGCTTTAATAAAATAATGTTTATACTTTTTTTGGAAATAACCGGAGATTTTTATGTGGTCCTCCACATTCCCACGACTACGACTGCAGAAATGTTATGGAAAATGTTCCAGCGTGTAACGATTACTGAAATGAATTATTTTAGCTCTGAATAGGTATGTAATGAAAACTTCTCTCGCTAAAATACCTGTTTTTGCTGAGCCAGAAATGAAGAGCTGCCTTTTTTCTGCTTAATATGGAAATTGTGTAAAAAATATTTTAAAACACTTGAAATTGTTAGGTTTTGTAGAACGTTTGCTGCATGACAGGTTTTTTTTTAAATTGTAGTTGCTCGACACATTGTGGAAAAACGCTTCATGATGCGGACAATTCGGACGACGGGTCAATTGGCGGATGTGATTGCGGGAGCGGTTTACTCTGAACGCCACGATAGGATGGGTCGCGTTCAGCATCCAGCTACCAAGATATTTCAGGCCTTGAGGATTTTCGTTAACGATGAGCTCAACGAGTTGGACTTTGCCATGGCGCTGGGGCATCAGCTGCTGCGTCCGAAAGGAATTTTTGCGGCCATCACTTTCCACTCACTGGAGTGTCAGATCGTTAAGATGCATTTCCATAGTGCGGATTGGAAAGACAAGTAAGGCAAAAACAGGACAAGGCCAGACTTACAAAAAATTAGCAGGAAACGAAACACTTACTGTACATGAAAAATTATCCAGAACGATAAAGTTTGGAAGTTTAACTTTGCCGTTTTCATGCAATCGTCATTAAGCGTTGTAGTTCTTTTCAGTTGTTTTTTACTGTTTATGTTTTGGTCAGTTTTTACAATACGAAGAATTGTTTTTCCCAATTTCAGACTGCGTCCGAATGCTTTAAACCCGCAGATTGCTCGTGCGTATCGCACGCATGCGCGTTGGCTACCCAAAGAAGAGTTGTTGGATACGATGGAATTCAAATGGCTCCAATTAACTAAAAAAGCCGTACAAGCGTCCAGGGAGGAAATCGAATTCAATCCCCGAGCGCGGTCGGCCAAATTAAGAGCCGCCATGAAAATTGATGTATAAAGCTTCGGTTGTCAGAACTGTGCTCCCGGTTGTAAAAATTTACTGTTTTCTGTACGTAAGAAACTGCTTCCCAAAGATATACAGTATGAAACGGGTAAAAACGAACTCGAGAAAAAAGAGAGCATGACCCAACGTTAACGTTATGACGGAATAAAGCAAACAGATACAACAGGCAGGTTTGAAAGACATGGTTCAATAGAACGCTAAAATAGACCACGGATCATCATAAAACAACGTAAAACCGATAAAACCAACAAAAGAAAAAATTTGGGTACAACGTTTTGGCACCAAAAGAACGAGCAAAACTATCAACTTATCAAGTAGGTAAAGTTATATGCCGTAGTCTTCTCTCTGGTTTTTCGCGGGATTGAGCAGTTGAATCCAATCAGAGCTTCAGAAGGGAGTGCTAGCAATCTGAATTTCATCATCCCGATTTCGCCGCCATTGATTCGGACGATACTACATAGGAAATGAAATGCACTAAATACATGCTAGCAACTACTGTCTATGCAAACTGTTTTCGATACCATATCGATGCTTCTAAACTAATTATAATTACCGCAGCGGAATTAACTGAACTTCCGGTCATTGAGTAAGTACTCGTAAGTCAAAACATTTACAGTGCATTACAGGCATGTATGGATACAAGGATTGACTAAACTTTAGTTATCACATCGTGTGAATTCGCTGAGGTTTATTACGACGGAATGTAACTTCAACCGAAAATTCTTTAACAAAGACGAAGAAAAAAGCAGCCAAATAATCTCGGTTGTTATTGTTGACACATATGTTGCATAATTTGAGTGTGCGTATGCAGCCTATCCTTAGTACTATCGGATCAGAAGCACTCACTTTAATTAGCCATTGCCCGGAAGGCGTTTGTGGCCGTAAATACGCGTACACCACCCATCCCAACGCGGCCGTCACAGCCACCACGACCAGCACAACCGCAATGGCCACGGCATAGTTAGTCGACGGCGGCGCTGCAAATAAGAAAGAAGCCTATTAATCTTATCAGTGGCATCCATCACACCGTCCGCCGGGATTCCCCCACTTACGCGCCGTTTCCTGAGAGGCAGTCAGGGGACTGGGCATACCGGGCGCGGTGCTGCCCGAGACATTGCTGCCCAGCATCGTATACTTGGACTTGGCCGATAATCCCCCAGCGGCCGGACCGGGATTGGCCGTGGACGGAGCGGGACGATTACGCGATGATGTGGCGTAATCCGACATATCACTGCTGGCTTTTTTGAGCGGTCCCTCGGCGCTGCCGGTTTTATTGCCGCCCGGCTTGGTAATCGGTTTGGTCAGTTTAACGGTCATCTTGGGGGTGGTGGCGGCCGCCGCGAGAGGGGCTGCTAAAGATGCGTTGCAGGTGGTATTGGAGGCCGACACGTGACAACCACCGGCATACCATTCCTGTAAAAAAACCCGGTAAATTCAATTTGAAAATTCAAATAAACTTTTCCAAACTCTCAGAAATCAAACATAAAATTAGAAAAAGCATTAATTAATTGAAGAAGGTTTTAAATACCTGATGAAAGCGATCGACGCCGTCGGAACACCGTTCCAACGCTTCACACCACATGCACCCAAGAGCGGTATGCCGTAAACAGCTTTCGCACGATGTCTGTGCAATACAGGCTGTAAAAAGCACAAAGGCACTACTGAACAACCGACCGCAACCTCAATCCATACAGATGTATTGAAATTGATGAATAATCGATGACAACTATTACGGCATTTACTTGGGAGAGCCTCAAGGATCAATGCGGTATTATTGGCAATGTCCCAAGTGTTGAGGGAAATACGATGGTACTCGTAGATGGTGCGGTATCGGATAACTGTCGAAAAAAATCACATCAGCTGGCCATGTTGCGGGTTAAAGACACAACAAGCGTGTTGGCTTCACAAAGAGTGTGAGCCCGGCGAGAAGAGCAAGGCACATACTGAAACGTTGCCGATCAATCATATATGCATCGGATATGCCAACTTTGACGGGATGGGTTTCGTTGGGCACACTAACGATGGAAATCGGGACCTGCGATGTTGCGAACAGTGTTATTTACGCCTTAACATATTTTTGCACATTGAAATTCAAGTACATTATGCCTTATAATTCATCGAAATGTATTCGTAATTACGCACCCCCGTAAAAAGCAACTTCAAATTACGAGTTAAGAGCTGCGCTATATGCGCGCTATGTGAGACTTTGTGAGTTGCGCTATATGCGTCCCAATTTAACGGGAAAAATATCGGAAAGAATTAGAACGATGGGAATTAATACACAAATGCAAAATATTTTGCTATATGACAGCGATTTCCAGATGACATCAGGATACTGACTTTTCGCAGTATCACACCCCCACGATGCATCACACCCCCACGCCTACATGCTGATGCCGGTAAATTACCTGTTGGTAATAGAATATTATTGTACCATCGTCCTTTAAGGTCGCTTGAAACGTAAACGGTCCCACTGAAAACATCACACACTTCATTAGGCATTACGTGTTCAGAGCGTTGGCAGAAATTGCGCATTTATCTCGTAATAAAAACAGCATCTGACCTTCTTTCTTCTCGTGCAACACCACATTCTCCCATTCGACCGTCAAGGATGTCCCATTGTCCAGATACCTGACGCGTGAATCATTGCGGACCAGCAGATCAAAGTCGGCCATTAGCGGCGCGATGTACTGTGTCGCCGCTATCCAGCTGTGATCGGGATTCCCCGTATAGAGGAAACCTGTTTTCGCATGCAAGACAGTCACCACAAAATCATACTACCGTAGCAAATCATTTCCGATGTCGTTTCAACAGACAACAGGATGAAATCGTTATAAAAGGTCGAGGAAAACGTGACTTACCTCCGGTAGCTAATGTCAGGTTGTTTAATCGATATCCATAGAACGGAAAGGTGAAATTCAGCGTAATTCCCTGAAAATCACATGTGCAAGGCTTTGCAATAACAACAGTTATGTATTTCATGTAAACAGCTAATGAAGTCAAACAAATTAGCGTCATACTTAAACCAATTTCAATAGCGCGTAAAAAGCAAGTACTCTTCAAAATCGATTTATGGATCAGGTTCCATACTCTAATTATTTATCTGTAGTGTTTAGTATCCAATTTTAACAAATATAACAAACTAAATACGATCCTCACTTTAAATTTACAGCATTACTTGTACAACTTTCTCGATCCATTAAGGGCTCAACTATAAAATTACAGTATCTACTGACATACTTAACGAATTAAACAAACATCTTATTCAAACATGAAGCCAGGTAAAAATTTCCGAACATAAACATGATACCTTAAACCTGTGTGCAAGTGTGCAACGTTCAAAAAAACCACAAAACAAACATACTATGCGGTAACAAAGTGCCGACAACCTATAGCATGAGAAGTAAGTAAAAGACAGTAAGGCAGTAAGATAGTCATGGCTTACAGCCATGATTGACGTTAATTTATTTGTAGACAAACTTAATATGCAAATAAACAAGCCCGACAGCATACGACAACCTTTTCACAGCCATATGAACACATGTCAGGCAAACACCACCGGTTTTGAACATGCAAATTAAGTTGTCACTTATTTTACAGAGCTGTCTTCGAACATTACCATCACCACATGCACATAAAACTTATTTCCTATCAACCAGAAAATAAGGAAAAATTGTGCTAAATTATAAAGAGATTATAGTTAAAAAAATATGCATGCGTATGCGTAGTGCGCAGTCAAAAATATGAAATCTGCTTTTAACTTCACAGAGCACTGAATAATGATTTATGATAAATACGCTTCAAGCTGAAGAAAAACACTAAAGCTTCTCTAATAACACTCGAAATATAAAAAAAAACGCAGGATGCCAGTCAATAGGTGACTTAAACAAATAAACGTGGTCAACCTGGGACAACAAAATTCATGAAAATATTTTCATAGCAACGTGGAACTGGGCAGTGAAGTATTGACATACCGCCGCTTTGAGATGTGCTTTCGATAAACCGTCATGATTTACGGTCCCATTGTAACGGTCCAAATCAACATAATACGATTCGGCACTGTGATTGTAGAAGGAAACGTTGTAATAAATGTGATGTTCCTGTATAAATAAAAACAATCAATAATACGATTACGATGATGCAGGAATTGAAGGACATACAGATACAGTACAACCATACAACACTCACGCAACGTTATTACCAGACAGATACACAAGATATTTATTTAGCACTTCCACCGACGAAATCAAATTGCACATAACGAGTGATTAAACGACCAACGACCAGCTTGTGGCAGACAGGAATTTACCCGAATTATTTAATCTAGAAAAAATCGAATGTCATTTTATTACAGGGAAAATTTTTACGCTGAACGTTTCGATTAGAAATTCAAGCAAAATAAAATGAGTGTGTAAAAGCTCATTTGCTCCAATTTATACCAACTCAAAATGTAGAGTAGTTATTCTGTTAATTATATAGAAGTACAGTACAGTATTTACCTCATATCCTGATAAATTAACCGGCGCTCCTAATAAGGAAGTATTCTTATCCAGCGGCACGACATCTTCGGGTAGATGCACGGGAGGAGCGTCATCGTTAAAGCGACTATTCTGCTTCTTCAACGTGCTGGAAACCTGCCGGACGAAACGGGTTTCCACCTGGTCAACAAGCCCATCCGACTCAATGGGGACGAAGCTTTCTTCAGTTTCCAAACTTTTCTCTGTAAACCCATAATTATCGGTATTCCGTTATATCATCACCTTGTTAATGGGAACAGGAGAATATACGCACGAGATTCCCAAAGATATCCCCAAGAATAATCACAAAAAGATATAATGATTAGAGCCGCGAGCGTCCAGTAGAAAAACAAAGATAATCGCGACATTTACGGTCAGATTAAAATAATTTAGATGCCAGATAAAAACCGACAGCCGATTATTTCGCTATAAACACCCGCGATGAATTTATCAATAATCACATTATCGTATGATGCAAGCTGAGCTGCGAAGAAATACGATCCGAAAAAGAAAACATTCCAATGCGAAAACACATATGAAGGCATTTAGGCAGAGAGAGCAGCCGATCCGATCAGACTCATAGGGATACTGCAAAGCGAAAGTGTACGTAGAAGTAGTGAAAATGAAAGCTGTGCTGCACAGTGTACGGTATGTGTAATGCACTGGTTGGTAATGGTGGGCGGTAGAGCGATGGAGCTGACCGGACATCCACCGTAGTGCAGTAGCAGTAAGTCTTGAACGAACACCTTAGTCCTTAAGCTAATTAGAACAATAGAATATAACTATTGTTGCTATTTTTAGCATAATTAATACAATTATTTGAATTTATCTTTGACTGCTTGCTGTTGTACAGACTGAAAGACTGTCAAATACAACTACAATATGAAGCCGGAGGATGGGCGATCCGGGGATGCGCTCATATATATCGCCTTGAAAGCATCAATGTCGGCTTACCAGGACGTGTTACACATCCGACCAACGTAGTGTTGTGTCGCCGCCTTGAAGACAGGATAATAATTCTGCAGTGTGCTAATTTCTCTGCCTCTATGAAAAGGCGTCGTTCATGAGGATGAAAAGCGATCCGACTGGAGGCAGGACAAGACAGCAGCGGCATATAACCCAAGAAATTATTTTATTTCTCTGTAACTACATGCTGCCCCGTTCCATGCCAATAATTTTATATGTCTTTAATAATTTCTGTACCATACGGCATACATCGAATAGTGGTGACCACTGGTCAGAGTACACGCGCGAATTCAAATTTACAGAAAATGGGCAGCCTGGGTAATTTCTCGTGCTTTTTCACAACTGGATAGAGGCACAAAAAAACACTGAAATACAGTCAACACTGAAATTGAGTTTAGCTTTGACTTTTCAGTTCGTAACGAAATCTCCTTCTTCTTTTGGGTATGTGGGATATGTATTGTAAAGTGCGCATGCATTGTCAGTGTTAAGAATTTTGCACAACGTTTCGGCAGGACGTTTTATGTCGCACTTATTAGTTACTGCCGTACGAAAAGTGAAAACAGTTACTTGATAAAAGAATAAATTTATTCAATATTAGTTGTTGTCTCGTGGTTTTGCAAAATGGAACTGTGGAAGTCCTGGTATGCTGCAACGTTAACGTAGGACTTAATTTAAGCAACCAAGTAATATTACAACGAGAAGCACCAAAGCGTTGCGTCTGAAAATCAGTTCCACCGAGTCACTAACTGCGTTACACATTTTATTACAGTACTTTATTCAATTCCATCATAATTATCAACAAGGAACAATCTAGTGTTGTGCTACTAAATAAAATTAAATAACGGCCATTTACTTAGTAAAAGTCCGCCTAATATTAAAAGTCTAGTAAATAGTAAGGTTTTGGAAACAAAGTTAGTAAAAGTAAGCAAATGTGTTGCCGGAATAGTAGAAAGTAAGTAAATATTAAGGTTCAGTGCTGAATAAATGAAGATCTTTTACTAAATTATTTACTAATTCGTTTTATCAGCGTTACGGAAAATTGGCGTGTCAGCCGCCGCCACTCGCAGGTAAAGTGGGTGTGCGCAGTAGTCGGCTGCCAGCCTGCCGCCCTCAAAAGCAGCAGTATTTACTTTTCAGTATGCACCTGTATAGCTCGATTAATGCATAAGAAATTTATCTGCAATTTTCAGCCGTCTTTTGCGCTTTGAAACTAAAGCAATTCGAAACTTTCAATGCTAAATTACATTTATTTAGTAAATTTACTTTAATTTAGTAAGTAAATGTCCTTGGGAAAATTGAAATAAAAAGTAAAAGTAAGTAAAAGTCCCGAAAAATTTTGAATAGTAAGTAAAAATAAGTAAACTTTCAAAAGCCGATAGTAAAAATAAGTATACTGGCAAGGACTTTTACTACCCAACACTAGAACAATCCGATGTACTTTGGCAAATTGCAAGCCCATCGTCAAAAAAAAGGACAATCATCAATCAGTCAGGAAAAGAAAATACTGAACTATCGCGTCGTTAATTATACTATTAACAAAAGAAGATCTGAAGAAACAATTTGGCACATATGTGCAGTCATCGGTCCATCTATGGAACGCTGGCCGTAAAAAAATCACGAGAAACTGTCAGGAAAACCGAGCCGACCACATCGTTTTCATATCCTGTACGGTCAACTCAAGTTTCCGGATCTTCACTAGTCATCGATTCTCCCACCGCCGCAGCTTCCTCTCCTGACGCTCGGTCCATACTACCATTAACCTCATTTTCGTTAGTATCTATCGAATCGCGCAATGGATTGCCGTTCGAACTCCAGCCGCTCCATCCGTGCTTCTGTTCCATGTGGCGGCGTAAGTCCGGAATCTGTCCTCCGTTAAAGCCGTTTTCCGAGCACAAGCTGCAGTGCAAGCGCAGCTGATACTTGGGATACTGCTTCAAGTGCTCCTTTCGGAAGTGCTGATGCATGGTATACATACTCATAGAAAGATAGTTCGGCACGGAGCAGTTCGGCACGGGACAACGAGCTTTTTTCTGCACAAACAGTAACAAATACACCACTAACTTCGCCAAAATTTAAAAATATTTGCAGAATAACCAAATAATTATCTTCACTAAAAGGAAATCCAAATTCTGATAAGAAATTTGAAGAATTTAGCATGAATCAATAAAAATCGTTGAAATCGTATTAACGGCAATAACTTACAGCGTCCCATTTTACGTCAAAAACGATTGGTTCCTTTCTTTCTTCGACCTGCGCTGAGCCATCCGAATCCTGACCAGTGTTTCCGTTCACTCCAATATCACCCAATTTTCCGCCTGCAAATAATAACAGATATAAGGAAATGCACTACCGAAATGCATCAATCCGTTTCTCACTGTCTGGCTCCATGGCATCACGCACAACATCCGAAGTATCCACCTGAAGTACAGGTTGACTGTACATCGGTTCATCCAGAGATTCCTGTGCAGTGACAACACTCTTGCGAACGTTCGTCTCAGAATGCTGTCGTGAGCGTTTGGCTCTACTAGCTGCAGAACCCTTAGGTGGGAGGTACGACACACTCCGCTTGCGGCCTTTGGTCTTGGCTGGTTTCGGCGCATCTTCGGTACTGTTGGAGTTCGAATGCAGTGAGGCCGCGCGCTCGTCACTGTTGTCACTGGAGGAGGGCTCCATGGGTGCCGGTGGGCGAAGCGGGGTGCGCTTTGTTGTCCCATACTTCTTATTACCAGAACGACTATAAGTACGGGCCTTTCGAGTCTTAATGGTCTCCAATCCGCCGCTGTTCTGCAGCCGCCGAGGAGGGGCTGCATTACGCGCATTACGGCGACGTAAGTCATTTTGCGACGATGTTTCCGCTTGTCCAGATTCATTTCCCTGTGAGTCACCAAAGGGAGGTACGAGTGGTGATGCCGATGTTGCATCCAATTCAATCACACCGCTGGACGTCTGCATCGAAAAAAACTGAACAGTACTCACGATGCGAAATGTGGTTTACCGACGACCAATACTAATAATTTTTATTAGGTTATGCGCACATTTCGATTTACCCGGATGCGAGTATAGCTATACGAGGCGTGTGTCCCTTACTTAGATAGAGCACATTTACCTTACCATACTTAGATAACTGTGCCCGTGTTGTGCACTCAATGTGCACATCTGTCAACCACCCAGAGATGGCAACGCTAGGGCAAATTTGAAAAATGTGTTGATTCAGCCGTTGATAATTTCAGGTGCTCACATCTCGTGAATGAGGGAACAAAACTGTTCAAGCAATATCTCAAAAGATGCAGAAAAAATTCACAAGATTTTTGATACCAAGTAATATGGGATTTAGAGCAACTGAAACAAGTTGTAGCCTTTTGAGTTTCTCGTAGACACACTATAGGACCTCTTCGTGGACCCCTTCAACGTAATACTCACTATGCTAAGTCTATGGGAAACAGAAATGGCTCTAATTTATTTCATCCGCTCTAAATCCTGACTTACTTGGTATCAAAAAACTTATGAATTTTTTCCACATCTTTTGAGATATTGCATGAACAGTTTTGTTCCCACATTCACGAGATGTGAGCAATTGAAGTTATCAACGGCTGATTCAACAGATTTTTCAAATTCTCCCTGACGTTGCCATCTCTGGGTGGTTGACAGCGCTGAACAACACGGGCACAGTTATCTTAGGCCTTGTCCCGAATTCGAAGCGAATCTCGTTGCGATACAGCAACTCCACCTCGCGAGGTGGCTTCGCGTACCGTATCTGTAGGCGTGGCCACTGCAAACAGCCACCTCGTGTGGTTGAGCAACCGTACCATAACGAGATTCGCTTTGAATTCGGGACGAGGCCTTAGTATGGTAAGGTAAATGTGCTCTATCTAAGCAAGGGACACACGCCTCGTATAATCAAAAATGTTGGTTTGTACCTCGTCGATCAGCACAGCGCTATCCTCGGCCATTTCCTTGCACATGGCAACCGTAATGCGGATATTACGAATCTGATCCAGCTGGAACTTCACCGACGGATAAACTTCCGCACGCGGCGCCACTTGCTTCACACTCGGTCGGTTTTCCGTACCAAGAAAGCGCACTACGGAAAAATATGCCAACACAGTAGGGGCCAACTGATCACCAAATGGATAGAAGCGTTTTCCGGCTTACCATTATGCAAGGACACCGTGCGCGTGCTTTCATCCAGGTGCTTCAGTGTGCCTTCGTAGCGAATCTGGGCGCGGGAAATAAAACTGGCCTGCGGTTTATCATCGCGTCGCGTATGTTCCGCCAGGACTTCCAGGGCAATGGGAATATCCAGCAGGGCGCCTTCGGTACTCAGGGTGGGGCCAGCGGCACGTGGACGGTCGGGTGGGCTGGGGAGAATCACGGCTTCCTTGTTGTTGGGCAGTCGGACGGTGTGCCACAGAATCGGCACCACAGCCTCTCCGCTCTATACAGAGAACGTCCATTTGGTATTTTCGGTTACAGTACTTTCCAACTTTACATATATAACACAATTTGGGCAAGCTGCAGTACTGTAGTTGTTTTAAATTCTTGTTAAGATACCTGGTGGTTCAACGGTTAGTTGTGCACTGCGAATGTGCAATTTAAATTCGATAACTTCACTGCCGTGAAATTAGGCAAAAAATTTAATTTTAAAAATTACTCAAAAGGATAATTTCCACAGAAGTAACGACAGAAGCCACAGCCGTCCCAGACACAATTCGTCTATTTACTTTCTAAACACGGCTTTACAAACCGACTTATAAGTCGGAAGTGCTGCATGCTGCTACTGTAGTCATTGCAAATCGAAATAATGGTAGAAGGAAAAAAGCTTTACAAAAGTTGTAAAAATGCTTTACAGAAAAACATAGGGCACATTGCTAAAGGTACTGTACCTCGAGAACCGCTGAGTCCATGATCACTTCCGGATTCGTCTGGATGTGAGCGAAAATCTCTTTGGCTTCGGATAACTGCAGCCGGATACAGCTATACACTTCCAATCGAGCCGGTGCAGATTTATGGGTGCGGCGAGATTCGGTCCCACAAAAGCGCACTGTAAAACACAAAGAGCAGTCATCTCAGACTACACATCGCAGACACAGTACCTGCTACCTAGCAAAGTTAATAAGCAAAATGGCACACGAAACATACCCAATCATTTCGACAATTTTCACTTTTCTTTTGAACATTATATGTTTCATGTTTGGATTCAATTTTAAAACTTCTAATTAGTTCGCACAATACAAATAAAAATTTCTTTGGCAACACCGACATGCCAACAACATGCAAGTTTTGCAGCCTTTCGTCTGAGTTTGTGACTATGACGGAGTTACCGTAGACGATGCGATGTTTGACACCAGTCAGTTTTTCCGAACTTCACCAGGAACACTCACCCTTTTCCAACGAAATCTCCTTGGAATCTGGGAAGACATCCTTTAACCAGCCTTCAAACCGGTTATCACTGCCTGTCACCACGCTGATTCGATGCTTTTTGTAGGACTCTAGTTCCATCTGTTGTGAAACGTCTGTCAACGACTGGGCCATCCTGCTCAACAATCAAGTACTTCATTAGTGTCTGTACTGCAGCATTCAGCAAACCCTGACTAACAGTTAAATCAGCCAGTACTATCGTTTGTTTGGGCTGGCTGTCAAAACCGCCACAGCCAGCAAACGTGAAGCGTCCTTCTATAATGTTTACAGGTTTACTGCGCTTACGTCCAAACCAAGGCTGCAACCTGGGACCCCAACAGAACGCGAAACCAACAATGTTCTGAACAGCGAATTCTGGTTAGTAATTTACAGACTTATTGATTCAAGCCATCTAAACGTGGCCAGGATCCGTAATCACAGTATGGAAGACGGAAGCCCCAAACTGCAATGGAACGATGGAAGAAATTGCATACAACTCAAAAACTCGCAGACACTGCTCGCTTTCAAGCGGGCCAGTGTGTTTGAAGCGCTGACTTTTGAGCATTATACAAGTACGACCACAACTTCCGGTGGATATCGGTATCAGTTACAGTTTAGGTTCCACGAAACGCAGTATGCCTGCATAAACGACATACTTGCACAGATGAGACAACATGCAAATAAACAGCCTACTCATATACATATAACATATCGCTTGTTCGTAAAAAATGACCGCCTTCCGACTTGTGAAATCAAAGAAATTTTTTGCAGTTGTAATGCATGGTAGTAGAGACTTTAATATTCACACGTAGCGAACATGCCGCACTTGACGGGTTAGTTCTTTGTCACCGAGTGGTCACTTATGTGGACTGCCAGCTGACATCTCATCCAAAAAACGAGTAATATAAAAACATCACGGCAGTTGTTTACGCCATAATGCAACACATCTTTTTGTCGGTTTTTTCATGTTGTTGGGAGTAATAATTTCACATTGCTACTGTGAACAGATGTATTAATCCGGTATCGTTAACTATTTAAGATAATAATGTTGATATACATAGAATGATTGCCAGCAGAAAAGGGAAACCCATTTTATATCGACTTTTGCAAGCCGGTTCTTATTCTTCCCAAGCTGCTTCAAAGCCAATTTTTCATTACGGAAAGCTGGGCGGAGTCTGCGGAGGACCAGGAAAAATTGCAGAAATAGTACTAGTCAAAAGCGAAATGCATTCGTCGTGCAGCTAAAGAAAATTAGAAGAACTACAGAATCTAACCAGATAGCAAGCAAGCATTAGAAAAAAGACTGAGTGAAAGAATTGTAGCACTAATTGGTAGGATAGTAGCGGTAGATCTAATAATGTCTAATACAGAGATTTGCCCTTGCAGTTGCAGGTGGCTTCGCATTGAGCCTTCATGCTGTCCATCATGGAATCGGCTTTGTCGCATCCGTTGGCGAAGAGAGCAGGATAGTTACCGGATGGGTTCTCACAGTTGGACAGCTTGTTTTCGTATTCGCAAGCGTTCGCTGTAATTGGTTAACATCATATATACCGGTACATGTTCAGTTAATAACGTGTTGCCATATATGTTACAAAAAAATTATATTAACCAAGGCTAATCAGAAACATTTAATTTATATATCTGGATTTCCACTACGAGTAATATATTTCACTGCCTGCCTCTAGTCCTGGCTCCTGATCACAACAAATTAAAATATTATACAGTTAATAATATATAATAATCGAAATAAAGTGTTAAAAATATACAGTTTATTTTTTTGGACAACAGCAAAACAAAATGCAAAGTACGTAACATATACTGATCATGCCCTTTCAAGTTATTGAACATGTACTGCTGCTTACTGCACAGTCCGTTTTCGCAAGCACCCTTGCAGCTGTCACATGGGTTTCCGGCATCGTATGGCTTCAAGTGGTTGGGATAGACGTTACCACTGTGATCAGTACATTCATTACAATTAATGTAAAACTGCGATTTGGATTATTTAACGATCACGTACCCTGGAGCATAATCGCAGACGAAGAAATGGAACTGTTGAGGAGTGCCGGCTTTGCACAGCTTGTAACCGCATCCAACAAAGCGGGAAGTTTTCCAGACCATCTGTAGAGCGTATGGATTAGTAAGCACTGTATTTGTGTGCGAATTTATCCGTTAGATCTAGACTTGTGCGTGCGTGCGTGCGACTTGTGAATTTATCCGTTAGACTTGTGCCTCTGACTGACGTATTGTAGTTATGCATAAATGCAATCCAAACGTTATTAATTATTAATATTATCGTTGATGCTGCCGAGTACGTATAAATGTACTGTAGGTAGCAAGTAAAACGTGCAGGTTATACATCTGCGTCGAATACTCTGAAACGAGTTTGCGGCCAGTCTTTATAACTTACGGCGGTGTAATGGCCGACGACTTTTCCGGTATCAACACCCCATTTGAAGTCCTTCTTTTCGTTGTACCACATGTCCATAGCTTGCTTCCAGGTCATGTCTCCACTGCCCATGGCGATGCTTTGACCGCAATTGGTGTCTTTCTTCACTGTTGTTAAATACAATAAAGCTTTATATTTGCAGTCCCATGAAAAAATTAATTGTGTAGAATAAAACGAGTCTAGCATATACTGAAAGTGATTATATAATAGTAAATTCTTACATAGAATGTTCAAGAAAGTTTTCTTTTCCTGATCCGTTGTGGGATGACGGAAGTCGCATTTGTCAGCCCATGCTTGAGCAATTTGCGATGCTTTGGCATGCCATTGCATGCGCATTTCGTTCTTGCCCTTGACCTCACGACGCTTCTCATTATGATAGTCGACAATAGTTTTTTGGACGGAACCACTGGCGGTGGCCAGGTCAGCGGCGCCTTTAACGGTACGTTTTCCAGCGTTCTTGCCGTTGAAGATCAGGCCTTCATGGAGGGTGCTCCCGGGATCTGGCAGATCGGGAACCGGCTCATGCTGATGGATCACGCGTTCGTTGGGGTTGATTTCTGCCTCCTCACCACCGGGAATTTGGGGGTTTTGTAGGTAGGTGGCACCTGAAAATATAATAAAGTCATCCAATCATACAAGTAAAAACATTGATATTATACAACAATTCATTGATTAAATTATTTAAAAAGCTTTATTGTTTTATATTTACGTATTAATTAACACCAACGAATCGTGGAGACTACCTTACAATCAGCTCACAACGGAAAAAATAGTGAAAGTTTTTGAAAATACAAGTAAAACACTTCTAAAGACTAATAATTAAATAATAATAAAATTGAAACACTTTAAAGACAGTAACAAAGACATTCGAAAAAGGTAGAGAAAATATAGCCATATGTTCCATAAAGCGAAGAGTGGTTCTCACCATATGCAACACCGATGAGAGCCGCAAGGGCCAACGCAACAGCGACCTTCATGCTTCTTTCCGGCTTGTACAGGAGAAAACTGTAGATAGAACTGACTGACACCCTGCCGCATTCCCTTCATATCGAATCGGCTTATATATCAGCTATCGATATTTTTTGCCCGTTTTGTGGTTATAATAGCAGATTTTCAAGAGTGTCAAGGACAGAAAAATCGCTGTCCATTGATGAGTAACCAGAAGAGTGTGTGCCGAATAATCACGATTTTGCCGCCGTTGTAATTGCAGATTTGCTGATAATGCTAGGGTGTGTACTTCAAAATCTGCATGCTGGTAGGCCGCGTTGTCTTCCCATATTTTATGAAGTGGACAGGTTAGACGACGCAAAACGTGCCGATAAAAATTTCTTCCAAAAAACACTTGTATTCTCGAAAACAGCTTCAGTTGATGGCTTCGGCGTGCCAAATTTACCAAGAGTTCGCAGTATAAAAGGCAATCGCGTTCAAGTTTATAAAAATTATAATCCAAGCGATTAAGTAATATCAAAGTAATATCAAAGACCATAACGGGTTAAGTAATATCAAAGACCATAATATTACTAAACTGAGTTTAGTAATATTATGGTCTGTATATTATAGTAATATTATAGTTTAGTAATATTATAGTTTAGTAATATTAAACTGCGTTTAGTAATATTATGCAAAGACACATGAACAAACGATTAAAGTATAGATATTAGACGCAGTAAATCTGTATAAATATCTGTATGTCGATATATCTTGGTAATATCTATACTAATTGTGGTTAAGTGTGTGCTTTCGATCATCCTGTGCCGGCACTGTACCGGGAACAATATCGAGAAACTCCGATAATGCATTCAGATATTATTGTTCTTGTTACCATTAGTAATCCTATATTTTAGTATTTCAATATTAATAACCGTACATAACAGAAACAATACTTTGTAATTAATGCAATTTGTAATTGGATAAAAACGTAACAAAAGCTTTTGCAATGTGTAATGAAAATGTGTTTCTGCTGTCTTAATACTTTTCACAAGTCAGTAAGTACATAATCTGTGCGATAAATCTGTACTACATAATTATGATCTAGTACGTAATCTGTGCGATAACATCTTGCATTCAGTTTTTGCAATAACTTAAGTACTTGAAGCGCTTAAAGTATCTTTGTTGATTTGTTACTGTTCCTAACTTTCTATGCAAATCAAAATTAATATAACAGACTGGATTGGCCACTGGTCAACCACTCACAGGCATCGGCAAATTCCATTCACTGAAACTTAACACCGGAGGCGTAAGCCATAAATTTTCATTGTATGCCGTCATGCGAAGACCATGAAAAGTCCCCACTTTCTTGCTAACTGATTGCGAATTTGCGGGGAAGTTGATTTGCTAGTTTTGTGGCTTGTTACTTGTGAGTACCAATAATATACCACGACGCGGTTACTGATTCTTGCAGATCACTGCAGTTTTTCTATATAGAAGCTCGCTGTTTGTTTATGTGGAGTTATAATCATCCAAGTAAGACACGTCTAAGGACTTTTTAATGCGACCGGAGCGACTCAGTGTACGACGTTCGTGAATTATTTATCGAGTCTACCATCGGTTAGCTCGATCGCGCAGACCTCGCACGCAACCGATTTGTACGATGCCGTTGTGCCGCGGACGTTGATACTTTATTGCTGGTCAATGGTCAGCATCCACCGGGGAGATGATGGACCCCTACGCCATCGTCGCCCTGACTTTCTTCATCATCAGCATCATCCTGGTCATCTTCCCCATCACCATCCCCATCCCGCGCACCCGTCTGCGTGTCATCCTCAACACTGCCACGGCGCCCCTGGTCTGCGTCATCATCCTGGCGCTGGCCCAGTGCATTCCCTTCTCCGTCTTTCGCGACGGGATTATGGGGGCCGAGGGAATTAAACCATACAACATCATGATCCTCTTCTTCTCCCTGGCCTACATGGCCATCTCCCTGGATCTCACCGGACTGCTGCAGGCGGCCGCGTTTTGGATCGCTAACAACGGCGGTCGCCAGGGCATCCGGCTGTACACATCATTTTACCTCTTCTCCACACTGCTCAGTATTATTCTGGGCAATGATCCGGTTATTCTCTCGGGAACGGCGTTTCTGGTGTACTACACCAAGATCGCTGAATTGGATCCGTCGGCATGGTTATTCGCCGAATTTGCCAGTTGTAATATCGGGAGTATGGTGCTGTTTGTGGGGAATCCCACCAATTTGGTATTGTGTGAGGGATTTCAGCTGCAGTATTTAACCTACACGGCGTATACAGCACTGCCGTTTCTCGGCTGTATTGTCGCCGCATATATCGCGCTGCTGGTGCAGTTTTGGAAAAGAATCCCCAAACAAATCGTCGCACCGGAACTGGACGCTCGGTCCGTACTTTTGGATCCGATCAGTGCGGCTGTCGGATCCGGGATCCTGTTGTCCTGTTTAATTGTGATTATCGGAGTCAGCTTCGGGGGCGTGGATGTGTGGGAAATTGCGCTGCCGTTTGCCATTGGTAAATTTCTTTTCGATGTTGTGTGGGAGGGATTCATCAAGAAACGACCGCGCAACACGTCGGAGAAATTTGAGATGCGGGAACGAGCATCGTTGCAGAATTTCCCGGTGGAGGGCGAGGGCGTGGTCATCCGGACATTCTCCCAAAAATGGTTCATGACGCGTTTTAGTGGAGTTATTCGTAGCAAGAATTTTCTTAAGAAGCGTTTTCCTACCGCGTATACTTCGCTAAAACGTTTGCCGATCGGTTTACTACCGTTTGCGTTATCCCAGTTTGTCCTAGTCGAAGCGTTGGTGTACCACAAGTGGATCGACATTTTTGCCGGTTGGATGGCGCATTTGACCACTTCCTTACCGGCAACAGTTTTTTCTGTGGGATTGCTGTCGGTCTTGTTGTGTAATTTAGCCGGGACGAATATTCTGGCCACGATACTGTTAACTAAGATTCTCCGAAAGATTCCACTGGATGACATAAACTTACGCGCGAGTTCCATTGCGTTGGCCGTGGGAAGTAACATTGGAGCAGTGTCTTTTACATTTTGTGCTTCGCTGGCTGGGCTTTTATGGCGGAATATACTGCGGCAAAAAGGCATTCGTGTACGGGCGGTGGAATTTTTTAAATTTAACCTCTTTCCAATTATTTTGACCAGTGCTGCTGGCTTCGGCATCGTGTATGCGGAGATGATTGTGTGTAGGCATATTAAATGTGAAACGATCAACCCGAATCAAACCGCTGTATAATAACGCATGTGGAAACACAATTTAAGTAAAGTGCGACGCCACGGTTTAAATTTGTCGTTTTGTGCAGTCTTATGATCATACTAACAAAATATGATACCGACTAGTGCGTAACAATCCACAGACGTAAGTACTTTGTGTTTGTACTTTTAATTTCCGTTTTACCAATTCGAAGCGTAACAAAACCAAATCCAGTAAAATATACATTTCGTAAGTTTAAAAACGTAAACATAAAGACTGTAAAAAGGGTTAAAATTTAAATCGCGCATTAAAATTCTTCCAGTAAGAAACTAAATTTCTGCTAATAAGACTCTGATCAAGTTATTAACCAAACCAACTTGAAGAATCCTTACGTACAACAGATAACTTCGATAACCTTAATACAAACATAAAAAGTGAAATCGTATTCAACCTTGAGTGCAAATAACAAAGCAATCACAACGCAATGAACGCATAGTACAAAAGTGTGCACCCCAGTTTCCCCATTCAACGACGTCGGCGTCGTCCAGATTTCTTGCCCTTCGGCACCAATTCTTCCACAATTTTCTCCACCTCCGGCAGGCTCTCCGTCCATGGTTTGTTATTGGGAAAAGGTGTCCGCTCCTCTTCGGCCACCCGAGCCCCGTCATACTTACTCAACACATCCTCCATAATCGCTTTCGGATCGAATTTGTCTTCCTTGGCCTCCAGGAAGGCCTTCATCAGTTGCGCTGAAAAGCCGCTGACCAGCGCTGTGCCCACCTGCATCTTTTCAACCGGGAATGACTTGTGCGTATCGCGTAGATTCCAGAAAATGATCTTCGGGACGGCGAAGCCATGTTGTTTGTACAGCTTTTCAATAGCTTCATACACCGTGGTCCATGTACCACTGCCACGGGCCTGATCAAACTGCATGTCACTGAAAATGAACAACTTCTCCACCATCTGGGCGCCGGGATTCTTAACCGCTTCCTTCACTAAAATCTAACAACAGAACACAGTCAACATACCGTTTGCAATCACAGAATCGCAATACATACATAATTTAAATACTTAACAATTTCAATAATTTCCAGGAGATCAAATTTTTTACCTCGAACACTGCGAACAGATCGGTATTGCCGCCCCATTCCATCCGCATAACATCCCGCACCCTCTCACCGAGTGTATCTCCTTTGACCGCATGGAATGTTGGCTTCTCGTGGAAAGTGATCAGTTTATTCTTGAACGGTTCCTCCGTCAGCTCCGTCACAACCTACATAATTATTTCGTATAACATTAACAAAAAGTTTACAAAAACAAAAAATAAAACTTTCAGAAACTTTCGAAAGCTAAAGATTATTCGGCTTACCAATCCCAATGCAATGGCGACTTGCATAGGAGTTCCGCTCATACTGCCACTAACATCCACAACCGCCTGCACAAAATAAGAAATATTTGAATACACTCGTATTTCACGGTCGAACACGCCTACATGATGAGCTTGCACAGAAACTAGGAAGCAACTTCTTAGTAGCAAACAATGCACAAAACTTAATGATGCTAACTGTACCTGGCAGTGACGGAAATTTCCGGCCTCGGCTAACTTCGCGATCAAATCCTTCCACTGCCCTTCCAGAGTCAAATCTTTCTCACCATGACTGTCCATAAAGGGCTTCACCAACTCATGCGGCTGTGTGCCGGTTGACTTAATGGTTTCTTTCCCCGACTGCAACCCCTCCAGATATTCCGCATATCTGAAATGCACATAATAATGTCAAACACAATTCGGGAATATCTTAATAAAGTCTCAAGACACTTTCGATCAAACTCTATCTGATCAACTGATGGTGAATGCAACCGCTTCACGTAGCCGATTCGCTAAACTGTGACTCACCGGGCTGCCAGCTGCTTACGTTCATCAGACTCTTTTTTCTGGGCATTACAGTCGCGCTGGAATGATTTTCGGTAGATACGATGGGCCTTGGCCGGAAGTGATGAAAACACAATCTGATCCCACTGGTTATTGCACATCATCTTTTCAAGGACACGCAGATGACCTCGCAATTTGGTCAACTGCAGCCGGTAATCCTTCTTAGTCACCCCCAGTGTTTTACTAATGTGACGCGAAAAATGCAGCGGTTTCTTGTTGAAGCGAGTGTTGTCCGATGGAGCCCACTTCGCACACAGACTAATACCGGCTTTGGCGTTCTTCTTCAGATCTTCGTCATCCTTGCGCAGCTGACAGGCCATCACCTAAAGAATTTCGTCGACGCTGTTATACAAATCATTAAACAATTTCGAGTATAAAGTACATATACTAGTAACATCTGGATTTCAGATTCTGAATAAAACAGGACTGTATTGATTATTGAACTATCCATTATGTTCTACTACACGCTATTTTTAATTTCGGATCTTCCAAAATTTCAGTTTCTGTTTTCAATTCATATTGATCCTTTTATGGATACGGATACCATTTTATGGATACTTTTATGGATTAATCACAGACGCAGTTCACAATAGTAACAAAACATATCAGATTGACTTGTCAAAACAAAGACCCAAGAATAGTAAAGAATACTAAATACGCTTATAATACGAAATGTTTTGCTGATACTCTGGTACTGCGGTACGCAATAATATTACCTACTAAAAATATTACCCTAGTGTTATGACAGTTATGTATAGCGGCATATACAATAATTTATACCGCTGTACATTGCAGTGATAAAACTAAATGTGCCAACTGGTTTTATTAGTACCAAGAACTTACTATAGGTAGAGGACTGGGAAGCGACTCTGCAACGGTCGACTACGTCATCACTGTCGCATACAGAATGCACTGCTGTGCTATTGTTTTCCATAGGCCCACAGATTTTATTGTCCCTTTTTAAAGATATTCTCAGTTTCTTTCTCCTCTAAAGCTTTCTGATATTTTAACAGATCATATTGAATTTAGAAACCCAAACATGAGGGGCTAGAAATAGAAGAGAAAAGAAATATGCTGAGAAAACTGACAAAAACCGTAAAAAACGCGCATCTGTCACCATGGCAGCCGCCCTCCCGTGTATGCGAGAGTGATGACGTCAAACGGTAGGTTACCAGTCCTCCTCACACTATAGTACTTGTTAGTACCGATAAAATAATTTTAAAGCATTATTAAATTTGTAACACCATAGTTTTCTTTGCTGAATTGTATTACAATTATTTCATCTTTCAACTTTACCTTTAATTCGATTTCGCTGTTCTGCAGCGCAGGAATCCGGCTGAAATAGCGCACTTCCGCCAAGCGCACCGCAAATTCGGCGATAATCAGCAGATCCTTGTAACAACCCAGATCCAGGAAGTATTTCAAGTTAGCCAGATAGGTCAGTGGTTTCCAGCAGGACAACACATACAGCAGAACCAGCGGCAGCTTCTTCTCGCCCTTTCCTCCACGGACATCTCGGAGATTCATCAGCAAGCGCAGAGCTTTATCGGGATCTTCATTCCACGCTTCCACAAAATCGTCAATAATCGTGGAAACCGATGTGCTGCGCACCACACTGGCGAAGAAATCCAGACATTTGTCGCCAGTGGTGTGGAACGCCCCTGCCATATTCTCAGTGAAGACACGATTCCCTGTCGCCTCCAGGGAGAGAGAATTCAGGAGATCCAGGAGTTCGGGATACGCTGTCAGTAAGCTGTAATCTTTTGGTTCTTTCTTCGCGGCTACGGTCGTATCGACATCCATCGCGGTAGGCTGTTTATCCCCATCCATGATCGGAAGTTGACAAGATACACACTGCCAGTAAAAATAACGGTAGTAAAATCTAAAAAGGTCAGCCAAACCCGAACTCAAAAAATAAGAAACGTAAAATAGCTGCCTGCTGCGCGATTTTATATCCAGCCAGGCGGCGTTCACTGCAAGAAGTGGTCATGAAAACAGAAGCCTGGATTGCAGAATGCAACAGCTGCAGCCGGCGTGATACAGCTGATATCATAACAATGATGTCATTGATTTGTACGCCGGCTCAGAAGAGCGCGCCGAGGGTCTTGCAAGTTGCAAGTTACCGGAGCAGCAAGAAACGTACTGTGTTAAATTTTTTTCTTTATCCAACTGCACTGAAATTTATACAATCTGAGTTTTTTATAGAATCAAATTTTAAAAAACTTCTATAGTTATGACAAATAATAAACAATGATATCCCACAATCAAAATAAAATTGACCAAAGATAATCGATTGCAGATTCCGATTGGGACCGCCTTCCTCAAATGGATTGGGACCGCCTTCCTCAAATGGCTGTGTTGCGTTATTTTGCAGCTTGCTCTGCTCTCTGTTTCTCCGCGCATCACGTTTACCGTACATTTGACAGCAATTTGACGTTTATTTGACTCCTTACCAGATTTCACAAATGCTTCGTTATAGTACTGTTGTTTCTGGTTTGTTACGTATGTAGCTGTATAAAGGTTTTGTTTTGGCAGTTCATTCTTACAGGAGCGGTGACTGATGAACCAGCTACTATGCAAACATGGATAGATCAGCGAAATGGCTGGAGCATGCCTTCCTCACTGAACCGCACTATGTTGAATTGTTATTTGCTGGTCATTTGGATTAATGATGTTGAATGATTATGAAGTTGCAGCTGTTGCTCATGCAGCACCGAAGTGAGATTAACTGTGCTGAACCAGGGATTAATCCACACTTGTCTTAAATTCCATGGGTTGAACTGTGGAATACAGACGTCTTGCGTGAAACGCGTTCCTCAGCATGAAGTTGTCCGTGAAGACACGATTTGACGTCGGGCGGAATGGCGTGAAAGCATTGAAAGTAATCCTCATTCTTCTGGGATGCCTTATTATCTATTTCGAATGGATTTCGTACCATCTTCTTCCCTTGTCGTGGCCGTCCACGTCGATGCTGGAAACCCTGTATCCCGCGCTGCGAGTGCACACCGACCGCGCGTCCAAAGAGCAGAAAGTGCTGAGGATTCTGCTGGTGGCGGATCCGCAGATTCAAGGCTTCCGCGATGAACCTCCGGGCGTTCTGGGTGTCATCACGCGCTGGGACGCCGACAGGTGCGAAGAAATAGTTTTTATTCAATTTTCTTCGTATGTCAGATTGCTGTTTACAGCTCACCAGATTTTACAGAATTATTCAGCGCATTTAATTAAGCATAAGGCAATGAAGCGGCGTTTGTCGGTGTACTCGTGTTCAGTTTTGTAATTTGCCTGTTTAATAATAGTGTTTATTGCCCGTACAAGGTAAAACTTATCACAATTAAGCTTTATGAATTCGAGGTTTTATAAAAGCTTGTTACAGTAGAACAGTGCAGAAATTTATGGCCCTCTGTTATAAATGGTTGCTCGATATCTTTACGTAAAAACTGCAGTGTACGCAAGTTTTATTACAGTGGAAAATTTGGATAAGCCTTCGATTGTGAATTTGTGTTAATAAAATAACCGTTTGTTTTAAAAAATTTAAATAAGGATTTTGGTTTGTTTGAATAAAATTTGAATAGGTTTCGGTTTGTTTTTCGTTTAATTGCTTCGAGTACGAATGCTGGCAGTCAGCTAACAATAAGTAACATATGCAATGATTGTAGATTGCATAATTTTTACTCGTGTTAAAAATAGATATATTCTGTTATAGATAATATATGATTGTATTATACCGGTGCATATGCCAGTGTACTGGCAGATAAGAATAGCTTAAGTACTAGTATTAAAATATTGTAGGCTGAAATTTTTGTTTTAAGTTTTACTTTGCGCCTTGCAGTGAAAAATTTGAATATTTTTCAACTACTGCTTATTACGTTCATGTATCACTATTTGCTGATAAAAAACATTGTTTTACGTCTTTCGTGTTCGGGTCGAGCGTTAATTTGTGATGTTTGGGGGGTTGATGTTAATGATGATGGAAGTCGGAAAGTGTCTGAATTATACATTGCAGTTATAGATAGATGATTAAGGGTTTGTCGTTGTTAGTTGCGGGTATTCTATTTTTACAAATGTTAATGACAGTGATGCGCCGCGTTCGTTTTTTTTAGCTTTATGGATCGGTGCCCTTACCAGATCGATCTTTGTCATGCTGTAGGTACCTATCAAAAACATATTCCTTGATTTACCAACACATCGATCCTCATTTGGTGATATTCTTGGGCGACCTCCTGGATGAAGGCTCCACTGCATCTGAGCGTGACTATGAAGTGTATGCTGATCGATTCCGAAGACTATTCCCTCTACATGGATCAAAAGTAAGACAAGGAAAATCGATAAGTAGCTTAAATTGGATTATTAGGCACTTCAAATCAAATTTGAAGTATTTGGCCTTGTAGAGAGAATCCTGTAAATACATTCTTAAAAGGCTGTAAATTGTTTACTTTAACATTGCAAAAGAACAAGAGCGACGCTGGACTACGGAAGTTTGAGATGCAGTGCAAAACTTTTTGACACTGGCAATTGCTGATAAAATGTAGTTTTGAAATTTTGTTTTTGCTGTGACTGGTACTTTTGTTCGAACTGGTACTTTAGTTTTGAACTTTTGATGCTTACAATTAGTTTGCACTTGTGCCGTGATACTTAGTAAAGGTAACTTTCTGTATTACTTTCTTCTGAGATTGGAAAACTCTCATTTCTGCAACGTTTTTGTTTCTGAGTAACTCTCCTTTTAAGAACTTAGTGGCGGCGAAAAACAACTTTAACATTATTGGTGATTGGTAATTTAATAGGTATTATACGTTGCCGGTGATAACGATATTGGCGGTGAAGGTGCCGAGGTTGTGACGAGCACCAACATCGATCGATTCCGTAAAAATTTTCCCACTGCTGTTGATGGATTTTGGAATACATCTCTTCATTTATTCGAGGTTTGTTTATTTACAGACTGTACGAGTAGTATTGCACGGCGATATGTTTTTCATGGTTGCTTTTGCAGGTGAATACATTGACTAATGCCGTTTCTAACTCAATTGATGTGACAAGCACCCCTGATCATAAATTACCTCGGATGCTCTTTTCTCATATGCCGCTGCTTCGTGGCTACCCTGATCCTTTTGTTGAGAAAGTAAGTAATGTCATTTGTCACTTGATCCGATTAGTTGGTACTCTAGCGTATTTACGCATATTTTTTGGGAAATGATCTGTTGAAAAAGTTGCAGTGCGAAGGCATCTGTGAAGTTGTGTAAAATTGTTTTATTGGTCTGCAACGTCATGCTCCATATGATTATAATATTTTATTTATTTTTCGGTTAGATAAGAGGGAATGGTTTTTTTAGGGAATTTATTGCAAATTTTTCTGTATGTGATGCCCGACTATGTCTCTGGTTATCGCGTTTTATTGATTTCTTCCATCCTGTAATTGCATCCCATGAAGTATCAGGATCTTTTTTGTTACTGCGGCATTTAACCAGCTGCAAGTATTTGCTTAAAATTAAGCAGCGGTTTTTGTACATTGGAATTGTTAACAGGTCCTAAACGATTTCCAGCCGGCTTTAATCATCTCCGCTCACACACACAAGGTAAGGCCCATTGTTTGTGTAGTGTAATGGTTCAAGGATTTTCACGGGCCAATTTGTCAATATTTTTTCTTTCCATCAAACAAGGCCTCCATGTCACAGCGCTCATTAAGCAGCACGGCCTACGCGCAGGTCACAGCGGGACATCGATCCGATTTCGCTGTCTTCCAGCTGAATCCCAATCCAGTTAATGTACAGGAAATTGTTGTGCCGACATGCAGCTATCGTATGGGTGTTGCGGAGATCGGCTACGGTGTGGCTATCATCGGTAGGTCATGTTTTCCGGAATAATACGAGCTTCGTCGATATAGCCCGGTACATCCATTTCCCCATGTAATAAATTTCGCAGCTCAAGTTACTTGTAAACTCTTACTGTATTTCGAGTTTCACCTCTTATTCGGATCTAAATGTCAGCATTTGCACTGCACGAAAATGTTTCTGGCATATCAGAATTAAGTGTAAAAATGTACATCCGTTCAGTGTAGTTGAATAATTTTTCCTTATTCCTTTTATTTCATTTACAAAGCAAATTTAAAAGAAACGTTTCTAAAAGAAACTCTTTAGAAACTCTAAAAAAGAAGAAAAAGAAACTCAAAAAAGAAACTCTTTAATTTCAGTTGACGGGTTAATTTAAATCCTCACCGAAAGACATTCACAAAAATCTAACTGAACAGGATAAATTTCAAACAAAAGGGGATCAGTTCAAAATAGAATTCTGTTTTGTTGCAGATTTAACGGCGTACCGCTTATTCTATTCTGTTTTCTGGACGCCATCCCGATACGGTCAGCTGGCCTGCGAGCTGTGGGCGCTGTGCGCTGTTGCCGGATTTGTGCTCATTTTTGTCGTGAAACAAAATTATAAACTGGTTTACTGGAAAGCGACAAAGATGTTTAGATGAGAAATATATTACGGTTTCGGCTTTTCCCGGTTTAACGTTGCTGATTTCAAAGATCTCGCATTTATAGTTTTGTATAGGAAGCGTTTTTTTATCATAGTGTTTTTAATGTGTAAGCATTTTCTTGTATCTGTGACTTGTGTCGCTAATTGGCCAGTTTAGCCTGTAAACCGGTTGCCTTGATTTAATGGTGTAATTAAAACTTTTCGATTAATCATCTAAAGATTCGATTGCATGTCGGTATCGAGTGCTGATGCGCTTTCACAGAATATGCCTAGAATTATTATAAAATGGTGGTTAAACGTACCCTCGAGCTGTACGATAAACAAGTTTGCGTATGGACTGCGCTAAATCGGTGGGATATTTAAACGCCGATAATGACTGCAGTGGATGTGCCAGTCGAAACTTTCGCCCGAATAATTCGGTTCCGTGTTCAGTGACAGTTTGCACCTCTGCGATACGAATTCTCGAGATCTTTTCCATCATGGATGCTCACTGGATATGCATTGTTAGCCTACTATATGTGATGAATGCCATTGCGCAAGGTGAGAAAACTAGTACGAGTAAGAAGAAAATAAAATTTTTTGAAACTCATTTGTCTATTAGACACTCCTCCAAAAAATCAAGCAACAAGCGAGCCGGCCACCCAAGAATATATTACGAATAAACTCAACACTTACCGGCGCGAAGTCGGCGGGAGCAATATGCAGTTATTAACGTGGGATCCGGAAGTGCAGGCCATCGCGCAGAAATTTGCTGACAAATGCAGTCCTACTTTTCCTACCAACGACGCACTAAGACGAGCCTATCTCAGCACACCTAGTACGTTTATTTATCTTAAGTCCAGTAATTTTTGTTGTAATAAGGTTGTTTTATTTGATTATTTTATGAACATTTGCAAAACCGTTGCATTTTAGGCGGCCGGTAATGTCTGTAGTAGAAGCACGTCGACCGCTATAAAACGTTAATGTACGAGTACTATGTACTGTAATTATTAGCCGATCTCATTATTATTCGTTGTAGTAAATTAGGTTGCTTCTCAGTAGTATTGCTGCATCAGCAGAGAAGTATCCCGAGAAATAGCACGTGCTTCTCGCGTGAATATGCCAGAGATCACTCTTTATGTATGCTCAATGCTAATGTTCTTGTTCTCAGAATACAAATGCGGTGCAAATGTTGGACGCGGAACTGAATTGATTGACTGGGGCGACATTTTGCAAATGTGGTACAACACCAGCGTTAATTTTGAGTACGGATCGACGACAGAGAAAGAAGGCGTCTCCAGTGGATTTTATACAGCGGTACGTAAGTTCGTTAAAAAAATACGTGTACAGATATACCGACGGAAAACTGACGTGAGTGTTATACGTTTGCCAGTCATTCTTTAGATGATATGGGCAAAATCCTTCGGGGTGGGTTGCGGATTTAACAAATGCGAAATCAATGGGAAAAAGAATGGATTATTCGTCTGCAATTTTTGCCCAGCGTAAGTCGGCTTCATTGCTATCGTATAGGGAAATTAGCGAATTATTTTTGCAAATACTGTAGTAACTGTACTTCTACTGTTAGACTTGATCACCTAATTGTAAGGACAGAAAAGATGCATTTCTGTCCGGTACTTGATTACGCTACCGGTTTCACATTTTGACCAGTGTTTATTAGCAACTATACAAATTTATTTTTTTTTTTAAAGATTCATTTGTTTTGTACAGTGGCAATCTCGTCACATCCAAATCTGAACCGTATGAAAAAGGCGAGCCATGCGGCAAATGTCCGAACGCTTGTGATGAAGGACTGTGCAGTAAGTGTCCATTCTTTGGGCCGTGTGTGCTGACCTCACGCTGCATTGCAAAAATATTTTAAAATTTCTCAACGCCGTTCTTCGTTTTCGTGCCCACCAATAGCGGTGCTGATGATCATTACTTAATTCTGATTTTTTGTAGCAAATCCGTGTCCTTACACGAATCAGTATGGCAACTGTGATAAACTGTTTCCCAAGAAATGTGCGGTTACCGTGAAAGAAGTCCCGCAACTCAAAGACGTTGTTAGCAAATGCCCAGCCACATGTAAATGCCGCGATAATGGATTACTGTATTAGCAGTATAGTTTATCCAGATTACAAATGTTAACTTGTGAGCATTTCTTAGTGTGATATCTTCTGACGAAGCAGTGATGGGATTTTTGTTTAAGTTTAATGCACAAATTTCGTGAGTTAAAAATATCTGGCGTTCGGGAAAACATGCACCAGCGATTTAAAAAAGCAAAGCAGAATTTTCAGCGTTGATAATAAATCTGGCCGGTCAGAAAAAAGCACTTCGTCCCTTAATCAATCTTAACAGCTGCATAAATCTTTCGTATGAAAAAGTAGGCGGCATAGAAGCCGATTGTGCCGGTGAGAATCCATACTGTCATCACCATCAACGCTGTGTAGCCAAAATACAGCAGCGTCGGAATGAAACCACTGATCTCCAGTTTGGTGACAAAGTAGAATATCGAATAGAACAAAACATACAACGCCACACCGCCGCTGACCAGGAGACTTCGCCACCACCAATGGTAATTCTGGAAACAACAAGAAGTTGTGATTGATAACAATAGCACATATGTATTAAAAAAACGAAAACTTTCCGATTAAACCGAAGCATTTTCTTAAAAATATAAAATACCATACAAACACTAGAGTAAGCATTAACAACTGTAAACCTAAATACCACATAAAAATCTGCCAATAGAATCTTATCATACCTCGCCGCATAACTGGAAGTACACCATAACGACGCTGATGATGGAAACCGAAATTATCAAAATGAGGAACACCAGGAACAGGAATCCGAAGAGATAATAGAACTGCTTCAGCCAGATCGCGTTCATCAGGAAGAATAACTCCACAAACAACGCACCAAATGGTAAAATTCCAGCCATCAGAGTAGAGACAAAAGGGTGTAGATACCACACTTGGTCAGGCATCTGACGGGGAATTTGGTTGGTTCGCACCGGATTTTCATATGGCTACAATAAAACACATGAATGAGGTTAATTCCAACACCATCAAAACTAACCGACACAGTATTGACTGCCGTTGAATTGTAATCCGCTAAAACGTGATAGTTAAGTTCAAACATCAATTCAAACATAAATCTAAAAATTATTTCACGAAATGAAGTATTAAAACAAATTGGTTGCCATTCAAACCTTATTGCAAATACTATTAACAGAGCACAATGTAGAAAAAAAAATCGTGTTACGTAAACTTTGCACCATCCTACGACTCAAAAATCACCTGCTTCCTGTATCCGAAATAGTATCCCAAAAACACCAACGGCAACGACACCAAGAACCATAAACTCAACAGCTGAAGCATGGTCGTAAAGGGAACCTAGAAAACAGTCCATGCAGTGAGTCAACGACATTTTACTGCCTCTGTAAAATTACAACCATTCTCTTACCGCTCCACTGCTGTGTTTGCCCCAAATAAAGAAATTAAGGAAAAAGCACGTCCCAAAGACAATCCCAGGATACAGTGTAGCCGTAATGAACGCAGCGCGTTTCCATTCGATTCCTTTCAGCGTCTTATACAACCGTCCACCGTAGTAACCACCAACTAGCCCCGAGAAAACGTACAGCAGGATGGCCGCTTGCATTAGAGCGCCACGTGACGCCGGAGACAACATGCCCAACATGGCCAAAACTAAGGTGGGAAAAATCATTAGTCCAAATGATCTTTACAAGTTTCCAGATCGAACTGGTTTTTCTGTAATGAATAATATTACGCACAGATTGTGACAAATGTCATGCACAGGAGCTGGACACCGGTGGCAATGAAAGTAACAAAGTACTTGGAATACGGAGGTGAACGGAAAACATCACCGTGCACCAATTTCCATCCGGTTTCCTCCATTGCTTCGTCCTGGTGGTAAACGCCAAATGACTTAAATAATTACATCTAATCCTCTAAGGTAATAAAGAGAAAACAAAAATACAAAAATTTCGCTATGCTGCGCAAAAACGCTGAGGCAGTAAATTCTGAATATCAGAGATAAATTTTAGTATTCGAAGACAATTCCTTTTGTATCATCCGTCGCTTACAGATTCAGTGTCATCGCGATTGTAATTGGCAATATCCCGCCGCAGCGTCCGGACGATAATCATGGAAAGGATGCCCGCCAGGAACAACACAACCACTAATGAATTGACGATGCTGAACCAATGGATCTGCACGTCGCGATGCTTCAAATACATGTCCCATCGGGAAGCCCATTTCACATCACTCGTTTGCCACTCCACGGCATAGGAGAAAATCACTTTGGTCTCGCCTGAAAATTCAATTTAACAAATTATCCATCATAAGTATCAAATATCAGTGAAGGCAAATGCTTTCGCAAACTCTTTTAAAGTTTTGGAGGAAAATCATATACGTATGACACTGCAACCAATTTTTTAGCTTTTCACAGAAAGAGTTTAAGCGTCCACCGACAGCATCCACTGACCTATCTCCTAATATAACAGAAACAAAATATATGATTTGTTTCGTTTTGTCACGACTTCTCACCATTTTCGTTAATGAGTAGCCGATCCTTATTTTCTGGTAGACTGCTGCATTTGCCAGCTTTAGTGTCCACGAATGAATAGTCGCCTAACGCATAACTATGCGCTTCCACTTCACAACTGACAACGCGACGTTCGGCATGATTATCGTCCACTTCGTGGTATTTCAACAGGAGCCGTAGGTGATTGTTCAGGTACACTTTTCCGTCTTTACCAACTTCACCCAACCGGTACCCGGCTTCGTACTGCGGTTCAGCATTGTCCACCATAAGGAATTTCGTAGCGCACGGGAGATTGTCCACCAATCTACAAATGTCGAACAATAAAAACGCTTTTTCTATGTCAACAATTACTTATTTTAAAAAAAATAATGCTACAATAAGAACTGCTTTCCGAACCAAAATGAGTACTTAATCATAAAACGTCTCACTTCAAGGCTTTACTGATGTGAATAAAAGCATTATTACTGAACAATTCCATCACTTTAAGGTTATCAAATCGGAAGTTTTCAAAGCAAACCGCTCCAACAAAGCGAGCGAAAGTTTTAGGAAAACCCACTCTGCCTTTCCAACTTACAAGTGCACAAAATAATCCTCACGAATCCGTTCCGCCATGTTTTTTCCGTCCTCAGCCGTTAATGTAAGGCTAATCGGTTTATCCTTGTCACTTTTCTCGTCCTGGCAAAGCACTCTGCACGGTTCAGCGTGGCCCATTTTAACATCATACATTGTGTTGACCACACGATCTCCGCGCAGTGTTTCACCTGAAAACATTAGCAGTTTCACTCTTATTGACATGTATCTGTGTGATCGAAATCCTTTTGGCGTTTTGCGATAAAATTAAAAACCACATTATAAAAACATTCAATGGCTTTTGCCATAAATTTGCAGCACTATTATCTGCAACATTTAAAAAAACCGTCTGCTGCATTACTATTTGCAAAACGATCGAGGCGACTTTCAGAAAACAAGAAACTCTAAATCCAGTTCATTATTATAGTATATATAAACTCGAACCTTGATAGCAATTAGCAAGCATTTCGATGACTGACGGATTCAATTTATCTGTCAGTTTGGTTTACTGTATCCATTCAAATGCGAATGTTTGGGCGAAAAATTCATTAATCGAAAACACAAATAATAATTCTATCATTAAAATTTTAAATTTTTAGTTCACTTATGAATCTACATTTTTATGAGTAATAAAAGAGGTATTTTCTTCAAGCTTCACTTACCAAAATTTTCAGTGCTGTAGACAATCTCGGCTGGTCTGCAAATTGGTAGGTAATAATATTCGTAAGGCAGTTGTGTGATTTCGCTGGTCATCTTCACAGCCTAAAATCGTACAAACTTCTCAAATCTGTTCCCATTACAATTGTTAAAACGTAGAGAAAGGTCCACGTGCCGAGGTATAAAGCAAAGTTAGCCAACCAATAAGCCAACCAATAAACAGTCGTTGTCTCTTATTTCAAACTACAGACATCGCCAGCAGTATCCGAGCAATTTCGCGAATTTCCGACCTTACGAACTTCTACTGACACTGCAACCAATTTTTTAGCTTTTCACAGAAAGAGTTTAAGCGTCCACCGACAGCATCCACTGACCTATCTCCTAATATAACAGAAACAAAATATATGATTTGTTTCGTTTTGTCACGACTTCTCACCATTTTCGTTAATGAGTAGCCGATCCTTATTTTCTGGTAGACTGCTGCATTTGCCAGCTTTAGTGTCCACGAATGAATAGTCGCCTAACGCATAACTATGCGCTTCCACTTCACAACTGACAACGCGACGTTCGGCATGATTATCGTCCACTTCGTGGTATTTCAACAGGAGCCGTAGGTGATTGTTCAGGTACACTTTTCCGTCTTTACCAACTTCACCCAACCGGTACCCGGCTTCGTACTGCGGTTCAGCATTGTCCACCATAAGGAATTTCGTAGCGCACGGGAGATTGTCCACCAATCTACAAATGTCGAACAATAAAAACGCTTTTTCTATGTCAACAATTACTTATTTTAAAAAAATAATGCTACAATAAGAACTGCTTTCCGAACCAAAATGAGTACTTAATCATAAAACGTCTCACTTCAAGGCTTTACTGATGTGAATAAAAGCATTATTACTGAACAATTCCATCACTTTAAGGTTATCAAATCGGAAGTTTTCAAAGCAAACCGCTCCAACAAAGCGAGCGAAAGTTTTAGGAAAACCCACTCTGCCTTTCCAACTTACAAGTGCACAAAATAATCCTCACGAATCCGTTCCGCCATGTTTTTTCCGTCCTCAGCCGTTAATGTAAGGCTAATCGGTTTATCCTTGTCACTTTTCTCGTCCTGGCAAAGCACTCTGCACGGTTCAGCGTGGCCCATTTTAACATCATACATTGTGTTGACCACACGATCTCCGCGCAGTGTTTCACCTGAAAACATTAGCAGTTTCACTCTTATTGACATGTATCTGTGTGATCGAAATCCTTTTGGCGTTTTGCGATAAAATTAAAAACCACATTATAAAAACATTCAATGGCTTTTGCCATAAATTTGCAGCACTATTATCTGCAACATTTAAAAAAACCGTCTGCTGCATTACTATTTGCAAAACGATCGAGGCGACTTTCAGAAAACAAGAAACTCTAAATCCAGTTCATTATTATAGTATATATAAACTCGAACCTTGATAGCAATTAGCAAGCATTTCGATGACTGACGGATTCAATTTATCTGTCAGTTTGGTTTACTGTATCCATTCAAATGCGAATGTTTGGGCGAAAAATTCATTAATCGAAAACACAAATAATAATTCTATCATTAAAATTTTAAATTTTTTAGTTCACTTATGAATCTACATTTTTATGAGTAATAAAAAAGAGGTATTTTCTTCAAGCTTCACTTACCAAAATTTTCAGTGCTGTAGACAATCTCGGCTGGTCTGCAAATTGGTAGGTAATAATATTCGTAAGGCAGTTGTGTGATTTCGCTGGTCATCTTCACAGCCTAAAATCGTACAAACTTCTCAAATCTGTTCCCATTACAATTGTTAAAACGTAGAGAAAGGTCCACGTGCCGAGGTATAAAGCAAAGTTAGCCAACCAATAAGCCAACCAATAAACAGTCGTTGTCTCTTATTTCAAACTACAGACATCGCCAGCAGTATCCGAGCAATTTCGCGAATTTCCGACCTTACCCGAACTTCTACTTTATCTCCATCACGGTACTCCACAGGCGCCACACCGGGCATCACAAACCCCTGAGCCAGATTCGAGGACAGCAGAAGCATTAAGAGAATCCGGCCAATATCGTCCACGCCAAGCAACATCCGCCGATGTGCCATGGCTTTCACAACACTGACAGCAACAACGACCCAGATTTGTGTGTCAGAGTCCTTTGTATCGCGCCAGAATACCAACAGCAAATGCCACCTGCTGATACTCAAATATGCGTCGGATCTTGAAGATTTCAAACGGGGGAATATGGGAGAACACGGGATACTACGTGCAGTTGCAGGACTAGCAGGTGTACTGGCGATGCGCCACGCGGACAACAATAATAATCCGATTACGAATCCATCGATGATTCAGATTAGCACATCTGGGAGAGACAATATGCAGGACACGCTCAAGCGGGATGTTCCTTCTGGAATTCAGTCGTGTACAAAGGACCGAAGCGGTGAGAGTTGTTTAAATCTCCATTAAGATCTAAGATTGCCTGAATATTGACTGAATGATAATAAAGTGAAGAAATTATAATAATTTTCTTGTACGTGGAGCAGTGTGCGATGTCATCAAAGTTGCAGCGCATCATTTGAACTTGAAAACTGACAAGTACAGTATTGGATCAATACGTCAGTGTGCAACAACAGGGAAACAATGGCCGCGCCAAATTATTAGCTTTTGTGTGCGCAGTTTTTCTGTCTTGCGCGAAAATGTTTGTGGTGATTCTGCTGCTGGTAGATTACTGAAGTGGGAGAAAAGAAACGCCAGGACACCGGCGAAAAGCGAGCCACGGAATATCTTCGCCAACGGATCATGATCAGCATCGAAATCCAACGAGGAAATGCGGCATCCATCATGGGGACAGCTAGCGCCGATGGGATTAAATTTTCACTGTGTTTATAACTTACAAGTAGGCCGCCTGTTTCAGTCGATGGTTAATAAGTGCCCTAAATTGCTGTGAAATTTTTGGTGAAGAGATAATTATTCGCGCGGACTTATGGTTAACTTATGAAAGTGATAAAGAGTATGCTCGCTTAGTTTTAGTTGAAAATTAGCGTCCGTAGCGATGTAAAGCCGGTATCCTTATGAAGCTGATAATAAAAATATAAGATAGGGATATCGTTTTTCTAAATTGTAAATTATGGAAATAGGTAGCACTGCATGAGATTCTTAATACCGCAGTCGTAATCTAAACACACAAGTCATTCGTAGTACTCATACGAAGTGCCGGCAGGTACACTGTACATGCTATCATACTGATCAGATCTACCTTAATCATTTTTATTTATTTCAAACCATTACTATACATGTGTTTAAACGAAATTAGGAGAACCAAAGATCATTAAACATTTCACATTTCTCCACAGTGCCCATGACAGAGCCCATCTACCTTAATTAAACTGTTATATATGAAGCTCGTATTGACCCTACCGTTTGAAGTAAAATTCAAAATCTTCCTCTAGCTCATCCAACTTTTATATCTTACACATTTATCATGTGATTAAAACTTTTATAACGGAACTTCTCCGCACTTTTGTTAGGGTAGTAGGATAAGTATATAAATACAATACAGAGCTAGAATTACCTAAAATACTAATTATGCTATTATTATAGGCCGAGACCGCCGAGTTTGGACTTGTACTCGAGATCAGGTCTTTGTACTTATCCAGACACAGCTGCCGTACATGCTCATGCTACGAAACTTCTCTTAAATCAAAATTAATAGGAGTACTTCAAGTAGTGGTTTCTCGCTCTACAGTGGTAAGCAACAAATTTTATTGCACTAACAATAATTACGATTGCAGTGCTTACTCTGCAAGATAAATATTTATGCGCAATAAAAGTATGCTCGTACTCTTACAACGTATCTACCTCTGAACGGATTTTTCCTGGCATCGCCATCAGACTTCACCGGAAGTTACTTTCAAAGCGTGCGGTTTATTGACAGCTCTTGTGATACCGTAGAATTGTTTACTTCGAATATTTACGCTCGATGTGAATTGTGTGTGCGGATATCCTTGTTCAAAGCAAAACTAATCCCATTACTATCACCTATACTTGTACTGAGCTTTTTTGGGTGCTGTTGGACGACTACGATCTGAAATTCCCTGTAATTGCATATCTATCATCCGGTATTAATTCGAACTACCCTAGCTAGTCCTCATAGCCAAAATGTAAGTTCGTACGAGTGCTTTAAGATTAGTGGAACATGACATGCTGTTTTGCAGGCACCAGAGGAAACTTCGTCCTTTTGTTTTGCTGCTCAGTGGAACACTAGGAAATCTGAGTTTTTAATTACATATTCTGCCTTTCCTGTTCTTGAAATTTTGGGTACTGTTACATCCATCACTTCAAACTTACATCCTAAATGCTGTATAGATATGGATAATATGAAAATTACAAAATGGAGACACTAACAATAACACCGCGCGCAATAAATTTTCCAGTACTTGCGTCTATGGCCAATGCCTGAATTTATCTCACTAATTGTATTGTGTTCCAAGAAAGTGTTGCTTGTAGTTGCGGTTACTACCTTACTATGCAATGCATACAGTTTGGCACAAAACCTTTCTGTGCTGCAAAAAGATACCGGTATATCGTAATCATCCGCGGTAACTGGAGATTATTTGACGCATTGTTGGATTACAATTTCGTGAAACTTCCGCCAAGGTCAGATGTATCTTTGCTTCTACATCGAATAATTATTACTGATAATCCACAATAAAATCCTTATCAAACTCTGAATCAAAGCTATTGTGTGCAGCAAAACGCGGCATACGTTTGCGTTTGTATATGCGTATGACTAGCACTATAAATACAGCTACGAAATGATTTTGTAGTTGCTCACTGCTAAAATTTTCGGCATAATTCAGTCAGCTATATTTTACCACATTCACTCCGCAAGATTTTTAGATTCGCTGTTGCACGGAAATACGTCTATTAATTGTGGCTGGAAATGCATTTCGCTGTGATTGGAATATGTTGGGCTGTTATGCTGTTTGATGCCGGATTAGCAGTGCCTCTGGCTCGCACTAACAAAGCTGTCGCAATCGTCTCGCGGGGTGGGTTTCTCATTAGAATTTAGAATACGATGTAAAGTTTAAATACTGTACGATGGTTTATATTATTAGTGTAAAATACCGATCAAATTATTGCTGTACTTTATGTATGCAGCGGAATGGGGAGCGCGTGCAGCAAAAAACCCAGTAACTCTATCAAAACCGGTGACCTATGCCTTTATTCACCATACCGCCGGCGCAGCGTCCAGTGATCTTGCATCTGGAAAACGTGTGGTGAAAAACATTCAGAATTACCATATGGATTCCAATAAGTGGGACGATATTGGCTACAGGTGGAAAGAAAAACCTAATCGCACAAGACTTTTTGCCTCAGACTCTCAGTTCAGATACTTAATTTTGCATAGAGTAAATTTTGCATAGCACCGACATACAAGAGATTTCTTACCTGCATTATTTATCATTATCGTATCGTATAATATACAGCAAAAATTTTCTCCTTTTCATTCTGGCTACAACGTAAATTACTTAAATGAGCGCCTCACCAGATTATTCTGTTAAACATCATTGAGTATGTACTAAAAACATTTATTATTGTTCCCAATCTATGCTTGCTTTCTAAGTTGATCTTTTGCAGTTTTTTAATTGGCGGTGATGGAACAATCTTCGAAGGTCGCGGGTGGAACCGCGTTGGTGCACACACCCAGGGTTACAATTCTAACGGATACGGTATCGCCTTTCTGGGGACATTCACGTGTAAGATAAACAAACCAAAAATAAGGATGGTGTATTATCCACGACAAGCATTTGTATTAAAACAGTTAAAAGTTTTATCAAAGAGATAGAAAACGAGCGTACTGCTTAACTTTAAACTGTCGATAAGTGTTGGCTTGTGAGTAGTGAATATAATAATTATGTACTTCTACCACTACTAAACCGATCTATCTATTTTACCTACAGATATAATATCTACCTCGTTTGCACACCCTTTAACTGCTGTCGAGGTTTATCTCGATCGGTTATCTGTGGATTATTTATGCGCACCATTAACGCCAAGTCGTTAACAGAATGATTGGGACAAAAAAAATCTGAAATTTAGTTGAATTAGTTCTTATAATGTTATTCTATTGTACAATTAAATGTGGCATTTATTGTGCGTATGTTCGCAGCTCAATTACCAACTGCAAGGGCCATCAGTTCCGCCAAAGCCTTGATTGCTGACGCCGTATCAAGAGGCTTCTTGAAGCAAAACTACATCCTTAAAGGTCATCGCCAAATGGGCAACACCGAATGCCCGGGAAGCAAGCTGTATCAAGAAATTCAAAAGTGGGCAAACTGGAAGGCATAGTTGTATGATACCAAAATTAAAGAATGCTTTTTACCACATACCCTTACAAATTTGCGATCTTTAAAAGTCTATTTGCAAATCGCCTTTAAAGATACCTACTATCACAAATTAAAGTTTGTCATCTGTTGTGCAGCATGCTGAACAGTGTACACACAGAAAAATTCTTTGACTTCATAATTATGCCTAATGGAATAAAAAATTCATTTACTTACAACGTACATTAAACGTACATACATTAAAGCGAAAAAAGCAGACATTAGCTGCCAATCAGAAACTGCCGCATCAGGCAGGCTCATCTTCTCACAATTGTTATCGCACTCCATAAATCTGCAATCTGCAATTCTATTTCAAAGACACATGACTTTATTAACTTTAACTATGTAGATAAACAAAACCGCACCAAAAACGACCTCATGATGACCATAATATTTATCACAATATTATTAGGCTTTTTCAACCAAATTCAAATCTTTCGCTAACTGGTTAGCGGTTATAAATGCCATCGTATGCTGGTATTTCTTGTATGTTGCCACTGCAATATCTTTAGATTTATCCCAGGCATATAAATCCCTGAAATAATTTTCAGTATTATTCACCATCAGACGCTGCTAACACGGTTACTATTAAGGTAAGTGCAACAAAAGCCCACCTGAAAATGGGGCGGCAAAACTTCATCCGCTGATATTCCACCGCAAAGGCCAACGCCTGGGGAATCATATCCTCCCACTGTCCACGTATGCATAACCTCAGCCAGCTGTACTCATATCAAAAACATTGAATGAGTGCAAAAGAAAATCCAACTAAACACTCATAATTACCGGAATGCAATTTATTAAGAACGCGAAATGCGCTGTGCCGGCTGTGTGCATTCAACAAAGAAAAGCAATCTACGAGTACCTAAACAGCTATCAAGTGTGAAGTACATGTATTACATACCGGAATTTAATTTCCGCATTCTGCGTAGCGGAGAAATCATAGATTTTGTCCAATGCTCGAAGAGTCTCTACCGACAACGGCGGCTGCAAAATCCAACAAGTAAACATTTGCACAAATTTCACATCTCAGTTTCGCTATTCACCTCCAAAAGCAGCTGTGCAAGGAACTCCATTTTCTGAGCCGGAGAAAATTCCGCAACATCTTTATTCGAAAACTTCGAATAATCACTGCCACAACTGGTCCATCTTTCCCGCAATGCAGTACATTCTTTCCCTAACGATTCATCGTAATGCAAGTCGACCGGAGGGAATCCTGGCTTGTGAAACCATGCTTCCCAGTCAACACTGTTCAGCACATCCGGCGCCAGTGTTTTGCCAAAATAATCCACAAAAAACTTCTGGAAATCGAAGCTCGTTGCCGTCTTGTATTGGTACTTCTCGATCCATGCTTTCAGACATGGATTGAACTTTTCTGCAAATTAAAAAATATGTTTATGACAGGAAACCAGTTGTAAATCAGCGAGATAAACCATACCTGCGCCACCAACAAGCGTTTCGAGATAATACAGTAAACTATGGCCTTTTTCGTAGGGCACCGTTCCAAAAGCGTCATCCGGATCGGCATTTTTCAGGTTTGGTATCAGCTTAGTAAAATCATGTTCTACGCCTCTTGTCATAATCTGAAACACCAGAATTATTTGTATCCAATTTCCCGCCTCCACTTTCTGACCGCCCAGTTCAGTTCACGTGACGTCAGTTTACAAAATCGGCAAGACCAAATTTCGTACCTCCTGCTGTAAACCTTTCAAGCCTTCAATAGCTGCAAACTGGCGATGCTCTTCGCCCAACATTTTGCCCTTAATTTTTCTCTCAAGGAATGTAGTGAAGCCTTCATTCAACCTACAATCAAAATAAATGATACTGTACATTGCTGCGTTTCAGTGCAAGTCAGCCACAACATACCAGAAATGCTCCCAGTTCAAGTTGGTGACCAAATTTCCTGTCCAACTATGGGCAATTTCATGAGCCACCACGTTGGCTAGGGAACGATCACCGGCCTAACAAAATACCGTAATTGCAAGAAAGCCCATGAAAGCAATCGTCCAGATTCTAACAAGTGAGGTGTTTTCAAAAAGTATACAAGTGCATACCAATAGCGTTGGTGTCAAGAATGTAAGACAAGGATTTTCCATGCCGCCAAAAGGGAAAGACGGTGGTAAAACAAGAATATCATAAACACCCCAAACATACGGTCCAGCCAAAGATTCCGCTGTGGCCAGCATTTCTTCAGTCTGCAAATTAACACACATTCATCTGCTCTAACATAATGCATGCGTCAAATATTATGTATGGCCTTACTTCCGCAAATTCGAAAGCTGCCCGGTCAACCAGCGACGGCTCCGACCAGACATGACTTCGGGGACCGATTTTGCGGCTATCCAGTTTGCCCACAGCAATCGCCACCTACAAAGAACAGGAACCAAAGTGGATTAAAGAACCTTTACTGTGGTAAAAAAACTTTCCTTACCAAGTAAGAAGGGATAGGAACCTTCTGTTTGAAACGATATGTGGTCTGGCCGGCAACACTGGGCTCCTTACCACCGCCTACAGCGCTCATAAGGACAGTCAGCCCTTCTGGCACAGTGACCTGATAAAAGAAAAAGGTACGGAGTTGGGCTTGCGTTGTGCGGTTGAAGGGCAAACAACCTAATACTTAGTCGAAACCAAGATCAATCAATATGCAGTGGAAGCAATTCTTCCTAATTTAGATTATTTTTTACCTCTGCGGTATACGTTGCTTTGACAGACGGCGTATCCTGGCATGGGAAGATGCTGCGCGCATGAATGGCCTGCAAAGATTTAAAACCGAAAAAGCTAGATCAAAAACATCCAGATTTAAAAAAGTAAAAATAAAACGTTTCATACTTCGCTGTGGCTGTATAAGTATGGATCAGTGCGTCCAGCTGTCTGCTCTGGCTTTAACCATACGAGACCGGTTGAATTTGGGCTCGTGCTGTAGTAAACGCAAACTATCGCACTGAAAAGCAAAAACACTCGTAATTGCAACCTCCAATAATTAAAGGGATAAAAGAACAAAAGCACCTATCCATGGCAGGAGCTTTCTTAATAGGCATCACGATTTCCAGCCGCGCTCCCATAAAGTCGGCCTTTTTTCCCATGATAAATGGTAAATCTTGCTCGTGGTTACCATCTAGAAGAGTAACTCTATCCACGGTAATATCTCGGGAATCCAACACCTGAAACAAGCAGGAAGAATAAAAATTCGTGCATGGCTTGGAAACTGCAGTATATTAATCAATAATTATCAACAATCACGAAACTGAGCCAAGGTCTGCAATAACGCTGCAGTTCAAGCCCACAAATCTTTATAAGTAACATATTTAAAATTTATCAATTTCGACTACGTCTCGAAGTTAAGTTAACTGATAAAATAATAATGCAAGTAGTTTAAACTTTAAACTGAAAATTTTGCTGAGAAAAACCATTGCTGTGTTACGCCAATACGCACTGCGCTGCCAGTAGTCGTAACTGAAAACTGTCGTACTACTGTAAAATAAAATTTTCGTATCATGTCGGATGTCGAGCATTATTCAGTAGCCGAGTAAATTTCAAAAACAGGGCAAAAATTCCCTACCAGATTGGCATCTTCCGATGTCTGCTTGACCACAGTCAATTCAACGAATCCCTTCAGCACACTGTTAGTAAAATCCACTTCCAGCTTGAAGTGGATATGCTTCGTCGACCACCAATCTGGTCGCGACAGCGTACTGCAGTCATCCGCAAAGCCCGCATCATTCCCGGTCAGCTCCTGGTTCGCCATGTCGTCTTCACCTTCACTGTCGTTCGTCCACGGTGCAACACTACCGCCTTCGTCGTCGGAATGCAGATCCGTAAGATACTTCGCTGCAGGATTACCTTCAGCGTGCCCACTGGCAGTCATATGTGCAGGCTGTGCAACTTGGCAGTCCGGTGGAGGCGCCTGATTAGATATTCCGTTACGGTTAGGCTGATAACATTGCGATCCAGCTGGTACCTGCCGCGCTGATGAGATAAATACACATGCAAGAAAATAGATAATGCTAATTAACAGCACGGAAAGTAATCTGGAAATGACTAATCCATCGGTTTTATATACTGCGTCTCCTTGCTGCATCTGGACAGTACAGTAGAACGCAAATTATGGGAAGAAAAAGAATGCTCAACAAAATTTCACCCCGCTTCAAGCTGAACGTGAGCCAATACAATTGTGGATCAGTGGTATGACGTCTACAGTCAACATGACGTCAAAGAGTTTCGCATGCTCGCAAGTTGTTGATAAATGTTGTACATTTTGTACTATTTCTTTTGAAAGTTACATTAGATATTTATGTATAGCATAATAGGATCAGTAGCGGTGAATTAGTGAAGTCTTTGAGAGTCAATGTATTCGACGATGACGGAGTGAAACATAAATGTTTATCAGTGGTTGTGATAAATGTCCGCACTCTGCAGTACGACTGCGTCCGCCCATTAACCTTGAAATTAAAAAACGCTGCGTCACACCAAAAACTTTAAAATCAGCTGTTCGGTTACGTACTAGTACGTCGTACGGCTCTGCTTTTTCTTGAGTGACCGGTTTTCATAACTTTGCAATAGTTTCTTTAAAGTGCGTACATTTTTGAAAAGCGTCTTTTGGGACTTGTCTATCGGATTTCGGATTTTCTTACGGCAGTGGCACGATGCTGCTGTATTTGGGAATCATCGCTGCTGGTCTTCTCGCCTACCTGTTGCGCAAGTGGTTCTACTGCATCTGGGCGCGCTATGTTGTTAAATCGATCCCCGGTGGTCCCTTTCCCTTGCCCATTGTGGGAAATATTCTCGAGATCGACGGCAAAGCACCGTTCGAGTCCATGGAAAAATGGGCCCATCAGTACGGGAAACTTTTCACGATGATGATGGGCAGCGAGGTGGTTTTGGCCATTGCGGATTTGGATCTGCTGAAGAAGGCTTTCAAGGATGATCGCTTTTCCGGCAGGCCGGAGAATTTCTTTTTTGATATCTGGAGAAGCATGGGGTATCCCTTAGGTGAAACTTCCAGAGTATCCTGATTTCTGAAATATCATTTTCCATCAAAAATCTATCAGTCGGCTGTTGTAGGCTTCGCGGGGTTGGATGGCGATGTCTGGAAGGAACATCGTCGATTTTCCATCCATGCTCTAAAAGATTTTGGTTGGTGTTACTGTCAGATGTCTCTATCGTTGCTTATCCACCTTTCTTTTTCCGGTTGCAAAATCATTATGTTTCCGTGTCTTTAAATTTTCTATTGATCTTTTACACTTTTTTCTATTCTTGCCGATTTGCTATTTGGGTGTTTGCTTTTGAGCAAAAGTATTTTTCAGGATTTGGAAAATCTGCAGCGGAAGAGCAGATCCAAAAGGAGGCTGGCGAACTATTGAAAACACTCTTGGACAGCGGTGGGCAGCCGATGGATAATCATATACCCTTTTCAACAGCGAGTAAGCATAGACCATATTTTTCAGCTGTCAATAATCACTGTAAGAGTACACTGAGTAGTTGCGTACTATGATTCCAAAAAAAAGTTTATGATTGTATAATAACAGTTTGCAGGTTTTGTTTTTTACCTTTGCAATTTTGCACTGTGCAATTTTGCACGTGCAGATAATTTCAGTTTAACTGCACAGTTTAAATGGAAATTAACATTTTTATGGTCAATTATGGATGAATCATTTAGCCGTACCGTTTATATTGTGAATTGTAATGTATCATATAATTCTGACCACACGTACAAGTGTCGTTTCCTAGCCTCCAATGTGACAGCTATTATGATGTTCGGCACTTCCTTCAGTTCTCAAGACAGCCGCTTCAACTACTTCATCGAAGCGGAATCGCAAAACTTTAAAGACTTCGCCAATATGTCGGTACTGGACATGATCCCCTGGGCTGTTCACATTCCGCCCTTTCGCAGCTGGGTTAAGAATTTACGGAAACGCATCGAAAAACAGCTGGAACTGTTGCATGAACTAATATCCGAGCACAAGCAATATTTTGACCCACAGAATCCTCGTGATTACATTGATGCATTCTTCAACGAAAAGGACAAATCTGCAACATTTACCGGTAATTACAATCGACACAATGCATTTAGTAGATATTTATTGATTTGCGAATGAATTTTGCTGGGAATGAGGTGTGATTAATTTATTTTGCAGATGGTCAACTTTTAAGCAACGTACAAGATTTATTTTCTGGTAAGGCCAACATTTCCTTATGATTGTGTGAAGTGCTCATTGTATCGTTCGTTATCTTGTAGTATCGTGCTTCATCTGGCTTCTCTCATATTTTTTCTTGTCCGTTTGTGAATTTTCTGCAAATTTGAATAACACTCCAAGTTCCCAACCTAACTTGAATGCTTTTCAGCGTCGTTTGAAACTACTGCTACATTTCTGCGTTGGGCCATGCTGCTGATGATCCATCATCCAGAGGCGCAAAGAAAGGTCCAGGAGGAAATCGATCGGGTTATTGGACGCTCCGGCTTGATTAAATCAAATGACCGCTCCCGGTTGCCGTATACAGAAGCCACTATATTAGAGATATTTCGGTTTGCCAATTACATCCCATTTCTTCTGCCTCATAAAACGTTGGAGGATGTGCAGTTTGAAGGCTATACAATCAGAAAAGGTTAGCTATGGACGTTACACTTCTAGTTTGATGGGTAATCGGCTACTCTGGAGATGTACGTAAACTTTAAATGTTTCAGGTTGTGTTGTTTTGTTGTTCATTGTTTTCGGTACTTAATTTTTTGCTGGTGTAGTCTGCACATAATCTGTTGGGTACTTATGCGCTCAATGGTTATTCTGTCATAGACACTACCATAATGGGACTCGGCTGGGTCATTAATCGCGATCCCGCCTTGTGGAAAAATCCGGAGGCGTTCATTCCAGAGCGGTTTCTGGATGACAAGGGAAATGTCAACCAGTCTACGGCATCGAACGTGATGATCTTTTCTACCGGTAGGAGGAGTTGTGTCCTGTCGGCTGTCCGCACAATAACAGAGATCACCTAACTGATTCTGAAGATTTGGTGCTGTTTTGATGTCTGAACTCGCATTCATGTGTAGCTGGGCGTTGGAGACATATTATTATGTATAGAAGCACAAAGAAATGAATGTTAGCAACAAGGTTTTAATACAATGGACAATGTATTTGTGTTGTTTCAGGGAAACGCGTGTGTCCAGGCGAACCGCTAGCTCGCATTGAAACACTGTTATTCTTCGGATCCATCTTGCAGAAATTCAACATTACCGGAGAAGGCAGTGCTAAACCGTCTTTGAGTCGCGTTGATGGCTTAAGTAAGTGCTTCGGTTCTAGTTGATCAGCTACCGTTCCTAAGTTTTGCCAGTACATATAAAAAATCGGAATACATTTAGACTGTAATCGTTATCGTTTTAGCTTTGACTCCGGAACCATACCTGATGCGAGCCATTCCACGAAAATAATTATGGTCAGTTTACAGAAACAGCGAAACCATAGTTTTTACCGGTTTTTTTATTTATACCATTGCGCTTATCGAAAATTGACAAAGTGGAGTTGGTTTTGTCGTTTGTGATTGCGACGACCCGGTGCTGCTGATTTTTGGAATGTCAGAATGTTTTTCGTGAGCTCATCTTTCAGATATTTTTTTATTCCTAGACTTGATTGGAAGTTGAATAGTTTTTGTTATCGGCTTCTTTCAGCCTGTTCAAATACAACAGAGTGCAAACGCGGGCAACACCACTAAACTACCATCGGCACTTAAACTTTCTAAGTAATTCTTTATCCTATTTTGGTCTTTGTCCCGAGAGCGGGTACTTAAAAATGTTTGTTATCCACAAATATACCTAATTCTGACCTTAACGGAATGAAAGACACACTGACACGTGTACCGGAAGATGCTGATAGAGTGCCAATGTGGGGAGTGCATAAGTGCCAAATATGCGAATCGGTTAACGAATACTATCGTAAATATTATTACTTATATATTAATCACTCTAGTTCTATTTAATCGCGTAAAATGCCAACAATCTCCGGCGCTATTCACAACTTTTACCAATAACAGGGCGAAATAAAAAAAAACAATCTCCAAGTGTGCAGTTTATTATTGCCGGTTTCGAAGATCACCAGTGAAGAATGATAGCATGCAGCACCGGACCAAATTACACACGGTATGAAAATACACTGGTTTAATGAAATTCGGGTCGTGAAACATCAGTTGGTAGCCCAGCAGCGAGGCCAGGCGAAACGTAGGTAAATCCCAAAAACGCATTATCCTGCTCCATGCTGGGCATTCCCATGGCACCCACGCCCACTGCTAAACGATCCCCATGACCATCACGATGTTGTGCTCCCGGCATTCGACCGGCTCTCACACCGTGACTGGTAACACCACCCACCACCGAATTCGGAATCGGCTCCTGAGTGAATTCGGGATCAATATGTCGCAAATCGTAACTGCTGGTCTGCAGATATTCGACACAGTATTTTAATACATGAAATTTCCGCCAAGAAAACGTTAAGGTAACGTACCACATTTGGATTATATGGCGGACGAATTTTCTTTTGAAGCAGCAGCTGCCAATCGACCGGCCGAAAGAAAGCATGGGCAGTCACTTCTTCGACATCGGCATGGTATCCCAACCGGAAACGCGGATCTTTCTGCAGTAAATGTTCCAGCAAGTCCCGCACCGTTTCGGATACATTGCTGCGTAAGCGTAGCGGTTTATGCAGAATACTATCATACATTTCTGCCGTATCACGGCTGTAAAATGGAGGCTACAAAAACCGAAAAATGAAATAAAGTATCTTTATAAACTATTCAGTTCATGGTCGCAACACTTACCAATCCGTAGAGCATTTCGTACAATACAGCACCCAAGCACCACCAGTCTACAACGCTGGTATATGGTTGTTTGCGGAGAATTTCCGGAGCCAAATACTCTGGGGTGCCGCAAAATGTACTAGTTGTTCCCTGCATGGATATGCCTTCTTTGCACAATCCGAAATCTGTCAGACGGATGTGACCCTAATGAAATACTCATAAGTACATCTACAAACATCAGCAGGAAGAATGATACTAACCTCAGAATCCAACAACAAATTTTCTGGTTTCAGATCCCGGTAAATTATTCCTAGTGAATGCAGGTAGCCCAAAGCGGACGCGATTTCCGCGGAGTAGAAACGGGCTCGCGGCTCAGAAAAGTAGCGCTCACGTTGCAAATGGTGGAACAACTGTAAGTAGAAACCACCATTCAGAAATAACGAAATGAAAACAAAACAATCAGAATCAGTAAATAACGGTATTCTTCTTGCAATACTACACAAAAGCGAAACTGCAACTAGTTATTACCACTCCCTTACCTCTCCACCATTAACATAATCCAGAACGAAATACAGCTTATCCGGTGTTTGAAACGAAAAGTGGAGCCCGACTAAGAAAGGATGCTGCACATTTTTCAGCAAAATCTGCGAAGAAGACAAAGAGCCGTCAACCATCAGGAAATTCTCTGGCAGTCACGAAATTGATGTTACTCAGCAGCGAAGTTACTCACGTTGCGTTCACTCATGATATGCCGAACTTCGTTGTTTTTTCGAATCTGTTGTTTTTGTAGAACTTTTACGGCGTACAATTTGTCTTCAGCACGATGCCGTGCTAAAAGAACCTGAAGCGAAAAATCCATTACTACCAAGCGAAAAGATGTTAGCAACGTTATTAAACCCAAAGATTACTACAAACATTAAAGCAATTCAAGACAGAGTGTGAAAGCGTTGAAGTACTAGTACCTTTCCAAAACTTCCTTTACCAATAACCTTTAGGAAATCGAAATCTTTCGGTGTCATTCTGCGAACATAAGAAACCAAGCACGATAAGCTGCGTCTACCCGATAACGACCAGACGGGTCAGCATCTGCCTTACGTTTTTCGTTCCGAGGGACCTAAATTAATATCATCCGCTGATTTTCCGTTCGCTTCCGGTACCGCACTAATTTTGTCAACCATATTTTGCCCGTTGAGCGGCTTTGCCTGTAAATGAAACGAAGGTGATAAGTTAATCACAGTTCGTCAGCATCCATTTCAAGCAGTCCCACGAAAAGCACCAAAATGGTCAACAAATAATTGTGTCATACAGCTCAAGTCCATACCCTGCCATAAAAATTGAACATCCTGTTGGAAGGGTCAGGCGATGGCGTCACACTGCGATAATCAAGTTGGGATGTCGCTACAGCAGGTGTTTCCGGCCTGGTAGCCGGAAGTGGAAGATAGACCAACTGGAGAAATTCCAAACTGCGTTCACTGTTAAGGAAACAAGTTAAATGCAACTGGCCAAGCTCGTGCTTTCCCTATAAATATTTTCGTAAAAGTTTCGTGAAGAAAACAACGAATTACAATGACACTGGATAACAATGCAAAGCTAAAAAAAACATATAAGAAATTCAAGGTCAGCACTAAGTAATCAAGAGAAATCTTTGAGCGAATAATAAAACTGGAATCAGAATTTTCCATCAGCTTATCTCAAACTAGAAAGAAGTTCACAATGCACCTTAATCTAAACTGAGGTTTTATATGCATAAGGTAAAATTCAGTTGGTCGACAGTACAACAACACCAAAGTCCAATCACTTAGCAAATCAATGGAAAACATTCGAAATAATCGACAACTAAAGACAGTTTTATCTCTCGGAACTTACTGATGCAGCAGACGCTCGTCTCGCACCAAAGCCTGGACGAAATTGTCTAATCCCTGGCGACGATGTTCAATGAACACCGGATCGAAATTGTTGCGCAAAAGTCGCTTCCCTGGGAGCTTTAAGGCGGCATCCGGATACTGTTTTTTAAGCTACAATAAGATTAAGTCCAAGTCCATAAAAACCAAGCATAACTAAATTTTGTATGGTAAGACGGTATGAATATAAAGATTAAATTATTCCCCACATTTGACTTACCACATCGTATAACTGGCTGAACTCGGCGTATCGATGCGAAACTGTCCAGGACTGAACCAATTGGCCGCCTCCGGCATTCTTACTGGTCAAACCATTCGGATTTTGCCGATGTGGCGACGTAAATCCCGATCCACCCGACGGGTTAAGAAACGGGTTAGTACTGCGGCCATTATACGCTGTTTGCACTCCTCCAAACTGCCGGGAAGCAGACTGATACCCATTAGAGAATCCTATCGGATTTGGTGGAGGTTGCACCTTGACCGCAACCATATACGTCTGCAAAATAATTTGCCTAAAAGTATTCGAAAATCGGAAAGTACAAAGTATTCAAACTGAAATACCGCAATACTTAAAGGGATTAAGCTTATACACATTACATCATTTCACATGACCCAATGGCTGAATAATTTGAATTCCAAAAATGCTGTTTAGGTAAATGATTGCTATCCGTTAACAAACGAGCCAAGGCCAGCACACTGTGAGATAACAACAGCAATTAACAGAAAAATCAAATTTTGTCTTAGTTAACCAAGATGAATTTCGGAATTTTCAGTCAGCTCTCAGCAGCATTTACTACTGCACATTTGAAATAGAAGTATCTTTAATAATTACGTGCAGATATTATAGTCAATCTGCAATTAGGTAATATGTATATAAGTTCATGGTAATATCAGGCATAGCACATCATATTGTACATGTATATTCTCACTCAAACAGAAAAATTCTTGGGTTAAATGCTCAATAGCTCATTAGAAATCCTTATGCAAAATGTACTGCAATGTATGTAGCTATATTTATATTGACAATATATAAAAAACATACTGTATATTTTTTATTGTCCCAGCTTTCGAACTGGCTTTGCACAACGGACGCGGTAACTGTGTACGAAGCCGTCAAGGTTTTCGGTGGGAAATCTCCCTGGACAGTGGACCGCGGTGATCCCGCATCCTGTCCTCCATCCTGGGAATCGGTCGTCAGTGTGCTGACCGGTCCCGTGATAACCACCGTCGGCGCAATCATATCCACCTTCGTATGGGTGACACTATCATCCGTCATCGCTTTCTGACCGACTCCAAGCGCGGGCATGGGCGACTGATTTCGACGTTCATCGGCAGCACTGTTATCAGCTAGACGGACGAAACCAGCCTGACTCGGACTACCGTTCACCGGCGCCTTGTTGGCCGACGCAACAGGTGAATCGTCGCGTCTGGGTACGTAGTGGCCATTCGACGCCACTGGAAAATTCGCGTTCAATCGGTCATTATGCAAGGCCATCGTGTCCAAGTGAGCAGACTTTTATGCCTTCAACGGAAAAGAAGACGGATAAATTAACATAAATCTGTATTTTAGTTTAGACGTATCTTACTGCATAAACAAAGCGTTTTTTTCAGTGAGCAAATCACGTATGTCATGCGAATACCGTAATTAATATTAAATCGTTTTTAAACATCTAACAAATTTGGATTACACAAGCTGAAAAAACGCAGTAAACCTTTTAGAGAAAAACTAAATTCATCATTTAGCAGCAGCCAGTTAGCTGCTGTCCGTCAGCATTCACTTTTTATGACAAAAGCCGTAAAACATAAGTTTGAACCATAAAAACTTACTCTTTCCGGAGTTGCAATAGTCCCCTATATTATATATAGAATATACGTCTTACTGACGGCAGTTTCCAAAGCGAGACCAATGTCCAAATGCTATGCAAAACGCAGTTCTCTCCTTATCAGTTCTTCGGCAGCGGAAGGCACTCACAGTCACAACCGTAATTCTAAACTTTGTGGAAGAGAAATCGTTAACTTCAGCACAATGAAACTGACGTAAGGAAAACAACACGCGTCTGCCATCATTTGGCCACTGGGTCGCGACTGCTGATGACAACAAGGCAATCGCCGATAATCATGTTACATAAAATCAGCTGCCAGCTGCTGTAACGCGGCAGATATCGCGCCGTAGATAACCTGTGGTTAGTTACATATTTCGCGCAGATAGCCAATTGATAGAGGCATTCAATTTCATAATTAGCTTCAAGAAAAACTGATTATCAGGTAATTCACCTCAAAATCCAAAAGTACCAGTCGACAGATTAGCGAACTACGATAGTTTTCGGTATCAGTTCAACAGCGCGCCGAACCATTTGCCAAGTGCTGTTCTCTTCCGCTGTCCGAAGGTGCGCCGGTTGGGTGGATAAATCATCATAATAATAAACCTGACAAAGTGACCAGACTGACATTGAGTTCAGGAACAACCGGGTCACGTTACAGAAAAAATAATTCTTGTTACAGGTTGCAGAAATAATTCTATTTTTAGTCTATGAAGTGGTCATTACCAAACGAAATAATAATATTATTCTGCATTCCCGACTTTTACTTGTGTACTTACTTATTTTACGGCGCAAATCGTACTTATTGCTACAATATTTCTGCTTTAAATGATTGTAAGATGTCACAATTGACAATTATTTCATTCGTAGAAATATTAAAAATATATTAGAAATGCTGGACGTTGTCGTTGTCAGTGTGTCACGTTGATCGTTTGCAGTTTCCTGATTTTTGACGTAATCATAAATTACGCACAAATTACGTTGAGCACCAAAGAACTATGCAGCGGTAGTGGGCATGTTGGCCGGACAGCTCAATCTTCGGAAGTGCCAACCGGCGCCGATCTTTCCCGTTCACCCGTCCACGTTCCCCACGACCAAAAAAGTCCCGACAAATTTGAAAAAACTTTAAATAATGTTTGCTAGCAGAATTTTTGCACCAAAAGTTTTGAACTTTTTACTGCTTATTAATTGTAGTGCATTGTTCGGTAACTACTAACTACTTCGGTTGTTCCCAGGCCCTTCGCGAGACCCCTGTGCAATCCCTGTGCAATTTTTAAAAAAAAAACTTGTTTCCTAACCAAGAAACAAGTTGAACTGCAGATTTAAAAAATTCGCTGTATTTTTCGCGAATTTTTGTTTTGGTTTTAAGCTATTTTTTACCGAACTTCCGTGTCATCTCGCCCAAAGACGGGAACGAGACTTTCCCGACATTTGCGAAGGTTCCGTTCCTGACGATTCCCGCCCAACAGCGAGCTTTTCTGAGTCCTGATTATGTCGGGAGTCGGGACCACAATGTCATGCATAATGCAGTTGACCGTGAACGACAGCCACGGGAAACATACCCTACTGAGGCCTACTCGGGCAATATAAATTTTATAAAATAATAGTGCTGTATTTACCTGCTGGCTGCTTATACAGTGTGTACATAGTACATACCATACGGAAATCTTTCTCAACTACTCGTACGTTTGTTTGCAGCTGTGCAAAATATTGATAGTAGACTGTTGTTGAGAAATAATTACATTTATTGTTATTTTATGTTTAATGCTCTCCCTCGGAAACGATTTTACACCGTACAAAACCAATGCATTCGTCAGCCAGTATTTAATTCAATTTGATCGTAAGCTCACTCTTTGCTGCTGAGTGCCGATTTCTAATTTAACAAGACAGCAAAAACAAATGCAATTTTAAGTTCTGTACATTCCAAATTTCTCACTGACAGTGACAGGCGAACAATGATAACACGTTCACTATAAGCAAAACAAGTACTTCGTAACAATTCAAACCAGCAGTAAAGCTCAACGGAAGATTGAGAAATTCGAGATTCAGATCAGAGTTCTACTTGTTGGCACTGGTATACTTGGTAACGGCTTTGGTTCCTTCGGAGACGGCGTGTTTGGCCAGTTCTCCGGGCAGGAGCAGGCGGACGGCGGTCTGGATTTCGCGGGAAGTGATGGTGGAGCGCTTGTTGTAGTGCGACAGACGCGAGGCTTCCGAGGCGATCCGTTCGAAGATGTCGTTGACGAAGGAGTTCATGATGGCCATCGCTTTGGAGGAAACGCCAGTGTCCGGGTGCACTTGTTTCAGCACCTTGTAGATGTACACGGAGTACGATTCCTTCCTAACAAATAAACAAAAAATATGTAAACTAGTTGTTAAAAATGCAAAATTGTTAAGAATGCAGTGCGAGATTACAGTAGCAAGTTGTGCTAACATACGAAAGCATTAGTACTTAACTGCAAATTACTCAATAATAATAATTAATAAATGCAAATTCTGCAATCGCGTACCTCTTCTTGCGCTTCTTGGCATCAGGATTGCGGATTGCTTTTTGGGCCTTTCCAGATTTCTTCACAGCTTTTCCACTTGGCTTGGGAGGCATTGTGATGGCGATTTACTAACCAGATTCAATCAAACACACAATCAAAAGCGAGCGAAAACAATGAATTACTTATTAGAACTTTGCGTCGGTTTGACCAAAGTTAGAAAATGCTGTCTCCGAAATTCTCAACTGAAGATGTGGCGCACTAGCGGGAAGCCTTTATACCAAGGCCATTACAATCACCAAACTGATAGCCACGCCTTTTAATCCTTGCGCAAATAGCCTTGGTTAGAAGTTCTTTGGCGTGGGCCAATCACTGCGTTCCCCGATCTCGTGACGTCACAGAGATATTCCGAAGTTAACGTCGCGTTTATTGGTCGGTTTTATCGAAAAGGCGGACTCACATTTTGGCGAACGGCTATAAAAACTTTACCAACGCATCGTCGACTAGTTCATAAATTTCGTATTCGAACTTTACGTTGTTTCCAACTTTCCAAGTGCTAAGTGTTTGATACTTTTATCAGTTTTGTGAGTTATTTATCAGTGTTTAGTTCATCATGACTGGACGTGGTAAAGGAGGCAAAGTCAAGGGAAAGGCCAAGTCCCGATCCAGCCGCGCTGGACTGCAGTTCCCCGTGGGCCGTATCCATCGTATGTTGCGCAAGGGCAACTACGGCGAGCGCATCGGCGCTGGTGCTCCCGTTTACCTGGCCGCTGTCCTGGAGTATCTGGCTGCCGAAGTTCTGGAGTTGGCAGGCAATGCCGCGCGTGACAACAAGAAGACTCGCATCATTCCGCGTCATCTCCAGCTCGCCATCCGCAACGACGAAGAGGTAAAACCGTAAAAGCAACGCTTAGTTTTTGCTTTGCACTTTGCAGCTATGAAGATTGTTAAAGCTTCTTGATTTTAAAAATATTTTTCATTGTTTATAGCCGAAGCCATAGTAATTAACTCTAAATTAAGTATTAATATGTAACCGAATATTAAATATGAAAGTGAAAATGAATTTTCCAATTGTTTCATTCGTTTGGGCTTTGCTTTGTTTAAAGGTCTGTTTTTAACATTGCAGTTGAACAAGTTGCTGTCCGGAGTGACCATCGCCCAGGGAGGTGTCTTGCCCAACATCGCTCCGACGCTTTTGCCGAAGAAGACTGCTGGTGGTCCGCAGGAGACGCAGGCGGAAGCCAAGCCCAGACCAGCTGGAGGCAAGGCCAAGAAGCCAGTCGCTGCCGAAGGAGTCTCCCAGGAGGTTTGAATTTCATAACCGGAAGTTGTTAGTCGATCGATTGTTGTTTTCCGTTGAATGAATTATTGGCTTTGTTGATGTGCATTGTACATACTAAATACGAATCTTGAGTGTAGAACTTCATTGTTTTTTTTGTGCGCTTCGGCGTCACAGTGTTCATTGTCAGCACTAACAGTTTTCAGTTTACGGAGTTTGAATGTAAAACGCAATGAAATACCGCGGGAATGTGATATGCATTGGTTTATTGGTTCGCCGTAGGCCCGTAGTCCACCTGCAAGCCAAGAAAGCCGTAGAAAATGCAGTTTACGGCTTTATTTAACGCTAAACTTAGAAACTGAAATCGAATTAAATTTTAAAATTTAGGACAGTCATCTGAGTCATGAGTCATTCAGTCCACAATCAACGACATACCAAGACTAACCAGGTAACTTGTAGGTCAAAACAGTAAAACTAAACAGTACTACTAAAAGTAAACACTACCCCAAAGAACAGAAAACTGAGAAAAGATCGAAGAATTTTCATGAAAGCTTATTACAACTGAACGTTTTTACGTGCTTTACCGTTTAAATACTGCACAATGCACATTTCTCTGCTGTTGTTGATAGCTGATACTGCTGCAAATATTCCGGTGGTACGTTTGCCATACTCTGCACTCTGTACAGGCATTATATTCTTCGGTTTATCCCTGGCGGAAGCCGGCATACCTGAGCTGGACTGAATCAACGCCCGGCGGAATGGACATTTAGGCCTTTTAGGGACACCCGTGTGATTGTTCATTCAAGAAGCTCATAGCGACCTTATTGCTGCAGAAAAAACATTTTGTGTTTGTCAGCACATCAAAAGGATACTGGAAGATACGTAACGACTATGTATGTCAACTAGAAACAATTTTAAAATTGTAGGCTTCCGCTTATCTGTTATCACACCACATAACAGAAAGTTCAAAACCGATTCATCGATTTTCAGTGTTGAGACTGTTGACAGATAACCACTCTTCCGGAAAATCTGCTTAGTGGTAAATTGGTAATTATTAAATTTGTGGCTTTATGGCTTGCCGGATGTGAACACCTGACAACTAGTAATTGTGAGCTGTTGCTTTTTTGTTTGCTAACAAGTTGAGAAATAAGGAGTACCGTACACTTACAGGTGATAAAACACCATTTCAATTTTTTTCCCTTTTATTGATTCCACACATTTCACGGTTTAACTGATTTTGCTTCCATTCATCTTGCAAAAATTCAACGACAATAAACAATACACTAAATGATAACATTACGATCGACCGCAATCATAGGTGGGTAACTTGATCTGTACAAACTGCAAATACTACTGCACGTAAGACAATCAACAACTGCTGTGCAAATACAGTACAAATAAAGATCTAAGTATCTTATTAGAGACCAAATCCGTAGAGGGTTCTTCCCTGGCGTTTGAGCGCGTAGACAACGTCCATGGCGGTGACGGTCTTTCTCTTGGCGTGCTCGGTGTAGGTGACCGCATCGCGAATGACGTTCTCCAAGAACACTTTCAGGACGCCACGGGTCTCTTCGTAGATGAGACCGGAAATACGCTTGACACCACCGCGACGGGCCAAACGGCGGATGGCTGGCTTCGTGATGCCCTGGATGTTATCACGGAGCACCTTTCGGTGACGCTTGGCGCCTCCTGTAATAATCGCAAGGAACCTGTTACATTTAGCTCACTAACTTACTGTTTACGAAGGTGAAGGTGATTACAAAGGTGAAGGTACAAACTTAGCAGTATTGCATATGATGCAGCATATCGTTGTTTTTCTCATCAGATTACTTAAAAACAGAATACTTCACATAGGACGTCGCTAGTAATTGTTAGGTATAAACGAATGGCAATCCGCAATATTGAGTGAATATTCTTATTGTTACAAATTAGACTAAGGCTAAGTCTTGCGAAGTCACTTAAAACATAATTATTGCAGATTCGCTAAATAAGAGTCAATTAACTGAATTAAGACTTTAAGTTTAAGCTGTTTAACTGCTAATTAATACAAATTATTAATTACTGGTGATATAAAATGAAAGCATACGGCATACTTAAGTAATTACAGCACAATTTTAAACCAGTTCGCTCACCTTTCCCGAGTCCCTTGCCTCCTTTTCCGCGTCCAGTCATGATGCTTAAAAGTAAAAATTGAAAACTTTTACGCTTAAATAATAACGTAAGGAAGACTGAAAATAGCTTTCAGATATCCAAGCGATTCTAAAGAAAAAGATCGAAAACCTGCGGCGATCGTTGGGCTTTTATACGATGCTCAGTTGCTCACGAAAAAGGCGAGCATTTGAAGGGGTTGGTCAATGGAAGCAGTCAACCAATCCTAGCCTACGGTTTTTAGCGGCTTATCTCATTAGCTGGACAACCTAGGGGTGGACCGGGAGTAACAAGAAATCACAAAATGTTTTTTTATAAAGCGACAAAGCGTTGCTACGTATAATGCCTTTTATTTCTTCGTGAGAGAAATGAAAATGTGGAAAAAATTTTGAAGAAATTAAAATCCTCAAGATTCAAGAAGTAAAGCATACACTAGAAAACTCAAAAAATGAGAAGGAAATTGTCAAGGTAACGTTCGCGCCCCGGGAGAGCGAGAATTGATGACGTAGTCGTAATTGTCCCCGCCCACTCTTGCCGCCCAAATAACAAAACTACTCGTATTGTTTCTAGCTTCAAAGTTTTCACCTCAAAGATTTTCAATTTCCAAAGACTTCGTTTCCGTTTTTCTGTAACCAATAGAAGAATTGTGCTCAAAACGGTACGTATTTCAAAATACGCCAAATCGTTACATTACTGCCGAAGTTTTATAACAAAAAAACGTAAAAATTTTAACAAAACAAACAAAGATCGATTCATTAAAGATCACTTTCTCCGCCCACTGAAATATTAATCGGCCAATCATGGCATGGCTATCAAGCCTGCCTTCGGCAGCTTTTCGCGGCCTATAAAACTTGAACATCCTCGAGTTTTGTCATCAGTTGAAAGTTTGTTACGTTGACCGTAAGCTCCGAATTTGATTTCCACTTTTCTGTAGTTAAATTTACGTGTCAGCCGCATTTTTCGTTAATTGTTATTTGTTAATCAGTTGTCAAACGTATCGCAATGGCCCGAACAAAGCAGACCGCTCGTAAGTCGACGGGAGGCAAAGCTCCGCGCAAACAGTTAGCCACCAAAGCTGCTCGCAAATCCGCGCCAGCCACCGGAGGTGTGAAGAAGCCCCATCGCTATCGTCCTGGCACCGTGGCCCTCCGAGAAATCCGTCGGTACCAGAAGTCCACGGAGCTGCTGATCCGTAAACTGCCGTTCCAGCGCCTGGTCCGTGAAATCGCGCAGGACTTCAAAACCGATCTCCGATTCCAGTCTTCCGCTGTCATGGCTCTGCAGGTGCGTCTTGTGCGACAAGAATAATGTGGTACTGAAATAATTTGATGTACACATTGTACATACAGTAATAATTTGAACTTACGATTAGTGTGTGGTTCAAGCAGTACAATATTTCCGTTTCATTTATGAGTGATTTATCATACAAATTGATTAAAGTTAACTGTACTGGTGTTCAGTTTGTTTGTGGGATCACTGGGATGCGTTGCATAATCAATTGGGGTTTACTGTTTACAGGAAGCAGCGGAGGCTTATCTCGTGGGCCTGTTCGAAGACACCAACTTGTGCGCCATCCATGCCAAACGTGTGACCATCATGCCCAAGGACATCCAGTTGGCTCGCCGAATCCGAGGGGAGCGTGCCTAGACGGTTAAATGACGATCGGTTGAAATTCCGCAATGTGTTGGCTTTAATCTTAGAAGTTGCTTGTACAGTTGTACTTACCGGAGCGCACTTGTAACAGATTCTAAGCTTCTAATGTTTTTGCCATGTCGTTTCTTTTTTGTGTGAATAGTAGCGTGTCTGACTGCAATCTTTATTATCGCTTTATCTTCTACAATAATTACGACCACTGGAAATATTGTAAAACATGTCCCGTTGTTAATAAATGCATGGTTATCACTTATCAGACGGTCACTATGCAGTATGCACTGAAGATCAAACAAAACAGTACAGCTGAGATAAAGAACCAAGTTTTGCATCTTACAGGGCGAATTTTGTGAAATTATTCTTGTGAACAGAAAAAACTATGTAACCTTGTTAAAACTGTTTATTAAAAAAAATTGAACAAAACGTTAGGTGATGACTGCCGCCGAGTCAGATTAACATGGTGATGTCGCCGCTCGCCCGCACCAGGGGCAGACAAGAAGGTTAGCCTTGACTTAGCAAACTAGCAGCGATTAAAAGTCCAATTTTAAAAATAAGTTTAACAGATTCAACTTATGGCTTGGCACTTTAACAGTCGAGTGTTCTTATTGTGCGATCTTTTGAATTGCTAGGACATGGTGTTAGTGTTGATTGTTGCGCTGTGCGCCCTGTACCTCCTGCTTCGCACGTGGCTGTATGTCCTGTGGAGTCGTGGAGTGGGAGAACTTCCCAAAGGGCCCTGGCCAGTTCCCTTTCTCGGTGACGGCTTGAAGATCGACGGTGCAGCACCATTCCGCACGATGGAAAAATGGGTTAAAGAATATGGCAAAGTGTACACCTTGTTATTTGGCCACAAGCTTATTCTGGTCATAGCGGATATAAATGTATTGAAGAAAGCTTTTCGCGACGATAAGTTTGCTGGGAGACCACGTGATACCTGGGCGCTGGTTTGGGACGCTACCAAGCTGCCTTTAGGTGACTTACCTTAACGATGCTGTGCAAGTCTGGGATGGTTCTTATTACTGTTTGCGTTCAGGGCTTGCGGAGTCCGAGGGATCGGTATGGAAGGAGCATCGACGTTTCTCGTTGCATGCTTTACGTGATTTTGGTAAGACCGTAAGACCACCTGTTGCGTTCTGCTCTACTGCTCCGCGGTTGTAATTCTCGTACTAAAAATCATAAAATAATTTCTCTATGTTAATTTTATTATTTTTATGTTATTACCAGTTCTTATGCGCGTTATAGAATTGATTAATTCAACATTCTGACTGTTTGCAGGAATTAGAGAAAATTTGTAAGATTTAACTTAAAAACGAAAAGTGAAAGTGTTAGAATTTGTTTGGAACGTCTCTGAAGCATCCGCATGTATCACAATGGCATTTTACAGGTTTTGGCAAAGAAAGTGGCGAGTTGTACATACGACAGGAGACCACAAAAATGTTGAAAATTCTCGAATCAAGCAATGGGCAGCCTATGGATAACAGTCTACTTTTTGCAACCGCTGGTAATAACTGTTCGCAGATTTTCGCGCTTGAGTGCAGCGGTTGAATGCTTCTTATGCAGTATGCTCCTGTACGGATTATGGTAATATCGATCAGTATAGGCCTATAGGGATTTGTTTATCATTTGGCATTTGTATTCGACAGCATCCAATGTAGCAGCCTACATGATGTTCAGCGACACTTTCAACTCGGAAGATCCGCGCTTCATCCATTATCTGCAAGATGTGGCACGTAATTTCCGAGAAATGCCCAACGCGGGAATTTTGGAGATCTTTCCATCGTTGAAATTCGTGCCGCCGTTTTCCTTTACAATTTCCAAATTTCAAGCTCGTGTCAAGCAGCAAGTCACAGTATTACAAGATCTTGTTGAGGAACATAAAAAATCTTTCGATCCGGACCATCTTCGCGATTATATTGACGCTTTTCTCGCTCTACAACAGAAAAATTCACCGACATTCACGGGTTTGTGAGATCTCCGGTTAAACTGTACTTAAACTGTTGCGAAGATCATTTTTCGCTTTGCAGATGGTCAGTTGATTGCTGATTTGACAGATCTTTTTGCCGGTAAATGTTAGCTAAGCGAACAGCTATACTGGTTATGTTTAAAGAAGTGCTAAAATCGCCTTCACCGCATCTCTTACTGCAGCTTCTATCGAGACAACCGCTACATATCTACGTTGGGCGATTCTGTTTGTCATTGCGTATCCTGGAGTTCAACGGAAAATTCAAGCGGAAATTGATGATGCTGTCGGACGTTCCAAACAGATTGTGTACGCTGATCGCACTCGTCTCCCGTTTACGGAAGCCACTCTTCTCGAAGTATTTCGCTTTTCTAATTTCGGGCCGTTCCTGTTACCACACAGAGCGTTAGAAGATGCACAATTTGAAGGCTATGAAATTCCTAAAGGTGAAATTGCAAGCATACCGTAGAATTGTTGAGCCTACTATATTCTAAAGATAACGTCAACGTTCTGCAGAACATGTGACAGATCGTAATTAAATTACTTTTCTATATACAGGAACAACCGTGTTGGGACTTGTGTGGGCAATTAACCGTGACCCCGATTTATGGGGAAATCCGAGTGAATTCCAGCCTGAAAGATTTCTTGATGATTCTGGCCAAATCGATCAGCAAGCAACCGGAAATGTTCTTGCATTTTCTGTTGGTTAGTGCATTACGTTTAGCCAAATCGGCAGCTAAACTATTTTCCGAATTTTGAGTTATTTTGCATAAGGGCCATAAGGCGATTCTTGTAATATTGATTATGGGATCGTTGGTTTTGATTACACATGAGTTCTGCATTCGAATTTTAGGAAAAAGATCTTGTCCTGGTGAGCCCTTAGCCAAAATGGATTTGCTGATCTTTTTCGCCTCGCTTCTGCAACATTTCACAATCCGAAATGAAACGGACGAAGTGCCTTCGCTGGAACCAGTTAATGGTTTAGGTCAGTGCCGAACAGTTTATCGAAAATAATTGTGGAATCTGCCACCATTATCACATAAGGAAACTGGTGATTGTCACCGATGTTTGGTTACCTAGAGTAATCGCATTATACATATATTCTTCAGGTAAATGTAGAATATGTACACAGTACAGATAACTGGAAAGTTTTTTTTCGTGTTTACGGAATATCGATGCGCTTTGTAATATGTTAGTTAACCGAAAGTTGCTTTTAACTTTTTTTACAGTGTTGACGCCTCCACCATATCAGATGAGAGTATTCCTCCGGAAGTAAGGACAGGAAAACACCGTTTGTGAAACTTGGTACTTTAGCCATCCCAGGTCTTTTCGCTGATCTGTATTATAATGCAGCTAACGCAATGTTTTTGTGACCAAATGGACATTCGAGCAATGTAGTGACTGCTCTATGACCAAATCGTACAGACTTAACCGAATGTTTAATTATTTAATAGCGCTCTCAAAAGCAGTGTTTCACGTACGTTCCCTGTGTATGTTCGCACGAAAGTTTTCGTTGTACCTGAAATGTGATAATCTCTTGCCGGTGCTAAATTGTATTAAAGGTTGAGGGTTATGATAGTGATAAGAGCACATAATTTAGGGCTTACTTAGGTTAATGGTTTCTGGATATGACTTTTCAAATTGCCACAATTTTTTTCGAGCGATATCTGATAAGTATTGCATTAATTACACGATAATCATAGCCAAAATTTTTGTTTTTTTTATTACGGTGATACTTACTCGGTATACAAACACGAGCAAGTACGACTAGGGTAGTACAAGTTCACGTGGTTTCCATGGAAGTACTTACTACAGAGGCGCATAACAATCTATGTATTGTTATGCACTGGATGTCAGTGGAGAAAATTATGAACTACCAGTTTTTAACCTTGAAATACTAACTAAATAGATTAAAGGATAACTCAGTATAGCTCTGCAGGGTACATTAATGTAGCACCCGGAGCCCCAATAGAAAACCGCCAAAAATATAAACGCTGTACTAATTCCTACTCGAGTATGGATCGGGGCGTGGCAGGAGGAGCCGCTTCCGCAGTCGGAGATCTGGACCGCGCTCAACATCCGCAGATCATCAGTTGTCGTTTTAGCCCAACCGGGTCATCATTATTGGCCACCACCCCGACGGGATTCATTATCTACAATATTGACAAGGATGGAATCGCCACTTTGCACCATGAGTACGATGTGGGAACGCCGATCCGATTTGCCGAACGTCTCTACGCCACCAACCTCGTCGCGTATGCCACCGTGAAAAATCCCGATGTGTTTGTGGTATTCCATTGCAAAAAGCGGAAGATTATCTGCGACTTCCGCTACCCCAGCGATATCAATATTATCCGTTTCAACCGGCAGCGAGTTGTTATTGCCATAAAAGACGTGGTAATTTGATCTGTGTTGCTTTTCTGGTTATTGCGCATGGAATTTACTTATCAGTAATAGTATATCTTTATACTTAGTTCGTGATATATAGAAATAGTGAAATAGGTAATTTGTTTTGTATAGAAATCGCAATACTTCTAAAATTTTTTCGGTTTTGGATTTTTGCTCACTGAAGCAGTTTTATTCGCTGTTTTTTTTCGGCAGATTTACATCCACAATGTCCGCAACATGCAGATCGTCCACTTGATTAAAGATGCACCGGAGAATCCCCGCAACCTAATGGAATTAGCTGTCTCGGAAAACTGCGGCTACCTGGCATTTCCCGGCAAAATCGACAACGGCTCCCTACGCATCTTCGACGTCTTCCAGCTGCAGGACGTGACCTCCATCCAGGCCAGCACCACGCCGCTGACCAGCATCCGCTTCGATCCCACCGGCGCCCGCATCGCCACCGCCTCCATCAAAGGCACCTGCATCCGCGTGTACGACAGCCAGGCCGGGAATAAACTGTATGAATTCCGCCGCGGGATGCGGGAAGTGCGCATCGTCTCGTTGTCCTTCAGTTTAGACAGCCGTTTTCTCAGCGCCACCAGTGGATCGGAAACGGTGCATATTTTTAAACTGGCCGACCATGATGCGGCCGCATCCGAAGGCGGGGGATTTTTTGCCGCGGTGCGGGAGACGCTGGCGAGTGCCGCCGGGGGATTGTTGAGTTTAGAAGAACGGGCGGTGACCACCATACAGAATCCGCTGCACGGACACAATGCGCAGGGATTTCTGGGGTCACTGGCACCGGGATGCACGCATTTTCTGTTGATGACGCCGACTGGACTGATGCATGTGTATGTTCTGCTGGAAAACACGGAGAGTGGTGCGACTGTGCTGTTGAAGCCCATTAAGCAGCAGAATTTGCGGGAAGTCAGGAAAGTTAACGGGAAGCCTTCCATTCTTAGCCAGGATTCGTCGGTGATTATGACCGGCGAACATTCGGGATGCGAGAATGAAAAGGCGGAGAAATCGCTGAACGCTTCTGTACGTAGTGTTAGTGAAGCGAGGTGATGCGATTATTCTAGCATGGGTTAAAACAACGAAATTAAAAGGCTAGAAAATGTGTAAACTAAACGGGTTCTCAACCCCAATCAAAAGAGTATGAAATGCAGGAACTAAATTGTATCATTTCATTCATGTACTACGTCGAACGCGTATCAGACATTTCGCGGTACAAAGGGTAATTTCTTGTAAAACAATACAATTTGTAGCGAATGATAAGCAAAAGCAAGAAGTGCAACCAAAAGATAACAAATTTAAATAAAAAAAGGACATTTTGTGAGACATTCATAAACATTCATTCACATTCATAAAACATTCATAAATGCATTTTTCTTTACTGCTCCAGTCTTGGTTTATAAGAAATAATAGGATTCTTCGGAGTATGTATCATTGTCGAGTAGTTAATTGCGGGGAAATGCCCGTTCACGAGATCAAATTCGTACTTCCTTAACAATGTCGCCCAAATCGTCTTGATCTGAACGTAAGCAAACTGTTCTCCAATACAACGATGCCGGCCGGCGCCGAACGGAACATAAGAAAACTTCGTATCCCCCGTTAGGTCCGGATTCAAATACCTAATAAATGTCTTATAAGCAAAGCGAACCTCCCAATCATATAAAAATACAGTAAAATCTTTCACACCTATCTGGATCGAAGGCATCTGGATTTTCCCATGCATCTTTGATCCGCTGGTTAACCGGTGGTGATACACAGATCTGGTGTCCGGCAGGTATCGTATATTCTTTCACGAACTGTCAAAATAAAGCGATGACATTTCTATCAATAATAGTACAACAGCCATTCCAACAATCCAAACGCTGTACACATTCACTTCCGCTGATTTTGGAATACCTGGTCAGTTTTGACCATTCGCATCATAGTCATGATAGGTGGACGCAACCGCAGCGTTTCTTTCACGCATCGATCCAAAATGTCCATATCGCGGATGTGCTCGTATGTCAGCGGTGTATGCAGATCACCACAAACCCGTTTCTGCTCTTCCACGATAGCGTCCTGCCAAAACATGCTTATTCGTATAAAACCGAAATGTTCATTTCAGTTAGATTTCACTGTCAGTGTCATATGCGTTTTCACATGCATTTTCAAACGCATTTCAAGCTAAAATATAATATCAGCTGTGCATTTAAGATGGCCACTTGGCCGGTGCAGTGGAATTACGAATACAGTAATTAATATTGTACCTGTTGCATCTCCGCTGATAAAATTAATGAGTCACCTACCTGGGTTGCACAACACCTTTTCCAAAAGTCATAAGTCAGCGTAACTCCACTCAAATATTACGCACATTCCATTGTCAATCGTAAAAGTTTTAAGTGTTGTTCGCACCTGCAATCGTTTATCTCGTGATATGTAGAACCCAAGCCAAGCACCAGTGGTCGAGGACGTATGCTGCCCGGCCATCAGCAACCCGATGAGCATACCGGCAATTTCATCATCGCTGAGCTGCCTGCCATCTCTAACAAAACAGTGAAAATTGAAATCCCAATAAATACGTCAGATATACTTAATCTATTTTCGACGCATGCGTTATCGAGCTGTACTTGTAAGCAGAATCAATCAGCGTCTGCAGCATATCGTCTGGTTTCTCTGGGGCCATGCGGCGTTTGGCAATGGCCTGATAGAAAATCTGTTTCATTTTCTTATGCGCGATATCCCGCCGCCGGAAGCTGGGCAGGGGCAGCCAGGATGGTAGTAACCAGGCTTCGTGCGAAAAGCCTCCATCTAAATCAGCGTACAGCTGTGCGACTTCTTCATTCAGCACAGAACGGATCTCCTGGCCATGCAGACAGCGACTGGCAGTCAGCACGATCAATTCCGCCATGGCTTCGAAGAGATTGCGGACACCACGATCGCCCCAACGCGCAAAATAGTCCTCCGTTTCCTCAACGAGCAGCGGGACGTGAGTGCGGAATTGTGCGATGTTCAAGCCGGTTTTGAACATCTTTTTCTGTTCCAGAAACACCTAAAGCATAACCAAGTAGCAATTAGCAAACCTAACAAAAACTACCGCACATTTCGAAGAACAATTATTAATACACAACGAAACCATGTTTTAGACTTTTAGGTACACAGTAAAATTCCAAGACTTATTTATACAGTGCAGTTTTTATTTTCTGATGCGCATATTCGGCAAATTAATACAAATGAGAAAATATTTTATCAGTAATCAAGCCAATAACGCCATTTTAAAACACTAAAACGATCACACACGAACGGAACAAAATTATGATTGTACAGTAAAGCAATTTCCGAAATTTTGTAAAACAAAGCAAATTATGTACAACAAACAATTATGTACAACATACAACTTGTTTGTTGTACATAATTTGCGGTACATAGTTATTGCTTAGTCGTACATAACCTGTCGTACACAATTTCGGACAAACAGTTTGTCCGACACGTTTTAAAATTTTTTTTTGTTTTTTGAGCTTACACTATTGGGGCAATCATAGGCTACTCCCTGACCAAACACGGGTGTCACTAGCTTGCTGTACACTTCTTCGGCGTTGAGATCTTCGTTCTTGCTGTTAAAGAACACAGCACTGGCCTCCGATCCGATAACATAAGTAAACGTACTGCCCATCATCCGCAAACTGAACACGGGTCCGTACTAAAAAACGTAACAACGCAGATGCAGCAGCCGTACGCATCATTCAGCATCTAAACTTTCCATAGTATTGCATTTCGTTCCGAAAATACGATTACTTTGTAATAAGCATCTTCCAGGAATTTGATGGGATTCATGCCAAACTGCAATGCACTGCCAACGAAAGGAATGGAGGAGGGAATCATCGGCGGCGGGTTCTACATCCCCAAAGAATGCGGAGTTGTGATACATCTGCTCCCAGTTCTGTAGAATACATGGGAATTTTCAAATACCTTCACCGACGATCTCCATCGCATACGAAGGAAGTACGCGATTGTCAGAAAAGCAATGGAAAGATAGGTGAGTGTGTATTTGCGATTGCAGCATGAGAATGCATCGCCAAATCGCTCCCAGAACAAATCAATCATCTTGTAAGCTCCTGTTCCCCTGCTCTAAACAGCACAACAAATATAAAAAAATAGATTGACAAAGTAGGCAAAAGTTGAAAGCCGATATATGATGCAGTATGCGAATGTTTCGCAAAGAAACTCAGCGAATTCAAAGTCCAGACAAAGTCGCAAACAGCTGATCTGAATCCTATTCTATGCGTCCAATCAAACGAGCATCGATTATCATCGCAGTATTAGAGTACCAGTGGCTATGTTCTATGGCTATGTTCTGTTGAATCAAGTTGAGGGTATGCCAGAGTAGTACATATCCAGTATTTGTTTGATTTGTTTTAGTTTATCACGTAACAAAGTTAAGAACATTTTCAAAAATTAATTAATGCAGTTAAGTCTTTCCTCACGCGAAGTGCACGACCGTTTATTCAACTTGGTAATCGCCAGACTCGGCCAGAGTCACCGGAAGTGGCAGCAGACCGCTCGGCACTGGCGCCGCTTCTTGTGATTGCCCTACTAAACGTTTTAGTTTTATTAAATACGAGTAGTATTTAATAAATATTATATTTTTATCCAGGCTTAGGCAGGTCTTGGCATACAGTTCGAGCGGTACGACTATTATCATATTATTATACGAGGTACCTTCATCATTCAGGGCCAATCTCTCTTTTATTTTTCGAAAATTAAACCGACGGTTGTAACTTGTAAGTGTTCCAGCATATAATTATAGTTCTATTGCAAACGAAGCCTGATAATGATTCGCGATAAAAACAATGCATTAAGCACATTCTGTTAAGATTCTTATTAGTTTGCAATATTGCCAGTTTGGCAGTGTACAGACGATCGTAATTCTTTGTTTCGACTTTTTGTTCATTTTTTATTGTTTCTTCTTTTGTCAACGGAAGACTCAGATATGCCGGTGAATTGTCGTTCGTACAATACTCACGGCGATATTCTGTTGAATTCATAAGCACAAAAGAAAGATGCTCTCGATAACGAAAAAAGAGTCCATGGAACTTTGTACATGCTCAATGCAATAATATATAATGTCACTCAGCTAGATTAATATTTATTAATCCACAAAATTAATATTTTACCACCGAAAATACAGCAAATTTAAGAGACAAACTACTTCCTGACCGCACACTTCTACATATATGCGCGCTCCATGTACGTTGACATTGCACTTGAATGAGGGTCTTATCACTCTTATGCGATAAAATTTTCTAACCACAAGATATACCGAAATTACAGAAAACGCTGCATGCAATATGAACATCCAGCTACAAACACAAATAAAATTCTAAATATACAATACTCTTTAAGACACGGGTTTAATTGTAGCCGGCTTGCCCAGTTTTAGCCGTATTAACCGAGAGACTGCGGTACAAGGTTCGCACGGGGTTGAACAGCAGTAGTCGGTTTTGACCAGATGCCCTTTGAGGGTCAACATTAATCATGTCGTCTTTCGATCGAGCGTCAACGGCTTCGTCCCTGGATGTGGCCTTATCGGGGCTGCAGTAGTAGAGTTGAATTTAGTTTGTGGTACACCAAAATTGAGCTAGATAACGTCATGTCAATATCGATTACTAATTATATTATTTAATAAGCAGATGTAGAAAGTGTACATACGCGTAGACAACCAGTACATACGCGTAACTGAATTCCCATATTGTTCGCAGCACGTAATTGTAGAACAATATCATAACAATGCCGGAAAGGTACAAACACCAATCCATCAACGCATAGGCAATGTGAAAACCATAGCCAAATTTTTGTATTCGCTCCACCGATTCGGAGGATATCCAAGGCCGCGGAGAACGCGAATGGAGAAACCGCTTTGGGAATACAGAGGTCATCATTTTAAACAGAGAGCTATGAAATATTTCGGTAGAAAAATTAGATTATTTTAATTAGTATTAAGACTTTGGTAGAACTAGTATTAAGACTTTAGTAAAACTGTTGTACTGTAATTGCTAGTACTTCTGTTCAGCCAGTTGCAAATAACATGCTCAACCGCTCACCCTTAAACCACGAATAACCAATTAAAGACACTACAGTGTCCATTTATATATTATACGAGTATACAGATATAATATATTGTATATTCTTTTACATAGGTGTAAGAAGTCTTCATTTGTAGACCAGACGGTTTTCTGGCAGTACTATGTTATCAGCAGCGATTGGTTAATAGGCATATTCGTACAATACCGCCATCGTGTAGCACCGGCGTGAAGTCCATCAACTGGTGTTCCGCTATTCCTATATATACAATACGTAGGTCACCAACACACCTTTGGACGATGGCGTGAGTAGGGCTGGTCATGAATTCTGGTGCAAAGGTCAACCTGTACAATTAATTGCAGCTCTTGCGGTGACATGGAATAGCTACGATAACGTTTATTTGAAGGCTGCAAGAGATACGGTTTGTGTCACTTCGTAATCAGTTTCTGCAACCTTTTTGGAATTTTTCATTGAGAAGCTTCTACGGTTGTAAATTTTAGTATCTTTTGTGAAGATGAGTAATACGTTTACTTATCAAAATAGTTTGCCTCGTAATCGTGGTGGACCGTACAAAACAACACCTGCGACGGATCTCAGCCGCTGGCGTTTGACGAATGTCGGTGGACGGCAGACGTGGAGATATTACGAAGAGAACGAGGAATTACCACGAGAGCAGACGTTTTTGGAGAAGCATTCACTAGGGCTGATGGTACGGGACAAGCGCATGCTTAATCCAATTTCCTAAATAATATTACACGTCAATACCTACATACGTCTAAGTGACCGGTCTAACATCTATTTAGAAAGTTGGACCAAATGTAATTTATATAGCGAAAGTACACGGCACTGTAATCGGTACACGCTATTATTACGAGTAGTAAAGATAAAAAAATTAATCTTGGTCTTTACGACTAGAGCGCAGCCGGTGCTTTTTTGGAACAAACATATTGTGATGCAGTACTGTAATTAATTATATAGTTCCCGCCTTCGGCAGCTTGTTGTGTACTTTTAAGTAATAACCGTACCAATCTGGCTTTGTTATCGATTTTAAGGATGATGAAGAATTTGTGGACACTCCAGAAAACATTTACGATGCACTGCAAAAAGGGATGGAATTCTACGCTCAGTTGCAAGCGGAAGACGGACACTGGGCCGGTGATTACGGTGGACCGTTGTTTCTGCTACCGGGATTAGTTATTGTGTGCTACATAACCGGCACACCGTTCTCGGAAGCACAGAAAAAGGAGATTATCCGCTACCTGCGCTCTGTGCAGTGCCCAGGTGGAGGATGGGGGTACGTAATCTAACTGCAGCCTACAAAACAGGACACCAGCTGAAGGATTACAATCTTTAAAAACGGCGTAATAAAATAATTTATTCCACGACGGTTTCTTTATATTTTAAAAGTGCACCAGGTATTGTTGTGAGAGTCTTTCTGCTGGTTGAATGTAGCGGCGCGTCTATTGTTTAACTGATATATGATTTGATTGCACTGCGCGTACAGGTAAGTATTTAAAAAAATTTAACTAATCCCTTTACTTTTGTTCAGGCTGCATGTGGAAGGACCACCCACCGTATTCGGCTGCGCTCTGAACTACTGCACAATGCGCATTTTGGGAGTTGCTGCGGATGACCCGGATGTTACGCATGCCCGAAAACTTTTGCATACATTGGGTAATAATCACAGTGCAACGCAGTAAATCTGTTTTTCAAACACTTCTATTGGTAGCATTTGGATGTTACTGCACTGATGCTCTTAAAGCTGGTATTACTATGGTCAAATGACGGTTAATCTGTTCGTAATTTTTCTCAACATTAGGAGCACTGGCCATTCCATCGTGGGGAAAATTCTGGCTGTCGGTGTTGAATGTATACGACTACGACGGGATGCACAGCATATTCCCGGAGATGTGGCTGCTTCCGGAATGGGTACCCATTCACCCATCGAAGTTGTGGTGTCACTGCCGACAAGTGTACCTTCCGATGGGATACTGCTACGGACGCCGGTTGAAGGCAGCGGAAACGGATTTGGTGCGACAGCTGCGGCAAGAGCTGTACGTGGAGGATTATTCCACCATTCAGTGGAAAGCGCATCGGGATAATATATCGCCGGCTGACCTTTATACGCCACACAGTTGGCTTCTCAAGATTGGTTACGGTAGGTGTTGCATCGTAGACGGCAATTTTGTATAAACTTTTGTTTAGGTGCACAGCGTCCGGACTATTTGGTACACTCGTTGAATGTTTTCGGTTATTTTAGTTGTTCTGGATTTTTGTGAGAAGTGGCATATACCAACCTTTCGGAAGAAAGCTCTGGATAAATGTTATGATCACGTGTGCGCAGATGATGTATTCACAAAGTGTATCAGCATTGGACCGGTATGCCACTGTCCTGCACTATATGAATGCATTTCGCATAGACGTTAAAGTTTGCTGCATCTCGATAGTTAAATAATATATTTTACAGATTTCAAAGGTGATCAACATGTTAATCCGATGGTCAGTGGACGGTCCAAGCCATCCGGCATTTAAAATGCACCAGGATCGAGTGCAAGATTATTTGTGGCTGGGCCTGGATGGGATGAAAATGAGCGGGACGAACGGCTCACAATTGTGGGACACCGCGTTTGTTGTACAAGCTTTTTTGGAGGTACTTCATTTCTGTTTTTTCTTTATCGCCGGTAGATTTCGATATTACTCTCTTTACAAATTTTTCAATTATGTAAGAATTTGTCGTCTCAAATTTTTCAATTATGTAAGAATTTGTCGTCTGTCTTATTGCTGCAATTTTAAACCGATTACAGGCTCGAGCTGCGGAAAATCCGGCACTCGTACCGAATCTCGTTCGCGCCTACGAGTTCATCGACTTTTCTCAAATTCCCGAAAGCCCTGCAGATTGCGTTGCGTTCTACCGACATCCTAACAAAGTATGCAACCCTAAGATCGACAAACATAACAACATCCAGTTGTGAATTACTGTAATTAACACATCTGTGACTCAGTTATACGAGAAGCAGAAACCTTTTCATGACTAGAGTAATCGCTAACCATAGTGCTTTATATACGCAGTTATTTAATTATGCTATTGTAATAATAAAATGATTTTGAAGGGTGGTTGGCCATTTTCCACACTGGATTGTGGATGGATTGTAGCAGACTGCACAGCGGAAGGTTTGAAAGGTATCCTATATTTGGAGAAGGAGGCCAGTTTAAAAAAGTCCATCTCCACTTTCTCTTCTGAAAGGTTACGAAATGCCGTGGATGCGGTTAGTTGAAATGTCGTCTGCTCGTTGAATATTACTTATAAGACACAAATCTCGCTAACAATTGATCTGTTTTAGCTTATATCGTTTACAAATGAGGATGGCGGATTCGCGACATATGAAACCAAACGCGGTGGCCACTTACTGGAACTGCTAAATCCATCGGAAGTCTTCGGGGATATCATGATCGACTACACTTACACGGAATGTACATCGGCAGTTATGCAGGCACTCATCGCGTATCGCAAGAGAGATCCAGAGTATCGTGCAGAAGAAATCAGGCAATTAAAACACAGTAGTTCATATAATTATGTGATCGTAATTATAATTTTGTATTGCGTAAGGTCAATCTGATTTCGAAAGAACTAGTCGAATAAAACAATCGCCAAGTACGGCTGTTTTTTTACCGTATTATCATAAACTTTGTTACTGACTTCCCGACGACCAACACACCTGTAAGTCACTGAGTGATGTTCATGACCTTTGCGCTATTGCAGATTGATTCTCAGTAACGGTTTGGAATACATCCAGCGGAAACAACTACCGGACGGATCGTGGGAGGGCAGTTGGGGCGTGTGTTTCACCTATGGCGCATGGTTCGCCCTCGAGGCCTTTGCTAGCATGGATTACTTGTACAAAATTCAATCCAGTGATGGGTACGGATGCTTATACCGCTTTACATCAACGCGATTATCGCTTGGTTGTTAGAATTTTTACGGCTTTCCCGGGACAAATACCGGTCACTTATAATATCAGCGAAAACTGCGCAATGCGAAAACAGTTTGAGTTCAGCAAGAGTACAAGAGTACTGGTTTTGCAGAGGCCAAAACGAAGCCGTTCTAAAGGGCTGTATTTTCCTGAAACAGTACCAGAACGACGACGGGGGATGGGGCGAAGATTTCGAGTCCTGTGAACAGCGACGATACGTTCCTAGCGCAGCATCGCAGGTGGTCAACACTTGCTGGGCATTATTGGGACTAATGGCTGTACAGTAAGTCACTATGAAATTATATCAATCCCTAACTATACGCAGCACAGATACACATAATTATGTGCGTGAGAAATTTATCATTGAAATACCATGCGTGTATTTGTACGTTATATTATATATTACACGCAAAACTAAGGAACTTCTTATAAAAAAAACAGTTAATTAATTAAGTACGATAATGGTAAATACTAATTGCACTAATTACAGATATTCGGACAGATCAGTCGTGGAGAAGGGTATCAAGTTTATATTGAGTCGACAACGGAAGAATGGTGACTGGCCGCAGGAAAACATTAGCGGTGTATTCAACAAATCTTGTGCGATTAGTTACACTAGCTACCGCAACGTGTTTCCCATATGGACTTTAGGTCGCTTTGCGTACCATTACCATCCATCTGCGCAGTGACAATGAATTTAATTTCTTGTAAATTTTCCTGTTGTTTGGTTTTGTTTCGTTATCAAGATTCTCACCGGTCGCTTCATGTAGCTCAAGCATAATATCGCGAACCAATTAAATGATCATTTGCGCCAGAATGTCGTTAAGGGAAAACATATTCTGTGCTACAGTAGCACTTATTGGGTATATGAAAAATTTTCATTCCATCGCGTGACATAATATGCACAATTTTCTTGTATATCAAATATCTTGAACTGTAATTCATTTCATTTCAAATACATATTTGAATATTTGAATATTTATTTGAATGCATATTTGAATATTCATACTGACAAATCACATGCACACTTGCGCAAACGGTAGTGCTTGCTATTGTCCTTGCAATTTTAATTGCTGTTTTGCAGGTAAGAAAATACAAGTTTACCGTTAGGTCAAGTTTCAAAATTATATATCGGATTTTGTAGTACACCAGACGGGCTTATCACTTACTACGTGTTCTGCGGCGCATAACTATCGAGGAGATAGGAGTACAGAGTAGAAAGCTGTCCAACTGGTAGCAAAAGATCCGACTAAATTTACTTTCTATTCCCCGAAGCTAAATCAGAATGTTTGTCCCTTTCGTTGTCACTCATGCTTTGCTACTCATTTCTTAAAATTGTTAGCCCGTTGCAATGGCGAGTCTGGATCTTGTAAATAATATTGAACATCGTGACAGTATCTTAATTTTATTGCTATTTTGCACGCTGCCCGCTTATCATTAGACCATTCGGATTTTACGACAAATTTGTAAATTGTTGTGAATAGCGTGGCACCATTATTATTACCTAACCTTGTGAATATTTATAACAAATCGAAATCCCAAGTTTTCTGAATTTTATCATTTATGTATTATGGATGGGTTTTCTGGTCAAAACAATCTCCGTAATTGTGGCGGAAACAACAGCGCACCGGCTTCAACCGATCCCAGACGCTGGCGTTTGATCTGCGACTCCGGACGACATACATGGAGATATTATGAACAACTTGAGAAGCTGCCTAGGGAGCAAAATTTTTTGGAACAACATGCGCTGGGACTGACTATAACTGTAGGTATCGGAGTTATTCCTGATTTCTAGCCGGGCTGTAACATCCTGAAAATGCGGTATACATATATGACTGGCCGCCGTTAGCATATAAATGATTCAGTTACCCTCTAGCTTTCTTGAAATAAAATTCATCGGCAGTATAATCTGAAACTCTTTATTCCATTATTATCTTTGGACGTTGGTGCGTATGTAAATTGCCATTTAAACGATTATGACAGTTACCAGTTAGAAATACACTGAAGATAAAATAAGTAACGAAACATATAACAAAGATGTGTGCGAAATTGCTTATGTCGATTAAATATTATAGTGTGTAATTCAACGTATCTGTGATGATTGTCGTCTACAGAAAGATGCTGATGAGAAATGTAATGGCAGAGCGAATACTGCTGAAAATGCCCTTCAAAGAGGAATGACGTTTTACGCAAATCTACAAGCGGAAGATGGACATTGGCCGAGTGATTACAGCGGGCCTCTTTTTCTTATTCCGGTGCTGCTTATTGCTTGTTATGTAACAAATACCTCCATTTCCGATGCTCAAAGGAAAGAGATGGTTCGGTATTTGCGTTCCGCGCAACGTGTGGATGGTGGATGGGGGTAATCATATTCAAGCTAAGGCGTTCGAATGCGCGCCACTGCAGTTTTGGCGACAGGCAAGCATACGTTAGACTATCCCGTTTTCTTATCAGGCTTTACATCGAAGGACCGGGAACAGTATTCGGAACCACCTTTAATTACTGTGCTATGCGCATTTTGGGCATTGGTGGTAATGATCCTGATTTGGTTCGGGCCAGGAAATATTTGCACCGGTTAGGTAGGGTGGAAAATCGACTTTGTGTGTTTACGTTATAATATACGAGTAAATCTTAACGAAGCATGGATTGCAAGTACGGGAAAAAATTATTAATGACATATATGGATATACTGTGTTAAAATGTTTAGCATGCTAGACATTTAAATTTTTTAACAGACTGCGCAGTCTTTGATTTTTAGGAGGAGCATTGACCATTCCATCGTGGGGCAAGTTCTGGTTGTCGGTGTTGAATGTATACGACTACGACGGGATGCACAGCATATTCCCGGAGATGTGGCTGCTTCCGGAATGGGTACCCATTCACCCATCGAAGTTGTGGTGTCACTGCCGACAAGTGTACCTTCCGATGGGATACTGCTACGGACGCCGGTTGAAGGCAGCGGAAACGGATTTGGTGCGACAGCTGCGGCAAGAGCTGTACGTGGAGGATTATTCCACCATTCAGTGGAAAGCGCATCGGGATAATGTATCGCCAGCGGACCTTTACACACCCCACAGCTGGCTTCTAAAACTGGCATACGGTACAATGTACATACATTCACGCATACTATTACGACCACGAAGAATTGTTTTATTTCAAGAACAGTGAATTCTTTATCAGTTCATACAGGAAGGTATATGCAGTGTTGTATGGATGAATATGCACTATTGTATGTTTAGTTATCTATGATTATACGCGCTGTTGTACGTTTAGTTTTCTTGGACTATTACGAAAAGTGGCACATACCGTTTATCCGAGAAAAAGCTTTGGGAAGGTGCTACGACAACATTTGCGCCGATGACGAGTTCACTAACTTCATCAATATTGGCGCGGTACATCGTTCTAAGAAGGATGAAAATTTTATGAAACTTTCCTCGATAAATTCAAACACATATAAAATGCTTTTAACGAATATCTTATAGGTCACCAAAGGCCTGAATATGCTTGTGCGATGGTCAGTTGATGGCCCCCAGCACCCGGCTTTCCAAATGCACCAGGAACGCATTAGCGATTACCTGTGGCTTGGTTCGAATGGGATGAGAGTCAATGGAACCGATGGCTCACAGCTTTGGGATACCGTCTTCTCAGTTCAGGCATTCCTGGAAGTGGGTAGCTATAGCAGCAACTAAAACGCTGGTGCTGGAAAACTGCATATCACCCTGTATCATATGTACATTTTTTTATCTGCCAGGCTGGAGCCGCCAAAGACACAGCTTTTCTTCCTGTACTTCGTCGCGCCTACGAATTTATAAAATCTTCCCAAATACGCGAAGATCCTCCAAACTACACGGTATATTATCGTCAGTCTTGTAAAGTAAGTACTTCGTATACAGATCTGTACTTGCTCATCATAATGCAACAGTTGCCGCTGTCAGGCATAATGTGGCTATCGATAATATGTTGAATACCTACAGTTTAATAACTTTGTGAAAAATAATTTATAATTAAAAAAATCAAATGAACTTATGGCATTCTAAGCAGTAGAAAGGAATACGCTACTACTTCCAAAGGAACGAGAATTCGAGAAGATAACTCTTTAGGTAATTAAGATATTTTTTGTAGCCGTTTATTTTAAGCAATCATAACGAATCACGTTTTACTGCGCAGAAATTAATTAATAAAAAAGAATGCAGCATATACTAATACTTACGAAGTAGTTCAGTTAGTTTTCTGCAGTATGGCTGGACATTTACGACACGGGATGGCGGTTGGATGACCCCTGACTGCACAGCAGAAGCCGTAAAAAGCCTCCTGTGTCTAGAACACGGTCCGGAAAGCATTGAACCAATTCCCGTGGAAAGGTTACATGGTTCCGTCAATTTGGTGCGTTGGCATTGCACCGATGTGCCGCACCGTGCATAAAAAATACACTTAATTAAGCTCCACCACGAATATATCTGAAGTATTTCCGATTTTATCTCCCATAGATTTTGTCAGGAGGTACAGACTGTAGCAGTTGTATTTTTGTTTCAGCTTATATCGCTGCAAAACAAGAGTGGAGGATTCTCCAGTTATGAAAAGCAGCGCGGAGGTCACCTTTTGGAGTTGCTGAATCCGTCGGAAATCTTTGGCGATATTATGATTGATTATTCGTACATAGAATGTACGTCTGCAGTTTTACAAGCAGTCAACTTGTACCAGAAAACTTATCCTACTTACCGAGCAAGTGAAATTCGGTATGAACTATGCTTTATAATTATGAACTTTTATAAAAGTACTCTGTATGTATTGACCATTCGTCTAGTGTTACGAGCCGAGCATGCGTGTTTTGTAAGCGATCGTTTTTATTTCATGGAAAAAAATGAAACTTTTAACAGTCTAAACAACAATTTTGTATTCGCATGCGCTGCTCTGTGTTAGAGTAGTGCATACAGATCTGATTGTGGAAATTATACGTTGGACCAAACAGCTTTACTAAAGGTTCAATATCTATATATAAAAATGCGTCACGCGCTGGTCGTTCAAATTCTAACTGTTCTAAGTGCTTGGTTGTTTTAGTGAAATTATGCATCGCGGATTAAATTTCATAAGAAGAGAACAACGTGAAGACGGATCCTGGGAAGGTCGTTGGGGCGTGTGTTTTACATACGGCACGTGGTGGGCGCTGGAAGCTTTGGCTTGTATGGGATACCACTATAATACGGTCAAGTACGATGGCGAAAATTGTAGACAATATAAATTTTAGCTATTATTAATTACACTATGTCTCTGCATTTTCCAGTCAAAGTGAATCAGTGCGCAAAGCTTGTAGCTTCCTTAAAAATTACCAAAACGACGATGGCGGTTGGGGTGAAGACTTTGAATCCTGCAAACAGCGGAGATACATCCGTAGTCCAACATCGCATGTAATCAGTACATGTTGGGCATTATTGGGTTTAATGGCTGTCCAGTACGTTCGACTGATTTGTTTAATAATTAACTGGTGCTTTGTCACTAACACACTATCGGGTGTGCTTATATACACTAACGGTACCTTTATATACAGTACCCTGCCACAAGCGTTTTTCATCTCAACAATACCTTGGATTGCAGGTACCCGGAAGTGTCCATCGTGGAAAAAGGAATAAGGTTTATTGTCAGTCGCCAGTTAGAAAATGGCGACTGGCCACAGGAAGCAGTTAGCGGTGTGTTTAATAAGTCTTGTGCCATTAACTACGCCAATTACCGGAATATTTTTCCAATTTGGACACTCGGTCGTTTTATTGCGCGCTATGGTCAGAATTTTCTTTATTATACATAAAGTAATAGCAAAACTGTTGATTATTGGTTATTTTTTATTGTTAAATATTTTCGGATTGCGATATTTGTAGTGTTTTGCAATTTAATTGTAAAACGATTCCACACTGTACTACAAAGCGGCTCTAGTCCGAATCCTGGAGCCTTTAAAACACTTTAAAACTCTTAAATCTAACCCTCGACCCGAAACGCATTCGGTCCAAGACCATACGGAAACTTAGTGCATTGCAAAATCTGCACGCGACTTCGATACGCACAGACATTTTTTACTGATTATGGTACGAGTACAATACAGTCATACGCACTTTGTACGCATCATGCAGCTTTATGACATTTGAATTCAACAAATGATGCAAGTTCAGTGAAATGCTTAAAATCTAGTAAATCGGAATACGAACGTTAATACTGTATATCTGTAATGGCAGAAGTATTGCACGCTAATAAAAGAATTTTGCCAGAAGCGACAAACTAAACAACCTCTTTTCGTCGGTTTTCGATCGGTTTCTTCAAGTAGTTTGCAAAGTGCATTTCGGTCACAGATCATATGAGCAGCATACCGATTTACTCTCTGAAACGGATTTTCTCGAACTATACTACGGTGGCATTTTGTATGTTGTGTATATAAATATTTACACGCACATCCGGGAAGGTTCTCCTTTAGTTCTCCTATACATTTGATAGCAGCTGACGCCTTTCCAGAACATCAGCATATCAATTAGTGAACCGGCTAATTTATTCATCCGTTGGCATTACTGACCACAATTTATTCAGTTTAGTTATCGCTGTTCTGCTTGCCTGTGGATTAATTTATGGCCATGTCGAAAGCAAAAGTCGATGACGCTCCTCGTCGCTTCCTGGGCATCCCAATGCTGAAAGGTCACTCTCTCTTCCGCAGTCGCAGTCAGGAATCTTTCAATGAGACCATTGAGTTCAATGATATCCCTAAAAGAACGGATTCCAGTGGTAATGTGACGGCAGCCAACAGAGAAAAGCCGTTCGCCGAAGGAATGGAAACATTCTCCATGAGCTCCAGTTCCAAGGAAGATTTGTCAAAGATTGCCGAGAAACCACACAGTAAAGGCGTTACAAAGCCGAAACCATCACCGCGCCTAAACCGGCGCGAAATGATGCAGGCACCGTTTCGCATGATGACGTACGACGATGTGGTGCCAGTATACGATTATTCCCTAAACGCTCCGCCGCCTGCCGGTGGTCCACCTATCCCGGGAGTTGGTGGAGGAGGACCGAATTAATCTTGCACCATTAACATTAAGTACATTGTTCTCGTATTTCTCATTTTACCAAATAGCTTTACTAATGAGAGACATTTTTTTAAAATAATCGCTGTCCAAATTGCTGACGCCAATATTACTCAGTGTACGTACGTACCTGCACGGGCTCCGTGTGCGCGTGGTATTATTAATCTCCTGTTTTACAATGAAATACAGTACTATGTCAGTGTTATTTTTGTTCTTGGTTTCACAAATAAAGTTAACCATAACCACAGTTGCGATGCAAATACGCATTTATTAATTTATTATTACCAAGCACACTTTAAAATCAGTGTGCGTTATTCAGTTTGTAACCGTGCTTGTAAGTACTTAATTCTGGCATGTATTTTATAGAGATAGCGGAAGTTTTTTAGCACTGACACGAACAGCGTTTGGTCTGTATTATATAATTAATCTTAACTATCTATAGACTACAATTAATGACTTCTTGCAAAAAAAGTTAAATATTTCCTCCGGCCTTCACAGTCAATGCTAACGTTGTCTGTGCTTGGAACTCATTTTCCGGCATCGTTCCTGGCACATAGTGCTGGTTGCCGGTAATGGCTCATCGGAAGTATCATCTCCTCCACCCATTGACCAGCTTCTTTGCACGCGACATTTGCATCCAGTCGAAATTCCCGCAGTATCGTCAGGTGTATCGTCTCCGCCACCCATGGTCCATTTCGTAGCAGCTGTAGAACATAGCAGCGATGCAAGTGTTCCAAACACAATGATGGCTAATAAAGGCTTCATTTGGGTAGGAGGTACAAACAACAGCGGTGCAAAAGTACAAATAATTTTATTATTAGCAGCTACTTGTAGCTAATATTAATGGTGTTTTAATAATGCTGATGTGCATACTAATTGTATGGAGTGTACCGTATTCATTTATTACTGGTAAATGCGTTCCATTGGTGATATGAATGTGCACACCCGCGGTACTGCCAGAAATTTGGCACATTTTCGTAAAATTGTACACGTGTGCTTTTGTAAATTATCCAAAAAACTGAGCATTGATGCCTGTAGGGGATTCAAGGAATAATGGTTGGTTCAGGCGTTTTTTATTTCGATTACAGCTGCATCTACATTCACTCTTACTTGTTAGTTAGCCAAATTCACGAAAAACCTACTACGTGCAAAAGAACAGCAAAACGTCATATACTTACCATAATACCAATAACGGTGCGTGCAGGTATAGGGTATGATATTACAGACCATTCTTTAATGAACAATTCTATTAGATTCTTATTCTAAGAGCGTTCACAACTTTATAAATATACTTCAGATGAATAGTTTTTGCATTTGCGATGAATGATGCAGTTGACTAATAGTGCTGGCCTTTGTAATACGCACATTTCTGCAACGCCTCAAATGTCTGGAAAAAATCATCATCTTTAATGCTACGTTGGAAATCATCATTATCATCACTAATGGAATTGCGCTCAAAATTTTGTTGTTTAATTTGTATGAAAAATAGTGCAGACAACATGTTATACCATCCAGTTTACCGTACGACGTTTTACTATGGTTTATTCAATAATACTCGATTTTAAATTGTAAAACAAACTTGTAGCAGTTTTGATTGGGATAAGCGGATTTGAGCGCATAATTTTTACTTAATTCTGCTGCATCAGCAAAAAAATCATGACAAAATATTGGATCTGCATAACAGCCCAGGAACAAAATGATGTATATGCAAATCTATCCAAATGCGTTCGTTTCTATTAACATATCAAACTGTGACGAACGCTAAAGCCGACCGAAAATGAACTCTTAATGTTACGAGACAATTACGCCAATGATTGATTGTACCTTAAACCAACGAAAATGACTCACACCGTTAAACAAAAGTGCCCCCGCATTTGCTAGCTTCATAATAGAATCCATTCCTTATTACAGAAAACAACCGATACGTTACATAGCATATTACACACAAAATTTGAGCGGTTACGAACTTACACCTTTGTGGTCACTCTGACAAATATCTGTACATGAAGTACGGAATTTTCAGCGATTGTATCCAAAATGTTAACGTTGTCCATGCAAACACATGAGCATCCTAACCGGCACCGAGGTGCATTCTGACCATTTACACTGTGGCAAGAAAAAACGTTCCTCGGCGTTGTCCGTCAGATGACAGCTTGTATAATACAGTTACAGTGTGTTGATACACACGAACAAACATTTATCAGGGGTCTTGTTTAAAATAGTCATGGAACGTCCGAAGATTAGTGCCTTTTCTCAGACTATATCTCTATCACACATACATGCCCCGGCAAAGGTATATAAAATCCGCCACGGTGCTCTCCATCTTCCATATCATCTCTTCCGATCCGTCAGCTAAAGGTCATCAGTTTAATTCTGCTTAACACTGCTCGACCGGAAAATGGTACAGAGTACCGCGGTGCTTGTAGCGTTGCTGGGTATAACCGCTGTCTATGCCGGGTCATATGGTGGCGGTGGTGGAGGATTATACGGTGGCGGTGGCGGGTACAACAGCGGATATTATGGTGGCGGGGGACTGCAGTATGGTGGCGGCGGGTACGGTGGTGGAGGTTATGGCGGCGGAGGGGGCCTGTACGGAGGAGGTGGACTATATGGAGGTGGCGGATTATACGGAGGCGGGTTAAACAATGGTGGATATTATGGCGGCGGAGGGGGATTATACGGTGGAGGTGGGCTGTATGGCGGTGGAGGATACGGTGGTGGAGGCCTTTACGGCGGCGGCGGTTACGGTGGCGGTGGGTTGTACGGAGGTGGCGGGTACGGGGGATACGGTGGAGGTTTGATGGGCGGTTACGGAGGAGGATACGGTGGCGGAGGGTACGGAGGCGGAGGGTATGGAGGTGGCGGGTACGGAGGTGGAGGTTATGGAGGCGGTGGTCTCATTGGAGGGGGATACGGAGGAGGATACAACAGTGGTGGATACGGTGGATACCAGAGCGGTCTGTCCGGCAGTTTTTACGGCAAAAAATAACGCAAACTATAACTGCTTTTTTTTACAACGGGTTTACATGACGTTTAAGTTGATACTCGTAAATTATTTGACCCTTTTCAAATTGCAAAGAGTGGCAGAAGTAATCTTTTATAAAGGTCACTGAAGTTAACGTTAAAATCAACGACGACATGCTGTTTCACGTTTTCAGTAAGGCCCTTATTAGAAAAAAAACCATTGATTTGGAATTCCAGGGCATTTGGAAGTATTAAGGATGTGTTAAAAGTAAATGAGCTGGTATGGTGTCAGCCTTTTTGTTGACTGCCGGAGATATGTCCATAATAAATTAAAACATTAGCCCTGTGCGACCTCCGTATAAAATGTGAATTGCTTGCATGCATTATTTGCACCCGCATGACCGCATGATGCTCGTAATATTAACCAAGAAAAAAGGGACAGGAAAAACAGGCGTACTGAATGGAACACCGTGAAGATTAACGACAAGAACATCTGCAGTGACTCGTTTTGAATAAGTACGAGTACGTTAAAACTTGCAATTAGGCTAACACTTTATGCACTACGTATGGGAATCTTTAATTTTATTTCACTCGCTACCTTGTTCTACATTACCATGAATACTCGTACAAAACTGTAAAACAGCAATACCAAGGTAAAACAGCAATATGTACGAGTCATGTGTGACGTCTCGAGATTCCAGTTAATTATAAATCCCAGCCCTGTGCAATAATAGCACACAGTTTTCCACAGTACTCCAAGGCATCTCTCATCGCATCAGTTCAAACTTCGTTACAACTTTGGGTACATGGCGCTCCTCAAACTCTCCAGAGAAAACAGGCACGCGGGCACCGAGACTTACTTGCAACACTCGTAACGAAAACTGAACTGACCTTTATTATTGCTCAATAAATTACATGCTCTGAAAGTCTGAATTACAAACCATATAAATTTTACTCAAGTTATCAACATGCCTGCTTACCGCTTTTTAAACTTTCGAATGCAAACCAACGCTTACGCTGAATTCTCCATTAATGCACCCAGAAATACTTGCTGGTGCGTGACTGCCTGCAGACGGATGTCGGCACAACAAGTGGTTACAAACTCGGTTTAAGGTTATATTTGTGCCGCTGCCCGCAGAATATAGTTCTTGTTTCGATGTCAATCAAAGATGAGATGTGATAAACATTTTCGATGCGTTATCAAATGCAAATCAGAGTTTCTTACCCAGAAGAAAATATTTTAACACAGTCGTTGTGTAAGTCAACATCAAATGGTCTCGGCGAAATTTCCCCACAATTTAGCGTGCAATTTGGCATAGGTGATAGGTCTGATACACCACTGCAGAATACACGAGTACATATTTATTTTTAATGAGCCTTAAATTAGAGTGGTTTTTATTAGCATTCTGGATTTGAAAAACCTCCAGCTTTAATTAAAAAGCTTGACTGCATTTGTAAGATGCACTCAACTGGATTATTACTTTTGTTGGTCGGCACAATATTGCTGGTAAACGTTCTGTAATGATGTTGTATTAGGTGTAATCCGCTTCTATGCTATTATTTAATTTGCAGCTTCCATATTTTATACTCTAGCTTTGTTACAGTAATGCACATTTCTAGGCATAGGTCCGTTTTTTTTTGTACGTATGTTCTGTAGATCGACTGCCGCCGAACTCAGGCACAAGATACTCTAAGAGTCCTCCTCTCTGCGTGGGAGACTCTCTAGTGCCGATCTACCGGAAACGGGAGCGAGACAAGGATAAAAAGGGACTTTTTATCATAAAACCGAAAGCATAACATCTCTCTAAAAATCATCATCACCAACTGACAATCTATAGCTCACAATATACCTGCGCTAACGCTGCTCTACCATACGCCGCTACGTAAGCCTCACGCAATCGCCGAAAAGGTACGGCGCGATGCCGTTGGCGGAAGATAGCGAAAGGGCGGATCGTAATACCTGCGATCAGGTATACGATCTAAGCGTGAAAGCCACTGCACTGCGATCTGAGCCTGCTGGGACGAGGGCGTAAGTCCCTCTCATGCCACTGGTGGGGACTCGAGGTCCTCCGAGAGCCTGGCACCCCCGGTGCCGCAACCAGCGATATGCATGAGTGTGCAAGTGGGAGAATCCGCATCACGCCACAGTTTCACGATACTGCCGCAAAACCGAAGCGCGGAAATGGATTCCCGTGACTGCATGGTCTCTTCACTGCGTATAAGCCTGCAGCTGACCGAAGTCACTATAAGCGTTTACCTAAATTCGCAAAAATAAAGACAATAAGCGGGTTACGCGAAGCTTCATACGTTTACGAATGCTGCAATTAAGCGGACAATTTTATCGCAAAGTTAGCGCAAGTATATCATTCACCGTACAATAAAAAAGGAAAATTCTAAACAATTATTGATAAAGTTAAGATCCATCGAAATGGGAGATTAGATAAAAACATAACATGTTACTTTGGTCATTCCGGGTGAGCAAAACAGGAAATGAAGGTTAATCCATTCCAAGGATGATCCACATGAATTCGTCCATAATCCCATGAATTTTCGCCTTTAATCCGATTTATCCTTCTCGCTCGTCTCATCATCAGTGATATCAGCGTTAGAAGCGTTGGGAATTTTATCGCCTTCCGTTTTATCATCTACAGCAGGTGTTTCGCCTTCAGCTTTCTTATCAGTTTCGCCTCCATTCTCAATGTCGCGTATGTGAGAAACGTTAAAATTCAAATTACCAAGCTTGTCCACCAAGGTGGCCTCGTTAGCCGATTCATCCGTAGACACGTACATACGCTTAACCAGCGGTTCGCCTGGTGGCAAATGTGGTGATCCGGATGAGCCTTCCGGAGACGTCAGGGAGCGTTTGCCAAGAGTGATCTTGGAAGCCTTGGTTTCCATACGCTGTCGCAGGATTGAAGTCCAGTACTGATAAGCGTCCTGGGGCTTTTCGACCAAAGTCGCTAAGCCTTTTGTAGCCTTATTCGCCATCCCGCGTGCGCGTGCACTTTCCAACATTTCAAGCTGCAGTTGCTCATTGGTAAGCGGTCCAAGCGCGGTAATTACTGTCTTCAGCGGATGGTCAGCATTTTCTTTCATTTTCATTCGCTTATCCAACTGGGAATGGCTGTAAGCATGTCCACACATGGCGGCAAACATCAAGCGAAACAATTCATCGTACTGAGCCTTAATCGCTGGGTCATTAAAATTAGCCTTTCGGCGAGCCTTCAAATCGCGGTAGATGTCCATCAGATGCACGGTACATTTCGCGGCATACAACATCAGAGCTGGATTAGCTTTCGCGGAGATAAACTGGAAAAGGTGCGCCAAATGGGAAGTTTTGCCGAAATACTTAAACTGGCTCAGCCTTTCATAGTCGATGGTGTTAATTTTGTTGGTGAATGTATCCAAGCTGAGAGCTGATTCCATTCCATTGGCGCGAAAAGCGTTATACGTCAGCTGTGTGTCTTCAGGTTTAGGCTTATCCGTGTAATAATTCACATCTTGCATCGCTTTTTCCATATTCACTTCATCCATAAACGCGTATAAGCGGTTGACAAACATTTCACAAGTAATCGCTAGACTTCCATGCGTTTTAGCTGCATTGGATAAGCCGAGATGATTGAAGATTCTTTCAGCCTGATCCATAGCGTTCATACGCTGAGGGAATGGCTCCCATCTGGTAGCGGAAGACTGTCCAGTGCGCGTATTCTGCTGAGTAGTTCGCTGTTCTGAACGCCGATCTGCACGCTGATCTGTAGGCTGGCGATATTCGGTGAACTGACGCTGCTCGCCACGCTGACGCTGGTCGTCGCTTTGACTGTGGTTAGCCGTATTCTGGAAATTTAAGCGTTCATGGTTATAATCAGCCAGTTGTGTTTTTAAAAGAATGAGCGTTTGGTCATTCCGCGATCTATTTTCGATACGTACTGTTCCCAATGGGCGATCTGCATTTCGCGTCCAGTCGTCAGAGGAAGCTTTCTGGAACGACGGCTTAAGCGGGACAGATTTCCAATCGCTGATGTTCTCTTCGGTTTCGTCAGCGTATTTCATTTGTGCGCGGCGTAATTCATGAGGCGGGTGAGGAAGAAGCGCTTTATTCGCGGTAGGTGGAGCTGACTGAATGGACGGAATCGCGATCGCTTCAACCATCTGCCAGCCGGGTTCATTTTTCGCCTTGAAATGCAGAATAGCCTGAGCGATCCCGCGGTGGTATTGCTGATTATTCATCGCGTAATTCCACAAACCCATATGCTTCAAGCCAAGTAGCGCTTCTGAGTTTCCGCATACTGCCTCCGAGTACAAAGCGTAGACGCGATCTTCGAGTTCCGCTCGTCCTTTCATAAGGCAGCCGACACATACGCGGTTGTTTAAGTTGATCTTGCACGGAAAACAGCTGTCAGGATTGTATAAGCCGGAGAACGCCATGTTCTTACGCGATATTCTGCAGAACAAGATGAAAGCGGAATTATTAGCATGATAATTTTAAGCATAATTCAACTAACATTACGCGGTTTAAAAGCTGTATCACAGTTAATTTTAGCTACCATCTGAGACGGTTATGCTTGTTACTTTAAAGCTTTAACTGCTGCATAATTAGTGGTATTATTTAGCACTCAATTATAAGCTTGTAGCTACCATCTAAGATATCGTTTGTTAATTGTAATTAAGCGACTATTTGCGTAAATCACAGTGTAAAACGACGTTTGCGTATTCGCTTAGGATAGCGTGATTTATTAAGCGTCTCTTGCAAGTTTGGATCTTCGCCGTCGAAGAATTCATCAAGCTGTTTAGATAACAAGTCATTAGGCGGATGTTTGCGCGTTCTTCGCTTTTTAGCATTTTGTTCAGCATTAATTTCGCCAGAATTATCAACTTCAGATTTAGGCGGTAAATCTACAGTATTCTTTTGCAGATTATTAGCCTGTATCTGAGCGTGGTGTTGCTGAGTGTTATTAACGCTGTTATTAGCAGATGTACTTGTACTATTATTTTCAACAGATATAAGCGGAGTTATTTCACTTTCATTATCAAGCTGTTGATTTTTCGCAGGAAATTTAAATATTAATCGCGGTTTAAGCTGGTCATCGTCTGGATGATAATGTTTAAGCCTTTCTACGTTTACAATTTGTTCTTCTTCACGATCGCGTAAGCGCCTAATAACTGTATTAGGATACGAAAATTCCATTATTTCAAATGGGCCTTCGTATTTATCTTTAAGCGTTTCGCTGCCTGTTTTAGGAATAGGTAAGCGTAACATTACATAATCGCCTGTGCAAAAATCAGGTTCAACGCGGCGCTTATTAAAGCGTTCAGCTTTTTTAAGGAAGTCGTCGCTAGCAAGAGAACGAGCGATTTCATGCGCCTCTTTTAATCGCCATTGAAGACTATCTAAATAATCTTCGATATCAGCGTAATTTTCTGGCAGATTTGTTTTTGTGATCGTATCGCCTGGAAGCGTTTGTTCGCGGCCGAAGAGCATATAATACGGTGATTGTCTCGTGGTTTTATGCTTTGTACGATTATAAGCGGCAACAACATACGGCAAAAATTCATCCCATTTTTCAGCGGTATGTTTTTGAGCAAAAATTGATAAACAGTCACCTATCCACTGCATTTGCCTTTCTATTAAGCCTCTTCCTACAGGATGATAAGCGGCTCCAAAATGGTGATCGAATTTAGTAAGCTTAGATACAGTCTCTATTGTACTACACATAAAGTGTGTACCGCGGTCTGTATTTATTTCGTGCGGTGCACCGTATGAAAGTATAACTTCGTTAAGCAGAAAATCGGCGGCAACTCTAGCAGAGTCGTCAGGTACAGCCTTAGCAATTACAAATTTAGTAAGCTGATCAATTGCCACAATTATGTATTTATTTTTATTATTGCTAAGCTTTAACGGGCCTTTAAAGTCAAGTTGTAGCCTAAACCATGGCTCGCCTATTTCAATTTGTTGAAGTTTTCCTGGAAGCGGTTTACGCGGTACTTTACGAAGCTGGCATTTTAGACAACGACGACAATAGCGTTTAATTTCGCGGAACATATCTTCCCAAAAATAACGAACACAAATGTGGGAAAGCGTCTTTTCGCGGCCGAGGTGGCCGCCGGCTGGTGAATCGTGCATCGCTTTTAAAATATCATAACGCCAATGTTTAGGTACCACAAAGCGCCTTGTATGCCGGTCATTAATTTCGCCTGTACGATAAAGTACATTATTCCATAATTCATAATTAGCGGGACGTGAAAGCGGATATTGTGACTTATCAGCGTCTTCTATGGCTAGAATGATTTTCTCTAACGCTGGATCACTAAGCTGTTCATTACGCAGAAAAACATAATTTTGTTCTTCTGCATCGCGTACAGAGCTATTTGGCGCTTCTGGTATGCTGATTACGCGTACTGTAGGTGTACTGAAATGGATATCGAAGTCCTCTTCCGGTACAGCGGGATCAACAGGTGCGCGGCTTAATGCGTCTGCATTATGAGCGTACTTTCCTGGCCTGTAGACAATTGTCATATCGTAAGCGCCTAACTGTAGAGCCCATCGTACAAGCCTGGGATTCATCCCTTCGCGGTTTGACGTTGAGCGTAATAAATTAACTAAAGCCTGATGATCAGTTTTAACGGTGAACGGCATGTAGTCTACATAATAGCGAAATTTACGAACAGCGTAAACAACTGCTAAGCATTCAAGTTCTGTGGGCGCGTATTTACGTTCAGCTGTAGTTAATAAGCGGCTCGCGTAAGCGACAGGATGACCATCTTGGCTTAATATGGCGCCGATCCCTATTGTACTAGCGTCACATTCTATTAGCGTAGGTTTTTCTGGATCGAATTTCGCCAAGACTGGAGCGTTCATTAGCGCTGTTTTAATAGCCTCAAATTCCTTATCGCAAGCTTCATTCCAATCGGTAATATCATTAACATTTTTAAGAAGCGCATAAAGATTTTCGGTTATGGGCGCGTAATTTTGTACGAATTTGCGATAATAATTCGCTAAGCCTAAAAACGAGCGTAATTGCTTTTCTGTTTTAGGCTGCGGGAAATTTTTAATAGCTGTAATTTTTTCGGGATCGGTATGGATGCCAGATTCTGAAATAACATGTCCCAAAAAATGAAGGACCGGCTTAGCAATATGGCATTTAGCCGGTTTCAGCGTAAAGCCTGATGCGCGTAAAGCTTCAAATAAAAGCCGTAATTTAAACAACAACTCTTCCATATTTTTAGCTGCGACGATTAGATCGTCTAAATAAGCGAATATTCCCAATTTTCGTAGCTTTGAAAGCGTACGGTCCATTGCGGCTTGAAAAGTCGCGGGGCCGTTGCACACGCCGAACGGCATTCGAAGGAATTCGAAAAGGCCATCCGGTGTGACGAAAGCTGTTTTTTCGATGCTGGCCGGATCCATAGGGATCTGCCAAAAGCCTTTTTCGCAATCAAAACTGCAGTAAAGCTTATTTCCAGATGCCGTATCCAGAAGCTCATCTGGTTTAGGAAGCGGATAGTTATTTTTCTTTGTAATATTATTTAAGCGTATATAATTCACACAAAAGCGTGTACCGATTGAGCCGTCTGCATTTTTCTTTGAAGCCAAGACAACTGGAAAACTCCAGTTAGAGGTTGATGGCCTAATGATGCCAAGCTTTAGCATTTCCTCAACGTGATCTTGGATAAGCTGTCTACCGCGCCAACTTGTGCGGTGCGGCAGAGATTTTATCGCCGGTGCATCGCCTGTGTCTATTGTGTGCTTTATCGAGGCATCTACATTGCCAAATGGTCGCGATTTTGTTGGCAACAGGTCAGCAAATTCAAACAATAGATTATCGATACGCTTACGATCAGCTTCTGATAAATCAGCCGAAATTTTAAATTCGCGTATTGCTTCCCAAATTTCAGCTTCTTCTTCTGCCGTGTAATTAGCAGCGGTAGCGGTTAATGCGGTTTTATCTGGTTCAGCTTCCTCATACGTTTCAATAACGCCTAACCATGTACCTTTCTTGATTGTACGCTTATAAGCGGAATAATTAGATACGCAAATATCAAACTGATAATTTTGCGGTTCGACTAACCCTTGAAGCGGTAGTAGTCTACCTTCACTGTATAAAGCTGGATTAGGCGTGAATATGAATTGCGGTGTACGCAAATTAGCTTTTTTGTGTGTATAAGCCGACACCCATGATGTACCAGGTACAATCGTGTAAGTATCAGCTGCATATACTTTCACCATTTTGAGCCTGAATTTTTCTTTGTCTTTTTCGCTTATTTCTTCGCATTCTGGCTTCTTTGCAAATGGTTGCGCTTCAGCTGATAATTCTTCATTTTTAAGCGGATTATTAGCGAATAATTCGTTTTCATTAAGCTTGTCGCCTAGTGACTTAAATAATTCAGTTATATCGCCTTGATCTTCAAAATAATTTTCGCTGTTAGTTACAAGCGGGATATCGCCTTCTGGTGTTTCTACAATGAGATAATTAGCGCCTTCTGTTTGCGTAGCTTTTGTTTCTTGATCTGCAATACATACACGCACTTTAGCTGATTTTTGCAATTGCTTTTGAATTTTATCTGCATTTTCTGTAAAGCTTTTATTAACGCGGTCAAAATCTGCCCATACTTGTTCTTCTTTAGCTGAATTATTTTTCCAAAGCGGTAAATTATACGGCTTCTTTAATGGCTTATTTAGCGGTAAACAAGAGCGTTTAGGAACTGAGAGGGGATTATGCCGCAGCGGCGGCAGTTCATCCTCTTTTCTAAAATAGCGCACCGATACAGTAGGAAAATCAAGCGTATCATGAAATCGCACTACTTTCACAATATTCATAGGCGGTCTGCGAGCTGTGACTTGTAGCTTTTCTTTAGGTTTAATTTTCGCGTAAACTTCTCTCAAATATTTTCTTGCTTCGCTTATTGAATCTGCACACCTGCATATTGGCTTATTTATTCCGCGTGCAGATTTGCCGAAAAATTGCTTAATCGCTTTATTAATAGCCTGACGCCATTCTTCATAAATTTCTAATCGCCTCACCAAATCAAGTTCAGCATCAGCGCGTGCTTGGCTTGCCTTTTTAATAGCTTCAATATTATCAATTTTAACAGCATCATTATAAGCCTGATTGAGTTCAGCCATTAATTCTTGGAACCTTTTTAAAGTATTCATTAAGGTAGAAACATAATTTTTATATTCCATTATCGCTGCTGTCTCACGATGCATTTGTTTTCGCGACTTTTTAGCGGTAGGCGTACCAGTGGCATCGTCAGGTGCCACTGGTACGGGGAAAAGCTTAGAATTAGAAGCGGATGAATTAGTTTTGCCTTTACCAGTGGCTACCGTAGGTGCCACTGGTATGGGGAAAGGCGTCATTACAGCTTGTGTTTTTACATTTTTAGCTTTTGCCGTACGAGTATGGTCCCTGTAAATAACATTTTTGGCATGAGCCTCTGCAGAAGGCATTTTACGTGATACGCGCGTATTTGATACAGGTACACCTGTAAAATTTGTAGCGGAAAAAGCCTGTTGTGGCGGAACTGCAGCGGCCGACTGCACTTCGCCCAGACTAGTTACATTACAATTTACAAGCTTTTCCTGCAATACATGAAAATTAATTATTTTATTCGCCTTAACTTCATAATTAGCCTGGCTTAAAAAGTCCTGGCCTAATAAAACATGAATACCATCTCGTGCGGGCTTTACAAACATGGAATGATTAAGCGTACAATTATTAATTGTTATTGAAGCGTTGCAGTAGTGTGTAACACAAAATGCGCACACACCGCCGATACCGCGTATATGAAAAGGCTTTTAATGGGAAGCGTGCTTAAATTATTTTTCTTACAAAACTGTTCAGATATAAAGCTTGTTTCGGCGCCTGTATCGATTACAATTTTTACTAGAATATTATTTACATAAGCGTCGTGATTAAGCATTTTTGCCTTAAAAGGTTCATTATAATTTACGCGGAAATTTTGTGTATCTGTATGAGCTTGTGAGAGATTACATGAACAATTGCGTATTATGTAGCCATATATTCCCGCGCTTTGAATTATGCATTCCTTCTCAACCTTATCCGGCGGAGACGGTGGGAAGGGGGTTGCATAGCCGGAGTATGCGCCCCTTACGCGTTTAAAGACTCATCAGATGAGCTGTTTAACGCCGAAGTTTCGCCTTCACTGTATTCTGAAGCCGTATCAAACTGTGAATTAACGCTGGCACCGGACGGAGCACGCTGCCGGGCCGGCGAAGGACCGCCTAAGCTAGGACCACCAGAAGGGGTCGATGCGCCTGTAGTCCTACCTGTAGGACTATTGGCATTACTGCGATTAGCTTTCCATTCTGTGAATTCTTTTAAAGTACGCCTCTCACCAGTTGTGGGCCAGTGAAACTTGCACCACACTGGGTTTTGCTTTTGCGGAACGCCTTCATATCTGCACGCTTGACGTGAATGACCTTCGACATCACAGTTTGCACAATAAGCAATGCCTGGACGGCGTACATTTTGATTAGCGGTATTATTAGCTGCATTATTTTGCGCGTGATTATTATAATTTACCGGTACATTATTAGGTACTTGAGCGTGTGGGGGATTATTCGCGTTAGTATTTTGTTGAGTATTGCCTTTATTAAATTGCGGTTTGAATGGCTTATTACGCTTGAAATTATTAGCTTTATTTCCACTATTAACGGCTGCTTGTGCATATGAAAGCGGTTTAGCCTGTGATGCCTGTGCTTGATTGCCATAAGCGAAATTATCATCATCTTTATAAGTAGCTTCAAGGTATCGCGCATTTTTCAGAAATTCTGCCGGTGTAGCTGGCTTCATAATAATCATATTTTGGCGTAAAGTGTGATGCGAATCTAAGCCTTTCATCAGATACGTCAGAAAATGAGCGTCATCTGTTACGCCTGCACGAGCGCGTAAAGCGATCATCGCCTGATAATACTCGTCAAGCGTTTCTTTACCAACCTTAATTTTGCGGCTTGATAACTCATTGAGCGCATTGTAGCCTTTTTCTGGATCGGAATACCGATCCAGAAAAGCCGATCTCCACTGGGGGAAAGTTTGCGGTTTATTTGGGCCGACAATCGCGACCTTGAACCATGAAGCTGCATCGCCTTCTAAAGCGTTGAAAAAGCGGCTGACTTTTTCATCTTCATCCCAATGACCATATTTCGCGTTTAAATCGAACAATTCTAAAAATCCTTCAACTTCATTCTTATCGCCTTTGAATTTTGCCTTAAAATCTGGTGACTTCTTATTCGCTTTTAAAGCTTGCGTAAGATCTGATACTGTGATAGCCGGTGCAGGTGCATTGCCAGACAAACCCGGAAGTACACTGCACTGAGCCGATGGCATGCTGCCAGTATCACGTGCGGTCGGAAAAAAGCGTGAAGGTGGTGCAGATGAAATTGGAGCCTGGATAGCTGGGATAGTATTATCAGTTTGCGTACTGATAGCCTTTGTAACAGAGAAATAGTTTCGCTTAGATTTATAAGCCTGTAATTCTTGAAACATTTCTTCGTTCGCCTTTTCAGACAGTTCAAGTCTAGCTTCTAAATTTACACAAGCGCCTTCTAAACGGGTTGATTGTTCTTTGTAATAATCAGCGGTTTCATTAGCCTTACGTACAGTAGTCACATTTAAGCTTTGTTCTTCCAACAATTTGCGCTGACGTTCGAGTGCTTTATTTAATTCGCCTTCGCATGTAATTAATTTAGCCTTATGTTCCTGTGCCATATGCTCTGTAATTTGCAGCTTTTCATACAGCTCTTGCTTAACCTCCTTATATTGCTTAACCACATCATCGTGATCAGAAATTCGCCTTTTTAAATCGCGTATATAATTATGCGCCTTTTTCTCAAACTCTTCTTTTGTCGCGATTATGGTGAAAGCCTCATTACGCTGTTGCAATAAATCAGCAGCCTAACTTTGAGCCGTATCGCGGGCATCAACTGCTTCGGTTATAAACTGTCGCAGTTGTGCAATTTCATTTTTCGCTTCATGTACAGTATGAATAAGCTTTTTCTCCAGCGAAGAATTAACGCGGCGTAAATTGATGATTTCATTCTGAGCGTCATTTAATTCGCCTGGAGTATGAAAATTAGCTATATTAGGCTGGCTGTTATCAGCAGGCGGTGTCTGCTGATTAATAGCGTTATTACCGCTGAGCGTTTCATCAACATCAAAATTAAGCAATTCTTGATCAGCCAATAAGCCTTGATCTTTTTCAATAAAAGTAAGCGCATTTTCGGATAACGACATATCAGAGCCTGAATGAGAATGACGGCTATCGCTTGCAAGCGGGATACTGTCAAACTGAGATACACCGCTAAGCTGCGAATTTGGCCTGCTTTCCTCCTGTTCTGGAGCATTATCGACCTGTGAAGCGGTATTAATAAGCGATGGTGAACGCTGCATTTTGCTACTGCGCGCGAAAGCCTTTTCCGCCGGAAGACTAGCAACCGGCTGCGGTTCTTTCGCTGACGATTGCGGTATTTGCGGTAGCTGCGGGTTATGAGCACGAGTGCGCTGATTAAGCCGTGTGTTTACATTATGAGTCGGTGCAGCTGTTGATTTAGCGGCAACAGGTGCACCTTTAGTTTTCGCGGACTGTTTAGGTTTTTGAGCATTACTAGCTTGCAAATTTTCAGCTTGCTGTTCTGGCTTTTTTACAATACTGCGCGGCGAAAGAAAAGCTTTTATGGTTTCCATTGTATTATCATAAGCGTATTCAATTTCAAGAAAAGAAATTTCATAATATTTAGCGTTGAAAGACAGGGGTTTATTGTAAGAAAACAGTTTGAAGCGAAGATATTAATTCTGCGTTTTAAAACTCACAAAAGCCTAATCTGCGAAAGAAATCTAAGGAATTCTATTCAGCTTGCAATTACCCAGGTAGGTAACCGACCTGCGCCTATTGTCTGTAGCGTCTGCTATCTGTAAGATCACGGAAAAACAAGCCTGGACAGAGGTTGATGCGCCTAGGAGTGATGCAAAAATATGCGGAAAAAAGCCTAGTTTCCGTAAGTTATGATTTTCCAAACAAACTAAGCCTAATTTCACAAAGAAATCAGCCTAATTTCGATACAAAATTAACGTGAAAATATCAGTAAGCCTAATATCACATACAGCGTTAAGTTAAACTACTGTTAACATAAGCCTTAGAAAGCAGATAAGCTCGATTACTTACCCTTTCCGAACGCGAATGAGCCTGACGATCCTTAGGATCCGAAACTGCTACGCAGGGAACGCTTGGGAAGGTGCACAGTCGATGAGATCCAGACGCAGGTCCGAATCTCCACCGATGAGTTGCTGAGCACGCTGATACGCTGAGATCCCTGTAGTCCAATGCTGGCACTACGGGGTACTGGGTGTAGGGTTTGCGCCGAGTTTCCGCGTCCTCCTGATGGCAAACGGGAAAGCGGTGCAATCCGATAGATCTGAAAAGTAACTCAGAAAACAGGTAACCACGGATCTTAGACTGCTACCATCTAAGAGTCCTCCTCTCTGCGTGGGAGACTCTCTAGTGCCGATCTACCGGAAACGGGAGCGAGACAAGGATAAAAAGGGACTTTTTATCATAAAACCGAAAGCATAACATCTCTCTAAAAATCATCATCACCAACTGACAATCTATAGCTCACAATATACCTGCGCTAACGCTGCTCTACCATACGCCGCTACGTAAGCCTCACGCAATCGCCGAAAAGGTACGGCGCGATGCCGTTGGCGGAAGATAGCGAAAGGGCGGATCGTAATACCTGCGATCAGGTATACGATCTAAGCGTGAAAGCCACTGCACTGCGATCTGAGCCTGCTGGGACGAGGGCGTAAGTCCCTCTCAATACTCAAGAAGGGGTTCGTGTAGAATTTCACGTACGCCGACTCAACAATGACAAAGGTATCACACAGAAAGGGAAGAAATGCGATATCGGAAGTCCCTGCGACAGCCGTATTACGGCTGATGTGGATATGTAGGTGATGGCAAGGGATCTATTGTACATGTACACAGTTGTGGTCGCTAATCAAAGGCACATAACGGTAGGGGAAACGTTTTTTTCTGCGTATTAACGTTTGTTGTACTTAATTAGTATTCACGGTGCATGTAAAAAAGTCTATCCTGATAATGTAATATTTATCCAGATGGTGTAATCAGCAATGTCGTACTATCCGTTAATAATACACTTAATATCTATATAATATATTGCATTCGTAACTTGTACTGTATTTCATACCTGGTTAGCTTTCGTATACGAAAGCCATACTAGCTATCTATAGCCATACAAGTATACGTATACCTGTATGCCTGTAGATAGTTTCATGCATAAAGCAAGCCAAAACATATTAAAATTTATTTATCTATGTAGAAGCTCCCCCAAAAAAGGATGGCCCGGAAGCCGAGGCTTGGAAAAATGGGCGAAAATTTTTGACATTACGAACGAAGATAGCCCATCAGTGAACAAGTTTGCTTCGAGAGATTTATGCTCCGGAAGCTACAAAGTATACATTAATTAATACGAGTAAAATACTATCAAGATACAGTACCACGCCATTTTGTCGGATATCCAAAGATTTAATAGATTGTCAGATTCTTACAATACGTACAGTACAGAAGGAAAAGGAAGTATACTACGATAACATACGTACCTTTCTGTAAAACCTCCTTTTATTTTGTATTGACTTGTTTTGTGTTGAAGCAAGACAGTGGAATCCTACGAATGCACCTGATCGATGTGGACACGGGATCCAATGACTTTATCGACGATTTCCAGTGCGCCTGCACCGGCGTTCGAGTAGCCACCAACGAACACAAGGCTACATGGTCGGACGATAAAACATGCCCGGGAATATACAATCCTACCAATACTAGGTAGGAAGCGCTCTTTTTATACGGTAAAATGTAAAATATATTACAGATGAACCTGTTGATTGGTAGAGTGACCTATCGCTGCCGTGCCTATCATATTCCCACTTCGTCCTGCGGAAGGCCAAATTCCTCACCGGTTTAAATACGAGAACACAAAAAAGAAATTACGTGCTATTACACCATGGGAGAGCTTCCACTCCGTATTCTTGTTGTGTTAAGATTACTTTGGTATAAGAGTATTTTGTCGTTAATCGCATTTCTGCACATGTACTCTACCACATACTGCAACTTCTAATCGTAAAGTAATTACAGTGCCGGTGATCAAATCTTTTTGTGATCATCATAATCGGTATAATATTTTACCCTACTGTAATCGCCAATAGTGCGTGGTGGCATTATAATTACCGTGAACTGCACTCTTTCTGTCAACTGTCTATAATATTGTGCGCAGTGCTTACTAATTATGCAAATGCTATGGACGCGACCGCACGAATGCCGATCTGTAGTTTGTTAAATGCAGTAAAAATCATGTGCGTAAATGTACTTGTTGATCCTCTACAGATGCGTAATGGTTTTTGTTTACGTCCCATGAAAGACAACCGTGAAGTAATTCATGAACCACTTTCCGGATCATGACTCATAAATCACCGCATTCACCTGTCGCTGGTATATGAGTGGTATCGATCCAGTTTCAGTTTAGTATTCCAAATTTTATGTTCAGCTGATGCCACAGCAAAAAAGTGAGTAAGAAATACCACAACACACAGAGTCTCATAATCCACAAGGTGGCATATTTTTTTGGAACAAAATGGCTTTCCGTCTTTCTTATTGGGTATGTGTCCTGGTGTCCAAATTAAGTGATACCGTAGGCTGCTTTGAATGACTTGTAAGCAATGCTGTTTTGTAAATTTAACCTGAAAGTGATATAATTATGTATCTAATTATTAGTGTACCGATAAAGATAATCGGATAATTACTGCAATTCTTACTGCTGATATTTATGGAGTCTTATTCTCAATGACGTGTGTGATGTAGATAGTACGTACGTTATGTATTATTTTGTTATTAATTTTATTTCTTTCTCGAAGTTGTTCCTCATAAGTTCCGCTGCCGCCGCTGCAACAGGTCCTTATGTACGCGTGGAATTTGAATTAGGCAGCCTCTCCAATGCCAATGGACTTCTGCAAAGCGGGAGTAAATGCTCGATTTTGGGAAAATCCTGCAGTCAAAAATTGACTGGCTACATTGATACGTAAGTACTACACAACGCAGAGTCCAGCAGCCAAAATCGTTTAATAATTATGCAGTACAAATCTGTACAATGTACAAACTACAGATACTATAATATTAAATCCTGCTCTCTTCATAAAACAGCAATCCGTCGGCGCGTGGCTGGCCAGGAAGTAAGCCGGTAGATAGCTGGCCGCAGATCATATCGGATAAGGATAATAATATTGCCATAAAGAAAGTCATTTCCGGAGATTTCTGTTCCGGTGCTTACAAGGTGTGCTATTTAAAGACCTAAAAAATTATGGTTTTGTTATAATTAAAGAAGCATAAAGATCTGTATACACTATACAGGCAAAACTATCATTACTGTGCATAATGTAAATTCGTCATCGTATTAACAATTTGTAATCGCATAAAGTAACTGAAATGAGAACTACTATTAGCAACATTCTAGCGCATATATTTATTTCTAATAGCGGTTTTGATAATACAATGCGCAATCTATACATAATTATGAGAGTTCAGATAATCTGTGCCGTACTTAATAATGTCTGCACACTAACAACCGCTTGCTGCTGAGAATTACTTTCAATTCGGCAAACACAGTCAAACTTAGCTTAAATTTGTATTACAAATTACCCAGTGACAATGCTTTTTCAACGGATTTTTTTTATTACAGGAAGGAATTTTGCGCATTCATGTTGTCGATACGGGCATGAAAGATCGACTGATCGAGGACTTCGAATGCCGTAGCGGCATCACTGTGGCAAATTCCGAAAGCAGAGCAAGTTGGTCACCAGAACAGACGTGCGAGGCGAAATATAATGGCAAAAACAATCGGTATACAAGTATTTCCACTAGTGCATTTTTCATCTAGTCCTGTTGTCGGTTGGATTTTAAAATTGTCTTCTGCCTTGTAGACTGACGTTCCGGGTACGAGCGTATGCGGTACCTTTGGATTCTTGCGGACTGCCTCCCAGTCGACCGAAAGGATAGCAGCTGCAAAAATACATGCTCGGCACATTTGCCCAAACTAATTAAAATAAAATTATTTGTAGCACTTCATGTAATAAGTATCTTTGTTACGTTGACTGCCGGTATAGGCATTGTTTGTCATAATATGTGACCACTGACCAGAAACCTTCTGATACGGAAATAATTAAATCTGAAAACCTTTTGAAAAATTAATGATAATTACAGTTTGCGTAAAACTGCGCGCGCTCAACTGTCTCTGTTAAAGTCTGCTTACACTGATACAGATTTATAGATCAGTGCACCAGGAATGTCCAGGATGCAGTTGACAAATAAAAAAGTCGCTCACGGCATTGTATTCGTATGGGAACACCTTGTGCCGATGTTTAATTTTGCTAGTCACAATGCTTTCCCTTTTGCGGCTGCGCACAGGGGCACGAAACGATAAATATTGTTATTCCGTGTGTTTTCCGCTTGATCAGCGTCGAATCCCTGGCACAGCAACAAGGACACCGTGCAATTACTGCCAGAAACAGGATACATTGTGTCTTACTTGTTCGACCGGCAAAAAGTTCACACACATGTTACATGCCTGGGAAATCGATTATTAGCACCTGGATATACGTGTATAATTATCCAAGCATGGCATTTACTTTTAAACCGTAATTACCGCGGTCGGTTTTATATCGCTTGTATATTCGAATTCGCAATCTCCATCAGTGTCACAAAAACGTTGGCCGCCAAATAATTAATCGCTTCGTCGGTACTAAGTGCACTCATCTGTTTACTAAACAATCATCTGGAAGAGTGTATCTTAGTAATCCGGATTTCCCGAACCGGCCGACCGGTTTGGTTTTAGCCCGCTAGGCATAAAATTTCTGCTCACCTGGCGGTGAAGATGTTTATAGTTCACTTCAGAAAGTGATATTTAAAGGAAGTTACGGTGCGTAGTTGGAGCATCAGTCGGACTTTATTCTGCTCGCACTTCTCCACCTGTTGATCCACATTTTTATTTCGCCGGCACCATGAAACTCTTCCTTCTGTCGTGCGCTTTGGTCGCTGTGGTACGTGCTCCTGTCATGCTTTAGAATGCAATTATCTTCTGTTTTATAATGTGCGGAATTAATTTTTAATTAAAACTACAGTTACAACGATTTTAACCCACCGCTGCATAAATCTACGATGCATTTGACATATATAATAACAAATTGTATTATGTTATAAGTAAAATATTGTGTCAAAAGCTTGTTGTTAGTAACTGTACTTCTTACATTTTATCGTTAGTAACTTCAGTGATGATTGCAAATTGCAAACTTATAGGTTTGCAGTTTGCCGGTAACAAGAAGTTGGACTACAGAAGCACATGCTTTGCAATAATTCGGTAAAAGCCGTTGAATATTCTTATTACATAATGCATATTCCGCTCATTTTTTACCGAGTTTTGGCACGTCAGTTAAACTGACCTGTAAAAGAGGCAATATATGCGTTAATTTGAAAATATAAATTTACAACGAATATAAATGTAGAACGAGCTAGTGAAATTGGTAAGAACGGAAAATTAGCGAGGTGCAATTTCGTGCAGATAGCCCGGAACTTGGCAGTTTTTAAACTATTTTAAGCTGTACAGGCAACAATCGCAACATCAGTTGGAGATAGCGTAAATCTGCTTTAACTTTGATAAAATGCTAATTAATAAGAAAGCGTATACATAACGTGTGGATATACAACAGGCAGTGGCGGATAATATCCGCGTGGAATACCGCCTGGTGGACTACTCTAATCCAGGAAGCGTTTTGGCTGATGGCAAGACGAAATGCGAGCGAAGTGGACCGTGTGATCCCAAGCTGACCGGCGAAGTTGACGTCACGTGAGCATTAATTCTTATACGTGTAGACCTGCTTATGATGCAACTTTTTCCCTTAATAATAACAAATTCTCCAAATACTGATTTGCATGTAAAGCATAGCAAATCAAATAAACAAGAAGTTGCGTGGTAAGCAAATGTCCAGCAATTTCCCAAGATCTGAATACTGATGTGAAACGTTTCGGCTACTCTTACCAACCGCATGACATACAAATATGCATAATTCAAGAACACTTCAAAAATATTTTGTTGGTTCATTGGTCTTTGAATAATGCTTTACATACACGCTCTTTCTTTTCAGGTCATCCGCTTTGAATGCTTGGCCAGACGACAAGAAAGTGGCTAAATGGGTAACAATCTTCCAAAAGAAATCCACCGATAAGGATCGAGTAGGGAAAATTGTCTCCCGCGACATCTGCGACGGAAATTTCAGGGTACGCGAATTATTAAAAACAGGAGTTTCGATATGCTATTTCAGCCTATTTGCTTCCACTTCTACCTGTAATTTGTTTTGCAGAAATCGAATTTGCGAGTGGTAAGTGCAGAAAACTTATAAGTATTATTCGTATATCTTTAACACTTCGTAATTATGATTTGTGATGCTAGTATTGTAATGTGTTCTCACATATCTCAAGAGTACTTAATATTATCAATTATGCATAATCATGCATGTGAAGGTATATCTTTTTAATGCTCGATCTGGATCTCTCTTTAATTTGTTATTTGTAATTATTAGCAAGCAATGGATGTGAACACCTTCTCCAGCAACAAAGAAATCCAGCAGTTCGAATGCCTTATTTCCGGCGGCCAGCGCGATGTTGCGTCCAGTGAGCAGCGTGCTCAATGGTCAGAACCCAAACGTTGCGATCAGAAATACACCAAGCCTGGAAACGCCCAGTAAGACGTGCAGCATATTGTAATTTATTTTGTAAATATTAATGTTTTTCTATTTTCTTACAGTCTTACTTAACTAAGCATGTTTGCAGAAAATGCATAAGTACAGTATTGTGAAAAAAAATCGCTTTTACTATGGTGTAGCACTGTAGTGAGTCGTCACAATCTTTGCTTTTGCAGATTGACGTACCAGTGGCGAGTCTACAGTATTCCCAGCCGAGAATGTGGAAGACAGTTATAATACAGTACCATTTGTTGACAGAACGAAATCACTAGATTTCAGATTTTTGGTTTCTACTGCACATTTTGGTGATTAGTGGATTACAGTACAAATACGAGTTTTTTGAATTGTTGCCAGACATCTATCCGTCACAACTTCTGTCATCATTCTGATTTATTCTTGCTTTTTGCAACGCTGCACGACTCCGCAGTAAAAGCAATCATGAAAAATCTCATATTTGGGTTTACACCAAAGAAAAAATATCTACAAATGAAATGTATGGCAAGAACAATAGAAGCTGAAAAGATACGTTTTACTAACAACAACTGCCAACTGAAAAACGATAACAATCGCCAGAGTACTCATTCATCGCAAAAACTTCCAAGGTTAAAGCCATCACATTCCTGTTACAAACTAGCGAAAAGTAAAACCGATTAGGCACGTTCTCCTCGGATTCGGCGGGCCAGCTGAATGTCCTTTGGCATGATGGTCACTCGTTTGGCATGGATGGCGCACAAGTTGGTGTCTTCGAACAGACCCACGAGATAAGCCTCCGCTGCTTCCTGTAAACCCAAATTAATTGTAAAATGCATCCCACAAACTGAACACCAGTACAATTAACTTTAATCAGTTCAAAATTGTATGATAAATGAAACGGAAATATTACTAGTATACTGCTTAAACCACACACTAATCGTAAGTTTAAATAATTACCTCAAATACAGTATTTGAAATACTACTTTATTGTTGTCGTTGCACAAGACGCACCTGCAGAGCCATGACAGCCGAAGACTGGAATCGGAGATCGGTTTTAAAGTCCTGCGCGATTTCACGGACCAGGCGCTGGAACGGCAGTTTACGGATCAGCAGTTCCGTGGACTTCTGGTACCGACGGATTTCTCGGAGGGCCACGGTGCCAGGACGATAGCGATGGGGCTTCTTCACACCTCCGGTGGCTGGCGCGGATTTGCGAGCAGCTTTGGTGGCCAACTGCTTGCGCGGAGCTTTGCCTCCGGTCGACTTACGAGCGGTCTGCTTTGTTCGAGCCATTGCGATACGTTGAAAGCTGAAGTACGTAACAAACAATCAACGAAAAACGTCTATGCTAAATTTAACTACTGAGAAGCTGAAATCAAATTCGGAGCTCACGATAACAACAAATTAAATTTTTCGACTAACGGCATCAATCGGGACTCTCCGCTTTTATAGCCCGCGAAAACTTTCGAAGGCCGGCTTGTTAGCCATACCTTGCTTCTATTGGTCGACTAATATTTCGGTAGGCGGGGAAATCGCTTTTTCAGAAATTCCGAAAAACTTTGTTTCATAGAAATTTTGCCAAAAACGTTGGTCAGAAAACGTTGTCACTGGTTAGAACGGTACCAATTGGTGCCAAATTTAAAATACTTATACTTTTCAGCGCTATTATTGTTGGTGCTGTAAAAAATATTAAACAACTCTTTGAAAAGCTTCGAGTTGAAAACTGCCAAATTCGCGGTTCGAGCGGTAGAAGTGGGCGGGGACACCATCTACGTCACAAGCTTCCCTAACCGATGCGCGAAAGCTTAAAATTATTTTCCTTTCAGAATTTTTTTAGCTTTTTTTAACTTTTCGAGAATATGTTTTACTTCTTAAGGAATCTGACAGCATTCGGATTTCCTGCAGTTGGTAGTTTTCAAACAAACAGAATTAAGAGTCATCGTAAAATTCATAACAAAACTTCTCAATAAAAGTTATGATGATTTTCCGCTGGACACCTCCACTAATGGCATTTGCGCGTTAAAAACTGCTGGCTATGATTGGTTGGTAGTTCTCATTGACCAACCCCCTCAAATGCTCGCCTTTTTCGTGAGCATATAAAAGCCCAGCGATCGCTGCGGTTCGTGAGTCTTGATTTATTCGTCAGAGTCAGTTGGATCTGCAAGCTTTTTCAGAATTTCCTACGTTACTTCTTCTTAGCTGTTATCATTTCTGAGCATCATGACTGGACGCGGGAAAGGAGGCAAGGGACTCGGGAAAGGTAAGGGAACTGGTTTTTAAATTAGTATGGACTATGGTTTTAATTTTTAAATTAGTATGATTTTGAATTAGTATGGACCATGGAATTAGTATGGAATTAGTATGGACCTGGTATGGTAATTGGTATGGTGTTATACTTTTATTAGTATTAATTAATTAATGGTAGCCACTAGCCAGTGGCAAATTATTAGTAATTTGTTTTGGTTACTTAGCTGTCATTAGCAGCTAAAAGAAAGAGTTGCAAATCTGTAGCAAAGTCCGATGTGGCTTGTTCCATTTTTGATTTTGATAAATTATTAACCAATTACTGTAACCAATCTGTATCGTAAACTGTAAGTAAGCTAAATGTAACAGGTTGAAAGGTTCCTTGCGATTATTACAGGAGGCGCCAAGCGTCACCGAAAGGTGCTCCGCGATAACATCCAGGGTATCACAAAGCCAGCTATCCGCCGTTTGGCCCGTCGTGGTGGTGTCAAGCGTATTTCCGGTCTCATCTACGAAGAGACCCGTGGCGTCCTGAAAGTGTTCTTGGAGAACGTCATTCGCGATGCGGTCACCTACACCGAGCACGCCAAGAGAAAGACCGTCACCGCCATGGACGTTGTCTACGCGCTGAAACGCCAGGGAAGAACCCTCTACGGATTTGGTCTCTAATTAATTCTTTATTTGAATTAATTCTTTATTGTTGCGTTGCACAGTAGTTGTTAATTGTTGATCATTTTATGAGCTTATTTGCTGTTGTATACAGATTTGTACAGTTGTGAGTTGAACGATGAAATTATGTTGTCATTTAGTGTGGACGTCGTTTGTGTTCGTTGAAGGTAGCAAGATAACGGAAGCCAAATAGTGAAATATTAAAATGTGAAATCAATAAAAGAAAAAAGTTTAGTGGCGTACTTGAAATTGAATCCATAGCGTAATGTGCAGTACTCGTTGTACTAGTAACTGTGGAAAAAACCAAAATAACATCGTTTTAAGTTAAATTTTCAAAAGTGAATTGAAAGAACCGCTGCAGAACTGAAAATCAATCCAGCACTGAACTTCCTTATTTATTTTTCCCGTGCGCCACTGTTTGCGATTTTTAATGACAATAATGTTAACTTAGTTAACTAGCAAATATTTAGTCGACAAATTCAATTGACTAAACAGTAACACCACATCAGCTTTAGATTCTAGAACCAACGTACTGAACAATCAGCTAAAATTATTATTATCAATTTTCAGTAAACCATAATTTTATTTTACCTGTAATTACTGTAACTTACAGTAACTGTAAACTGATAATTTTAAGTGTTTGCTTTATTTTTTTTCCAGAAGGGGTGACACATTTCCTATTCACACTGGAGTTGCAATTCGATGTTCTCATAATACTTTTGTGACAACTCTTTAAAATCTTACGATTTGCATAACTTTAGTACGCAGATGAATAGTTCTGTAAACGGCATCGCTTTATTTAAGTACGATCAGAATCCAACTCGCACGGTTAATGCCAGTATGTACAAGTAGCGCAGCGTTATTTTCTGCACGCAAAAAAAGAAACGACATGGCTGGTACGTTAGAAGCTTATATCTGCTGCTCCACACCAGCAACAACAAACAATGACTATGTACAACTTCTAAGATAAAAGCCACCACATTTCAGAACAAGTAACAAAAGGAGATTCAGTCCCGTTTACTTATTGGCACTGGTATACTTGGTGACGGCTTTGGTTCCTTCGGAAACGGCGTGCTTGGCCAGTTCTCCGGGCAGGAGCAGGCGGACGGCGGTCTGGATTTCGCGGGAAGTGATGGTGGAGCGCTTGTTGTAGTGCGACAGACGCGAGGCTTCTGAGGCGATCCGTTCGAAGATGTCGTTGACGAAGGAGTTCATGATGGCCATCGCTTTGGAGGAGACGCCAGTGTCCGGGTGCACTTGCTTCAGCACCTTGTAGATGTACACGGAGTACGACTCCTTCCTAACAGATAAACAGACATATTAATATGTAACTATAAACAGACATATTAATATGTAACTATAAACAGACATATTAATATGTAACTATTTAGGCTAATTTAGCTAGTAATTGTAAGAACTTAAGAATGCAAATTTGTCAAGAATGCAGTGCGAGATTACGTATTGTACAGACGGTACAGTAGAATTTCAAATTTTTTTTTTCGAATTTCAAATCTTGAAAACTGCAGTATGTAAAAAATTAAGTTTAATACGAACAGTAAGATAAAGATCCTTTGATCAAATCAAATATTAATTACGTAAAATGGTAAAAGCCACAACTTAAAAGGCACCTCTTCTTCTTCTTTTTGGCATCGGGATTGCGGATGGCTTTCTGGGCCTTTCCGGATTTCTTCACAGCTTTTCCACTAGGCTTGGGAGGCATTGTGATACTAACAGAGTAGCACTAGGAAAAATTAACAAAACAACTTTACATGAAATCGGAAAATCAGAAACAACTTCAACTGTGGATTCCTAAAGTGCATCAAGCAAGCCTTTATAGCCTCCCCAATTTTCGAGCGGCTGCTTTAGCCCCGCCTCTATTACAAACCAATCAATTTTATTGGACAAAAAAGGACAATTTACAACCAATCAAAAAGGCAAAGCGAGGCGTGACGTCATGACACAACGTTAACGCCTTTTTCGTAAAATCGGTATTCTATTGGTCAGGTATTACACTGGGGGTGGAGCAATACCTTCGAACCGCCACACAATCAGCTATAAAAGCTTCGCGAAACTCTGCAATCTGCATCGTCGTTTGTTAATCGAACTTTTCTTACGTTCATAGACGTTGTGGTTTTCGTTTTTCCTAATTCTCGTACTTCGACATTCATCATGACTGGACGTGGTAAAGGAGGCAAAGTCAAGGGAAAGGCCAAGTCCCGATCCAGCCGCGCTGGACTGCAGTTCCCCGTTGGCCGTATCCATCGTATGTTGCGCAAGGGCAACTACGGCGAACGCATTGGCGCTGGTGCTCCCGTTTACCTGGCCGCTGTCCTGGAGTATCTGGCTGCCGAAGTTCTGGAGTTGGCGGGCAATGCCGCGCGTGACAACAAGAAGACTCGCATCATTCCGCGTCATCTCCAGCTCGCCATCCGCAACGACGAAGAGGTAAAACCGTAAAAGCAACCCTTAGTTTTTGCTTTGCAGCTATGAAGATTGTTTAAGCTTCTTGATTTTAAAAATATTTTTCATGGTTTATCGCCGTAGCAGTTAAGTAAATTAAATATTAATTAACCGTTATTATGAAAGTAAAAAACAAATTTTCCATTGTTTCATTCGTTTGGCTTTGTTTAAACTTTAAAGAACTATTTTAACATTGCAGTTGAACAAGTTGCTGTCCGGAGTGACCATCGCCCAGGGAGGTGTGTTGCCCAACATCGCTCCGACGCTTTTGCCGAAAAAGACTGCTGGTGGTCCGCAGGAAACGCAGGCGGAAGCCAAGCCCAGACCAGCTGGAGGCAAGGCCAAGAAGCCAGTCGCCGCCGAAGGAGTCTCCCAGGAGGTTTGAATTTCATCACCGGAAGTTGTTAGTCGATCGATGGTTGTTTTCCGTTGAATGAATTGTTGGCCTTGTTGATGTGCGTTGTTGTAAATACGAATCTTTGAGTGTAGTATTTGTTTTGCGCTTCGGCGTCACTTTGTGCAGTGTCAGTACGAGTAGTAACGGTTTTCAGTTAATGGGACCGTTTCAAGATGTGAAAACAATAAAATTCGGGAAATGTGTATTGATTTATTGGTTTCAAATACAATCCAAACAATTAGCACGGGGTCATATTTCATACTCAGTAATGCGAGATCAATAAATAAAAGTTAGAAGCCAGTATAAAATGCAGCCAACGCTAAAATTAAAAACTCAAAATCAAACGATCAAATTTGGTAAAAAAACTACCAGATAACGAAAGTATCTACAAAAAGCGACACGAAGTTACTTAATTCAGTAAACAATTCTGATTTAAAAGCCTATAACAATCAAATTCAACAAACAGCAGACTAACGAATCTATTGATATAGTGACATGCAAATTACCGAGAAAAGCGGATGTATTAACATAAACAAATATTGGCAAATATTAATGTTTAAACGTTCTTTACCGCATATTTCTCTGCTGCTGCTGATACTGCTGCAGGTATTCCGGTGGAACGTTTCCCATATTCTGCATGTGATTCATCCCCACGTTGCCCTGGCGGAAACCCGACATGCCCGATTGTGAGTGATGGGGATCCATAACGTTTTGATACTGGTTTGTGTTGCCCACATGTTGACTGGAGATGTTCTGCTGAGAATCCATATACATTGTCTGCATGGGCTGTTGTTCATGCGACTGCATATTCACATTCTCGTAACCTCCATAACCTGTGAACAGAAGGGCAATTAAGTACTTCCAATCAAATGGATTTTATTCTTCCATCTTTCTATAAATTTTCAAACATGTCTCATGGCTTGCAGTATTAGTCGTCATATTTTGTACTGTGCAATACAAAAGGAAAACTTGATGCGGCTTGCAAGAAAGGTGCCATACTACTCTAGGATTATTAGGATCCAATCATTATACAAGTTTCTTCTCCTTCCTACCCGCATTGTTTGGCATTCCCGGACGCTGCACCATTTGTCCGACATCGCCGGGATTCTGACCAGCCTGCATCTGATTCTGCTGCGCCTGCGCCTGAGCTTGGGCCTGAGCCATCTGGGCCATCCGTAACTGCTGTTGTTGTTGTTGCAGACGACTTTGAGCGACTTGCTGCTGCCGGAAAACTGCTTCCTCTGACATCATGTTACCTCCGCCTTGGACATTCAACGCCGGCGTCGGTGCGCCACCCGGACGATTAACAAAGCCCATCTGCCCATGCGATCCGGCCATCTGGCCACCAGGAGCATTCATCGTTCCGCCCATCCCGGCGGACATACTCCCGGCATTCATGGGCTGGCCTGAGTTAGCGCCCGGTGGCATGGCCATTCCGGGGCGCCCGTGTAGTTGTTGGTTCAAGAAGCTCATACCTTGTTGCTGCAGGAAAACAATGCACCGATTAGCCGTAAGTCCCGTAACCACCACTAACCAGAGCATCAAAAGTTGGAACCAGGATGGGCAAACTACATATATGCAGAACTAAATTATCAACAAGTTTAAGGAAGCGTGAAACGCGTAATACATCAACCGATAAAACTAAAACAAAATTGTGCAAAACTATTCATTGAAGTCAAAGGCGAAATAAAAATGTAAGGTACAAAGTCAGCGGTTGTTAGAGAAAACAAAGAAATTATGAAGGCACATGCACATACTATAATTTTAGCAGTGCATGCAACGGCTACAATAACTCGTACAGAACGAAAAACCCAAAAAATGCAATACCCGCAAAACACACGAAATACCACAAACGTAAATTACTTATCGTTAAAATAATTCTTTACTACAAGTACTTACATATAAGCAAAATACGTTCTAGCCTTAATAACGCTGTGCTTGGTAGTGATACTGGCCGCACATACGGAAATTTAAAACTTTCCGGAATCGACTTACAGGCTGTGGTTGAGACTGTTCCCTTCGCTGATGCAGCAACTGCTGGATGGCCACCTGTGTCGGTTGCCGCACCGTGCCCTGCCGTCTGGCGGCCGCTTCCTGTGCCGCAAAATTCGCTCCCATCTGTCCGCTCATTCCCTGCACCATTCCCGGACCAGCCGGATGACTGCCGGCCGGCTGTTGATGGGGATACGGGAAACGGCCATGCCCTGCCATCGCCATGCCCCCTTGACTGGGCCCCGGTCCATACCATTGCTGAGCCGGCTGGCCAGCGTTCGACGGCACACTCATACCGGGAGCCATCATCATTCCACTTTCATTGTACATCGGGCCGGCGTTGGACACACCCATATTCCCGTATCCCGCTCCTGAATGCACCCCCATCAGCGGCGCCGCTGCTGTCTTCTGGCGTTTCTTCGTAGTCGTACTGGACTTTTTGGCTTTGGATTGACGGGCGCGGGGACTACGGGGTGAAGAGGTGTCGATGGATGTTGTCTCGGAGTTGGCAGGCTCATCGACAACCATTTTCTCGGGTGCGGGCATATCTTCCTCCACCGGTACGTGCGGTGATTCCAGATAATATTCCAGGGGTCGTGGCGAGGGATGGGTATGCCAGATAGCCACGCGGTACTGTAATTCACTGCTAAGGAGTTTTCTCTCCGTACGAATGGCACGAAAGAATGACCACGACATGGGAAAAGGATTTCGAAAACCCTCCAAGACCTCCCACGGATTGAGCTTGACTTTATAGGACACCTTAAGAAAAACTCCGCATAAGCAGATCGAAACGTAAAACGGCAAACGAACACCGACACTGAAAAACAGTACAAAACTTCTGATGCAAACCCAGAATCCCAGATGCTGCTTTATAATTGTTACCACACTACCAAACAAAAAGGTACTAGTAATAAACGTGTATGTTTAATAATTAATTATCAGTTTACCCGCAATCCCGGTTTTTTATCCACATCAAATCCAGTAGTGATTTTGTTGCCTTTTGCATCAAACACACACCCAGCGGGCTCGACCGCAATCACATCCAGACTTTTCTTGGACAGCGGCAGCAACAATCGGATGTGTTCCACTCCCGCTATCAATTTCTCACCGATTTCTTTTTTCACTTTCTTCACCAAGGTAATGTAGGTTTTCCGTTCTTCGATCCGATCAGGACCCGGAATATCTGCTGCGAGGGCCGTATGGATTAATACCATAAACATATCCAATACAGTGTAGAACGTGTCTTGACTGTTGACGGGATCAACACAACCTGTTTCAAAAACCATTTTACTCTAACTAAAGCGGTATGCAGTAAATAAAGCATGATGTGACAGAAGCACAATAATTTTAACGTGTCCCGTCTTAAAACTCTAAAAGGGATAGAACGCTCTAGCAAAGGTCGATAGTAAACGTCAAAGTTACTGGCAAACGTTACGTACCGGAAATAATTAACTGTGCCAACAAAAATGCCCATTCGACGAGCAGAGCAGTATTCTTTTGGATGATATCAAAGAGACTGCCCAGCAAACTTAGCCGCAACATCAAGGAGTCCAGAATTAACGACCGCAGCTTGTTGTCATCATTGGGTAACAGACGGTCTTCCTTGGCGAATTGTGTCAGTTGATTATACAACGACTGGAGGAGCTGTTCACGCGGATTGCGATCGGCGGCCTTGTTCAAGCAGGTGGTTAAAAGGGAAAGAAACGGCGCATAGCCCAACAACAAGGTGCTATAAAAATTATTCCAATCAAATAACGCAAACGTCAATAAGACACGAAAACGATCAGTGCTATAATTTACTTACATTATACATGCAAGTGATAAAGCTTAAAAAGTGTTACAAGATCGCGTGCCCTAAATAAACGTTACGAGATCACACCTTTTAGTTAGCTTCTCTCGTTCCTTCTTCCCTGGCCAAGTGCAACTTTCCATGACCGATATCATCTGATTCAGGACTTTTGCAGGAATACCAGTGCCTTCAGGCAAAACGGAACTCAGCTTGGCAACGATTGGCGCCAAAAACCACACATGCTCCCCACTATCCAGCTCGTACTTAATGCTTTGGTTTTTGCTCTTTTTCGGCTGTCCATTCGCTTCTGTTTTCAGTTGGAAAACGTCAATCAATGCCTTTACAAAGATGTCCAACATCGCACTGCGATCCTAGCACAATAAAATTAAGCTCGCCTTGTACATATTGAGAAATAAAGTAACATATAAAATTAATGTTCGAACTGTCAGCAGTACTGTAACAGATACTTTTGTAAAGCCTAAACGCAACTGTATAGCTAATTAATTTCCCATTGCCAAAATCAAAGACATTCAAACCGCTAAATAGATACCTATACAAGAATATAGTGACTCTGCCCATTGGCCATGTTTCGCGTATCTCAACAGACAAACATTTAACTCAGACTGCAGATATGAGATCTGCAGTCTGACCAGAAAAACAGGTATCTGACTATTTAATAACAATTATCAATCCACGTTAATACCTTCACATACCCCAGCACCAGAATCAAACATCTTGGGATCGAACAATTTCAACATGAGTCGTAACTCCATCCAAGAAACCCGCAGATTCCACTGGTCCAAAGCGCGCAGCATACGCTGGAAAGCTTGTTTATCATCCGTAGGCCGCTCGTCGGGTGAGGGAGCGGAGTAACTGACCGGATAGCAGATCAATCGCACCAAGTGCCGAGTCTGACTTAGAGTCAAGATGGAATCCAGCAGCAGATCCGGGGAAAACAAATTCTCCAATTCGCGCATAACGCATTCCCTTGTCGTGTCTTCTTGGCAAATCTCACATAAAACCATCTCCACAAACTCATTCAAATTGCGGATATCAGCGCCAAAAGGCCTAGTAATATCAGCGCGAGCTGCAAACAATAAAAGCGTAACATGAGAACGGCATTCAGCGGGACAATGCCAAATGCATATTGCCAAATGTACATACTTAACATATTTCCACCAAAAGTCACAAATCATAACAAACAGGACAGAAAAAAAACTGCAGGACAAAGAGGTCGAAGTCGGTATAATCTCTAGTTAAGCAAATATTAGTTAAGCAAAAATTTTAAAGTTTCGTAAATTCCTCGAAGTTCAATTTTTCAGAGTACGGAAAGCGCATATTATAACACCGTATGAGGATGCTAAATATCCTAGGCAGTAATCAAACTTTTACGTTTGTTTATTTTGCGAGTAATACTATAAATTGTTTCATATAAAACATGATTCTACAAGATTTTCAAAAGGATGTAGAAGTGTGCTGTAGTACATGGAGAAAAGCAGCAACAAAACAACATTACCGTCACTGGGACGTTCTTTTCGTATGCGATTTCGTCGGCTATCCTTCGTCATATCTGAGTCACTCAGTACCAGCATGGCTTTCAGGACAGCCAAAAGCGGTGCCACGCTCAGATTTCGTCGAGCCGCCACCAACAGATACCTGTCACACGGATATTTCAGGTAAAAGAGCGGCAATGGTTGTCCTGGCTCTTCTGGTGGCCCGTATGAGCCCTGCAATAATCGCAACATGATATGCGCTGCCAGCCGACCGCTTCGTTCCAGATTCCGCTCCAAATTATGGGTCGGATCACCATCCTGACACTTGCTAGCGCTCATCAGGGTCATGATGGCCACACTGCCAATAAAGTCCTCCAGTCGCAGACAATGCCGGGCCACCAGCACGCCACAAAATATAGCGATGCGCTCGAAAGCTTCATCAGTGATCTATATTCGGACAGAAACAAACCTTTATAAAATTTACAAACTCCAAAACGTCGATCAGACTGCGAGCTTTCCCAATAAAGAGCCTAAGGTGGAAAATACCTTCTGCCATATCACAACAACAGTGTTGTCTCATTGATATTTATTTATTATATTTGCATAGTGAAAATTCCGAACTGAAGAAAGCTGAAAGGACTAGAAAACTAATGACAAATTCCTCAGATAGTCTCAGATATTGGTCGAAATTCCGCAAAAGGATCAACTTACTCGAATCTGCCGCAGCAAATCGTCATAATTCGGTGTGCGGTTGTAAGTAAAAATGAAGGCTTGAAATGCCGCCAGCCATTCTGCAGTCAGCAACCGCTCGCTTCCGTTACAGTTTGCCGTCATTTCCGCACACGTATTAGCCAACTCATTCACCCTAAAAATCAAGAAAAATGAAGCATTTATGGACAGCAGTGACAAAACTGACAGCCACAACATACGTGTCGGGATTCTCCTCCTGTGTCACCCGTAAAATGGTGCTGACAACGAAGAAATGCATATTGGCCAAGCCGGTAACACTGTCATTTAGCATCTTGGTAATTTCACCCTGGCTGGGTGAACGCAAACGCAGCAAACTATTGCCAATCCCGTTAACAAAGTCCCTTATTGCTCCTTCCCGCATCTCCCGTTCGCGTGGTGCCTCCTTGTCCAGATCCGGCTTGTTGGAGGATGGTCTAGTCCGTACAAGAATGGCACTGCGAATCTTCGACGATGGTGCATTGAAGTCTGTCTGGTATTTCGCTTGTAAGAAGGCACAACTCTGGTACAAGTCGTACATATACGCCAACACACACCGCTCCGCCGATGTACAATAACCCGGTAGAAGAACATTATTGACAATAGCTTTCAGCCCTTCAAATATCGCTCCCGTGTGGTCCTGGGACAGCAGCAAACAGCAGTGATATTTCCTTAATAACCCCACACAGAACAGCACAACCGGTGGAACCAAAATCGGATAAAGCAGTGTCGTTTTCTGCTGCTTTGTCGGATCCGGATTCCGCACAAAAACGGTCAGCTCTCCTAGTACTTTCGTCACACAGGTTAAAAGTTGCCGAATGTTGAAGGCCGCTTCCATCATCTGCATCACAAAGATTATGCTCTCCACGGCTGGCACATACTGCGACTGATCCTGACTGAAATTATGCAGTGTTTCCAGCAGCGGTCCCATGGCGGCGGTGCTGACGATATTTCGATCGAAATACGACAAACTTTTCAAAGCCTGCCGTAAGCCTGAGATTATTCCGGCAATATCCGCTTTCGGCGGTCGAGGGTCCATTTTCCCATCCATGGCATCATAACATCCTTTCCGATGGAAGAGCTTCTGAATATCTTTGCGGATTTTCTTCACTTGATGACGCGGTTGATCGCGCGCACGCCCAAATCCATACAACAAAGCTAATCGCTGATTCGTCTCATGGGTACCTTCCATATCCGTGGCCGACGGGATGGGAAAATGCAGGACATAATAATAATGCGGTGACAAAGTGGTTACCGCAGGTTCGGAGATTACGGATGACACACTGGCGGGCTGGGCGTACCCATCCAAACTAGATACATCGGCCGACATAGGAGGAACTGAACCGCTCTCTTCCATATGATGGTGCTGAAAACCATGCATAGTGGACGATGGATAAACCACGGGGACACTCGGCACGGAATATGGTCCGTAGTTCGGTTTTCGTTCGAATCCGACGGATAAAGGCGACTGCGGAACAGAAATGCGCTTCTGGTAGTCATCCATCATCTGGTGTTGTGGATTGCCGACGGACTGTTGCATGTAATAATCGCCAACGGACGCGGGTGTCGATACGGAAGTGCTACACGGTGACATCTGCGGCATGTATCCCGGTTCCTGCGACATGGGAGATTCCAGTGCCATGGCGGCGGGATTGACCGGCGGGATCGGACGGCGTCCGCTACCGGCTTGCGGGATGATACCGGTGGAGATGAGTGCACACACGTAAGTGTCATGAGAAAAAACACCACGGGCAATCAATTCGGCAAAAAGCAGCACGAGGCTATCAAAGGCGACGGAATCAACCGGCTGGCCCACATTATCAAATTTCGGGCCTTCTTCATCCAGAAAGCGCATAAGACAATTTTGGAATAAGAATGCCGGGACGGCGGCGGTCACCGCGACATCTTGTTTGTCGTCATTCCGTTGTAGCTGCTCGATGAGATGCGCCTGGAATTTTTCCAGGAGAAATGCCACCACCAGGCCACGATGGATGCCGGAACGCTGAGTGCCCACACTCCAACGACAGAGTAAGAAAATCAACGGTTCCACTTCTGATTTCCACTGTCCACCGGCGGTAACCGATACGCTCTGCAGTATCGAGCCGAAAACGTTGTTGTATAGGGCATCCATATTGTCTTTGCCATCGGATTTATGAAATGGATAGCGGTCTAAAGCTTCCAGCGCGGCCAGTGTTGACGAAATATGAGCCATATTCGAATCTGTAACGAATATAGAAATATGGTAATAACTATTCACAATCTACGTCAGCCACAAAAATCAAAAAATAAGTTAAACAAAAAACAACTCACCTGTGCTCACTTTACTGTTCGCCCACCGTGTGTCTATTAGTGTTGACCTGGTCCTAATTTCATCCTCGTACAGTCTCAAAGTCTCCCGCATATTAGGCACAAGATGTTCCAGACACTGCCCAATAGGTAGCTCAGAGGGAAAAACAGGCAACAGATCCAACGGTGATCCATCCAGAACATGCGCCGTCGGTTCCTCCCCCAGGAAATTCCAGATACAGGCATTCGGACACTTCATCACCACCATCTGAATTATGGAGATCGTAGCGCGCACCGGCACCAAATGATGTCCACATTCCAGTGCGTCGTCTAGCAGTTGTAATGGAGTCTTTTGGGGATAGGTGACGCGGACGGGCACGGCAATCGATGCCAGATATTTCGAACATGTCGCAACTAATTTCCGCGACAGAATTTCATTTTGCAAGATGTCGATCATGAAGTGCAAGACGCAAGGTAGTAATAGCTTTAGCAGGCCGCCATCGTTCAGCGTCCGGACCTTTTCCGTTGTGTCCACAAGCCAAGTGCAAACCTGTATTAGGAAATTCAGAAAATAAATACAAACACTATCAGTCTACAAAAGACGGCTGTATACACCACACATAGCCCACAAAAGACTCACGTCGTGACGATCCAACAGTCCTTGCTGATACAAATAATGTGCCAGCCCAGAACAATATTTCCACTGTTTAAAAAGGGTTTCATAATCTTGATGTTCTCCGAGTTGGGTGGAGCCAGGAAGACCAATGGGAAGAATGCTGGCACCATCGTTTTTATCACTGCCAGTGATGCGATAGTAATCCGACAACTTGGGAAGCAGATCTTTCAGCGTTTTCAACACGGCTTGTGTCCATTCCATTCCTGGATCCAAGATTTGTCGCTTCTTCACCTGCAGATGAAAATTTAACATTATCAGCTACGCAGTTTACATACAATCATGCAATTTTAAATTCAATTCACTCAATTCATTTAATTTTTTTCAACTTTTTATATCTTAATCTGAACAAATGAGAACCAACAAACGATACAGTTAAAGTCAATGAAAATTTTAGAATCAAATATGTAAGAAAGTTTCAAAAACGCATAAGATGGCATACAAACTGTGCTAAAAAATAGGACGGAAAAATATATGCATAATGCAACGTCTATACAGACGGGGAATTAAAAAAATTTGTTAATTACGACATACAGTACCTTAGAATCAGGCTGAGAAGCAGCGTACCCCGCCATCAGTTTGATGTACCAGGCTGCCTTAACGAAAGCCGTGTCGTACTCATAAAACGTACTAATAACATCCTCCTTCTTATTAAACACTGGGACTTTTTTGGCCGGGGTGAGTGGAGGTCGCGAGACATTCAGCTCCTTAAACCATGCATCCACCAAGCTCTTAGAGGTGGGCTTGGCGACGGGAAAGAAGGTACATATTTCCTTGCTATTGAACACGGACCGTTTCTTGGCGGAATCCTGGATGGTATTGAATTCCTCCTTCTTGGTCAGTAGCCCGTTGAAGTAGGCATTGACATTGCTGGCCGTCAGCGCGGATGTGCTGTAGTTAGCGCCCGGACGTGCACTGCCGTACTCGTCCGTGGAACTGGTGACGGGGTAGGAAAAGCCCTCTTTGAGGGTGCGCGCTGATAGCTCATCTTCTTTCTGCTTGAGTTCCTGGGGGTAGACGTCGGGCGCACCCAGACGGGGTTTTTTCAGCTGACGACGCTGAACATCGGGACTGGCGAAGGCGGACATTGGACTGTCAGGCTTTGCATGGGCACAAGACGGGTGTTGCTAACTGGCTGGCAATGGCTGCCACCACGAGCGAGGCTGCAGCTCCGATTACAGTATCACCCATAAGGTGAATTCTGACAATGCAGATTTATGCGTTGCTGGAGATTCCATGCAAACAGGAACAAAATGCAATGATCACGATCCAGGTTATGACAAAAGATGCAGGGCAGATCAGATTGATCAGATTAGCTCCACGCGTCCGTCAGCGCTACTCAAGAAGACGCTTATAACTTATTCCCAGTCTTCTCCAAACACTGGATATATGCAGCTAAGTCTAACATATAATAATGTATAATAAAAAAATGAAAGGTTCTAACAAGATAACAAACGCAATAACTAATAGAAATAATAATTAAAAGTTGTCCCAGGTCGGGAGTGCTACAAAAACATGGCGCACGAATATGTACTAGGCCCCTAGTGAGAGTGCCTACTAGGTCGTACAGCACGGTACAGGGGCTGATAGGCGCAGGGGCTGATAAAATATTTAAAAAATAAAATAACCAGCGCGATTCATCCATGGCGCAGCAGATGAATAACAAGTCCTCACCCCAGTATAAAGTATTAATTTCTTGCTCTTCCGAGAACAATGTTTTTTTTGTAAATAATTAGCGACGGCTATATTACTTAATTTTCTTTTTCATAGATACGAGCTATGCGCAAAAAATCGAAACTATAAGTATGTATCTGCATAACAGAGTAATATACGAGTATCTACCAGTATCTGCCGGTGTCCGAAGTCCTCACTGCCTGTGCTAAAAAAACTTAAACTTTTCTAGACAAAAATTGACTTTCGTTTTAGGGCATGAATTAATTTTTAATAGTGTACAGCCTTTGAGCATGGTAAGAGACCACAAGCATTTTCCGGTCGTTCTGAGAAACTCAGAAAACCAAACACTTATAATGAATGTTATGAATTGCTTAAGTAATTTGAAAAAGTGTAGTGTGCCAGCGCTTGCGATTATTGTTATTGAGAGGCTATTGCCAATTAAATAATCGATTTGAAAAGTAAGCAACTTATTATTCATTAAAATTTAAAACCATTTTGTTTTGAAAAGTTTTTAGTTACCATCAGCAGCGCAGTTTAATACTAATTCTTATCATATGGATATATCGATCGAAGTAGGCGCTTGTAAATACAATGAAAAAACTATACAAATACTTACCTCTAAACCCACACAGTACGTCGGGTAGGAGTTATCAAATTTTTAAATCCATAAATAATACACAGTAAATATGTTACTGTAAATATGGCAGCGCCACTGGAACACGTAATAATTTGGAATTCATTGAATCGAATCGGAAATAGTTTTAAAGCTAAAGACTTTTTGTAACAATATAATGCTTTTTGAAACATTTACATCAAATTTACAGTGTATTCGCTAATTGTAAGGTGTTCACGATTGTATCGTATTTTAACATTTTTCAGTTTTTTGTAGGTTAAAACTTAAAAGTAGCTTAACACTAGAGTAATTACTAACAAAGAATGAAAACTCTAAAATGCCACGTAGGATGAATAAAATGTTATCTATATATAATATATACATTGACCTTATAATCTACTAGAAAATTTACTACTACTAGAAATATTTTTGAAGGCGCAGCACAATAACCAAACAATGCCGGCATTTAAGCTAAAGCTGCGATTACGGCGAGTTATCTTTTATCGATTGTCCCTTCTTCGGATGCAAATACGGTAAGCATTCCTATGACTTCATCGGGAATTAATACGTGCGCCAATTACAATTTCATCATTGTGCAAGTTTCAGCAAGCAAATGACATCAGACAACCTTAGGATGGACGATGGAACGGAAACGGGTTTATTGTAGATATGAGTAATAACTCGGCAGCGGGCATGTTTATAAACCGCTGAGCTGTCTGCTTTCAGTCGTCAATCGATCCGAGTCGGCGGCGCCGCTTGGAATAATCGTTCTTTACTTTTCTGTCAGATCCTTTAAAGTTTAGCACCATCACGTTTTTGACCTTCTTCACAAATTTTTTCTTTTCTGTTTTAGCAAGTACAATTATTTGATAAGTGTCCTGGTACAGCTTTGCGCTTTTTTATCCCGTAAGTGTGGAAAAATGGCATGACGCAGTTTTTAGAATGTTGTATACTGCAGTCGTCTGTGCATATTATGAAAGTCAGAAAGTGTGTCTACATTGATAATTATTAGACTATTTCCTTGTAGAAACGGGACCTCATGTCATCCTACCGCCACTGCAGCCACAGCGCTGAGAATCGCGCCATGAAGAAGCAGGCCTTCGTGGAGAAACTCTACTTTGTCACCCCGAACGATCCCTTGGAGAATGATCGCGCACCGCGCCATGCCCATGACATCATCGAAGACAAACTCGATCAGCTGCAGCGTGACGACAAGCGCATCCAGTCCGTGGTGAATGATGGCGGGATGACGGGTGTGGGCTATGTCGCCTACACCCGCCCCGAACTGCCCCACCGTATCTTCTACTCCATGAACAAGAAAAAACGCTGGCAGCTGCCGGCGATGTTGGAAGACGCCATCGCGGATGAGGCGTTTGAGGATGTCGGGATCGACAGCCATACCAATGTCACCTGCATGTTGCGACGTGCTGGCACGCACATGTCACAGGATGCGGCGTGTGTGTTGCGGATCGCGTCGACCTCCTTCGACAATTGTAAGACCGTGACGCCCAAACGGATGCAGGGTGTGTCGTATGTGACGGATCTCGTGGAGAAAGAACTGCGCTTGTCGCGGTGCGATGATCGCGAAGCGGACGGGGATGGAAAGGAGGAAATGACGCCGTATCATCAAGCTAGGAATCGAGATCTTGGGATTCTGTATCATTTCTCCGTGAATAATCCCATCAGGAAACCCTGCCACTGGAATGAGAAGCGCTTTGAGAGGAAACCAACGAAACGACGGCAGCGCAATGATTTCCACGAGGAACTCCTCGAGGCGGTTGACCAGAGTGACAGCGAGGGTGCGATGGAAGAAATGGAAGAAATCGGTGACGCGCCGTCGCCGCCCACCATCCAGATCGATATGGGTGATCTTCTGGATAATATTTCCATGAAGCGCAATAAAAACCATCATCGACATCGGAAGGACACCGACAGTTCGACGGGATCCTCCAGTGGTTCAGTGAAAAGTGGCCGCATCGTGCATGTCGAGGAAGAGGCAGGCGATTCCGACGTTCACATCGAGGAAGAACGCATGCCAACCCCGACATTCGTGGCGGTGGATAGCCAGCGAACATTTTTCTTCCCGCGGATTGATTTGGCGGACGTGGACGCCGTCCTCCCGTTGACTGCTAACTTGACCGTTCCTGATCCTTTCACCCGGGTGGCATTCTGTGATATCGGCGTTGACGTGGCCGTGGTTGCTGTCTTTCACGCCACGATCTTCGGTGTACAGTGCAGCGTCAAAGCGCCGGAATCCTTCCTTGAGAGAATGCCGGAATTCGAAAGCCTGGACGAACTCTTGGGGCGTTTCGAACTGGAGGCCCACTTGGTAGGGCGAAGGGAAATGTGCTTGTATGACGGAGTTAAGGATCTGTTCAGTCCTCCCCACAATAGTCTCAGAATGTACGATCTGTTGGTGAGTAATTTGCTGGAATGTGAGACACCGATAAGTTTGAACGACGGGGAATGTTTCCTGTGTGGCAGCTCCGGAGTGGTGACCAACAGCTGTGGTCACTCAGTCTGTGATTTCTGCTGGGTGCATTTCATGGCAGCTAAAGTGTCCGATGGCATTACTCGCTTTCCATGCATCCAATCAGGATGCAGCGCGTTGATTTCGTCTGATCTTATCGGCTTGTTGGCGCCCTGGGGTGTTTTGGAGCCATGGCAAAGCCGCAATCTGGACAGCATTGTCTCCGCCGCCAACGGTTTCCACTGTCCGACTTCGCGATGCACCCATGCCGTCCTTTTAGGGAACGAAACTGTGGATAAAGTTAGTTTATCCCAGTCGCTTATCCTGTGCTACGGTTGCTCGAAAGGCCTGTGCCACTTGTGCAAAGAAACCTGGCACTGGCCGTGTCCGTGTAAAGAAGCCGAGACGTACCACAATGTGATGGCCGGTTTGAATGACGACCCGTTCAACCGGTACGGAAGGGTCAAACTGCGGTACTATGCCAACACAAAGAAATGCCCGGGGTGTAAGTTGATCATGGAAAAGGGGGAAGGATGTAACCACATGAGCTGTAATTGTGGAATGCAGTTTTGTTGGTTCTGCGCGCAACCGCTGGACAAACACTACGGGCCTAATGGGTACAGGGGCTGCGTGGGGGAACAGCAGATGGATAAGATCGACGTGGAAAGAGCGTCCGATCTTCGCTGGAAGGAGGGAGTGTACCATAGGGCTGTGGATCTGCGCAAAAAGCGTTTTGATCTGAAGAAGAATAAGAAGCTGGAGGAGGATGTTCTGAGTGCGTTGTTCATTGCGTATCATGTGCTGGAATACGCGTACGCCTATGAGAGCCAGATGCCGGGTGTGGGGTTGCGGTTGTCCAATAGGATCAGGGGGGAAATGGATAATTTTAAATTTGTGTTGGGTCTGTTGGAGGATAATGTCACCGATGGACATGTGGAGAAGGCCAAAGTATATGCCGAGAAAGTGAAGCATTCACTGGTGGGTTTGCGAGCGGCGTTTAAAACCAATGAGAAGTTGTAATTGATATTTTGGTTGTTTGTCAGAGCTGTTTTATTGAGATGATTTTATTATGTTAATTTATTTTTTGATTGTTTTTTATCATTGTTTGCTTTCACACTGCTTACAGTTACATTAATGTAAAACTGTAATTTTAAGTGCTCTTGTGGGTTCGGCTCATTATTGTCGAAATGAAGTATCGTTCATTAATGTCACACATACCGATCTGTACAATATTGCCGTAAAATAAAGATTGCGCTCCAGCCGCGTGTTATCGTTTGACCACGGTATAAAGGAATTTTCTCTTTTAAACCGTGGTTTGACTTTGGAACCTAATTGCACTCGTACCTCATCCGACCTAGAACAGAATTATCATTTAAAATATTTATACTAATTGTTAGTAGATATTGTTTTACATAAGTTAGAGTCGTAAGCGTTCATTTGTCCAGTGTCATATATAGACTCAGTGCTAAAATTACAGAAGCTTTCCTGAGTTACTAATCTTTTACGTTTCTTGCATATTTCATACAGTATAACAAGTTTAAAATCTAATAAGATTTATTGGCCGATTTTTATAGACCCTATGTTGTTTAAACCGAAGGCAAAGAGTAGGCAAACATGCCGCTGACATTTTGAAGACAAAGGTCATGTTTGTTAGCAGAGAATCCTTGGGCGCTTCTGTTTCTTAGTGTCGATTACGTGTAGATGGTCAGATTATCGTTGGGAACAATCAGTCTTGCTGTAACAGCAGCAGCGATACAATCTGGAAACTTATGGTATTGGAGTGTTACAAATATAATAGATCGCTGGTGTAGCTAACAATTTTCCAGTAGGCAGTTCAAGTTGCAAATTGGGTAGCATTGAGCTGAGACTTTTGCTTTGTGGAAACTTTTGTTTATTTGTTTGCGCATTCTGCGCTGCAATGCATACCGCTATCATTTTTGGCTTTGCCATTGTGGCTCTGGTAAAGCTTAATTCGATATAATTAGGAATTATTGTTGGACATGCGCACCGGAGGCCGTGCTAATTATATTAATGTTCCGGCATAATTCCTGCACCAACAATAAATAATTTTGCTCTTCCTAAAACTTTTTATTTACAGGTCGCCGGTAATGGTGTCCGAGTGGAATACAAACTTACACAACTTCACAATCCACAAGGCATCCTCAGCACCCGCAAAAAATGCGATGTTGGTAAATAAACGGATTAAAACAATTGGCAACTGTGTTTGTAAAAAAGGTAGTTAATCAATAATTTCAATTTAAACGGCAACGCAGGTGCAAACACCGCGTGAACATGTACAGCAATATTTTGTTATGCTTAATGTTATAAATTTACTGTACTAAACTGTTCTTTTAAGTATATGAATATTTTTTGCGCTTATTGAAATAGTAGGAACCCAGGTAGTTACGTATTCACTACTGTATTTCGGTTACAGGTTCCAAATGCGATCCGAAACTGACTGGCTATGTTGACACGTAAGTACTTAACACTGTGCAGGTCCCGTTTTAGCCGTCCAGAACGTCTGAGACGTCCGAACCTTTCGATAAGTAATCTTTGTATTGTATAGAGATGTTTTCTCTACTGTAGGTAGCTTTAAAATTCAACGTTGCATTGATACTGCCAACTTAACGGCATAAGAAATGAATAAAATTGTACTTCAAAATCTTTTCATTTGCGATTATTTTCTCCTTGCACAGTGATAGCCCTCTGGCAACGTGGCCTGGACCAAAAACCAAGAAGGACTGGACAAAGATCTTTGAGGCTTCGGATGAAGATAGTCCGAAAATCAATAAAATTGTGTCGCGCGACTGCTGCTCTCGTGATTGCTACCGTGTACGTAGATGACGTAGTTGCAATTAATAAGAGTGCATCTAATTCAGATAGATCTTTGCATTGTGATGGATGTTCTAGAAAGCCAACCTCCGAATCGACGCTGTTGATGCCGACGTTACTACTTCCGATCAAATGGAACAGTTCGAATGTCTGAGTGGGCGTGATGTGGCGGCCAGTGAGAGCCAAGCCCGCTGGTCAACGGAGAAACCCTGTGATGCTAAATTCAACCCGAAGGACGTCAAGTTCGTACACACGATACTACTTACAAAGATACTACTTATTGTTTTCTGTACCCAGTCCTTTTCCAATTTGTTTATCCAATACTTCCACTCGCTTTAATGATGGAGCACAAAATGCAAACTTTAACATTTATGCTTTGCAGACTGAATTACAGTTGGCGCGCGTTTACCATTCCCGATCGCGAATGCGGACGACCTGTTGGTTCTGCCAAGAAAGCTTAGATTTCCTGACATATGTTATTTCCGCTTTCGGTTTACTGATAAAACACTTGGGGCTGAAGCATTTGTTTTTGATCGAGAGGAGCTACTTTCGCTCACCGAAACAGAACAACATTGGGTGTGATCGTACTCCAGTCCTACTCATATGCAGCTGCGCGCTGAGCAGGAAGAAAATTATTTTACACTATATGGGGACTACTAACCGTTATGCATTCAGTTTTCAGAATCTAATAAGCCGTAGTAAGCGGCAGTTAAAAAGGCCGCCTTTTTATATTCTCGTAAATAAATAAAAAATCAACGGGCCAGAGAAGTAAGCTACGCACAGGTGCGTTATTAGTGAAAATGCTTCAAGCAAAAGTGAAAGTCAAATCGAGTTTTCATGGCATAACGTTTGTACTATATACCAGAAGGTGACCTTTGATTGTTTTAAAAGCGTTAAACTGTTGGGGCGCGCAGTCTTTTTTTGGTCTATTTTGCATCAGCATTTGGATCGGACCGTTACAGAAAACAATGAAAAAATGTTAGGGGAAGGTAAACATTTTTAGGAATGAGCCGTCCATGTAGCACAGTATTATCTGATATCTTACATTTCTCGTAGTTATTGGCAATTAGAAGTATCGCATGGTGAAAAGTGGAAACGTAGGGTAAACTCCAGCTTCACACGTCACAATGGGTGCAGTTCAGTAATTCGGAGAGCGCTTCCACATTTTGATGTGCCCCGATAGATACAGGGCGATAAAAGTCTGTAAGAAATTAAATCTTAATTAGATTTAAGTAGATTATCAAGTTGTTTCGAAGTCCAAGATATAGTATGCTGTTACAGTGTATATATATGCACATCTAATACGAGGTAGGTATCTGTACTAATTACATAACGACTCAAGGAATCGGTACATCTCGTCTGTGCTGGTAACATTGCACACAGAAGCACATTACGCTTATATATAAATCGGTAAGCCTTTTAATCAATTTAGTACCGCACTTCAACTTGGTTTCCGGCAGGAGCGTCTACAGCGTGCCTACAGTTTTCGACGGCTTCTAATTCTGTAAAATGGAAAAGCTTCTGTTCTTTCTCGGAGTGGTAGCCGTGGTAAGATTTCATTAAATCAAAGTATACAGAGTATTGTTGTACATATTTTGTCACTATTATTAATTTTAATAACCGTAGGTTGCTGCTGATAACACGCGTGTTGAATTCAAGTTGTACAATTATACAAGCAGCGGTACTTTACACAATGGCGATAAGTGCGATATCGGAACCCACTGTGATCCTCGCCTGAAAGGTTACGTTGATACGTAAGTTGAAATTACTTAAAAAGGTTCTGTTTTATATGCATCTGTTTACCTTACATTAGCTTATATTCTGGAAAATATAACTTGTTGCTGGCATCTATCAGCACAACGAATTTTCTGCATGGTTCGGTCACTACTTCAGTGTGAGATTACCAAAAACGAGAAAGGTAATTCATATTTGTGCCTAATTAGCGAGAAGCCCGACGCTCCGTGGCCGGGACCACTCCCCATGGAAAAGTGGGCTTTGATCTACGAGGGTCTCGATATTGCCAATACCGCCCGTCTGAATAAAATTGTATCCCGTGATTTCTGCGCTTCTCCCTACAAGGTACAACTGCGGTCGAATTCACTGTCTGCTAATTCAGCTCTATAAACGTCTGCTAATTTTTGCTGTTTTCTTTGCTTTGCAGAAGTCGAATTTGCGTGTTCAGGTGAGATTCTTCGCAGAATGTATATTTGCTTTTTAATTATACATTAAGTACAATATTTACTACTAGCAACAATAAGCATATCCTGCTTATTGATCTTGGTCTTACATAAATTATTTGTACCATATCTCATGGTATGGAATAATGCCCACTGTGCTAAAAACGATATATAATGTGCGAATTTATAATATCGCATTTAATATAGCTAGGAAATGTCTGCAGAAGTATATGTTTTTACAAAGAATGTGAATTGGGGACGAGTTTTAGTACATACCCACCTTGATAACAGGTGGACGAAATTGATCCAACCCGTGTTGACAAAATGGAGCAGTTTATGTGTTTGAGCGGAAGAGATGTTGCCCGTAGTGAAAGATCTGCTGAGTGGTCAGACCCGAAATCCTGTGATGCCCATTATTTCCCACGCAAAAATAAGTACGTGCAATACTGTACTTGTACACACATTATTTAATAAAATTTAATGTATATGCCTATATGGTAATTTTGTTACGGATGTCATAATTATAGTGAAGCTATAAGCAAGTACTAACGAACACACTCGCATACTTTTCTCGACGTGTGACCTTTCTCTAGGCTCCTCTACAGCTGGCGAGCATACCCGATTTCTTCATCTGCTTGTGGCAAGACCCTTTAAAATGTTGACCGCTCTCAAATCGCATCATTGTAAATGTGAAGTGCACTGCGTAGAATTGTGCCATATTAAAATTCTGATGACACGAATTTCTGAACACGCTTTGGTGGTTTTCATTTGCGGGTAATAAAATCAGGATGAATAACAAAATGAAATTGGTTTACGAAATGTTTTACGAAAAATCTCAGATTACATATTAAATATTCCAACACTTTAACTGTTCAACCAATTCGGTATAGACAGTTATATAATTATTATCTTTTATAAGTATTGAAATTTATAAGGTGACCGGTGACCCTGTTTAATGCAAGACACTGTGTAGGTATATTCTAGTCACTTGGTTTCCGGATACACCGCAAAAGTATGTACTTAATTACTTAGAAATAAGCGCAAACAGAACAACTGTTTTTTTCTGTTGAGACTTCAGTTTATGGCTGCGCGCGTGATGTATATACATTGTAGCGGCAAATCCTCGAAAAATAATAATGATGTATTTTAAGATAACTTAACAAAACATTTGTAAAATATATTCGTGTAGATATACAGCGCAGTGTAAAATTAATTGCACGTATTGTATAATAATAAAATTATTTCATTTCTATTCACATTGAATAATAATTTCGTTTGCTAATATTGAGCGTGATTTTCCGGTTTATTATAACTTAATAATAATGCAAACTGCAAATGGCAGAGCCTATTAACTACACACTGACTCTGGTGTCCGACATTCGCCGCACCTTTTCTCAAGTATCTCTATTGTCTCTGTCACATAATTCTCCGAGGATTTCCGGTTGACTTCCACCTTTGCTAGAACAAGTTTATTGCGCGGTGTAAATGCTCAATCCTCACACTGAAGTCAGCCAGACGATTTTTTAAACTGATTAGCCACCGCTTTATGGTGGCTGAGTAAGACACAAGTCAGCGTAAAGGCGTTTAATACTCGTACGTCCAGTTGTACACAATAAACATAATGCGATTTATTGGTAAGCATTGCGCATATGCAGCGTCTGGAACAGGGCGGCTGAGTCGACGAACCTGTCATGAGCGGCGGTTGAATAGGCATAAAAAAGCAATCACGAATCAATTCATTGTGGTCAGCATTGTTACTGCATGGTTTGTCTAATGCACATGTGCATCTCTATCGTCTTGTCAATGTTGATAATTATCTAATCCTTCGTTTTTGAATTTGCATAATTGCTCCCGCGCGATTTTTTTGGAATAATAGTTATTATTCCTGTTGAAATAATCTTAGAGTAAAATCCACCGAAGATGATGCTGTACTGCGCCGTGTTGGTTTTGATGTGCGCTGCTCTGGTAGGTTTTTGGAAAGAATAGACACTACTCAGCAGGAAGCTTTTGTGTTTCGCTTCCAAAACGGTAACATATTCTGAACTCATCCTTATCCAGAGCCAGGGAGTCATGGGTCCTCTCCGAGTGGAAGTGGAACTGCGCCGTCTGAACAACAGCCAGGGAATTCTTCACAATGGTAAAATGTGCGATCTGACCAGCTCGTGCGACCATCGAATCACTGGATATTTCGATACGTGAGTAGCAGTAAATTGCAATTAACTTTTATTTAGACCAGTTCGGCTGGTGTCAGTACTTCTATTCAAGGTTTCGGATTTGAAAAAAAATGTTTTGTTTTAAGTTTTGGTTCGAATTGATAACCAAAGTTTAACAAGCACAAGATGATAAAAATTATTCATTGAATTGTATGTAATGCACGAACTATATCGAGGCTGTCCATACAGAGATGTCAAGAGTCCGCACAATTTTGTTATATACTTATATGCGGATGCTACTAATTTTGACCAGTTCGACGTGACGTCTGACTGAACCGGAAGTGCTCGGTTTTTCCTTTGAAACCGTAAAACGTTATGACATAAAACGTTGTTTTGCATGTTGTTTTTTCTCGCCACTACAGCGATCGGCCCATGGATCCTTGGCCCGGAATGAAGGCTGTAGACCAGTGGACACTCGTCTTTGAAAAGGACAACGATAATGTGCCCATCGTTAACAAGATCGTTTCGCGCGACGTCTGTGAAATGGACATACAGGTACTTAATACCCGTCACAACGGTAAAGTGTGTTTGATTGACCCATCTTAATCCCGCGACGTCATGATTTACTCGCCGGGAGATAATCGGAAACTTATATTGATCAAGTTGGTTATTTATAGCGTGCTAATTTACGGCTCAATGTCGTCGATGTTGATTCGCTGACGAAGAATGACCTTGTCGAGCAGTTTGAGTGTATGGTACCCGTGGAAAATAATGTGGCCACGAATATTAATCGCGCTTTTTGGTCGACGGAACGGGCATGCAGTGCCAAATTTAATCCGGATAAAATAAGGTAAAACAATGACTTTACTGTTCTAAAACCTGCGTTCTAAAACCTGCGTGATACTACTTCGGTCCGAATGAAACTGTATTACACTGCATGAATTAATACGACAACCGTATGCAGTGAGTTTCTAACACAAATTTGGTTTTAACCAGTCCTTATTTATAAAACTTTGATTAATCGTAAGTAAATGCCACACACAGCCTATGTTTTCACATAAAATTTTGTTGATATCACACGTCTGCAAACGTTGGTTCTCTATTTGCAAATCCAAATATTCGTGTTATTTGTGTCTACAAATTGTATTTTCTACGTGTGAGCTAATGTGGAAGTAATGGATCCGACAGCGGTTTGTTTACTGGTTTCTTGAAGATCGGTTTGTACTAGTGATTTATTTTATTTGCAGGTTAAATTATCGGTATCGCGTGTTCGGTATTGCTCCTACCGATTGTGGCAAGCCTCCAGCCGGTGCATCGAGCAAGCCAGCTGCCAGATCATAATCAAATTTGTCGTCGATTTGGCTGTATTCCAGTTTTAATCAGTATGACTAGTTGTACGTTCCCACTGTTCGGGACGCGTTTTTCTCCTGCAGTCGCACCACGGGTTTTTCTGTAAATTTTTTACGTTTACAAGCACGTTTGACCTTGTATGACCAAAATTACTGGTTGCTTGTGTTGTGACAAGCACCTGGTGTTTCGTACTAAAGATGAACAGTTTCAGAACAGATTGCAATCCATTGTACGTCGAAATTAAAAGCAGTCGCTGTGAATACTTGTTCCTTTTTTAATAACTGCCGAGGTAAATTTTAATATGTGTACAGTACTGACTTTTGTAGCTTACTGCACATTGCTGTAGTACTGTAGTACTGTTAGGCGTACAAGCAGATGAATTTTATGATTAACAATCATTCACAATACATACCTACTCTAATGTTACTTACCTACTTTTATAGTCTCTCCAAATACAGTTAAATTGCTAATAAACGCGCGCTAAAATAATTTTATTGCAACGCTACCAGAAAGGCATTTATCGAGATGTCGACGTCAGCTATCGCTTTTCTACTACCGAAAAACAAATGTTCAAAAAGATATCAGTACGAAATACCATACCGGATATTCAAAATTTTCAAGAAAGCCATATTCAAATAGCCCGACTCAAGCCAGTATAATTAACCATATTCTTTAATTTTGCACAAAATATTATAACAGCTCCCAACCCAATATTCACTTGGAATAGGTTGTCAATCTACGGTACTTAAAGCACTCGTACGAACCTACATTTTGGGCTATGAGGACTACCTACTTAGGGTAGCTCGAATTAATACCGGATGATAGATATGCAGATAACCTTACTGCAGCTGAGTGATTTACAATACGTCGTAGTGCATATGTATACATCTGCCTACAAGGATCCAATCCAAAAACGATTTCTGCTTATTCTACGTAACTCCTTGTATATTGGAAAGCAAACCAAACATTTTCCGACGGAAGCAGGTTAACCCCTTGTGAATGACAACTTGCGGAACCGCAAACAACTTGGCTCCATTGTGTAAGCATGCGCGATAACGTCGAACAGCATATTTGTCAACATGCAAATCCTGCAACGTGATATAGCCGGAAATGCTTGCACTGGAGGAGGCAGTAGCAGGCTACTGAGGCTAGCAGCTGTATGATCCTGTATCAAGCGCCGCTTCTGTCACGTGACATCGAAACGTCGAAAAATTTAGAATGCGCAGCGGAATTTATGTATTTCGCGTATACACAGCAAAAAAACTTTACGGTTCGGACTTGTGTATAGTATTTTAATAACTACGTATACGTGTACAATGTACCGGTAAGATAGCAAATGGGCGGCATACAACACGTAGCGCAGAAAATGGCGAAATGTTAATGGGGGGAGGAAAACATCCGACATGAAATGAAATATAGATAGTCAAACCGAAGTATCGGACTACTCGGCAGTTTATGCAGGACAAAACAATCCGTTGCGGATTATACGAATTAAACAAAAAAGTGTAAGACATAACACCGTTCCAGTGCACAACAAAAAGCGTAATTAGTTTATTACAATTACAAAACGCAAGTCATTACATGATGTAGGATGTAATCGGTCCTACTTCACACGAGCATGGCAAGAAGAACCTGAAAAGTAAAGCAAATTATAGGTATGTGGCTGATAGCATTTACGGGAACTGAATGCAATACTCCAGCGTCATTGCACGTGGAAATTTTGGAAATAAATATTTCAGTATTTCGGCATATTTGTTATTTTACCGTAAAAATCTTTAAACACAGTTTTATCAATCTAACAGAAGAATTTTACTGACACACTTAACAGCAGAAAAACCGATCAGCGTTGTATCTCTTACCGCTCCGATTGCGCTACCGGCAACGACCTTTTGATTGGTACTGATCGCAGAACTGCCCCTAGAACGGAAAGGTTACTACAAAATCTTAAACTAAACAAAATAATGTAATATAACTTGGAAACAGTTACGCAAAAAAATTCTAACTAGCATTAGTATACATTTACCCGGTGAAACGATCCCATTTGTATTTGGCATAATCGCCGACCGTGCAGCAGTAGGGAATGGAGGCAACGTCAGTGCGACAGCAATAGTCTTTGCCACTGGCTTCGCCGGTAAAGGCTTCGCCAATTTTGTTGATACCGGGACACGTCCCGGCAATCCCGCAGTCCATTCCAGCTTCACATACTGTTGTAAAACAATGAAGACGCATGGAATTATCTTGACATGTACCACGTGGCTCACTTTTTATGGATTTGATTACTCAAGAAAAATTACTTTTCTACATTTCAACAGGAAATATAAATGCAGACAACTGTGAGAGCATTTCTTGTTAAAGCTTTTTAAAAACGCATTCCGCTGTAATCAGTACAATACTATATGGGGGAAGTTTTAGGCAGTGTTACCGGGTCATACAGTACGATCTGTGTCATGATAATTTGTAATGAACGGTGTGTGTATTACAGAAGTATATGGATGTATTTTTTGGTTATACGTGAAGGCACAAGTTTTTTTGGAGAAATGAATTCAAAGCAACACATTTCTAAGGAAATCGCGTTACTAGTTTTTAAGCGTATTTACACATACAAGTACACAAATTTTATAGCGAACGCGCGCGCCGTTGGTTGCAAAAGTGTAAAATATTACTAGTTCAGTAATAATGATAACTTACCATAGAAGCAGGCCGTCAAAACCGTCAAAGCGATAACAATTCGGTTCATGATGCTGATGTGATTCCTCGAAATAAACACTAAAAAATAGAAAAAAAATAGAATTGGCAGAACAAATTAATAGAAACACATGTATCTGACACTAGTACTGCCCACACAATATTGAAGTAATGGTTTTGAAAGTGTATAAAAGTACCGGAAAGGCGATCAGCAATAAATAAGCGCGTACAGTTACCAACAATAAACCTTGCTTAAAATTTTTGACAATAAAAGTTCACCGCCAACGATAGAAACTGACCAATAATGTATGTAGATAGCTTACGGCAATTTTCCGCCCGCAAAAACACGTTACCCGGTAAATACGTGGTTAGGCGCACATTAACGACAACAACCCAGGCTGTGCAAAAAAATCAGTACTTAATTTGCTGATACACCAAACGACAAATACACAGGAAGGTACAATGTTGTCAAACTGCTACAGCAGCAGTTTCATTAACATATTATGATCATGACATGCAGAGTTCGAAGAATGACCGCGGAAAAGCACTTATAGTCAAACATGTTTTGGAGTGCAGATTTTCCCATAAAGGAAATACGGTGCAGGCCGACAGCACAACGGTGTTTAATAATAATACGGTGTGTACAACAGTGACAGCCGCCGACGAACGCGCGAGGTCGTGCAGTGGTACACAGCCCAGGAAAGACTGTGTATTTGCCAACGGAATTAGGAGTTCAATAACAAAAGGAAAGGGTACACCATAAGCAGAAACGTTATTTTGCCGAGCTAGCGATTTGGAGCACTAAAAATATTTATGCGCTCGCGCCGGCTGCATGTTATTCTTTTGATCTGCTTCTGCAGTCTGCTGTAGACATTCGAAAAATCGGAATTTTTTGTAAGTACCTCAACTTACCTTATAAAATGCGACCAACGCTGAAATATCCGACTAAGTAGGATCAACACCGTGTGCGCCGATGAAACAGCAAATTCTGAAAAGGGAACAAACAACTAAATTACAGGCAAAAGGTTATACTTGTCCGTGCTGCTGTAGTTCTCAGCTAACACGAATGGTTTTCAAATGGTTTTTAAATTCGAAGCGGCTGTACAAGACATATACTGTGCACGCATTCGTATGTACAAGTACTATGTACTACACAATACAGTCATGCATGTTGATATCCAAATCTGCATGGAAAATTGCAAACATGCATCCGGTCGAATACAAGAATGAAGGACATCACATATTAATTCTAACAACTTTGTGCTGATCTGAGTGATCTCAGTAATCAGTATGCACTGTGTGAGCGAATACTAAAAGAAGGAAAAATGTCAGTGTGCATATATTTTAAATCATAGATGGTACACTGAATGCAGTATGCATCAAATTCGAAATTATCGTAAAAATAACCATAAACCGGGAGCACTCGCTTACCGTTATTGGAGTCACAATATCGTTACTCGCACTGTACTCTACAGTTCTACTGTACCAAGTGAACGTATTTTTCACCTGCAGATTTTTGGATTGCACTTACCCAGACTACCTCGCTTTAAAGAGCAAAACTGCTCAATTACACAATCAAAGTGGCAGTTAGTGAGAAAGTTGGACAACAAAAAGTTCCTTACAACATAAGATGCGTGATGTTGGCTGACCACGTAAAATGTGCTCTAATGGACCTTTTTTACTGACGATCACGAACACAACTGTGCTATGTGTCAATTGTGTCTGCCTACATACAGAATCTATACTATTCCCGCAGTGGCTGCTGTCTGCAACTTCTCCCAGTGCCTCGAGAATAATTTCCCCATCCTCTCAATTTTCCATTCAACTCAGCCCCTTCTGCTACAGCATAGAGAGCAGGCGGACGATTTGAGTGATGGGGCACATGCAGAAAGTTTCTAACAACGGAGAGGCGGCAACAGGAAGTTTCCGCATCGTATTGGCCTGTGTATAGTTATCGATCGCAACGCCATCTTTGCCCTCGGCCTGAGGAATGCATGGGCGCTCGCCGACCGGACGAGGCGCGCTGCAGTCTGCAGGGAGATGCACATCCGGTCCAACGTCTTCGTTGGCATGCAAATATATGCACGGTGCAGTGGCAGAATTTTGTGATACAATCTTACAAAAACATGTGCGATAACCTAAAAATGTGCTACAATTTATGTTGGGATTGCAATCATGATCAGGTTTTTGTGAGTTTAATTGTTCGCTAACGTTATAAAAATTCAAAGACCTAGAAACAAATTTCGTGTACTATACATATACTACAAATAATTCAGAAAAAGCTAACAAATAATTATTCTTATTGAAATCGGCTATGCCCTTCAGTAACATAACACAGACATTAGTTTGCCTGTAATAATGAAATTGTCATAAGTCAGAAATTACACGGGGTACAGCTATCTGTACATAATCATTATAATGTACTTTCACAGTTACTGAAGAAGTTTTGTGTCCCTCGTTATAGCGCCACAATTGTCCAAAAGGTTATTTGCATCTGTACAATACTTTTAACAGCAGTTTGCAAAATTCAACTTTATCACATTCCGGTCGTGTTTCGCACAACAAAGGAAGAAAGGTGTGCAGTTCCGCTGATGTCTCCTAAATTCTAAATGTGAAAACGCGTATTTTCCAATTCAGAAAGCATTGTACTACGTACAAGTATTTTTCATTACGCTGTAAAGAATTTGTGAACGCGGCTAGCTGTATAAAAACTTCGGCGCCGGTCTCTGGAACTGAATTTACGCAGTGCATTCTAGTGGTTAATTTTTTCCACTTCCAATGCCCGCACTCGCAATACTTACTTAATGCATGTGTATTGTGTATGTATGTTCTCCCCGATAATAAATTGCGTTATTACCTACCTGACAATAACGAGATCAACCCGTACCCAGTAAAGTCGTAGTGCTTGTGCATGCAGTACGGTAAAATTGTAGAGGCGCATAGAACAAAAGATAACCGGTGCCACATCCGACTGATCTTCGGCCGCGTCGCACAGACACTTTTACAAATAGTACGATTACTTATACTCCTATTGTATGCAAAGGTTGTAAAAATAATTGTTGGTCCATCCAGTGTACACTCTAGCGTAGTTTGATGTCCGCTTTTGGGAACTAAGGTTCAAAAACAAAAAAAGGCTGGAACCCACTGCAATTTTTACCGAATGTACACATACTGATACTGGTAATCATCGAGCTTTTTATTACCAATTTTTACAGGAAGACTGTGAAGCGCGCACTTAAAACTTAAAAGTAAAAACTATGTACTGACCACCGTACTGACACTGAGTATTGTGTAGCACTAATAAAAGTTATAATAGTTCTAGTTCGACCGTCTATGGAGTCTGCATGGTTTATAATTTTTTATATCTATAAGTACAATTTATTGTACAAAGTATATAAGCATGATCGAGCACTCTTCCAATATAACGGTTTGTAATTATAGAAACGTTACAAGGTGTTTCAAGCCTATGATTACATTATTCATCTTAAGAAGAAAAACAAACACAGAAATTTCTCCAGTAACTGCAGGTAAGCAAAATTAGGACTAAGTTAAATGTTAGTTTTTTTATAGAAAGAAAGACTATGGTACCGAAGTGACCTATACATTTCAAATCGACACACAAGGGACCGGCAAATTCGGTATTTATCGACTCAGCGACACCTCGGCTTCCGATCACATGTTCAATTCGTGCATGTTTATCATCTCGACGCCCATTTGACTCAGTTCGCTGATAAAGCTGATTCAAAATTGGACGTTGGTCATGACCACCACGCGTTTTTATGATCCAAACTGTTTACAACAAGCCAAAATCCTCTGAATCACCTCAAGTTTAAAGTCAAACAGCACATGTAAACTGTTGATCCCCGAAGCGGAATGTGCGACAGCTGCGGTAAGGACAATATTTTCGCGCGTTTAAGTGGAAGGTTGCTTTTCTTCGAACGGCCGCGATGACATTTTGGTGTGTACGTCAGAAAGGAGAAGAGAGACACGGTTAGAAAATCCTTTCTCTACTTCCTATGGAGTAGCGAGAGGATTTCTCCCCGCCAGCGTCGAGTTCTTCGTAATCAACAGCCAAAAAGCTACGCGCTCGTTGTTTCCGCGAGATCTTGCTGCAAGAATACTGCAGTACACACATGTACATGTACATACACACGCTGTCTGCAGTTGTAGCGCTCGGCGGCCTCTCTTTTTGCACTTGGCGCATCGGAAGTGTAGGCTATAGCTAAAAATAGTTGTCGCATATTTGTCCGCGATCCCTGTGTGTCAAATCCTTTAACGTTTCGTTGTAAGCACACATTTCTTTCACCACGATGCTAATTTTATCGGCAATCTCGTGAGACCCCTTAGTCAGAATGTGCCACGGGTAACGGATGGCGCATTTATTATCTTTGGAGATCCACTGCGCACACCCCACAGTGAAAGTGGAATTGCAATAAAATTTTTTCCAGGTTTCGTCGGCAATACCGCCTGTAGCAATTTATTGCCAACAATGCAGCTCGGCACGTCCAATGTGGGCACGGGTGCCAGTAGCGGCCCGACATTTGCGTTTAGTCGCAGTTTCAGTATGTTAAGTCATGGGGAAGGGAGATTCAGCGGATGGGGATTTAAGCGGGGAAACCGAGCGGGACGAGCGTCTCGAGGGAAGTTATCGACGGTTAACGGAACTGACCAGGTGAGATTAATAGCATTAGTAGAAACACGCTTCTACGAATTTATTTCTCAAGCTCCTCAAGCGTTGTATTTTTATATTGGGTTAACACAATTATTATAATTATTGCACTTGTACAGAAATCAAAGGATGCGTACAGACGTTAAATTACACAGCCAGCTAAGGATAAATATGTAGGCGTTCGTAAATATCCCTTTTGAAATATGCTTATAAAGATATTGTATGCTTTACGCATATAATATCATATGTAGAAGTTTCTGATCATCACCTTTGTGTTAAAAATGAAAATCTCCTTTACATAGCACAAAATACTTTTTAACTTGCGTGGTTTGAAAAACTGGGAATAACACTTTAAGCAACAATAAGTAGGTAACTTCAGTTACTAATATCCCGAAAAGCCATGGAGCAAAAGCTGCACGTTAACATGGCCAGCCGCTGTTTTTGATAGGATCGTTTGCTGGAGCAAATCCCAGTAGTGAAAAGCGGGCCGATGACCCTGGCCAGTCTCCTGCAGGCACACAGCCAGCTGGCTGTACCCCTGCACCCCATCGACGTCAAGGATCTCGGCCGGCAAGTCTCTCGCTACCGCAACAACAAAGCCCAACTCAAAGCCGAATTTGCCATTGTCAACCGCAATCCGCCTCTTCCCCAGACCCAGGCGAAACTGCGCTCCAACTCGGGGAAGAACAGTTTCCCCAAAGTACTGCCGTACGATGAAACACGGGTTCTCCTGCAGCCGGCCCCGAATGAATCCTATTCCGACTACATCAACGCCTCGTACATTGACAGCTTCGATATTCCCCGCGCCTACATTGCCACACAAGGTCCTTCTAAAAAAACCGCACCAGATTTCTGGCGTATGGTCTGGCAGGAGCGGGTGGGATGCATTGTGATGCTGACACGGGTATTTGACTTTATTAAAGTCGTGTGCATCGAATACTGGAAAGCGGAGAATGATGAACCGTTTGGTGATATTGCCGTGACCGTGGTCAACAAGGAGACATTGGCCAATTTCATCGTCCGTACCGTGCGGTTACGGCGCGGTCATGAGGAGCGGGATATTAAACATTTTCAGTTCCTGGAGTGGCCGATGCACCGTGTCCCCGACACCAGTCACATCCTCGAATTCCGTCGCCGGGTTCTGGATTACACCGCCCATCATAATAATTTTGACGGACCGATTGTCGTCCACTGCTGCGACGGGGGCAGTCGCACCGGTGTGTATTTAGCTCTTGATATGAATCTGGATATGTTGTTGTGCGAGAGTCAAATCGATGTGTTCGGCTGTATTCGCCTGTTGCGCCAGATGCGGCCGTATATGGTAGAAAATAAAGCGCAATACCGGTTTCTCTATGAGGCCTTGTTGGAAGCGTATCTAACCGGGGACACAGTCATTCCAGTGCTGGAATTAGCCAGCCGTATGAAGATGCTGTCCGGGAAGACATCGGTGGGCGGCCGCCGTATTAATCATTTCCATGAAGAGTTTAAATTAATTCAGCGTCTGACGCCGCATCTCAGTACGGGTGTCTGTGCCGGTGGTCATCGCACCGATAATCGCTACAAAAACCGCGATGTCATCATGGTCCCGCCGGATTATGCGCGACCATATTTGACCTCTTTCCAAGGTCAAGAGCAGTCGGATTATATCAATGCTGTGTATGTCGATGGTTTCCAGCGCAAGAACGATTTCATCGTTACCGAATGGCCACAGCGGAATACCGTTAACGATGTATGGTCACTGGTGTACGATCACGATTGTAACACGGTAGTCATGCTCATCGATCCACAAACCTCTACAAATTTCCCGTCCTTCTTTCACGAAAAGGGCAAACAGAAGCCCTACGGTGTGTTCACACCGGAACTGATTTCCTGGCAGCATTATCCCAATATTCGCACCATGATGTATAAGATTCGCAAGAAGACCGTATCCCTGCAGGAGATGATGATGGGCACGGTGAACGAGCTGAAGAGTACCCAGTTCTTTGTGCTGGAATGCTGGCCCGAAAGCAATAAAGTGCCCACCAGTACAGCGGCCGTTATTGAGCTGTTCAATATGGTCGACCGTTGGCGGTTGAAGACCGGGAACAAACCGGTGCTGATTGTGTCCCCGGATGGATTCAGCCGGGCGGGCGTGTTCTGTGCGGCCAAGATCGCCTGTGAACAGATCACAATGCACCAGGAGGTGGATGTTTTCCATGCGGTGAAGACGGTGAAAATTAATCGGCCACAGCTAGTCAACAGTCCGATGGAATACAAGTACTGTTATGACCTCGTTCGCACCTATGTCTACACCGTCGCCACTGCCAATAACGCCAAATCGGATAGTACAGATCATTAAACTACGAAGGATTAAAAAATATAATCTCTGAAGAATTTTGCCTCTTGTTGTTATTTATTTCAAAGTATATTCTTTTCTTCTGCGTGTGACACCAGTTCAAAACATTTTCACTTTCTGTCTTCCATTTTATTTCCATTAAATCAAGTACGTACAGAGTATACAAACCGGTCGTTCAGCTGAGAGAAAATATTTTGACGATTAAAAAACCGGCAGTCGTAATCGACGACGCAGAATAGGCAAAAGAGCATAATGCAAAAGGAAAACCACTCCCGTAGGATAAATATTCTCTACTGCCCGCAACTTTCAATTTCAATTTACAATAAACGATAATGCACAAGTATACACGTATATAAAACGATTTGGTGAGAAATTTAACAAACTATAAAAAACGATAGTTGCGCGTCTAATAAATGTTATCAGTGCCATTGTAGGCATCTGCGATCCTTGTTGCTTCCCTCATGCCGCTGAGAAATGCGCCGTGCATGGTGCCGGGAAAGCTGTACTCGGTATGCTCTCCGGCAAAGCAGACACGTGGCTTCCCCGCGACATCAATCGGTTCAGCCAAACAGCTGAAATCCGCGCCCACCGCTCCCACCGGCACACTACTGTATACGCCCCGCGCATACTCATCCGCGCCCCAGCGCGTCACTAGTGACTCCTTCGGTGAGACGACACAATTCTTCCCGAATATCTTCTGTAAAACCTGCGTGCATGACTGCACTATCACAGCATCATCCATACTCTCCATGGCCTGGGCGGCCTTCCCCGCTACCATGGCTACAATGACGGGCTGATCATAGAGCGCCCAGAACATAAAGAATTCCCCGCGTTTCTCGTTATTCCCATTGCAATAACCGAATAGCGTCCGTTTGGCTTTCCAAAACTTCCGCGCGTATGTCAGAATAACCTTGTTAAATATTCCCGGGCAAAGGTTCTTGATGGAGGTTAATTTATTCGCCGGTAACGGCGGGCTGAACGTCACGCCATCTTTCGTACCGCATCGCTTTAGGACACCCAAGGGAATGGTGCACACGACGGCATCACAAGGATAATCTTTGGGCGCCGCATTGTACAGTCCTTTGGCTGTCACAGTGGCCCCATTTTGATCGTAGGAAATCTTGGTTACCCGGTGATTAAACACAATATTCAATCCCGTACCCAGTTTTTCTGTCATTTGCGATAGCCCGGTAGACGCGAGGAAATGTCCGCCCTTCAACTCCTTCTCCTCTTCATTACTCCAGTGCTCCACGCATAATTCCTCAATCGTAGCGGCACTGGCGAAATCATAATTGGCCAAATGCCACAGCATCACTTTGCGATCGGCGTTCGACAGGTAGGAATAGCTTTCATCACAGAGCGACTGGGGCTCAGGTAGGGCTTCCAGGACCTGGATTTGCACCTCGACGTCCTGAATTTCGCTATTTAATCTCATTAGGCGACTGCGGCATTGCAGAACAGCGTCGCGCAGTATACCGCTCTGCTGTCCCTTGGCTTGCAGGACGGCTTTATTATAGTCGTTCAAATATGTTTTAGCAGTGTAATATAAACTGGTACGAGAGAGGTATAGTTCCTTCAGTTTCCGCACATTATTGAGTTTCTCTTCGATGAACTGATTATTCTTCACGGCCACCTCCAGTTCTTTCAGTTTAAGTATTTCGTCTACGCACTGCCCCAAGCCGTAGTGACGACCGTCCGTGGTGCGTTCGGCGAGATGATTTTGATAGTAACTGGGAGTGGATAATACCAGGTCTTCAAATTCGTTTTCTAAAGCTTCGTCGTTCTCTTGCGAGAGAGGAGATCCATTGCTATCAAATATTGGGCACCGCACATCGACACTTTCCAGCTTGGCACCCAGCTGGCCATGCAGAATAGTGAAAAGAGGATTTCCTGAAACGCGGAACAGTAAGATTACTATACACTGCAACACGTACAGTACTTACAACTTTCCCATATACCAAATAAGCAGTAAGCTGCATTCGCCACCTGTTTGCAAACCAGCTGGCAACAGTAAGTAACTTTATGTGAAAATCAAGCTCCAATTTGTGCATGTGTAGAGCTAACAGGCTCTATCGATCTGCATTCCGTATCGCGCAAGATGAACGTAAAAAACCGCAATACAGGATTAATCGACATTCGCAACTGTTGATATTCCAGCGAGCATCCTTACCTTCCAGGCCCGTTATAAGCATAGCGCCCTTTTCAGCCAGATTCGATCGATTTGTCGAGCTGAACCACGTATCCACCCGCCCTCCCGGCCGATTCCTGCCCTCCAGTATCGTTACACGAAAACCAAAATGCTTTAGCTGCCTAGCAGCGGCCAATCCCGCTAAACCGGCACCAATCACAACAATATGCTTCTGCTGTCGTCCGGGCGGTGTGGGCCGTTCCACCGAGAAATCCCCATAATTAATGACACAGGTCCGATTCAACAGGCGGATAATTCGAATCACATGTTCCTGATCGAACGCCAAATTCGGATCCTGTTCAGCCAGCGCCACCAGTACACTCCTCACCACCAGATGCCGTCTGGGATTGCGCAGCCACATCTGGAGAATTTTGTTTCGGAGGAGGAGATGCAGATCTTTCGAGGCATCGTTACCCTGGGCAATTTCGGGAAACTCTTTCACCTCGCGCTCCGACAGCTTGTTGGCTTCCAAACGACTGAGATACGCTGCACGCGCCGGTGTATCCGCCACCGGTAACGGTAGCTCTTCCCCGTTGCGGTTCTCATACTGCAGAATGGTCTGAATCGCGCGCTCGTAATGGTTATCCTCTTCGGAGAGGATTTTCGCCACGGGTTTCACTTCCCGCGTCGGAGGGGGTTGAATGCCCACGGTGCGCAGAACCTTCTTGGACGGCTCACCATCGTCCGTAGCGTCCTGGGAGGACGCTGCCGTCACCAGAGGGAAGGAGCGGTTGCGCGGAATACTGGAGGAGGAGGACACGGAGGAGGAGGCGGAGAGGGGCGGGGTGAAGGAGCGGGACTCCGAGGGGTCGGTGTGCGAGCGCGGAGAGGATGGCAGCGATGCGGAGCCTGTAGTTAATATTGCATCAGTGTAAAAACGGAAAAGAGGGTAAAGGCGTGCTCACCTGTAGCGCCGATTGTGTCGTCCGTCTGCAGTGTTCGCTTCGACATGATCTTGCCTAACAACAACAGCACCACGCTGTATAATGCAAATTGCAAAGCATGATGGTAGCGTCCAAAACGAACACGCTAAGCAAGCTAACCAGCCAAAACTGGCCAAATGACGAGCTTTTACGTTTTCTCTCATAAATGATTAAAATCATATAAAAGATTAAATGATTAAAATAAAACAAAACCATATAAAAATTCAAAAAAGCTTTAAAAGCCAGAAACTGGTTAATTAAGCTGTAAATTATAAAACTCTAACAAATTTTATGACAGTAAAAAACCAAACGGTATGGTTGCAATTCTGCGTGCCAAACTTCGCCATTTTCTCTTTCACTTGACAGAAAGTTTTACGGTGCAACTAAACGCAATAGCCTTGTTATTGGAAGTAATCCGAAGCTCCTTATCTAGAAATACATTAGCAGAAAGCAAGAAACTGGCACTAGCTGTAATGCAGAGAAGTACAGATACACAGTACCACTTCACGATGATTATACAAACATCCGTACCTATGGGTTCAAATTGAATCGTCAAGGATCCCAGGGAAATCCGCTATCCTTCTCAAGCACGTAGCATCTTAAAATAGGAGAGCGTCTTGAACCACTGCAAATCAGAAGCACAATCAATTCTGGTTACCACAAAATGCTCAGTTGGTCAGACGCACCATTTTGACTAGAAGTATACAATTTTGTAGTGCATTGACAAAAGCTCACCTGATATGGCCAAAAAGACCGAAGTAAACTGGGATAAGGGGCAAAGTGGCAAGCAGGGCTACAAACAAAATCAGTAAGTAAATAATAAAAGTTGACGCTGATAGTTAGAACAAGAAAAATTACAAAAAAAGAATTCAAAGAATTCTATGGCTAGAATGGATGCTGCTGGATCGACTTATGTAAGCCAAAAAATTTTTCAGCAATGGCGTCTTATTGCCCCTCAGGGGTCTACTGCAATTCTATGGCGCCCACCTACTCTTGTCAGGCTCGTGACGCCTCCGCAGCAGGCGACCGGAATGGTCAAACAAAAAATTTCGATTGGAGGTCATAAACTTCTCAAAACAGAAATAAAGAAGTTAAAATTATTGAGGTTCATTATAACTTCAATGAAATTATTAGTTTTCTTCTGCATCTGCTTTACACGAATCTGCAAATTAAACTGTCTGACGAGTCGACGACTGACGTACACGTTCTATTATTTTTCGATACTGAATTAACTGATTTATTGGCAATAGCCGCCCAAATAACAAAAAAATGCACGCGCTGACACCCTACGTAATCGTAAGAATTTAAACATTAAAAAAACAACCAAATTCCCGGTCCTCCCTCGGGTTAAAAGGTAACGTGCTCAAAACAGCCGTAGCATTTCCCTTAACAACAGCAAGGCTGAATCGCTGCTTAAGAAAAGCAGTAGAACGTGCTTCTCCAGTCAAATCCCGAATTTTACGACCCATAAAATGTAAAAATTCACTTAAAGCCGGACCAAAAACTCCAAGGGTATCCATTACTAGAGGGTAAAAAAGGTATCCGTATTCCAAAAACGAATACTTCCCACGCTTCGCATTTTCAGCCAGCTGGGCCACGCTGCCACATTTCTTGGAGCTTCCAGTGACATGAGAGTCAGCAACCGTACACCAGCTGGTTACATCCCAAACGATCGGTTTTCCTTGTCTTACTGGTATCAGTGTCATCCCATCCGGTCTTTGTGCGGTGGTTGATGACAAGCCGTTTGGTTCCATCTCACAAGGAAAACCAGCGCTTTCACAACAGTTTTTCGCGATGCTGTTCATTTCTTTATATACTGAATAGTACAAACAGTGCAACCACTGCAACTGCAATGGAATATTAATGGGGAACAGAATATTGCTATCCGCTATTGTGCAGATGCGGCTTTTGCTGCGAAAGATGCAGCTGGGGATATCGCATCTTCCCATTTCGAACCTCAGTTCCAGATACAGTGCGAACATATAAATGTACAGCCCACGATTTCTCTGAAACGTAACCGCGTTGTGCTTTTTGAAAAAATTTTCATAAACTGACCTTTCTCACCTGACGTCCGCACTGCAAGTCTGCGCACAATTTGCGAACAGCACTTACCACAATATTTCAGTTGACCCAGCGGACGTGTCGTAGACTTTCCATTACGTAAAGGAATTAGCAAGAAGCCTTCGAGTTCATCAAAAAAATAATGGGTACATATTACATACCGCACACAAAAAGTTGTATGCCGCTTCAGCAAGCCCACGCCTACGGTTCATCCCGCGTAAAATACTGTTTCATAAAAGACGTCAATACTCAGTTCTTTGTGCCCGGTTTAATATCCAATGAGAATGATTTCCCAATAAAAATTAATAAAAACTTGTAAGCGCATTCATAAACCATCTCGGGAGGTATCGACAAAAAAACAGCTGATCTTTTAATAATCTCGTTTTTCTAAGTTATTTTTCATCGGTTGGGTCTGGCTGATCCGTTGTTACGGCGGTATCCGTGACATCTGTATCCGGCTCGGAAGTGCTGGTGACGTCGTATTCCCGTCCGTAGTCCGTCATACGCAGTAGATAAAAATCCATCTCTACCGGTCGTTCACAAAAAGGATTCCCCATCATATCGCATTCCCAAAACTGGAACTGGGCATCCGCACCCGGTCCGTATCCACCGCATACGCTCGTGTTACCGGCGCCGGCGGCGCTTTGCTGGAGGACTACAAAACAGGCAATACAATAATAAAAAAGTTCAGTATAATGACTCCGTACACCAGACTGGAGGCGTCCATGAAATTAACTAATACATCAGCAGAAAATGCTTTGTTACCGGTAGTGTAATTCTGCTGCTTCGGCGATTCAGCACTGTCTGCAAGAATAATACGCATGTCGCCAAATGGTCGCATAACAGCGATCCATGGTCCTTGTGTCCAATTATTCAGGGTTCTCGCTAATGATAGAAAAAATCTGATTATTCACTATCATTTCAGTTTATTAGCCAATAGCCACCCGATTGTCAAAAAAAAAGCGCGGCGAGAGGTATATCGTACTATTAACTATTTGATAAACATATCTGTGTAAATGACGGTGGCGTGAAGTGTGTACATACTGTATTACGAGCAGGTACGCTCAACTCTATACGGCACTAACTTATGTTATCCACCACATTAAATTCCTCCAACGTAGTAGGTTGCACTAGCCGTCCTCCCACTCCTTGGCAGTATCTCCAGGTCGACATAAAAGATCCACTGCATAAAAAAATTATTAGGCAATTTCACAACGTACTGTTTGTAAACCAGCAGCGCTATGTATGTATTTGTTCTCAATGGTATTTCACAATTGTTATTATCTATTTCACAATATGCCTAAATTCACCTCTCAAAGCGTGGCGCAATAAAGTAGCACTTATTCTGCAGCGGACTCAAGAACCAGTTATCCGGGCACGATAATCCCACCAGCGCCTTGACATTCTCCGAGTTACCGTCATCATCATCCACTTCGTCGCTGGAGTCGGTGGTCACAATGTCGTCGGCACTGGAATCCGTTGCATCAGCGTCATCATCGTCGCTGGCTTCGGTTGTACTGCCAATGTTGACGATGAGAGGGTCGGCATCGTCATCATCGTCGTCGTCCGGCGTAGTCGAGGTCACCGTTCCCGGAACCGTCGTTGGCATGGGCGAAGTGGGAGCGCCCAGCGTCCGCAGTGCCATGGCATCGCTTAAGGTCATCAACGGTACCGGCAAAGTACTGGCCGACCTACTCATCTTCATGCACAGATATCCCATGTTTTTCGTCCCACAATCTGTGGATAAAGGTGTCGGGTCCAGGACTTGCCTGTCAAACAGAAACATTCATCATTCCAATTGAGAGATGTGCATCCTGTATATACACACTTCAAATCGATGTAGTCACATGTTGCTGGGCCGTTGTCCATCAGAAGCACCTCTGCAGCAATGATTAATAGTTCAAACAGTTACGTAATGTTAAGTACTGCCATTGTAAAACTTGTCGCGCTGTGATCATACCTTGTGATCGATCCAGGTTGGTCAAGCCACTCCCGATCCAGAATTTCGTTTGCCCGTTCTGAGGCGCCATTCTTTTTAGGAATACGAACACTGCAAATTGCCAGCATGGAACGTGTAATTAGGCGACGGAGGTGCAAAACACACGTGCGCATACAACGGATTTCACTTTACGTGCGAATTACATATGGGAACAGTTTACGTAGTGGGTCTTACTTACAGCTGTTTAGTTCCACTAAGGATGCGTCTGATAATTCTGCCAAATCCGACATCATGGCCCAACATCTCGCCTGGGCATCGTCCCATGATGACACAGTGCTGCCAACCAAAAAAAACTGCCCTTTTTAATTTTTCAACGCACGCGCGGGGATTCACTTTTCACCTTGTACCGAGAAAGTAGCATCTGTCATCATCGCCGGGAATCCAACCATCGTCGCAAGGACCGGGAGAGTTATTACTATTGCCTAGAGTGAATTTATGCAATAGGTTACATCGCACATAGATATAAAAGCGTGTCTTTTTTATCAGCGTATAAATACATTAACGTATAAATGAGCAGTTTAAAAGATCATTAAAAACTTTGGTACGGTTATAATAAGTACGACCAGCGAGTGCATACCGACAGGAACAGCCGTGGCCAAACCAACGCCAATAATAAAAACCAGGATGAACTCCATGGCAAAACAGTTAGCAACACCGTCACAATTCGACCATCCACTTAAAAACTGGTCAGGAAACCAAATAGCTAATAAATCTCAGAATAGCCGGCCTCAAGTTATTTTAGGACGATCCCAACATCAATAAACTTCTCTACCTTGAAAATACTGCAACCTCAACATTTTACTTCCCTTTTATGCACATTTTCTAAGAATACGCCGCTGTTTGATAATATTAATGTCGTAGTAAAGAAAGTGCTACCGCTGAACTGTGCGCTATTGCGTCCGGGAATAACGAGCCCGCAATAAAAACATCTGCATATACAGACAAATATGCTGGCTATTGTTGTAATTTTTTGTTGTTGCAGAAGAGAAAATAAAATGCTGACTTGGTAAGTCTAGTGCCTGGGACCAACCAAATAATTTTCAATGGGAAAAATCTCGCGTGAAGACACACCCGGGTTCAGAAGTATGGACTGAAATCTGACCAATCACACTTACAGAATGTAAGTATTTCGAAATCGTCGTCATTTATAGTTTACTCTGCATTATAATTCACGGAATTACAATGGCAAAGAGATCAACCAAGTAGGCTAAATCAGCGCAATAATAAACACAATTTGACCGATAAAAATGTCGTAATGGGCAAGACTGGATTTTAAGAAACGTATCACAGACTAACAGGGAATCACAATATTATAACGAAAAACCATAGTTTATCAACTGATGTACGCAAACAAACCATCCTTACAATGGCGCATATGACATGTCGGAACTTTGGCTGTTGCTGCGGAAGCGCTGTGATGAAGTGAATTCAGAATTTTCCAAACGATCCTCTGTGAAAAAAATAACTTAAGTGAGTCGATTATTAGTTTATTACCAATTTCAAGTTATAAAAGTAAGATAATTCTCTCCAAGTGATGGCGAAATATAATGGAAATTATATCAACGAAACCGGTCCAACTCTTTAATTCCAGATACTTTTAATCTATGTAGCACGCATAAATGCGACTAACTAAGCTCTTACAGTAAATAAGTCGATTATTATGATAACATTATTAATTATCTGCAACGAAGAATAACTATGATACATAATACTCACGTCTCCGGATAATGTATGCTTCAAACGACGAATTGAAGAACATGGCAATGTAGAAAACAATGGTGGACGCAAAGACAATAATCGTTACCGCCCAGACCAGAAACATGCCGGGATGCTCCTTTTCACACTGAAAATACTTTCCCCACATAATTCGTGTCTGATTCATCTGGAATCACAAACATGACGATGATCAGCACCGCAATATCCATTAAATCATTCTGACGGGCACATACCACATCGACAACATCCATGCAAACTCTGGCCAGATCCCGCGTGTAATTGGAATAGTAAAAGTCGGAAAGATCTTTATACAGCGGATAACATTCTTGACAGACCAGCGACGAATTAGTTATATTGGCCATTTTATCTCCCAGAACAAAATTCTGCAATTATAGGGAACATTTAAATTACAATTTCAAGCTTCCAACTGAGCAGGCGATGAAAACGCAGTAATTACGCTTTACCAAAATAATTCCATGTTTCGCGAAGCAATCCGTCAGATTGCGATGTTTACGCATGAAGATGATCAAATTTTCGGAAAACTGATATTGAACCGTGCCGTGCTTGATGAAGTAATAGTTGAAGCAATCTGAAAAGCGGAATAAATTTGTCACATTACGCCAAAAAAAAACACCATTCACAGTGCACAAAAAAGCTGAAAGCTATAATTATTATATAAGTAAAACCTAATTTTTAGTATAAATGTGTAGCAATTTACGCAGACTGTGAAATGCGAGGTGGAAAATCAAAAGGTAAACTCTGAACGCTTTCTACTTAACTTAAAAACATAATAAAGTAGCCCGATCTACTTACAGGAACATCGCGAATCGCCCCACAAGCTTTCAATGGACTGATTCGTGCGATGCACCACACCGATCATATCACTGCCGTAGACCATGTCTTCACAGCTTTTGCCATCTTGATCCATATCCTAATCACAAGACCACGGATGTTTGCAAGAAATTTAATAATTTTAATTCTTTAAAATCTAAAAATACCCCTCAAGTACTGATGTACCTGAGAGTACTGAATGTAGGACTGCTGCGCGATCAGATACGGTTCCACACACCGTTCGCACAGCAGAATCGGTCGGGAGAAATTCACAGCACAGCCGAGGAAGGCCGACGAATGATACCCGTACGCTGTCAGATTTTCATGACAGTCATGCAAAACCGCTGCCCGACTCCGCGGCGCATCAGGCGATAAGTACAGCGGAGTGGGAATGTAGGAAAAGGCCGTGTGGCGGTCGGTGAAATCTGGATCATCGACCAGTGTGGCCAGACAGTCGAGATCCAACTGCGTCTTGTCGTTCGAACAGGTGAGATACGGCGCGAAACGCGTCCAACTTTCCGATATATCCTTGGGTGTTGAGATTGTGGAATTTGTGGAGTTGAAACTTGAGCAGACACTTGTAGTAAATCGGAGTATCTGTATCACCGTGGTCCACAGATATAAGGAGGTTGGAAAGGATTCACGTGCCATTCTTTGAGCACGGGATGAGAATTGATAGCCGATAGGCAATAAAAGGACGAAGTTTGGTATGCTGTACCTCGGTCTTCAGTGATTATTAATCACCCATTTACGACTCCAGACTACGGTACTTGTACCAGTAACAAGAGTAAAAAAATTAGTAGAGTAGAGCAGACTCAAAGTAAAATGCAGATTAATGCTATTTTTTTCCAAAAGTCGAAGGAGACATAACTGAGATATGGTATTGTCGACTATAAAAAGTCAGCTGATTTCCCATGCTGTGCATATGCCATAAGCATGCAATTTCTGCAAAAGTACTTACTGTTCGCATCTGACGAACAATTATTATTGTCGAGTTTTAAAAATTTGTTTATGTAAAGGTTTCTATTTAAAATTACATACATATTAGCAATGATGGATTTCCATCTATAAAGTATTTGCAAAATATTTACAAACATAGGTTTCCCGGTCCTCAGGCTATTGTTTATTCCATCAAAATTTTTGAAAATTCTGAACAAGCATTAACAGCTTTAACCCTTCCGATGATAAGTCAAACTCAACAGCAACATTAGCCACGCTGTGTACACCATGTACAGATACCTCGTAATTTCAGAGAACAATAGGCAAAAGCCAAAAATTCGTTCTAACAGTTGTGCACGTATTCTTATTAATCAGTATTTTTCTACCAATTACAGAGTATGACATTGCGAAAGTAGACCTCCAATAAACACATCCCAAAATAGCTAAAATCGAATACAAAACCTCCCTGCAGTATAACAAAGCCTGGGTAAAACAGATAAAACATGGCAAGAAAAGAGAATCAACGCAATCAATACCAATCACAAATTGAGCAAACGATACGAGAATTCAGAATAACAGCCGCCAATAACAACAGATCCAACGGTAAACACATCACCAGATATTGTATCCTCTTGCAGGAAGAAGCATCACAGATTCCAAACAGTCCGATCAGATAGTCGCATTTACTGATCGAACATCACCGTTCCCACCATAGAATTTGGGATTCAGATAAATCGCTTCGGTTTTCTGGTTTTCTGTCCAGAACCCATTCAGCTGTGCATTAGGCGGACTAATGCGCCAATCCCATTTCTCTACCGGTCGAAACCAGGTATCGCCGTAATTTGCCCGAATGTAAGTTAAAGGTTGGCAGGGAATGCGTACAAGAATGCCAAGAAAACTGGTCCAACAAAGAGTAAATCGCGGAAATGTATATCTACGGTAAAACAAAAATGTACGTAAGTTCAATATGGAAAAGCACCATATTTCTCGAAGACCATGAAACAACGGAGACTTACTTAAACTTTTGCCCGGCCACGTACGCAGTGGCACCGTTCCATACTTGATTGAATTCTTCATAGAAGAAATAGATATCCACCTTCGTTTCATCAAAAGCAAACGAAATTTGCAAACTGTCGTTCTTCTAAAAAATTTCAGAAATACCGATTTGTCTTTCGATAAGCTACAGTTACTAATCTTGTCTTACCATTCCTAACCGGTAAGCTGTCTCAAAACCATGGTCTTCGAATAAATCTGCCAAGTTGGTTTTAAAGTCTTTGATAAAGATGCCGATATCAATGTCTTGACTGTAGGGAATAATATCGCACTGTCTAAACCAGCCTAAAGAAGCATAACACATAAAAATCCAATTAATGTGCTCTAACGAAAGGTAACAGTTGTAAATACAACATCCAGGAAACAGCCGGTACGGGGTAAAAAATGGAAATGCAAGGCTACGGACGGGATAAAAAATGGTAACTTATACGAAAGTTTTCGTTGGTATTAACGGCACAAAAGCAAATACCGGTACCTAATAATGTTCCGCTACTAATCCACCAAACGACCCCGGCTTCGTCAAGAATTTTCCTGATCCGGAATAAAATCTTTTTTGTTCGAGCCCGAAATAATCCATCATCCGTGGACGTCATATTGGGATAGGCCTTCAAGAATGCCTCTACCGACGATCTGTTGCACGGAATAAAATTCGACGTGAAATACGAATGCCGGAATTCTTCCAGGTTTGTTGGAATAAGCACTGGAATATCCATAATGTTCGAATTGATCGCCAAGGAAGTCAAAGCTATCCTGCAAAAGGCAAAACAAAACTCACCAAGAAGTACGAACACCGAGGTCGGTAATTGCTCGTTCTCACCTGTCGTACACTCTGTTCGATTTTCCAAAAGCCAGAGCGGAAAAATTCCACATCCCTTGACCATTCTGCCAATGTCTTCGGCATGACGCGAACTGTTTATTCGTGGAACGGGCTTGGCTGGTCATGGATAAACCGTCGGAAAGTGGTTGGAAAATGGCAATATGAATAAGCTGACCACCCTGATTTCCCACGTACAGATGAGACACTTTACTGTCAATCTCACCATTCCGGCAATGTGGAAGAGCAAAATCTCGACGTTCCCGACCACACACCAAGTTCTCCGTAACAATGCAACGTGCACTTCCGGCGTAATTTGTGAAGTTTTTCTAACAATAAAAAAATAAGAGAGATAACAGCTTAAAACGGACAAAGCAGGTCCTAAAAAAGTTCAGTGAGCTTCCGAACACTGACTATGTAAGAATACGAATAAATATTTACATTTCCTATGCATTAAACTTTAAAGGCTGAAAGCATGAACGATGCCTTTTTACAGCAACCGTGAATTCACAGCAACTGCGCATAATTTTATAAGAGAAATAATATATATAAAGCGTTTTCATAGAAGTATCGTAAATTCGGTCAAAAGTTAAACTGTACGTCTACAGACTTCCAAAAAATAAATTGTTTTAAAATTAAACTTACCAGTTCGGAATCGGAAATCGGATAGGAGCCCAACGATACAACATCATTCTGGGAAAGAATTCCCAAACAGAAATCCACACCAAACTTCTCGGCAGTCTTCGCTACACAATCCAAAAAAGATGGATCCACAATAAACAGCACCCCAGGCCAGTTGGTCATAAGCCAACGAATTTCACGGGAATCATACGGCGCATATAGCTGCAACAACCCGGAAAACATGTTACACAGACTAACTGCGACCTTGCTGATTCTTGCGCAGTATTTCTGGCTAAGTGAATCGACAAACCTTGCGAAGCACACCATTCGCTGCCGAGGAGTCTTGGGAATCTCCACTGCCTCGCAACAACACAAACCACATACACACCGTGAGAAGGGAGACCAGAATAATCAACCAGCGATAGGTTCTCCATATGGGTCGCAACACAGCGCGAGTCCGACGTTCTCGCATCCCGAATTCCGCTGATGTTGATTCATGCAAAGAGCTCCGTCGTTACGGAAAACGCATAATTGTTCAGACGGCGCATGATCACGCAAATGATCAATCGAGTGCGCATCTGCAGGGTGTTTTGCAGATAACAGTTCCCACCCTCGTTTGTAAACAGAACACTGTTAACAGCGGGTAAAGGGTAAAACAAAACTTGCGCAGCTATGAAAAAGTCTGCGAAACAACGAAAAGGCACAAGTGTACTCGTACGAATACAACATGATCAGACACCAAAAGAGAATCCCAGTCCACCAGTTGCAGCATATAATCAGTTTTCTAACAAGGAACCACACTTTTTAAAAGTTAATCGCTCTGATTTCATTCGTTTAGTAAACAGCAAAGTACTACCGTAATTTTTTACTAATTATACTGTAAATAGAATCTGCACGTCATAACTTTTTTCAGGCATTTGCAATAATCGCCCCTGTAAGCTGTAATGTTGTAATACGGGATCGGTGTGCAAGTTAAGCCGCCACAGCTGGCCACAGAACTTTTTTTTGTTCAAAGCCCGTTCATTATCTTGTGCTTTGTATTACTGTACAGTAAATATTGAGGAATGTTTAAAAGCTTCGAATGTTGTAAAAGCATCAGTCCTTGTTCGAATTCGTTAATTTTTTCTTTGCGAATATTTGGCATAGCGGCATGGAAGAAGGATACAGATGTCTGTGTTGTACTCGTAGTAGTAAGTCACTGCTGTACATATCCTAATACAAGTTAGAAAACTGCATCCAAGCCGGCTAAAGCAAATATAATGGCGTGCTGCAATGTGGGTTGCAAATGTCGATCGAGCAGGCTGTCCGCTGTCAGGTGATTTAAAATCCCAGTGGCTCATTCACAGACAGGATATCTTCCCTGGATTCCCTCACATCCTCATGTGGCTCACTATATTGCATGCCATCGTACTTCCGGTGCATTTGCGTGTGCTAAACTGCTGATCGTACGGAAGTTGATGGGCAGTTTTCGGAGTGCACTTGTCCACTTGCCGGAGATGGTGCAGGATGTCAGACGGAGCAGTTGGTATTTTTACCATGAGTCCGGATTGTGAACATCTTTTCCAACCGAACGTATTGTACTCTGCCGTACGTACAATATATATTCACTGTACGATTAGATCGTGACCGCAGTAAAAGAAAACTTTCCTTTCGAGATATACATAAATTTACCGAATTAAGTGCATCGATCATGCAACATTTCAATGTCATATGCAGTACGGTACGGTGGAGAGTAAGTACAAGCGAGTTTCGGGGCAGTAAAAAGCATATTGCAGAGTACTTTAAGTTAAACTGTTCCCGTTTCTGCACCGTGCTTGGTAGCGGGACAACCAATTGCAATAGACTATGTGATGCGGGATCGATAAATTTACTTATGCATCACATAGTCAGCATGTCAGCTTATTTTTTGCGCTGCCATCCTACTTTATAGTACTGTACTGGTACTTCCCTACGGAAACCAGCCAGCTGTTTACATTATTTTCTGAATTCTGTGGTACAACCACAACTTTCCCTTTCGTTAAACTTTTCTTCTCATCTTCTCTTTTTGCAAATATTTCAAACTTCTGATTCATCTCTGTGAAATCGTTATACACCTACCACTCTTGACTTTAATTTAGCTGTTATTAATTACGTACTGTATTTTCAGCGCTTGCTGGTTGCATGGATGGTTGTATGTAAGTAAACGGTTTATTTTTTCTACCACTTAACCGTCTTGCGTCGATATAATATTATTATTGCAGCAGTGCGTCATGGCTTTGCAGTGCACAATTGCCACATTGTGTGCAAACTATTAATATTGTATCGCTGCGTTTAGAATTATTAGTATTGAACTGTTTGTTATAGAGTACGCCTATGCTACCACTTTTCCCATTATTGCTGATCCAGAAAGAATGAAATACGTCGCCGATCTCTGAAAATTTCTCAATCTGACCCAAATTAGTGGGCGTTTATATCATCCTGGAGGCTTGACGTATACAGACACCGTTATTAATTTTAGAAGAATTGTGTATCTCATTCTTGATTCAGTGATCATTGTGGAACCATTGTGGGACCTTTCTGTTAATCCTGGAGTCACTGTGACAGACTGACAATCACACACGTCAAGTACCATCCGTTCTATTATTTTTATTCCCATACAGCATAAAACTGGCATTCTTTTTGCGAAGTATTACCATTTACGCAAGCGTGACCTTATGCAGTAAATGGTACTAATCACACACGCCAGACATAATGGCGTCGACGTCGGATGAGTAATTAAATCATAATCTGATTGAAATCAGGAAATTAATTCGTCTAAAGGAAGAAAAGGGATGGTCGATCGTTTAAGTGTGTCATTAATTACTCCACACATGCTCCGTCGGAGAACCGCAAATGTATGTCCACAATATTCCATCGAAATTGACTGACCATCGTTGGCGTCATGCATAACATGTGGATCGTTCGGGCGATTTATTGCGGACAATTGTTAATGCGTACGTATTTTGGATTGCCCACAGTCTGTCTACTGTCCATATTATTATCGTTGACTGGAGGGTCCCACGTGAGTGCTGTCCCGCTGCCCCTTCGCGCCGTTGAAGACACTGGTCTCGAGTTCATGGTGGCCAACAGCCAGCAGGAACTTCAGTTTGCTCCTTCCGAATCGGGCATATCGTCCCAGCCATCCGCTTCCGGTTACGACTTAGAGGTAAACTATACTATATAGTTTCTATAAATTTTTTTTAAAACCCTCAGAAGTTGATTGTTCAATTTTTCACCCAATTTTACTAAGAACGTATACAGTTTTACATTATTTATCTTCGATGTTTTGTTGGTTGACTTTGTGCTTTCTGTTACCGTCTAATTATAAAACTTGCGTTTTTGGTTTTTAAATTTTTCTACGTTGCCATTGTATTCGATAAGCCCTGATTGTGAGTGAGACTTATCAGGAAAAGACGTGACATGTGGTTTTAAAGCCAATTTGCGATTGTGAATGCAGCATATTTTTGGAATTTCTTTTGTAAGAAAGGCGGATGCCTGCGCGTGACCTTTTCTTTCGTTCATCGTTCATCACCTATTTTATTAATACGTAATTACTGCTTTCCCTTAGTATCGTAGACCTTAATTACAATCATACTGCACATGCGTAGACAGTCCGTGGAAGTACTGTACATAATTAAGTGCGGTAATCAGTCTGATCAGCGATACTAAAATGGATGATTAATCGGCGGAAATGGAGCGTTATGGTTAGAATAAATAGCATTTGAAGTGCTGTTCTTGAAACCCAGTACAGCACCGGATCGCAAGCTCTGCCGACCCGATGGCCGCACCCAGTCCGGTTACAGGAGGAAATTAAATCAAATCAGGAGATTTTATTATCGAAACTTAATGTAGTATAAACTTATGCCGTTCCTAAAGCCGGTTCCCAGTGCCCACCCTAATCCTGCACAACCTAATGTCAAGCTCGCTGTCCGCGCTACGCGTGGTGATTTTTAATCCAATTAATAACAGCTATAATTTTTGTCATAATATTGTTTACAAACCATTTCATAAACCAATAAACCTACATTGCTTGCACCTGCGAAGGTTTTATGAAGGTCTGGAATCGGCCACCTGTCAGTACCATTAATTTTGCTTTGCGCAGTTGTTTGGAACTGCACAGACAACGAGAAAATTGATACTGCAAGTATAGATTTTGTTGCGAAGTTTTATGTACAGTTTTTAACGCTTTGAACTTTACACAAGCATATCTGCTGAATTGTTAATTTCATTTTTTTGCACTGCAGCTGGCAGTACCCCCGGCAGTAGCAACAATAAGGAACGATGCTGAAATTGTTGGAGATAACAGCGGAAATATAGGTGACCAGGTGGATGAAGGAGTTTCACCGTACGCCCTGACCTTCGACCAGACTGTGCCCGCTCCAGGCTACAGATTACCCTGGATCCCAGCTGCTAGGCCGCGGTCCGAACCCACCACTTATGTAAGACCACTTGTGATCAGTACAGAGGATGACATTCCCAGAACAATCGAGGAAGCTGGAGATTTGGAGCCGGTGCTGGTCAAGCGGAACGTGCCGATATATGCCGAACCCATTAATCCAGAAGATGTTGCCGTGGCTATTGGTCGTATGGGAGACACAGATGAGTGGAGCCCATACGATCAGAATAGCGGCATTGTGGTTAGTAAAAATACAAAGATCGGTCTTAATGTCAAATACAAAGACAAAGATTAAGCGGTCTTAATGTTTCTCCAATGCGATTTACAAAGCCGGTTAGTTTAGAAATGCTATTGCATTGGTCCTAATCGCTTCATATTGCAGCGAAAGCTGAGATATCCTTTGCGTGATGCTGGGAGCGACTTAGACGTGTCCGGAGACGACTTACAGCAGTCGGCGGATGTCTGGGATTTCGATGCAGATATACCGACAGTTTCAGAGACCGACCGTAGCCGCGATCGGCAACAACAGGAAGAGAATGTTGAGGATTTATTAAGAGACCTCGCCATGCTGGATGGAAATCCACCGGATACGTTTGTTCGTACCCTGGAAGCCCCACAAGAAGAAGTAAGTTCATCCCGTTGTGGTGCACTGGTGCGTATATGATAAGGTAGCAAAACTAAACGTCTGAAGTATTACCATGCTTAGTTACTAGTTATTAAGATCTTATTTTATTTGTTAACATTACTTTTTCTGGCATAAAATCTTTCTTGAAAATTCGGGTTATCCCTTGCTTAGCTAATAGGCTCAAGTATAGAATCGTTTAAAATAACAAATTGAATAATTTATCGTTCCTTTGGCTGTCAGGTTATGGGTGCAGATGTCGCTCGTCGAACCTGGTTAAATCTGTGTTGGCCGGCTTTTAGCGTCTGGTCTGTGTTTAAGAGACGCGGGGGTGGTGCGCAGCCCATTGGGAAGAAAACTGGAATTAGAGCGGATGACACTTAGTTAATAACAACAGCATTATTATCCGGCAAACGACAAAATACGTGTCGTGCCGGCCGGCAGCTGCAGGAGTGTTATTGCGGCACTCCGTTGGAGTACGTCGTTATCCCGCGCTCGCACAATGCAGGTTTCCTTACGCCACGTCGGCGCAATGTTCTTCCGGTTAATGCGGACGTTGTTCGTTGGCCTTATTTTTTCCAAATCGCTTTTGTAAGACCTTGTTGGGACATTTAATTAGGGATTGAAGACCTGATTTCTCACTTCGGCGCAAACGCCATATATATAGACTTAAATTAAATAATTTGCTTTGTGCTGTTCTTCCGATGTGTGTGTGGTGTAATCCGGGTTCGTTCACAAACGGGGTTATTGTTGGATAATGGGGATTTGAACAATTCGTAACCAAACGTTGAATTTTGCAGTAGTTATTACGCTACCGTTACCTTAACATATTGATTGTCCCGTTTTATTAACGTGACAAATTAACAACGATAATGTCACAAAATAAACGGAATGGCGATGCAGCAAAACGGTTGGCTTAAACTTCGCACAATGGTCGCGAAGAAGTAGCTGTTACCGTAATTGTAAACCGCAGTGGTCTGTTAAGATGCTATTGCACTTCACAGATGCATTCGTTTCCTAAATGTTTTCGATCGAGATAGGAAACAAGTTAAGTGCGCTCCATGGTACAAACGATCAATAAATTTGTGGAACTGAAATTTGGTGAATATTTACCCGGTTGGAGCGTTTATCAGTCACAGCTTTCCATCGTTTAGCGTAAACAACCGGAAAACTGTGAAAAACGGCAACGCATCTTTGCGCGTAGATGCTCTGCCAGACTCCGCGGCACACGTGACCTATCGAATCACAAAAAGTTCCTTGTGTTCGGCACGTTTGTAGGCGTTAGCACCTTTATTTGCTTTCCGACTGACGGATCTAGTAGATGTACCGTGTATAACCGGGAGAGAGAGGACCAAGCGTCATCAAAAACACAGTGGTGGTATTATGCAAATACACGGCGTTCGACTGTGCAGTTTAGCTGGCGATCATGGCCAACAATATTGAACTGTAAATGTTAGGATCAGACTCATCTGCTGCAGTTCACCATGATCGTTTTAAACAGACGTCAATTGCACTGTGAAGTGGATTCATGTTGCTGTAAACTGACGATATATAATGTACCAGTGACATCTAGTTCGGCTCTTTGATTTGGTGCAAAAATGTTTTCCAACCGGTTAGCTGCTTGATAAGCTTCCGCATTTAGATATTCAGGGTTAAGCTTATCTGTGCTACGCCGTCTTAGAAACTTGCCGCAAGGTGAGGTGCTAGGTGCAATGTAAATTTTGTGTATACTGAGTAAGTCATGCAGCAATCATTCGAATGCGCAAACTCTCAGCGTCGGTTTATGCCCAGTTGAGGGTCTGGTTTGTCGTCTGTGTTACTCGCTCGCTGTACAATACGGAAATGATTTGAAACTTTGCCGGAAATTTACAATTCCGAGTTAAAGATGTATTTTACTGTTTTCTAGTGGCATGTTATACACACGCATACAATGCTCACTTGTCAACACCGTCAGTTTGTGTGCTGAAATCTCCACGCATTGCAGTTAAGTATTGTGTAATCGTTGTTATTTTCTTTAAAGGAAGACGTTGAGATCCAACCGGAATCAAACCGGGATTTTATACCAATGGGCGGATCCCGATTAAAACGCCTCTCAGTTCCAGCGTCGCAGGCCAACCGTCCGCCATTAGTGCGGCAGGACGCCGTGGACATACCGGATGATGAGTCCAGCGGCTCAACAACAGTACGTGCTAATTAAACACACCCCCTAATCGACAGCTGTTTTTTTAATCAGTATGCCAATCTGCTGCATATGTGTAATTCAGAACGCGGCTAATGACGACTCCGATGAAGATGACGAGGCCGATCGGGACCGGGCTGTCAGTGTTATCCTGGATGCCGAGGCATCGCAGCTGCGCCAGATGAAGAAATCCATTGAGAATGCGTTGCGGGCCAATCAACAACAGCAAGATATGGTACAGGCCCGCACTGTGCTGCGCGATGAGCCGGATGTTTTTGTTCGGTCGCAACGAGCGTTGCCCCTGAACTTGAAAGAAGGGGATGACGGACGCAAAGGTGATACGCTGGAGGACATGGATAAGGGTTTTGATGCCGTCGCTGAGACGATCAACCCGGGGGGCAGTTTGGTTGTACGACCTTTCGAAACTGAAGATTATGATCCGGAGAATGTAGCACAAAATGCAAGGTTATATAAACGGGCCTTGCTTGATGTACCCTTTGATCCACTGCCTCAGGACGAATTCCCGGTTAGTAAGGTCAGTGGGAATCCTTAATCTATGTTTGCTAAGTTTTATTGTGCAGAAGTAGCGATTTTTCATACGTGTACACGTACTCATGCACATATGGTGTTTATTAATAACTTGTGTTGAAATAAAACGCGCACGAGCACCTTAATTTATTCCGAAGGATGTAAACATATGTAAAATGCTTGTTCTCAGTGATAAAGAATTTTGCGCGTGTTATTTACATGTTCAGTATAATTTATGCTTATGTAAACTGACCGGCATACATCATCTTATAATTGTATTAAGCGGTTTAATAAATCAGTTTAATTCATTGTTCGTACGTATCTGTATATTAATTTTTTGATACAAACTGTTTATTTCACAAACTGTTTATCTTCAGCAGGATGAAGTTGAAGAGCGGCAGCTCGATGACGACGACGAAGATGATGACGAAGACGCCGCTGCTGCAGCATCCCGTCTGGAAATGCCCAGTCCCGAATCTGATGATCTACAGGAAGCCGTTGCCGGCCGTTTCCGCGTGTGCGATATGGTGCACAATAAGTTTTACCGTCAAATGTCCTTCACGGGTAAAACACTGGAAGTCGATGAATGTTACGTCAGTTGTGAGCGACGTGAAGGTGACCGGGTGTTCAGTCACATTTTCAAACTGGTGGACTGGCCATGCGGAGTTAAACTGGAAGGGAAGTGTGACAAGCAAGGAGTGTGCTCCGCATTTTAATTAATGCGGTCCGTCTTCTGTCACCAACGGGTCTTCATTTCCTTTTTACAAAATGGCGGTTTTCTGTGAAATTCTAGATCTTCAGATTTTCAAAATTATCATTTTGCTGTTTGTGTTACTGTTTTTAAAGTAACATTTTTAGATGGGTGCGTTATTGCTGCATTATCGCAAGCAACAGCGTTTTATTTTAGTTCTTAAAAATTTTATATAGAATAACTGGCACAAATATTTTTAGTTTTACATTTTTTTTCTGTGTTGTACTGTTCAGTTTAAAGCAGAGTAAACATAATAACACTGGGCGACGTCGCATTAAGCGTAATACAAACTCAGTAACCACATTGTTATTTTGCCGTTGACATTACTGCTAGAGTAGTACTTAATAGGCTCTATTAGAAGTTTTACATATGAACATTAACTGCCATCGGCAATAATTGTCGATTGTTAACAATTTCCGTTCAAAACAGCACCGTAACGTAACAGGAAAGGCACAAATTAAACGGAGTACTAAAATCAGTTTTTTCCTGTTTCCGCAATATATATAATTCAGGTGGGATGATCTATGCTTCTACTTATTTTAGGTCAATGACGCCATCAATAATTTGCCATAATTCAGATTAATAAAAGGAACCCTTTTCCCGTACCGCACAGTTTCGGAATTTTTAGCCGTTAATTACGACTTACTTTTACCGCAAAAATGTATACGCATTTTGAGCTTGATTTTTGAAAGGGGCATACGTAACACGGCAACCATAATTATACAACAACAATTTTAACAGTACGTACTGTGATTTGCGAGATCATCATAAACTTCTTTTTATAGCCAAGCTGAGCCTAAGCACGACAAAATATCGTAATACGTCTTCATTAGAAAGTTTATTCAATATTTTGCCAGAATTTGTCGTAAACCAACAGGTACAAACAGAGTCAAATTTTCCTGTAACATTCTCTGAATGGCTTTCTTTGATCTAACTTGATGGAAAGTCAAGATGGTCATTTAAAGCGACTACATTCATTTATAAAACTCCGAGCTCCCACCGAAAAGCAACTGTTTGGAATCGCCATGGGTGTTGGAGCAGTGGCTGGTGCGTGTGTGTATTTACGTTATAATTATCCGTCTTCCAATCCTACAGACTGTACACTGTCCGAAAAAGACACCCCCGATGACTTAATACTGGATCACAAGAGCACTGAAAATTCAGAACTATCTACGCGTCTATATTCTGCTGATGTCAGCGGTAAACAACATCACATATTCGCACCATCACCCATATTACCATCTTCCGTCGGGGATCATGATACTGCACGGGACTTATTAGATAGTCATTTGCCGGTTAATCATGCCGACATTTATGCGCATACGATATTCCCCAGTATGCACAATAATCTCGCCACGGCGTCGGCAGTATGTATCGGGGAAAATGACGCAGCACTCGCGGCGAGTATACCACTCAAGGTATGCTGTAATGACCAGATAGTTTTTGGAACGGTGCTTAATATTATTATATATGTTTCTAAGTACACAATTAACTGACGACAAAAGTATTGTTATGTGCGCGCATTTAAAAGCGCTGGTGCCGGTTGTTGTTATACGCCTTTTGGCATTTTTGCCGCGTTTCCTTTACTTGAGCGGTATTTGCAGAGCAGCTTGATTGAGCTTAAAGTTTTCTATATTTTTTTGTTCGTTTCACTGGTTTGTTTTTCGGTTTTTGTGTATATGGTGTATACGATTTTTTTACCATTGGATAAACGTTTTTCACTATTCTCAAAATGGCGCTTGCCAGCCTTGCGCGACACTTATATCAAAACTTTTTTCAGTTGGAGCAGGTATTGTTTTCCTCTCCAAATATTGCCATCCGTGATGGTCAACACGTGCGGAAAGTTATTCACAATTTGATAAACGATGGAGATCATAGGCTGCAGATTATCACAGATTTCGACTATACTCTGACACGGTACGCGAAAAATGGTGATCCCTGTGATACGACATACCGTAAGTACGTGAACTTAAAAAATTCAAAATACAATACCATAAGACAGCAAAAAAATAGTACTTCTACAATCGCATCATAAGGTCCGTAGTCTCCGTACGAACTTTATGGACAAACAGCATGCACTATAAACCACGATAGATTTTAAGCTGCAGTAACGTAATCAACTTTTGAAATATTTATACGTGTACGCAAGCTGTAACATCGTACTCGTATAATATTATAAACTATATATATAGTATACATTTCAAAACTGTTATATGACCTCAAACCTATAGATAACCTCGACCTCTATGATTTATAGAGCAATGCAAATCAACTACGTTTCGGATAGTCCAGATAATGCAGTTTATATTTTACGCTGCTAAAAGTTTTTCCATTAGATTATTTCCGATAATTGTGCTCATGTTTCCAATATATTTTGTTATGCTCAAAGACCAGTTTATACTTTAGGTATGTGTACAAGGAGATTTGTATGTTATTATGGATTTTTTAATGTTATACCTGTACTTAAGGCACTGTAGCATACGTGCAACATACTGTACTGCTTATTTTTTACGAAGTCACCTATATTTCTGCTAAAAATACTTTTTCGTTTGTAGAAGTGGTAGAGCAATCGGAAACAATGCCTAAGGAATACAGAGAAATGGTAAACAATAAAGCTGTGAGCTATAGAGGGTAAAACGCGGTAATTTTTACAATGATACCGGATGTTACATTTAGACAGCCAAGCTCAGGAACAAATACCTCCCTATGCAGCAAAATCCGGACTTATCCCCGAAGGAACGAGAGGACGGCATGCACAACTGGTTGACGAAATCCCACGAGTTGATGAAGCAGTACAAAGTGCGAGTGAAAGATATTCCCAAATGCGTACAAAATTCCAGCGCCACTCTACGGTAAATGGAATGTTCTTACCGCTAGGTGTGGCACACGTATTCTTCCGGTTGCAAATTATACGTACAACAGATACGCGTCCTTATATATATTATCTTATGGTAACTTTTCTAACACAGGATTATAGCTGAAAATTTTACTGTGGCATAAACACATATAGTTTACACTTACAGAACTGGACGCTAAGAGAAAAATTCTTACTTTTTAGTGCCAAAGTACCTATATTTTTATCCAAGGTTGGCCTACGAAAAGTTCCGGTAACAATATTTTCGGCAGGTCTGTCAGCGGTTGTAAAAGGTGCGTATAAAATGTAATAGTACATACCGAGCTACAAGTGACCGATAAACAGCATACGCGATTACGTACCACAGTTTTTACAAAGGCTTTTTCATCACGGCTCATTTCGGTTTTGTTACAGAAATACTAGAGCATCAAGTCTGCTTGTCAGACAATATAACCGTAGTTGCGAACGAATTTTCGCACAACGACGAGGTACACAAAGTTAATTTCATAACAATTTGCAATAATACACGCACGGGTCATACCTAACTATTATGTATATTTTTATTTACAATTAGTAGCGCTCGCTATACTGCCTATACATATATTACAGATTTTGATTGTACGATCACTATACACTCTGATAAAATTTATCCTAATTTAACAGTGGTTATGGCGAGTTTAATTTGTTGGTTTTTAGGGTTACGTAACTGATTTTCGTGAACCATTAGTTCATGGGCTGAACAAAGCACTGATCGTTTCTTCGAGAGCAGAATATTTTGCCCAGTATAAAAGCCGGCACAACATCATTTTAATCGGAGATAGTCTTGCGGACGCGCAAATGGCCGCTACGCTGCCGCAGACTCAAAATTTGCTCAAGATCGGCTTCCTTGTACAAGATGTAAGCATAGTGTAAAAACGCTTTTCTGGTATTTTTTTGCTTCACGGAATAGTTATTGCAGGACCATTTTTTCATTACGTATACAGCAGGTTATTTCGCATCGTTTTGTAATTGCGTATATTCAATTTCAGTTTGATTTGGCCATCGACCTGTACAAGGAGGTTTTTGATATTGTTATCGTTGACCAGGTAATAATACTTTGATTCCTATTTTTGCAGCTGGAAATAATAAATTAAATGTATTAAATTACTGCATGCTTTTAAATAAATTGTAGGAGAGCTTCGCTGTTGTGCATGATATTGTGGAGTTCATTCTTACTGCCCAAAATCAGCTGTCGTCAACATGGGAATTAGAACGATTGGAGCGAGCAAAAAGCTATTCCAAGCTGTGGTAACTCATCCCTCAGCTCCCAAATTTGGGAAAAACCGTTGTTCTTGTGATCAAAACAGAATGTATTAAAGCTGCTGCAGTCGTTTTTGCCCTAGAAATGTGCGTTGAAAGCTGTTTCAGCTTTCGTGAAATTAATTTATGCAACAGAGATTCAGATTTTTATTTCTTATCTTATCGTGTATGCATCACTCTCGCGGCGCTTTGTTTATTCGTTACGTCAGAAATTTATTTTAACGCGCGCTTTATAACCTTATTTTTTTCGAGATCGTTATTTTAAATTATGTTGTCACAATGCAGATTTAACGGCGACATCATGTTACCGTAGCGTTTCAGCCTTGCTCACAGTCGTTGAATTACATATTAAATGAAATAAAAATACTTGGCAAAATTTTTATTTATGCAGCTTAATTACCGGGGAAGGCCTACGACTGAGAACAATACGTGCAGTTAATCACCTCTACAGTAAAAATTCGCATTAAAGGGCTACCAATTTCGTGAACTACAGTTGTCTAAGTTAGCTTATATAAGTATCAGTAGGATTGTACGAGCGCTACAAACTGTACGTATATATATTGTATAATACCAAAATGATGTCACGCGCTATAGTTTACAATCACAAAAGGTGTTTGTAATCAGTGTAAATGACCTTTACGATTGCTGAACAAAGTGACCAGCATGACGAAGACAGTTATTTATGCGACATGCATACAGATACTATACAGCTATTAAATTTGTAGTTTTTTTAAAGCTTTTTGTGTTTCATGATCTAGACTAGAGTAGGCGGTTTACAGGATCTAGACTAGAGTAGGCGGTTTACAGGATACTCCGAAGTTTATTTACCAAAAGGAAGGCCGGCTTTAAGGTTTTAGGTGCCGCATTTGTCTTGTTCAGAAACTCCTTGTAGTCGCTGCTCTACGGGTAGTTCTCTATGACATCAGTAACATGAACAGTGTATATAATATACAATATTCCTAACTAGGAGTACAATACTTATACCTAAATTCGTAGATGCAACTTAGGTAGATCATTAACAATATACAGTAGTTGTGCAGTAATTTCAGAAATTTATAACGCTTTCTGCCAGTTTCCAGTACATTCCTCGTCCTTACACATGCCGGTTTGGAGATGAATTTTTGCCATTCCGATCCGCAGTCTTGGAAATTCTATCGCTACTACAAATTTTACAATATTACTGTACCAAAACTGTAGCGAAAGCCAATCGGCGATAAAATTCCCATAAATTTTACCGTCGCGGTGTTTCTAGATGTTTTTAGGCTGGAACAGGTCAGATAGCGCAAGTGGATCGTCAGTTTTTATTACACAACACTGTTACTGCGATACACTCTTGCAAATATTTTTATTGTACTATTGTATATACAAGCCCAACCTCGGCCTCCGGCCTCGGTCGGGAAAATGTAGAAATGAATTTGGATTATTGGTTTATTATTATAATTGTTAATAATGATTATAGAATTATTAATTAGCAAACTTTACGGTAATATGATGAACTACTACCTCTCAGTCTAATCGGTGAAAATCCTTGCCCCTTTGTTTGACCGGCGAAAATCCTTACTCTTGTGTCTGACCGGCGAAAACTCCTACCCCTCTGTCTAACCGTCGAAAATCTCTGTCCCTTTGTCTAACCGGCGGAAATTCATACCCCTCTCTCTATCCGGCGAAAATCCTTACCCATGTCTCTGACCGGCGAAAACTCCTACCCCTCTGTCTAACCGGCGAAAATCCCTGTCCCTTTGTCTAACCGGCGGAAATTCCTACCCCTCTGTCTATCCGGCAAAAATCCTTACCCTTGTGTCTGACCGGCAAAAACCCCTACCTCTCTGTTTTACCGGGGAAAACCTCTACCCATCTGTCTAACCGGCGAAAATCCCTGCCCCTGTTCTTGACCGGCGAAAATCCCTACCCTCTGTCTAACCGGCGAAAATCCCTGCCCCCGTGCTTACCGTCGAAAACCCCTCCCCCTTTTTCTAGCCGGCGAAAATCCTTAACTCTGTTCAACCGGCCAAAATTGCTGCTGTGTCCGCATGCTACAATTTCCCTTGCCGAATTGATTTTATTTTACAAAACCACTACTCGTAGAATGCCGAAATTCCCGTTTGAAACATGAGTTATTGCTGCTCGGTCCGCGTGCTAAACTTTCTCTTGCCGAATTGACTTTATTTTAAAAAGCCATCAGAATGCCGAAATTTCCGTCTGAAACAATGAGTAAGTGCGTCCACTTGCTAAAATGTTTTTAATTTGACATGTATTTTGCATTTGGTGATCACGCGTGCTAACTGAGCAAACGGTTTTCGAGGCAATTATTATAAATACTGATTTTCATTATTATCAGTATTATTATTCATTATTATTATAGTTTGTTTATTTCTAATAGTAGATATATTATTCCTTATTAATTCTAAGTATTATTTTTTTGTTTTCAATACTGAGTACAGAGCTTTGTTTTGTATTAAAGGAAAAACATTTCTGCTAAAAGAATTAGTTAATAAAATTATCGATAGAACTATTATCTAGTTTACGCCTTTACGGAATCATATAAGCAACAACGGTATAACGAAAGTCCAGCCTGATGCCGCGAGCGAATGTCCGCATAATGAAATTTATTACATGTGCTGAAATGACTTCATGGAGAAATGGAAGAGCACCGAAACACCACTCTTTGATTAATCAGTAGAGTGCCAGCGCTTGCAATGTTTTGTTATTTTATTTTGATGGCTATTGCATATAAAACCACATATCAAATAACCTAAGCATTTTTGTGCAAAACTCTGTTTCCGGCTTCGCTTCGGTCTAATAGTGCTAGCAAAAAGCAGTGCACTTCCCTAGTAGTTTATACGTAATCCGTTGCCGTACAGTTATTTGCGCTATACTGGTTCCCTTTCCTCTTTCCGCCAAAGAAATCATACTGCATTATCGCTCTGCCAATTACGAAATTTCAACAAACAGGAGTATTAAATTTTACTGATTACTGATGTACCGCAGTTTTTATGTCCCAGTTTGCCACGCTGTGTCAGCAGTTTCCGTTCGAAAATATACGCATTTCCGCCAATCCACATTATCCACTAATAAATACTTTCTGATGAGCCAATCAGCGAAATTCGTTTTGGCCATGTTTCGTAATTCGAAGGAAAAGAAGATCGGAAAACTAAAGTTGTAGGGACAAACTACAGGATTTTAGCCGTTTTTTCAGCTATCGAACGAAATTCTGCGCCGGACAGTGTTGGAGGAAAAGGGAGAAAAAGAAACGGCGGAGTTAGGATTGTATATATAATAATAATAATATATATAATATGGTTATTACTATATACCCGCTTTTCGCGTTGTACGTTGAAGTACCAAAACTTTCTACCAAAATCTAAGACGCAGCAATGATGTTTCCGATTATGCGTAAGTTACCCGTTGCCTTAAAGTTAATCGCGTTATACTGTTGCCCTTTCCTCTTTCCGCCAAAGAAATGATAATGTACGAGTACTATCGCTCTGCCATTACAAAATTTCGACAAACAGGAGTATTAAATTTTACTGATTACTGATGTACCGTAGCTTTTATGTCTCAGTTTGCCACGCTGTGTCAGCAGTTTCCGTTCGAAATATGCGCCTTTCCGCCAATCCACTAAGAATTACTTTATGATAAGCCAATCAGCAAAATTCGTTTTGATCGTGTTTCGTAATTCGAAGGAAAAGAAGGTCGAAAAACTAAAGTTGTAGGGACAAACTACAGGATTTTAGCCGTTTTTTAAGCTATCGAACGAAATTCTGCGCCGGACAGTGTTGGAGGAAAAGGGAGAAAAAGAAACGGCGGAGTTAGGATTGTATATATAATAATAATAAATATATATCTTTATATATATTCATACAATCTTACCGACCAAAACGTATTTATGCGCCGTTTTTATAGACTCGTCAACGCGTGGTCAGTTTTAATCCAGCTTGGTCTTAAAAAATTCCATATTTTCCATAGGTGTGCCAATAGATTTTTGTTTTTTTTAATTAACCAGTGGTCAGAAGATGGTTCCACCAGGTCTTAAGTATAGGAAACGTAAAGAGCACTCGAAGAAGTATTCACTACTGCAGTCTGCACAGCAATACAAAGTAAGTACTCGTACTTAACATGATGACTGTAACCACGGAGACTATAGCGGATACATATTAATACTTTCTTTTAGTATAGATAATAATTGTTACGAGGTATGTGAGCAATAAATTAGTACCCAAACGTCCATAAAAGGTACATCGCCCAGTATGTCGCTTATACAGTATCTATACGTCACAACGTAAAAACATCAGAAGTCAGAACGTCAAAAAACAGAACGTCAGGTAATCCGAACGTGAAAAATCAAAAACGTCAGAAATTTAGAACGTCAGAATATCAGAACGTTAGAACGTCAGAATGTCAGAACGTGAAAAATTAAAAACGTCAGAACGTCAGAAATCCAAAATGTCAGAACGTTAGAACGTCAGAATGTCAGAACGTTAGAACGTCAGAATATCAGAACGTTAGAACGTCAGAAGGTCTGAAAGTCAGAACGTGAAAAATTAAAAGCGTCAGAACGTCAGAAATTCAGAATGTCAGAATATCAGAACGTTACAACGTCCGAATATTAGAACGTTAGAACGTCAGAAGGTCAGAACGTGAAAAATTAAAAACGTCAGAACGTCAGAAATTCAGAATGTCAGAACGTTAGAACGTCAGAATGTCAGAACGTTAGAACGTCAGAATATCAGAACGTTAGAACGTCAGAAGGTCAGAAAGTCAGAACGTGAAAAATTAAAAACGTCAGAACGTCAGAAATTCAGAATGTCAGAATATCAGAACGTTACAACGTCCGAATATTAGAACGTTAGAACGTCAGAAGGTCAGAAAGTCAGAACGTGAAAAATTAAAACGTCAGAACGTCAGAAATTCAGAATGTCAGAATATCAGAACGTTAGAACGTCAGAATATCAGAACGTTAGAACGTCAGAAGGTCAGAAAGTCAGAACGTGAAAAATTCAAAACGTCAGAACGTCAGAATGTCAGAATATCAGAACGTTACAACGTCCGAATATTAGAACGTTAGAACGTCAGAAGGTCAGAAAGTCAGAACGTGAAAAATTAAAAACGTCAGAACGTCAGAAATTCAGAATGTCAGAATATCAGAACGTCAGAACTTTAGAAAGTCAGAACGTTAGAACGTCAGAACGATAGAACGTCAGATTCGGTCAGAATATCAAAATGTCAGAATGTGAAAAATTTAAAACGTCAGAAATTCAGAACGTCAGAATATCCGAACGTTAGAACGTCAGAATATCAGAACGTTAGACCGTCAGAAGGTCAGGAAGTCGGAACGTGAAAAATTAAAAACGTCAGAACGTCGGAAATTCAGAACGTCAGAACTTTAAAACGTTAGAAGGTCAGAACGTAAGAACGTCCGAACGTAAAAAATTAAACCTTAGAACGTTATTACGTCTTATGAAATACGACTACAAAAGCGTATATACGATTTCAATCTTAGTCTTAAATAAATCACATTTTCCATACCTTCCCAATTATCCAAAATTTTTACAATTTCCTGTGTGCTTATGTCTTATTTGAAAATATTCATAATTTCCAGTACTTAAGTGCCGAGCGCGAATGCGCGAGGCTACCTTGTACAATTTATAATTACTGTAACAAAATAGACTAACTACAGATAATTTCATAACTATTGTGGGTGGTAAAATAAAAATCGTTATAATAATTATTTGATTTGTAAAATTTGTATATTTTTGTACGTTAGTATCGTTTTGTCGTGCGCACACATGAATGTTGAACCGATAGCCCTGGGGCAACCCATCGCACAACGTACTGTACAATCGGCCGACAGTACAATACATACTACATACAGTATGTGCCGATACATCTACCGATCACTCAACCTTGAACCGGACACGTGGATTCGACTTCGCTCTCCAAATCATTATCATTGTGGCCGACACTCCATCCAGTCACTTGTTGCAGAAAATAGCAGCTCAAATAAAACTAACCACCTACACGTTCATCATACTTTTGGATTTTCATTGATACCCTTCTGGAATTTTGACCAAATTTGCAGGATTTCGTAACGAAAATGCGTCAACTCATACAGAAAGTCCTGATTACGGATCCCATTGATGCGCAATTCGTGCAGGCATTAAAAACTCTGGGTCTGGATGTGGTGCAGAAGACTTTGACGGAGGAACAGCTGCTGAAAGAAATTCCCGATTATGAGATGTTGATTGTGCGATCCGGGACACAGGTTACTCGTAAGGTGATCAATGCCGGACAACGTCTGAAGCTCATTGGCCGTGCTGGAACAGGAGTCGATAATATTGATGTGCCAGCGGCGACGGAGCAGGGAATTCTGGTTATGAACACTCCAGGTACGGATTTTTTCTCATTGTGAGACCGGAAGAATGGCCGTCGTTAAATGCTTTTGATTTTCATTTCATGATGGTTAAAATTTAGTATTAAGTAAATTTCAAAATGTTAGTACATTTACTGCTTTAATTAGTGCAGTTACTGTACAAGTAGATATTTTCTGTTGCAAATCTGCTAATACGAGTACTGTACATGTGCAATGCAAGAAAAATGTAAAGCATATTGCAATGCACTGCTTTTGCATAACATAATATGGCATTATAGCAGTATTAAACTGGCGGTGAGCGAATTTAGTTTACGTACAGTAGCTGTTTTTTTAAAAATAAGTGCTGTAAACTGTAAACGCATGAAAATATAAAAACATGCGTAGTAACTTCGAAAAAACCATTTTTTATGTAATTTACAAGTTTTGTCAATGTAATATACTATAGATATTGCGCTCGTATTGCAGTATTGCGTCCTTACTGTAATTCTCAAGAAACAATACTCGTACTGTTCTAAGATTGCGAGATTGTTTTATTATTATTTTTGGTTACCGACTTACGGTATAATTTTTATTGTGGATAGGTTCAAATACCATTTCCGCATGTGAGCATACATGTGCACTGATTTTGGCCCTGTCTCGCCATATTCCTCCGGCCTATGCTTCGCTGAAGGAAGGTCGTTGGGACCGGAAGCTGTATATGGGACACGAAGTCATGGGCAAAACACTGGCCATTTTCGGACTGGGACGAATCGGACGCGAATTGGCAATACGGATGCGCGCTTTCGGTATGCGCTGTGTTGGTTTTGATCCATATATTCCGGCGGAAGCCGTGGCGGAATTTGGGATTGAATTTATGGAGCCGGAAAGAATTTGGCCTATAGCGGATTTTATCTCCATACACGTCCCATTGCTGGCCGAAACAGAGAATCTGATCAACTTAGAGGTACAGAATACAAACCTGTGTGGTTGCATTGATGCAAAGTATTTGCTGCGTCAGCCTGCGTACGCGAATACTTTTTTTCGAAAGGTTTCTTCTAACTTGTAATAACATGTAAACCAATTAAGTCGTATTAATGCGTATATATATATGTATAATAATAAGAATAATAATTCATTCATTCTGTACATGTAATTATGCCAATTAATGGGAAAATATTTGTTCTCCTGCTGTTTCGCCTAGCTATAGGTACTCTAATGTTTAAGCGCGCCAATACCACGAGTAAGCCAAGTGTACAGCTATCTTATGCGCTTGCACAATTGTTTTTGTTGCGGCAGTATCCAGAACTCGGATGAAAACAAAACTGCATCAGTTGTTCCGATATGCATTGTGCTTTGGGATGCTAATCTAATGGGCTCCGAAGTTTTGGCTTACGTGCATTGCATAAGAAGTGTACTACTGTACAAGTTGACCTTTGTAATTTAGTGGGTGTTATCAAGTTTGGGACATCCTACATTATCACAGAAGAGAAAAAAGTACAGCTGTGTGACATTTATTGATTGTTTTGCTTGTTTCTTAGGTGTTGCATCGGTGCAAGAAGGGCGTAAAAATCATCAACGTTGCCCGGGGTGGAATCGTCAGTGAAGCTGATTTGTTGACTGGTCTCAACGATGGCCAGGTCGGTGGTGCCGCACTGGATGTGTTCAGCAGTGAGCCGCCCAGCCCGTCAGTACTGACTCTCATTAAGCATCCGCGCGTCCTGGCTACTCCGCATCTTGGTGCCAGTACCGTGGAAGCGCAGGAGCGCGTCGCCGAAGATTTAGCTCAACAAATTACTATCTTGTTGGAAACAGGACGAGCTCCAGGATTGGTTAACCGTGTTTGATTGACATACGAAAAACGGAATCAGTTTTCATCGCTTGATTTGTTCGCTGAAATTATGCCAACGAAAATGACCTTTTTTGCTTGTTTTTTTATTTGTTTGCGTTGGACGTTTTGTTCCGTTTATATGCGCTTTGTTTTTATCCATAACCATTTCTCTTTTCAAAACCGCCGAGTTAATTGTGAGCAAGGTGTGCTCAATTTTATGGTGTTGTTGTCGTGATTTGTCTCAGAATGCCTGTATTTTCGTTTCGTAATTTTTTTTATTTGCTCGTACTCTGTATTACAGCTCATCATGAGTCATGTGGATGAACACTTTGCACTTCTTCCCAAGTACCACTTTGTTAACTTCGTGTTAGGTACGTGTGCGCGGCCGTACGCCAGGCAAATTTTCCACTGGCCGTGATATAATCGCCAGGGACAGATGAGATCGAGGTATCAACTTCCCAGATCTTTACTGCTATAAATGAGCATGCAAACCGAGTTAGAAGTCTGTGTGGTCAAATTCCTCATAGATCAGTGACAGCTGGATGTTTTCGGGTAACCTTATCCATGATTTCATTTTTCAAAATTAGTACCACTACAAAAATTTGTACCACTACCAAAATTTGTACTACTACCAATATTCACATTGAAATTTTTGCCGATGGTTTCTCTGGTTTATCACGCGTGCTGTTCGACGCCGGTCCTTGATAAAGGAAGAGTTTAATTCTCACTTGGAACCATACGCACCAGGAAACTGTGGTAGTCAGATGTATCTATGTAATCAATATCATCCGTGTTCGACAGATGCATATGATCCAGGAGATTCTGCTGCGATAAATTAAATTGCTGATAAGGCAAATCCAGACTGTAGTAGATTTCGGCTGAATCGTTCCCGATTAGCGTAGTCAGCTCTTTTTCAAGTTGAGCAAATTCAGGTCGTTCTTCCGGTGCTGTTATCCAACAGCTAAGCATTAAGCTGTAGCTGCAAGTTTGCAACAGAATGCAAAGTAGTAACTATAGAGCAGGAGTTCAATGCTTTTCTAGCTATACTAGTAGTGCAAGTCTTTAAAATTTTAAACGCTGCTTACATCGACACTGGACATGTTGCTGGTCGTTCCATACGGGTGCCGTTGCGTAACGATGATAGGAAGTCCAGCAGATTCGAGATGTCAAGACTACTATTTGCGTACGGCGTTTCTCCCAAACTGAAGAGTTCCCACATCAGCACGCCAAATGACCACACATCCGACTTTTGATTGAACAACCGCTGAATTATTGATTCCGGCGACATCCAGCGCACAGGTAATGCTACCTATAAAGCATGAGCATTAATTGCAGTTTTAAATTTATATAGTCTATATCACAAAATTGTAGAAGTACTGTACTGTACTCTGTATCAAACAATATTAGTAATTAGTACATTATTACTGTATTGAGTGTATTCTGCAGCTGTATACGGTACGTATCTGTACGTTAGAGTGACACCCACTCAAGGAAAATATTAAGAAAAAGTGGCTCATTAGTATAGCAACATCACAGTAATCAAATACCGTCTGTATTTTACAGCTTAAAAAAGTGATCCGGTACATGGTTGATGGTACCAAGAACGTGTACAGTCACCGGTAGCTTCGCTTTCGGGAACCCTTATTAAGGAGTCCTTAACACTCACTCTTATGCCTTGTTTTATGGCATTATGCATTTATACCCAAAGTAACACACAATTACGATTTTGTATTTGTACACATCGGTGTGAAATCGTTGGAGCTTACGATGTTATCGGCGCGCGTGCAAAAAGGTGTTAGGGACTGCCCTAACAGTTCCCGCACAGATACACGAATTTAGTAAGTACCATGCCTTACGGGTCCCGGCACTCGCTTCCCTTTCAAAGCTAACAAACAGAGTTATTACACAAATACGGAATTCGGGTTAATGCAGTTGACTTTTACATAAACTACAATGATATTTTAATATATTTCTGAAATTCTGATTATAAGCACCGTTAAAAAATTCCTATACGAGAATTTAAAACCGATACAAAATTTAAAAGAATTAAAAAATTTTGAACCACCATGCTATTGAGTACGTCGTACGTCTGTATGAACCAAAACGTATTCTGGCAGTTGTTTGGCTAATCCAAAATCGGCAATTTTTACCACACGGTCTTGGCAAACAAGGACATTGCGAGCGGCCAAATCCCGATGGATAATTGAGCGGCTGTTGAGGTACCTCATGCCGCGGCTGATCTGGAAGGCAAACTTTAGCAGGTCCCTTGTCGTCATTACGTTCCGGTCAAACGACGTGTCATGCGATTTCAGGTACTGCTGAACGCGATTAGCTTCGCCCTGCATTTGCATAAACTCCTCGTCATTGAACGTATCCATCTCGCCGTATAAACTGGTCTGATTGTAGAAATAAAGGCCACGGTGGGATTGCAAGTAGTTAAGCAGCGAACCGTATTCACAGTACTCCAGGATCAAAAGAATTTCTCCTGTACAGTAAAACGGGAATATGAGGGAACAAATTATATACAAACAGTAATCTCAACGACAAGCTGAACTTTACTACCTTTAAAAACTATTCCCATAAGATTAATTATATTAAGATGTCGACCGGCTTTCGTCATAATTTTCATCTCTTGCACTAGCAGATTTTGCTGTTGCAAATCATCAAAATCTTTTACGCCCTTTATGGCTACCGGGACGGGTGACGATTGCCCTTGAAAATCTTTTACCGTTCCCTTTCGAACTAGTCCGTATTCTCCTTCTCCCAGAATTTCACCTTTGATGGTAAATCAGCTTATTAACAATGTATGCAAGTACTGACATATTTGTTTAGCTTCATTTCATCTAAATGTCAATTTAATATAAACTGCATGTGATAAGCCATTCAGGGTCAAAACCGATGAAAGAGGCACAAACGGTATTCTAGTAGCGTACTGGCAACCTACTGGCGTACCGATTTCTAAACTTGCCAGAGGAATCTCCAGAGTGCTCATATAATTCTGCAGAGTCAAGTCGAATTTTTGGTACATGGAATTTAAGCGCAGATCTGTTGTATTCAAGTTTAATCTACTCATTTCATGCTCATTGAAAGTGTTCAAGGCAGATCGCAGAAGACGCTGTTTTCTTCGCCTGAAGAACAGATAACCGAGTACACTGCTTAGAATAGCGAGGACGATCGCTGCGATTGTCGAAAATATGATAGTGCTCACTGGTGGTTGACTTTCGGAATCTGCGTCACCGGGAACCGTAATAAGCGTCAGCTGTCGTTGTCACCGGCATACTTCCAGTGCTTTTTTGTCCAACTGCAGCTTTTAATAAGTGAGGGTCAATGTAACCCTGCTTGACCACTACGTTATGTATTACCAGCTCTGCTGGAGAACTTGTATCAAATTCCGAGAAAGCAGTATAGTCGACCCCAACAGAAACGTCCATTCGAATCTGCAATTCACTTGTAGGAATGTAGTTCTCATCGACTGTCCAGAAAATCGGTTCTTCGTCCACAATCCAGACCATTGCTGTTTTGCTCCATATTAACTTGTACGAGTGAAAAGCTAGCGACAAGTCATTTGCTCTATCAAACAAATGAAAAAATTGAATTTCACTAACTGACGTTGTCACAGAAAGGTCATGCAAAACATCAGTTCTTCCTATAACGTTAATTATCCAATGCGGTCATCGATCTTAAATGCTATGCTAGCGCAAACAATTAGAAAATATTGATTACCTCTGTATTTGCCCACTGTTCAGCGGTTGAACCCCGGGACGCTCAGAGCGCACGGAAATACTGATCTCGGTGGGTGTTTGTCCTCGTGATAACATAACATACACGAAAGGAGCAATACCTCCAGTACATGCTAATCCCGGCAAACAATAGACCTCTGACAGTGACAGGCTAGTCGAGGCACCATTTCCTTTTGGAATTTTTGCGCTCCATTCAATTTCACCATACCTAAAACTGAAGTGGCCCAGGGTCTGAACTGAAGTGGTAGTAAACAGGAACAACTCGGAGGCGTTGACTTTTCTCCGTTGAGCGATGAGGCGTAAAGTACGGTTATGTAAGACGACGTTGCCTGGTAAATCATAAGCATTTTCATTCCATTTTTCAATTATACTGCTAAAGGACAACCATTTATTTTCGTCCAAAGTTTCTCCGTTGAAATCATCCCGAAAAACTTCATGAACTGCATGAGGAGCCGGATCTATTGGGGCACCTCCACTCCGACATCCACATCGTCTTGTAAAACTGATACGTAATCAACAAGGAAATCGGTCGGGTTGTCGATCGCATTATCCACGACACACTTGTTACACGTAAATCTTCCGGTGTCATCGCTCGCCGCACTCATGACAAGGTACATGTGGCTGGAAGGAATCTTTTTCGCATCGGTTTCCCAGTGGATTTCATTCCCGTCGACATACCAGATTAATACTGTTTTATTCCAGAGCAGTTTGTAGAAATGGTAATCCACTGACATATCGTCTCTCCTAGAAACATTTATAGCATGTTGACTATACGATCTACGATTGTCCTAAATATCATTACATTCGCAATTCGCAAATACTCGTAGTGAAAAGGCGTTTGTTGGGAATATGTCTGATTTTAGACTTGTCGATACTCCGATTGACGTTTCGGCTGACGGCCGGCTGGAGTCCTTTAATAGCCGGCTAAATCAACGCGGCTGGAAGTCTCAGCCGGCTAGAGCGGCTCACGAAATTTCCCGGGGAAATTCGTGAAACAGTGGGACGGCTTAGCCGGAGGCCGGCTAGTGAAAGTGTTCCTAATAGTGTGATTTGCGAAGTAACGTCTGCTGATTATCCATGTACTGCACAGTTGTACTTAAAATGCAGTAATCAACTGTTCAGTGATCATAAATGACGAAAAACTTGCACGACCTTGTTATCTTTGTTTTTTCAGCTTGATTGCCGTCCGGCCAGAAAACGATTTGCGTCCATACATTCTGCGGGTCCTCGCTCCGCACAACAGCGACACCCACCGCGGGCGCCCAACGATCCACGCACGGATTATCGCGCAGGCATGCAGAATGTTGCAGCCACAGTGCCGACCGCATCTGGCGTCCTTTGGAAACTTTTGCTCGCCATTCGATTTCGCCAAAACGAAAATGAAACGCGTTTTTTGTATTCACATCCAGCTGATTCCATTCCGATACAGGAGGTGATCGAGTTGCAACAATACTGAGCGAGCCATTTTTCAGTGTGACAGTCCACGGTGAAACAGAATGCTGTGTCTCATCTATGATATGATAAGGTATGATTTTATAAGGTAAGGTATGATTTTATTGTCCATTTCGATGTGTCTAGAATGGTACTGTTAAAGGAGTCGTGAAAAGTCATTTGTCTAGCCCGCATAGTTTTAATGTGATTAATTAATGTGATCGAAATGATTAATGTGATCGAAATGATTAATTAATGTGATTAATTAATGTGATTAATTAATGTGCATTCGAAATTAATGTGATCGAATAGACTGGCAAAATCCAAAGCAGAAATACCACGTGCTGGAAGAATGTATTCATGCTTAGTATAATTCGTATTAAATTATTAATCAACCCTTAATTCATGATTTCTGTTACGGTGGATGAACAATAAAACTGAGAAGCATCACCACAAGTATAATACCAAAACCAATAGTAAACGGTATCCACGCTTCTCCTGATACGTTTGTTAACTTTGTTTGCATAGGTACTTCGGTTTCCAGTACTATTATGCGCAAGAGAGCCAACATACCGGAATGCATGGTTATGAACCTGCATTACCAGACGGCTTTGGCGGGTGCACAGCGTATCGTAGCTGATAACAGTTCAATTAGTTCAATTTGTATGAGGACTGCGGAGTGTACAGTATATTGAGGACTATGATATTCCTGCATCTGCCCGATCATGTTACGCTGCCAGGTCAGGCCGCCGGCTACAACAGTACAAGCCATATCGGAAATGGGATGAAACGATGTCACAATAATACCTAAAAGATGCGTGGTCACCACTACACTGTTTGATGTCAGCGCACACCGCCGGTGGGCGGTGGTCGGCTTATCATTTCATCGAATACACTTTTCATACGGGATCCCTTTTCTCTTGGGACCTGGGTGTTACAAACCCATACAATCGTGTATGCGCGTATTTCACAGAGATATTTACTATGATGATTGGCGCTTCCTATCCAACAACATTTAGCGGTGGTAATGCAAACAAAAACACCGCTCTTTTAATATTTATAGACGGGCCGGGTGACTGGCGACGTCTGGCGTCTGTAGTAAACTTTACCGGCCAACAGACAGTTTTTTTTTTCACTACACAGGGTACGCTTCACGCTACATTGCAGTCGCACCTTACGGTTAGCAATGAAATATTGAAATTGACTCGGATTTTAATTAATTCTTCATGCTCTTCGAGTAGTGACCGGTGAGCAATTTATGAAAAGTTGAAAATGCATAATTATACGTAGATAGGGAGCAAATGGTGCAAAGATCAGAAAAACGGGAAGAAAAATTGTACTCACTAAAACCATATCGAAAACAAATACAGTATAACTATACAGTACGAGGCTACGAGCTGATGGCGTCACGTTAGCTCCGTAGGAAAGAAGAAGAATGGTGACTCGGGATGTCACATGCGTTTGTACATTGGCATTATCGCATATCGCGACAACATCCGGCAAGCTGGAGCAAAGGCCGAACAGGATAAGGCAACTAAGCACCAGAACATCACCCATGCTACCTGTTCAGCGCTTTGGGCTTCGAAACGCTTAAACCAAACGCATCATAAGCTACCGGCCTGCTTACGGAAGTGGGTAGGAGGGTATGGCAAGAAACCGGCGAGCCACAAGCAACGGAATATTTACGCCAGCGTATCAGCATAGAGATCCTGCGCGGGAACATAACCTCCGTTCAGGGAATAGTTTCACCGGGAGGAAATTTAGAACACTTATTATTGTATCGCGTACGCAGCAAACAACAACAGTTTTTTCTCTCGTTCGGCATTTATTTCTGAGCATATGAAATACCAACAAAAGTCAAACAAAAAACAGGACGGTTGTACCGAGGGTGCATCCGAAAACCTCCTCTCAATTAAATCTGGTAAGGGAGGGACGGTGGGAAGATCAAAAAGCTAACACGATTCGCTGCGGTATCAAATGTCCAAGACTAGTTGAACCTTGGCAGCGAAAACTAAAACTAAAAGAGCTGTTGAGGATAAAGCTTCCCGGGACAGCTATTTATACGGTCTCCTTCGGGGCGGTGTTACATCCCGCTTCCCCATGAAGTGACCAATGGCTAACACGCTGCCAATAATCGCACAGGTTACGCAGTAACCTTAGGCCGTTCTCTGTTCTTAGACCTCCCGAGGCTGCTTTCTGCTGATTGAGTGCTCTGCGTTGTGATGTTAATTGTTTTTCTAGAAACTGTAGTAGACAAATAAAAGATAATGTCATAATAAACTGGAAAATACAGTACGAATGCAACTTCAGGATAAACAGTTAAGAGTTGTTCTAAAGCCACGCACAAACGAAATTAAGAAATGTACGAGTAATACTGCTATGATGAAGCCTTCATTGTTAGTATGTAGCCCAGTATAATGGACCAAACGCCTTAACTGCTTGTTGTAGCAACGCCTCAACCAAGTTCAATGCAATGTTGATGCCCTTTCCATTTATTGTGTGTAATTTTGTTCAGAAAGCGCTTATTTTTTATTTGGATCCACTCCGACCAATAGAGTTCGGTAGTCGGTGTCATCCGCTAAACCGTTGTCATCAATTTTAGCTAGTTGATCAAGACGATTTTGCTGGGATTGATTAAACAACTGATAAGGCTTGTCCAGACGGCTATAGATTTTCGCTGAACTATCCTCGACCAACGCGATCAAACTTTTTTCGAGATCAGGAAATCCTGGCCTTCCGTCCGGTGACCCGGTCCAGCAGCCAAGCATTATGCGATAACTACAATGAACCCATTAGGTCTAAGATGCCCGTATCAGCAACAAATTTTACAGCGTTTAATTTTACATGGACTCTGGGCACTCTGAAGGGCGCTCCATCCGAAAGCCGTTATTCAATGACGACAGAAATTCCAACAATGAAGCGATGTCGAAACTGCGAGAGTAAGGTGTTTCTCCCAAACTGAAGATTTCCCACATCAACACACCAAATGACCACACGTATCTGACTTCTGGTTGAATACTCATTTAATTACCGATTCCGGTGGCATCCAGCGCACGGGTAGAGCTACCTAAAATTATGATTAGTTGCCATTTTATCTCACAGGATTATTTGACATGTGCAATGCACGTACAAATATACACGTACCCGGTATTAAATCAAACAAAAAAAGCTATATTAATAAACGAGCAGCATTGTAAACCTTAACCATTTTGAATATGTCCAGTTTATTTACATGTGCGTCAGTCACAAAATACTCCACCAGCTGCTTGGCCATTCCAAAATCGGCAATTTTAACCACACGGTCTTGGCAAACCAGAACGTTGCGAGCCGCTAAATCTTATATATATATATTAATATATATATATATATATATATATATATATATATATATATATATATATATATATATATATATATAGATTAAAGGTATACTGTGCAAATGAGCTCAGCTACATCTAAAGGATGAAACTAAAAAAGCAAAGACACATAAACCATTATCAAAGAAGTGTACCTTGAAGCACGATTCCCACTAGATTGATAATGTTTAGATGCCGTCCAGCTTTTGCCATTATTTTCATTTCTTGGATTAGCTGATTCTGCTGTTGCTGATTCATTCGTTTCTTCACACTTTTGATGGCCACTGGAGTCGGCAGCAAATGACCTTGGAGACCTTTTGCATTCCCCTTCCGGACTATCCCGTATTCGCCATGCCCCAAAATTTCCCCTTGAGAAGGTCAAAATGAAGCGAATAATTTAAAAAACAATTGTTTTTTTCAAAGTCCGTAAACTACTATACATTTGTACGTCCTAATTGCGGTTCGCAGTTTAAGACTAAATGGTCGAACACGCTTTGCTAACTTCTCTCATGGCCACATTACGGTTTATAACACGTTTAAGCGAAGTGACCTGGTACTTAATTATCATGGTACCAAGTTCGTGTACATGCACGACAACTTTCACTTTCGCGCTTTTCATGAACCACCTTTTTGAACTATTTTATGATTATGTGCAGCCAAACGATTTGCATACATTGGCCTGTTGGGCGTGAAAACTGCCATTTGAGAGATGCAGATTATTGATATCACCTGTGGATATTGGACACTATATAACTGTAAGGCAAGCTCTGAAATGTGCACACATACCGATTTCCAAACTGGATAGTGCGATTTCCAGAGTGCCAATATAATTACGTAGCGCTGCTGTGGTTTTGGCGTTCAAATTATTAAGCCGAAGGTCAGTATCACTGCAGTTAGGATTTTGCAGACTTACAACAACATCAGAGCGGCGCTGTTTTCGCCGCCTAAAAAACAGATAAGCGAACACGCTAACGAGAATGACAAAGACTATAGCCGAAACCGTTGACACTATTATGACGACTGGGTCTTGGTGCGGCGGATTGTCACTGAAAGTATTTGCAGTTGCCGTTGTGGACAATGGAGATGTTTGTTCCAGTAAAGTTGTTGCATCGATATCATGTGGTTGAAGCGTGCTTGCACTGCTTACAGGTATACACATCCAAGGATCAACATTTCCCTGCCTGACTATAACGTAATCGACTAGAAACTCTGCCGGAAAAATCGTACTTTCGTCAACGCTTACTACGGATGTTCCCATGTTAATCTGCATTTGGTTATCAGGAATCATATTTGTATCGGTAGTCCAAAATATAACCTCGTCGTCGACAATCCATACTATTGCTGTTTCGGTCCATATTAGTTTGTAGATATGGTAATCCAGTGACATGTCTACGTCTCTAAAAATGGTGCATTTATGATTGCACTTAAGGGAAAATTTTAACGGATGCTGCACGGATGTTCATATTGATTTTTATACAAGATCTAGAAGAAAGCGATATCGCCTTTACCTAAAAAATGCGAGTTGCAACAGATCGCACTGTCGAAGATATCGCAATCGTCAAATATTACCGGAACTAAAAATTAATGTTAAAATTTTATTACTTCTGGTTGTTAAATCGTTTTGTCTTGAAACTTTAAAATGCAAAATACGGTACATGGTACACCGTTATAACACAAGCCACATGGTCAACATGTACAGTACCTCCAGTGCCATTTTCCAAGACTTCTGCCATTTCTCGAGTACACAGTTGTGTAGATTGCTTTGGGAAAATCTCCTGAAGCATGCAAAGCATGGATGGAGGGCGCAAAGTTGCTGTGACAATCACCGCTCGGCAGAGTGCAGTGAAAGTTAGTTAGATAGAGCCCACAGTTAATACCCTTCCCTTTAAGGCGTTTGGCCTTCCATTCAATTTCGTCGAACTTAAAATTGAAAAATCCCAACGAGTTTACTGATCCAGAAGTGTAACCAACCGATCCTGAGTTCGGGAGGCTCACTTCCTTATTCGCGATCAGTCGCAAGCTGCCATTGCTTACAAAGACGTTACCCGGCAATGGATATGTTTGAGTTTCGCCTCCGATAAGGATGCCACTGGTCGCAGTGGTCGGACGCCATTTGGAAGCATCCAGTGCCTCGTCATCGAAATCATCTCGAAAAATTATAGCCGCGGCTCGAGCAAGGCGATGGTTCGCCGCCACTTTAGCGGTCGGAGCAAACTCTTCTTGTGACACTGTTAAACAATCAATCAGGAAATTTTTTGGTGGAGAATCTGAAGATGTATCGCTGCTCTCTCGTGAGCCGACATCCGTCATGCTCATACCAATATACATGTAGTCAAAAGGTATTTTCTTCGTGTCGTTTATCGAGAACACAGGATTTCCGTCAATATACCATACTAGCGCTGCTTTATTCCAGACAAGTGCGTAGGAATGATACTCAAGCGACATATCCGCATCTCTAAAAAAGATTGCATACTTTTATGCATTTCAGCTTTGGGCGAATCTATAGATACAAGTACTACGATTAAATGATCTAGCTAGCTGCGTCACACACACAGTAGTTGCACTTGTACATAAAGTTAAATGTACTACGTATTGCGAATTTATTACATAGACGTCAAAACACAAGTAATAGTTTTCATGCTTCTAATCACTTAATTTTCATCTGACCGTGAAATAGCGACTTAAATACTAAAATTTGTATACAAAGGTACGCATTTTTGTTGAATATTGCAACAGCTTTGAGTAGCAGGACACTTGGAAGATCACCATTAATAGCCAAATAGTTAGAACAGAAGTTGCATACATACCGCTTCGTTATTTTACTAGTATCGTTTCCACTATATAGCCGATGCAGTACCGACATCTTGAAGGTGTCCGGGCTTTCTCCGCTCACATCGATGACACTCACAGCGGATGACCCGCGTCCACGCATAGAGCGTCTAACGGAGACCGACACGTTGAATTTGCCAGCCACAGCACCGAGCGAATCCAGTTTCCGTTGGAAACTCGTGCTCGCCATTCTACTTTGCCGTATCGAAAGTGAAACTTATCTTTGGTGCTCATTAGCACGAAGGAACTGTTTGTTTTGTAAATATCAGTTTCGGGTCGATTGGTGCTTTTGCTTAAACTGAGAAAACCGTTTGCAACCGTGACTGTCCATTGCGAACCAGATTGGTTAAAATCGGGTTCTGGATTCCACTTTGACATGTTAAGCGTGTCAAATGTATCGTGAAACACATCTTGCAGCGCCCATGTGGGACCGACAAAGCTTGAAAATGCAGTCAAATGGATAACTAGGATGGCGACTGATTGTGACTTGTGAGCATAGCACAAAACGGACTAATTGTAAGCCTCCGTCCGAAGATGAGTCCTCCATACCACTGCCAGGCACACTGGCCGAATATATTTGGGCGGGCGAAATTAAGACTCGTACAGTGCAGGGAACAAATCGATTGTCGAATCTTCCCAGTCGAAGACACTGCAATGCCAACCCGATCAAGTTTAGCTGTACAGTAATTTATAAGCAACACGTAAATAATAAACTAGTGGTGGTTGTTAACCACATTCTTGCACCGAGCGCGAGCGCTGTTTTCCGGTAAATGTTCACATTCATGTTGGAGTGCAGCATATGTGTTATTCGAACTCATAACCCACAATTCATTCTAAAAATCTAACTGAAAGCATCTTTATTGAAACTAACAATCACATTTTGTGGCACCCTGCCTCAGAGCAAGCATGCTCTTGATCAGGTCGAACAATAAAAAAATACGGCTTAGGTTTATCGACAACATTCAGCGCTGCGTATTCTTCCCAATGGGCTTCGAATTTTACCATATCACACAACCCAGTCACATTTTGACAGCACGTTTCAATTCAAAATTAATTTTTTTATCGGCTACCACCTTCTTTTTCTCAAGTTCACTGATCTTTGCCTTAATTGCGTTGAGATACTGAAGCTTTCGTTGCAATTTAAATTCAATTGTGGTTGAAGTGGACAGGTCCGCACGGCTTGAAGTAAGGCTCCGGCCAACGGACGTTCTAGCATACGGGAGGAGATCCTCAAACTTGTCAAGATAGCGGGGTCCTTTTTCACGCAAGCGTTTTTCTTCTTTCTCTTGAAGTGTCAACAAAAACTCGAAGCTCTCGGTATCTTTGTACAAATTCACAAGACAGCGGATCCATTCTTTAGACCATTCTTTCGTCTGTTGTACGTCGTCGACGGCAGTTGTTGGTGATTCCGTCAAAAAAAGAAAGAGCAGAGAGGAACTTCCCGGGGTTAACTTGATACTGGCGACGCAATATAACAAAAAAACTGTTTACCATCCATCAGTTGTGCATATTGCAAAACTGCTGTAAAAGTACGGCACTAACGACAGTCCGGTATACACGAACCACGGTAAATTTCCAGAACTCACATACAACGGAGCTTCACGAAAGGCCAATACAACAGGTCTCGAGTTTGAAGTTAGTCAATGTCTAAACTTAGAAAGGCATTTTAGTCGGGGGGTTCTTCTCACCTGTCAGAAAAGTAACACCTTATCCCAACCGGCCGACATAGTCAGAAGATCCGGACGAGTGACAAACGGCGACCCCAGTTCTGATGGCAGTCGAGGTTGCAAGGTGTAGCTGGCGTACTCCACCGTATAATACTACGATCGCGAGATCTGCAGACTATCTGGGGATTGCCAGGATGCATGTACATTTCGTAAGTCATTCGAAAAAGATTTCGTTGGGAATAAAAGTAAATGGTTTTTATTGAAATTCTCACCAACAAGATTTCGCAATACAAATTATAAAATCAAAAACCATGAAAATTTAAATTCAGAATTAATAACGAGTCTAACGACACCAAGAATTATTGCGCGCTTCCAGCACCATTAAAAAGCGATGTAAATCACATCCTTGTAACAGCACGTTTGCTCTGCAATACCACTCCAATGGACGTGAGAACTTGTGGAATTGGAAAAGCGTGACCCACGCTCTTCGTGGGCGACAGACAAAATTTTTCCCCTTGACGAAGGCTTAATTGCAGCACCTCGCGCTTCGCGCTCCGTGCAAATAAAGCATTAGCAATAGCAGTGCGTCTACTGCAAGCAAGAAAAATCCCAGATGAACCTGATACAGCATCGGTTACGCAATTTTAGAAAACTGTCCTCGTGTCATCATAGCCCACTCGACCCATTGCTGCACCCTTTTTTAATCAGAAAGAAGCTGAGCAGAAATTCGACACCCTAAAAACTGTAAGACTCGAACCCAGCGTGGGTAACAAATTTCAAGATGAATGTCACTAAATTCATTACTGTAATGTTTGTATTCGGCGTAATCTGTCGCGGATTCACCAAACTGTTAATACTGCTTACGGTGCGCACTTTTTCGTACCAATGGCGCCATATTTTGACAATCCATACAGTATATACAATAAGATACTTACTGCTGGACTATAGGCGTCTTCTTACTAAATTACCGACGCAGGGTGAATTGTTGGCGGCTGTTATTTTGACCAGTGTACAATGTAAGTACGTACCCGTCAATTATTCGTACTTATTATTACCCGCAAATTTATTTACACACAGCGGGAGACGCCGGGAGTATTGTACAGCACCAAAAGGGAAACGAGGAAAACGCGCGCGGTTCATTGCGCGTTCGGTAACAAATTTGCGCTGAATTTGTCTTATACGACTAATACGAGTACGAAGTACTCGTATTAGTCGTATAAGACAATTGTATACTACACAAATTGTCTTTTCTAATAATTTGTATAAGACAATCGTATATTCGTATAAGACAGTCGTATACTACACAAATTGTCTTTTCTAATAATTTGTGTAGTACGAAGTTATACATACTTCTAGTCTGGGTCGTGCGCACTACACACATTTACTACCGCACATCTGCATCGAGCAACTACTTGCAATGAATGCAATCCAGCGTTTTAGGATAATTTCCTTTTCGAGTAACTGATGATGACATTATTATTAATTTCTTAATAAAACATTTGCAAGATTCACATACCGTATAGGCGTACGGAAGAACGCTTGGCTGGTTTCCGCAACAAGATATTAATTCCAGTTTCTAATCTATCAATAAAAAAATTGACATCCTACGATTACAGTGTGGTGAGTGCATGCAAAGAATATCGGGACTACTACTTCCGTTCACAGTAGCTACTAAATCTGCTGAAGAATACTAAAGCAGCACAGTTATCACAGTCCTTATTGTTAGCTGACCTCTTCTTGCCAGAAGATAAGAAAATTTGCTTTTGCAGGTCAAATATTGATTGATTACGGATCTTTTAAGCTTTTCTTTTATTTTATAAAGCTTGCCCCTGTAGCATCAGTATGATCTTCCTAGCGTCAGCAGCACTCGTATGGAACTACATGGTTATATGTTTATTGCCGTTCTGAGTTAGCCGCTCACACCATATAAAGTGTTTATAACCTTGTTAAATTTCAGCATTGGCAAGGATCATGATGATTTTGCAGCGGGTGCAACACACCGCATTTGTTTTTACATATGAGCCTCCACACAGTGGCTGCTCTGAATTCAAGAAAACTTGCTTGTACTGACAAGGATGACAAAGACACACACCGAGAATGTTGGCAACGCTATCGTTACGACAGCTGCTGGTGATAGGTTACGGCTTGCGGTGTTACCGCTTGTGGTACTTGTGGTCACATGTGCTGTCCCCAGCGAGGTCGATTTCGGCACTGATGGAAGCGTGCTTACAGCGCTTGTAGGTCTCCATGCCGTAGCATGAATGTCTCTTTTTCTTTGCTTTACTATGACGTAATCGACAGCCATTTCGGCCGGAAAGCTACTGTTTGGGGCGCCGGTAAACGTGTTTCCAAAAGACACATCCATTGCGATCTGCATTGCGGTGTCTGGAATCACATTTTGGTTGGTTGTCCAGAAGATGGCCTCGCCGTCCATCATCCATACCAATGCTGTTTCATCCCACAACAAACTGTAAATATGGTAGTCCAGCGAAAAACTTGCGTCACTACAAAACGTCAAAGGTCAACTTCAGTATACTAATACGTAACACTCAAGTTCATCGATTGGAGGTTGGAACTATGGCATTATTACTTTGTATCTGCAGTTATCTGCGGATTACGTTGATATGCCTTGGAATTATAAAAAAGTAGTAACACGGGAAATGCACAGAACTGTGCATGGGCAGACCAGACAGCTCTTGCACTTGTTCGGGTTAAATTGATGAGATGCTACTGTACGTAGGTTGTATGGAAAAACAGCTGGTCTGCCTTTGCGACTGCGCTCTTCAAGGCATGAATCCCATATACAAGCCCGTTTTCAAACCTGTAGACCGCTGTAACCGGGATATTTGAAAAACGTGGGCTTGAGCCATTCAAGGTGCTTCAGCACGTCACGGCGTATTGGTCATTAACGCCACTGCGGTGTGAGGGGTGTGTGAGAGAGACAAGTATGAGATAGACTGAGTGCTCTGCGCCAATGCATCCAGTGTACAGTAGATAAAATCTAGCCTTTAACTGTGCGCTTATTCACTTCGTCGCGCTTACAGCGGTCTACAGGTTCGAAAACGGGCTTGTATGAATCCCATATGGTTTCCGTTGGCTTTCAGAAAACTTTCGTGCATTGCTGTTGGACTATTTTTCTTCGATAATGGAAACTAAATTACGCGTATTAACTGATGGCGATCGAATTACAGTATGCGGTGGCCCCTGCCACCGCAGAACTGTAAATTCTAAAATGCGTGATGTGTTACCCGTCCATAGGTAATACGTACATGCATAAAGGTCACAAAACATTGGGGGTGTCGAAAAAGTAGAAAATTTCGTATTACCTATCTTAAGATTTTCACGGCGCCTAATACGTTTTTATGCATACTACGGATTATTTTTGCATTTTGTTCAACCTTTGGTGCGCGATACGGTATTTTTTAAATGTACGTAGATCTGGAAAATGTGCCCTCATGACAGAACGACTGTTGATATAACAAACGTTGAACAGTAATAAATTAGAGTGAGCTTCCGTAAGGGGCACCAGTGAAACCCTGCAAACTTGTTATACAGCGCCTTGATGTCATCCGACTATGTAAAGAATGACTTCGCAACTGGTGCTTTTTCGAATCGACGGACACAACTGAAGCAATGCATTGGAAATGAATTATAGGAAGACCCTTCGTTGCGCTTCGGTCAGGTACTCTATATACATCACACCTTTGCATTACCTCCAGTGCCATTTGTGCAGTTCTTGGGCACCTTTTGGGTACAGGGAAGTGTAAAAGCCGTTAGGTAGTTCTCCTTGTCCTTGTGCAACAGCTATGGCGGGCGAATAAACATCTTCACATCCCGTGCTGCCGCTGCCCGGCCGTGTGCAGTTGGCGAAATTTGTTAGCCACAACTGATATGAAATACCGTTGCCTTTTGGAGTTTTAGCTCTCCATTCAACTTCACCATACTTAAAGGTGAAACCTCCGGCCGAATACACGGATCCGCTAGTGTACTGTACTGGTCCATCCTGCGTTTCCTGCACCTTACCAATCAGTCGCAGACTGCCTTTGCTAACAATGACATTGTTGTCCGGTAAATGGTGTAACTGCAGACCGCTGCTGGTAAGGATTCTACTCTTCGCTTGCCATTTAGATTTATCTAAGGCATCGCCAGTAAAATCATCCCGGAAAACGACATCCATTTCTCGAGCAAAGCGAGGGCAATTCGGCAGTGCCGCTATCCCATCACGGTCGTTTTGTTTGTGAATTATATAGTTTTGATTCTGCTCTCGCAATCGTGTATTATCATGTTTTAAAATCCGTTTATAAGGATTAAAAGCGTCAACTGTGGACTTGTCAGGGTAAACATCGGGCAGAGTCTTTGCCGAACTAATTTTTCCAGAAGATGCCACCGAGTTGATGAACAGAAGGACGAGAAAAAATAACCCAAAACGAGCAATAATTCCATCCGAGAATACAGGGAACATGTTGGTTATTGGACGTGCAAATTGGACGGTATGAAAATGTGTTCAAATGCATTCAGCAATCGTTGTGCATATGAGCTAAAAATCAAATTGACTAAGCTACAGTCTTATGCATAACACATATTCTTTTTAAATTTGGACCGTTTAATTATATACGAAAATTATACAAGTATGCCTTTCAAATCCATAGTTTACAAAAGTGAATTCGGCTACGTACGGCATATATGAACGCTTGTAAAACTGCTAACGGATCGGATCAGAAAACAGTAACTCGAGACATAACAATCTGAATAATTATTACCCCATACGTGGAACTGAGACAATGATCTTAACGCAAATTGGAAAAACGATTTATTACGATAGTGGTCACGTTCTGGATGCATTTGCAATCTGTTGCCGATTTTGAGGGGGCTGACAACATATATATCTATATTCAGTATCAAATACTACTAGTACTGTAATCGTACATAACCTTTACAACATATCAGTACGTAACCTTCTCCTGTGCCGATAAAACCGGCACTTAGCCATTAATAATGCAGCCAAAATCTAGAATCTTAAGTCTACAATGCAATATTAATCTATTTATTCAACTTTTTTAGTCGACGCACGACCGACCTGAGACAACATGAGTCTTAATGACTACTGCCCAAAATAGCATTTCTGTGCGCTGCTTACCTTGACAAATAAAAAATAATTATGCTTACAAGTTAAGTGATTACAGCTAGACCCGCATCCATCCCAGAAAACTCCATTGAAGTTGTCTTGCATAAAATAAAATTTACCGTATGCTGTATTACACCCTGTCCACGCCAAGTTGGCGGCATGGCATTTTATTTTTCTGCCCAATCGTCTTGCGCGTTAATATCCCTTGTTTTAAAAGTTAACAGTGCAGTTTTTTCTTCCGCATTTTCTGAGTGTAAATGTACTCGGCTTTTTGTTGCGGTGCCGCGACCAGCACCTTCCGAAGCGAAGGCATCGATTGCACGATGCATGGCAGCGTTTAAAACGAATATAATTCACCCAGAAATTCAGGAACAACTTTAGGCGCTTGAAATTAGGGATACTTTGAGGACAATTGACAGGCTGTTTCGTGAGAAAAAAGTGAAATTCATTAGCTGGACCAAACCCGCAAAACGCCACGGGAAGCAAAATCGTTTTTACTCCAAAACAAAGCTCTGCCCGAAAAAAATTAAAGTGGCCATTGGGATTTCTCAGTCCCCAAGGTCGCGCTCTTAATTTGCGAAACGGTGATGCAAAAGTTGACGCCCATTTCCTCCTGGATTGTATTTTGCAAAGCATGGTCAAAAAGGACTTACCACGGCTGCACGGTGACCTCGCGAAGGAGACCGCTCTACATTTTGACCACGCCCACCGCTAAACCGCTGCTCTGACCCAGGAGGGACTTTAAGTCAAGTCTGTCCACTGCACTCTGAAGGACCACAGGGTAGGTAACTTGCCCAAATTGAAGCCGGTGGACTAAAGCAAACTTGGGAATTTAAAATGAATTTTGAGTAATGGAACGGCAGCCACGGTAGCTAAACTGCATCGCATTGTCAACGGAGGCTGCTCTAGTTTTGATATTCTTGTGATTCGTCACACGCTCCAATCTTAGATACCCTGTGTTTAAAAGATGTGGGATACATTGGGTGATATCGTAGAAGTTGAAAAAAGTTTAAGTTTTCGACCATGGGTTAACAGGAATTTTTTAAAGGGAAGCCGCCAACTTGGCATGGACAGGGTGTAGATAGCTTTGAGAAATACTTACAATTCACAATATTTCGATTGAAGAAGATAGTGCTGTTTAAGGTCCCCGCATAAAAGAGCGCAGCTGAAAGCTGACGTAATTCCTTATTACTTAAGGAATTACGTCAGTTTAAACAAACTGCGATGATAAAAGCCAGCTTATGCCACTGGAATTTAATTTTTTAACTCACAATTCACAGTTGCTGGTGCGCAGAACACCTGGAAGCTGGAATAGTTTCTGAAATCGCTCGAATGGATTTATTGATTATTTTCTAAGTTAAAAAATAAACAAATATTAATTTTTCGTAATACATATGTCAGAGCGGTGCAGTTATTGTGTAATTGCGTATTATGGCATATTTTACTTTAATAATAGCGTTTGCTTTTTGATCTTTCATTGCTAGAAGATAACAAGCAGCTGTTATTGACTTGCATGAATACAGTACGGTATACGTAGCATTTACAATAGTATGTTTAAAGGTTAGCATTTATGGTGCTTCGAATAATAACCAAGGTTTATTTGCTTACATATCTAAACTTAACATTTGAAATTCGCTATCAAACAAACCGCTATCTAAAAGACGACAATAATTTTACAATCATGTTTTGTATTTAAAGTAAACCAACTAACCAGAATCAACAGGCTCTGTTTAATGTGTACATATAAAGCCTATGTGTACATATAAAGCCTAATTGTTTCAGTGAACAATCGCAGCGATTGTAATTACCTACTCGGCCCCTGGCCGGCAGCACTCGTGTTACAGCGTTCCAGTCTAATTACGGCCGATTGTCGACCTATAACGGTTCGAAGATGGAACAAAGGTGTGTAATTTCTTAATTGTGGGATTGAAGGGATTCGGTGAATTGCATTCAGAATTCACACAGCCAACAACAGCCCGCTATGAGCGGTCTGCACTCTGCACGCTAAAAAAATCAAAAACAGCTTCGGTCATTCTCGGTTGTACGTAGCTGACGTAGCTGCTCCTGAAAGCGCAGGACGCGGCCCTACGGACCATCACCGGAGTCAACTGTCGGGCAACACCGCAGCTGTACGAACAATTGGGTTTACACGAGCAACAGACCGATGGCGCCAAAAGGAAGCTGTATGGCTTTACAAATTCGTAACCGGGTTGCATCGTGCCGTCATATACTACAGATATATGTGCATTAACCTTGCACCTGCTGAAATTTAAAGAAGCGAGTATAAGTTGCAAGTTTCGCCGCATTTCCGTTAATGTCAAAGCGAACGATAACGACAGTTGTTAATTCTGGAAAACGTGTGACTGACAGCTGTTAATTCTGGAAAATCTGCATTAATGCCACAGAAACGATAATGATACTAGTATACGAGTAATAATATCTGCGCGGGACGAGTTGGGAGTTATCTGTTGTGCACTGACTCATTGACAACTTGACATATAGGAACTGATGGCGATGAAAATATCGTTTTCTGGTGCTAATTAAATCACTGACTACTTTGACTGTAAACAGCGAGTGAACAAAACTTGTTAAACACAACAACAAAGAAGCAGTAGAGCAGGCCGCAGAAATAAATGAAAGGTCACTGTTTTTCATTCCGCCAAACAATAAAATTTGCGCGTGTTTCCATCGAAATAACTCGTGCATCCAGTTGCTTTTTTTAAAATCATGAATCTTTAAAGTTATTCATAAAGTGATTCAGAATAAATCCGGCCCATTTGTGGTTCAGTGCAAGTTATCAGGCGGCATGTTTCTGTACTCGTAGCCCGTAGTTAAGCATATTTCTTCCGCCACTGAACAGAGTCTCACGTTAGCGTTCTGGAGTGCTGAAACGGCAGCGCTGTGGGAACATCAGCGACGCCGCATCAATTGGGCTCCTGCTTCGGGAAGGTCATAATCATCGATCGACTTATGTCCGGTGCCAGTTTCCTACTCAAGCCCATAACATCCATTTTTTTTATCTTTGATGATAAATTTCTATACCGCTGAAAGTTTTCTCCGTATGGAATAAGAGCAAAGAGCCAATTAAAGTTACTTCCTTTGTTTTCTAGGGTAGTGGGTATTAGCGTACAAGAACAAGCCAACAAGATTTTCGATCTCAACGCACTATACCTATCACAATCCTTTCTTGTATCTGTAACTGTTAGAATTTATATTACGAGATTATTCTGGTCACGGGAACAGAAACCGGAAGCGTCGCACACACTGGTGTCAGTTCTGTTATGTTCTGTTCATCAGCGTTATACAAGCTGGTTGCTTATATACCACACGGTACATTCATGATATTAGTAATTAAGTTACTGCACCTAAACATCTGATAAACAAGGGGATTGGTGACCTGGGTGCACCGTACACTCATAGATCAGTTAGTAGAACAATGGTCATAGTTCACAAATACATGACACATCATGAGTGTATATTATATTGGTAATATAATGTCTAACAGTAACTTGTAGTAAGTAAAATAACTTGTAAGTTGAAGTGCCGCACATAATTAGTACGCCACTGCAGTTGGTCCAGCACGATCTTGATCGTCATTTATTGTGGGCGCCAGCGTCGATTTTTGGCTTGGATCCACATATGGATCAGGAGACTTCGGTAATCAGATAAATCAACATATTGATTATCATCCATTTTTGATAATTCATTAAGAAGACTTTGTTGTGATAAGTTAAACTGCTGATAAGGTAAGTCCAATCTGAAATACTTCTGCGCTGAACCGTTTCCGATCAGCATAGCTAAATTTTTTTCTAGCTGAGCAAACTCCGGTCGTTCTTCAGGTGCTTTAAACGGTTTAACCAGCAACTAAGCATCATCTCATAACTGCAAAAAAATCAACAAAATTTTGCAAAATAATTCTCGAAGCTGTATTCGCCGGTGCTTGTTACATTGCCGTTGAGCATGCGGGTGGGCGGTCCATCCGGAAACCGTTGGTCAGGGAGGACAGGAATTCCAGCATGTATGTGATGTCCATACTGCAGTTTGAGTACGGCGTCTCTCCCAAAGTGAAGAGTTCCCACATTAACACGCCAAATGACCACACATCAGACTTCTGGTTGAACACTCGTTTAATTATTGATTCTGGTGACATCCAGCGCACAGGAAGCGCTATCTGAAGCACACAGTCACTTTAGATAAAAATTTTAAAATTTTATAAAGAGTGCGGATACATATTGTACATGTATATACTATATACGCAAAGAAACTATAAAGTGAAGGTTGAGCGACAAACTGAATTGAACGTGATACCATTTTATGTGCTATTGTCGTACTTGCACAAAACATTGCTAGTATCTTTTCTTGTTCTTTCTTTCTTACGTGAGCATCGACCAAAACGTATTCTGGCAATTGCTTGGCCATCCCGAAATCCGCAATTTTAACCACACGCTCGTGACAGACCAAAATATTGCGTGCGGCCAAGTCTCTGTGAATAATGGAGCGGTTGTTGAGATGGCTCATGCCACAACTGATTTGGAAGGCGAAATTCAGTAAATCCTTGGTGGACAAGATTTTTTTGTCAAATTGTTCATCTAGTGTCACTGTCTTTTCATCGACTTCGTGCTGCATTCGCAAGGATTCCACTTCGTTAAACTCCTTAATTTTCCCGTCGTGATCGGTTTGGTTATAAAAATACATGCCGCGATGAGATTTTAATAGTTTTAACAATGCACCGTATTCTGAATATTCCAAGAGCAGAAGAATTTCATCTGAAAAAAAAAAACAAGGGAAGTTTAGAAATAAGAAAGGCAGGCTGGATTAAAGCAGTATATGACTATATCCGCGTTAACCTTTGAATACTGCTCCCACCAAGTTGATAATATTCAGATGTCGACCGGCTTTTGTCATGATTTTCATTTCTTAAATCAGTTGATTTTGCTGGAGCAAATTTGTCTGATCTTTTACACTCTTTATGGCAACCGGAGTCGGTAGCGGCTGACCTCGAAGACCTTTCGCCATTCCCTTGAGGACTTTTCCGTACTCACCTTGCCCCAAAATTTCTCCTGTACATAGCATAACATTTAACTAAGAGGAACCGCAACACGTTCCTGGGTCGAAAACTAACCAATTTCTAAGCTGGAATGGGGAATTTCAAGGGCGCTAACGTAATTCACCAGAGCACAATCTAGTTTCTGATAGATGGAGTTGGAATTGAAACGTGAATGTGCGATGCCTGAGATCGGACTTAGTGTGCTCATTTCAGAACTCGAAACAAGTCCCTGAAGTCGCTGTTTTCGTCGTCGAAAATATAAATAAGCGATCGCACTGACTATTACGGCGACGACAAGCGCCGAAACCGTTGACGCTATTATGGTCACTAGCTGACGCTTTTCAAGATCTTCTTGTGTGGCTGTCGCAAATGGCGTAGTTGCTGTCGCAGTCGTGCGTGTTTGACGCGGTATCCAAACGGAAGGGTCAATGTCGCCCTGCCTGACTATGACGTAATCAATAACCATCTCCACTGGTAAAACAGTACTTTGATCTGGGAAACCTGTCGCTTCACCCACGGTTATCTCCATCGTAATCTGCATTTCGGTTGTGGGAATCATCCTTGTATCGGTTATCCACCAAATCGCCTCATCGTCAACAAGCCACATCAATGCTGTTTCACTCCATACCAGCTTATAGATGTGAAAATCCAACGATAAGTCCACATTTCTGCACATCAGAGATAGTTTTATAATAATGTTTTTTTTGTAAAATGGCAGAACATTATTATATAGCGCAAAAGTTCCGATATTTTGTAAAATTACCAAGAATTGCCCATAAAACTTATCAGTAATTTTTAAAATATATTTGTTTATATTTTTTTCTAACTCATATAATTATCTTCTATCCTCCATAGTCTTCGATCCTCCACAGCCACCGAAGGTAATGCCATATACAGAATTATAGCCTGCTATAATTCTGTATGGTTTTTGTTTGCAATAACCACCCGTTTTAGATTAATAGCCATCGAAAAAAGATGCTCTACAGGAACATGAAGGGATGTTCTATAGTTGTATACGAATACGAGTACCTCGGATGCCACTGGTGCAATGGGTCGACATCGCCATATGCAGAGTATACGGAAGTAAGAAGTGCTTTCGAAGGCTCATGAGTCTCATCTTGTGCAATCAGAGCAGCCACGGACGGCGCATAATATTCTACACAGTTAATAATTGGTAAGCAGTAAACATTGGTCAGCCATAAGCTGGACGTAACTCCTTTTCCTCTAGCAGTTCTGACTCTCCATTCAATTTCTCCATATTTAAAACTAAAAAGGCCTCTCGTAATAAGAGCTCCCGTACTGTACCCAGAGAGATCCCGCTTTGCGATTAATCGCAAAGTTCCATTGCCTATCGCGACATTGTCTTGTATATTGTATGTTTTCTCCACCCTGCTGTCGGCGTAGATGCTGCGCGAAGATACCCACTGGGACGTGTTCAAAGTTCCGCTGCTAAAATCGTCGCGCAAAACTTCTTTGACTGTGTAATGTTGTTCTTCATCTCTATCTGGCACGTCTTCCGTAATGTCGGTATCGTCTTGTTTCACTGTTACGTAGTCGACAAGAAAATCAGTGGGCTGGACGGAAGGGTCATCCACAGTACAGAAACAGTCGTGGCCAGTGTAACCCGTCACGCCGCTCATAACAAGGTACATGTAGCTTGAAGGAACTTTCTCCGCGCCAGACACCGAGTAAGCGATCTCTTCATCAACATACCAAATTAGTGCTGTTTTATTCCACAGCAGTTTATACGTATTGTAGCTCGATGACAAATCCTTGTTCCTACAACAAGTCCAGATTTAGGAATCGCTGCAGTAAGTAACCATTACATTCATCAAATCCATTTCCAAACGAACTGCGTAATCCCACACCGTTGTTTGCACAGTTGTACTACTCGTACGTTCTGCACGATTAAAACAAACGGTTAAACTCTGCCTTATAATTTCTTTTATTATAGATATTACATAATTATGCCGAAAACATTCTCTTACACTAAAAGGCTTGTGTAATCAGTCTGTACACCATTCAGCCAATAGGACACCGACATCCAAGCATTGTCCGGGTCGTCACCGCGGACATCGGTGACACTCACCGCGGGCGGCCAGCGATCCACACAAAACTCATCTGACCGGCATGTCGTCTGGCCTAACCACAATGTCGACCGCATCTGGTGTCCTTTAGTGACTTTGGCACGCCACTCCACCTCACCGTACCGGAAGTGGAATGTGTTTTTGGTACTGATCATCAGTGCAGACCTATCAGTATCCGATACGCGATCTATTCGATTCGTAGCGGTACAGAGCGAGCCGTTTTCCACAGTAACATTCCATTGCGAAGCAGCGCGTGGAAATTCGACCAGGAGATAGGATTCTACTTTCCATTTGGACATGTCCAGAGTGACGTTGTTGAAGTCGTCACGAAAGGTTTCTTGCAGAGCCCATGTTCGTTTTATCAAAGGCGAAAAATGGTTTAAGGAAATAAACACAACCAAAAGCGGAAACAGCGTACAATGAGGCATCTTAATATCGTTGTAGTTTAATTAGAAACGTCCATTGTGATGTGACGAATAATGCGGCGGGGTAAACAGGCGCTGCATCTGAAATTATGGTGAACTAACAATATCATATTAAACACCAAAACAAGCAATGGATAAATCAATGAAAAGCTTCCGCGATACCGCTGTTTGCGTTTCTCCATCTTGCAGTGGACTACTCTATATAATATATACCTGGATCTGCTACGTATACCGTTTCTTTGTGGAACTGATAACGCCATTGCGCAACGTTAACATATCTTCGTTAATAAGCTTGCGGCCATGCTGTAACAATATGAATGCAGAACGTGCTTAACTGTATTGTGATAACCCTGACACATGCCCACAGTGTCACTGCTCTGCAAGAGCTTACGGTATGTAACAATACGACATCCCAGTTCCCAGAAGAAATAACACTCGATGTGTCGTAATCTATAATTTTAGGGACGCAGCACCTCCCGTGGGCCGTGATATTTGATAATCGGTATCACTTACACTAATATTTTATCACGGCTGACACAGCCATCGTGTGGCGTTTCGCTAGCCGGTAATTATATTAATCAAATAACTGCTGACACGAAATGTGTACAATACATATCTGTACGTATGTGAGCGCGGGCAATTTTAGGTGCATGTTGTAAGCCCGGGGAAAACTGCATCGGTCTCACACCCACCAGGTCGGGACTCTTTCTATTCCTGAAAAATATGTGCAAAAATCGAGTGCAAAGGCAGCGCAATGAAAATCCTTCTTGAAAAAATACAAATTGCCTTTATGCCAAACATACTCTTACCAAGGTTTCAAATTTTGTTTGAAAAAAACAGGTATCAATTAAGACAGAGTTTAGTTGGCAGTGAAAGTCACATCACGTGTAAATAGAAGCAGAAGAATTTCACGAAAAAGGGCACGAATCGAGCAAGACATGGTTGAGAGTCACCATCTGATGAAAACCATACGCTACATTGTTTAGTGACAAGCGCCGAATGCATCCGACAAAATTAGCTACTTTCGGAATGATATGCGCCGGAACGGAAGCCGGCCGGCCACCGATATATAGCGGTACATTATCCGGGAGTAAGAGCGGTGTCTGGGCCCGCGAATACGCATATTCATGCTGCGAGTCATCCACGTCGATGGTGATAATGTTTTGCAAATAAAGCGCCTGCAGACGATGCCACTGTCCATCGCATAAACCAGCTCCACGATCTCCGGTTATAGGGAACGCTTTCATTGCATGAAAGGAATCGGCAGGAGAGGACATATTTAAGATAACCTATGCGATGGAAAAGCGTACATTTATTGTCTACCCGGGCATAGATAACTGCAAATTTATTTTCGAAATTATTCACATTACCTGTGAGTCAATAAATTTCAACTGCACATAGAGCCGTTGGATTGGATCATAGAATAGCAGTAATTCTCCGCTCATCGCATTGGTGCGGAATTCCATTTCGATTAACAGTCGATTATTGGCTCGGAAATTATCCGCTGTGGGAAAAATTAACAATGCACTTGCAAAATCTTCCAATAAAAATAGTACTACTACATAATAACAATTTTCATGTCCAGGATTACGGAAAGATTGCAAACTGTCTTATAAACTGCGGTCCTGCGGATATCGACGCTATCTTTCCGGCCGGACACATTTTATTATACACGTGTTGGTCATTTATGCCACGATAAAAAATAACTTTTTTTAATCAGTACGAATGCAAGTATGTACATATATTTTTTAGTGAGTGTGTGATAACTGAATTTTTAATGCAATTGAGAAAGAGTACGTAGTACGAACAAACATGGACGCTGGAAGAACTCTCGCCATTTTTTCTACTTTACTCACAGAGTGTGGCATATCCATTGCCTTCGAAATACGCGGCGGCTTGCACATTAAGATAGCATTCTCCCAGTCCTCGCAATGCTTTCTCCTGGAACAGATTCACACTCCGTCCATTCCATGTCAGATTACCCAGACAGCCCTGAAATCCTCCACGATCCATAGTGGTACTGGTGATCACTTTCTCATCCAGACCTCCGATGTAGAACGGTACACTGACGACAAAACGCTTGGACAGCTTCACAAACTCTGATCGGCCATCGTCTACGCTAAGAATAATGCGCCTGGATTTGCGTTCTACATGGAAAGTGTGCCACTGCCCATCGGACAAATCGCCTTGACTAATCGCTTCCTGCAGCCAAAAATTCCCACCATCGTATACAAAGGTAACCAATCAGAATGAGGATATTACTGCAACCAGTATAACACTGCTTTTACCTGAAAATACTCATCATTAACCGCTAAAACCATACGGCCACCGCGAAGAGCTAATAACAGAGTTTCCTTTCCCGTTGGGTTGTCGGCATAGAGGATAACCCCATTTGGATGAAAATTGCGGAACGAACCGGTAAAATTAAACAACTTTACATCCTTTCGTTGTAAAAACATCTGCACGTGGCTGTTTTTTGTGGCTCCGAAACTGACTGCATTCCATTCCACCGGTGTTTTAATCAATTTTGGCGACGGAGCACAGTTCCTAGGATGACGAGATAACGCCATGGCAGACGGAAGCGGTTCAGTCAGCAAGGGTTCAGCAGTCGACGGCACTGCTGCCTCAAATTCGCACCGTCCAATCGCGGCACGGTCAAATGCTTGCAGTTGCTCGAACCCAATCAATTCTCCGCTGATAATCAACCCGGTGATGCAGCCGACAAAGGAACGCGCCGACGCCGCGATACTCGACAGATCCACATCCGACGGAACTCCTCCGACGTATATAATATCGGAGATAATATCGGTGCCCTGAATCTGCACCTTTTCCTCCTGGACCACTTGATCGTCCACGCTGATTTCAATCTTTTTCTTACGTTTACGTATGGACACGGTGTGCAGCACCCGGTCATCGTAGAAGCTTTTGTCGATGATCACCTTCAGCTTTGCCGCCGAACCGCTACTGAAGGTCAATACAATCCGTCCGCCTTGAATGGACGCGGTCCAGTAATTATGGTCACGTTTATAATTTTTGCTGACTGACGCAATGAGTAATCCATCAGCTTGACCAGTGGCAAAGGAGAAACTGATGCTCGCATTAGCCGGTAACGTTTTTCCAGGTAGTTTTAAGTAACCGGCACTGTTGCTGAAACTGACATCCCGAATCGCCCGATTACGACACCCCTGTTCCAAATCGACATGGTACACTCGACGCGACAGCAGATCAACCGTCGACACATCAATTTGAATGTCCTTCATGCAGCCGATAAATGGTTTATGGGAAATATTGTAGCGCGTTTGGAATACAAACCCTGGCGGTACACCGCCGAAATATACAGGACGGTTGGCCAATTCCAGTCCATCGGGTTTGACCTGGGGCAGACTGGCTTTGATGTGGTCGTCATCAACCCGCAGATCAGCCAGGAACTCGTGGCGCTCGGCACGAACGTTGACGAAATTACCGGTATTAAAGCGACGGTTGGTGCTCACAAGAAGATGGTTATTTCCGCCTAGATAGAACTGGAATACGACTTTTCCGTCGCGCAGTTCCAAACTGATAAAATCTCCCATCGGTTCTTTGTCATTGGCACAAAGGAACAGCAGTGCGTTCTCGTCAAAAGTGCGGAATGTCAAGAAAATACTGTAACGTTTGTTGTTGTAGCGGCGAATCTGCGGAACGCTGGCGTAGCCCCCTCCGTTAAAGGTGTACGCGCCGACTTCCCCACCGCCTTCCGATGCGCTAAATTTAATAGTCATGTTATTCATAACAACCCTTATTTTTCCATAGGATTCCGTTATGAATACCTGGTCACACAACCTGTACAGCCTTGTGTGTGCTTGAAATTCCATAAACCAATTTGTTGACCATCAATCGCAATACCACCCAGGCAACCATAGAACTCCCGAGATAAAATTTCTGGAACCTTTAAGAAAAGACACAAAATATTGCCAGTTGAAGTACTGACATGGATTAAATAATTTAGGATGCTTACGTCAACGCTGTTAGGCAAACCACCAACAAACATTTCCGAAGATCGATTCAAGTCCATTCGAGTAAAGCCAGCAGCAGAGCTCCCATTAATCAGCAATGGCGACGATTGTTGGGTTTCGGACATTGGCACCACACTCAGCTGTGCTGTATTTTTAACTCTAAATTCATCAAATCATCAGTCAAATGGCACAAAGTATCCAATAACCTAAGAAAAACTGCGCCACGTACCGTATGATTTCAATCTTGTACCACACATCTTTTTGCAACAATGAACTTTCTGTAGCACTGCGCTGGTCAGGTGGATGCTGAATGACTTTTGTGTCGTTCCCCACATTCCATACGAAACGCACTCGCCGTTCAAAAACCTCAACCGCCATGAAATCTGGTTCCTAAAATAGAATAAATGTTTACTGCAGACAAGCAGCTGATCACGCGGGCACCGGTGACCTCTGTGTGACTTATACTCGTACTAACCAGAGCTAAACTCTTAGGATTGCCAATGTACATCAGTAACGCATTTCTTTCCGGTACAGATGTGGAATACGTTAATGTGATCGTATTAGCTGAGCTGGGAATAATGGGTGGCTCGTATGAACGTCGACACATCCCGTTGGCATCGTGGCTCAAAGAGATCTGCAGACTGGAAGCTGCCTGTTTTGTCGACAGAATAAGATTACGTAGTCGTTGAATTTTGCCGGCCATGTCACGGTGAAGACTGTCCAGAGTTTTGGTCATCCCCTCCAGCAGCGTCGTGTTACGACTGAGATAGTCCACATTAGAACCGACCTCTTTCACTGAAAAGCAGTAATTTAGAAACAACATCCATACAAAAGAAACCACGAGTGTTTCTACAATGAAACGGTTAAAATCTCACCGATTTTTGCTGTGCGATTCAGCGACACAGGATCTATGCCTTTTTGGTCAAACCGCGGTCGTAGATGCACATTTACATCGGTTCCAACAGCATCGGCGCGCTCCAGTAGCTTATTGGCTGCTTCCGATAGATCGGAAATGTTGTCGGCTAATTGCGCGATCTCATCACCCAGCACTGAAAAGATCAATACACCTCTACATAGTCACGATCACAGCACTAGCATGGATTACATGAGAATATTTTACTTGGAAGGTTAAACAGACGATCGCCGATCTTATCCATTTCCAGTGCTGTTCGTAAATTACTGGCGTTGACTCCATCCAGTCGACCGAGTTCCTCGTCCAACTGTTCAGCTAAAGATGACACACTATCTTCTAGCAGTTCCCTGGCCGTTTCCTCCAGCTCCTGGCTCTGATTTATCATCTGGTGCGCAGTGACCCCCAGTTCCCGTTCGTCATCGGGAAAGACAACAGCCTGTACTTGGTCGGCGTTTAACTGGGCTTCCGCAGTGTCATTCTGTGCTTGGCGGATATTGTTAATGATTGTGGCGTACACGCTGGCCGCACGAATGGGATTTTTCGTTGCTTCTTTTGATTCCTCGAATAAGCTGGAAAATAGTAGCGCAAAATTTCAGCATGACAAAACAAAAACGAAAAATTTAGATCGGCTAGAAAAAAAACAGTAATTAAAATTGGTTTACCTGGCTAACATGTCGGCCTTGTCGACCAACATTTCTGAGTGCTGTAATGCCGGGCCCACTAGCGATTCTTTGTACTCGGGATTCAGAAGAGCCAATATACCGGAATTGTTGTTCATTTTTTCCAATGCCAGCCGGAAATCTTTTATCCTTGTGCGAGCATCCTAAGGCAGCACATATTGATGTAGCTTTATTCCAAAAGCAAAGGTCAAAAAACAGATAATACATTACGAATGACGACAGACAAAATGGACAGCTGATTTGCCCCGAAGAATGTTTCAGGAAAGGAATAATTGAGGGTAGTCTCGTCCCACAGGAGTAGTGACTGAACAGCGCAAGCATGGGTAGAGAAAGTGCTCGTATTAGCCAGAAAGAGATGTGAAATACAAACGCGACCAAATGTGCACACGGAATAAGAAAAGACACTTATCAAATTCAATGAATACCTCAAACGTGCGCGTGGCATTGCGATAATTATTTGAAGCTTCCTGTTTTTTCCGAATGCTTTGCTCCAGCACACCGGCAAGAGAGCTGTTGACCGCCTTGAAAGACTGACTATTTTTGTTAATATTGGCGATTTTGCGTGCATTTGTAGCGGACATTCTCCGGGCAACGCGGATGGCGGTTTCGGTGTCTTCAGTCAGAAACTTGTCCAGTTGTTCTAGCTTGCGTCGGATCTCCTGAAAACTGCGACGAGCCGCATGAACGAGCTCACCGCCGCTTTCCAATGCTTCGATTTCTGACAAAGTCGCTTGAAGGACGCTGCAACATTCAAATACATAACACTGAACGGTCATCGCTTGCAGCTTTGATATGTTGCACGACGCAGTGTGTGTAAGCCCGTGCAATGAATTCCACGTGGTCAATACACGAGTTCAAGTACCAGCTTGGTGAACTATACCTCCAGTTTCCTACTGCAGAGACGTTGTTGAACTTGTACGTATCGTTTGCCAAATTTGCGAGAATGTTTTCCGCCTCCATTACGATCACCTCCACATTCAAGCTACCCTGGGAGTCTTCGCTTCGAACGTAATCCAACAAAGTACTAGCTAACTCTGAAAAGAAGCAAATGCGATAAATTATGCCACTCTTGCAATATCACCCATTGTTCTCTTAATGCACTTACGGCGGATTTTTTGCTCTATGAGCGGAACATCCATACACACGGTTTCAATATTTTTATTAGCCTGGCGACCAGCGCTCTTCGCCTGGATGGCCTCGCTTGCCGACTTGTTGGCCTTTTAATTATAACAAAACTCAGATGAATTCTTTTTCCAAAACTGAACATTATAAAACCTATACCATAAGCATAACGCGACGAATATCCCGTTCTAGGTCGAACTGCAGTTCCAGTTGAGGAAATGAGGATGTCAGACTGCCATCGGGACTCAAGCTGCTCTTCACAAAAATCTGTGATAATAACAAATTTCATTAGACCGTACAACCAACATAATGCTTTTAAGATAAATCATTGTTAGTAGAAGTTTACATCAAGCTGGTCATGGCGATCCTGAAGCCGGGCCAAACGAATTAGTGGCGCGCGGCTAAAGTCAGTGGAATTCGCTATCTCTAAATTGTAATCCATGTTCCCAAATTCCTCCATCATGGTTTTAATGCAGGAATCATGCATACAATCTGCACAATACGATAAAAATGTTGGACAATTCACTTTCGTGTATAATGGAAGAATAGTTCAATTAAACAAACATTCTTACTGATGCATCCAGCGGAAGTTATAACGTGACCTGCTTGACACTTTCCACAATCTCGTCCCTGCAGTCCACCGCGACATTGACACTGTCCGGATACAGGATGACAGTGTCCATTCAGTGCTCCAAACAGATTACAATGACATGGCGTACATGGAACGCCCTCTTTTGGATTCCCATAAAATCCGCGCTCGCAAGTGTCACATTTGTCGCCCGCGAAACCCACTTGACACCGGTCACACAGATAGTCGTCGGCATCACCATTTCGGAATAACGTACACGACTCGCTGTAATTATGTTCCAACGAGGGACATGCACAGCGCTTGCAGGGTTCGGAACCGGAACGCTTGGGATCGCCATAATAACCCTTCGCACAACGCTCGCAATGGTCACCCGCGGTATGACGTTGGCATTTGATGCATCGTCCGTTCTCGATATTACACTGGTCGGAATGATTCCAGCACATACATTTGGCAGCTTCTCCTAACAGCTTCAAGTGGTCCGGATGATCCAAGAAGTCCAAGGCGTATTTACGGAAATATCCCAACGCCGGCGACTGACAGGATGTCCCATTGTATCCTAATGGACACTGGCACATTTCCACCCCGAGAGCCATTCGGCCGTTATCGTTCGGTCCGTTTCTCGGACTGGCTACTTCCATTTCCACGTCCCGGATTTCCATATGGACCGGAAACGGCATTGTATTGCCACGGATAATCAGATGTTGAATATTCTGCAGTGCCACCATTAACAACTCGCGCGTAACGGGTAAATGCGGCGACTGCCGGTTGGTCCATTTGGTTTCGTGAAAATGGATCTCATATGAACCGCGATCATTTTCCCGGTGTGACTTATAATCCAGAATTATTCGATTGTTTCCTTGCAGCAGAGCTAACGGAAAACCGGATAAAGTGCCGCGTGTTTTTCGGGTTTCTTCGGAATATTCCACGGAAAGCTTAAACCTCAGTTTGCCATTATAAGCCAAAATTTTATCCCCCAAAAACTGGTGTGGAAGATTCCAGTAGCATGGCGTCTGCGGATACTGCCTGGGCAAAAGCAGTGTGGAAGCGGCTTCGAAGCCAACAACGTCCATTGCCAAAGTACGATTCATCGGAGCGTTCTTAATATGATCGGAGAAGGAGATGTCTAGTTTGTTGCCGTAATGCGTAATGGATTTCCACACCAATGTGGCCTGATGACACCGATTGGTTCTCCCGGAACAGAAACATGTTGTACATCCGTCCGGTGTGTCCATGCTCAGTGAGAAGCTTCCGGTTTTGCACTGATCACACTGCCGACCAATTACATTCTTCCGGCATGAACACTGACCATTCTCTTCCTTGCAGCCACATTTTCCGTCACGGCAGCTCTCCATATCCGTTCCGCTTAATATACACCCGCACTCTTGACATTTCGGGAATCCATACCATCCCAGTTCACATTTGTCGCACTGTTTGCCCTCGTATCGACCCAGACACTGACAATCACCGGTGACCACATCGCATTCCTTTGATTTCGCTCCGACCGAACTGCAGTTGCATGGTTTGCATCCCAAGAACGGGTGGTAGTCGTAACTATACGGACCACATCGTTCACACCGCTCACCCACCGTGTGCGGGGGACACACGCATTCGCCGGTGACCCGATCGCAGACTTGGCCCGGCGCACGGCACACCGGGCATTTCGTGCATCCATTCGCTGAAAGCCCATAATAACCCACTTGGCATTCGGAGCACCGTCGACCGGTAACCCCCGCTTTGCACCCACATTGCCCGGAAATGGGATCGCACGATGGATCGACGGATCCCATGCTGTGACATGAGCAGCCAACACAGCCCTTCCCCGACGTGATATCCCAGAAACCATCCACGCAACGATTGCATGTACGGCCCACAACGTTGGGCTGACAGTGACATTGTCCATGTATTTGCTCGCAAGTCTGGTTGACCGACGCGGTTTGCTCGCATCCACACGGACGACATCCCGAAGCGGAGAAACCATAGTAGCCTTCCTGACAGCGCCGACAGTGAACGCCAAAGACACCCGGCAGACACTGACATTGCCCGGAGATGGGATCACATTCGGAGGAAATGGAGCCTGTCATGTCACAGTCGCACGGCAAGCATCCTTCGGTAATCCGTCCAAACCCCCGGCCGCAGCGATCACATTTCCGGCCTTCGTACCCAGGTTTACATTGGCACTGTCCGGAGTATTTGTCGCATTCGGTCTGCTCCGAGCCGATAGGACTGCAGTCGCAAGCCCGGCAGTCGTGGCGTAGAGCACTCCCGTAGTAACCGGTCTCACACCGTTCACAGTTGAATCCTTCGGTATGGCCGACGCATTTTAGACATTTTCCGGATAATCGTTCGCAGTTACCCAAGGCCGCTGAATCGATATTACCATTGCAGTCACAAGGCTGGCAAAAGTTACCCGGTACAAGAGGATTACCGAAATACCCATCCGCACACCTACCAATGCCAATACAACACACTATCAGACTGCTAACACGATTCTAATTTACGATCTTTTGCTTACATTTCGCATTTAGCGCCGACATAACCAAAAGGACAGTTCGTGCAGACGTAATCATCAGGCAGTGTCAGGGACTTTCCAGTCATGCAAGTGGGACTAAAGTTGTTTGTGGATAATAATGAAGGACAAGCGCATGGTTTACAAGCTTCGGGGTCACCGCTTTGAGCGTCTCCATAATAACCAGAGGCACAAGTTTCGCAGAAGAAACCTAATAAAATTGAAAATTTTAGAAAGTTTACGGACTTTGATTGCATTATTCTTAAAAAACAAATATAAACGCGATCCGGATCCAATAATGCGTTTATATAAAACTGTTTTTACATAGGGTAATGTTACAGAAACGCATACCGGTAGTGTTATGTTGGCAATCTCGACATTCTCCAGAGGATGGATCGCAGTGAGAAGCATGAGCATAGCACTGACATGGCACACAGATGCCATTATACAACGTACTATTAACCCTGCGATGCCCAGCAGTGCACGTCTCACAGGACAGACCGGAGTATCCCGCCGGGCAGGAACATTCTTCCACCGAGGTTAATCGGAGCCCTTCTCGTGCATTCCGGTCAGCCTACAGAAACATTTTTATAACATCGCAAAAAGCAAAAACAGTAGGTATAAAATTAATACAAATGTGCAGCACAGTTAGGTGCTTATTTCCGTATTCAGTGCCTTTACTCGTTCGCAAAAAATGATCCTTGTGTACGACTAGATGCCAAAGCACAAACCTGAGATATTGCAACCATAAGCAAACGCGATTCTAGTTGCCTGGTATGGTAAGTCCCGCGAATCATCAACTTCTCCACATTGGCCAACACTGTCATGAAAATCTCCTTCGACACACTTTCCGACAGTATCCCATTCAAACTGACGTGGTTCCACCCTTGTTCCTGCAGTAGGACCGATAGATGATGTGGTGTCGATTCACGGAAAAAGCGCTCGCCTTTGCCAATGCGCATTCCGTTGCCTTCCATGATAACATCCACATCGGCGGTATAGCTGCCAGTCAGATCTCCTCGACCTTTGATAAACGTGATGGAATAGTCCAGTTTGCCGCCATAACTGACTAAACGATTACCGCGGTATTCCTTCGGAGCTAACCAGTAAAACACATCCAATTCATAAGAATCGTCGGCCACAATAACCGGTGTTCCATTTAAGTACGTTGGGTAAAGGATCCGAGAGCCGGTTATATCGGTAAGAATCCATCCGTCTAGCGTAACCGTTTTGGTCACGTTCCCGTTTACACTCTGACACACATCCGTCACACCGAAACAAAAGCATGGGGAACATCCCTGCGGATTGGCGGCATCCAGGTTGAAGAAACCTTCCTTACAGCGCTCACACCGACTGCCTTCGACATTGTCCTTGCAGATGCATTCGTCGCCACATGCTTCCCCGTTCTTGCTTCCGGCGTAACTGCATGGACATGGTTCGCATCTTGGATAATTTCGGTAGCCGGGAGCGCAGTGGTCACAACTGTAAACGATTCAAGGAAAATTAATAGAATGACCTTTGCGCCATCAGGACACTTTTTACCAAGTTTATTCATTAAGTGGTTTGGAATTTCCATTAACAATGTTAAATTATTTTTTCAGCAGGTTTAAAATTGAGTTAGTTATGTTAACACGTAAATAAAGCAAAATTCATTACAATCCATTTTACCGTGGTCCTCCGAAGCCTTCCAGACAGACACAATCTCCCGGCTGCAGATCGCCAAACATGGCCTCTTCGTTGGCGATGCACTGTCCGGTCGTCCCGATTCCCGCCGTCTCGCATTCACACGGCAAACACCCGATCGGATTAAACTTATCCACCCCCAGCGGCCGGAAGAATCCGTCCTTACATCGTTCACAATTCAGTCCGGTGGTATTATGCTGACAATCCAAACAAACCCCACCACCTTCATATTTGCCGGTGATACTCAGGCTCTGACGGGACTGCGCCACACCGTAATCATACACACATTCATCGGCATGCCCGTGACACTGGCAGCCTTCGCACACCGCGGCGTCATCCACCGTGCCGGGTTTCCAGGGTTTTTGGTTGAAGAGCGGACAGCAGCGCTCGCAACTCTCTCCGCATGTGTTGTGAGCGCACCGACAACGAGCCACGCCTTCGGAATCGGTGGGACAATCACGAGCGTGCCCCGAACAGATGCACTGGCCGCCGATGGAGATATCTTTGATGGAATAGAAATACTGTAGCCAAAAAAACACATAATGATTTCTTTTACTGGGCCACGTTCTTTTAACTCTTGCGCTAAAAACATGGCAAATAGACAAAATACACGCAAATCAATGTAATGTATATGTAATCAATTGTACAATGCAAAATTGTAGTTATAGTATTTGATAATTCGAGTTCATGATTTAAGTACTGATCTCGCCTTTACCTAAGAAAAATAAATAGATAAGATAAATAAGAAAATTTTTAAAAATAAAAATTTTTTCTAGTGACTCAAAACCACATACACGTCGAGTTTCCGAAGAATCCAGCACGCGCTTCGAATTAATCTGCCGCATAAGATCGGCCGTCAGAGTGTGCAGACGCACCAGCCGCAGTCGCACGTAACGAGCTACCGTAAACTCCTGTAAAAATATTGCCGCTCAATTTCTGACTGCTCAAACGCTGCAGAGTCGAAACACTGTTGTTTTCACCGTTAGTGCTTTGGACGCTCCATCTCCTGCCGTTCGATCATTAATCAACGACGTGTGAATTTCTCCATCTTCCAGCGGATGAATTTTACTGAAGTCCGTCGAACAAATGACCTGGTCATCACTGTCGAAGCGCTTCCTTCCCGACGTCCCGGGAACGCCGAACAGTTCCTGGCATTCTTCATCATTACGCGCAAAGTACTGCCACGGATGGTACGTTATGTTGTCTAAAGAGCGCGCCAATTCCCATGCAGCCGGACGCGGGGAGTTGGCCACTTTGACAATGATGTAGGCCACTTGATAGCGCTGAAGCAGATGAGATTTCTCAGTTAGCTTACAGACTGTACAGTCTTTTGAATACGTCCGGATGTGCAAAATCTACCTGGCGAAGATCAATGGTGATGGTGATATATTCGTACACATTTCCGTTGGCCACACTGGGGCTTTGCCACCAACGCGGTGAACCGTCGATGGCATTCTCGATAGTATGGCGCTGTGCGGGATCACTGCTGTTAGCGTCGCAGATTCCGCATTGAGGTGGTCTGCAGTGCAACAAAGTACTGGTTGGCGCGCTTTTACACAACTACAATTCTCCAAACAAAGCTTAAGCGGGAAAGAAAATAAAATATAGCTTTAAATATGAAAATAAGGATTAGTTCAATTTTATGGCGATAGTTTATGCACGAGGTAGTTCATATGACTGTTATTATAGTCATACTTCATAAGCACGTGTTCCACCAGTTTACAGTACACTTCCGGTCGTTCCAGTCCACAAGTCGCATTGGTGGTCGCGCGTGCATTTGCAGCCAGGTTAAGGATTACCGGGAATAATGGACCTCGTGCTACGAAATCGGAAGATCCATATTTACAAACATCACCGTATTCGTTTGTGAGGAGTGAACTAAATTTCGCTGGATTGACTAGCTCGCAGCCTAACACTACTTACTTACTTATTTACGTGTAACATATAAATGTTAACTATTTAGCAATGTGCGCTTACACCAGTTATTACGTGGGCGGGTAATGAATGCTATTTCCCACAAGATTAATCTATGTATCTACTTATTGTTATCAAACGTTGCTATATGTAAATTTTATTATCACAAAAAAGCATAAAACCACAAGAAATCTTGGCGGCATGCTGCTATCGACCAACTAAGTATCGGGCTTTTGGAAAAAATCATTAAATTTTGTAAACATGGGCTGCCAATTGCATGTTCTGTAAGACACAAAACAATGGATTTGCAGATCGTACGTATGACGTACGACTACGAATGCAAAAACTGAATGCTTTTTAATTTTTTCCGACGAATTCCAGATTTTCTCATAGCAGCTGCATAATGCAAATCGGAACATTGAGATGTGATTGTTATTGCTTCAAAACCAGCTCGCGAAACTGACCACACGTGCAAGAATATTAATCGTAACAATTGATATTTACGATCTTAAGAGTTATCAATAATAAAATAAATATGACTGTAGTAGTTCATAACTTCATACGCATCAAATTTTAATGCATATGCTGTATGTACTCTGTACAGCAGTAATAATTTTCGATTTGAACTATCCGGCTGGTCAACTGCATCAACTGAATCAAGCACTTTGTAGCGGCGATAGCCGTAGTGGACGTCGATAGTTTAATGATGTTTAAGTTCCAATTGCACGCCGCAGATCATGAGAATTCTCGTCAGATTGTTAAGACAAATATTTCCAGAGCAAACAAGACATATTGAAATACCGTGGAGCGGCACTTCTATTTGACGCATGCAATATTCAAGCAAGTACTCGACTTTGGTTTCTATAACATTCAGATACAACACTCGTGGCGGTCAAATGGCTACAAAAATGTAACAAAAATTGCCCTGATTGAAGAAAGGCTGCTGAATTTCTTATCATTAAAGCAGACAAAAATTTAAGCACATTAATTAGGTTTTCACGGAAAACAAATGCCAGTTTTGCCACTGTTTGTTCTCTTTCAAGTAATTTTTTATATTCGCGTATATGTACTCGTATAATCTTCGTATAAATACAATATACATACTTATAGCTTTATTTTCTCTTTACCAAAATTCACAGTGCGTAGCTTCGGTTAATACTAGTACTACGCTATTCTTGCGACTGATTTATATTTTTTTATTTTTGCCGGTGAAACAAAATTCATATTGTAAGTGATTAAAGTTGCAAGTTGCGGCCAAAGCAAAAGCATAACAAAAAGTCTGCGCTCCTGAAAATGTCAATCTCGGCCAGTATTGGAATCAGACAGCTTTGAAACAGGATAAGGAAATGGACTCCCGAAGCGTAATGACAAGAATGCTGTTCATGTTATTACGCTGACAAGCCCTGACGATATACGAGTATGTTGAGCACAGCTGTATTCTCCAGAAGCATGACAATCGCCATGACCGAAATCACTCGATCGACGATTTGCCGGATAATCCTATTAAGATGCACTACTTATCTCTAAACCGTCCCAGTCTCCCTTACTGCTCCCGCCGTCCCGGTTCGGCCGTTAAAGTGCTCGACATACAAACAAGAATTCAATCTTCTCTCATGTATCAGCTATGTTTTATGAGCGGATGTATACATGACATCTCAATATACAGTTAACGATACAGATTGTTTGTAGCGGCACATTTGTTCATTCCTACGTAAAAATTTTTTCATGGTGAAATCATATTATTTGCAAAAAATACTGAAAAGCAAATTTCGTCACAGTTTTGTTGTAGGTTTACAGACGCTCGTTAGCAAATTTCAACAGCTTAATTGGCTAACAGCGGCAAAGCACTACTTGAGCGAGGCAAAATGAACCGGTAATTTAATGACCAATGTGTAATGGATTCCAGCGACCAGAAACAGCTGCAGGTCACAAACAATGCTTGCATGATCCATTCAAAGGAAAATGCGTATCAGAACAATTGTATCCAGCCATAAAGCAATATATTTGTAGTCCGATAGCTGTCAAGATAAGCACAACTGCACGGGGATCGCTTTTCCATTCAATCGACTGGAAAGAATGCTCACACAGAGCCTATGGACAGTGTTTCTTATCATTAAATGACCGTCCACGGGACAGGTAATTGATGGGTTACCGGGATTAAAGAGCGTGAGAATTGCTACTTGCTGCATCAGACATTAATGACGAATTGCAAACCTTTTCAAAGGGAAGGCATATAAACTAGGGGTAACTGGTGATTTCGTTTTATTGTATGCGCATAATATAATTACCTTAAAGCTGTGGAAGTACAAACCGCAAATTATGACCCTTGGAGTTGTAAGCTCGCTGAATTTGTGTTTAACGATATTAAAGGCCTCAATATCAAATCGAAATAGCAAAATAATTTAACTAGTGGATGTAATGTGTGTCACTGCGTTTAAATATAATATATTCCATGTTTTCCATGCATGCGTATGATTAAGGAGAAGCGGGAAAAAATATGTTGTACCTTCCTCCTCGTTATTCGAAAAAGGAAATCGCATGTACTCCAACCGAGGCTGCAGGGCAGCATCGATTTGTCCATGACTTTTGGATAAGAATAACACAGGGATTAGCAGAAAGGCTATAGTCCTGATAATGCAGCAAGGAAAAGTAATCCGCCCTAATATCTTCATGCCGCATAATCGATCAAGTCAACACGGTGATGCTTAATTAAAATTCAGGATGGATTTACTGCGCAAATTGTCTCCGTTTATGTTTGCATCCATAACTGCTTCGTGAGCCAGCTAGCAAATAACATTTCAATCACTGTAGATGCAAAGATGCCGAATCAAACCGGCGTCGTTAAATCCAGAACAATGATACTTCTTCGATTATAACAATGCAAAACATGTACACATACAAATACAGACTGTATATGCACCAAAATACGATAGATATAATATTGTGCAATCGCAGCTGTCAGTAGGAGATCATAATCGCGATCAGGAAGTTTATTTAGGAAGAAGAGTATCCTCTTGTCAGGATCAGTACGCATGTACTGCCGCCGCCGAAATGAACGTACGCTTTGTGAACTACTTACATAGCTAATGCCGTGGTAAATGTAGCGGAATGTTGCGGTCGATTGTTCAATGTGAATGGTCAATTTGCCGAATAGCACATAAAGGCAAACCAAGGAACTTCGGAATTCCTTCATGGTCTGACCACACCCACCGCAACGCTTTCTTACTGTATTATATGCTCCCTATGATTTCTACTCTCTGCCCATGGTATATGTACTAAACAATCGTGAGCAAAAGATATTCCGCTTTCCATATAATTGGAATAATTATGCCTGCCATTCCCGCTCATTGTCTGATTATGAGTGTCATTATTAATACGTAGATATACATGCAGCACTCGTATCTGTACATATAGCCGCAGCAGAGAAGACATATCTTTTTTGTAAATTTCTGGTTGAATCTTTACTGATTACGACCGGCGCATGCAAGGATATGCAGCAGTTTATAAAATTATTAGTGCGGTAAAATAAATAGCAGCTTTCTTTTTTCTCGTGTTATGAATTCTTGTTTCTTCATTGGCTTTCCACATTCTGCAAGCTTGGAAACATGAACCATAGCGCGCCCCGTTAATTTGACCATTCTGGTTGTGTATTTTGATTCGGTACGGGAACTTCTTTTATAACATATCCTAATGCATCTCTTCAATTGAGCAAACATTATGGCAAGGGATGTCAGATTTCTGAAGTACGTTTTTGTAATACTGTAATTCCTGGAAAGAGACGATAGCTGCGCCAACATATTTAATTGAAGTATTTTATTTCGCCGTTCAATGCTATTTGCTGCGCGCAAAACGCAGTACAAGAATTTGGCCAAGAATTATAAAAATAATGTACTATTTAATGTAGCATTATAAATTGCTTTGTGGCGTTCATATAATGAACATCAGCATGACCACACCAGGAGACTATATAAAGCAAACAGCAGTTCTGCAAAAGTATAAATGTGAGATATATGAAATTAGAGCATCTGGTACATCGGACTATGCAAACAAGCTGTACAAATTTAGATACGTGTCGCCGGATACACGGACTGCGGAGTAAGACCAGCCTCGCGTATTTCCCGTCCCGCTGCCGTCTGCACTTCGCCCTTGCTGATGGTGGTGCCGATGGCCGAGTCCACCTTGACATCGATGTGTGTCTCCATCTTGGCCTGTTCCAGCGCCTGTCGTGCCGCTTCCCGCTCCTTCTCCAGCGCACGCATAGCGTATTCGGCTTCCAGCTGAATTTCGTGCTGCTGACGATCCACCGCGGACTCCACCATATCCTTACGGAATTCGATATCCCGGATATGTTGGCGTTCCAGCGTCCGGCGGATCAGCTCCGCATCGGCTTCCACCTGACTGCGGTACATGGCCGCTTTCTGGGCCGTGTCCATCTCGTGCTCCCGGGCCAGATCTTCAATGCGGGCACGATAGCGCTCATACTCTTCCGGCGACTGACCCTGCAGTTGAGTGTTGGCCAAAAGGTCAATGTTGGTGGAGGCATGGATTTCGGCACTGGTGCCGCCGCTGCCCTGGGCCAGCAGATCGTGGGTCACACTGGGAATGGGCGGGGCTACCATGGGTCCGGGAATGATGATCTCTTTGTCGTTGGTATAGGTCACGCCCGAGCGGACATGCTCCATCTGGGCGGTCTCCATACGCTGCACCGGCACGGTGATCACGTCGATGCGCTCCTGGAAACGCGCCGGCGCCGCCGAGCGAAGAATTTCCGTCTTCTCGATGACCTCACGACGTTCACCAGGAATGATGATGTCGGCTTCCTGGCGGTACATCGGCGCGCGGTTCATCTCCACGGCCGGTGGAATGTTCGGAACGGAGTGGATTTCCGAGCGGCGCTCCGAAATGTAGCGCTCCTCGCGGTTCAGCTGCGGTAAGTTCTGGAGGTTCTCGATGCCTTGCTGGACGAAATTCACTTCCCGTCCCAAGGCCGGTGCTTCCTGGCGGGCAATATTGATGCGATCAGCGGTGCCGGTCGTGCGTTCGGAAGCACGGGAGATGGAGGACATGGATGACACGGAGGAAGCCACCGACGCGGTGTCATCCGATGTTTGTGAGACGGAGCGCTGCGAGTAGCGCTCACTGGCCGGCGTAGAGTTGATCGGTGGGATTCCATCGCGATCGCGCAAAGTGTCCTCCCGTACCACGGTCTTCTCCTGGATCAGCGATGGCTCACGGGAGGCACGCTGTGTCTGGCTCACCGTGGTGTTGTCGGCAAAGTAGTTCTGGATACCTTCACGTTGATTGGCCACGGAGTCCAGTTCGTGGATTTCCGGGACGTATCCCACCGGAGCACCCGGGACCAGTGCCGGCGGGCGCTTGTCCTTGAAGTTCATTCCGGGATCCTCACCACCGCGGTCGACACGGACATCGCGCAGTTCCGCGTTGCCGTTACCATCCACATGGATCTCCTCCACGCGTTCGTACTTGAATTCCTGGGCGTGCTTGTCGGTGGTGGGAAGGTCATGGCTGCCGTAGCTGACATGGTCACGTGAGACGTCGCGGCTGCCTAAGCTATCCCGGTCGCGTTCCACGGCAATGTCCCGCTCGTCGACAACGATGTCGTCCTTATGCTTCTTATCCTTCTTAGATCCGAAAAGAGGCATTTTCGTCAAAAGAGTTTAATTCAAAGTAAAAGAAAACGTATTCACGAAGAACAGTTAATAAGATTCAAAAATTGTTTTGTTGCGATTTGATGGCGTTTTAGTGTCGCATGCTTGCTTATATACATTTGCCATCAACTACCTGCCGGAGTGGTACGCATGGTAATTTGTTACCCATGGGAAAAAGAAAAATCCTAGAGTGCCGATAGGTATAACAACTTACGGCGAAAACAACTGTTAGACAGCGCGGCGTACAAAGTGCATAATGGAAAAATCTGTACAAGGTACAAAGTGTCAAGCATTAGTCCGCTTCGTGAGCAAGCATTTCATAATCCCGCCTACGTGTTTTGGTTTGCCGTACCGCCAATTTGCTGGTGGCCGCACTTGCCTTTATGATGAATCGGTATACAGTATTTGAGCTGGTGAGTGGCATTTCGTTTGTCTGCATGGTTTTTTTTGCTGACGGATGATATCATGGAATTAAATGTGTATAGAAAATCTTCGTGAGTAATGAGTACTGCGAAAAACAAGTGGCTCAAGTGCACAATGGAATTAACCACATCGTTCCCTATGGTGCGGCCCTTGATGAATTACAGGAACACCTGTCTGACGTTTGACACCTCTTATGAGCAGTAATAACTCTGCAGAACACAAAGAATGATACAACGAATTTAACTGTGGCCAAAAATGGACCAAACATGTAGCTTGTGTAAGAAAGCGTATAGTATGCACTAAACACATCGGAAGAACAATCGTTTGGACTCTTCGAATTTGCAAAAGTCAAGTAATGTTGACCTTAATAAGAGTAATTACGAGTAGATAATTAAAGTAAAATTACCAACTAGGTGTAATCAGTAAATTCTCTTTTAAAAAACAATCGGTTTGTCCCTTGCGTACTTTTGACTTCAGGTCCAGTTTTGCCTTTTGTAAAGGCTAGTTCTACAATGCGTATAATTTTTTATTGACTGCCTGAAATGCAGCTAGCATCATAATGGGTACGATATACTTGTATCGCATATCCACAGGAAATTATTGTTGCAAACCATTTTTCTTCCTAACCGCTTGCAACAGAAAGTGACGTTCTTAATTCTTATAATGGCTATATATTCCCATACGTAAGTAACATTTGCATTATGTGATAATAATTTCACCTGATTTCAAATATTTCGTGCTTGACACATCGCAAACAAAGCAGCTGGTACATATGTTTCCAAATAATACTTACAGCAACTGCATTCAAAGTTATGGAGTGCCATTTAATTTTATTATGTGATTTTTTACTGCAGCTGTTTGCTGAAGTTTCGTTCCACAGTATGGCTGTACCATAAATCCATGACATTACCAGAACAGTCCATAATTCAATGATCCACAAAGCTAGGCTCCAACTATGGCGTTATTATGTATCTTGTCACAACGTACAGAGTACTTTAATTCAACAGTCAAAAAAATCTTTTATGGCACGAAAACTTTTATTTTGAATCGGAAAATAACACCGCTGGAATACTGGATCAGGTGAAAATTTACATTATTACACCTTGTACTTCTGATCGCAAGAAAATTTACAAGCAGAGACAGAGGGCAGAGTCAGACCATCAAAACAACAATTTTACTGCGTGTAATAAGTTGCTTTTTAATAAGCCACAGATTGCGAGGGCTAACGCAGCGTTTTTGTTCGTCAACTCGTGGCATGTTTATATATGTACACAATTGAGATTTTTTCATAATAACTTATAACTTGGTCCCCAGCTCCCCATCCATTTAATTGTTCCTAAACCCTGCTTTCATCAGGCGCGGCCTCTTCAAACTTTTTCTTGGTGGTGGCATGACCCATGTCATCCTGCACATGTTCTTCCGTCTTGGTCACTTTGCGTCCATCGTCTTTGACCTTCTGTTCGGTTTTTGCGGAGTACTCTGGATCGCTCTTACCGGTCGGCATATCATGTATACTGGTTTTTTCGATCTTATTGGCAACTTCTTGGTCGGAAGCACGGCTTATATTGGAACCCGATCGAATGGACGCTGTATCCGGTGCTTTGCTGGTGACGCGCTCATGCACCTCTTTTGTCCCGGTGGCACCGGGTAGAGCTTGTTGGGAGGTGCGACTTATATTAGAGCCGGATTGCATGGAAATCGAGTCGGGACTCTTCGTGATATTCTCGACTTCCATCTTTTTCAACGTATGACCGTTGTTGGGCAGATGACCGACAATCACGGCATCGTGAGATTCGCGACTGTGAATGCTGTCCTCTTCGGAAATAAACGGGCCTGGGATATTTTTGGGGACTTCCGGTGCGGTTCCGCTTTCGGTTACCGATGACGGTACTACACCTGTTAAAGAAATTAATTTAAATTCAATCCATACTTACGCTTTCTCTACGCCGTACAAATATAATATATGTAGTTGATGACTAACAATAAGCAAAAATCACGGCACAAGTGCGGTACATGTATTTAGTGGTTAAAACTTAACTTCGCTTACCAATAGGAACTCCTGGAGGTACATCTGGTCGTTTATCCTTAAAATTCATTCCTGGATCTTCTCCGCCGATATCCTCTCGGATATCTACCACTTTTGCATGTCCGGACGAATCGACTTTGGCTTTCTCGACGCGTTCATATTTGAATTCTTTCCCTTCCGGAAGTCCGGCTGGATTGAGATTCACCGCATAACTCGGGGCAGTTGCATTCGCCATTCTTTTTGCGTATATGCTGTTACTGATTTGAAATGCTAATCTAAAGAATTAATTGAAGCAATAATTAAGTACTTTCGTGAAAGAAGAATTTTCAAACAGACGTTTCGTACTGAATATTTTCGCATTGAACCGAGGAATCAAACACGTTATAGTGGCCCAAAAACGCTTTATTATCAACACCTAGCGGATGGCCGTGGGCTGCATTAAGTCACGGTAGTTGCCGTATTTTTATGTATTTCGGCAACTTCACATTTTTGTGATAGAACGTGGTTTTCTGGGGTAATTTCACGGCTTAGCTAGCATGTTGTACGGATTGTATGGGCAGTGTCAAATAATTGTATAATCCCAACTTTTGTGTTATAAAAGCCAGCGCGTTATTGTTTCGTTAAAAGTTAAAACTCGTTAACTGAATTCTCCGTTTAATTTTAGCAAGCACAACACATGTATTACTGACATTTATTATCATAATCAAAGGATTACTCAAAATATATTTGAAATTTTCAAAATATTATTCAAGTCCGTGGTACATTAATACGTTGTAAAGGTACAAATTCCACTTGTTAAAACATGGACGTCAATGCAATCCGTGCTTGACATTAAAGCATCATCGTGTGCGAATATAGACATACAGAGTAAATAATGAGTAAACAGCAATTGTAATAGTAATACAAAACGTAACATTTTAGCTTCGATACGCAAGTAGCCAACACGAGTCAACATAGTAGAAACCGACAAAGGGGTAGCTTCATAGATAAAGGTTTCGTCTTCCTGTACAGATATGTACGGCTCTAGCGCTAATTTTGAATGGCACGGCCCTTAAGCGTCCTTTGTAGACTTGTCGTAATCAGCTGATCTTGACATTCCACCATACATCCACGGCAAGAAACCACGTAATGGCGGTGTACTGTGAGAATGTTGTTGTCGGCGTTCTTTCCAGTAACGCGGGTTCGTATGGATGAACATATTTTTAGAATGGCTAGGTTGGCGGAGCTCCTTGTCCAATGCCGGTGCAATCGACAAAGCTTTATTGCCGAATACTTTCCCCTGCATTTCCTGTTCGGCTTTTCTCGCTGCATCGACGCTGGCAAAACTTACAAAACCAAATCCCCTGGAACGACCGGTGTCTTTGGCAACCTACATACAATAAATGTCAAAACAGAGTCGTAAGTTTTTTCTTAACATTTTTTCGGTAAGTTTTAACAGATTTTAGCTACCGACCTGAGCGCTTGTGACAGTGCCAAATTCCTCGAACATTTTCCGCAAACCCTCATCATCGACACTATCTTCCAGATTTTTTACATACAACGTATGGCGGGATTCGTCAAGTTTCTTCATCATTCGAATGTGCTGGCGCTCCGAACGTGACTGCGCTCTGGCGACAGTTATAACTTTTCCACTCACTTCCGTTCCGTTCATCTCATTTACAGCCTAAACAACATTATTTTAACTTCGTAAAAAACTGTCTAAAAAGATTACTATATTAAGAAGTTCAATATGCCCAGTATTACCTGTTCGGCACTTTCTGGCATTTGAAATTCGACGAATCCATAGCCACGGGAGTGCCCGTTTTCATCCTTTATGACAGTATGGCTACTCACATTGCCGAACTGCTTAAATAAATTCCATAACCTTCCGTTGTCCACATCTTCGCCGAAATCTTTAATAAATACATTGGTGAATGTCGCCCGTGCATGCTTCGGAGGCAGCTCAATTAATCGCTGATCAGAAGTATCAGTTGGAATTTTAAACAATTCCATGTTGCTAAAACAAAAAACCCGCATAAGCAGCAGAAAAAAATAAAGACAAATATTATTATATCCGCAAACTAGATGCAAATACCCAGTGATAGATACCGGGTACCGACAATGAGGCACTTAGCTTAAGATCACAATCGTCGCACCAGTGCAGGCACAGTGACGTCTTAAGTACCAAATTATTACTTGTAATTTTTGGTCCACTATAAATTCACTTTGTACGCGCAGTTACGCAAGCGCGATGAAAACTGAGCGGAGTTTACTCATCAATATGTCCCGGAGTGCATTTACATTTCTTTGTCATTGAGGAGCTCGCCACTAGCTTTCTCGAGGGCACTTTGAGCGGCAGCTTCCGTTTGGAAGAGTACGAAAGCGAAGCCAGTGCTTTTCGCACGTTCATCCCGCAAAACCTAAAGCAGACCAAATTTGACGGCATACGTAGGTGCAGTTTTCAATTATAGTTTTTTCGCATACCGCCGCACACCATACTGTTGATAACAAATTCTGCTATCACAGACTGCCATGCATATGGGAAACTGTTACCTTGCAGCATACGAAAGCATCAAGACCGGAAAAGATGCCGCGCAGATACTTTTCGTCAACCGTGTCTTGGAGATTTTTAATGACAATGATTCCATACTGTGGTTTCCGGCTGATCCAGGTATGACAGTGAACCCAACGGATCGACATGTTTCGATCCGTCGCCAGGTTATCCTTTGCACGCTTGGCTAAAACAACCCAGGTTTTGTGTAGTTATCGCGTAGACGCTTACTCTTGAACAGAAAAGTTAGAACATTGGACCAAAAGTCAAAAACATGTGCTGAAGATGACCGAAAAGGTTGCGTTATTTTCGACCTACGTAGAGAGACAGCCAAAAAAAGCGTAGCTTAAAACTATACATAACTACATGCCAAAAGAAGAAGGGGTCACCCGATTTCGGTGGAAAGAATACACTTTCTTTGCTTACCATCGGCGAAATTTTCGAAGTCTACTAACGCATAACGCAGCGAACGACCTTCCACTTGAAAATCGTTGCAGATTCGTGCGGAAATCACAGGGCCAAAAGTAGAAAATTTTTCAAGCAGCATTTCGTCGGTGACGCTTGGATCGAAATAATTAACCTCGAGGGAAGCCAACGGATTCATGGAGGCTTTCGTGTGATCTGTCTGCGAAATGCTTTCCAATTTCGTCTCCATCGGAACATCTGACTGCGAACTGGATTCCATTTCGTTTTCAGATTGCAAAAACAAAATACTGCTCCTTCAAAATAGTATTTTTTCTACACTTCTAAAATAACAATATCAGCAAAATCACGACCAGGCTTAAAGCGCCCAACTTCAGCTCCAAAATTAAGATGGAAAACCGTCAAGTGTTAACGAAGAAGCAGGTTAAAAATTAAATGATGCGAAACATGGATAATTGTATAGTTTATTAACGCTTTGCGTAATTTACATCACATCAATTAATTTTTTATAATTTTTATAGAAAATTGTCAAGTCATCATAGAGAATTCGAATCAGTACCGCAGGTGACAGGTACAGTGCACAGTGCAGTACTGCATACAGTGACCGCCATCTTTTATTAATCTGTACCAAAATGAGTTCGAATTCCATCCATCTGAGTACAGGGTACTACATGTGGAACAGCGCGAACGGAAAGTGCATAATCTATGCTTCTACGCCTACGGTACTTGCATACATTTCGTTTACCACCAACTTTTAGCTATCCAAAAATTTCTTTGAGATTTAATTTTCATCGATTGTTATGAAAATGACAAAACTACATTATGGTAAGCAGCACTGTACGATAAAGAAGGATTATCTGAATCCGCTTCCGGTCACTGGCAAATTCCGGTTTTATGCATCCACTACAATGTGTATCAACACATTCAAAGGTCAACGTTTTTCAAATAAGACGCTGTGAACCTTCTTTCTTGATCCGTTGAATACAGACTTCAAAAGTTATCTTATCACAGGCCGGCTCTCATGGATATCGTTTACAATGCTTTAAATAATGCTCTCCAAGAAACAATTCGTTTTCCTATTTTTCATGGCAAAATACGTAGAAATTATCACCCGCTTGCCTCTAGTCGTTGTATTAAAGTTTTTGTCTTCCTTTATCGCCACGAAGGTGATTCGGTGTGAAACACTAGATATTAATTGACTGCTCTGCAGTGGTCGAAGTGCAGTTTATAATTTTTGTCATGTAAATTGTTTTGACCTTGGTAGCACTATCCTTTGAACATGAAAGCGATCGCGATAATCGCCCTGTGCATGGCACTCGGCCATTTCCATGGTGCAGAGTGTCTACAATATGTTCAAGTCTTTCGGGATGATTTCACTCCCAACCATGCCATTGACGGTTCAAAATGGAACGTGATCACTAAACCCAGCACGGTCAACGAGGAGCTGCAACATTACGTGTATGATGATGTTTGGCAGGAGCACGGATTTATCTTCCTACGCGGTCAACGGCGCAGCTGGGGCGGACGTCAATACACATCCGGTCGGGTGGATACGCAGAACAAATTTCAGTTTCTGTATGGGGAAGTAGAATGGCGTGCCAAACTGCCACTGGGGAAAGGCATGTGGCCGGCTCTCTGGCTGTTGCACTTCCAGTGTCCTCCAGCCTGTAAGAATAACTGAATAAGTAACTAAATCCTCTAAGACTTCTCTTCCAAATGCAGGCTACAGCATAATAATTATATAGCTTATATTAGGCAGCTATATTGTGCTTGCGGACAGTTATAATTTATTGCTGCTTTCTATACAATTGTGCGAAACTGTCCATTGATATTTTATTCTGCATTATCACCTGCTAACTCAGAAAGGTCAGCTATGTAAAGAGTTAAGACAGATCCACTAGCTGCACATTATACTACACAGGACACAGCACACATAAATTTATTAGGTACACAGCATAATACATTCAAATTCGCAAATTTATTTGCATTTTGAATTTCGCAAATAGCACCCTGTCCTGGGACTTGGCCCCCGGAAATCGATGTTATGGAATTCCGTGGTGACATTCCCAACAAGGTGACAACAACGGTTCATTTTGGGCGATACCCCAACAACGGTCATGATGGTCGTGATTTCTGGGGTCCGGATTTTACTGCGGACTTCCACAACTACAAGGTCATCTGGGATCCCAATCAGATTGTATGGTTTGTGGATGGTCAAGAAGTCTTCAAAGTAACCGATGCGAACAAAATCCCACATGAGCCCATGTATCTGATTATGAATTTAGCCGTGGGCGGATGGTTTGGTGGTAATCCAGACGGTTCGACACCATTTCCGGCACATTTCATTATTGACTGGGTAACCGTGCATCGATGGCAGTAAAGCGGGGCTGGGTTCGAAGTGTACTCTTCGGATCGCTTTACGCTACATCAATTGAAAATAAATAGTTTGTCAATAAAATATGCTTTTTGGATTCCTGTTCATGTGCATTAATAAAAATCGTCTTTTCAAACACCAGAGCGTCGGAAACGTGTAGCTATAGTGTATAAATAGCTTACTGCAGGTACTGTAAGCAATGCAAATAAGCTACATGTATTGATAAAAGCAATCGTATTGTACGAAGTGTCACCTTCGCTAAGTTACAGGCCTAGGATAATTATTAATTATTCAAAGCTGTCTAGCGTACTGGAATCAACATTACGAAAATTATGACGAAATAAAATGATTGTATGGAATTGTACCCTTTGCTAGTATTTTGCGGTCGTAGCCAGTATGTAGAAATCAGCTAAAAAACATGCTTGCTAGTGGCTTAATTTTCTTTTTTTCTCGCTTTAGACAATTTCTTGTTTCTGTATTGTATGGTTTTATGGCATGTTGCATTTATGTCTGCCTTTATTTAAGCATGACGGTAATATTCGTAATTATCTGAGCCAAGAGATGTACAATTATATTTTATGCATTTCCGTTAAGCCTGAAGTTAAGCATCAGGGATAAAAATTAATGGTGATTATCAAAATAGTTCGTAACTTTAAGCGCACTTAAACGAGCTGCTTGTCAGGCCTGCAAAACATGTACGCGGCAGCCGAAGTACTTACTGTATTGTACGCATTTCTTTTCAAGTGCCGGTAAACAGCTAAAGGCTGGCAACAAACCAAAATATTGCAAGTGCATGAAAAGACAGAAAATCCATCCGGTAATCCGAAGACATGATGACTGTGGTGTGTGAGTAGCACTTGTTTATGTTTTTTACACGTCCCGTACATAGGTCTATATCAGAATGTGATCTACAGCGCAGCTAACCTTCAGAACGATGTGCTAAGCAAAGCACTGAATACCGTTAAGACCGTACAGCCGAAATTCTAAAAAGGTTGCAGATGCCGGTATGACATTATCGGGACAATTATGTAAGGCCAGCGCAGGTTTCTGACTGTCTGTGCAATAGCTCGAGGGTTGCAACCAGACAGAACGGGCGGAAGCTCACTCGGGACGATAAAATGTTTACCTCTTCAAACCGATAAAATGCAACGCATCTTAAAATAGACTGGCGTCGTTTTTTCAGAAATTAAATTATTAGTTTTGCTGTGTGACCTACAATTCTAGACGTTCGGCAGTCGTTTAACATGGCAAGCTTTCTTTCAAAAATGAATGTAGAGCAAGTGCGAAATTCCATCGCTCAACACTGGAGCCAAGCGAAACCAGGGGAAGTGGCACTGGGAATAGCAGCAGGAACCGTTTTTACATACTCCTTATACAAATATATTAAATCACGTGGGCTACCACCTGGTCCATCTGGTAAGCAGTTCCATCTGGTTAATATGCTTTACCCACATTGTCGCACCTTTAACTGCGTAATTGCGTTTCAATGCAATTTTTATATGATTATTCTGTGCCATCGTAAAAACGCTAACACTTCTTTGGTACTCGTATAGCCTTAAAAAAAGGGTAAAGATATATTTGCGCAAACAGTATATGTTTTTATTGTCAACCCATCTGCTTTAATTGATATCGAAGCAGATGGGTCGACAATAAAAACATATACTGTACATAAGCATATTGAATAACTTCGCCGCCATTGTACCCGTAATACTGATTCAGAATGATTATGACCAGTTACAATAATGTAATTTATGTAATTATTTGATAATTATGATATTACGGGGAAAAAAAGTAAATATACTTAAGAAAGTAAATGTTAAGACAAATTAAACCTACTACAAATACAAGCCTGGATTTGTAAAAAACGTTGTTTTGATCTCCTGATTATAGTTTATTCCGACCTAAATATAGTTTATTCCGACTTGGTAACTCTACTGGGGTGCACAATAGAGGCCAATTAAATTTTTAAGTTGCACCTAATTATTTTCCTCACCGTGCTACAAATACATTTAATTTGCGAGCCAGTCCTACAGAGTATGACAGATCGATAGTAAATTCCGGCATAGTTCAACAAACTGCAGTAAAAGTATGTGCAGTAGGCCATTATTTTATTATTTCTGCGGTATCACGCACAATATTGCATCTCACAATTTGTAATTTGTAGAAAAGTATTTGTCTAAACAAACGTTATTTTTTTCATCAGTGGTCCCAGTATTTGGTAACTACTTTCAACTCGGAGATGACCCACCGAAAACCTTCATGGAATGGAGCCATAAATACGGGAAAATTGTATCAGCCCGCCTGGGATCCCGGTTGCTGGTTGTGCTGCACGACTACGATCTGGCGAAAGATGTATTCTCACAGGACAACACCACGGGACGTGACCAAGAATGGATATTGCAAATGATTTTCCAAGGAAAAGGTAGTCGATGATCAACGGTAGCGTATTTTATACAAGTATGTACTCTACAATCATATTCGGGTGAAAGCATTAATTAGAAGATTCGTATGTACTTGTTAGAGGCACGACAGCCTGCGTGATAGATACGCCACTTTGCGTATGCGTATCACTGCACACATGCTGATTCGCCCTCTCTTGTACGTACGTGAGTGGCTGCACTGCACTCTCCGCCTATGCGGATACACCGCGGGCGCACTCACTGAGCATACTTGCTCTCTCGCTCCTCTCTCTCGCTGTATGACTCAGCGTATATTCGCTCGCGTTGGATACGAGTCCAGTCTGCGCACTCACATTCCGTGTGTCTGGACAGCGTGACGCCGTTGCCGCCAGCACATTTCTTTCTCTACAATTCATTACGCTCTAGAACTAGCTCGCAGCAACTTGACTTGCTGATTTCTGCCAGACACTGGCCTTTGTTGTGTTTTTCCCCGCATTCACGCGGCATTTTGCTCCACTTTATTTGTACAATAAAGTCACCTGTGAGCTCTCTGTGCTTGCCTGTCACATGGTAAGCAGATCGTCTGGTTTTTCGGTTTATCGGATCCTTTGAGGAGACGGTAAAGGCATAATTTGCGGAGAACTCGAAGAACCCGTGGTTGAAATCAGATTGACTGCGAACGCAGCCTCTGTTTCGACCTGGTCTTTGCTGTCTTGCGACTGTGGTAGCAACAGGTTGATCGCAAAAGCGATCCCTGCCACCTTCGCTAGCCCTATCTTTCGTCTCTCCCACACAAGGAGAGCACTTCGGCTGACTGCCCCAGACGGACGAACGTGAACTTCCCCAATCCCAACTGACGGATCAGGCTCGGACAGTAGCCTGCAGCGCCCAGAAGGAGCCTCTCAACAATCGGGGACCTTCGCCTTGAACGGCGACCCGCAACTCTAACGGAAATCGACCTCCCAACGGCGGATCACCGACCTCCACGGACACCGTAACGAACCGGTAAAGTCCTGGTTACAGGTCGACACAGGTCGAAACTAGCTATAATTCTTAATTCTTAACGGCTGAAATTTATTTCTGAGAACTAGAAATAATTTTTCGATGGAAAAAACTTAATTTTCGTCGGAGAAACCGACCTAAAAAGTTACTTTACCGACCTAACGGACCACTCTGTGTAACTGACCAGAGGTCGGTCATTCACTTTGCTTTTCATTTTGACGGATTTTCCACCGTCAGAAAAATTTCTGAGAATCTAGAAATTATTTCTAACGGCTTAAAAATTAAAATTTCGACCAGAAAACATCTCTGATCGACCTAAAAATATTCTTGTTTTTCCGCGAAAATAAGCGCGAAAATTCTTGAATTTCCTTGTGACGTCAGAACGCTCGATTTTCAGTACTTTGAGGCTAGCCAATCAGCGTGCAGGGGAAACTTCCCATAAGCTTAACATAGGCGTGAATCATCGTTTTTTAAATTTTGCACGCGGCTCGCATTCTGTGACGTAGGCAGTGAAGTGCAAGACCACTTAGCCCTGTGACGTCATACTGGTCAGCACAGTAGTATAGGACGTACTCTACTGTAGTACCTTATCATACTGTACTGTACCATAGTACTGTATTGTAACGTTGTGTACTGAGTCACACACAGACACATCAACACAACAACAACAACATCAAGTCGGACCATCCTGACCCAAGGAAGTTCCTGAACCGAAAGACGTCCCTGATTCAATTGAACATCCCCACATAAGGGATAGTTCAATTTACTGTACAACAGTACAAGTCTCTCGTTGGTTCCACTTGAACCGACCTGACCCGACAACAATGTCGAACCCGAAGGAAAACGAATACGCCCGAAAGTTCAACACGGACTATTCGCGGCGCCTGACCTCCAACGCGCCGTATGCACTACGGCACTCCGGTCAGGATAAAAGTCAGCCGTCATCAACGGACTCAACGAAGTCAGCCGAGGCAAGGGAGAAGCGCAACGAGCGGATCCTCCTCGCCGATTCCAACCCAACGTCCGATGACAGCTTCGAGGACGCCCACGACAAGACGTTCCTCGAGCCCCGAGCTGGCTTAGCAGCCCCGTCCCACCCGACCGGGGGGGAAATGGAGCATCTGCAGGCTGAGACCACATTGTCTCATGCCGAGGCGGAACACCCACATGGTGTACCGACCTCTACGGACTCAACAGAAGGACTTCAACTGAGCTCACAGAAAGCTCAGGAGTCGGTAACGACTACAAAAGTCACCGACGCCGGACACACATCACCCAACCAGACGGATAACGTGAAGAGGTCGACATCGCCCAACTCGGGTAGAGCGACTTCACCGACCTCGAAGGTCGGAGAGAAGCAACCGATAACGGAAATCGGTCAAGTCCAACCGACCACAGAAGTCGGTAGGGCTTCACCAACCTCTAAGGACGGTCAACGGAAACCGACCCCAGAGGTCGGTTATTCTCAACTGGAGGTCGGACCTCATCCGACAACACAAGTCGGAATTGAGGTTAGAAGACTACAGCAATCACCAACCAAGGAAGTTGGCCACGTCCAACCGACAACAGAAGTCGGGAGGATTTCGCCAACCAAGAAGGATGGAAGTCCACCGACCAAGGAGGTTGGTCAACAGAAGCCACCTACTGAGGTCGGACCTCACCCGACAACACAAGTCGGAACTGAGGTCGGACTACTTCCACCGACCAAGGAGGTTGGTCAACAGAAGCCACCTGCTGAGGTCGGACCTCACCCGACAACACAAGTCGGAACTGAGGTCGGACTACTTCCACCGACCAAGGTCGGTCAACAAAGGCAGACCATGGAGGTCGGACCTCGTC